TAAGGGAAACGAGATCGACTCGATCCTAGTCGTCGTAGATAGATTTACTAAATTTATAAAATTTTTCCTAGTATATATAATAATTAATACTATATAACTAGCTAAGCTATATTATAATAAGATCGAATTAGTCTATAGACTATAAGAAGGAATCGTATCTAACCGGGGTCTAGTATTTACTAGTAAATTCTAGCTTTTACTATTTAATACCTTAAAAATAAAGCTTAGGTTTTTAACTATATTTTATCTATAAACTAATAGCTAAACAGAACGAATAAACTAAACCCTCGAATATTATCTAAGATACTTTATAGGAGAAGAATAAACTATATAGCTAAATTTACTATAAATAGCAGAATTCTATTATAATCTATACTAAAATAATATAATAAAATTTAGCTCCTACGAAGTACTACTCGGATATAATATATCCTTCTATATACGCGACGAGGCCGCTATAGAAAAAGAAAGGCTACTAGGAGTATAAGCTAGGATCGAGAAACTATAGAGTTTACGTAAGAAGTTAACGACTTACTAGCGAAAGGCTAACGAATCGATAATAAAATACTATAATATAAAAAGAATCCCTATTATATTTAAGTATAACGATCTTATAATACTTTCTACGTAAAACTTACGAATTAAAGAGTCTAGGAAGCTCGCTCCTAGGAGAATTAGCCTATTCCAAATCCTATAAATAATTAGAACTTAGGCGTATAGACTAGTACTATCCTAAAAGTATATACGCCTCTATAATATTTTCTATATCTTTCTTTTAGAAAAATAGTATAATAATCTATCGCGAAGCGCTCCTAAAATACTCCTACTTCCTAATCTTATCGAAGATAACTAAGAATACGAAGTCGAAGAAGTTAAAGGGAAGATAAAGATTAATAGATAACTTTATTTCCTAGTTAAATAGAAGGATTAGCCCTCTAAATATAATAAATAGGTACCTAAAGAGAATATATAAAATATAAAATAATCTATCGCGAAGTTTAAAAATATATAGAAACGTATAAGACGAAACTAGACCGAACCCGCCATAATTTATCTTAGAAATACTCTATAAACTCTAATACTATATTCTTTATTGCGGTCGCTTCTACCCTAAGTATACTATTCGTAGTTATTATAGTCTCTAAGCGCTTAGTAAAGTTAACTAGCCTAGTCTGCTATAATATAAACCTAGTATCTCCTTCTTTAAGACCGAGATACTAGTCTATATATATTAAGGGAGGACCGAAAGCCGTAATTAGATTCTAGTAACGTAATACTATCTTTTCTAAATAGAAATAACGGTATCTCTATAAAGAGAATTTATTAGAATAAATTATTAAGAAATTATAGGCGATCTATATCTTTTATATATACTTCGGACCTTCGAATATATACTCTTTCTTATAGGCCTATATAATCCCTAAGAAAGTTATAGTAAGATCCTTACTTATCTAGAATAGATCGGAATAAATACCGACCGGCTAAACCGAAATATATAATAGCCTAGGCGCTATAGTAATCTCCTAGGTACTATTAAAGATTACCTAGTAAATCTTTAAAAGAAAATAGAATACCTATATATCCTAGATTATTAATATAGGAGTCTTATAACCTATTAGTAATTCGGAAGTATTTCGGAAAAGAGTAGAAAACTTATAGTCTTATATATATTATAGTTACCCTTATAGCTATTATAGAGTACCGACCCTAAACGATTAAACTCGTACTCTATAGCGAAAGGGACTATTATAACTAGATAGTTATACTCTATCTTAGCCCTACCGAAATACTTTAGATACTAGAGAAAATCGGGGCTTATAGTCACGAAGTTTAGCGTAGGAGGCGTACGGCCTATTCCGCTAGTAGCCTTGTAGCGACGACGATTCCGATAATAATAGGGTATTCTAGAACTAAGCTTAAATAAGGGAAATAGGTTAAAGTTAAAAATCTCCTTATCTATAGGAAAAATCGATTCTATAAATCTTCGGGGATAAATCGTTAATAAAATACCCTATTACGGACAGATTCCTAGCTTCCTAACCGACGTTAATTAGGTAAATAGGGATTAAGCGCCCTACCGCGATTTCTTTTAAATAGTATCGCCGATAGTAGTAGGAGGTTACGGCTATATAATATAGTAATCCTTTATTTATATCTATATCTCCTAAATTTAAGGATATAGCGTTCCGTATACGATATACCTATAATTCCTTCCCTTAATACTATAATAAAGTCCGGACTATAGTATTCCCTAGATAAGAATATCCCTAGTCGGGATAACTAGTATAGAAGGAGGTAATAGTTATTACGGTATAGTTATACGTAGTAACTTAGGACGATTTACGATCGAATCGACCCCGCGTTGTCTTAGGGTAATAACCCTAAAGGCTCTATACGGGGCTATAGGGACTTAGTACACAGAACCCCTATATATATATTATATGAACTAGTGAAGTCTACTATATCCTAAGATTCAGTCTTTAATAATTATAACTATAGACTTAGACTCTCTACCTAGCTAATAGGTTCTCTGTCCTGCGATATAGACCCCCTAATATTTAAGTCCTTTTTTAAATCAGAAGTACTAGCTATAGCTATATTAACTCCGTCTTAAGAGATATCCTTAGATTTAGGGTTAAAGAAGTACTACTTACTAGTATAGGCTATTAAATACTTATAGTAGATATAATAATATAATAGCTAATTATTATTATTCTAGTTATTTTAACTTTAGCTATAATCTCGTCCGGAGCCTCTATCACGGTCTCTATCTCCTCGGTCTCTGCCTCTATCTCTGCCTCGATCGTTATTTTATATAGGTTTCGTATCTTTTAAGGTAGAAATAGCTACGATTACTATATTTATAGACTTTTTATTCGACTTATATTTAATAAATTTACCGAAAATATAGTTAAGTATACTATCCGGATTAGTTAGAGGTTTATATATATTTAAGAAACCTTTTACGCTTTAGTAGCCGTTAATTATAAGCTTAAAATAAGCTAGAGCCTATTTAGGTAGTAAGAGGGTATTTAGAATAGCTAAATTTGTAAGATCTAAAATAGCTTACTATTTAGTAATAAAATTATACGGATTACTACTAGTATATATAAGCTTAATTAAAGATAATAGCCTATAGCTTAAAGTAGTATAGTTACTAGTACTATATATATTACTAATACGAAGGAAGATTTTATAAGAATCTTTATAATCGCGTATAAAGCTACGAGCTAAATCGCTAAGTATATAATAGATTAGGTATTTCGTAAGCGTATATTTCCGGCGAAACTAGTGAAATCGGTTATTTAGTTAAGTTATATTCTTATTAATCTACTTATTAAATTCCTCTTCGGTAGATTCTCGTCTAAGTTAAGTAAAAAGGACGTTTTAGATAGCTTCCTCTATAGGAGTATTACGAGGCTCTTAAATAGGGTATATTAGGTTACCTATAATAATAGACTATAGATCTTCGTCTAGGCTATCTATAATAAATCAAAGCCCCTATTTCTATTTCTCGAAGTTAGCTCTTCCCTTAAGTATAGGGACGGATTCGGCGAAGGTTTTAGCCGCCTTATAAGCCTCGAGATCGGAAACTATATTAAATATATATAAATATAATCCTACTATAACGAAGTACCGCTACGTAGGTAATACCTACTATAGCGATATACCGCTACGTAGTTAAGGAGCGTAAGAGCCGGAAGGTATAAGGTCTACGATAACGAAGGTATATTATATAGTAATCCTACTACGGCGAAGTACCGCTACGTAGGCGTGCCTACTACGGCGATATGCCGCTACGTAGGTAAAGAGCGTAAGAGCTCTAAAAATAGCGTAGAAGCCGGAAGGAGGGACTTTAGCGATGATTCGATACGATAGCTTCGGTAGCTGTATTCGATGCGTAGGGATCGTTAAGTCGTAAAGAGGTGCGAAGTCTGTACTCTGTAGAAGGCGCAAAATGCGCCGAAAAACGATGGAAAAAGAGGTTATTATACAAGTTGTGCCTAGGCAGTGAGGAAATGTGAATAACCTCACTTTTGTGCGCTAAGCAGGGCTCATAACCTATTGGAGGCTACTGGGAGATCGTAGCAGACCCAAAAGAGGGGAGAAAGGAATGGTGAGATTGAATCTGGTGAGAGGTGCCTATCTAAGCTACGAAGGTGGTGTGCGTGGGCGCGCACCACACTGGTGACACGCCTGACCACCAAGCTATCTCAACATAAACGCTCGCATGACCCTTGATCTGCAGAGTCATGTCAGATGAAGGGTCATTTTTGTGAAAACACGTTGCGGATGGTGGATAAGTGATCATCAGTCTGGTCGCTACCTGACAGATGTCAGGAGCAAGAGTGGAGAAAGATCGTTGCCATCCAGATTCGGCCTTTGAATCTTCAAATCCGTCAAATTGTTGTTCCCAAATGTCAACCAGGCACGGATTCGATTGATTTTCAGTCAGCACTTTGATGTCTCTGCCTAACACTCCTTTCGGCTAGCCTCTTCGTGGTCGTCCGATCCCGTCTCTTGTCGGGATGAAGGGAGAGCAAGAATCCTTTCGGCCCCCGTGAGGCATGAACGCTCTCGGATCTCTTCCGCGCACGACTCCACCGTCGATGCACCCACGATTCTCTCTGGGAAGCGTCCAATGCCAAAGCCAATGAATCACGGCACAGGCGGGGGCAGCCATCTTGACAAATACTCCTGCAGCAAATCGACGAACAAGAAGCGACGGATCAAAGGCTATTGTGCTGGGGTGTGAACTTGAAATGTATGTCTTCCCACTTCGACACGAGCGGAAGCCTTTCCCAATGCCGATATTCCTCGGTGTAATCTGTCTATTAATACTCGTTGAGGGGTTCCAGGGGTGATTTTGAACCCTTGGCTCATGGTCTTTTGATCGTCGTTGTTTTCAATTCCAGAGCCATACTCAGGCCAGGTTGAATGCCGCAAGACAGACTACTTCCTATTTTCGTTTTTACATTTGACGATTCACCCCGCGCAGCATGTCTCCCGCGCAAACATATGACTTTGTGGTTGTTGGAAGTTAGTCGATGCCCCTCATAAACCCCTTCCTTTCCAAGTAGTCTTGTCAAAGGGAACCAAGAGACAACGTGTGATATGAGCAGCCGATCATCCTGGTTTTCAATCTGACAAGCAATCCTCTTTTAGGTGGCCCTGCAGGCAGCGCCCTCGCTGCAGGCTTAGCACAGTCGGCAGCCCGCCCTCAAGTCCTTCTCCTCGAAGCCGGTGACGACAAACGGGACCGCAACCTGCGAGTGGACGGTCAAAGATGGATAACATTTCAGAACCAAGATATGAACTGGGGTTACAAGACCACGCCTCAGGACGATTGCAACAACCGTGAAATTGACTATAGCCGAGGTCACTGCATGGGTGGATCAAGTGCCATCAATTTCGGCGTGTACAGCGTCGGAGCCCGCGATGACTATGACGAGTGGGCGCGCATCACAGGCGACGGTACCTTTGCTTGGAACAACATGCACCGACGATTCAAAGAGTTAGAGACGTTCCACGGAGAGCTACCCCACGGCGTGTCCAAAAGGTACGCCGATCCGAAAGCTGAAGATCATGGAAGTAAGGGCCCGTTGCATGTTGGATATGCAAAGGAATGGGAACGGGATTTGACGGAATTGTTGGACGTCTTTGAGGAGGCAGGATTTCCATTGAATCCTGACCATAATTCGGGAAATCCAATCGGCATGTCCGTACTGATCAACTCGGCTCACAATGGCATCCGATCGACTGCGGGCGACTTTGTGAAGGAGAAGCTCGACAATCTGACCATCGTCACGGGCGCGCCGGTGCAACGAGTTCTCTTGGAGGGTACCAAGGCAATTGGTGTCGAGGTCAAGGGAGACAAATGTAGGACCCGACTCTGCTTTCGACCCGACGAGGGTCATTTTTTTTGGAAATCATGCTAATGGCTTCGTTCCAGATTTTGCCTCCAAAGAGGTTGTCTTAAGTGCGGGCTCACTTAACGACCCCCGAATCCTGATGCATTCCGGTATTGGCCCAGCTTCCCAGCTGAAACAATACAATCTGCCCGTTGCTCTCGACGTGCCGGGTGTCGGTCAAGGTCTTCGTGACCACTGCTTTGTGCCACTCGTAAACACTCGCACGGAAACAAGTACACAGCGAAAAGCCTTTTATGGGGACAAAGCCGCCATGGATGCAGCCTTGAAACAATGGCAAGAAGACGGCACCGGGCCGTGGGCTAAATTCGCCTGTGAGATAGGCATTGGATGGTTCAAGCTGGGAGAGAAGCTCGTGTCTTCGCCTGAATTCCAGGGTCTTCCTCGAGAGGAGCAAGAGTACCTCCTTCGAGAGACGATCCCCCATTATGAGATCATCACTCACTTCCCCATCCATTGGTTCATCCCGGACTTCCCCACCGAGGCCCTGGATTATTCGTGTCTGCTGGTTTTCTTATACAATGCGCAGACCCGCGGACAGGTCACCTTACAGTCATCTGATCCCGATACACCCTTGGCCTTTGACCCCAAATTTCTGGCCCACCCATTTGATCGCCGCCTCGCGATCGAGGCTTTGCGTGATTCGTTCCGCATTGCGAAACACGAGGCATACACCAAGGACAATGTCGCAGCTCTGGCCATGCCTACGGGTGAGTCGGACGAGGAGCTGTTGGAGTATTGGCGACAAAACATCAGCTCCAGCTGGCACATGACGGGCACCGTGAAAATGGGTCAAAGGGGCGATCCGGACGCTGTAGTGGACCCGGACTTCAGGGTGATGGGGATTGAGAACTTGCGGGTTGCCGATATGGCCGTTGTACCCGTTTTGGTGAATGCCCACATCCAGGCTTGTGCCTATATCACCGGCGCAACCTGCGCGGAGAAGTTGATTGAGGAATATCACCTAGCTTAAATGAGATGGGGCGGTGTGATGATCTCATAATATCAAGCCCGCTCGGTGAATCTAAGAAGAGGGTATGTTGTCAAAGCTCGATGAAGAGAAAGACGTTTGAAGGTTTCCAGGTTGGCCAGCTGGGCGAACACAATTTGCCCTTCCATATGCAACTTTGTAGTGTATAGTCCGTGTAGTATTCGAGACACGCTCCAGTCTCACGATTAAATCGCATTGTTGCCCCTCGACGATCGGAGAAGCATTGCTACGGCATTGGCCGCATTGCTACGGTCCTTGTTGTGGGAGAAAAATGGTGTCTGTCTCTGCTATTTTCAAGGTCCCACCGCCCAAGTACAAGGAGATTTGATCTTTCTCGACAGACAAACCATGTGCGATGCTTCACGCACAATTTTCATGGGAGCCATCAAATCCTTGCAATTTTGGGTAACCTGGCCAAGCCCAGCGAGCCCCTCTGCGTTCCCCCTGGGCGAGACATCTCGAGAATTAGCAGGCGATCAAGAGGTCACAATACCTTCGAACCCGTGGTTCAGGGTCGTGTTCCATCGTCACGCCAATTCCAAGATCCAAGATCGACGAGAACCTCTGCATTCCATTCACCACCTGGCTTTTCCCGTGCCTCGACTTGAAAATCAGCACACGAGGAACCAGATCGCCAGGCGTCCCAAGTCCACAGACGACTCAATTTCCTGGCCTTGTGGGACCGTACTCGAGTCTAACTCTCATTTCAGCCCCTGCACCAGGCAAAGGATGAAGACGAACAAGTGGAACTCTTCTCCACCGGGGCGGGAGGAAAAGGTCAGGGTCCATTCACGCCCGTGGTTCAAAAGTATAGTATGTACCAATTTTCTTTTCCTTTCCACTGCAGCGGTATCAGACTTGTCGGACAATTGTTCAGGAGTTCTCTTGTCGATATGGCGAAGAGTTTATCTATGTGAAGCGAGCCTCTTGCACTTCGACTTGCATCTATCTCTTCGAAACACATCGATAGCGGCTTGAATGCTCATCGGGAGCCATGGCGCAAAACGTCGAAGCATGGACGCTCTTAGCTTTGGCTCTCGTGGTGATTATCATTCGAATCTACGTTCGATGGAGCCTGGTTGGGCCCAAGGGCTTTCAACTGGATGACTATCTTATGCCACTAGCCGGGGTATGTGATCCTATTGGAGTTCCAGACTCGACATGACTGTCGATGGCTGTCCTTCAGGGTACTAAACAGGCATATCCAACCAGATTGTGTTCGTTCTCGAAACGGTCGCAGCATACCTAGTCGGCGCCAATTATGAAGGCCTAACGAACAGCTATATTTCGCCTTCAGAGCGACAGGCCATTGTCCCCAATTCCAAAGAATGGAATAATCGCGTCGCCGGTTCCAAGATTCAAGTTCTGGGATGGTCACTGTATGTGGCCATTCTATGGCTCGTCAAGTTTGCGCTGGCGGTCTTCTACTCGCGATTGACGACCGGTCTACAAAATCTGCCCCAGAGAGTTCGCATCGCATACGTTATCCTCGGCATTACATGGCTCGCAACGCAACTGTCTCTTCTTCTGTCCTGTCAACCTTTCCATGCGTTTTGGCAAATCAATCCTGATCCTGGCGGTAAGTGAATCCGCAAGCGGTCGTTCTCGACGCTTTTTGTATCATCAACTCAACTGACCGGGTATTGCATAGATGTCTGTCAGCCAGCCAAATCTCCAGTCTATGTGCTAGTCGTCGTGCTACTCAACATCGTCACTGATCTCTACCTACTTTCCATCCCACTTCCCCTGCTCTGGCAGGTTAAGATCAGCTTGAAGCAGAAGATCCCTCTCATGGGACTCTTTTCTGGTGCGGCCTTTGTCATTACCGCTTCTATTATTCGAGCAGTCATGATCAGCGTTGTAAGTATATCGCGCGCACATCCCGCACGCTTTTCGCGAGGGCAAACACATATCGTACGGTCTCAGACTAACATCCAAACAGGCTGGACCAGAAGGTGCTGTCGCCGGATCCAAATGGGCCTGTCGCGAGACATTCGTCTCGATCGTGGTTTCTAATCTACCCATCATTCAACCCCTGATTCGAAGAGGCTTCAAGAAGATCGGTCTCTCCCAGCTCTTCTCCTCCTCTGGCAAGGAATCCAATGGACGATCCTACCCTCTCTCCGGTCGCGGTCGGCAAACTCTGGCGAGCCATGCGGATCGCATCACCAAGAAGGGCAAGCATGCCCAGGGACTCACACAGACTCAAGTGTCAGCATGGGGCAGTGACGAACACATTCTCACCAGTCCCGAACCTACGTCAAAGGAGATCACGGTCGTTTCTGAGACTATCGTTCAAACCGAGCAATGGAACAGAGATCGAGCACCGCAACCGACTCGAGTTTCATCACCAAATCAATGGGACGCTCGAGGGACCACGCACGCAATGTAACTTGATCGCTCACGTGTTGTATGCTGGAGGGAGGACTCTCAAACATCCGCTTCCTTTACGTTTTCTTCTTATTTTCGTTTCCCTTTTTCATGCCAATTGCAGGCCCGGGCTCGTGGCATTGACGTTCTGTCATTTTCGATCTCAACGGTCCGATTTCCATGTTTGACTTTTTTTCATTATATCCATTCTGTTTGACAATATCCACCGTCTAGCGACCTTCTCCCAAGAATCATCAATACTAATATGTTTCTTCTTTCCCCTGACTCCTATCTTTGCTTTATTCGCATGGTTGGCGAATCGCTACGCAGATCAACAGAAAAGAGCAACCCATACGATAGACCGCACCAAGTGACATGCAAAGCCAAGAGACTCTTTCGCCACTTCTCTGGATCAGCCAAGTTGACAGGGCTGCGGAGATAGTTTAGTCTTTCTCATGAGGCTACAAAAGTACGAGGGTCTTAAAGTTCAAGCCACGCCACCGGGTAATTTTCTACCAAACACCCTAGCGGGAATGATCTGCAGCCTTGGGCCGTCGCACCGCAGTCTAGGGCACGTGTGTATGCTTGGCATGTCTCGACGGACCAGTCATGATTGGTTTCCGAAAAGGATGACGAGGACTATTCTCGAGTACAACTGGATGTCTACAACTGTAACTTGGAACTTTTTCTGAAGTACATACTGTTTGTAAGGGGATTGACTTGACCGTCGGCGGCAGCTAGATGTAATATTTGACATCGACTAGCATTCGCGTCTCCGCAGGTAAAGTACCTTATCCTACGAGAAGCCCTCTGTGCGAAGCAAAGTCCACCCGGGCGAATTTGATTCTACGCAGAGCAATAGGATTGGTCTACTCATTACTGACTGCACTTGCAGGGTTCAAAGGATGATCGCTCCAAAAACCAGTCGACATGACGATTAGATCGCGTAAGAAGAATGCCATTTTGAAACAAAGAAAAGAAAAAAAAAAAAAAAAGCCAAACCCTGAGCAGCGGTGCAGCGCGCACTTGGCGGAGTCTAAACGTGAATGCCAAGTAAAGATCAACGTGTCTCCCATCCGGTTTGAGCAAATCCTTCGAAGAAGGATTCGAGAGGCGCAATGGACCCCACAGACTAGTTTGGTGGTTACAGTGCCACCAACTCACCAACTTGGCGATCGGACAAGTGCCGGGCGATCATCATTTGGCATACGCCTTGGGCCTTCAGACATGATTCAAACTAGAAACAGATCCAGTGTGTTGGGACTGCGTAGACGGATGTTTGCAATCAATGGAACGAATGGTTTGAATGTTACAATATAGATAGCAGACTGTAGTACGGTAGTTAAATGAATAGTACCTACTTCCTACTACCTCGCTCACTACTAACGTAACTACTGTAGCAATAACAATTGCCATGGGACCAGCTTTTCATCACATACTCACGGAGCCCTTGGACCAACGACGTACAGTCAAATCGAGGCAAACTCCGAACAGGATCCCAACCTGTGAGTAAGGCAAAGTGGTTCCAATGTACACATTCAGCCTCAACCAAGGGAATGACGGATTGGATCCGGTGGAAATAGTAGCGGTGCACACACCGAGCTATCCTTCATCGAAGATAGTCGAACAGTAGCCATGTCTGCGACCGGAAAGGGGCTGAAACCCTTTGGCCGAAGAACTGGGCATGCCGAGAGTGGTTCTACCGAAGAATGTCAAACCTTATCGGGCCCGAGTCTTGGTGCGTCGACACTCTAGTTTTACGTGCACTGAATATCGAGGTAGAGAGCATTCATCTCCATGATGTAGTCTTGGATCCCGTCCGAATACGAATGACAAGAGAACTTACCAGATGACACGCTACCTAATCGGGCAATTGCTCCAATTGTTGGTCGACTCGCTTCAGCATAACGTGATTGACGGTCTACTGTAGTCCCGACGCCAACAATTAAATGCTCAAGCGCAGGGTATTGATCTCGCCAATTGAACTTTGGCAGTATTTCCATCCGAATCTCCTCGGCCAACCTCTGGCTCGAGCACCACTTGACTAGGGGAAGCTTTTTCCAGCCCGTATAACTCCAACCCTAAGACCTTTAAATTAACACGCAATAAGCGTGTTGCGTCTGCACAAACTCAAATGACATCAATAAAGCTGCGCCCGCTTTCTATTTCCCGATGCACATGATCACGATGACTTGAAATACATCAAGGGGAACGCGGCACAGCTTTGAGGCGGACGGCCCTTCTTGGAAAGTCAATGTCCATGATGGGATTGAGGTTCCAGTACAAATACACTTCGTTAGGCCATACCTCTCCGGGCATGGAATTCGCAAGATAGTGTGGAAGCCCAAGTCTTGCCAGCCTGCCTTTGGATCGACGCTCCTGCTGACAATTTAGGGAAGCTACGTCCGAAAGGCTTCCTTCAAGACACAATCCGATCCATCTCAAGCTGTGATCCCAGAGGCATGCCGCAATGATGCGGGTGCGCGATCATCTGACTATATGTACCGTTGCATGGCAAACCATTCTATCGAATGGGTTGGCATAGACCTTTTGGTCCAATGGTAATACCATGTGAGCAACGGCACCGTTGATTCCAAAGCTTCGCACAGTTTGGTCAATCTGCGTTCTCAATTTGCTGATCGTGACGCCAATGCATGCAGTGAGATACCACCACCAGGACGGTCTTGACAGCATTGAGGGTTCCGTCCATGCGACTTTCGCATGCAACTTCATTTTCCAAGCATCTCCCAGTGACGGTCTTGTGAACCAGGATTGAACTCGGTAATGCTGCTAATTCTAGGGGTTTCCGACCATTTGATCCTTTACCCCGATGTTCACGAGATCCATTCAATGCACCTCCTGGTAAATGAGATGCACGACGACTGTATCTGCGGCCCGATAGAACCGCTCCGATTTTCTCCAAGGAATATGATCAGTCACATGGCCAGGTGTCGATATAATGCAGAGTTGCAGACGGATAATGTACGATTCCAAAAGAGGCACCATCATTGTGGATTATGTTGTCGAAGAGCTCACAGTCCCTATGACTCCAGCAAATGCGGTGTAGGAGAAACCTGCGAGGGGTGTTGCACAAGAGACGGCCTGCAGAAATACGCGAACAATGTGAGTGTGCAGCGGTGTCGCTGAGGTTGCTACAAAGATCCTCACTGGGACTCTTGAGCAGTACCCTCCCGCGTCAAAAATGAGCATCATCTGAAGAGTATTCTCAAGAAAGTCTTCCATTCTGCTTCGGGTCTGCATTCGCAGAAACTATTTGATCAAGCGATACATTGTCAGCCATGGCAATTGAGAACAAGCCGCCATTGTTACTCCTCACATATCCACGTTCTGCATCGAATCTCCTCGTGCGTATTCTTTCGTTGCCTCAACAACCAAATACTGTCGCAGCGGAGAGTGGAGGTTACTTCTTCTACGATGCACGTGATCATGTTCGCCAGAGCAAGTTACAAGAACGGCTTCCAGCAGAATGGACTGAGCAAGAATGGGAAGCAATGGCAGACAAAATTCAGTCGTGCTACGACAACTTCAAGGGTCTTATCGATCGGGCCGAAACCGAAGGAAAGCGGGCGGTGATCAAGGAGCACGCGCCATGGTTGATCTGCCCTCGTGTACAGGCCAGCTATGTCCATGGCCAAGAGTATCTTGATGCACCATTCAAGGTCAAAGATGAAGCTTCTCCTGTCGGCCAGCTGATGGCCGGGATACCGAGGAATGAGACTGTCTTGCCCGACGCAATTCTACTAAGATGCGTGCCCACTTTCCTCGTCAGGCATCCAGCGCTGGCGTTCCCGTCTTACTTCCGTGCGAAGATGTCTTTCTCGACCAAAAAGCTGGAGGATCACGTGGTGGACATGACGGCGATTTGCACTTTGCGATGGACTCGCAACTTATATGATTGGTACACTGCCGCATGGAAGGGACAGAAGTCACCAATTATTCTGGACGCAGACGACATTATCAACAACCGTGAGGTGCCTCGTCACTTCTGCGATCTTGTGGGCCTCGATGCTGGCAAGGTTCAGTTCCAGTGGGATGCTGCGACCCCAGAGAATATGCCTCAGAATCCCGTGGAAAGTCGCTTTCGCAGTACACTGTTGGCCTCTTCCGGCATCGTTGCGGGCAAAACTTTACAGGGCTTGTCAATTGAAAAGGAAGCAGTCAAATGGAGGGCCGAGTTTGGGGATTCTGTGGCGGCAAAGCTACAACAGTTGATTCAGGATGCCATGGCGGACTATGAATATCTTTGGAGTCGCAGGCTCACCGTGTAGAATCGTGGTGCATGGTGCTCTAGCATACCTCGCAATGACTTTCAGGTTCAAGTGCAGTGGCCATAGTAATGCAGTACCCTGGTTATGAGAAATCACCGCCAAGGTCACAGAAGCATTGAGCCACAATGTCAGTTCCATTACAATCCGTCTCAAGTTCGTGCTTTGCCAAGAGAGTCTCCATCTCGCTAGGATGTTCGTAGATTCCAAGTTCCTGTTGCCATACAAGCATATGGATAGAAAATAGAAGATAAAATCAGGGCGAGCGAGGTGCCACCCATCCAATCTACCACATGACTGACAGTCTTGGGCAAACGCCAGACATACATATTGGCGAATCTCAGTCACGGCAACTCATCTTGAGCACGGCTCGAGAAAGTGAACAACCTCCGACCATGCACGTTCGAACCCTCCCTCAAAGTCAAGAATTCGAGTGCTTGGCGGACACTGGCTTGTGAGACTCAACGCGACGCGGGCTTGTCGCGCGTGAAAATTTAAAGTCACCTCCATGAGCCACATCAGAGCCCACGGCATCCTGATCTCGGACCCACTGCCGAGCAGCCGGGTATCTGATGTTCAGGCCTTGACCCAATTACTTTGTCCGGCATTGAGGACCCGGTCCGCTCTCCTGAATCGGCGTGTCTGCACTTGGCCTGTGCCAAGTGAAGCTTTGATTTCTCGGCTTCGGTCCGTGACAGAGTCATGACAACCTTCTTCAATTCGGCTGGGCATCTGCGATGCAGATTTCCGGAGATGGAGAAGACCCCGAAGCGAAACTTCGCTAAGGGTGACCGTCGGCTAATTTGAGGGTTTGCCGTTGAATTACCACACTGAAATGTCCCGCATGAGTCATTCCGGTCCTTTGAACCAGTGAAGTCCAAGATTTTCCTATCAATCTCTCTGTTGAGATTCCACTGCGACGAGCTCGGCGTGTCCCGCCGCCCCGCCATGTCACGTGATGATAAGTAGCTCCGGCTTGGCTTCCGCCGAGACACAGTCACGTTATTCTTATCACAGTGCGTGGCACAGGTCATTCGCTATTGTTGTACTACTGCTTGACGTGGACGGATTTTCTAGTGTGCAAGAAAGTATGAACGGTGCAGACAAGAGCTCATGTTGGTTTTTGGCATGAAACGCTGAAGGATCGTCAAGTCCATACCAGTCCCATAGGACTAAAAGTCTTGGGGTAATGACCAGAGAATTCGTCACTCATCCCGGTTTGGTCGACAAACCGGCATGCCCGCAGGGAGCTGAAGCTTGTGCCCAGACCCAACGCGGCCGGTTATCTCCGCAACCCCGCCATGAAGAGGACCCCTCGACTAGGCAGAGCAACGCGTCCGTCGGCGGAGCTTGTGAGGAGCTTGGGGTTCTGGGCGATAGGTCAGCGATAAGCCTGCGTTCATGGAAAAATTTTCCCTTGATCGGCTTGAGCCTGATTCAAATTGGATTGCTATAAGATCTTCATCTCGGCCAGCTTCAGCCGGTCCCATCTTCATTGCTGAAGCGGCTGATTAAAAGACAGTAGTTAGTCCCTCGACTGGTGTCTCTTGCGGACGAAACTTATCGGGGACGCCTAAAAGCCGACTGCAGAATTGGACGAGATAATCGGATATCTCTACAAGCTCCTTCACAATCACAGTCCTTCTGCCCAAGTCTCACCTTTTACGTTAGGATCTCCATTGATTAGAAGATGGCAAGCTCTGATGACGGTCGCACCGATGGCGGTCGAAGTTGGAGTCTGACGCCGCTCATTCACAAGGCCGAACATCATCATCGACGTATACCAGGAATTCGAAAGATTCCCTTGCGGGCTATCGGAATCATTATGTTGATCGCACTTGTTAACATCATTGTCTGGGTTGCGGCAGCCATTGTATTGGTAGGCTTTCCACGTTTCATCCTTGAATTCACAAAAGAATTGGCTAACAACCAATACAGCGCTATCACCCGTACGTCGCTCCAGGCATCTTTGAAACGACCACATTGGCCGGTACACAGCTTGTTCTGTAAGCTGATGTTGTGATTAGCAAGTTGGTGTCTACTGCTGTCCTCGCCTATACTCTCGGACTGCGCCATGCCTTTGATGCAGATCACATCTCGGTAGGTCCGAGTTGCATACCTTTCTAAAGTTGGGTTCTCCAGTGAACATCAGCTGACTACCATCAGGCGATTGACTTGATGACTCGGAGACTGCTTGCCACTGGGCAGAAGCCAGTCACTGTGGGCACTTTCTTCTCACTCGGTCACTCCACGTACGTGTTCCTGTGATCGTGAGAGAATACAGTCGCAGTACACTAAATTCAGCTAGGATTGTGATCATCACCTCAATTGTGGTGGCTGCTACTGCTGCCGCCGTCTCTTCCAAGTTTGACAGTTTCAGTCGGATCGGCGGTATTATCGGCAGTTCCGTCAGTGCCGCGTTCCTGATCTTGCTCGGCATTATGAACGCATACATCCTGTACAAATTAATCAAGCAGATGAAAAAAGTCTATGCGTTGCCGGAGGGTCATGAGGACGAAGCGTGGAAAATTGAAGGTGGTGGCATTCTCTTCTCCGTGTTGAAGAAGATGTTCAAATTGATCGATCGGTAAGTTTAGCTCGGTAGGAAAATGCTACAGAGACGTCCACTAAACGCCGTTTACTAGGCCGTGGAAAATGTACCCCTTGGGCATTCTCTTTGGACTTGGCTTCGACACATCTTCAGAGATTGCTTTGCTTGGTATATCTTCAGTAGAGGCAGCCAAAGGCAACTCGTTTTGGGTCATCTTGATTCTTCCAGCCCTGTTCACCGCGGGAATGTGTCTGCTTGACACAATTGATGGCGCGCTCATGTTCTCCCTTTACATCCAGCCATCTGCAAACTTCCTCCCCTCTAAGCAGACAGACTCCGTATCCGAAGTGTCTGCTGACACTGACGAGGATCAGTTACCTCAGTCTCAGGACAATCATCGCGATCCCGTTGCATTCCTGTACTACTCAATCGTTCTCACTACGCTGACCGTCATCGTGGCCATTGTTATCGGAGTCATCCAGCTCCTCACAATGATCTTGAATGTGACCAATGCAACGGGCAAGTTCTGGGACGGTGTGCAAACCGCCGGGGACTACTATGATGTGATCGGTGGATCCATTTGCGGCTGTTTCATTATCTTTGGTGGACTAAGCGTGCTGCTTTTCAAGCCGTGGAAACGGTGGATGGGCCGTCGCCACAAGAGACCGGTCACTCAAGATGAGGTGCATAGTCCCACTGTGCTCTCACAGTCTGGAGAGGACGAATACATTGTCCATGAAGCTGGAGGTCATGGTAAGCCATTATCACGCGAGGTCGGGAAGGGTGCGGCAGCGGAGGTAGCTATCAAGGAAACCAACGATCACCGTGGTGGAGACGAAATTGTCTGAAAAGTCTTCAGACGACACAAGTCTCATGTAGCTTTATCGCCCTGTTCTGCTGAACTCTATTGTGGGCTTTCAGAACGAATGATCTACATCCTAGTCAATATATGACCCTTTCAACTCTCCCAACGTGAAACTGAGGCCTCAGGCATCAAGTCATCTCGTGACGTCAGGCTAGACCGGTCTTCGAACTGTCCCACGAGACATTTGATTTTGTTTCAAATTCCTCCTATCAATCATCCAGAGAGATCGGTGGCTAGCTTCCTCGGAGTAATAAACCCAGTCACTTGATCCTTGAACTTTGTGATACTCGCTGACCCAGCTCATGTAACCGTACCTCGTGATCGCATCAAATTGCTGTGGATCCACTTCCGCACAACGACACTCAACTCTGCACATGTGTTTGATGTGTGAGAAATTCAACGAGTTCAAAGAGATATCCTAATGTATACATCAAGTTTAACTCCCCCCTCACCTCAGAGTCAGCATGTCAGAGCCAAATTTGTCCGCAAATACTGCAAATCCGCTCAATGACCATGCAGATGGGGAAGAGGCGCCGCAAACCACGATATTTTCGAATCAGCCGCCCATTTTCATACTCCCCACTCATCTACCGATAGATCGCCTTGACAGCATCGAGAACACAGTAGTCTTGAACGGAGGAACATTGACTTATGATATCGCCGAGGCTGGCATCGTTCTGGGAAAAGTAGCCCAGAAAAAACGAGGTGCACTTGAGCTGCGTTCCCGAGGGCTGTGGACCGAAGAGCTTCCAGATCTGACAAAGCGCTCCACTCTCATGAATGATGACAACGAGCCTCCATCGAAAAGAAGAAAGACGTCACCGGGTCATCCAGGACCGCCTGCAGGAGTTGAGGTCGTTGATCTCGGCACAGAGTCCGAATCCGAAGAGGATGGAGTGCGAAGTCGCCATGATCCAGCCAGACATCTGGCACTAGCCACCGAAGTACCTGAACCAAAAGACAGCGTCACGCTACTCTCACTAGACTGGCTTCATCAATCCGTTGCAGCTGGGAGAGTCCTTCCGCGAAACTCATTTGTGGTATTCAGGGGACGCAAGATTGTGAGACCAGCTGCTGGCCCAAATCTTGCTCCGCCAGCAGTAACATTGCCCTTGCAACAGAACAGAAGCGGAATCTTGCAACGTGCAAAGGAAGATGCTTTCTCGCAGCCTTCTGCAGCCTCATCTCAGCATTCTAATCTTCGACGCTCCAAAGAGCCTCCTGGCGGACAAGATAGCCAGCGTCAGGTCCCAACACTATATCGGCAAACTACATCAGAACATGACGAGGTGGCTAATTTGCCTCCACAGCCGGATTGGGTGCGCGATCGAGTTGCTTATGCATGCATGCGCTCGGCACCCTTGCACCCGCCAAATGAGGACTTCATCGCTCAGCTCGTGAAGATTCGTCGCATCAGGGAACTAACTCTAGATGAAATTGGTGTACGTGCGTATAGTACTTCCATCGCAGCGATTGCAGCATATCCGTACGTCATCAAGCGGCCAAGTGAGATTCTCGCATTGCCGGGATGCGAAGTCAAAATTGCAAATCTCTTTGCAGAGTATCAGCAGCGCGGAACTTGCAATCACACGGATGAAGATGGAAATATTAGTGCAGCCGACGCCTTGGAGACTGATCCTGTTCTTCAAGTCCTGAATCAATTCAATTTGATATGGGGAGTTGGCGTCAAGACTGCGAGAGACTTCTACTACCATCGCGGATGGAGGGATCTGGACGATATTGTCGAGCATGGGTGGAATTCTTTGTCTCGTGTACAGCAAATCGGGGTGAAGTTCTTCGATGAATTCTTACAGGGAGTGTCTCGTCGTGACTCAGAGATCATTGCCGAGACCGTGCGTGACCATGCCAACAGGGTGCGACCCGAAGCAAAAGGCAACATTGAATGTGTCCTAGTTGGAGGCTATCGACGAGGAAAAGAAATGAGCGGCGACGTGGATGTCATCGTTACGCATCGCGATCCGACTATCACCGAGAGCCTCATTGTTGACCTCGTGGCTAGCCTTGAGACCGAGAAATATGTTACACATACATTGTCCCTTCACTTGACTGCGACGCACCGCGACCAACAAACCCTCACGTACCGAGGAGACGAGCCTGGCAGACACTTTGACACTCTTGATAAGGCGTTAGTCGTCTGGCAAGATCCCGAGTTCGACAAGTCTCTCAAGAAAAATCCAAATAGACATCGTCGCGTGGACATAATCATATCGCCTTGGCAGACCGTCGGTTGCGCCATTCTGGGTTGGTCAGGCGATACCACCTTTGAACGAGATCTGAGAAGATACGTGAAGAAGGCGCATGGATGGAAGTTTGACTCTAGCGGCGTGCGTCAGCGCACCGCAGGAGGCCGAGTGATGGATCTGGAGGAAGGAGGAGAAACATGGCAAGAGCGAGAGCGATTGCTCATGGAACGACTCGGCATAGGATGGAGGCCTCCTCATGAAAGATGTACTCGCTGAGTGTGCAAATTTCTTAGAGATGTTCACTCTTCACGCGATCACATACAACGGCAAAGTACTTACACTGGGCTTTTGCTTGATGACTTCAGACTTTCAGGATTCTACGACCCAATGAATACGCATACCTCTCATGATTATTACTTCCACGCGAACCCGTCTCATGGTCGGGAGGGCGCTGGAATCACTTCGATCCTCATTACAAGTAACGCTTGCACCGACTAGACCCAAACCCTACCCAGGATACTTCTTCAAACATGAGCCTGGATCATTGAAAACAAAGCGGTGATTGTCCGCCTTGACGCATCGTGACCAAAAGTGAGACTTGCGCTCATTCTAAATTATCTGACATCTTGCTAAACGACGCCTGTGAATTACAAAGGGACAAGTCGCCAGAAGACAGCACCAATCACACTAGAGGAAAACAGTCCAATATTCTTATAGGGTACTGAGCTAGCGTAGAAACGTGGTCATTGTTGCCAGGCATTCGCGACATGGGACGTGGACGGCACGGTTTCTCGTGGTGCATGTTTTCGTTGTGCTTACGAAAAATATCCCCTCATGTATCGATGAATAAATAACCCGAAAAATAAATCTCATCAATCGTTGGGTTCACTTCATACGTCTGACTGAACCCGCGACCGGCCTAGAAAATACCTGATAGAAGTGTAATGGACCACTATAAAAAAAGCACAACCGCCGGGATTTGAACCCGGGATCTTCCGTTCACTTGAGTGTTTTGAAGACTAGGAGACGGACGCCTTACGACTAGGCCACGGCTGCCTTAGTATGAAAACGCTAAAAGCTAGCGCTTTATATTCAATATTTGAATTTGGCGCTCCGCCAGGCCCGGGCAAAAATGCCTAGTGTATTTCTTCTGCCCAAATATTTCTTTTTCGAGTGCGGCGCACCCTCGGCGTAGCTTTGTAAGAGGTCCAACCGAAATATCAACGTTATCTTGGCGTGAAATGACGGGATCGTTTTCGCCGCATAAGTTGCGCCATTGCACGGAGATGTCATCTAGCCCTTCTTGCGGATAGAATTCCGGGGTGCAAATCGGCTCTCAAATTTGCAAGACATAGTTGTACCTAAGACTTGATAGTGACTGGAAAGCTGGTCATACATTTCAGCTGCTACAGATACGTATGACTTTCTACGGGCATACGGGTACGCTTGCCGTCTCCGATGCATGTCTCTAGACTCTCTAGCATGCTGGTTCCATTTCATCGAGGTCATTTCAATTGAAGATCCATGCTCGAGGCATACATAGTCAAGTATGTCAATACGCCGCCATGGTCAAATCACGTACCACGGCTAGCGATAAATACCAGAACGGGGGTACAGCGAAATGGGAAAAAAAGGTTGATACAAAAACTAGATACATATCGTCACAGACATCTCAGCGAATCATGCAGCAGAGAGGCGGAAGAGCGGAATAAGAAAGAGAAAGGCAACAACATCATCACAAAGATTGGTGTCCCAATGCATTGGGAGACTTCATTGCCCAGGATGTCTTGAGCTGGTCATCTCTCCGTAACGTCCACGACCTTGAGTCGTGTCATAAGCGTTCAAAACTCGCATTTGGCCACCATCGTCGGCCTGCGAGAATGCATAGCCGCGCTGCTTGCGCATACGCTGGACCTGACGGACCTTGCGGATGGCTTTCTGGAACTGCTCCATGCGTGGACGGTAATCCTGGACGTTGTACTTCTGGATCTCTTGCACATGATGATAGTGCTGAGGATAGTACATGCGCTTGGCATATTTCCAGGCAAAATCACGCATGAGACAGATGCACGGCAAGACAATCGCCATGAGATAGAAGACCGGTGTTTTGAAGAGGAAGGGAATGGTACCATAGTACTCGCGAGAGAATCCAATGGCAGGAGCAGCAAACCCATAAGCGGGAAGGAAGGCGAGCCAAAGAACCATGGAGCCGGGGATGGCGATGAAGTGATACTTGGTCCAGATGTTGGAAATCAGAGCAGCCTTGCCGAGCACGGTCGCAAGGACAGCGGTGTAGAGGGCTTCCCCCCAAACCCAATGGCCGGCCACTTTGCCGTCGCTCATCGGTAGATCCCAGAGAAAAATCAATTCGGAGACAAGATAGAGGAGCAGGGAGTGGAAGAACCCATTGAGCACCCAAGCCCAGAAGCTGTGTTTCTTGAAGAAGACGCCCTTCTGGCCAAGTTGATATAGCTGGGGATAACGGTCCAATAAACGAGCCGAAATGAACTGATCGAAAATTCCCATGGCGAAAGGAGGCAAAACGGTGAAAAGCACGTTATAGAAGGACAAGGTCCAAGATTCGTAGATAACTTCACCAGAAAAGGCGTTTTGGAACGAATACTAATCAAATGATTAAACACGCGAAACGCGGCTCGAAGATAGGGGTCACGAGAGAACTTACCCAGAACTGTGTCATGTACAATGTGATGTTCTTATAGAATGAGTAGAGAATGACTCGACTGATACGAGAGTAACTCCAGGCACCATGCACCAGCAGTAATTTTCGGAGGAATCTGAACTGCGCAATCGCCACATCGGCTGAACGAGCAGCTTGAAGACCCTCCATACCGCTGATACCAACACCAACGTGGGCGGCCTGGATCATGGAAACGTCGTTTGCACCGTCGCCAATCGCCAGAAGCAGCGACTTGAGGTGACGCTTCACCAATTTGACAACCAGCGCTTTCTGAAGGGGAGAGACACGACAACAGACGACCGCCTTACACATAACAGCAAGATCAAGGAATAGCTTTTCCATGTCCTTCTCCAGAGCGAATGTCAAGGACTTGCCATCGATGATCAAGGCTAGAGGCTCGACGTCGCCTGACACAGCTTGGCTTTTGACTGCGTCCATCTTGGATTGCAGGTTCGCACGCGTCGCTTGCGAGGTCTCCTCATTGACAATTAGAAGGCTCATGTCCTCCGAGATGAGCTTGCACGACATGCCAATATTGATGGCAGTCTCCTGTCGATCACCGGTCAAAACCCAAATCTTAATGCCAGCAGTTTGCAAGGTGTGAATAGTGTCCGGAACACCATCCTGAAGACGATCTTCGATCGCGGTGGCTCCCAGGAGATACAAATCTTTTTCAATCAGCTCTGCTGCCTTGTCCAGCTCGTCAGCACGAGTGCCCCCAACAGTCGTATTGGCAGCATTGAAGATTTGATTCCAGCGCTGATACTCGTCCTCGGGAACCTCACGCATGGCGAGACACAGGGTTCGCAATCCCTCAGAGGCATACTCTTCAAGGTGTTGCAGGGTCACCTCGACAGTTGGGTTATCTGGATGCAAGCGTTCTAGGATAACCGTGTCGGCACCCTTGCAGTAGATTCGAACCTTGCCATCCGGACAACGGAAAATGGTTGACATGCGCTTTCGGGTTGAATTGAACTCGCAAACAGCAAGTAGTTCGTATTCCTGCTCGACACCGTTTGCGGTGAAGATCACTGATCGTGGCCTGCGGTTGGTGAAGCGATATCCCAACATCGCGGCTCCATCGACCAAAGCACCCTCATCGGGAGAAGCGGCCTGATACTTGATCTGGGACGGATCGTCGCCTTTCCATTCGGGAATGACGGTGTGGCATGTCGCTAGAAGGGTAAGGAATTGTTGAATTGCCCCCTGTGACGGGTGGGAGACAAGATTCTTGCGAAGAGCCTTGAAGTCGTGAATGCCATATTCGCCATCATCGTCGGCGGTAGCTCGACGGTCTTCCGAAACATCATCTCCATATTGAATGCCCGCAATTGTGCATTGCTTGAACTCCATCATGTTGCAAGTAAGCGTACCCGTTTTATCGGAGAAAATGTACTCGATCTGACCAAGCTCTTCCACCAAAGATGACGTGCGGCATGTAGCAGGTGTATCGGTTTTGTCATGGTACATATCCAAGTCAGAATTAATGAGGAAGGCCTGGAAGTATTTGACGATCTCGATCGTGACGAAAAGCGAAATGGGAACCAAGTTTGAGTATAGGACCCAATAAGTGAAGATATCCATGAAAAATTGCTTCACTGGGTTAATGGATCCATAATCCAGGTAAGCGAGCTTGTTCGATGCTGTTTGCCGGACGACAAGGTCACCAACGGAGCTGATGACGCTCAGAGCAACCAGAATGCTGACGAGCATGAGAATCTGGACGTTCACCATGCGCTCGACAGCAGTCCGCTTGATGGGTGTAGCGGTCGCGTTCCGCATCAACTTGGTCTCATGTCCGGTAAAAACCACAATGCCATGGATCCATGGCGTATTTCGCAGGGTTGCACCGCGGAGCAGTAGTTGATCCGGTGCCAGCGAGAGTTCCTTCTCGCCGCCTCCGACATTCATCGTCAATGTCGCCTCGTAGGTGTATAGACTACTGTTTGGTTGCTCGGACCGAACGCGACCGCTTAGGCGGCTGAGATCACTGGGGCTGACCAGATGGGCGGTCTCGGGAATGGCTTGCTTGATCTTCAAGTTGGTTTCGCCGTCAAGATTTGCCGTTTCGATGTAGCATAAACCTTCGGGCTCCGATGAGGCCAGCAATACCAAGTCTGCGGGGAACGGTTCTTCAGACTCGACTCGAACCACATCTCCCACTGTCACGTCCACCCATTTTGTCTCGTGGAAGGAGGAGCCCTTGAGCACTTGGGTCTTGGAGTAGTTCAACCCTCTGTCGGACACTCGACGTTTATAGTCTTCAACTAACTCCTTGATGGCCGACACCAGCAACACAATAGCCAATGGAACGATGGTCGTGAATCTGTTGGTCGGAGAGACGTTGGGAATTTGTTGCAAGACAGCGGTGAACAGGAAAAAGAGATTGGCATATTTTGAGAATTGTTCGAAGAGGAATTTCGGGACAAACGTGACAATGTTATACTTGGCGGTTGAGACGTGATTGCTGATGAATTTGTGTACTGCATTCGCCGGCGCATTGTTGACTTGAATAATGCGAGGACCCAGGCTTGCGGGATCGACTTTGCGACGCCCAAACAGAGAGGTCAAGCCAGATGCGCCGGCCTTCTTATGCGCTTTCGGAGCTGCAGCCGGTTGCCCTGTACTGTCCACGGTCGCTCGCCTCGCGCCAGCCTCCGTTAGTGGCAAGTCCATTTCTGAGTACTGCGGACCCATCCCGAACATGTATTTGGCCCTCCCCACCAAGCCGCCTCCCAAGCCGAAAATGCTATTGCGCTCGTTCGCCTTTCGGACACGGCCTTCACTGGGGATTTGCGGCTCGAACGGATCGTCATAGTAGCTTCCACCATCGTGGTACTGGGCTTGATCATAGTGGGAATCATAGTGGTCCAGATTGGAGTCGTAGCGGTCTATCGGCTCTTGTCCATAGGCGAGGTCGGAGTGCGACTCTGACCGATACCCTGCCCCATGTGACTCTTGGAGAAATCGGCTCTGAGGCGCAATCCCTGAGGTACCCGAGGCATAGGAGCCATGTTGTTGGACCTGGGCGCCGATGAACTGATCATTGGATATTGATGGACGGGATTGGTTGCTGTGCTGGTTTATAAACTGCGGTAGGTGCTCATCGCTAACTGGCGGGGGCTGACCGGTATTATACACCGGCCCCGGGCTTGGACTGGAGCTCAAGAGCAGATCATCGTCGCCAGCGACATGTTCGGGTCCAGGTGGCCGACCACTGGCCATGCTGCCGCGGGGAAAGCTGACAGCTTCAAAGAGTGCAGTGGAGACGATGCCCCTGAGGCATTGAGCGGATCGCGATTACGTTGGCAGGATATTTGCGCCCGAGATGACGGGTGGCGAGACAGCGGTTCACGAGCTCAAGAAGAGGACTCTTTTAGTCGGGAGGAGGACCAAGGAGAAGTTCTGACGACGAACGCAAACACGGAGGAAGTGGAAGGTGGACAAAATGAGACCGGAGGAGGCTGAGCAGGCAGTCATAGTCTGGTTAGCTCTGGGCTCTTGTTTCCTCCACCCGAATAGAGTCGATTCGTTGGTTGAGTGCTGGTTGACTTGATCCCGTCTGGGCCGCGTCGTCCCGCTTTTCTGGCGCGGGCGGTAAACCACTTCCAGCAACGGATCTACGCTGCTCGATTGCCACGATGCTGCGCAACTTGGTACGTAAGCTAGGCTGAAAAGAAAGAACCTGCTTGTCTTTCTTTGAGAGAATGATAAGCTTGCTTTACTATAATGTACTAGTGACTAGAGACATATGCTTTCCCGTCCAGGTTGTCTAACCAGGCACTCGAATTAGTTCTAATTGTACGGTGCATTGTCAAATCATCTATATACTGAGTACTACGAACTGGAGGCACCTCTCCTTGATTTCTTATCCTTTACCTCACAGATAGATAGTATAACCTCCTATATGTTCTCCGACAAATTGAGAGATAGCAAATAATCTACCTACGTAGGTATCAGCCCATTTGTGGGATATAGATATGGGAAGTCAGTACGGTACTATCGGCACTACGATGTATCGAAAATTTATTCACTTGCAATCTCATATCCTATCTACTGGAGCCTGAAAGTCATTGTCCAAGCGTATGATAGAGTGATGCCCGCAAATTCCTCCAAATAAGAGGCTTAAGAGGCTTTCAGCCCATACGGAGCATCAATATGTGAATAGCTCGGCTACGAGGATTATACATTTTCGATATCAGTCGACTGCCGAATCTCCTTGGTCACCTACCTCCAACCTTGAACTTACGAAGGGTGGTAGGTTTTACCAGGGCACCAAGTAAAGTAAACATCATGCATTTATGAAAATCTGGTCCTCTTCCATCATTTTCACGAAAGATTCAATGGTCTCACAATTATCTGATGTGACATCCACCTGCGGATAAATCGCTCTCCATTCATCTGGTGCCTTATCAAATATCCCGTTCGCGTAAGCTTTGGAAGCGGCCAGCCTCAAAGTTCATTTCACGTTCCACATTTCAATTCTGGAGTCGTCTGCGGAGTCGTCTGCTGGAAACAAAAAGTGATGTGTATTCAATACAAATGCAATGTTTAAACTCCAGGCCCAGGTCATAAAAGCTCTAATAATACATTCGACACATGATGGTTCGTGATTGCACTTAGCGGTCATTCTCGGCGCGAGATTCTTCAGCCATTCCCCTCTTCGCTCGCAGGGCCAGGTCAGCTTGCATCGCCCTGTCGATCTGAGCATTGAGATCCTTGACCTTTTCCAAGGCGACAGAAGTGCGCGTCACGATTTCTCTGGCGTTGATGGTTGCACCCGAGAACTTGTTCATGAAGCACATCTCTCCGCCATTGTTGATGCCGATGACCAGTTCACCTTCGGAGGCCTGCTCCTCCTTCAGTGTCGCATCGACAATGATGTTCTTGCTCTCGTTGAAGGCGAAAAAGGTGACGGAGAGAGGCTTATGGGTAATATTGAGCGCCACGGGGACTCGTTCCTCCACGCCGTACACAACGACTTGACCATCACGCACGACAGCATCTGGGCGGCGGAAGTGCTGGAGTCCGGTCATGACAGCAATACAGGCGGCATCAGTCAAGTTTCCGTCATATGCAACAACGTGCACATCAGCACGGATGCTCCAGCAGCTCACGCCTTTGAGGATACACAAGGATTCGGTGTCGAGAGCGTTGGAGTGGCGGATGACGCTGTCGAGGACATGCGTCACAGACGATTCGACATCGTTGGGTCTGTTGAAAGAAATTTATTATTAGTCAGTCCAGATGAAACCCCACGAAGACGAAGTTTCGTGCACCTACCGACCATTCTCCCACGCGGGGGAGCCCATTGCGGAAAGCTCTAGGTTGATGTTGAATAGACCGTCGAAGGGACGCTCATCTCGTGGCTTCGTGACCTCAGCAGAGATGCGAACAATGATGCTGAGGTGATGTCAGCAACGAGAGGAGAATGTGGCATGGCCATGTAGAAATTATCAGATAGGGCGCAACATTTCATACCTAGTATTGCCAAGCTCCAAGTTCACATGTCCATATTCGTCCCCAAATGAGATCTTCAGGGGACGGAACTGGTCTGGTGTGCGTCCATCGAGGCGGGAGTCCTGTCGCAAAGCTTCAAGAATGAACTCGCGCTCTGCGATTGAGAGAGGGGCTTCTTTCGACATTGCACGAGGAGCAGCTGGTGCCGAAGAGCTTTAAAGGGAAATATCCTTCGGCCATTGGGAAGTTATTTTCGATGGTTCTGCCGTTGCGGGCCGCATTATGGGTGGATTTTGGGGGGGGGGCGGTGAAACCGGGAAGAGGAAACTTTGGGAAGGCGGTGATGAGCAGCGAGACACGAGCGCTGATGGGCACATGCAGTCTGGAACCAACCTTCAATTATCCTCTTTAGTGACGAAACGCCAAGATGACCACAGGTATGCTTAGAACAGTGCCGGAGCAATGCGCGAGTATTTTGGACTGAGAGCTTACAATCAACAGCCCACAGACCTACTTTCGATCCAGTACGACTTCCAAGCACCGATTACGTTCGCGCCGGTAAATCGACTGACTTGATGATCTATTTAGGCGCAAGGAAAGGAAGCTCTTCGAGGACCGGCCTACCACCAGCGCCTCCTTCCGGCTCACACTCACTTGAAAGTCCGGTAAGATCATGGTGTGATTAAGATTCCAATTACTCGACTCTCACATATTTGCCGTGAAACAGACAACCTGGTCAAGGTGGTGATGCCGACCACGAAGTCCGCGACTTGCGCGCTGAGCTCCTGAGGGCTGAAGCTGCGCACTTTGCCAAGAAGAATGGTACACCAATTGAAGAATCAACCTCAACAGAGACAACAGCTCTCAAGCGCCATCTAGAAGGTCCACCCGCGGATGCCGACGCCGAGCTCGAGGAAGATCCAGAGACCAAACGCCGACGCATATTGGAGGAAACGCGAGACATCGATGCTGATTCTGATGGATCAGAACAAGATAGCAGTGAAGAGGAAGACAGCGATGATGAAGATGAGGCGGCTGAATTGATGCGGGAATTGGAGAAAATTAAGAAAGAACGGCAGGCACAAAAAGAGAAAGAGGTTCGTCAATCACAGACGGGAGATCTTCCTTCATGCAGCGCTATGACGTGGTTGCAGGAACTAATTTGGATAACAGGAACAAGAAAGAGCCGCACAAGAAGAAGAGCAGCGAGAAGTGGATATTGCGCGAGGGAATCCTCTGCTTAACTCTCAAGATTTCAACCTCAAGCGACGGTGGGACGACGATGTCGTGTTCAAGAACCAAGCTCGGGGTACAGAGAAGAAAGATGGCAAGGAATTCGTCAATGTAAGTTATTGCCGACGCTCAGACATACAACTGCATGTTAACGCACTTCGCAAATATAGGACTTGCTGCGATCCGACTTCCACAAGAGATTCATGGTATGTTCACGTCACATTTTGAATTTGACTGAGGGAAACAGGCCCGCTGACTCTACTAGTCCAAATACGTTCGCTAGATCAGGTTCGATAGTCACATAAAAATAATATTATGCGGACGGTCTGCCATGGACAAGGTCTACAGCGGAAGACTGTTCAAGTCTTAGTCATTCGATCAACCATAAGGTAAGTACGCAAGGCTTCGCAACATCAACAATCATCGGAAAAGCGTTATTACATTGTAATGCAAAAGGCGAGACAGATGACGAAGCGCAACGAATCCCATATACAACCTTTCGATATCGTAGGAGTCGAGTAAAAACTAACGGACTTGCTGAGCATTGCTGAGGAGGAGAACCGTTCTGTTTGTCTTTTCCTACAATGACCAGCGTCTCATGGATCTATCCTACCATTTCTACTTACATCCGCCTGTTTCCGTAGGGTAAGACACCCGGGTCCTGGCATGAGTTGTTTACCTGGCCCTGGGCCCTGGGCCCTGGGCTGATTGCGACACTCCACTTGCCCCGACATCTCTCCCCTCACCCGTCCTCGCCGGCTTATCGCCTTACTTTACCACCGACCGCCCTCCGTGCCGCCCGTTCCACCGCCATTTTAGCGTCCCGAAACTGCCGTCGACATGGATAACCAATCATCATTCCTTCCAACTCAAGCTCGCTTTCGTCAGACCGATTCGATCGAGCCTGAATTCAATCCGCCAGCCGACGACATCGACGCATTTGCGGCAGAGCTTGCTCGAAGACTGTCGCGCCTAGAACCTACCTCGGCCGAATCCTCATATCTGGAGGACGACAGTTCAGACGACGAGGAAGAAACTACCGACGAGGAACTTCCTACGGACAAGTCTGCCACGAACGAGGAAACCCCCACCGAAATGGCTCCTCAGACAACAGTGAAGCAGCTGCATGGTGAGTTCCCGCCGTCAAGTGACGGCTTGATAACGCCTCAGTCCGACATCGAACCGTCACATTCAGCTGACTTTGCTTTGACGGAACGTAGAACGACTCGACCACGATGTGTCTCAGCTCGTGCAGCGCTTCGAGAACATCCTGGCTCTTGCAGCTGTAAGTCTAGTACCCTATCCCAGAGAGACATCGCTTTACTTTGTACCTGAGATTCCCCGCTGACTGTACTTCTTCTAAGGCCGAGAACACCAGCCACACAGCGACGGCTGTAGAGGAGAACCAGATGGAGGTGGAGTCTTCTGCCTTGGTAAGGAAACCCGGCTTTTGTCTTAGCGGTTGCGTCGATCGTACAGGGGATGTGGCTGTGCTGGAAGCTTCTTCCGTAGATGATCACATTCAGTGACTGACTTTGCTTTGCTCTCTCATAGGTCCGCTCCGCCGAAGATCTCCTGGCCATGAGTCGAACCGTCAAGGAAATGTGGTTTTTTGGCAACCTCGACACTCTCGGCGAGGACGACCATGATCGCGAGCGCAATGAAAAGCTCGAGGAGAGTGTTCGCGCGGTCGAAAAGGCCGTGGACGAGGGCGTACTGTCGAAGCTTGTGCCCAAGGAAAAGAAGGAGCGAGACTGAGCGCAGAGTGCTCATGCTCTGCCAGAGACCGCGATCAGCGCTCTCTTACTTCGCTAGCATCTTTCTGGCATGTCTTCGGGTTTACGGACCTCATCGGCGTTTGGGACTGGAGGGGTGAATCTTGGGCGTTCATGGCCATGCATTTTGAAGATACCCGTGGCTACCTAAAGGAGTCACACTCTGCATCGTCCAATTGATTTTTACCCGAATCGTGTATTGCAATCATTCGTAGAGTGTTGTAGTATTTTTGTTTTTGTTCTTCCAATCGGCAATCAATGACGGCGATGCGATAAGCGATAAGACCGGCTGCTCGACACGTCCCGAGATTTCGGCCATCTCCACTTTGACGCGTTCAGCCCTGCGCCGGGGGATCTTTGACGTGCGATCAATCATTGCAGCTATTCCGTTGCCCTCGCCGCGATACAAGTCCACAAGCCAGTCCTTGTCCTTCACCACTAACAAAACTTCGTTTCTCGCATTCTCTCATAGTCCAACTCTCTCAGATACCTCACAATGCCACCCTCAGCAACGCACCAAATACCCAACACCCTGCCCCTCACCCTCATCGTCGCGACCACTCCGGTTCGCGCCGCATCCACCTCGTCTCCCAATGAAGCAGCGACACGACTTGGAATCGGTCTCAAGGGAACCCTGCCGTGGCCACGCATCAAGACCGACATGTCCTTCTTCGCTCGAGTGACCTCTCGAGCGCCAGCCGCGGGTACGACCAACGCCATCATCATGGGTCGCAAAACCTACTTTTCGGTGCCGAAGCATCTCCGCCCACTGGCGAAGCGGATCAGTGTGGTCGTCACGCGGGATACCACGGGCTCTGTGCGTGACGAGGTCATGAAAGATCTGGAGGCGCGCAAGGCGAAATTGGCCGAAGCGGCGAAAGTCAAGGCGGAGTCGGCATCACCGTCGGAGTCTACATCGAGAGATGTCGGCGATGAGCCGGTAACGGATGCACTCGTGACGCGGAGTCTGGAAATGGCTCTTTCGGAGCTGGAGGCATCGTATGGATCGTCTGGAAAGCTGGGAAAGATCTATGTGATTGGAGGTGCGGAGATCTACGGCCTGGCTTCTCGATTGAAAGTCGTTGATGGACAGGATCGGAAGAGACCTGTGAGAATTGTCTTGACGAATGTCGTACGGAAAACTGGGGGTCAGGGCGATGCTGCTGCTGCTGCTGCTGCTGCTGCTGCGACGGAGGGGTATGAATGCGATACTTTCTTTCCGGTGGAAGGGCTCGGGACAGGAACGGAATGGCGAACGGCCACTTCTGTAGAGGTCTCTGAGTGGGTTGGGGAGACGGTGACAGGGGAATGGATTCGAGACGGCGACGTCGAAGTGCAAATGGTCGGCTATGAGAGGGCGGACTGAACTTTTCACAGCGGAGATTACGGTCGGGCGGGGTGGCCATTGAAAAGATGGATTCACATGCATACTTGGCCCAGAGAGCAACCAGAGACAAGCGAGTCCTCATCAAAGACCAACTCCACGTTAGGAGACAATCACATATCCTGTTACTCGCAAACCCCATCAGGGTCTCCAAGTCTACCAAAATGGGCCTGATTTCTTTCATGCAAAGCATGTCACCCAGTTCCATCTACCAAATGTAGGCCACCTGCCACTTATCTGCGTACTATCCATCGCAGCTTAAGTTGATCAGATGGATCTAGTGCCAGGCAAACTACGCTGGGGAAGTGGATGCAGCGGAATGGACGAGCAGAATCATTCTCCAAATTGGACTGTAGTCTCGAGATCACAATAAATTTCCACCAAGGTGATCATTAGGCTCTCAAACAGGACTATTGAGAGGATCGGAAGCGCATCACTGCAGCTGTCCCTGAGATGGAGAAAGTACATGTGCCAAGTTAAGCGGCCCCCCAAAAAAGTCGCGCTTTTGATCTTACTCGCAAGCGCGAGGTCAATTGACAGCCGCGTCATTTCGCCGACGCTTTATCGAGCTAACGTGGCGGCTCAATTTCTAGCGCCGGACGTGGAGAACTGGAAATGAGTGGAACTCATCGGGGCCGTCCCAAAAAAGTGGGTGCAGTGGGGTGTAGCGGGGCGACGATAGAAGTAAACTCGACGTCCACTTTGAGAATATCTACTACTGTTCGATATGAGGCCAAGGGGAATGAATATGTGGACCGGACGGACATGCTCAAGATGGAATCTTATAATGAATTAGTCTTTTAAGTGTATTGTCTATCCAAGAACAAGCATGAAAACAGCCCACTCGAGATCGTCAGGGAGTCGAGCCCAGATCCTCGTTGTTTATAAACCTTGGAAAAGCCACCAACGCCGTGTGGAATCACTTCGGAACAAGAAATCTTATGTAGCACTTTTAAGATGGCTTAGTAGCATGTGTATCCACCGTCAATGATACAGTTGGCACCAGTCATGAACTTGGATGCATCCGAGCCCAAAAACACACAGAGACCATTCAGCTCATCGACGTTACCGAGACGGTTCTGAGGAGTCAAGGATTTCCAGATCTTCTTCTGGGCCTCGAGGGCGGGCACTCGGTTTAACGCGGTGTCCATGTATCCGGGTGAGATGCAGTTGACTCGAATCTCGTTCTTGGCCCATTCCGCAGCAAGAGACTTGGCCAATTGAATGACACCAGCCTTGGAGGCATTGTAGCAGCTCTGTTCTTGGGGGTAGTTGACAATGGTCCCCGACATGGAAGCAACCAGGATGATGCTACCGGGCTTTCCAGCCGCGATCATGGTTCGGCCCACCGCCTGGGACATCAAGAAGGAACCGGTGAGATTGATATCGATCAGCCGGCGGAACATGGCCACATCGTAGGTCTCCGCCTTGATGTTGGAGTCGGCAATACCGGCCGAGTTGATCAGAACATCCGGTACGCCGTACTTCTCCACACAAGCCTGGACCGAGGCAGTGATAGCAGCCGCGTCACGCACATCCACGCGGTAGAAGGAGATGGGCAGCCCGGTCTTATCGTGGAGCTCGGCAGCAGCCTCGTCTCCGAGTTCTTGATTGGCATCAAAGATGACAATGTTCTTGGCGCCGGCCTCGGCACAAGCGCGAGCCATGTGGTTCCCGAGACCACGGGCGCCACCAGTGATGATGACCGTCTTGCCGAACATGCTCATGTTGCGCATGGTCTTGGGCATCCGCTCGTATACATCGCGGGTGAGGGGGTCGACCGTCTCCGGGTCGGGCCATGATGATGATGATGTGTCCCGGAGAGGTGTCGGGTTGACGGGGAGAGTGCGCTTGTGTGCAGAGCTGTGGCCTGCATCGTAGTCGGTGACGGGCACTTCTTTTTCAGGGATGCGGTTCTTCTGGTCTGTGGTCTGAAGGCAGTTGGCCCGGGTGGTGGAAAAGTGGTTGGTGGGAATGCGAGTGACAATAGGAACAGTGTTACGACCTGCCCGGCAGGTGCGAAGGAATTGACGAGCTACGGACATGTTGTGTGTGTGTGTGTATAAGTGCTTAGCTGTGGCGATTGGTGAGAGTGTCGACTTCTGACAGGAGACGAGAGTGGTCGAGGCCGGTAGATGAAAGGCGCCGAGTGAATGAGGAGGCTATGGGAGATACGTGGACAAGTCAAAAGGCAGAGAGGGGGTATCAAGAAGAAGAGTGATTGATGATGAGGGAAAAATGACAGCGTTGAGGCCGGGGGAACGATGAAGTTGTATATAAGTAGTTGACACAGTCCAAGTAGTGCTAATCGCACACCGCAAAGAGTTGACCGGAGACCGAAGATCCTGTACAGTACGTACAGATGCAAAAATTTTCCCACCAGATCAGGCAATATCAAAATTATCAGAAAAGCAAAAGACGACCGGATTCATCACCCTGGAAAAAAAATCGATCAATTGCAGAAGTCGAAGAATCTCCCAGGAGAGTTGGCAGGAGTACACTCCTGGAACCTGGACTCAGACCGCATCGGCCCTCTCTACCAGAGGTACCGAGCCAAGTACATCAGTATTGCGGAGAACAAAGCTCAACTGCAGCCGGAAACCGCGGGTAAGTGGATCCGATCTGAATCGGGCTGGGGTCATGTGCACATTCCTGCCGGTGGGAGGGGCGACTGGATCCAACAGCTTGTGCCTGACTCGAAGGACCATCGCTATCATTTGGAGGTACACGCGGAGTAGGGGCTCCAAGACCTAAAATTAGTGCCAAGACCCGCGAGACCGTATAAAGGGGGGGGGGGGTTATGGGACGGGGATCCAAAGCCGAGTGAGTCTAAGAGGAAAAAGCAAACCTTAAAAGATCAAACGGACATGGAAAAAATAGGATAAACACCCCAATAGCCAGAAACAGAACAGTGGCCCTCCACTCATAAAGGGAAAGGTTCTCATCGTGTCTCGTGAAAGATCGGTGAGAAGAGGCGGTTTCCAGGCCCCGACTGGGATGGTAAGGGGAAAAGGGGGGGGGTCTAGGCTTGGATTCTCTTATACTCGCCATGCTAATCTAGACAACAGTGTCTGGAAACCCCCGGCATTGTACAGAACCCAAACAGACAGTCTTCAACTATAGACCTAAAATCTCTAACTGACGTGAAGCTCTTCCACCGTAACTAGCTCATGCACATATCGATTCAGTATATACGCGGCCCCTGAAGAACGGCCAGGATCCGACCTCGGCATGGGAAACTTCCGTCATCGGTTGAGATGACCAAGCAGTAAGCACGCTCTCTGCAGGTCGGCAATTTTTTTTCTTTTCTTTTCTTTTCTTTTTCTTTTCTTTTTTTTTTTCGGCGGCAAGCCAGGGATCAGATTAAATCAAAAACACAAAGAATCATGTAATCTGCGGCAAAGACAAACTCCAGAACTGTTGACCGGGACGCATTCGGAACTGTCAGATGACATTCCCCCTGCACCAACTGTATCGGGGAGGATAAAAGAAGGGAAAAAAAGATCAAGGGAAAAGAAATACAGGGAAGAATAACGGGAATCTTCGCCCAGTGGAGGTAATAAGGGTCGAAGAGTGGCTAGACCCGGGATCACCGAATTTGCAGAAATCAAGATATCAAACACCAAGTCTCAAGCTACACGGTTTTCATGAATTTCAATCCCGATGGATCCGTGTTTGGTTGCTAGATCCAGCCCGTGGATGATTCCAACGGAGCTGAGGTACCTGAGTTACTATTGGAAGGCAGGTACACCGTCGGCTGACGAAGCCGAGGACTTTTGCAGGCATGTTGTTCTTCTTTTCCACTTATGTTCGTGCAACTCCGATCTGCCGGCCAGAGTCGATGCCGAGAACACAAGCATCTGTGGAAGTCTGCCCTGGCTAATGGCGACAGGAGGAGTAGCTCGGCAGTACTTGGCTTGGAGCAGGAGGTTTTCACAGATCCCTGTCCAACGTGACCCCGTGACGACGCCCCCGTCTCATGGCCCATGGTTGACCTGGAGTGCGGGCCGGGAGAAGTGGAGACTTGGAGAGTGGGGATGCGATCCAAGTGGAGTGAAACCGCCCGGGGGGGTTGTGAATGGAGTAAGATGATTCCTCACCTGTCCCAGATTCAGGAGAGTCAGTGGCATATCGCTCGGTAGATATGGTCCAGGTCGGTGTAGACAAACACACGGTGCAGCTTGCATATTATATCACTCCATACTCAATCCCGCACACAGCCAAGCATGCTGATAGGTGAGACACAACCCTCGGATAAGCGTAAATGATGACCGACACTCTTTCACGCAGTCAGTACGTGCCAAGCATTCAACCGCTGCACTGTCTGGAAAAAAGGAAAAAAAGAAAATCAGTGACCGGTCCAAGCTCCATACACCCTGTTTCCGGGTGATCCCCTACAGAGGGACCCAATCGAAGGAGACAGGGACCTGAGGAAATGAAGAAACAAACCACTTGCCCCTTACTGCATTTTCGCCCACACATAGTAGAGCCGACTCAGGTGGAATGACCGGGACTGCTACGTATGAATAGCTCGGGCTGATGCCCGTCAAGGGAGGCTCTGCGACTAGACTACTACTGTGGGCCGGAGCTCGTACCTTAGATCGCCAATTGTCCATGCAGATGTTCCAGCTCGGGAGAAGCGATAGAGTCTTTTGACCAAGTTCATCCCACAGGATTGGAAACCCTTCGCCTTGCCTTCTGTATTCAACCACATGCGCGTGGCGGAGCTAGCCCGGTGGTTCTTTTCCCATCGCATATCAATTCTCATGCATGCTCTCGCATGTACAACACTCACCGACAGTATGGCCTGCATTTCCTGCTAGACATTCCATGGGGTTGCCTGCCGCCCTCAGAAAAACCCCGTTGAACAGGAAATCCCTTATTTAGGTACTCGGAATTGATGTTCGCTAAGAGATAGCAGTCTCTACTCTCTACTAGATTCATGATCAGTCTCCCGGTCAATGCACCACATAGTGCATAACTGCACACTGCACAGGTAGTAAGAGTAGGAAAGTACCAAACTGAGACCTGGTACCTACTGTATCTCATTAATCTCCATTTCAATTCATCATATCAGATCGATTAAAAGCCAAGAGCATCACATTCACAAGGTAGTGGACCCAGTCAACCACAAACCCCTCCCAGATACAAAAGTACCAACGAACATTAATGGGAACATTACCTTTGGAAAACACCCCCCCCCCCCGAACCCGGCCCGCATCAGAAATCCCAACCTCCTGGACACAAGTCATCTCTCCGAACCCGGGGAAAACCCCAAACTGGACACGAATCAAGGGCCCTAGCCGAGCTCCCAAGGAATGGATAGTCGTTCACTACTCACCACTGCCAAGTCACTCCTCCTGTCCCCCCTCCCCTTTTTTCCCGCAAGAATGGGACTGGGTCCGTGTTCGGATCAGATGGGGTACTGGACTAACATAGTTTCCTTATGTCGGGAGCTTCCAATTGCACGTGGGAGAGCCCATCACGTTCATCGGGTATATGCTGGGGGAAGATTGACTTAGGTTCTCATTATGTTTGGATCCATTTGATCTCAGAAATAGTGTATTCGCCAATCGCCTTCATCTCATAACGAACCAAAGGACTTCCTCGAGAGATGACATCCGCCCGGGGGAAAGCTCTCCTTCGAGTAGTACCACTACCCCGGACCCACCATAAAACCTATCCTGAGTCCTGACTGACTGTGGTAGAATAGACCGCCAAGCCCGAATGGCCGGTTTTCAAATGTGAATTTCTGTCAGTCAAGTAAGGCAGGACCGGTCTACGCAAATCTCTCCAGCCACGGATATTGATGAATCGGCCCAGGAGTCCAGATAGGGATGGTAGTGGAGGGATTGGAGTCAGATGATCGCCATCAGGTACTGGACTTTCCGCGGGATAATATTGAGACCGAGGACATGACCTTGAGTACGGATAATGCATGCTAGACGTATTTTCAACGTGAACCGCCAGATGCGCTGTCAATCCCCGTCAAGGGACTCGGAGGTTTCAGCATCGTGAAACGGACCCCTCGCGGCGGGAGTACCGAGACGCATGAGACACAATCCATGCATAACATGCCTCCAGAAGTTTCGCATCCCTCGCTAATAAATATATCATGTGCGATGATGAATGCAAAATGTTGATGTAGATACAAGGTTGTCTAGATTATTACCGAGCGGCAGCAAGGAATTCAACAAGGCCAACGCCCATCAATGCGGCTCCAATCAACGAGGAAGCCAGATCGCAATAACACAACAACAAGAACAGACGCGCCGAAGAACGGCCCCAAAAAGTGTCAAAATGCCGGGTACAAGAGAGAAGAGAGAAGAAACATGAACCAATAAATACCAAACAAAGCTATGAACGGGATACATTATATTCAAGTCAGGGTCATGGCTGAGAATGCAATATGCACACTTGTCGTTAATCATTCCTTCTCATGCTCCTTCATGTACTTCACAAAGGCCTTCTTATGTACCAAGCCGGCGTATTGGCCATTTCGCAAGACGCAAAGATACCGCAGCCCGAGCTTCACAAAACATTGGTAGACGACATCGATGGGTGAATGTACGTCGAGGGAAATCGGTGCCTATATCCACAAACCAGGACTGATGAGCTAAAAGTGCGAAACGCGACAACTATCCACATGCAATATGAAGACTTACCGGGTCAATGAATCGAGTGAAATCCTCATGCACCGTATTCTCGGCCTCGCTGTCATACACGGCGACCGAAGTATCCATGGTCATCAGACAAAGGGTGTTCTCTTCTGCCTCGCCCAGGGAGTCGAGCGCAAATTCGAGATCGGGGGCGGGAATGAGGCCCGTCAGAACGCCATCGCGGAGGATAGGCAGTCCACCATCCAGCTCACCCGCCATGAGGAGATACTCGAGCTTGGTGCGAAGTTCAGTCGCGGGGACAAAAGCAGAATTGGTAATGTCGATGATTCTGCCCCGATGAGGCAGACGGACAATGTCGCCAAGCTCGGCATCAGTAATGGGTTGTAATTTGTTGTCGAGGAAGGGGTACGAGTTCATATCGGTGAGCAAATCCTTGAGTCAGTGTCAGTACCTGGCTGATATTCAACACCAAAGTTCCTCTGTCAGGCGGGACTTCTTACATATATACTGCGTGGCTCGAGTGCGTCCGCTGTCCACTTGGCACACAACACGGATAGAGAGAACGGCAGCACGTGATCCAAGCTGCCAGTCAATTCGAAAAGGATGACAGCAAGGGTGACGGAAAGTCGAGTGACGCCGCACATGGTGGCGCCCGCAGCAACCATAGCATAGACACCAGGGGTGACACACGACTCCATTCCCGCCACATTGGGGCAAGAGTCAAACAGGAAGAAGGTGGGATTCTTGGCGACCCAGTACTGTACCGAGTGCCCAACAATTCGGCCCATCAAACCACCGACCACCATCGAAGGCACGTAGATTCCGGCAGGTACCTTGATGCCAAATGTGATAACAGTCAGAAGGCTCTTGATCACGAAAGCAACCATCAAATACTGGATGATCTCAACGATACCATCTTCGCTGGGACAAAGCCCGGTACTGGACCATGACTCTCCTTCGCAGGGACTGGCGAGCTCGAGCAGCAGCTCTGCGACGGGCAGCTTAGTGTATCGGTTCCAGAAGCTGACCGCACCCGTAAGCAAGGCGACAAGAAAGACCTCTAGCATCGGCCAACGTTTGATAGCCGGAATGCGACGGAAGGTGCGTGCCCACCAGCTCGAGGCCTTGATGAAAAGCGCACCCAAAGCACCACCGAGGACACCCAAGAACACAAAGATGATGATCTCGAAGATCTCCCAGTCGGTGCCATAGCGCACCTGGAACAAAACAATCTTGCCAGTCCCGTACGGGTTCAAGAACTTCAAAGACAATGCTGCGGCGATACAGCAGAAGAATGTTCGGAAGAGAGTCTTCGGTGGGAAGTAATAGCTGACTTCCTCCAGACTGAACAAGACTCCGCCAATGGGTGCTCCAAAGGCCACAGCCACACCGCTCGCGGCACTGGCACTGAGCACTTCTCGACGCTTGCCGTCGTTGTGATTATATTTGGAGAAGAGTCGGCAACAGATGTTTCCCACGCAAGTGGCAATGTGCACAAATGGGCCTTCTTTACCGAGGCTGAGACCCGAAGAAACACTGAATATCAACGCGACAGTCTTGACCACGAGTGTCTTCAAACCCAAATAGCCGTGCAGCACGAATCCACTATTGATGACTTTGACTTCAGCCACTCCACTGCCTGCGGCGGAGTAGTACACCATCGCCGGGCGAGGTGGGTCGTTGGGAAATGTACCATGAGGACTGATCAACGATGCGGGAGATCCAACAGTTTCACCACCGGATCCTTGTTTGGCAACACGTGCCTCGGCGCCGAGGTTCTCGTCCAAAGTCGCCAATGAGATCGAGGATGGCACCACTGTCTTTGTAAACAAAGTCAGCGCGCAGGAAATCGAAGCCAGTGCGACAACCCAAACGATGAACACAGCAAAGTCGACCCATTGGTTTCCATTGCTAGAGGCGTTGAAAATTTGTGACCAAGACCGCCAATTGGTGCACGTGGCACCCTCCCCACAGCAATCACTCTTGCTGGCCCAGAAGTCGCCTGAGCAATAGCCCAATTTCATGTCAAAGATCGACCTTTCTGTGATATCGACAAAGTAGGCGATCGCCGCCGTAATGCATCCAATGACTGCCACCAGCACCCAACCTTGGGCCCCGTCGAACCATGCCATCAGTCGCCCACGCACATCTTTGCGCTGTCGTAGCTGGCGAAGACGAGCCCCGTCGGCAATGCTATCGTGAACCCAGTCGGTCGACGTGAATTGATCGTACCATGTCCGCTCATCGAGGAAAGATGAAGCGGTCAGCCCATCTTTCGTGGATGGCGGTCGACTCTCCTGCTGCGGCTGTGCGTCCTCACTCGCACTTCCTCGGCGGCTGAACCGTTTTGCCACAGAATTGGCCCGACTGTGGTGTGCCGTCCGACGGAGACTTCCTGCGGTCAGCAGATAGCGAGGTGAATCCGGGCCCGACACGCCCGAGGTACTTGTATATGACCGCCGAGGTGCGCGACGCTGCGATTCCTCTCCTAGTAAACTGGTCGTCTCGCCGATTTCGAGATGGGATTCCAGGGACTGGTAGCCCGTGTGTGGTTCGTAAAGGTAGCTTTGGGCACGGCGGTAAGCAGTTGGAGAAGGGGGCGCCGTGCGGGACGAGGGAGGGGGAGTTCGGCGTCGACCTCATCCTGCTCGCGCGCGGCAGAGCTCACTTGAGGCACGGAGCGAGGCATAGACTTGCTGAGGCGGCCACTAGAAGTCGTAAATGTGTATCACACTCGGTAGTGGGGGGTTAGGAGAGTCGAAAGAAAGAAGAAAAATTGACCAAGGGAGGAGCCACTGCGCCCGGGTATTTTTTGTGTACAGTTGGAGCTTGTTGAGCCGCGATCAGGAAACACGGGGCACCCGCGGCCCACATGGACGCAATATTGGGCTATACAATTACTCGGCTCGGGCAGCGCCAGATCGCTTGGCAGGCTTTATGCACTCGAAGACTGGACATGAACCACGGTCTGGTGTCTATGGGAACCTCAATGGAGACCGCTTGGGAGATTCGAGAAGAACCTCAAATGGAGAGATCACCAAGGACGAAGAAGGCGCGTGTCGAGTCTTTAAGACGGTGAGTCCCGGCGAGTTGCCCCAAAGTGTCAGGCAGCTGATCGGCGGGCCGACCACGTCAGGTGAGAGCGATGGGAGGGGGGTCAGCCGTCATCTCTTCGCCAGTCGCATTCCTCATCACAACCACACATCATCCGGTGCACACTCGGTCTCACTTTCCGCATGGCTGAGACATGATATCTGATCCTTGTGGAAGCAATCTGCTTGATTGGTGACTTTCTTGCCTAACGAACAGAATCCTCGTCATTAGATCTGATCTATTCGGGGGTTTACTTTCTGCCATGACGATGGTGTCGACGACTGCCGCTCATAACCATCCGTACAACACCCCCGGTCGCATCGACGCTTGGATCGTTGATCTCCCCGAGATCCCTGCCGATTGGAGGGTCGGAAAGATGCTCCGTTGGTTTTGCTGCACCCAAAGGAACTAACAATCGTGGCCCCCTTGCCCGCCTCAAACTTACACGTTAGTTGCGCGCATGGCTATTGATGGGTCCGTACAATGTCGAATGTATGTGCTCTGCTCGGCCGAAGGAAGCAGTCTTTAATCGAGTGCGAGACAACACGAATCATGTTGTGTTGCGAGGAACTCTTTGACGCACCCCGAGCGGTGGTCACAGCTTTCTTAGACCGCAGATGAGCCTATCTCCGCCATTTGAGGTGCATCCTTGGTGGAGATCTACAATCCTGCTGGCTCCACATTGGCACCTACTGTACTGAGCGATCAGAAGGCGCAGAGGCTGCACCCAAGGACACACAGTTACACACATCATTCGTTTCCCACTTTGAAGGACTGCATGCGTAGGTGGTTTTGCCGCGCAAATCCGAGGCAGAACTTTTCCTCGCCTGGCAATTGGTGAAGATGATCATGAAGAGAAGACATACTCGATCGAGGCAACTCGACAGCGAAGCGCACGATGAGCAGTTCAGCTGTATGTGAAATATGGATCTCGTAGTTGTCTGACGCTCTACGTTTACAATGGTCAATGGTCCGTATGAATCGCACCACGATCAATGTCTACAAAGGGGCCCAGCAGGGTCAGATATTTAATATCTGGCTCGCCTTCCAACTCGGTCTTTCCTGACACCACCCATACCACTTGCATCAACAGTAATTCTCCTGTGCTCTGCCGCGTGTGGCTTCAAGGCTTGCACTCTCGCCCCACTCTCCGATACCCGCAGGGATACACGTTGATGGAAATGAGAATGTCCTTTACAACGATGGTGTCGATTATATCTCGCGCGTGTTGAATGATTTCAGCGCGATCAATTTGTCTTCATGCTCGTCAAACTTTCCTGTGGCCAGCTCAACAAGCAGGAAAGAACGGTACCTGGGTCAACGTCCCGCCATTGCTCGTCCGTGGACACTGGACAGTACCCAACAAATGGCACACAACGAATGCATCCCCATGATGAATCATCCAGAAAACAACATAAACGATGCCAATGATTCGATCCCCCAGAACCTCGCGAATGGTAGGACTCTTTTTAGCCGCGGTTTGTTCGAATTGTCGGACATGTCTAAGTCCACATAGCCGAGTCAGGGTTACAATTGGTGGAGAAACAATAAACAACCGTGTCCGGCGATAAGCTCATCGCCGCTGCTACCCCACCTGCTTCCTTTTTGTCACGGAGCTTCAACTGCCCGACGTAGACATTCAACCCCGCCATTATTCCTCACAAAATTCGTTGAAGCATTCTCTATCACCATCGCTCAGAAGTCTGCCGCTTGCAGCAGTCCGCTTTAGCCATTCTCTGAAACCACCGACGAGATCAGCACGTCGGGTTCGCAAAATGTCAGCCACCGACGCTCAGGCGAAGGATGTCAACCGGTCCTATGACCAGATCATTCTCTTCGGAGACTCAATCACGGAAATGTCCTGGGACCAAGGCCTTGGATTTGGATATGGCGCTGCCCTTTCAGATGGTACGAATAGAACAAAACGCTCGAGTGGAAGGAACTCAAACAATTGACGCGTCTCCTCCCCGCATCAGCGTATCGCCGCAAGTTGGATGTGGTCAATCGCGGGTTTGGGTAAGTGGGAAGAGCCGTTGTCATGCCGCTGAAAAAGACATCGATTGACTTTTATGACAACCATCAGAGGCTATACCACGGCGCACGCCATCAAAATAGTTCATGAGATTGTGCCATCGCCAGATGTTGCCAAAGTCCGGCTCATGGTAGGTTCGCTCAGCCCACGTTCCGTTGATCTGCTGGTCAATTGCAATACAATACATGCAGAGAGAAGAAGGAAGACAAGGTAACAAGCCTAGACCGTATTCTTCGGCGCCAATGACGCTTGTGTGCCGAGTCATGTGCAGCATGTTCCTCTTGAAATCTACAAGGAGAACCTGCAAAATATCATTCAACACCCTGCCACTCGCGCCCAGAATCCCCGGCTCGTCATCATCACACCTCCACCGGTAGACGAGTATCAATTGGAGGGCTTTGACAAATCCAAAGATACAGTTTATCCCAGTCGGACTGCGCAGCGGGCAAAGGAATATGCGGAAGCTGCCAAGGAGGTGGGAGCTTCACTCAAGATCCCCGTGGCCGATATATGGACTGCGTTTATGGCGGCAGTCGGATGGCAAGAAGGGCAAGCTCTGATCGGCTCGCGCGATACTCCCATGAACAGCAAATTTGGTAGTCTTTTCACAGATGGTAAGTGAAGACGTCTCAAGTCACATCTCTTACCGTCCGTATCATGAATCAAAAACACATGCTGATCATTGATGGAATCAACCAGGTCTGCATCTGACGGCTGCCGGTTATCGCCTCGTTTATGACGAGGTCCGCAAGACCATTCGCGCTCACTATCCTGACCAGGACTCGGATGCTCTCCCCATGCTCTTCCCCGCCTGGGGTGAAGCTCCCCGCTGATGCGCTCGAAAGTGTGATGCAACGGAAAGGGCCTTCGCAGCTCTGACCCACACTCCTTGTACTTATCGATAAGATTACTTGAGAATAGACAAAACAGAAGGTGTACTATTTGAAAGCTAACATGTGCCGAGTGATCAAGTCAACATGTGCTTTCATGATAGCAAGTCAAGTCATTTTTTCGCGACTGACGGCGTGTTCCAATACGGGCAAAGATGTAGAAGACTAGCTTATCCAACCCGTGAAGCACTGTTTAGTTAGGAACTTTGTCGAGTGGATCGTGCTGCGGACCGAAGAGTGGATTTGACCGCCCTCTTCCCCTCGTGCATGACGCTGCCTCCATCGGGCAAGCTTCCCCTCTCACATCCCCCAATGACGACTGGTTGCTGATTAAGAGCTCTCTCGAATTCTCTTTTCGAATCAAGGATCTTCACTGCCTTTGACTCGGAATCGCGCCTACCTCGTACTTTTACCTGTCCGTGTTCAGCTCTTCGAGACTCGTATTGCGTCCGTTGAACCCCTTCGCTGTCGACACAGCCGATTGCCGGGGACCAAAGTCGAAATCGCCCTTTACAGTCTGCCTTTACCCGGGTTCTCGTCGTTGAACACCGTCTCGTTCACAAACAGACCTTTGCCATCTTTTGTGCTCATACCGTTCTCTGAGCCATCACAAACCCGAGTCTGCTGCAAAAATCTTCACAATTTTGAAATTCCGGGCTTTTTACCTCCTGTCCCTGCCGTTGTTCCTCTCGCCCAACTGCCAAACCCCAAAGATTTCAAAGCTGTTTTCCGTCAAGCTTTCAGTTCGTTGATTCGGACTAGCGAACAAGACATCGTCGGCGGCCCGGTGGGCCGTCAGTTCCAGTGAGTTGTGACGGCGAGAGGTGGCGAACGGCGGGGGGAGGGCGTCAGGGAAAGACACAAGTTTGGCGTGAAGCACGCGCAGGATACATACAGGAGCTTTTGAACAAACTCAGATCTGCGAACCGCGAATTCCCGAATAATCCGGTCACAATCGATCCTGAAAACGGTCATTGTGCAGTCAACACGGGTTTGACGGGCTTCCCTTCTCGTCTGCTCTAGATTCGTTGTCTTGATCACGAGTCCGGCAATGGACGCCCAGTATCCGTTTGCCACCCGAGATGACTTATGGCGAGTGTTCAACGAGCTGAAAGGACTGCATGTTCGTCAATTTGAACAAAGCGAGCGGATTGCTAGGCTTGAAAGAGACCGCGAAGAGCATACTCGGCTAAAAAATGTCTGGGCTTCTTCTCTATCGCCCCTCCACTCGGCTGCGAGCGGCCCCATATCCTCAGGTACTCTTGGAACCAACAGACCGGCAAAAAATTGAACTAGAGCTCTCACTAACCTTCTTATCTCAGTTTCTTCTTTCAATCCTCAAGCGGAACCATTCAAAGGCTTCGAGCAGGGACCCTCGGCTGCAGTGAATGCCGTAATGTCCGGTGTCGATGTGGAATATGAGCCCCGAAGAGGCGCCTCACGAGCCAATAGTGTTCGATTCGACGAGAGCGCAATTCATGGGTACAATGAGCAAACCAGCCGTTCTAGTCATGAGTCTCAGATTCGCCCAGGAAGAACATTGGGAGGTCTCCCTATGACCGAGCGATCCTCGTCTTGTCGATCGGATGGCCGAATCAGCACTTCGGGGCTGTCGATGCAATCTACGAGGAGCAACAGTCTGCGCCTCGATACGAGCAGTCGCATGATGGACTCCTCTCTAAGTGTTTCGCCATTGACACCCCCCCCCGGGTCTCTTTCTGCTCGGACCCGTACCAAGCGTCATTCGTTGTTGGCTAACCATGAACTTTACCAACGAGACTCTGTTATATGCTGCGGTCTGCTCGGGGTCTTTTGTCTCGTCGCTGGGCTCGAGCTTGATTCATAAGCTCTCGTTGGAGGACCAGGTCTTTCGCGATGGCGATGGCCGTTCCTCGATCAAATTGAACATGTGGCTGCCTGAGGCGAGCGTGCACGCATCGTCATCTGGTTCAAGTAGTCCCAACCCTCAGGTTCCATCCCTGACAGTACACTTTCTAGTGCACGATACTCATTCCGGAGATGAGTCTATCCAGATCATACTAGGTATTGACGTGCTGCGTTGCCACAACGCGGATATCATGTTCTCTCAGGATAAGATGACGCTGGTTGATGAGAATCGAAGTCGCATCTCAGTGCCTCTTGTGCGCCCTGAAAAAGACTGGGTCTTCAAGCTTCTGCGCACCGCTCCCGACACCACCAACCCCGAGTACCCACAGAAGTCCCTGACTCGTCGACAAAGCTCCGTCGGCATCATAGGACAAGGCTCGCCTGGGTTCAAGTACCCTGTCTCCGCTCCTGCCTCTATACGTGCCTCGGTGGGAGAAGCTGATGCGAAAAGACCTGTTCTAGCGCTTAATCCTACTGACTCTGGGGAGGTGACTGATATGCCTGGCCCCAACGCGACGGAGCCAAAAACAGAGGCCTCAAATGTACAGGCGTCGTGGCGCCGAGGGCCAAGGTCTGAGCCCAGTAACGGAAGCAAACCCAAAGCTAGACCTATGACCGTCCTGAAACCCATGAAGTCTATGACCCGTGTCAGCTCTGGTGTCATGACACCTTCGAGTCAAGCGGGAGAGGCTCCTCATTTGGAGAATTCGCCATGGACAGCGCGTCCAGTCGGCGACGGTTCTGCCAAAATGCCCTCTAAAAATCCTGCTGGCGACGCCACGGCTTTCCCATGGCTCAACTCTTACAAACCGACAGGTTGATACACCGGCGAATTGATCGTTTCATTGATCAGACGGCCAGCCATGCCTTTTTTTTTCTTCGTCCTTTTGCCTGCCCCTGCTCATTTGGCCTTAGCAAGCGATTTCTCCCTTTTCTTACTGTTTTCTTCAAGCTTCTTACCTCTAGCTAGACAACCAGACTTCTCTCATTGGTTCGCATGTTTTTCTTCGTTGTCTCTTTTCGCTTCAATCGGGAATTTTCTTGCTTTCCATAAGTTCGAGCGGGCGCTAGGATCTGACGGCTTTGGTGGATTTTCATGGAACGTCAGTTAGTCTAGCTTTTGATTTGGTGTTCTACGATGGCTTCTTGGTTCATACAAGGAATGATACATGCCCGGTCGCGAAAAGTCAGTCCAATCAATACAAAGCTGACCCGATACTGGGGTTGCAGTGAAACCTGGCAATCTGGAGCTAGACAAGACCAAGACCCTGAACCTTTGCCAGCCGGAACATGATACCTGAGTAAGTTCCGTCAAGAGGAACAACGTCAGCACGCTTGATCGAGGGGCTAGTCATTGTCATCTCTGATGGGAAGAAGAGCGTGGAGACGGAGAATACTGTCTACTTGATTGTTTGAAGCAGGTCGATGCAATGGCAGAGGAAGGTCAAACTTAGACCAACATAATTCTTGTCCTACATGCATTCCTTCAACGCCTCTTTCATGCACGCCGCAGTTGTAGTAGCAGCATAATGTTGCCGGTTCTTAATTTTATGGCTATCGGCATAAGGGCAAGACACTGCAAACAAGACCAAGGCCCAGAAGCTTCCATCTCAAATTAGCAAGGATTGTGCTGTGCCGCAATTTCGTCTATATACTGGCTGAACTTCATGAGGTAGTCTCCTGATTCCTCCGGATCAAATGGGATTTTCAATCTTGGGTAGGAGTCTTTCGTAGACGCCTCTTGTAGTCGTTTGCGCTGGATTAGGGAGAGCTTCTGACATTCAAGTTGCTGGCACCTCTTCACACACTGGATCCTTCCCGGCTTCGCAGACAGAGCACGTCATGCATGCTGCCAGGTCTGAATGCTTGTGCCGTTAGGCTGACGGAAAGAATTCGTCCTTGTTGAAGCCTCTGTAGCCAGCTCTCTTGAGGCCGAGTTTTCTAAGCTCTCAGCAGAGCTTGGTATCAATTCTTTGTCGCTCTTGCCACCCCTTGGGTTTAGCCAACATTAAGGACGTCGGGAATCTTTTTCGAAGATCTCGGGCGCAACGTCTATAAACATAGCCAAGGTCAGTTTTGGATGATTTCCAACCGAGCTAGTGCCTGGAAAGTGACCGCTAGGTATGCCGCAGCCGGGTCCATAGAAGTTGATCCAGTCAAGTCAGTAAATGACCAAGGTCATCAAAAGGGTATATGGGGGCCACACCGCATGGTCTCGTATGCGCCTGCTCCAACGACCGTCGCAAGACCCAATGTACCAAGCTTAGCGGTCAGATTTTCGTCAGCTAGCCAAAGAAATACTTTCCTGGCCCACTACGCCATGTCGTAATTGATCGAGAACGTCCACGGTCAGTGATTGTTGCAGCTTGTGCGAGACGTGCGCACCAAGAGTCCAAATGCGATCCAAGCTGCTTTTGAAGCGGTAGTCAACTGGAACTGTCTTGACTCTGGATTATTTAACGACGGTCCAGTCAAGTCATATTGGGAAGGGTCTTGAAATGAGAAATCCGCTTCTCCACGAGACAGTTATGCTGCCTCAAAGATGACTGGGTGATCCAGAGGATTCCAGGAGGTACAGAGAATTACCACGCTGGAAATTCCACCTCTGCAAAGCTCGAGCGCAAGGCAACGATTCTGTTCGGCGGCAGCGTTATTGAAGCTGAGATGCATACGGAAGGCATTGGTGGCCCGGCTGAGGTCACTATTAGGAGTGGGTTTGGAAGGAAGAACGCGCACAAGGCGAAACAGCTTTTGTCTGTTCGTCTAGAGTATTTCATAGAACTCATAACTACCAGGTTCGTGAAAGGGATGTGCCCGGTGACAAGCCGCGGACACATGGTAGAGTCCTCACAGTTACCGGACAAATGGTGTAAAAATCATTCACTGGAAATGTTGGACGTCATACAATCTTCTCTCTTCGATGATCCTGCGATAGGAACTTTCTTTCCTTATCCTATACGAATTGGTACGGGCATCATCACTTGTATAAGGAGCCTATCTCCGTCCACAGCTGTAATTGCGACCCAACGAGGGGATAACAGAACCAAAGAGACGCCAAAGTCTCAAATCTTCGAAAATGCCTCCAACGCACCTTTGGTCTCCGCTTTAGTCTCCTTGACCAGCCCACTGATCTCTTTAAACGCCTCATGTCCCGCATCGCCCAAAATCTCGAACAAGACACTCTCACTCGTCGTCATCGTCGCTCCAGCGTCCCTCAGTCTTGCCAACGCAATGCCCCTCTCCTCTGCATTGATGCTGCTCACCCCATCCACGACCACATACACTCGATGGCCCCTCTCTAGCAAGTCAAGGGTAGTCTGGGTGACGCAGATATGAGTCTCGATCCCGACCAGAATGACATCCAGTGGATCCTGAGCTTTGACGGGTAATTGTTTGGCAATCTCGGGGGTGATCATTGAGAAGAGGGTTTTGTCGAAGTCGGCGCGGATATGGGGACCCGTGAGGTTGGAGGACAGTTCGGGAACGGTTGGGCCGAGTTTGGCCCGGGATTGGGTCGAGATGTAGGTTGGAATGGACAGGATTTTCGCGGCGCGGACTAGTTTGTCGGTTGTTTGAACCCTGGATATAGAGATGGAGATGTCAATTCAATTCTGTATTCGAGTGTTTCGTGTAAAGCCTGGGGAAGGTGTATAAGATTGATAGCCGGCGACAATGTTGAGTCTGCAGTTCCGTCTGTGTTGATACGCTTACATTTTCGGGAACTCATAGATTGCATTGCGAAATTTGTCCTGAATATCGCACACACTATTTCCGAAAGCGGTGGTTAGATCATCAGCTTATGATGAACAGGGGCATCAGGAAGTGAGACTGCATCAGTCGTAGCATGCAACCTACAACAATGCGGGGTTCCCTATGAGTTGCAGGGTGGTGTTAGTTTCGAGCCCGTCGATCGATCGATGTGCTGGCAAAATCACTTACTGATACGCTTAGCACGTGAGACAACAGACATGATTGATGCGAAAAGAAGAAGTTCTTGGAGATAGATTGCACTGGTGTTGTCAAAGTCAAGTTGAATTCGGTCGATGTTGAAGGACCGGGTGGGGAAATTCGGAGATGCGGGGAACATCGGAAATCGATGCCCGGAGTCTTGCCGAATCAAGTATATCGACTCTGCACACTCATTCTGAAGGTCAATCAAGGCAAGCGAGCGATCCACACAATTCATCGGTACAGATTTATTTGGAGGGCCAGTACACATTGAGCTTGAACTCCACAGTTTTTGATGAGCTCTCTAAGAATCACCTGATTCCTATCTTCAAACACAGTTCCTCAAAGGGAACCAGAAATCTACCTTGAACTTACGAGTCCCAGCCCGTTTCGAAATAATCTACGGAGGTATTGCTATTCACGATCATGCGCGCTCTACCCAGAAAACCGACCAGCTATGTACAAGTTCGGGGCGGCTAGAAGTGCATCGTACGCGAACTCAGAAATCGATATCAATAGTCTAATGGAAAGGATCGGATTGCTCTCACTGCGGAGAAGCGGCAGGTCACCCTCTATCAGTTCAAATGCCACATATTTGATTGAACTATAGCCCACTCGCGTGGAGTAAAGTTACCCGATACATCGCTTCTATGAGGGAGCTTTCTTCAGGATACCTCGAGAGACCCTGCTTCTTACCAAGCCACATTCCCAAGAATGGGTGTTATTCCAGCCTCGCACGGTGGGCCATCACCGAATATAGAAGCAGATAAGTCACTGATGCCCTGAGAAGGCGTGGTGTGTAGTCTGAGTCCTTGTTGATTCTGCATGTTGGATAGGCGGGGCGGCGGAATGAGTGTGAGCCAAGAACGAGCAGACCCTGGTGTAAGATCTTTGCTTTATGAGAGTTCAAGTTGGGATCCTCACGGAAGCTTGATGAGAATTGAGAAGAAGGAAACCCAAGCGATCGTGCAAAGCATGCGGCAGTGAATTAATGTTCGGTGTGTTCACGTGTCGGAGTTGTCTGCTGTTTGTGGTGTGAGTCAAGTAGAAAGTTGTTCAGGGAGGTATGCTCGCTATTCCCCAAGTAGGTACGAAGACGCAAGGCAAGAACCCTAAAGCACATACGGAATCACATGGCGTGTTTTGAGGACAAGATGGAACATTTCAAGCAATGACAGGGACGACAGAATTCTGTGGACGGTATATTTGTTAGGATATTTGCTAGAAAAGTCAAAGAATTTGATGACCAGTCGCAGCAACCGGTGTGCTTATATGAGTAAGTATCTGTGTACGATGGGGTCTCCGTGTCATATATTCTTTCCACAATGCACATTGTTGGCACTCAAAGAGCCCACTTTATATGCTCGAGAGGCAATGAGTGAAGTGTAATTTCCGTGGCATCGGCTCCCGATTTCACCAGATCACAGACTGGGCAGCAAGTTTGCACTTTTGTAACTGTGAGTGTCAATAGTATCCCGGGCAGAGTAGCAGGAGGTTTCTGGAGAAAGATCCTAATTCGGACTTCCTTCAACACACCCATGTCCCGGGAAAGAGGTGAAGATCGCTTGACGGCAAAGTCTACAACTTCACCTCGCGCAACTTGGCACGGCCAGAGATCCAACCGTCCTGACTCTTGAATGCAGCTGTTCGAATCGCGTATAGTTCATCCAAGAAAGCAGGCACAAAACTGCCCGGTCCGCGGACAAAGTCCCTGGCGGCGGCATTCTCGGCGGCGATTTCAAACATCAAGAGACCGGACAGGACGGCTAGAAGCTTATCAGAGCGATGAGCAGCTAGGAAGCACCCTGAAACAGAGCCGATGGCGCATCCAGTCTGTGAAAGAGGACAGTCAGCAAGTAATTCGGGACATTTCAGGCGACGTCACCTACTCCTGTCACTTGGCCGAGGTATGGGTGGCCATTGTCAACGGCAATCACTCGCTCGCCATCGCTGAGATAGTCGGTAACACCGGTTAGGAGGACGACGTTGCCTGTTGAATGTCAGATACTGCCTCAAAAGGTATTGTCAAGAATTTCTGCTTACGCTCTCGGCGAGCCAGATCGCGAGCCAGTTTCGCTTTTTGCTGTTCATCCAAGGTGCTGGGTCCACTGTCTACACCGCGCTGTTGAACAGCACCACTTCCCCATACCTGACGGATTTCACCTTCGTTGCCTTTGATCAAATCGAAGTAGCCACCGGCCATAAGAGTGGAGACGGCGTTTCGACGAATCTCCGTAGCAGCTGCGCCAACTGGATCATAGATTACGGGGTTGCCTCGGCTGTTATAAGCCTGGATAGCCTTCTGGTAATTTGACACACTTTCACTGGTCAGGGTGCCCATATTTATGAGCAACGCTCCGTCAAATTGGCACAAGTCCTTGGCCTCTTCACCGTGTGGCGCCATGATTGGCGATGCACCACTGAAATTCATTAGCATAAATCTCCCCACCACCCAGGTCTTCGGCTGGAACACGCGAACGTACATGGAGAGCGCCACATTTGCTACAAAATTGGCCACGACAAAGTTGATCATGTTGTGGACCAATGGATGTGCCTCGGTCATCTTCCGGACAATCGCTGGTACCTCTCGTGTCAAGCTTTCGATCTCGTTGGCACGAGAGGGTGTGGGGGTTAAGGCGAAAACAGGTGCGTCCTTGATCAAGCGCGCAAACTCTGCAGCTGATTCCTTGGGACTCTCAGCTCCAACGATGGCGCTAACAATGGCCACGCCATCGAGGCCCTTTGCATCACATCGGGATTGATAGAGCACCCGCTGCACGTTGGAGTGGTTGATTCCTCCAATTGCAACCGTGGCCACAGAGGAGTCACCGATTGCCTTCAGTAGATCTTGCGTTCCCGCAGTACCGAGAATAGACTTGGTGTTCGTTTTGCTAGGACCCTCGGTTAACGGCGCTTCCTCAATATCCTTTGTTGGCGGCTTTTCCGCCGTCGTTTGCTTACGTTGGAGTGGCAAACATGGTTCCAATGCCCAGGTAGTCTGCTCCATCAGAGATAGCTTTCTGAGCCTCTTGCACGGTGGATGTACTGATTCCAATGATAGAACCTTCGGGCAGAAGCTTCTTAGCCGCTGCAAAATCTGGAAATGACATGTCTGTCAGTACCTCTGTGGATTCGTGATCACTTCGGGAATCGATTCTGAATACTGACTCATATCATCCTGGCCCAAATGAACACCCTCTGCACCGATGGCAAGAGCTACATCGACACGATCGTTGATCAACAGGGGTACGCCATACTTCTTGGTTACTTGGTGGAGTTTGCCAGCCATTGCGATGAGATCACCAGTATCGCTGGTTTTGTCCCGGTACTGCACGATCGTGACACCTGACCACGATTGTCAGTGTACTGCACCATACGTTGAGGTACTCCAAGGTTGTTCTGTCATACCGCCCTTGATGGCTTCTTCCACAACCGTGCAAAGATCCCGACCCTTCAGGATAGCTGGGGTCGAATCTGTGACCAAATATAATGAAAGGTCGAAAGACATGATGAAGATGTGCGAGATTGGGCTTTATTGTGCAAGGACTCCGCCACCATAAAAGACCCTCGTAAGTCAAAAGTTGAGGAAAACTTTTATTGCAATTGGCAACTTAAAAAGCAGAGCTCGGAACTGGTAGAATTGACGTTCGATCCAGGACCATGTAAGTTCACGCCGCGGTTGGGGTTATGGTGGGGCGATTACTGGTAGCCTTTTCTCCACTGAATAATAAACAAGCGCAGGCTGTGCCATGAAATTGCAACATGAACTGGTTCCTATCCAGACATATGGCTAAACGACCGCATGTAAAGCTGCTGGTCTCCAGTAATTCCCCAGCTAGAGGATGTCTAGTCCAGGTGTCTAAGGACCCCGGAGATAGCTCGGAGGTGTCACTCTCCACGGAAATCGACCAAGTTCGGACCACCGCTCGAGTCCGTATTTTGTCACTGGCCCGCACACGTGCTGGATGATGTAAGCAAGACCCGCCGAAAATCCTCTTTTCCTTTTTCTTGCCCTCCCAACCTTACCCGGCCTCTCCTCTTCCCATCTTCTTCAACAACATCATCCGTTTTGGCATCCAGGTTCAACTGTGAAGCCTCATCTCATACGCGTCGGCTGTTTTGCACAGTTCTCGCTCGCATACCATCAAAGTTCTGGTACGTGTGACCTGCTCTCTCCGACAGGAGTGTCCTCCGCGAGTCTTAGCTAACTTGGTGCTCTCTTGACAAAGAACACCTCGAGTCGTTCTCCCTTTTCCACGCGCAACCCGCCAAGTCAGGTTCTCGCCAACTTGTTCATGTATCCGTCCTCCGTGCATCATTTCGAACACCACCTGCCGCTCAAGCTGCAAACGTTTCGCGCGCCGAAACCTTGTAGCATACACCTCAGATCCTGTGGTTGAAACATCATCTCTGGATTGCCCCTCGCCATTGTGACTTTTCACGTCATCATCAACATTGCGATCATATCAAGACCCAACTCTTGTCCACAAAACTTCCTAACTTGACACGCATGTCTTGTTTCGCCGACCAAAATCCCGTCAAAATTCCTTTTCGTCAGCACAGTAATTCCTTCTCGTGAAACGTCGTCCAAATAACCAATCTCCACCGTCATCATGGCTACCGTCAATATTCGCCGGGATGTTACCGATCCCTTCTACCGCTACAAGATGGAGAAGATTCAATCCAAGATCGAAGGCAAGGGCAACGGTATCAAAACCGTCGTTGTCAACCTTCCGTCGGTTGCCCACTCGCTCAGCCGTCCCCCTTCGTACGTGATCAAGTACTTCGGTTTCGAGCTGGGTGCTCAGGCCAACGCCAAGCCTTCTGACGACCGTTGGATCATCAACGGTGCTCACGACGCGTCCAAGCTCCAGGACTACCTTGATGGCTTCATCTCCAAGTTTGTTCTCTGCAAGAAGTGCAAGAACCCGGAGACTGATGTCATTATCAAGGATGAAAAGATCACTCTGGACTGCAAGGCTTGCGGCCAGCGCACTGACGTTGATCCTCGCCTGAAGCTTAGCACCTTCATTGTTCGCAACAATCCCAAGGGTGGCAAGAAAGAGAAAAAGGACAAGAAGGCCCGCCGTGAGCAGAAGCGGGAGAAATCCGCTGCCAACGGCGATCAGGACGCTAGCCCCGGCGACAGTAACAACTCTGAGAATGGTTCCTCCAACGGTGACGCTGAGGATGCTGGTAGCGATGATGAACTCACCCGTCGCATCAAGGCCGAGGCTGAGACCATTGAGGTTGAAAAAGAGATCAAGGACGACGACTGGGCTTTTGACGTCTCCGAGGAAGCTGTCAAGGCTCGTGCCAAGGATCTGCCCTCTGATCTGAAGCGCTCCCTCGTGCTTGAAGATGATGACGAGGAGGCTGATGGACCCTCTTCGTACGAGCAGCTTGGTAGCTGGATCGTCGAAACCGCCGAGGAGAAGGGTGGTGTCACCAAGGTCAGCGACATTGACATCTACAAGAAGGCCAAGGACTTCGGCATTGAGACCAAGCACAAGACCGTGGCCGTGCTCGCCCAGAGCATCTTTGACGACAACATCGCCAAGCAGGTTGAGGATCGCGCTGCCCTCTTGGCCAAGATGATCACCTCTGAGCGCCACGAGAAGGCCTTCCTTGGTGGTACTGAGCGGTTTGTCGGTCAGGATCGTCCTGCTCTGATTTCCCAGGTGCCCGCCATCCTGCTGGCTTACTACCAGAACGACCTGGTTTCCGAGGAAACTCTAAAGGCTTGGGGCGCTAAGGCTAGCAAGAAGTACGTCGATATCTCTACCAGCAAGAAGATTCGGAAGGCGGCCCAGCCCTTCTTGGAGTGGCTCGAGACTGCTGAGAGTGATGACGAGGATGAGGAAAGTGATGAGGAGTAGATCAGGCTCTCTTTCTTCTTGCTCGTTTTATTGATCAAGCGCCCACGCAACTTTGCGTCGGATCGACTTCCTGGAAGCTCAAGTTCTATCGTGTGTTGCATTTGCCCTTGGAACTTTGCCAGCTCCCTGTTCTCCAGGTGATTGATTTCTCAGGAAACTTGTTTTCCAGTTGTTCTAGCTTGACTTAGTTGAATAATCGCCACTCTCATTGCCTTTTATCCTCCTTTTGGTGTAGTCGCACGATGATCTACATTGCTTGTCAAGGCATGGAGATAGTTGTATCATTCATAACAAAGCCACATAAACATGGCATAACAGCTCAGCTTTTGACCTGTTCAAATTTGCCTCGATTCATCTAACCAGAGAAACCGAGGTAGTAGCGTCTGTGCTACCGCATGAATTGACCAGCCGGCACAGAGATTGGGTTGCCGCGATCGGCTTGATGCAAGCTCGACTCTTAAACGGGCACGCTGCTGTTGACAAACTGAGTAGAATCCCAGTCGCCCGCGAGCTACAGTAACGGGCGTGTCAGCCAAAGCGTTGTACATTCATCATGCTTTTCAATCTCCACTTACGTGCCACCCGTCAATTCGCAAAAGATTAAAGTCCCCCGTACTGGGCAGCCCAGTCGTCAGCACTCCAATGGCTGCAATAACATCGTCAGTTTCTCGATGAATCCAGGCTGTGGTCTCTCACATCCCGATTCTCAATCTGTCAGGACGACTCCTCTTACCAACAATATTGTTCAGCCAGTAGTACCTTGGACTAGCCGTTTCAAAAACCATGCGCAAGTGAAGATGACCATCCGGGACCTGGGGACCCGACGTCTGCACAAAGATGTCGGCCCCGTCGTCGGTGCGAAGATTATACCGAGTGTCGGCAGAGAAGATCTTTGTACGAGGATCGGTCAGCCCCCAGTCTGCGCCGACGTTGAGGACTTTGCCTGTGCCGACGAGATTGTCAGCCGTGGAGTACATTATCAGGGGTGGAAAAGAGAGGGAAAGAGTGACGATGCACTCTTTGCGATCCTGTGGGAAGTTCAGGTTCCATCTTACCTGACAGATGAGGACCACTGAAATTTCCTCCGACGATGGGGATAGCGGCTCGGATGCCATGAGGCCCAGTGCCGGCGTGCATCAGGTCTGATTTACATTCTGCGAAGAGTGTATAGAGGAACGACAATTTAGGTGGCTTGGGTGATGCGTGGTGAGTCGCCGCAGCTGTCTGAATCAATAGACCGAGCACAAGATATCGAAACAGGGAGAAGACCCCACTCCCAAAGGGGTTGGATGCGATCATGTTGGGATCTCGCTTTCGCCGGCCGTCTTGAAGCTTTCAATCACTGAGATGGAGATACTGACAAGCGACTTCTCGGGCGATAAATTCTACCTATAGTGCCCTCGATCTCTTTAATAGTGGTTCAACACGGACCTAGCATCTACTCCAGACACGACGATCCCCCGCGAAACTTCCAGTTTGAGATGCACCCCGCACTAGATGGTGTAATTGTGCCTGATATCATCACCGGAGTACCTTATGTTCTGAGTCAAGGTGGAGTTCAATACGTCTACTACTATACTAGTATACTAGGATCATCACTGCGCTGCCTCCAGTGGAGGTGGGCTGCATCCAGCTTGGACGAGACTCGGGAAATGAAGCGTGGGCATCTGCCGTTGCTGCTCTGGACAGCTTGCCTCTTATACTTCTTCCTCTCGATTCAACCGTACACAGTATCTGCGTCAGCCTCGGTCGCGGATGATCTTGCGGCACTTGAGATCTGCATACATGCTATCCAGTGCTTGGATGACAAAGAGTGAATAGGGTACTTTTCTATTATTCCAGGCAAGATCATAGTATTCAGGCTGTCTCCGGGGTGGCTTCGTCGGCAAAGAAAGTTTACATGTGACACTAGACATCACTGTCACTTTACTGATTTCTCGAATCTTCCCGCTCGGACATACCTTTGAATCAGTCGAGTCGCATACCTGGCGAGTGGTCCAGATGGACAAAGGCGAGATACCCACCGTCTGGAGGGGCTTATGACATGAATAGACAAAGGACCGAGTCAACGAGGTTCCTTGGTCTTTCTCCCGTTTGATAAATGGACGTGCCTTGATCAAGTTAGAGCACCTTTGTCTCAAGGACAATCGGCAGGGTTCATAAATCATAGCTCTATTAGAGCGCTATACTTCTTGGTACATGTAGTGATTGTTGCACTTCGCTAGCAAGACCAGCAACGGGAGGACGAAGAAGGGATTAGGCATCGGCAATCATCGTACTTTTTTCGTTTCGTGAGGGCGGGGAAATAACTAGGGTAAGCAAGTCAAAGGAGACACTTCTGTCAGCAAAAATCCCCCCCCCCCCCCCACTCGGCTCCAATTTGAACAAAGAAAGAAAGACGGCTGGACAAGCACTGTATGTGCCCGATAAGGCCATTTCCATCGCAGAGCTTGTCCCCGTAGATCAAAGCTTGAGGCAGGCCTCAATCCGCAGTGAAATGATGCCTCTCACACCATTCGATGGTCTTCCCCACCAAGCCACTCTCCAAGTCATCCAGCACCTCAAGCGCGGTCATCCCTCCTGGAGTCTTTGGTCTTTGGCCCGTGTCAGCAAAGCGTCTCAGGCTCTGATAGCCCCGTACCTCTACGAGACGGTCAAACTCTGGCTCGAAGATGAACGGGACAGTACCATCTGGAGAAATGCGGTATTCCTCCGCCGCATTCTCGCACATCGAGGCGCTCTCGACCACGTCAAATGTCTCATGGTCAACTCGGTCCCCGCGCTCACAGTGAGCACTGTCCGTCTTCATGGCGTCATGCGGCAAGATACCACGCCGTATCTGGCTCGTCTCGCAAAGGAGAAGCGTCCCGGTCTCGGACTGGATCTGGAAAAGGAGATTCTCTCGGAAACCATCGCCTATAGAGAGGACCCATGGGAAGCGCTTGCGGATTTGATTCGAGAATTGCCCGCTTTGGCCGATCTTTACTATACGGCTTTACCTCAGATCGCGCCCTGTCTGCTAGATGCCCTGCAGATGTACGCGCCAGGGTGTCGCTTGTGGCTGAATACCTTTCACTTGGGTACCAGCGAGGCGAACTTGGAGCTTGCTTTGGCTCAGAAGGGAGGGATGAATGTGAACTACGTCACTCTACCTCCACGATAGTGCGATCTTCCGCAAGGGACGAACCAAGACTCGATCTCCGGCGATGGCAGCGGGGTCATAAGCGAACATTTCGAGGACATCCTGTCGAAGGGTAGCCTATCGAGCGCCGGCAAAGGTAACGACCGGCATGTAAATGCTTGACGTGAAGACCACATGCTGTGATTGCGCACTTGGAGTCTGCCACCTGCATGACAGGGCACGTCACTTGTCAGGGGTGCTGGAAACTGACGGCCTGCGGATACACATCTCCATCTGGAGAAGGAAGAGAGAAGGAAGAGAGAAGGAAGAGAGAAGGAAGAGAGAAGGAAGAGAGAAGGAAGAGAGAAGGAAGAGAGAAGGACGAGAGAAGGACGAGAGAAGGACGAGAGAAGGAGAAGGGAGAAGCAACAATAAAAGAGTTTTCGTGGATTCTTACTCTGTCAGCTCGAGGATCTCGTAGATCATGACACGGGAAATCAAGCAATCGGGGAAAAGGGTTACCTTGTCTTGAACTCGAATTTCAGTGAGGTCATACAAGAGCTTCAACCTAGGGCTGGTGCCCGATTGAGCACTCCAACATCACTGGAGGTTGCCAGATGTGAATCTTAGACCTGTCTAGGAAGGATCCAAGAGGAATTGGAGATGCAAACTATTCAATAGTACCTTATCCTTTATAATAGATTCTCCCAGTGGTTTTGAATTCAAGCATTGCCACCATGAAAGTTCCACTGCCAACGCCAGATTCGATGAGTAAATGCATTAAATAACTTGCTCGAGTCTAACGCACGTGTGCCGGTGAGAAATGAAAGCATTTGCCCATGTTATTATGTAAAACATGGTCTTGCTGGTGGACCGAGATTCCGTGTCTCAATGGACCGTACTCGACCAATTCATGAATCCTTTACGGAGTTCGAGGCTTTTTCCATGTCCGCTGCCCATAGAGCTGCTCCCACAGTATTGGTGTATGAGAACGCAATTGAAGCGAATGGGATCATCTCCAAAGCAAAGGCCGCCATGCCCAATCTGTCAAAAATCCATATCAGTATATGACCCAAGCCGAGGACACAGGGACCTTGATGTCACCTACCCAGTGTATGCCCCATGATGTTTGGCAACCCATTCCTCCCTCTGTCGAGCATTCCAGCCTTTGAGCTCGAAGTATCTCGCATGCAAAGTCGGTCCAACACGCTTACCCTGGAAGGCGATGTAAAGAAGGGTTCCCACCACAGGGATCAAATTCAAGGGCAAGTAGATCAGGGAGCGGAAAATAGCCTGGGGGGTGAATCGTGCCAGAGGACGTGAGATGACTTTGCCTAGTCTTGCAACCGCATCCGCACCACCAGAACGTGGCTTGATCTGACGACCCTGAGAGACAAGGGTATCTTGGCCACGAGCCATCAGGGTACCATCAAAGGTATCGACGAGGGCACCCTCGACCAACAATGAGCGCGATAGGAAGTTGGTGATTGTTGCGCTCTCGGTCAACACGACTAGAGCGGCGGAAATGGCAGCAAGTGGGCCACTGGTGAATGCCATGATGGCCATTTGCGGAACGTACGTGAAGAAGAACATGAAGGAGGTCACGCCCATCCCTAATCCCAAGGTTCGCCCAATACGTGACATGAAGGGACCCCAGAGATCCTTGTGAGTTGCAAAGTACACAATACCCTGAGTGGACAGTTAGTTTTTGTGAAAAGAGGCTGGGGCCAGCTGCGGAGCTTCCACCAACTCAATCGACGACCTCTCTTACCTTGATGGGATACAGATAAGCACCAGACCTGAGGACTGCCTGAGAAGCCGCTCGGGCGTTGTTCGCCTCTGCTGAAGCCATGCTCTTCAGTTTGTCGGACATGGCTGTGGTAGGAAGTAGCAATTCAGTCCAAGAAGTGTCTGAGATTGATCAAAAGTCATAAGAAGAGAAGAATCGCGTGTACTCAGACCAGGTTCTCAACTTCCTGAGCACAAGGCTTGTTCCAAAGACGGCGTGACGGGAGATGATGTCACTATTCTAGAGCAGCCCCCGAGCCTCAGGCCGCCACTGAACTTAATCGCAGCCAGCTCTAGAATGGCACGTGCTCAACCTTATTACCATTTCAACAACTTCAGTTAACAATCAGCTCGAATCTACTCATATCTTCCTAAACAGCATGTCTGGTCCAGTGGCCAGGCAGAGTTCACGGCTGACTCCAATACCGGATAATGCTTATCGTCACGTAGCAGGGCGTGGAGGGCGACACCGAAGGATGAGCCCATGTCCCACTGTGAAATGAATTTGCAAAGCGCGAGCGAGAGTCTCCGCTCGTTTGGCGATAATATGCCGGATGGCGGGGCTCCGCGCGAAGCTCGCTTGGAGATGTTGAGGTTTTTGGGCTTCCTCGCTTCTCCGCCAGATCGCTGTGAGACTTCCCAAAAATTTAAAAAAAAAATAAAAATAAAAATCTTCAGTTGGTCATCATACTTCACAGTGTTCTCGGCTGTTCTCTGGGTCAAGGTACGCCCATGATACCTGGAAGCAGGTGCGATCCGGCCTGGGAGGCATTGAGTTTAGAGGTCGAGATTCTGCCGCCTCGCCATATCCAAAGTCCAAACAAGTAATGACCATGCAGCTCCCAGTGGTTATCAACTGCACAGAATCACGAAAGACCCGCCAGACAGGCCATTTTTGGGCGCCGAAAGATCCGATCGGCGCAGCCGCCTGTTTATTGGCGTTTCCTACGGATGCACCCTTGTGTCTTGGAATGGACGCTTAACCATATTTTAACGGAGGCCCCGATTACTTTTTGCAAAGGATCGTACAGTCCCTTACACTTCCGGGACCCCACTGGAGTTTCCATCGCATGCTCTTGCTGTTGCCACCAATTGCGAGGAACGAAAGATCAAGCGACAAAGTCTTCCACCCTTGTCCTTTGAGGCCCTGTGGCAGTACGACATCACTGCGTTGACCACCCGCGTTTGCCGGACATCTCCAAAGAACGTGCCACACTTTCAGGAACCACTCTTAGAAGACATTTCTGCGAAACGATGAAAGTCCTTATGGGTGCCTCTTTGGCGACTGTGGCCATGGCGGCCTCGTCCTCGAAAGTGGCAGCCTCTGCGCCCACGGGCGCCGAGTATGCCTCTGGATTTGACATGACACGCAGCTGGGGCAATCTCAGTCCCTACAAGGACACAAATACTTTTGGTATACCAAAGGGAATGCCCCGAGGATGCGAGCTTTCTCAGGTGCATGTGTTGCATCGTCATGCCGAACGGTATCCTACTAATTATCCATTGGACGGCAAGGGCATGCAAGACTTTGCTGCCAAGTTATCCAACTACTCCAAAGCCCATTCTGGTAAGCCCGTGGGCAGCGGGCCCCTCAAGTTCCTCAACAGTTGGGAATATGTATTGGGTGCAGACATCCTCATGGAGACTGGTGCAGCGACCGAGGCAACATCTGGCGCGAAATTCTGGATCAAGTATGGGCGTCTCTTGTACCGCCCAGATCGCGAGAATGTAGCAGCATGGAATTCATCCCTCAATGTATACGTCAATGGCACTGAGCGTCCACAGCCCGTAATTCGCACCACCTCGCAGGCGCGTATCTTGGAGAGCGCTCGATGGTGGCTCAGTATGTCGTTGAGATATCTCAGTATGAGGATATTGTATGGCTAATCAATCTCTTAGGTGGTTTTTTCGGCAACAGCGGAGCAAACAGCTCTTACGAACAATATGATCTAGTGATCATTCCCGAGGTTGACCCCTTCAATAACACCCTGGCTTCCTATGACTCGTGTCCCGGTGATTCCACCGAGGGGTAAGTACAGTCACCTCAAGGGCTGGCTTGATATCGCTTACTCACATTGTAACAGTGACGAGGCTGCAAAAACTTTTATCGCACGTTACACTAAACACGCCCAGTCGCGGCTCTCTTCCTACCTGCCCAGAGACTTCAACCTGACGGCAATGAACGTCCTTGCAATGCAGAACTTGTGCGCTTATGAGTATACCAGCCTCGGTGGTTCCTCGTTCTGCTCGCTTTTCACTGAGCAGGAGTGGGAGGACTTTGCCTATAATCTCGACATTCAATTCTACGGCGATTACTTTTTCGGGTCGCCAACTGGCCGCGCACAGGGGATCGGCTATGTCTTGGAACTTGCCGCTCGTCTCGAGCAGAGGCTTATCACATCTAGCGATACCAGCATCAACTACACCTATGACAACAATCTTGCACAGTTCCCTCTAGACCAGCCTTTCTACCTCGACATGTCCCATGACGATATCATCGTATCTGTCATGGCTGCCCTCGGTCTGGATTACTTCAAGTATGGGCCTCATGGTTTACCCGCTGATCGCGACCATGCCCCTTCGAACCTCACCTTTTCCTTGTCAAATATCACACCATTTGGAGCCCGACTGTTCTCGGAAATTTGGACATGCCCATCCCATAATTCAATTGATGAACTAGACCCAATCATTTACCAAAACCCTCGTCTGAACTCATCATCCGAAACGAAAGACTACATTCGCTTCGTTCTGAACAGTGCGCCCTTACCACTAAGGGGTCTTGCTGGATGTGAGAAGTCAAAGAATGGGTTTTGTCCGGTTGAGACATTTTTGAAAGTGATTCCGGGCCTCAAGGAGACGGCCCAGTACAAGAAAGCCTGCTTTGGTAACTATACCACTGGTAGTCAGGTTGGAAATGGGGTTCCCGACTCCTAAATTCCGCTACGAGTTGCCCAAGCAAGAATGCCTGGAACAGTCAACATGGAGGACGCTTGGTGACTGGAGCATGGATGAGTTTCAATGTCTACGAGAGCACCTCTGCGCTCCGCTTGCAAGAGATCATCTTGAGACCCGCGGAGCCCCAAAAGAGGTTGAAGCTGCTATCGATAGCTTAAAAAATTCACTCTATATCCAACTATCCGATACATCTTTCCTAGGCATCAACAAAACCATGAATGAAACAAACACAAAGTCTTCCAGTGTATCCCTCAGTCTATCAAAGTACGACAGACTAGAAAACAGGCTCCCCAATAGCAATTGGCTTCCTGAACGACACCTCAACATCTTGCCTCATAGTAAAGACCAAGGCCAACTTGAAAGACATCAGTCCGCTCAAACGGCAAGCCCTCGTCATCATATCGGCGGATCCAAGACTTGACCCGCTTCTCAGCCTTGTGATATGCCTCTTCTTCGGACGATGCGCGGACCTTGATAGACAGGCAATTCTCGGTGTAGTCATCTTCGCGACAATCGGTCAAGGTTGCTTCGTCGTTTTCGATAAGCCACAGAAGCGACTTCAAAAGGCGGTGATCGCACAGATGAGCGTCGGCGGGTTCGAAATGGACGTTGACGTACATTTTCCAAATTTCGGATGTCTCGTGTTTGTTTTTCTTCGAAATGTACAGGAATGAAATACAGAAGCTGTGGAGGGTGTTCGGCTGTGGTACTCTGAAGTGCGAGCTTTGGGTGAGGTAATGTGATGGAAGACTTCAAAAGACAGAATATCAAGGGCGAGCAATGGTAGAGATACTCAGTCAGTCCAGTGGCTGTGGGAAGTTCGGACATTAAATGGAAGTGAATTGGTAAAAGAAGGCGTTCCCACTTGCATATTCATCATCCTCCCCATGAGAGGTTATTTTTGGGACTCCGAGGGTAGACAAGGTTCAAAGAACCGTAGCCGCTGGCAGAGCTCAATGAATTTGCATTCTTTCTCCAAGCCGGGGAAAAAGGATTATCACCTATTGAAGGCAACCCTGAAAGACGAGGGTCTTTATCCCGTCTGGGTGCCCCGCTGATATGAATGATCAAAGTCATTTGTCCAGACTGGCCGCAAGTCGGGGAGTGATATGCTGAAGCGAGTCGATGCTTGATCTCGAGCCATGGAATCTCGGGATGCCGCTGTCATTCTTTGTTTGAAATTTGGACCGTCTTTAGTATACCATACTCGGAGCACCTAATATGCATGACCATCAACGCTAAAGCCCGTGTGGTCTCAACACCCGAGAAAAAGAGTACGTTTGAGTCATATACAAAGATGCAATCAAGAAGCCCTTTCCGGTTGTCCTCCCGAAGCTCGGCAAACACTGAGCATTAGATCTGACAAAGGTTGAAGAACTGCTTGCGAAACCACACATTCGTACTAAGATGGCTACTTTTTGTGAATCTACGCAGATCGATTGTCTAAATATCACAAGTCCAAGCAAGGGCTATGTCACAAAGGCAGCAAATCGATATGCTTCGCCTTCAACCTCGACCGTGTGCACTTCTTGTAAAGCACGGGGTGGGCCAGACTTTTGTCTCTGAGCAGCCATGATGAACCAGGTCAAGTCAGCATTCCAAGTATTCATCGCGGAGACGACTCGATCAATGGATTCGACCACTTCCTTGTCTGCACCAGCGGATCCCTCAACACCTAACTTATCACCCCGTAGGTAGAAGTCCGGTCCCACATAGAGTCCAACCCATGATCCCAGCAATTCACAGATCTGATCACCTGCTTCCAATGGTAATCGCACATGAGAAAGAATGGTGACAAACAAAGAGATCAAAGACCTCCAAAGGGTAAAGTGTGAGGCGTAAGAGCGCGAGCCTGATTCGAAGGAGGAAATGGCAAGAGAAGGGTTTAGAACAAGGGCTTGATTGGATGTGTTTCCTATGAAGTGTGTCGTTTCAGAGATGTTAATTGCGCCCTTGGGTGTTTTCTGATGTCGGGCTCTCCGTTCGTTCGCTGCCTGGGCATCGCGTTTGACTTGACTCCAGATTCGCGTGTACAGACGAACCCAACGTGGGAACTCCGTTTCAACCCGTGTCGCCATGAAGTCGCCCGCACCAATGCACATAGCTTCGATCGTTTGACAGGCAGCTGTCATGACAAATATCTCTTCGTGAGACTCGGATGAGTCCGAGAGGGTGGTAAAGCCTTTGAATTCCGCTGAGGAAAGACTTTTGTCGGTTGAAAGATGGGAAGACATCGTAGACGGGGAAGATGGGAAAATGACCCGGGAAGCCACTGAATGCCATAGATCGTTTATGAGAGGGAGGAAACTATTCTCGTTTTGAGACAGTGTAGGAAGCGACTTTATTAGCATCGACAGCAGCGATCGCCGAAGGTGGGGCGAAGGTGAGGAGATGTGCGACGGGATGGATTTCACAATATGAAGAAGAAGATTATGCGTTTTGCTGAGCGGTTTCTCGGCTTCCTCAGGTTCTGATGGAGGCGGTAATGGCTCGTCAGATTCAGCTTGATTCAACAGTTCCTCGATTGTTTCAGGTTCGGGCTTTGGCTTGTCGTAGGTTTCAGACCAAGGTTTTTGTGGGTGAGAAATGATACCATCAACCTCCTCGTCAGCTTCAGCAAGTTCAGCGCGCCTCGATTTACGCTTGGCGATATCTTTCGCGACAGTTGCTAGAGCCAAATTCTGATACTGGAGTTTGCGACTCTCGTGAGGCCCCATTTCACGGCCATTGTCGATTGTTAGCAGGGAAGGCTTTCTGGTCCCTTCCTCAACAATTGCAGCCAACGTTTTGAACATTATCTCGACGAGCTTTGGATAGCCGTGGTACATGTCCAATATGCCAAAGATGGAGTCAACAAGATCGTCCAGATACGGGACCAGCTTGGCACCACACAGCTTGACCATCATGAACAGCACCTGAGGCGGATATGGTGACACGTCAAATGTATTGAGCTTGAGAGCAACAGAGTTCACCAGGTAATCGACGTTCTCAACGATCATAGTACTCGTGTCGGTATAGTTGCAAGCCTGGGTGAGGACATTGAGACAGATCATAGCGTGTCGCTGAAGCTCTTTATTATTGGATGCGAGGAGATGGAGTGTAGGGTATAGGGCATCAATGAGTTCCGGCCTAAACGCTTCTCCCTGTTGTTTCGCCTGCAGTGCAACTGCCTCTAGTGCTAAAGCCGCCAATCGCCAATCTGAGGATACATCGGCAGGGAATTCATTGAGGATGGTTAAGGATGAGAAGTAGAGTTCTTCGATCATGCTGTTCCGGCTGGCTAGGGAGGAGAACTTCTCCGTACTATCATCAACGATGAAATCATCAAACTCAGCGGAGTGTTGGCTCTGCGCGCGGAGCGCGTTCAACGCTAACCAGAAGGGGGCCAAGGATGAGTTTTGCGGACCAGCATGCAAGCGATTGATGATTGACCTGGTGATTTCATTTCCTGATTCAGAGCGATTCAATTGATGAACAAGAAGCAACATGTCTTTCAAAGTTTGTTGCTGGCTCTGATGTTCCAACAAAATGGATGGAAACTCTCTTGACCGAGACTCGGAGACAATAACGTCCCACTGTAAGCCAGCCGATGCCGAGACTGGCTGCACAGAGCTTTCGGTGTGTTTGACGACAGCGCTCATACTATCACACAATCCAGAGGCGAGACTTCCTGACAGAATCACTGAGCCGCATTGGAGCTGTGAGAGAATTTTGAAGACCGTGGATATTTGACGGATACCCCATTGTTTTGCTGTTTCGTCACTGCTTTGCATGATTCTTGGAAAGGATGTAAGCCACGTGTATAGTGACTCCTTCAAAGAATCGAGCACGATAGCATACGCAGTGGCAAGGTGCAGAATAGTCACGGAAGCTTGGTTTGAATAAGTCTCGTCAACACCCGCCAGCACTACGATGGTTTCCACCATCATGGGCACAGCATCCTTGAGAGTGGACTGACAATCTTCGATGACCATAGTGCATAGGTTCAGAAGTGCTTCCTGTACTTCGAGCCTTGAATGTCGACGAACTTGACTGACATTCACAAGGGCCAGCTTGATTTGCGTGGTCGTCGCCTTTAGCCACGAAGCATCGAGGGTCAATTTATCACTCTCGCCAACGTTGGCAGAGACAACCGCTGTGTTTTCAACCACGTTATCGCTGAGAACTGCTCTTATCATTTGCTGCAGGATTTCCAGGCATGTCTGCAACAGTCTGTAAGAGCGCCGACTCTGTGTAGTGGGACGAATGACCTTCGCCAGGGCTGAGACGGTACGCGGCATGATGCTCGCCAGCACCACACGATCGGTTATGCGAGCATACAGAGATTTCAGCGACTTGGCACTCGAAATACAAAGGGCGTCAGACTTATCGTCCACAACTGCTTCGAGGAGCAGGTACACTGTCTGATCGACAACCGTCGCCGTGCCAATCTCATGAAAGATGGTCTCATCGGCAACTGGACCGCGAACTTGATCAAAAACCTCACGGAGGCAGTCAAAACAAGCTACAGAGAGCTCTTCTGCGACCTGTGCCTTGGCTGACTGCCCAGAGGAGTTACTTGGCGATCCCCCAACAATAAGTGTCAAGAGGATGATCAGCTGCTTGGCCAACGCTGGGGATAACTGCTCGCGCCAGCCATCTGCAATTAGGATGTGCAAACACTGTACAGTGATTTCGAGACATCTCGCTGGAAGTCGTTGTGTCTCATTGAAGATATGTGAGAGAGGGAAGAAAGCGTATTCTGCTAGCTTTCTATCCAGAGCATTCTTCGATGCCAGATCTTGCAAGATGCGGTAAAGAGGAGTGACTGCTCTAAGCACTTCCGCCGCAGAAGCATGCCCGCCACGAAAACGCAACCCCACTGAACTCAGCTCAACGCACGGCTCACGCAGCTGTCATGTGTTTCAATATCTTAGTTAATGTGGATTTTTGAACAGCAACGAAAACTCAGAATAACCTACGAGCTTGAAAGATTCCTGTCTTGCGTCGGCCATCCTGACTCAGGTCTGTTCTTGAGTCCCGCCGTGTGAAGAATCCAAATCCATCAGAGAGACAAGACGACTTCTCGAAATTACCCGGACGATCAACAGCGCGCTACTCTTTGGCTCTGGCTATTCGAGAATAGACAAGATTCAGGTTACCGCCTTCTTTCTGCCCGGTGATGCAGGCGGTAAGATGCGAGGCTCTTATCGCTACTCTTGGCACGGTAGCCTGTTTCCGGTAAGATGAGTATCCACGGCACGTGACGTTCGCGTCACGTCGCGTTTAGCATGTCCTGGCGTCCTGGAGCCTAAAGGTCGCATATGGAGATGTTCAGCCGGTCATTGTTGCCTATTCACGGAGCTTCCATTTAAAGCCCTCGAAATTGGATGTTCTGCCGAGCTTCTCATACCTTCCGGCAGGAATTTCGGTGAGGTTCTTCTATGCGCGGTTTCAAGACACTAAGTGCGCGTACTCCGTTGTCGCGTCCCGAATCGTTCTTGTTCGCAATAAACCCGGAAACGAGGGCAAAACCACTATTCAGCATAATCGATTCCCTTAGTGCTCTGCCGCAATCGAGATTAGCACACTACACGCCAACATCTCGCTCGACGCACCGCGCCTTCTATACAAATCACAACTGCAAGATGGCGGACGACAAGAGCCGCAAGCAGGCTACATTGGGGTATGTGCGCGACTCTCAAATGAACATCGGGTGCGTGACTCGAGAGACGTCGCAAATTTCTGTTCTTCAACACTTTCCCATATCGTGAACTTGCTCGCTTGTCTTTTTTGGACTTTTTCTGACCGAGAAATTCATCATGGTCATTACAGGAGATTTTTTGGCGGAAATGCCGGCGGCAATCAAGCACCGAAGAAGCAAACGACGCTATCATTTGGAGGACCGAAGCCCAAGAATGCTTCTCGGGCTGAAGATGAGAACCGCGAATCTCCTCTTGAGTCTAACGAAGTCGACTCGAACGCCACTCTCAAACGCGAAAAGGATGAGGAACTACATGACAGCGATTCATCTGATGCACAGCCAATCTCGAAACGGCAGCGCAAAACCATCAAATCACGTTCCTCGTCTGCAGAGCAGAAGTCATCCTCTCCGCCAAAGTCAGCGAAAAAGTCACCCACTAAAGACGCTGCACCCACCTCTCCAAGTCCACTCAAGCCTGAAGTCGTGTCGCCGACACCCTTGATTCGAAAGGCCTCTGGCGAAGAGACCCCGGAAGCAGATCTTGATTCTGACGCCAGTGATGAATCTATATCAGGAAGCGAAGTGGAGGAAGAATCCAAACCTTTAGTCAAAAAGACCATGGCGAAAGTGCAGGCCACTTTGAAGGCCACTGGCAAGGATCCATATCCCGATTGGAAGGCCGGAGATCCGGTACCCTATGCTGCTCTGTGTAAAACATTTTCGCTGGTTGAAATGACGACGAAAAGATTGATCATCCTAGCACACTGTTCTCTCTTCCTGCAACAGGTGCTGCGGCTGACCCCGAGTGACCTACTGCCTACGGTTCAGCTCATGATCAACAAGCTTGCCGCTGACTATGCAGGTATTGAGCTGGGTATCGGAGAGTCATTGATCATGAAAGCTATCGGTGAAAGTACCGGCCGAAGCTTGCAGGTGATCAAGGCAGATCAGCACGAGATTGGCGATCTGGGTTTGGTCGCCGCCAAGAGCCGTGGCAATCAGCCCACCATGTTCAAGCCGAAACCATTGACGGTCAGGGGCGTCCACGAAGGACTGCTCTCAATCGCTAAGGTACAAGGCCACGGGTCGCAGGATAAAAAGATTTCCGGAATCAAGAAATTACTGTCTGCTGCTGACTCTGCAACGTCTGGTAAAGGCAGCAAGGCTGTGGATATTACCAAAGAAAAAGGTGGCCCTAGTGAGGCCAAATTCATTGTCCGTTTTCTTGAAGGTAAGCTTAGACTTGGCCTCGCAGAGCGGACGGTTCTCGTGGCTTTGGCCCAAGCTATCGTCACGCACGAGGCCGCGGTTGCTGGCGAAAAACCGCCCACCCCAGAACGGCTAGCGGAGGGAGAAGCTGTCCTCAAGTCTGTCTACAGCGAATTGCCATCCTATGAAGTCATTGTACCGGCTATGTTGCAGCATGGTCTCTTCAATCTCCCCAAGGTTTGCAAGCTTCAGCCTGGTGTACCTCTGAAGCCCATGCTCGCCAAACCGACCAAGTCCATCACCGAAGTTCTTGACCGATTTGAAGGAAAGGAATTCACCTGCGAGTACAAGTACGATGGCGAACGAGCGCAAATTCACTTTGTGGCGCCCGATCACGTCCACAAGTACCCCGGATCTGCGATCACATTACAAAAGGATCAAAAAGGCCTGAGTGTGATATTCTCGCGAAACTCTGAGGATCTCTCGAAAAAATATCCCGACGTGCTTGGCAAGCTCGACAGGTGGGTCAAGGAGGATGTCAAGAGCTTTGTCTTGGACTGCGAGACGGTTGCTTGGGATACAGTCAGCAAGAAAGTCCTTCCATTCCAACAACTTATGACCCGCAAACGCAAGGACGTGAAAGCCGAAGACGTCAAGGTCAAAGTCTGTGTCTTTGCCTTTGATTTGCTCTTCTTCAACGGAGAGGTAAGCTGTTGAACTTGTGGGATGAGAAGCAGGTGTCATCAAAGATTCGGTTACTGATACTTGTCCTCTGCAGCCCTGTGTCAAGAAGTCACTTCGTGAGCGTCGGGAGATACTGCATCAGTCGTTTCAACCTGTCGAGGGTGAATTCCAATTTGCGCAATTTGGTAACACGAACGTCATTGATGAGATCCAGGACCTTCTCGATGAGAGTGTCAAGGCCTCATGCGAAGGGTTGATGGTCAAGATGCTGGATACCTCAGAAAGTGGTTACGAACCTAGCAAGCGCAGTCGTAACTGGCTCAAGGTATGATTTCTCACAGCTTGCCATGTCTTTCGCCCGAGTAGTTTACTGGATCTAATCAATTCGCTCTGGGACAGGTCAAGAAGGATTACCTGGCTGGTGTCGGCGACTCACTTGATCTCGTCGTTCTTGGAGCTTACTACGGACGTGGAAAACGAACCTCCGTCTATGGTGCTTTCCTTCTCGCTGCCTACAACCCCAACACCGACACCTACGAGACGATCTGCAACATCGGCACGGGATTTTCTGAAGCTCGTCTGGAGGAGCTTCACAAGGAGCTAACTCCCTTGGTCATTGATCGGCCTAAACCCTTCTATTCCCACTCGACCGTTCCCAAGGACCAGCCCGACGTCTGGTTTGAGCCTCGTCTTGTCTGGGAAGTCAAGACCGCCGATTTGACTCTCAGCCCTCGGTACAAAGCTGCAGCCGACGAATTTGAGGGGACCGGTGGTGGTGGTAAGGGTATCTCTCTCCGTTTTCCCCGCTTCATCAAATCCCGCGAGGATAAGAAGCCGGAGCAGGCGACCACCACGCGTGCGGTAGCCGAGATGTACCGCAAGCAAGAAGCGGTGGCGCAAGAATCAGCGGGCAAGCGCGGCGTGGACGATGATTTTGAATACTAAATATCCGCTGCTTGCGTAGACCATATGATAGAGAATTATGACTTGCCCTTTCCCGGGAGGGGATGTGGCTGTGTGCTCACAACACGCCGCGACAGATTGCATCTATCTGACCATCTTGTTCCTTAAACCCGACACGAAGTGAACTAATTGGTAGCATCTCTGCAGGTTCTACCCTCGGTAGTGGCATTGCAAGCCCCACCGTTATGCAAGTCAAAGTGCGAGGTGCATACCACCGATCACAAAATAACACCACTTGCGGTAAACCAACGCCAAGGGGGCCCGCGGGCATTGGCGGAGGCTCTTCCTCTGGTTTCAGCTTGCTTCATAAACTTGCCGACATCTCTTCAGTCTAGACGGTCTGTGAATTGTACTATGTACTCTGTAGTGGACTCTGTAGTAGCAATCTCATTCTCTTATCCGGCACGGCGAAAACACACTTTCGGAAGTAATTCCGTTAGGAGCTGAGCGGGACCGGACTCTTGGCAGATGGAGGAGCAGGACTCCCACCTCTTCACTGCTAAGCCACAAAACATTAGGTAGGTGGTTTAACCGTGGATGGGAACTCGGTGTGATTATCCACGTGCCGATCGATCGATAGCGGCTATTGAGATTCACCGTGATGCATCATCCTAGTACTACCTATTTATCCTTCTCGGTGAGCTTGTATTTCGGAAGTATTGTATGTTGGATTATGCACCGTTGCACACAGTCCTAGCGGTCTGCCCTTCTTGCGCACCAAACTTTGGAGGTTAAACCCCATCCGTGCTTGACTTCGTTGGTTTTTTGAATAAACAGAGTCCCCGAGGCGTCGCCGGGGTTGACCGCCTCGAAGCTGATCGACAGTAGAGTAATCCGCTTTTGTCAGTCTGGTTCCGCCTGTCTTTCTGGAAACGGGTCAAGTGACTTCTTAGACGATGCTCACTGAAAGGCCCGCCGCATAGCGATGGCGACAATTCGTGTCCGAAGTGAATTAGATTGTTACATTTATTAGCACAGTCGTCTGCATCTATCAATCTGAAGGATTTCGGCGCGATCACAGTCGCCGGCTGCTGAACTTGGAAGACTTACATGTGTACATAACTACGTCCTACAGAACATGTACTATGTAGATGTTCAGAGTAACTACATTCCATTCCGAGAGGTCCTCTCATTTGATTCCATCCCGTCACGGTCCATTAGGAAGGTAAAGTTGATGTACCGTATGCCTGCAACCTCATGCTCACAGTCCACCAAGAAGGTACAGATACAAACCAGAATTGCGTGATGACGCTACTACAGTGAAAATCGTCCAATCAAGGCCGGATGACGAAAGTCAACAAACCTGAGCGGGTATCCATCGGTCTAGTCTCGATCGAGCCACTGACGACCAGATGACCCGCGTTGGGAGCTTCCTCTTTCAAGCGATATGGAATCCTCACGGACGACCGAGTCAAGTCCCGTCAACAACGTACCCTTTGATAGAAATTCATGCAGTCATCAGCATTACTGTCTCAGCCTCTTATCTCAATTTTGCGGGGTGCAAGGCACGGATTGCCTGCGTTTCTGGTGATATGCTCCATGCCCACACTCGCCCGTTTGGGTCGTTCCGGGCGGATATCAGCGGGTCTTCCCCGCTTGGCTTGGCGCTGCAACCCAAGCCCGGAGTGTTCGCTTGGCAGAAACATCAATTTGTACAACTCGAGAATCGTCCTGATTTAATGGCTCGCCCATGGGGTAATTTATGGGATGGTTTCCATCATTGGTGATCCTCCTCTGCCGACTATCTTTCGAGTTTTAGCTTCAGGCTCGGCTCTTCCCACTTTCCGCCTTCCCAACAGTAAAGTACCTCCATCGTCATGCCCGCGCTGGGTCCCCTGTTGCCTGTTAATCACTCTTGGCATGCTCGAGATGCAACCATCCTTCCCCACGAGGAAGCTGCTGGGTCGCGGAAGGTCCCGATGTCCAGAATCTGGGCAGTTGAGAGCAGACTTCTCTAGGGGTAAGGTATTTAAGAGCAGAGATCTGCCCTGAACTGCCAGACTTCCGGTTCTGTGTGCGAATCGAGTCATCAGTGCATTGGGCCCCCTACTGAAACTCACATTGACCAAGATGCGTTCTCCGCAATGGGCGATTTTCGGACTGGGCGTCGTCTCGGGCGTGAAAGCGATGACACCCGAGTAAGTACGGCGAAGATCTCGCACGTCTCTATGTGTCTCGCGACTTTGGTCTGAATGACTGAAGACTAACATCCAACTAGGCAGTTGATTGCTGCTCCGCGACGAGGTGATGCTCTTCCAGACCCATCAGGAGTATGTCCACATTCCGTTCTCTTATTCTTTATTGATACGCCGTGCAAATATTGACCTGACTCAACCGCAGAAATGGGCCGTGTTCTCGACGTCCGAGTACTCCTGGGCAGAGCATCAAACGTCCTCGGCGTGGAATATGATGGACCTAAGTACACGTAAAATCAGCGTGCTCACCAATGATAGCAGTGTTTCCGAGGTGACCTGGATGGGCACTGATGAGTCGACTTTGCTGTACATAAATGGTACCAATGCCGAGATTCCCGGAGGTGTGGAGCTTTGGATTGCGGACGTGAATAGCTTCGAAAAGTCGTACGTGTTTCGCCATCTTGGGCCCAGATTGGTTTTCGTGTCAATACTAATAATCCATACAGCCGATACAAGGCAGCATCTTTACCGGCCCCGTTCTCGGGTCTCAAAACAGCCAAGACCGCGGAAGGGGACTATAAGTTCCTCGTTTACGCCGAGTCTTATCCTAACGGGACCGCGTACAATGCAGAGCTCGCTACTGCTCCTCTGAGTACTGCTCGCATCTACGATAGCATCTATGTGCGTCATTGGGACTCCTGGTTGACAACTAGATTCAATGCGATCTTCTCTGGCTCTTTGAAGAAAAAGGGTGACCGATGGGCGCTGTGTTCTGACGGCCACGCGGAGCCTCTCAAGAACCTCATCGCTGGTGTCAAGAACCTCGAGACACCGTACCCTCCTTTTGGCGATTCCTCTGATTACGACCTGTCGAGTGACGGTAAAATGGTGGCTTTCAAGAGCAAGGCACCAGAGCTTCCTCGGGCGAATTATACCGCTTCTTACATCTACCTGGTCCCTCACGATGGTTCGCAGAAGCCAAAGGCAATCAACGGCCCAGAGAGCCCTGGCACTCCAAATGAAATCAAGGGCGACTCGAGTGCACCTACATTTTCGCCAGATGGGCGTCATGTCGCCTATCTGCAGATGGAGCGTATTTCCTATGAATCAGACCGCCGGATTCTATACGTACACGAGGTGGGTTCAAATGAGACCAATCGCGCAGTGGCCGGTGACTGGGATCGCTCTCTAGATTCGGTGCAGTGGACATCCGATGGAAAGACCTTTGTAGTGAAATCCGAAGACAAAGCACGCTCGCGGTTGTTCACTCTCCCCATCGACGCCGACGATGATTTCGTGCCGCACAACTTGACCGATGGAGGTTCTGTCCGAAGCTATCACCACCTGCCCAATGGCGATTATCTGGTCACCAGTTCGGCGATCTGGACTAGCTGGAGTGTTTCCACGGTGAGTCTCAAGAGCGGCGTTGTCTCAACATTGGCCTCTGCCAATGAGATGGATGCTGGTCTGAAGGGATTGAGCCCTCGGGATCTGGACGAGTTCTACTTCGATGGAAACTGGACCAAGGTAGGTGGTGCTTGCTTTTCCACGAAATCGTATAAGCAAGGCAGATAAGCATATGCTAACGTACACAGATCCACGCCTGGATGGTGTTCCCTGCCAAATTTGATAAATCGAAGAAATATCCTCTGGCCTTCCTCATTCATGGTGGACCTCAGGGCTCATGGGCGGATTCTTGGAGCACTCGATGGAATCCTAAGGTTTGGGCCGACCAGGGCTACGTTGTCGTTGCACCCAATCCCACCGGCAGCACTGGTTTCGGGCAAGCATTGACCGATGCCATTGCCAACAATTGGGGTACGTCACTCATCTGCCTTCATGGCTGGTCTGTTTCAATTCCACTGACAGTCGCACAGGCAGCTATCCTTATGACGACCTCGTGAAAGCGTGGGAGTATGTACGAGACCACTTCGACTTTATCGACACCGACAACGGCGTTGCTGCAGGTGCCAGCTACGGTGGCTTTATGATCAATTGGATCCAGGGCAATCCGCTGGGCCGTAAGTTCAAGGCTCTGGTCACACACGATGGGACATTCGTGGCGGACGCCAAGATCTCCACGGAGGAGCTTTGGTTCATGCAACATGAGGTGAGCTTCCCTTTTCTAAGATTCTGAGGTGTTGGAAAACGATATGCTGACCGCCGACACAAGTTCAATGGCACGTTCTGGGACAATCACGAGAACTACCGTCGCTGGGACCCTTCTGCCCCGGAACACATCAAGCAATTCGGCACACCCACCTTGGTCATTCACAATGCCAATGACTTCCGCTTGCCGGAGGCCGAGGGACTCAGTCTCTTCAACGTTCTTCAGGAGCGCGGTGTCCCTAGTCGATTCCTGAGCTTCCCTGACGAGAATCACTGGTAAGTCAAACTCCATTCTCCACTCCATTCGCAAGTGATATGTGAAGCTCATTTTTGGTGGTATAGGGTGACCAAGAAGGAGAACAGCTTGGTATGGCACCAGCAAGTTCTTGGATGGATCAACAAGTACTCTGACGTTGGCAAGAGCAACCCTCAAGCTATCAGCCTGAACGATACTGTGATTCCCGTCGTGGACTACAACCCTTGATAGAGAAGTGTATGGACGGGGTAAGGGTGTGACGGTTGAAGGCTCACTTGAGCCCCTTGAGTGAAGTTATGATGTAAATAGTCTGCTGTCAATAACTAACATTACCCTACTGAGATGAAGTTATTCATATATTCTTCTTCATGGACTTGTGACGAGACTCATTCTCGGCGAATTGCGATCAGGAGCGTGGTAATTTGTTGCCACGACTGGAATGTGTCTTCCTGTCCTTGCAGATACAAGTTACTGATAATCCGGGTGATAATTCAATGGTATGGGATGGAAAGGAGTGATCACAATAGCCCGTGTACCATCTTGCTTCTCATTACGGGTTGATTTTCAATAACAACGAGAATAAAGCGAAACATGCCGGTCCATACTACGTACACCCGACCTTGACACGCCCATCTATTCACATGATAGTCCATCATGAATATTGCGAACAGCGACCACCGTCTTATATCTGCGGTATGCCCTTCCTGAGGTCAGACTTAAGCCTCAGCCATCCGCAGCGGCTACATGCCCATATCCAGTAGCGCATCGTACCTACCAAGTGCGTCAACCTCTTTTCCTCTATTTCGATTTTAATCCCAGCATTATTAGCAAAAATCCTTTTTCCACCAGATTCTATGTCTGAGCAATGATCGTGATTCCTAGAGCCCTACAACATTCTGTAGCCTTCTTCAAGAGCACACAATTGCCACATCGGTGCACGATGGTCACCAATGTTTGATTGCCCATACCACATGATCGAAAATGGTCTCATCTTCGTCATTATTTTATCTTCGCCTTGAATTCATCTCTCTTCCTTATTCTTCCTCTTTCTACCCTCTTCCACATTCGATTTTCTACCTTTTTATTCTGACGCAAAGTTCAAAACATTCCCATCTATTTCACACTTACGCGAAATCGTGTCCTCTACACACTCCTTTCCACTTGGGATCTCCACTTGATCCTCTTCACCACCATCCACTTCATTCTTCGACTCACACACTCCGGTCACTCTCACTCCAAGACATACCCCCAGTGAGATTCACCATGGCCGGCTCGCCACATAAGGCGAGCCCCAGACCTTCCTTCGACAAGCGTCCGGCCTCCCAGTCGGACTCTGAGAGATCTAAGAGACAAGCCACCGGATACTCGTCATCCATTGTTCAAAGCAGAACGAGCCAGCAGCCTCTGATTCCCCGGGCTCGCTCAAAAGTCCTGTTGCGCGTGGCGTCTGGTTCTGGAGTGTCTGTTGCTCAGAGCATCGAGGGGAGTGTGATCCCCGCGGCCGCCACTGCCAATGCCGAAAGATCTGCAATCCTCAAGCCTCGCGTCCAGTTCCACTTCTAACGGCCTTCCGTCAAGAAGAAGCCAGCCCGGCAAAAGCATGCGGCCGGGACTGATATGGCACACACTGACAGCGAGAAGAAGGATAAGCATGCGAAGCAGACCATGGATCAAATTGACCAGTTCGTAAGCGAGACTGCGCCTCGCACTGGAGGCAAGCACTCGGTCTTCTCTTTCACTTGAGTTCTGGCCATGGAGCGTGTCCACAACCTGCTTTGCATTTCATTGTAAACTCCGCTAACCTGACATTATCCTTGTTTTGGAAGCATGCTTCATGACTCGTCGATCCTGCAACGCGTGGGGTCTGAAACAAAAGACGCTTTATAGGAAAAACAAACCATGGCGTGCCCATTCGTCATGATTCGGAGTTATATACTTGCTTGCAAAATGGAGATTAACGCCGAGTTGCAGAGGCTGGAACTCCCCTCGAAGCTAAAAGGGAAGCTCCTTAAAGATCAGTAAACAAATTGTATAGTTTTTTTATCATCCTAGTTATGGTCATTCCTTAATGAAGCTCAGACCTCTCCCAACCCAGACTGGGAAAGCTTATGATAGACCTAGAATAAATGCCATCTTTTTCGTGTCACTATCACCCAAACACGCCATATGGTACTGGCAACTGTCCGTCCACAAGAGCCAGCATATTAAGAGAGCCCTGGGCACAATCACCATTCACGTTCAATACTTGGAAGAACAGTCGACCAAACTTTGAATGCGCGGCCGTGCAAAGAAGTGCTAGTAATTGACGTTTCATTCTACTGTCCTCTGTTCTCGTCCCTGCACCAGTCCCTTCTCATTCGTGACGCTTCGGCGCCGATACAGACCCTACAAGAAGATTTCATACGGCTACCAGGTATAAATACATGACATTCCAACTCTCGGCCACTTTCCAACATTCACCTCACAGCAACAGCAACAACCTTGAGAGATGCCCTACCTCAGTCCACGTAAGGCCGCTGAAACGAAAAAGAGCACCATGGATGAAGAGTACGTGCACCCCTTTCCATCGCCCGCTCTGACCTCAACGGGAATGCACAGATTCCATGACTGACAAAATGGGGTGTCACTGCAACAGGCGGGCCAATTTGAACAGGCGGGCCGAAAGCATCGAGGACAAAAACACCAGAATCAAGGCGCTACTGGAGGAGGCCGAAGTCCTTGCGCAGGATATGCTGTCCACCCTTGAGGCTCATAGAAAGAGACTGGAGGAAGCGGATGAGAAGATGGATAAGGTGACTTGACAAACTTTCCAGTTCTCTCGGTGGATCTGCTAGGGTCTCTTATGAACGTGAGTGTGGTTGAGATTCGAGGCGCTGGGTCTTGGGCTTTGAGTGTGCAATCACTTGGGAGTTACTTGGGTGCTGACAAGATCTTCGCTTTCTTTTATTCTAGGGGGAATACCTTGGTTCAGGTTTGACGGCATTTTCTCAGATTCCTACTGCATACGTATGCTCTTCCGCTTTATTCTTATGGTCCTGCTCTCCGTTGTGCAAGCACTCGCAAGATCAGATTTGCTGGGGATAATTGGAGTGGTTACACTGTTCACAGCGGCATCATTACTCGAGTTAGCGAATCTATTTTTGAGTTCCAGTCTAATGCCATTCTGAATTGGATATCCTCAGCAGCGGTAGCGATATCCCAAGTTTTTCCGTTTGAAATAAACACCCACGCTCTCCTATCCACCGCCGCGCTGCGACACCTTGCCCTTCCCTTTTTCCTTTTCCTTTTCCTTTTCCTTTTCCTTTTCCTTCTCCTTCTCCTTCTCCTTCTCCTTCTCCTTCTCCTTCTTCTTCTCCTTCTCCTTCTCCTTCTCCTTCTCCTTCTCAACGACCTGCCCATTCCGACTCCCCTGTCGCACATTATACCGGTCCACCCACCACGAATGGAACATCCTCACAAAGTCCATGATGAGCTCAATCGGTGCATCATGCGCACTATACTGCGTCTTGATCTCATCGAGACTTCCCTGCAGCGTATCAACCTTGGCCAGCAGCGGGCCCACCTTCTTACGGAGCGAGTGGAGCTTCTTGTGCATTTGTTCCGTGTAGATTCTTTCGCCTTGGAGGACTCGACGGAGTAGTTCGTTCAAGTGGATGATTTCGTCGATTTTGGCCTGGTCTGTGATGGTTTTTTCGGCGTCGTCTGGACTCGTGGGAGCAGACTTCTCGTTGCTGCCTCCGCAGCGAAGAACTTCCAGATCGGCTCGGAGAGCAAGTAGCTCATCTTGGAAAGAAGAAAAATGTACTTTGCTCTCGTCCTCGGCAGTGAGCTGTGAACGAAGAGCTTCAAAGTCTGCTCGAAGACTGACGATATCGCTGGTATCTCGAGCAGCTTGGCGTTTGATCTCGTGAAGGACTTGTCTTTCTGAGAAGAGATCTGCACGTAGAGCAGCAAGCTCAGCGACTAGGAATTGGGTTTCCGTGTTCTTGCAGTCACTCGTATCCTGATGATCTGTTGACCCCCTGATCCTTTTGATCTTGGAGGGAAAGCAGGTCAATTGGTCGTCGCTCACCGGACTGTCGAGCCTGCAAGATGAGAGCAGATTAGCACAAATGAGGTGTGCGTGATATACAAAGGGGTTCTTTAAGAAATGTGTACCATGTTCGGCATTTTCCAACTTTGATTGGCGAGACCGTGCTTTTCTTTGTCCAGTTCGACTTGTTCACGACCGGTGTACTCGGACTCCACGTCAGCGGTGTGATGACCACACTGGGTGATCCTGCGCGTTTGCGCTTCAGACAACGCGGTGTCTCTACCTCTTCTTCTTCTTCCTCTTCTTCCTCTTCTTCCTCTTCTTCCTCTTCTTCCTCTTCTTCCTCTTCTTCCTCTTCTTCCTCTTCTTTCGGTTCGTCAACGTCGTCATCACCGTCATCTTCATGGCAGCCGCCATCTCGCACAGGTGTATGTATACCTTTGGTGGTCTTCGGAGACTCACGACATTCGACTCTGATGTCGGTGAGACTATCTCGTGATGGAAGCAATACTGAGCGCTTCTCGTGATCGGAGACTTTAACTCGCCCTCGAGATGAGCATCGAGAACTCGGTGCAGCTCTAGTTGCATTGTCTGGGCATGCCCTTGTCTTCGATGCTCGATTGATGAAAGGTATAGGCTGCATGTTGTCCACGAGAACGGATATTGAGAACAGGAGCCTTGAGAAGAACCTCTTTTTCTCTTTTGGTTGCGGGCAAGGCTGGAATTGGAAGATTGAGAGACGGCAAAAATCCAAGAGGGATGGTTTTCTCGGAGGAGGAACTGATGTTGGCCGGTCGTATGTGAGGGTGTTCACTTCATTTTCCGGAGTGTGAGAGAATGACTCGATGGACTTGAATTACTGGGTGGGAAAGTCCGTGTTGGGAGACTCCCGACACTGGCATCTCTCTCTCTCTCTCTTTCTCTCTCTCTCTCTCTCTCTCTCTCTCTCTCTCTCTCTCTCTCTGGTATTAGTGTTCTTTGTAAAAGTGATGGAAGTTGCAGCTTGAGGAGAATGGTGAAATTATGCAAGACGGCTCGACGAACTGACGGCGGGGGAGGGAGTGATCAAGGAACTTTCCATTTGTGAGACTGGATAACTTGAGACTAAAACTTGATTACAGGAGAGTGTCGCATGAAAGGATATCCAACCATGTGCGTGCACTGTGCCGTGTCATATCAAGCAGAATAAGAATTGGGGGTACAGTCGAGTCCATCATCGATAATCATAATATTCACGCTTGCTGGCTTATTTATAATACATCAAATAGCATCGTGGCTTCACAACCTCCCAAGATAACAGAAAAGAGTAGGACAGAAGAACCCAAATGCAACGCCAACGACAATTATTAAGAAACGAACAAACGGCAGTCTTCCTTCATAGTGCGCTCGACTAAACTCAACGGACATGTCAAGTAAATGATCAAATATCATCCAGACAATTTCCCACCCAGATCCAATTGATGACCCTTTTATAGTTCACCACCATGACGGGGATGACCATCAAGCGGTGTCTTGCCCTCCATGAACCCACCGGCCTTGATTCTCAGCCCGAAATTGATCAACACCACGGTCACCAGGCCGACGCTCACAACGGTAGGACCCCACTTCTCATAGTACACGCGTTTGACATCCCGACGCTTGCGAATCTTGTCCACACGCCAGATGTAGAGCATGAGAGAGTAGATCAAGGCACCGGCGGCCAACATGGTGAATGCCCATGAACTGATCAGTGACACGGTGTCGACGCCAAAGTTAAGCAGGGTGGCGGCGATACCGCCGAGAAGGATCGAGAATTCGAGCCAAGACAGGAACGTGCGCTCAGCGGCAAAGTAAACCTTGGGCTCAACGCGAACAGGGACGAAGATTTCTGTTTTGAAAATAGGTCAGTCAGAGGAAATGCATGGCAATTATAATCAATTTAGAAAGGTGGACAAGGACCCACTCTTGCCAGGTGGCGCTTGGAATCTTTGCAACCGACGCTGCGTTCCAAGCACCTGAATGCCTCGCGCTTCCTGCGGCGGCATGTCTGTGGCCCGAGGTCGTGGAACCAAGGCCCACAGGCCCTGCACAACAGCGCGTCCAGTCTTGCGCGCATAGTGCTTGACTAGTTGCTCGGCATAATACCTTCCACCGATGCGGCGAGCTTCCTCCAGCTCTTCCGTATCCACAGTGTCGTATTCGTCGTCCGAGTCGTACAGCGGGTAATCGTCGTCACCGGGAAGTGGACGTGCCGCGATACGTTCCTCGATATCCAACTCATTGCCGTTGGTCTCAGTGAACAGGTACCGGTCATCGACACCTTCTCGCGATCCATTGAGAGTCGGGGTCTCGGTTGACTGCGGGGTCTCGTCATCGTCGGAATCTTCGTCCATGGGAGAAAGTGCCGTGGGACGATGAATGCCGTAGCGGCGGGTGGGAGCCTTGCGGATATCTGTGTCCATCTGCGGATACCAGAAGGGCAAAAGGTTGATGCGAGTTGGGAAGAGGGTCGCAGTGCCGTGGATGAATTTACTGAATTTGGGCACTGCTTCAACTAGATGTGACGCGGTGAGGTCACGAATCCACTGAGGGGGTTCCTGGCCCGCCTGAGTCTGCAACTTGACCTCCAGCACGGCGTACGGGAAACGGTCGATGTCTTCGGGAGGAAGCTGCGAGAAGGGCCAATCGACACCGATGTCCATGCGACGCCAATTGGAGCCGGCACGACGGCGGCCATCCAGGTTGTCCTCACGAATCATAGTCAGCTCGGTATCGAGAGAAATACGCACACGAGCATCACCCGGCAATTGGAAGGCGGTTCGGTGGTAGAAGGTTCGAGTCACCGGGACAAGACGGCGCGTAATCACTCGGTATTGAACCTCGCGGGCCAGCTGTTCCAAATCATTGATCTCGGCGGCACTCTTCTTGCCTTCCTTGCGCATCTTGTCAAAGACCTGCTCGACGGTCATGCGGCCATCCAAGAAGGCATTGACATTCTTCTCCTTGAGGGAAAAGCGCGCCTTGACGGACTTTTCACCCGTCCAATCCTCACGGTGAGTCTTACGCTCGACGAAGATCTGATCGCTCTCCATGCCACCATACCAACGCAGACGGATGGCCTCGGCACCCTCGGTCTTCTTGAGACGGCCCTGGTACAGCTCCCATGTTTCCGGGTTATCGTAGTAGATGGAAGAGATGGCGGTATCCTTCTCCTCGAATTCTTTGCTGGCGTTGAACACCAGGACGGGCAGATGCTTGAGAATGACGAGCTTCAACTCGGTGATATTGTCTCGGTGCACCCAGTATTTGGTGGTCTGGCGCACAAAGTTCTGTTGGGTTCCGCCGGCGGATGAATCACCCTTGACCGGATTGCCCTTGGTACGAACCAGATCGTAGAGTTTGGACAGCTTCACCACAAAAGCGTCGTAGTTGTCCTTGAAGAACGGCTTGGCGTTGAGTCGGGCGGCAAAGACGGGCTTGAGATACCACTTGGTCTCTTTCTGTGGCAATAATGGATTAGCTTTACGGTCGTAGTCCTTACGGCGAGAGTTCATGCAGGTCGAGGGGTTGGCTCTCCACGAAAAACCATCAGACGAAAGAACATTCACATACGTCATGCTTCTTGATAATCTTCTGGAACCCGGTGTAATTCAATTGCGTAAACTTGGCCAGATCGTGTACGTCGGCGATGATGTCCGAGAGAACCTGCTCCAATTCGAAAAAGTCCTCGTCGGTGGGGACGGGCCTTGAGGAGCGACCGTTCTGATGACGATTGTTGGTGCTGTCCTCTAGACGCGAGACCACGTCTGTCACCTCGGCCTCACTGGCCTTGATGCGCTCGACGATTTCCTCGGACTTGCGCTTCTGGAAGAGGAAGACCTTCTCCAGCTCAGACTCGAGCAGCGTCACGAATTGAGTCTCGTCATCCTCGGTCCACTCCTTGCGGGCCGGCTTGGTATTGTCGGGAGTCGGCTGTGTGACAAAGTCGGTCTTGAGGGCTTTCTTCAGATCATCGTATGCGATATAATAAGGATGGTATTCCTTGATCATGGAGGATCGGAGATGCTCGCCGAACCTGCAATTGAAGCAAGTTAGTGAGTAATGCGACCACAAAGACAGTAATGAGAGCGTACGGCGCCGCGCACGGCGGACAATACAGCTATATGGGAGGATGTTGTCGTTGTTGTGGTTGTGGTTGTTGCCGGCGGCACCGTAAGGGAGCTCATTCACGGCAAGGCCAATTGCACCGCAGTGGCTGGGCAATGATGGAATCGGCAGAGAGTCGCGGGGTGCATCATCGCGCCATTGATGAGAGGAGACAGAGCAGACGACTAGGGTCGGGGAGAAGGGCAACGTACCTCATGTTGGGCAAATGGTCAGACAACGGATGACTAGACAGTAGACACGGTTTAGACAAGCATCACAGGAAAAAGAGAGAGAGAGAGAGAGAGAGAGAGAGAATTTGGCGGCGCCCGTTGCAGACCGTCATGAGAGCGTCTGCGAGGACCTCTTGTCTCTTTTTCTGTCCAGTCTCTATCGGGCCGTTAACGGTTAGCCTGGGCCCTGGGGCGGGGAGGTCTCGTCCCGGTCCACTTGGCGTTCCAGAGCTACAGAGGCACCAACGTCAGGCTGAGCTTTCTCACTGTCTTACCTCAGAGGCTCAGCGTCTCCGAGGGGGTTTGTTCCATTGCTGGGTTGTCCCGCTTGTATTGAGGTACGCGAGAGGTACGACAGGTGTACTTGTGCTCTTGGGTCTCGGTCGGCCTCCCGAGGCTACGATGCTCCACTCGGAAGAGTCCCTTGACCGTGCAGGCAGTGAGGAACTCAAGATATTGCGTACATACGAGTAGTACAGGAGTACTACAGTACTCTTAATGTAGATATCTGTGCATTACATACCACTGCATTCTTTTGCCTTTTCATTACCCTCAGATCACTACCCCATCTGATAAACTGTGATTCCGGTGACATTGCCGTACTGAAATTGCTGATAGATATCGAGATATGAGATCACTTCTGAAGTTTCAACAACTACTAGCCCATTCTCATATTCTAGAGCCATTGGGAAGGTATATACTGTTACCTGCTGTTCCCATCGAGGAAGTTAGTCGGTATCTAATGTACTACCACTGAGTGTATGTGAGTCGTGACGATGAATAACTGTATAGAAAGTACCAGTAGTTCCAACTTCCCAGTTACCGTGCCGTGGTACCACCTAAAACCGGTCTCGACGTCAAGATCACGGTTATTCCACTTCTGAACTCCATCCTGGATATCCTCTGCAGTCTGCAGTCTGCACGCCTCAGCCGCGTGGTACAGTTGTAATGAAACCAGACCAGACACCAAAGATGAAAAGAAAAAAAAACAATATCCACCAGCCGCCGTAGAGCCTGGCTGTTCGATACGAGCTCCGAGAAGCTCCAGTTATGCATATGCAGAGTTGATTGGCAGGGATCGCTCTGATCCGCTGCAATGGGTGATGACTCAGCATTGTGCATGTGGGAGTCAAGTGACCATTCAGCGTCACGGGATCTGCACGTGCTGGCTCTGGACATGAGATGGACGAATCCCAAGAGGCTTCTCGAGCAAACCCAGAGAAAGCCGGCTAACAACTGAATAGTCTGTTGCTCCGTCTCGGCTACCGAACTAATGCACGCTAGTTTGCTCGAAATCCATATCCATCCATCAAACCACCAAACCAGCGACCGGAATTTCCGCTAGAGACGCCCTGCGGCCCATAGTGTTGAGTGTGACTGTGCGTAGCACCCACTACGTATGGACTCATGGAGTATCATGGTTCCTCGAGACCTCGACTACTACTGCCGATCAGAACGTATTGATTATAACCGCCCGCCATCGCCCGCGACGAGAGCGTCGGCAGAAAAGTCGAAATTTGCCGACTTGACATCATCGGCAGATGTTGCGATTCCGTGGCGCAGTGTATTGTGGACGCAAGCTCAGTCCATATTACCTACACTACAGGGCTCGTCCGTCATGACTGGACACCCAAGATATCTGGCTGCTGCTCTTGGTAGCTATGAGGGCACATCTATCGAGATGATTGATAGCGGCAGACCATCATTATCTAGAGACTAGTGAATCTCCACTGTCACGTACAGGCACTTCTGCGGAATGGTCACCAGACTTCCAGGCCATGCCTGATTCAGAACATTATTTGCCTTGATCATCGAGAGGTGAACCAGCCTGAAGGTGAACATGATTGTAAACCCCCTGCAGCGGCGTAATCAACCGATGAATCTTGGAGAAGATAACACTTTCCAAAATCATGTGCCGTACGATGGCAACACACGATTCAGTAGTGCAACCGCATCCATCATGGTGCAGACGGCCACGGCCACCCCTACACCGTCTTCAGACTCTTCGGTAGGATGAGTTCTTCTCTTATGGCGCATGTACCAAGCTCATCCTGCTCCATAGCTGTTGGCTTCGCTTGGCCCCGGGCGGAGCCTTGGCCGCGGCAATAAGTGGACACTTGGCAGTGGGCACGTCCCGACGGCAATTCGAGCTCGCATCGTGGAAAGGACCGTTCCACATAGGCCTCGCATTCGGCCGGGTCACCTGATTCGGTGTAGACGCGTGAAGATGCGCATGGCGATCTCCGAGGCAAGTGTCAATCTGTAGCCAGTGGGATGATTTCGCAAATCTTGTTCATAAGTTTGTCCTCTGGGTCATGAAAGTTCTACTAAGCCATGCGCCTGAGGCGGCGCAGACTGCACCATATGTTGCACTATAGAACTAGAGACAAGAGAGCGCCGTCTCTACTTGCTACTGAGTATTACCACAGTCTGGCAGGCTGTAAACACTGGACCAATTGGCATGGTCACAGTGACACACCTTCAAATGAAGCCGTCAAGACCTGCTCCCATCGTGGAGAATCCTGGATGTTTGAGGCAGCCAGACTCATTCTCGGTCGACATCAACAATTCCTTCCTTGTGATTGTCAGCGCGTAACCTCCAGCCTTCACCTTGCGATTCCATGCAGTGTTTTGTACTTTCCACATTGCCTACTACCTTACTCACTCTGCTACCCAATGAGTACCTCGGTATCGACTCATGACTCGTTGGCAGATATCACACAGCATACCAGCAATACACCAGTGACCAGGCAACCACCAATTCGAATATCAATGTCTAATATGCATATTTGTAACCGCCACCCGCCAACCTCATCCACTCTCATTTCCACTCTAACCAAATCGAATCCCTTTAAAGTCCAGACTGGACACGAGTCCTCGGCTGAGTGTTGACATAGCTTTCCATATTTTCCGCCTCGTCTAAAACTGACTCGCGAAAACTCGCGCTGCCGGGGGGAGGGGGTCCGGGTCCACTTTACCTCAGACTAAAATCAACCAAACACACCTTTTTGGGGCATAGACCCAAGGCCCAGTTTCATACTCATCGACGCTGTTTAGCTGGACGGGACGATGCTGCCTGTGCAGATCACGGCACTACTACTACTGCAGTAGCTTCCAGAGTTGGCAGGCAGTGGCCGATTCTAGTCACACGCGTCAAAGTCGCAATAGAGAATGATGGGGACTTCCAGCAGATGTCTGAATACACACGAGCTGTGTGACAAGGGGGACCACCAGTCCCAAAAGAACGGGGGCAATTTCGACCTTTCAAGTAGCCTCAAGTGAGTCGGTAGGAGGTCAGAAGCCTCGGACAACAATAAACACTCCCAAGTCAGGGAGCTCGTCGACGATAGAGCCTCCTTTCGAACAGTACATCCAGTCCGGCCGCATGAGTAGAGGGAAAGAAACATATTCGAATTCCATGACCCGATGCGACTACAGGAGTGGGCTTCCATGCAGTACGTTCCATGCTCCGGCCAAACTCAATTCGGCAGAGATCGCCGATCATGGTAGCCTGATGCGGAAGGTTGGCACGCGACTGAGGGCTGCGCCGAAACACACGATAATGACTTACTTTATCTGATCGACGTGATCTGTAGCTTCGCAGTCATCGAGAGCGAGGTTATCAGCAATCGAGAAAGGAAGGGGAAAATTGTGTAACTGGGCTTGTTTCCTACGTGTGATCCCTGTAGATGTGTAAAGGATAATATGATTATATTACGAGACCAACGCCGTCGCCAATTAGCGTAGAGGAACAAATTCCCAACAGAAGACCACCCCCAGAACCTATACTGGTTGCTTTGACATGCAGCCCCGACGATCATCACATCGTATGAGAAAGATTGTACGACAAGGAAAGGGTTCCATCAACAGCTGGGCGCGGAAAGCTCCCACGACAGTGAGCAGTGATACCCAAAGCCACATCAGCTTCCCTTCATAATAAAGTAGCTATCATTCACTTTCACATCTTAACCAAGAACCAAGACCTCTCAAGCAAGACCAGTTGCAGAGCGGCGAATGCTGCGACGAGCGCCCTCACCAGACACGTGAACCGCACCCTCGGCTTCCAGCGAGCGTACAGCGTCGGAGAATTGATGATGATCCAACGCAATGTCGCTGGACTCGCTCATGTCGCGGAAGAGATCACTCCAACGCACAGCGGTGCCGGCCACACCCCCGCGATCGTCGAGCCGTGCCAGCACAGCCCGCTTGAGGTCCTCTCGCAGTCGTCGCTCGCTAGCACTTGTGCCCTCGGTCAACAAGCCCATATCGATCAAGCCAGTGCGCGAGTCGGTAGCCGCCTGCTTGATGGCCGAACGGATCAGACGTACCGCCTCCTCAACATCAGCGACAGTCACTTCAGGCGAGAGGCGCATACGCGCGTGCGCTTCGGAGAGACGAATCATAGACTCCAACTGACGAGTGGTGGCAGTGATACGACGCTCCGACGCACGGATGTCATCGCCAAGCTGGCGCATAGCCACGTAAGCATCCGATAGCGCTGCACCCGCTTCGGGTGTGAGGACAGGATGGATACGGGTCTTCGCGTAGGTGATGTACGCGGTGAGGAACTCGATCGGCTGCAAATCAAAGAAAGAAAGTAATTAGTGGGTTGAAGCTCAAATTCAGGTGTTGGGACAAGCTATGACAACTTACCAGCACCTCTTCCAAGGCGGCGTTCTCTGGGGTATCTTCCAGATACATGCCAACCAAGTGCTTGGCCAGACGGCGATCTTCATTTTCGTCCACACGATCCAGAACTAGATACACCAGGTCGAAACGGGACAGCAAAGTCGGAGGCAGGTCGATGTTTTGCGGTACAGGCAACTTGGGATTGTAGCGACTACCAATGGGATTGGCGGATGCCAAAATGGAAGTTCGGGCGTTGAGAGTGGTGATGATGCCAGCCTTTGCGATGGACACAGTCTGCTGCTCCATGACTTCGTGAAGAACAGACCGAGTCGCTTCGTTCATCTTGTCAAACTCATCGATGCAGCAAGTGCCTCCATCGGACAAGACCAGAGCACCAGATTCCAAAACCATCTGCTTCGTTTCCGGGTCCCGGGTGACGTAGGCCGTCAAACCAACGGCTGAGGAACCTTTGCCGCTGGTGTAGACACCACGAGGCGCAATTTTGTGCACATAGCGGAGAAGCTGAGACTTGGCCGTCGAGGGGTCACCACAAAGCAGGATGTTGATATCACCACGGTATCGCGGGTTGCCACCTTTTTGGAATGTTTTGTTGGTTCCACCGAACATTTGCAAGAGAATACCTTTCTTCACATCGTCGGCCTCGTAGATGCTAGGCGCCAATGATCGAGACAGCAACTCGTAAATATCGGGCCGTGATGCAGTGCGTCGAATCTTCTCCTCCTCCTCAGCTGAAATCTTGCGAGCCTGGTCAGCCTCAGCAGCCTGCTCGGACATTTCTTGCTCAATGGTGGACACGTCAATGCCCATCTTCTTTCGGTCGACTTTCTGAATATGCAAAACATCGATATAGGTCTTGAAAAGTGACTTCTGTGATCGCTGGCGAGCGCTGACACGCATTGGATTACAGCGAAAGATACCGGTCACCTCGACACGATCACCAGCCTTGCACACATCAACCAATTCGTCATAGACGCAAAGCGAGACTGAGTGCGGCGTCTGGCCATCTGGAACATTGTCTGGGGTCTCTTGGAGTTTGATGACTTGCTTGTCGGAAAAGCTGCAGCGATTATGGATCAGCTGCATGGAGTTCTTGGACTTGCATGAATCACGAAGACAAACAGTGGGTTCGGCAATTCGACCACGGTCAATCTCCACAGTCACTCCATAACTGCATACGCTGCAGCGGAAGAAAGCTACAAAGTGGATCAGTACGTGCTCGGCCAACATCATGCCAAAGTATTGGGCCGACAAGTGATGTGTGACATACCATCTTTCATATCTGGAATGACAGGAGTTGTTCGGATGACGAGACCCTTGATACTGACAAGCTTATCCATGTCTGCAAGAAGTTAGTCTGCGCTGAACTCGAACAGCGAACAAATATTCTCTTATCACTCACCAGCTGGATCCAAATCTCTCATGTTGATGGTTTGATCCAAACCGAACGGCAAGACCTTATAGTTGACACTTTCAACTTCTTGAACAAGATCGGGCACATCGGCGGTTGGACCAACACCGTCTGATGTAAGAATAGACTGGCCGTGGCGATCTCGCGACTGGCCACCTCGCTGCATGTCTGACCGCAATGCATCCATTTCCTTTAACGCCAGGTCCACCATCACGTCCTTCACAGCTTGGTCCATCAGGGGCACAATCTCTTGCGGGTAAGCGAGCAGCTGATGCCAGAGCTTCTGTGTAAGAGGATAGGCCTTCAAATTCTTGCAATCAAGATTGAAAGTCGTCAGGCCTAGTCGCCGCATATCGTTCATCATTGTAATGTATTCCCTCTTCTCTGCCGCTTCGCCCATAATGCGGACCTCGCTTTCGGATGCTCCCTCGGCCCAGAGACGGTATTTGGTCGCAAAGTTGTACAGGAAATTTTTGAAAGCAGACATGGAATCGTGAATGGAGACATTGGTACCCCAAATCACACGGGTAGAGTTTCCAGCCATGGCCTCGGCCTCGGAGGTACCAGGATTGATGTTGGAGAAGGTTGCATCGGATCGTGGAGCATTATCACCGGCAGGCATGCCATTGGGCCCGACGAACAGGCGGTTACGACGAGTGGGAGTTGAATTCAAACCACTGGAGTGCAAATCACTTCGCCGAGGCCCGCGGCGGCCACCGCTAGGTGAAACGAACAGTCTACTGCTGGTGCTGAGGGCATCAGAACGGATATCGGAACGAATTTCGGATCGTCCCAGACCGCGAGCTGGACTGGAGCTTGCGATATAGCTGATGGGAGATGAGTCTTTACAGTGTCAGCATTAAGTGCGCCCTTCGATCAATGAATTACAGTGCAGCAGTGAGGAAGACAAAACATTGAGGGTTTCGCTAGCATACCTCTGATTCCCGGATTGGCTCGCGGTGTTCGGTCCCCATCATCAACCTGTGAGCTCATGTCACCCATTCGAATATCTGGCGTCGCTGCGCTTTGATGCCGCACAGGCGAGGATGATTGATATGCTGCAGGCGACGACGACGGGACATTGCGCTCAGCAGCCAGCGCCTGCGCCGCACGAGGCGTATGTTCTCGCATTGTGGGACTGCTAGGGGGTTCTCGGGACGACCTCAACGGTATCGATGACTGATTAGATGCGCGCGTCCTCCGCGCTGTCGGCGACGACATGACGAAGATGTTCTTTGCTGGGAACGAAAAGTTATTTCGTGGAAAGTGGGTTTGAAGGGGACCGTCACAGTGGAGGGAGGGGGTAAAGACTGCTAGGCGGAGTTTCGGGACTTTGGTGAACGGGGTGGTAAAAGCTCGGTTTTTTCCAAGTGGGACGCGTGCAGCGGGACGTGACAGCGCGTTAAGTGGTTCCTGATCGTTCTCGACGCGTTGCTACGGCAAAGGTCATGTGACGTTGAATTGATAGCAAAGCCACTATCACGTGACGTTGAGGCGGTACGGTGTGTCAGAGCCGGTCCCACCGCCACGTTGAATGGAGAGAACCCCTTGGGATCCATTGCCTTCCTAATGTGGACTAGCCGTGGCGCTGTTCTTCCCCTTTTTTATCCACCTTGGTTTTCTTGGTTGTCAAAGCGCAACTGCCTGGGTAGAGTAGCGTCGTGCGAAAGAAAGATTGGTATGACATCTATACATTGGGTTATGAGTCGAGCTCAACGTCGGAGACAGTACAGCCATACTGGAGGTAGGGTCTCGCTCATCAAGTTGCTCAGTCTATGTCTTTCCTCGGTCTCTGTTGCCGTTGAGTACATGCATTCTCCTCTTTAGCCGCTCGGGTTCTGCTTTGGCTGTTTCACCAGACGCCTGATGTCATCCTCATATCGATCGGCAAGTCCACACGTCCTCCAATCATTCCCTTTCCAAGCAACTTCGCGGGGAAGCTTCAAGGCGCTGGGCGTCAATTTGTGCACCAGCCACTGTTGTCATTGTGCACCTGTGCTGAGTTGACAAGCGCGACACTCATTCGCATAAGGCGCTGACTTTGAAGGATCCAAATTTCCCGACCGGTCTCCACGCTGGTCTTTGAGCGGAGACACCAAGAAAGTCGTGGTGCCGATCTTCTTTGTTGCTCAGTTTCCGTCTCAACATTTGCTTTCCTCTTCAATCCTCACGTGTGCGAGTTCTGTCCAACTTCTAGTCCTCGGGCCGCTATCTACGGATCGGGTGTCTGCCAAACTCTGCCCCAGTGCCTACACAGCCTCGGAGACTTGTCTGTTCACTTCCAGCTGCTGTCAAACCGTCGAGTGGGTGCTCAGCGAAGCGCTGGTCCGCCCAGCACTGGTGTCCCATCCCGGCCCTCGCAGTATTCAACTTTTAATTTGACCGCGCAAGAGGAAGCTCGCTTGCCATGTCTTCCAACAGCAATAGCCTGGGAGATGCGTTGAGCAATGCGGGCGGTAATGGCAAGTTGGACCATGGTGTCTCGCTCAAGACTTTCTTGGCCTCGCTGGCGACGGCTACGGTTGTTTTTGCCGTCGAACTTCTGCTGTTTATGCTCCTCAAGAGCAAATTGACACGAATCTAGTAGGTTTCGAACACAACTAGCTAGGAGGAGGTGCACCGCGACTGCAAAGCGCAAGCTAATAGATGCAGCCAACCCCGAACATACTTAGTCCCGGACCGCGAACGCACTGAGCCCTCTCCGCCAGGTCTGTTTAGATGGGTCGGACCAGTATTTCGAACTTCGAGTTCGGAATTCATTCAGAAATGTGGTCTGGATGCCTATTTCTTCCTCCGCTTCCTACGAATGCTTCTGAAAATATTCATTCCCATGGGATTTTTGATCTTGCCGATCCTTCTGCCACTCAACCGTGTAGGAGGTAAGGATACCTCGTATCAGAATGGAACAAACTCCGCGACTGGAACGCCAACGGGTGATCGATGGAATGTCACCGGTCTCGATCAACTAGCGTGGGGGAATGTCAAGCCTGAACACACTAGTCGCTATTGGGCCCATTGTGTTCTGGCAGTGATCTTGATCTGCTACGTCTGCGCAATCTTCTTCGACGAACTTCGTGGCTATATTCGAATGCGCCAGGCTTACCTGACATCACCGCAACATCGACTCCGAGCGTCTGCCACAACCGTTCTTGTGACTGCAATTCCCCATAGCTGGTTGACGATTGAGGCCTTGGACCAGCTGTTTGACGTCTTCCCCGGCGGTGTACGAAACATCTGGATCAACCGCAACTTCGATGACTTGAATGAAAAGGTGAAGGAGCGCAACGATCTCGCTCTCCAGTTGGAAGCAGCTGAAACCGAATTGATCATCAAGTGCAAAAATGCGGCACTGAAAAGAGCGAAAGCCGAGGCGAAGAAGGCAGGGAAAAGCACGAAAGAGGCGAAGAATAATGAAAAGGCAGCAACTGACCAGCGAGCGACTCAAATGGCAATGGGGCCTGGTATCAGCTCTGGCGATCCCCATCAGGCTCGCACTTTGCGTGAGACATTGCATCACCATCACAACACGCAGAAGCGCGGCGAATCGGATGAGTCTCGCAGTGGCCGAGGCGTTTTTGATCCGGCGGTTGCGGTTGCGGCGGCCGATCTGGTTGGACACAGTGTTGGAAAACTGGGCAAGTCAATGGTCGGTGGACTCAAAAAGGTCGAGGCGGGTTTCGATAGCACGTTAACGCGTAATGGTGGTGGCCTTGTGGACACGCTTGATGTCGATGTGCCGTCCCGCGGACGTACACCTGGAACTCAGATTCAACCGCAGCTGCAAGAGGTGCCATTGGAACAGCGGCCTTCTACAGCGCCGTCGCAGACACGTCTTGAAGGCCAAGATGAGAGCTTATGTCGGGATGATAGACCCGTGCCTCAGAAACGGCCATCGTGGAAGGATCGCATGTCATCCCATCTCTCTATACACTCGAAGAAATCAGGTCCCGAGCCTGACGAGTTTCCTCTTACCGCACTTGAGACGCCCACTCAAGACACATTTGGTGATCGACCTGGTGGAAAAGAAACCGGCAAGAACAATGATGAATCGCGCGAAGCCCACAAGGAAGGAGACAAACTACCGGGTGAAGAATATCCAATCGCTTACAACGAGAATTTTGATCAAGAGGATTATGGAGAGCCTTTGTGGAAACAATACATCAAAGAGAAAGACCAAGCCACTCATCGGTTGCCGATCTTTGGCTGGAAATGGATGCCCTCGCTGTGGCTGATAGGCAAAAAAGTCAACACAATTGATCACTGTCGGAAGGAGTTGGCTCGCCTAAATCTCGAGATTGAGATCGATCAACAACATCCTGAAAGGTTCCCGTTGATGAATTCGGCGTTCATCCAGTTCAATCACCAGGTAGCCGCACATATGGCTTGTCAGTCTGTCGCTCACCACGTCCCGAAGCAAATGGCACCCCGGATCGTCGAAATTTCGCCGGATGACGTGATTTGGGATAACATGTCGATGAAATGGTGGGAACGCTACCTCCGCACCTTTGGCATTATTACTCTGGTTATTGGCATGGTGCTTGGATGGGCCTTCCCCGTCGCTTTCACTGGGCTTTTGTCACAATTGTCCTACCTGGAGGGCAAATTCAGCTGGCTTGCCTGGCTCGGTAACCTGCCTCAGTGGCTCATCTCAGCGATTCAGGGTATTTTGCCTGCGCTCTTCCTGGCTATTCTGGTTGCCTTGCTCCCCCTCATATTGCGATTCTTGAGCAAGACTCAAGGGCTGCATACAGGCATGGCTATCGAGCTGACCGTTCAGAATTACTACTTTGCCTTTCTATTTGTGCAGCTGTTCCTTGTTGTCACAATCGCCTCCAGTGCCTCGACCATTCTCAACAACGTAACAAATGTGACCAGCTGGCCGGAACTGCTAGCCACCAATATCCCGCGGTCTAGCAATTATTTCTTCTCGTACATGATTCTGCAAGCCATGTCTGTGAGTGCTGGTGCACTGGTGCAAATTGTTAGCCTCATCAGCTGGTTCATTCTCGCTCCAATCTTGGACTCGACTGCTAGATCCAAATGGGCTCGAACAACAAATCTCAACCAGGTGCAATGGGGCACATTCTTCCCTCTTTACACAACTCTCGCCTGTATTGGTAAGTCTCGGTGTTTTGAGCTTTCCTTGCTCTTTTCTATCATCGGGTCACAGTATCTAACTTTTGCTCAAATGACTCAGGTCTGATCTACTCTGTCGTGGCGCCTCTGATCATGGTTTTCAACATTATCACATTCAGTCTCTTCTGGTTTGTTTACCGATACAACACGTTATACGTTACGAAATTCCGCTTCGACACCGGTGGTCTGCTGTTTCCACGGGCTATCAATCAGCTATTCACGGGCTTGTACTTCATGGAAGTCTGCCTAATTGGTCTCTTCTTCCTCGTTCGAGATACCCAAGGAGCCGTTGCATGCAAGGGTCAGGCCATCGTGATGATCATCATTCTGATTCTCACTATCGGATTCCAAATTCTCCTAAACGAAGCATTTGGGCCTCTCATTCGTTATTTGCCCATCACTCTTGAGGATGATGCGGTGAAGCGTGATCAGGAGTTCCACAGGGCCCAACTCACCCGTCTCGGCCTTGCTGCGGATGATGAAGAGGAGGACGCGGATCAAAGTTTAGAGCATCGTCTCGCCAAAGGCGAGCGGGAACAACGCAGCCGGGATCATGATGCAGAGAACATTGAGTTGAGGAATCTAGAATCAGAGCGTGAGGACTGGAAGCGTCAAGATTCGGGACTTAACACCCCAACAAGATCTACAACAAAGCAATCGTCCTGGGCTGAGCGATCGCCTAATCGACGATCGAAGTTCTTCGGCATCGATTCAGCGGGTCCAAATCCGACACTAAAGGCACTTAGGGAAAGAATGGCACATGACACCGAAGCGCAAGGGCCTGCTACGAACAACAAGGGCCATGCTCTTTTCGCTGGCATCCATGATGAACTCGAGGATCTCACTCCGGATGAGCGTGACCAGCTAGTGCAACGTGCATTCCAGCATGAAGCACTGCGAGCAAAGAGACCCGTGATTTGGATTCCACGAGACGATCTCGGCATCAGTGATGACGAAGTGTATCGCACACAACGATTCAGCAAACACATCTGGATCAGTAATGAGTATCAGGCCCTTGATGGGAAAGGCCGTACCATCTTCAGTCGAAGTCCTCCGGATTTCTCGGAGGTCGATTTGATTCAATTGTAATTCTAGCGCACGATTCACGACAACACTTCTTTCCTACTTTCACATACCATAGGCTCATGCTTTCTTGATGTCAGCGCCGCTTGCTTTACCGTTTCTCAGTACCTAGAATGTGGCAAATTCCGTTCCTCATTGCAAGGTCCGAAGTCTAGGCCATTTACTCTGTTTTCATTTCCCATAGACTCTTACCTTCATCGCGTGAGAAGAGCTGAGCCAGTTTTTCCAAACCTTGATGAGATGTGTTGGTGTTGTGAAACGGTCACTACCTTGTGCACTGCCAAGTATTACTTTGAATCTCTAGAGTTGCCGAAACGTAGTGTCTGGGTTCAAGTACCCTGATCGCAGTTCCAGATTGCCGCGCAAGTATAAGACCTTCAGTATTCTGTACAGTGTGCACCCTAAGGGGGAAGGGTTCACTTGTGGAAGCGGTCCATTCATTGCTTGTCTGACTGAGGCCAAAAGAAGGGCAGTCGAGCACGACTTATCTTTGATGTTTTAATCCATGAAGCGACACAGCGGCAATCGATAATTATCGACAACCCAGTATGCCCGTCTTACACCTTCCCACTCACCCTCAAGTTTGGGTACAGGGATATCCTCCCATTCAACATCAAAACCAGCTTCAAACAAGTCCATCTCAGCGACCTTTTGATACACATCGTAGGAAATTTGACGGTCAGCGCCCATTCCGTTGAAGAATCCCCACTTGCCCTCTTGCTCAAGCAAACCGATGACTTGCTCAGAGAAAAACTCCCTAAAATCAGCGTATGACTCGGCAAAAGTATCATAGTAGATCGCGTCAAATGTGGCACCCTCTGCGACCAGACCCGGAAGAACGTCTTGCCAACGCCCTTGGTGAATAGTCACGCCGGACTTGGTATCCCACCCTTTCGCTTTCATGTCGGCCAATACGGAGGGATGAGCCTCCACGATATGATGCTCGGCGGGGGCTTGATCTTGGAAGAAGCCATCCACGATACCCATTCCGTGTCCGATGTTGAGCACTTTGAGACCGGGACGAGGAAGCAGTGCCTTGGCGGATTTGAGCATGATATCGCTTTCCCAGCGCATCATCACACCGTTGTGGTCAGAATCGAGGATGCGATCATTGTTGATTGAGAGTGATGATGAAAGATAGCCCCGATTCTCTACCTCTGGGTTCACCAGGGCATTGTCAGATGTATTGGTCTGTTCTGTCGTGACTTCCACAAGCTCGGGCGCTGAGTCGTCTTCGGCCAGCCTGTCTTCCGACGTTCGTGCTGTTCCCTTGTCTGCATCTCCCTCTCCCTCTTCCGCTTCCTCGTCATCATCGTCCGAGAGAACGTCGTACTCGTCTAGCCGGTTCATCAGCATCTCTGCGCGAACACCAGCGTCCACGATCAACTCGTACAGCTCAAACGCCCCAATGCGCCTCGCCAAGCACCCGGGTGTCTCATTCTTGTTATCGAGATCATTCCAGATAGCGCCCTCCTGTAGCAGGAATCTCACAGTCTCTGCGGCAGAATTCAACAAGCTCTTGTCCAATCTTGATGCATCAACATTCGTCGTCTCATCTTCGTCCGCCTCGCAGGCCGCAATGGCTGCGTGAAGAGGTGTATAGCCTGTCTCTGAATCTTTCACATTTGCCGCGTCGGGCAGCGATGATTCTGTGCGACAAAGACGGCGGAGTTTAGCGATATCATGTTGAGACGCAGCGAGGAGGATTTCTTGGACATCTAGGTCGACGTCGATCTCCGTCAAATGGATTTGAGGATCGTTCGTGGCAGCGTCGGTCATCTTTGCAGAATGACCTCTATAGCGAAAAGCACGTCAATGGGGGTTCTGAGATTGAAGAGTTGACTGAGTCAATATAGGACAGTTTCACCGCGTACTTTGACATATCCTCTCAAGAGCTGGAAAATCTTAAGCTGCAGAACAGGAAGCTGCGAAAGTAAAAGATGTTGATGCGAAAAAAAGTTTGGGTGGGGTCAAATTCCAGATCTTAACTCCGCTCAGCGCTAAAACGGCCCCCGCAATCGTCTTTCAAGTATACACCCGCCTAGGTGTCCGGTACAAGAGGTGTCCTTGGGTTGTCCACTTCGCTAGGATCAGAGTGGAAAGACTAAACTCTATTCTTCACGTGACTGTTCTGTACTGTTCTGTCATCCTGTATCGATGCTGTAATTGCCAAGAGACGGAACCATTTTCTGCTGCTCCTTACCGCCTACTTACTTCCCGACCAAGAACATCAATACTCATTCGAAGATTCTCTATACTTCAGCACTATTATTTATACAGGGATATTATATATCTAATTAAGGTGCTATGAAATTATCAAGGACTAAGTTTAAGAAGTAATTTTATAGGGCTGGTGATTGATTTGATTACACAGGATGGGTAGATACTAGATAGCTGACTTGGAAATTTTGAAGTGTTGAGTCGAAAAGTAGAGGCGGAATGGTATTTTTCTTTGAGGGTCAAACACCTTCGAAACGACACCCGTAATAAATACATCAATTGACCTTACTGTTTCGGTCCTAGCGAGGTACAGTAGACAACCTGGGGACACCCAGGTACATGACATGGATACGCGTGAATATATTATGCTGACGGGAAATCCATGTTATCATCCAAGGCTACCGTGCTACATGTGTACCTACCTACCTATATCACTATACAAATGAATCATTGGAGGCATATTTGAAGAGTCATTGGAGTCAGTCACATTGAGAGGTTCAAAATATATGTATTCGAGCTCTTTTTAGTAACCTACTCCTCAACAACCTGATATGAACGAATGGAAGTGTAGCAAGATACAGGTAAGCGTCCACGAGCATTTGTTTGGTCCTTGCTCATGAGGTGGAAGTCTGCCCATGAATTGATCATACATGATCGGAATTGTCCACAAGTTGAATCAAGTCAAACCCGTTCCCGAGACGCCTGCACGGAGGTAGGTGCCTTTGTCAACTATCTCGGGGCATAATCTTTAAGCTGGCTGGCTGGATTGGAAGATGTCTCGTCAAAAATGGTCGAAATACCTGCTTAATCTCTCATTGATGATGGCAACAACTCAATCAATGACCTTGGACAGAGACTTATACTTGCAAATTCAAGAGAAGAGATCGCATTGCCTGACTGCGACTAAATAAGCTATTTGTACACAATTCGCTACTCCAGCGCCCCAATTAATTCCATTTATTTGATGTCCTCATTCGGCGTGTTGACGTTCAGACCCAAGCCCTGGGAGTCCAGATACAGCTTGTTCTTGCCCCCGGCCTCCTGCAGAATCTGAGCGATCTGGCGCGCGTTCTCAATCTTCCGAAGCTCAATGTAACTCTTGCTCTTCTTGATGGCGTCACCGATCAGCTCGGCGGAGCGAGCCTCACCCTGAGCGCGAACGATAAAGGCCTGCTTCTCCTGACGAGCCTTGTCGACAACGAAGGCGGCACGTTGAGCGTCCTGCTGGGCGACCTGTTTAGCTTCGACAGCAGCGGTGAATTCGGGAGAGAAAGTCAGATGCTAGACATTCGAATAATGATCAGTACCGTGTCAAGTCCAAAAGATGACGGATAAAGCAACGCATACCGTCAGGGAAACATCATCCAGAGCAATGTTGAATCGTGCCGCACGGCGAGCCAGGTTCTCCCGGACCAGTCGGGCAACATTCTCACGCTGGGTGATCAGCTGGCTGGCGTTGAATTGCGCAACAACGCTTTTCAGGACCTCGTTCACAATCGATGGCAGCACACGCTCATCGAAATCCTGTCCCAACGTTCGGTAAATTTGTGGCAAGGCATCGACTCGTGGGCGGGACAGAACACGACATGTGATATTAACCATCTGCAAATCCTTCGTTCCGGTCAAGGAGGCAATATTGCGAGGCTTAGCGCGCACGTCGTAGACGATGGGAGTCTCGATCCAAGGAATCCGGAAGTGAGTTCCTGCAAATGTGTTTGACCGGTTAGTCCGAAGCTCCTCGGCGCGATCGGGTGGGGATGACATACCTTCGCTATAGATTTCCTTCTTCACACCACCAACACGGGAGTACTTGATGGCACGGTGACCACCATCAACTAGACAGATTATTTAGTAAGTGAGAACTTCGCTTGGTCACTAATGACTTGACGTACCGTTGAACAGCGAGTTCGAGATGGCCCAGCTGCCAACACCGAGCAGGACGAGACCAGCGAGGCCCATGCCACCGCCGCGGCCACCAGAGGGCATCCCTCCAAAACCACCCTTGCGCCTTTGCAGCATAAGCTGCAGTCGCTCCCAAGCCTCTCGTTGATTCTGAGACATATCGGAAGACTTGTATTTGAAGGTATGCAGACGGAGTGGATGCGGAAGGGAGTACGAAGAAGGTCGACTGACAGGCGGTCACACCGAATGTCCGGCAGAATCGCCGATCTTCCTGCGCGCTTCTGCGCAGCTTCGCAACAGCTTCAATCTTGAATCTACGCAACAGCGCCCCTACTATCAGCTCTCAAGGATTGCAGTCATGGCGCCCGATCGCTCAGGAAAGAGTGTGTTTCTGGGAAACATTCCCTACAGTAAGTTTCAAATTGACAGAGGCTCTTGAAATAGGCTTTGATTTGCTAACCAATCACTTAGACCTCACCGAGGAACAGGTGAAAGACATTCTCAGTACAGCTGGCACAGTCACCAAGTTTCGCCTGATGATGAACCCCGAGACTGGCAAGCCTAAGGGTTATGGATTCGCAGACTTTGCGGATGCCGATGCAGCAGCCTCGGCCGTGCGGAATTTGAATGACTATGAGATTATGGGTCGCAAGATTCGGGTGGACTGGCCTCACAACAATGAGAAGGACTCTGTGCCCGCGGACTATTCCCAACAGACACAATCGATGGAGCAAGACTCCATACCACAAATGCAGCAGATTCCCGGTGCCGCTCCGCTTCCTCCATTGCCTCCAGGCGTCGATGTCCCGCCTCACCTCGACTGCCCTAATGCGATCTCACAAACGCTCGCATCTCTTCCCCCAAATCAGCTCCTTGACGTCCTTACACAAATGAAAGCTCTCGCTGTGGCCGATCCAATCCGAGCCACGGAACTCCTCCGCCAAGCTCCTCAGCTTGCTTACGCCATATTCCAAGCTCTGCTGCTCATGAACCTGGTGGAATATCAGGTGTTGGGGTCCATCGTGGAGCAGGCGGCCCAGACACAATCTACTCCTCAAGTACCTCCCCAGGTGGCTCCTCAATACCAACAGTATGGTGTTCCGGGACAGATGGGGACACCTCCTGTGGCCGGTGGTCCATATGCTCCTCCACCGCCACCTACTCAGGCTGCCCCACCTCAGGTGCCGGGCCAGGATGAGTTGTTACAGCAGGTGCTCAGCATGCCACAGTCTGCGATTGATGCTCTTCCCCCAATGGAGCGTAGTCAAATCATGCTATTGCGCCAACAACTGATGCAGGGCGGTATGCGATGATCCCGTGTCCATCACGCGCCGGTCAAATTGGCCTTTCTCTCTGGTCTTTTGTCTTGCATAATTCATAAAGACATCGGATGATTTTCCACTCACGATGTCTTACCCGGGTTCGCGGCGTAAACGAAGGCGTACTGGTTTCAAAACATATTTCATCGGATTCCCATACAGCGTATCATAGCTATCAGAGAACTTCTACCATTGAAAAAAACCCCCATTTTCACTTCGAAGCTCGCAAGACAGACAATTTAGCTTTTTAACGTCAAGCTGTATAAGCTGTTCCACTGCACCTCTTTGTGATCCGTTATTGGATATGTAATATGTCCATGCCCGTGTATCTTTGATCTCTACTAGACACTGCAGTAAGATGCATTACCGCATACTACGACGTCTCATGAAAGAGATATTACTTAAGCACATGGTGTGGCCACATTGGCTTCACACAGGAATCTTAGGTCCTGACCTACATCGTTCAGTGGAATTCAAAAGGCAATGTGCTCTACACACTTTGAATGAACGTTTCAGACCACCTATAGGTATGTGTCCCAGCCGAGTAACCTGCTCCAGCAGAAGCTTTATGTTCATGCCTTAATCAGTGTTCAAAGCCGAGTATAGATGACTTACAAAGTTTCAGCATTATAGATGAGTCGTGCGACCAAATTGTTCTGAACGACGACCGGTGGCTCTGCATTTTGATTTTCAACTTAATTCTGCATTGCCCTCAATGAATAAGCACAAAGCGATGGTTAATGAGGGTCACTCGCTCGCTATATATAGGGGGATACGAGAAATCCTCATAGCAGAATTTCAGATTCCCCTCATGTATAATCAGTGCGTCCATCTGTTGTCGACCCAAGAAGGCCGCCAAAGCAAAGTAGTAAAATATCACAAGCACTAGACGCTGAAATAACAGACGGCATAAGGAGAAGACAAAGGATGGGAAGAAAATCCACAACGAGCACTTTCATTTCAAGGTGGTAATGCAGTCGCTCAGGTAAATATCAAGCAAAAGGACCGTAATAGTATTCAGTCATACTGTAGGCTTCAATCTTACTGTTAACAGGACAAGTTTAAGACGAGACGTGAGGACAATGGCATTTTCGATCTGGCGAAGTTGATGAGAAACAAATTAGATGAACGCTGATAAGACAATTCGGTGCTCACGAACTCATTCTGTACTACCTGATACTAAAATATCGTGTCATCTAATATAGTGCTCGCAACCGGGTAACCAATCCCAATAGAAGGCGAGTCTGCCAATGAGGTAGATATTCACGACGCAGAAGCAATGATAGAGTGCGACAACAAACAAGGAGGAAACGTGAAGCACCAAGTGCGGAAGATTCTGTGAGAGCGTGAGGGGATAAGTAATAATAAATTCTGCCTAGACCAGAGGCTCAGAGATCACTGAGTAGGCCCAGTGTAAACAAACAATTGTCGTGACTTAGGACATACTGATGACTTCCAAAACTCTCTCCCACGAGCCCCAGCCCACATTTCCACGCACCTTTAAATTCTTCCACGCCTAGCCTTTTCTTCTTCCAATTCCATCTCACTTCCCATCCACGCACGTGACTCAGAACTACCAGGCACTCTTACTGTACTACGTTATCGGCACTTGAGGTTTTAAATTCTAGAGACTACTCAGCACGTGACGCAATAAACCCACGCACTCGCTTTCGCCTCGGAGCCGGACCGTCATTCACCCGAATCATCCATACGTCATTTGACTTTGACGTCCACGTGACGGCGAGCATCACTCTACGCACGTGATCACCTCTTACCCTAACTCTGAATAGCTTCAGATTTATCTATTTTAGGTAAGTATCATGATGAGACTGAAATCGAGAGAGATGATAATCTGCAAGATGTCACTTATTAACTCAGTCTTCCCGAGGTTAGGCTTTTCGGCACAATCCCCGAAGATTCCTAAATGGAGTTCAGAAGGCTCATGGAGACACCTGATGAAAGTTTCGTATCTTCTGATGAGGATATGGTTCCTGGCAGTCGGCCGTCAACTCCTGGCGTCGAGTGGGGACCGAGAGTGAGTTGTGATGATAGTCAATTTATTCGCGACTCATTCGAGGACTGTGATATCCCTGAGGTGCGCCGAACTCGCTGCGGTCCTCCCAATCGTTATCTTTCCCTCGACCTGCCACCCATGCACAAGCTGGAAGACATCTACAAAGATATTGCTGAGCGTGCCATGCGTTTGGGCTTGGGTCGTTTCTTGAAGCACATCGGAAAACGACCCTTGCGAGTTGCCACAGCTTGCTCCGGCACCGAAAGTCCTATTCTTGCTCTGGAAATGCTTCGAAAGGGTAAGTTGTCATTTCACTCATTCCATCTTCCCTCCACTCGATACCATAATTGTTGCGCTGCTCGTGTGAACATGGAAAATTCTGCTTGTCTTCGAAGAAAGTCTCTCCTGTGATAACGGCGCAAGACTTGGACACGGACACGCTTTCTTTCCCCCCCCCCACTTCGCAAAGATACTAACTTCAGTCGTTGTCATCAGCTTTGGGCAGTGAGTCTGCTTTTGAAATGTCTCATGTCTTCAGCTGTGAGATTGTTCCATTTAAGCAAGCGTTTATCGAGCGCAACTTACAGCCACCGATCCTTTTCCGTGATCTGTTGGAACTCGGAAACGACGAAGCGTGAGTCTCCTATCCGTTTTCACTATTTTCACATGTCGTAGACAAGTGACTAAACAGCCTTATAGTCATACGGCCTACGGAGCGTTGGTTCCTGTCCCTGGTGATATTGATATCCTGATCGCCGGAACTGCATGCGTTGATTTCTCAGCCTTGAATCATCGGCGCAAGCTGCTGAGTCAGGAGGGTGAGTCGAGCAGCACTTTCAATGCGTTGTTGCGTTACGCACAAAAATATCGGCCTGCAATTGTCATCATGGAGAATGTCAAGTCAGCTCCCTGGAAAGACTTCATCGACATCTGGGACGAGATCGGCTATGATGCCACATACACTTTCGTAGACACCAAGTCCTACTACCTGCCCCATACTCGCATGAGAGGATACTTGGTCGCAGTCGATAAGCACCGCAAGACGGAGCGGCTACCGGGAGACAACTTTGTGGACTCACGTCCACTGTCTAAGCGCTTTGGAAAGAGCATGACTCAATTCGCTCGCAAGGCAAGCTCTCCTGTTGGCAAATTCTTACTGCCCGATCATGATCGCCGCATCGAGCAAATCCGCAATGATCTTACCACCCGTCTTGACGCCAGTACGAGATCGGAGTCCAGTTGGGAAAGATACAAGATTCGACATGCAGAGTTTCGGGCAGACCATGGACTAGGTGACCAACGGCCTATTTCCCGGTCTCTGCCGGGGGGCTTGGGATTAAGCCCGCCGGATTTCTACTGGCACTCTTGGATGAAAGCACAGCCCGAACGTGTGATTGAGACTGTGGACATGAAGTTCCTCTATTGCTTGACGAAGGATATTGATTCCAACTTCAAAGAGTGAGTGAGGTCCAATGCTGATAACAATAGACACGCAACTGACACCAGCTCTTTACAGACGTTGCATCGACCTGTCGCAAGGCGTCGATCGTGGCACAGAGGGTATTTCGTCCTCTGGAGTCGTTGGCTGCCTCACACCATGTGGTATGCCCTTTGTGACCTCAAGAGGAGGCCCTATCTCTGGTCTTGAGGCGCTCTCGCTGCAAGGACTTCCACTGGATCGAATCATCTTGACAAGCGAGTCACAGAGAGACCTGCAGGATTTGGCGGGAAATGCCATGACATCGACGACTGTTTGCGCTGCCATTTGCTCCGCTCTCATCGGATCATACCCCAAGCTAAAGAAGGAGATGGATGTGCCACTGAATGCGCGTGCTACTGCCAAAGAAAAGTCAGCTCGGATCGCGATTCTCGGGGACATCGACAGCAATCTTGGTCCAATGTTCACCACGGACTCATCGCAGTTCTTGAAGCCAGACTCCACGCTGTTGCGACGCGCAATGCAGAGTACTCAATTCTGCTCTTGCGAAGGCCAGTCAATGGTCAAGGATCTGAAGCTTCTGAGAATCTGCTCCCATTGTCAACATCGTGCGTGTGAGTCCTGTGCGGGTAATCCAACGCATGCCTATCGCGCTCTAAATGACAATGATATCCCGAGAGATTCAGCCGTGGATTTCATCGCCTTTCTCAAGAGTTCTCTGCCAATGAGACTCAAACTGTCTGGTCTTGCCGCCGAAATCTTCAGCGAGTTCTCGGACACATTCCCCGCTCCGCCGGTTCCATCAAGTGCAGTGAATTCAAAACACTCAAGAACTCAAACACCGGGAACTTCGACAAGCAGTAACACAGACGGGAGCGACAGTGAGAGTGAAGAGGAATCCCTTGACCCAGAGACAACATATGATGGCCTCATTGGGGCTATCCGCCTTGCTCTTTCCGAAGACGTCCAATTCTTCGATATTGAGCGATCCCACATTTGGACTGTCATTTATGAAGGTGAACATTCCAGCATGCGATTGGAGATCGGGCCCAGTGGACTCCAGTGGCTTTATTACGTCAAACCTTCGCCGCAGTTGCCAGCGCGCTGTCTGCTGAGAGAAATCTTCGGTAAGCCAATTGCTCGGCTCCTACCACAGATCGGAACCCTCCTTGACGGAGAGTGGGCAATTTCTGCTCCTTTGAGTATGCCATTTAGCCTGATGATTTCTGGCATGGGAGAGCAGATCCCAGCCTTTCCAGCAGCGGTGGGCATCGTCAAAGAACCTTTTAGCCAGATGAAAGTATGGACCCAAATCAAGGTCGATGGTATCATTGATGACAACGTACTTGACTGCGATGTTCACGGCATCTACGACGCTCTCCCGGAGTGCGGGACGGCAATGGCATCACTGTACAAGAAGAAAAATGACAACCTCTACCTCTTCCTGGACACCAACAAGATCAGCGCCCCAGATCAAGATGTCTGCGTATTCGCATTCGACCATAGTCGCCTTAGCGGTTATGACCAGCGCATCACAGTTGCCGAATTGTCACCCAAATGGCGCGCAACAAGGGTGACAAGTGAGCCGGAAGAAGTTAAGGCATTTAATCGGCGTTGGTACAGAGCTCCAGGCAATGTGACACTGAAACCATCGATGACGTCCACAGTGGCCTACCGAACTATTCAGTCAGATGCCTCCGTCAGGCTTGCAGGAAACAACTGCCACCTGTCATACACCCCACTGATCTCGCTCACTGGGCCCGACTGCTATTTGAAGCTCCATTGGCAGGCACCGGTGTCGACAGATGCATCAGAAACACTTCCCTCTTCTTGGGAAGTGATAGCCCTGGAAAATTCAGAGTTTGATCATCGGAGTATGGCTTGGGCGGTGCAGAATGTCGCCAGTCAAACAGATGTGCCGTGGAACCGGGTCCCCATCAGCAAAGAAACACTGCCTGACAACGGTACTCTTTGCCAGACCTGCGATCCTCCAACGCCTAGCATTATCTGGGGACGGGACAAACAAGGAAAAGTAACCCCATACGAGGATCCACAAGGCGCGGCAGCATACGAGCGTGCAGCCAAGTCCAAGCCGGCCCCATTCATTTTACTGCAGCGAAACACAAGCATTGGAATGACCGAATTATGCTTTGCTTTGAACATCCAATCACTGGCGCACAGAGCTTTCGGACGCCTTGTCAATCGTGTGAACTCAAGATCTATCGCATTCTATTGGCGACTGGTTGGCAACACCAATGACTGGGGACGAACCAGTCACCCGAAATTTACCCTACTTGACAACAGTGGCGACGAGGAACATGCGCAGCCGCCAAACTTCCGGGTTTGGTTGCGGAGAGATCAGCGTCGATCTCTATCCTGGATGGTCAAGCGAGAGGCAGACAAAATCAGCCCATTCTGGGAGCAGGAGACCGAAGAAGCGCTTCTGCCTTTGATGTCGTGGCGAGCCGAAGTAAGGGTCATGATGCCCAGATTCGTCAGAGGCGGCGTCCTATGCGATGAGGTTGGCTATGGCAAAACCGCGACCATTCTCGGATTAATCGATGTCCAGCACGAGGTTGATGTGGCTCGCTCTTACCACAACTCTGTTGATTCCGGGCTCATTTCAATCAAGGCCACTCTCCTTGTCGTCCCTGCCAATGTTTACAAGCAGTGGGGAGGTGAGATCACCAAGTTCCTCGGCAACAAGTACAAGGTTCAGCGCCTCGATTCTCCGAAGTCAATCAGCAGTGCCTCAGTGAGACAAATGCGCGAAGCTGATATCATTCTCATCCCTTGGCCGGTCTTCAACAACGTCACATATTATCAGAATATGCGGTACTTCACAGGCACACCAAAAGTACCCTCCAGTGCGGGTCGCGATTTTGACAGCTGGTTCAATGATGCCAGCCAATGCCTTCGTCAGATGGTGCGAATCTTGCAAGAACAAGGGCCCGAAGAGTATTTGAGCAACTTGTGGGCTCGGAGATTCGAGTTGCGACGCACCCAAGCAACTTCCACCTACGTGCCGTCTCGTCGCCTCCGGGGCGCTGCCTTTGTCCGCAATCTGGAAAGGCAAGGCGCGACCGCCACAACACAAGCGGGCCCTGAGAAGTACTCCATTGCTAGGAGCTCAAGGATTTCTCAAGGCTCTTTTAGCGCGATTTTCCGGCAGCCGATCTCTCCTGACGATCGCTACTCGTCTGATGAAGCTTTGGACGAAGAGCCTGATTGTCCCGGCGAAGTAGACGACCAAGAGCAGGATGGTCGAAAAGGAAAACGCAAGATAGCCAAGCAGAAGAAGATCAAGCAACCACCAAAGGCTCGCGTCAAGAAAGCAACTGCTTGGAGCGATGATCGAAAGATGTTCAATATCCCAGCTCCACATGCCAATTGCATTCCCTCAATGGAAGACATGACAGGGCTCCCACTTCACGCATTCCACTTCAACAGGGTCGTGCTCGACGAGTATACTTACTCTCGCGATGAGCGCATTGAGCCCATTCTCTCACTTGGCGCCCGTTCGAAGTGGATTCTCTCTGGAACACCCGCGCTCGATGAGTTCACCGACATCAAGGACATCGCAGCTCACCTGGGCGTTCACCTCGGTATTGACAATGACGGCGATCAGCCCACGTCCAACTCACGGTTGAAGACGACTCGTCGAAAGCTGACTGCACGAGAGGCCTTTGAAATGCATGAGCCTCCTCGTAGCATGGCTTGGTACGAGAAACGACGTAAGCTGGCGCAGGGCTTCTTGGATCAATTTGCTCGTCAGAATACCACAGATGTGAGCGAACTATCGATGGCATGCCACCTGATTGTCAACGATATCCCAGAGCCAGAGTCCAAGCTCTACCGCGCGCTCTATGATCACTTGCATCAAACGCAAGGTATCATTTGCAAGATTCCCGGCTCAACTCTCGGTGCAACTGAGACGGCGATCAACGCGGTTCTGACAAAGAGCAAGTCGCCTGACGAGGCCCTTCTGAAAAGCCTCCTCGCAGACGACATCTTGGACCATGCGTTGAGCGAGCGGAGTTGCGAAAAGGGCTTTAATGCCTCAACAAGGGCATCCATCGAGACCTGGAAGAAGCTGGAGGTGGTCATCAAGATGACTCTGCTTTCAATAATTGGGCAGAATGACCACGTCAGTGAAGGCCACTTCAACATGTTCGTCAATTTGAGTGCAGATCCTCATACGCAACGAGACGTCGCCCGGTTCGTCGAGAAAGTGGGAGACCATCTGACCGGCACGATGGTCAACGACGCCCTGGACAGAATCTTGTCCAATTTCCAGGAGTGGATCGCCGGCCCGGAGGGCGAAGAGCTCAGGGCGAAGCTGGAAGACAAAATGGGCAACATCAGGCCTACCGAGAAGCAAGAGGCCCAGTTGCGACGATCGTTTGGTCTGCAGCCTGCTTCCGCCAGCCCGGGCACCGTCACGGACGACAATGAGTACCTGGAACAGCTCAGGTTCTGGCAGGCCAAACGCGTCCTCAAGATTCTTCTCAGCGACGCGTGGAAATTGGTGCAAAGGCTCGTCGAGAGCAACCGAGACGTCCGCTTCTGGGAGTGTGTTCGAGAGATTCGGGGCGAGCACGGCCGTCACTGTGACCGCTGTTTCACAGTCTCTCTGGCGAGGGAGGAACTGACAATCCTTCGCAAATGTGGGCACTGCCTTTGCCCAGGATGCCTTGCGCTCGTCAATGAGCCGGCGAATAGCTCGCCCGCGTGTGTTGTCCCCATGTGCCGCGCCGCAGCTGGTCAGGCGTCCCAAGTCAGTGGACGTTCCGTTGATGACACTCGCGCTGTTCACGAGAACAGCAAGCTCGCGAGTATGGTCGACATCATCCGTGCCGTCCCGGACGATGAGAAGGTCGTGCTCTTTGTCCAGTTTGAAGATGCCATGGCCCAGGCGTCTCGTGCCCTAACTGCTGCGGGCATCCAACACTGCGTGGGCCGTTCTGCGAAGGTGAACGGGTTCACAGACTTTTTGAATCCCAGGACAATACCCGTCTCGCAGCAGGGCCCTGGGCAAGCCGAGATCACCAGACCGGACGCGGGTGGCCAGAATAAGAGGAAGCGAGGAGGCAAGACGGCCGTGATGGGCAACAAAACCGCCGGTCCAAAGGTGCTGATCTTGCGCCTGGGTAGCGTGATGGCAGCAGGCCTGTAAGTGTATCTCGCTTAATACTTCTTTTTAGCTCCAGCCGTCATCGATCTGAAGTCTGACTTGTTATCGCTATAGGAATCTGCAAGTTGCCAACCACGTCCTCTTCCTTTCTCCGCTGCTGGCTCCCACGCAGCACGATTACGATGCCAGCATGACCCAGGCCATTGGGCGCTGCCGCCGCTTTGGACAGCAACGGACTGTCCACGTCTACCACCTCCTGGCGCGAGGAACTGTCGAAGTCAACATCTTCGAACAGAGAACCGCCAGCGCCGTCGTGGTGCGTGGCTCCCAGGTCCTGCAGGTCCAGCCATCCGAGGTTCAACCCTTTGACGGGATGTGCAGCGGTCAGACTCCGGACTTTTGAGTCTTAGACGGCCTTGGGAGCGGTCTGCTTTCTTCGTGGGCCGTCGCGTGTGGCATTCGTGAGGGGTTGTCTCCGGTTGCTTGTTCCTTGGTCTTTCTCGCCTCGTCTTCCTTGTCTTGCTCTTCGTTCCTTGTCTTCCTCTGGCGGTCCTGTCTTCCCTTGGTTGTCTTGTCTTTTCTTAGCTCTCTTGTCTTTTCTTTGGTTGCTTGGTGGCTTGGTTTTTGTTTTTCTCTTTCTTTTCTTTCACCGTTCCGTTCTTTCTACATTTCTGTAAATGGGAATGAGCGTCTAATTTCATTTACAGATTGGTTTGATTTCGTCGGTTCCAGTCGTAGTTTTTCCATAGCCCAACTGCGGCCGTAGAAGCATTTTTGAATGACTGTATACTGCAACGGTGCAAGCCCTAGCGACCTCTCGAGTCTTATGAATACCGATTGTCAAGGGCTGGACGGAGGGCAGAGACGGGACCTGCTAGGGCTCGCCTTTGTCCTTTGGCATAGTCGCTTGATGCTAGATCAATTGTCAGCCTACACTCTGCAGCATGGAAGAACTATATGGGTATCGGCAACTGGCACTTTCAGAGGGGAACAGAAGAATAACAATGAGTAAGGCCGAGGCAACGACATTGGAATATTCGCATAACATTGGCGCCGATAACTAGTGATCCGGATTTCTTTGTAATCCGCGTTTCACATACTGTACATAGTAGACAAGACAAGATGAATAGGACGTCTCCGTTGAGAAGGACGAGTTTGGTCATGTGAGAGTTGCGATGAGACGTCACTAACTTCTAGATATCTCTTTTGTTTCGGTCCTGCCGGACTCTTCTCCCTGGAAGTAGCAGGCGGTTCGGCAAAAGATGGAGGACGACTTTTGCGTGATCATACTCTGAGATGAGAAAAACAAGGAAAAAAAGGCTGTGCTGGCTAAACAATTTGATTCCGTGTTTATTGCTTCGCCTCGCCGTCGAAGACACCGTCCTTGCGCATGAACTGCTCGGGAGTCCATTCGGGCACCTCGTGGAGGCTGGTGAGGCCAGCGCTGTTCTCGCAGGTTTTGCGGCCGCTCTTGGGGCCAGGCGCGGGCTCCTTGGCTCCGGTAGTAGCCGACTCCTTCAGGGCTGTAAGCAGGGACTTGATTGACTCGGGGGTCAAATCCTCGTAGTACTCGTCGTTGATCTGGACCATGGGAGCGTTGACACAAGCGCCAAGGCACTCAACCTCCACGTAAGTAAAAATACCGTCCTCGGTGGTGTGACCGGGGGTAATGCCCAGGTGCTCGTTGATGGCCTTAACAATGGCGTCAGAGCCGCAGCCACCTAGCTGGCATGGGGTCTAGCAACACAAGAGAGACGAGTCAGAGAATGTCCGGTGGAGTGTTCGACTGGCATTGAATCGAAAATATCGCCCGGAGGAATCGCTGCTTACAGTGGTGCAAATTTGCACAAAGTACTTGCCGACAGGCTCACGGTTGTACATTGTGTAGAAAGTGGCGACTTCGTAAACGCGCATGGGGGGCATCTCCAGCATGCGAGCGACCTCGTTCATGACACTGATGCTGGTGAAGCCGTGCTGGCGCTGACCGAGATCCAGCAAAGGCATGACGGCGGCCTTCTTGTACTGGGGAGGGTAGCGCTTCAGGATCTCATCGACGACCTTGAGGTTCTGCTCGGAGAACTTGAACGGCACGGACGGGTTGTTCTCGGGCTTGTTGCGGTGCTGAAAGGAGTGGAGGAAAGTCAGCTCTTGATGCTCTGCCTCTCGCCTATAGACACTGATACTCAAAGCGCATCGAAACCGGGCAATTGCGAGCTTGGGCAGTCGGGTGTCGTAGGCGCCCTAGCTCACGGGAAGACGTACCACCATGAGCGCATCGCTCAGCCGTTGAGGAGCGGCGGAGAAGGATCTGTATTGAGGAATTGAGGTCGGGCGCAGCCACCGGCTGGCTCTGGGAAGAAGCTTCGAGGCCATTATGTGAAGGTGTATGTGGTGGGACGTTGAACGCGGATCGAAGGCTTGCACGACGCACCGAACGAGGAGAGGGCGAAAGAGTCGAAAGTTGGCGGAGAGACCTTTAGAGGGCCCCTCGACCAATCAACAACGAGAGATTACTCCCGCTCATAGTACGGCCGGATGCACCTTCGAACTCTACTCCGTCATTAATGATTGTTTCTATGGTGAATCTCGTTGTCCGCATGAATCACTCTTTAATACTGTGGGCAATTTCCATTTATATACATCAGATGTTTCCATTTCAGAGTAAACATTCCTATACATCCTCCATGCGATAAACCTCATAGGCAACTTCTTCATAGGGATGCGCCTTGATCAGCTCCCGCACCGCATCCAGCATGACGGACCGACCGACACACATCACCTCCACCTTCATCTCCTCGACTTGTTCCAGCTGGCCAACTGCACCGATGGCCGGATTGGCGCCATCGCTGGGCAGGAACTGACCTTGCCCTTGAGTCTGAAAGCAGCACTTGCTGTACTTGCCGCCTGGGAAGCACCCAGCGCCCACGGCGAACACGGCTTCCTTGCACTGCTCAAGGTGTTCCAGGGGCACGTAGAATATGAGCTTGTAGCGATCAGGGATGCTGGTGGAGGTGCTCATATTTCCTTGTAGTAGACTTGACAGATCTTTGAAAGATGATGGAAGATAAGGCGAAGAGATTCTTCGATGTCCGCCAGCTGGCAATCTACAATAGTGCCACCCTCGGCAGAGTAGAGTAGAATTTGTAGATGAGCAACTGAAGGCCCGAGAAAGAAGCCTGACTTGACGGTGAAGAAGTAACTTTTGAGATGATCTGAGAGTATTGAACATCAAGGTTGTCCATCTGAAAGTGACTGAGAGCCTTGACCAAGATGTTGGAGCCATAAGCGTCGTTGACGCTGTCGAATTTGCATCACGACTGGCAGTGTTGTTGCCAGCCTTTTCAGGCTGCAACATTCGCCTGGTACTGTCAGTGTCTTCTGCCAAGCAATTGCTCACTGCACATGAGTCAGGTCGCCGACGACGATGTCCGGTCACTCCTTCTCCAGCTTCAACAGTCCAAAATGAGCAACCTTGGCCAGCTAGGACTTACTCAAGGGGATAGAATACTGAAGTGCCCTCTGTATCGACTATGAGATCAACGAATGTTTTCACAATCCGTCAGCGGGCGAGTCTACTCATATCGGTCCGAGTCAGGACCGTAAGGAGGAGACCCAAGCTTGACTCGAGCAAATTCCCAGCATGTCACCCAAATTAGCATCTACATCCAGCTTTGAAGGATATGGACGACAATTTACTCTGGTGCAAGGAATGACGTAGACCCGAACCTACACATGCGATCAAAATTGGCTCCGGCGCTACTCGAGTACGCCAGGTCAAGGGTATCCACGGGTTCGAGCAGTACTTCGCACGTTGTCTAGTAGATGTGTTCATCGGTCTGATGCGGATGATAGGTAGCGATGACCTTGCCCATAACTACTCCGTGGTCTGTCATCAAGGCAAAAGCAAGGCTGCGTAGATTTGAACCAATACTCATGCGCTTGGTGCTTTCTCGGAATGATTCCAAATGTTTTTGTCTGTTCTAATCCAACATGACTTAAGGCCTGGTTCCCTTGTGAATGAGGCGTAGGTCTTTTCTTGAGAAAAATGAGTCTGTTTTCACCACAGACGTCGGAGTATTTCCGGTATCATCATATATACATCATGGATCATCTCATCGTGCAACTTCCGCCCACATGGTCGACCATCAGCCCGGGTTGACCTTCCAAATCTTTCTTTACAATGGTCGATGCCTCATGCCTCTCCCACAACCATCAAGTGCTGCTTCACGTGGCCCTCAATCTTGTCCAGCAACTCCGCCTTTCTCACATCGGGAATCCAACTCTCTTGGACACTGTTCTCCGCGATGATCCTCCACTCCATGGCCGTCAGCTGGTGCGCCTCCTGAACAGCGCAGTAATTATCCAGAATATATCCCCCAAAATAAGCCGGGTCATCGCTATTGATCGAGAACTTCACTCCACTAGCCAAGAACTTCCGAATCGGGACCTGTTCCACACTCGGAACACAGCGCAAGCGGACATTCGACAACGGGCACACCGTCAACAGCGTCCCCTCGGCCGCAATCCGCTTCAGTAACTCGGGATCCTCGATCAGTCGGATGCCATGGTCGATTCGCGTCGCTCCTAATTCGAGAGCAGTACTGATATACGTTGGATCGCCTTCTTCGCCCGCATGCGCCGTCAAGGGGATTCCCTTCGTGGCCGCTGATGCGTAGATATCTCGGAACATGTCCTTGGGCGGGCCCACTTCAGAGGACGACCAACCGAGGCCATGCACAATCCCGGCGCCAAAATGCTCGTGGCTCAGGAACTCCTCATAGACCTGTTGCGCCGAGGCCACGGGCAGATGGCGCACAAAGCACATGATCAGCCTCGTGCTAAGGCCCAGTTCGGTCTCGGCGCGCTTGCACCCGGCTGAGAAGCCATTGACGATGGTCGCGTAGGACACGCCGCGACTTTGGTGGACTTGGGGGTCGAAAAACACTTCGGCGTGATGAACGCCGTCGGCGTGCGCCTTCTGGAAGTATGACGATGCCAGGTCGGTGAAGTCTTGCTCGGTGCGGAGCACGGCCATACCCTCGAAGTAGAAAGCGAGGAAGTCATCCAGTGACGTGAAATGCTCGTAGCGGGTCTCGAGCGCCGCGACGGAAGCATAGGCTGGATTCTCAGCCACGGAAGGGAGTTGAATGCCGTTGCGTTCCGCGAGATGAAAGATCAATTCGGGCGTGAGGCATCCTTCCAGGTGGACGTGATGTTCGCACTTGGGGAGACCGTGAATAAAGTCATGCAGAGGGGATTGACACATGGCGGGTTTGGACACACGCGCAGATGCAACAAATAGGGGAGAGATTATGTACCAGGGAAAATGCTTAGAAAAAACGATTACACAAACGATCACGAAGCCCGTACCTGCACACGAGGCAACATGACCCTCTAAATACTGGCCGATGCAATGGAAGTCCCGATCACGGCCCGTTTTCCAGTCCCTCAAGGGAGCCACATACGGTCTGCCTATGGAGCAAGTCGCCCTGCCTCAACCCCCATCAGTGTACCCACTGAAGCATATCGACTCGCGGTGGAGGCCATCCACCCCGACATCATTGGGTTAATTCTTCAGCCAAATCGAGGAGGCAGAGCCGGGCTAAAACTCTTAAATCGACGGGCGGACTGCCTCCACGGGCATTGATTGGGTCGTTCTTCTGTTGACTCCCTGTGCGCCCGCCGTCCCAGAGCGGGTGAATGTTTGGAACTCGAGCACGCGTGATAAGGCACGAGATGAGCACCGTCGATCGGCGGTCGCCGAGTGTTCCACCGAGTACTATGAGGGATGGGCAATGGAACTAGTTTACAACGAGTGAAGAAGAGTGAAGACTTGTCGGGCGGCGTTCCTGTTCACTAACTACTTACTCCTACATCTGCATAGTTACTGTTCAGTGCCAACTATCTACCGCGGAATTGATAAACTATGAATGTGGTGGTGTGGATCATCGTAAACAATGCTCACAAGCACCAAAGGTAATAAACCTACCCTGGTCGGATCAATTTTTCTTCTTGGCTTGCAAAAGGTTCACCTGGCAAAGCCAAATGCTTGAGAGACCACTTCCTCCCACAGCAAGGTTGCGTGGACTCGTGTGCTGGCATTGGATGAAACTGTGTTGAGATCAAGTGTCACTGTAAGTGGAAATGATCCTAAGTAACATGGAGAAATACATGTCGATCTAATCATGGGTATGCGAAGAGTATTGCGAAGCAGAAGTGGATCGCAGCATTCAAGTAATCAATGCCTACTTCCAACAAATACAGGATCAGCTATTTTCAGCTGGAGAGACAGAGAGAGATTCCTATGCCTTCAGCTCTGCCCCGGCCGCTTTGCGTAACCGGTTCATCACGGCAGCTGCCAAGTCACCGTCCGCATCCGCGATGCCCTCTACGTAAATGACATCCGTTTCCAATTCATCCAATGCCCGCAATGCTGCGAACAGGCCATGCGCAATGGATTGCGTATCCGACCCCAAGTGGTAGTCATATGCAAGCTTCGTGCGACTACTCGGGCTGCCCATCTCCTGGCCTGGGACGGGGAAGCTCTGCAGATGCTCGATGGCGGAGGGAACAGGACGCAGAGAAGATGCCAGATCATCGGTTGGCAACAAATTCAATCCCTGGGGCCACATGCGCGTGCGGACGATCCCGATGCTATGGGCGCCAATTGCACTGTCGGAGAGATCTTTCCGTACGCGGCGTGCCACACCCGCAACGGAGGAGCCCGATTCGAAGAGGACAACTCGTGCCTTGGGGGAGTAATGACGGTACTTCATGCCCGGGGCGCGCGGAATCTCTTTGGCATCAAGCGTACCGTCGTGATAGCCAAGGGTAACGTTTTCCCAGCCAGGACAGCTGCGAAGCTCTTCCAACCCGATGCCGCCAGGGCGCAGGATGGCAGGTGGATGGCAAAGGCCGTCGACAACAGTACTCTCTACACCTACTCCCGAGGGACCACCGTCCAGAATGAGATCGATGCGTCCATGCAGATCATGGTAGACGTGCTGCGCGGTGGTTGGAGAAGGTTTCGTGGAGGCGTTGGCGGAGGGGGCAGCCAAAGGGCGGTCGGCGACGTGGATGAGTAGGCGTGCCAGTGGGGATTTCGGCATCCGCACTCCGAATGTGGTCAGACTGGACGTGACTTCGGGGGCAAGCTCCGACCCTGACGGATTGGGGAGGATGATGGTCAATGGGCCGGGCCAGAAGCGTTCCACAAGCGGGTGGTAGATCTCTGGAATCTGGATGCGCGGCGTCTTGGTCGAAGAAGGGCTGCTGGGGGTAGGGGAGGATGGATTCAGCAATCGAGTCAACATGTCAAGGGAGTCGACATGGACGATGAGAGGATTATCTGAAGGCCTTTGCTTGGCACGATAGATGCCCTGGACCGCAGCGCTTCGTGTTGCGTCCGCTCCCAACCCATACACTGTTTCGGTAGGGAAAGCGACGGGGATATCACTGGTGCGGAGGAGCTGTGCCGCTTCCTCGATGACCTTGGCTTCGGGAGTCTGCGGCTTCGCCTCATCCGCCCACCACTCTGCCAGCGTCCGGGGTCCAGGACCCTGTTGCAAGCGCTCAATAGAGACCACTCTTGTCTCTTGCGTTGCCATCTTGGCGGTGGTGGTGTATGTATTGCGGGTGACGAAGTGAGCCAGTTGGCGCCGACCAGTGCCAGCGAGAAATCGAGCGCACAGCAATGTGATGGTCGTACAGAGTAATCGCCAGGGGCGGGGCGAGACACGAGAGATGTATAAATCAGACGACAGGCAGATCAATGACGCAAAATTGGTCGCACATGCAATGGATAGGTCTGGGCGAGGAGGGGTAGCAATAACAGACACGAGCAAAGGGCCCAAGTGACCCAAGTGGACTGCGACGGGTGGACTCAGTCGACCGAATGGAGCGCGATGGATGGGGGACAACGGGGCCCTCGTGGATCTGAGATTTGGGAAAGCTGACTTTGTTAGGCGCCTTGTTTCAGGTATCAATGTGTCACTCTCGTTCGGTCAATTGGCGAGCTCTACACTCCCATCAATACCGGCCGTGGATGATTCGGATCTTTGACGTGTCGTTCTTATCGCAGGGCCGAGAAAAAAAAAACCGCGCACGATAACCGCTCGGTGGTCACCTGCGGGGACCGGCAATCGCGAGATGACGTCGGGTGAGTCAGCCGAGCCCACGAGGGGCAGCCCGACGGCAGGTAAGGAACTGGATGAACTACAACAGTAACTAAACTGACAACTGCTTCCTTGAACCTGGCTGTCCCTGATTGTAGCTGGCAGTCCGGTATATGGTGACAGTAGTCATTATCACACGGCAACACATACAATGTGCTGAGAACCAGACTGTCATTCTATTCAGCTGTAATTGATTCCACCTTTCGCCAAGAGAGTGACGCTGGATTTGAGAATGTTCAAGTAGACCTAGAGGCAATGAGATTTAATAGTCCGAGGTTCTTTTCCAGCTCAAAGTATGAAAAGGACTGCATTTGATTCATCCCGATAACACATACAACGATCTTGAGCGAACAGTCATACCAGCTGATTCATGGATCCCCCCCCCTGGTCTAAGCCCTATGGATTCGGTGGATCGGCGCTGATCGGCTCTATAAGCACCGCCATCCACCTCATAGTGCAGATCTTAAGAGGCATGGCATGTGCTGAGTATTCGAACACGTGCCACCGCCAAGTGTAGATATGAAAGAGCAAGCACGTGCGCCTGACCGACAAGCAGTAGGTCAGCTGTCAAATATCAGCCTTCAGGTTTCATCTCTCGGAAGCGTTGGGATGCGACCACCGTGTGGCGATTGAACTTCGACGAACTGGCGAGCTGATTATTACTGACTAATGTGACCCGAGATACAATAATGTCGCCCAAGAGGCAAGACATGACATCAGCTCCACATTGTGAGAACTCCCATGATTTTTGGTTCCAGTGTTGTCTTAACTGTGCTATGCGTATTGGCAATGGTATAGCCTATGATTCTCTACCACTATTCAATGGAAATATCAAACGTACACCATCAACATAAACAGATGTCTCCTCACGGACATGGTGGCTAGGTAGATAGCATTGCAATGTCAATCGAACATCCACAACCTCACTCTATTTCTTCTTCCCTCCTTTGCCCCCACCTCGACCACCTCCACCTCTGCCACCCTTTCCACCACCTTTCCCTTTGTCACCACTGCCTCCGCTGCCACTACCGGCAGTCATGATTCGGACTTTGCCCACAGTCATGGTGTTGATAATCTCCGTATCCTTCCAGCCCTTGATCAACTCTCCCTCACGTTCCCGCAATTTCTCCGCATCCACCCGCGAGATGCCCAGATCCTCGGCATACTCCTTCTTCACTTTACCAGTCGTGGTCTCGGACACCCACCGGCCCACGATCTCTTTCACTGCCTTGCCCTTCTTCACAGTACCAGGTTGAAGCTTGACCTTGTACTTGTACCGGCCCAGAGACCCCCAGGGTGCGCACATGGGAATCGCAGCGAGGATCTCGTCATCAGGCGATGGGTTGCCCACCAATGCAGGCAACCAGCTGAGAGCAGCGGCTTCCGCGGCGGCAACATCTTCACTGTAGTCATCACCACCTTCTTCGAAGGCAGCTTGCCGCTTTCGCTCGGCTTCAGCGGCGCGTTCGTGTTGCGCACGACGGCGGGCCTTTTGAGCTTCGGCCTCGCGCTCACGCTGAGCTTTGGCTTCCGCAGCCTGCGCAGCCTTGGCTGCTTTGCCCTTGTCGGCGCCGAGAAGACGGAGAGCGAGTTCTCGTTCCTCGTCGTCTTGATGAGCATACTTGGCGGCGGCTCGCTTCTCCTTTGCTCTCTTGCCGCGAGTGGGGGGAATGCGCGGCGCACTAGGCTCATCTCCGGCTAGTCGCTCCACGGGCTTTCCTTGGCGCAAGTTGCGTCGTTCTCGGGCGTTGAGCTGTTTTCGGTCGTCAATCGAAGAGGTTTGCTCGTTCACTCTGTGCGACGCCTCCTTGGAGTCTACTTCAACCTCGTCAGCCTGTGCGGACTTCAGATCTGATTCAGCCTCTCCTATAGCTTGATCCTGTTCTTCAGCATCGGAGTCGTTCTCTGGATCGGTAAGCGAATGACCCGTCTCGACAGATAGCTGGGAGTCCCCACGTTGGAGAGGATTGCGCGCTGGAGGCTGATCGTCCTCTTCCTGTCCCTCAGGCTCCTCGTTGTCAGATGATTCATCTTGTTTAGGCTCGTTTTGAACCTGGCCGTTCTGTTGCACATCGTCGCCTCCTCTGGTCTCTCCCTCGGTTGGCTCAGGCTGTTCCGTGACCCGATCCTCTTGTTCTGACCGAGTGATCTCTTTATCCTCCGTAGTGGCCACTGCAGGTAGTTGACCATCTGCGTCGTACAATTGCTTGTGGTTCTTCACGCTGTCCGGGCTAATTTGCCACAGGACCGCAAATCCAAGCACCAGCTGGGATGGAGCAAGAAAGTATTTCTCTCCCTTTACCTCAAATCGGCCTGTAGGAAGCAGGCCTCCGCCGGCCTGGGAGGTTTTGGTGACCTGGTTGGCGTGCACCCACCAGGCAGACATGACGGCCTTGGACTCCCAGGCAATAGATGACGCAACACACATGTTTCCAGCCTGAGAAAGGGTACTGGGTGAGATGGGAGCCTCAGACTTCCCGGGGCGGTTCTTCACCACAATGGGAAGCGCTCCCTCCAGGTCTGCATGAATGAAGATGTCACCCTTGAGCAGATACCGACGGTAAAGCAACTCGCTTTGCATTGCGTCGCGGGCACTGTTGAAAAAAGTCGTTTGTCAGATTCACTTCCCATATCAATGGAAACACGTGCAAGGTGATCAAAGAAACATACCCAATAACCAAGTAACCTTCAGACGAGATGAAGAAGACAAATTTCTCAAACCAGAATGGCTCACGGGCTTGACGCAGAACTTGTTTCTCTTGTTTCAAACTTTTCTTCAGATCTGCCGTTACCTTCTTCTCGTGGCTCTTCAACGCCTTTGTCGATGATTGGGCCGTGCGTTGCTGCTTCTCCGAAGCTTGCTTCTTCTGGTCGAAATACTGGGAAGCATTCGCCCACGGAGACAAAGCCAGGTCAATATCAATAGTCAACATCTTGGAGGAAGCATCAGCACGGCGCTGCTTTTCTCGGGCCTCGCTTTCCGAGTCGGAGTCGGAGTCGGACTCGTCACTAGACGCATCTTCTTCCTCATCCTCGTCCTCGTCTTCATCTTCGTCGCCGGCTTCAGCCAGTAACAGGGTAACGGTGTTTTCATAAAGTTTCAAAGGAAGCTTGATGACTTGCGCGACGGGGTTTCCACGACCCTGTTCCATTTCGATCAGCCGCTCGATCTCGCCCCAATCCATTCCTTGCGCAACTAGACCATTGACTGCATCCATGGCCTCCTGAACTCGATACATGTTATCTTGGATGGCATTGGCCTTCCGAACATGGAGTTCTTGTGCGGTCTTGAGCGCGTCGATACGCTTTCTGTGCTCTTCCCGGACAGCCTCCAGCTTCCGCTTAGCAGCTTCCTCTTTCTCGGTCAGTCGAGACTCCAGGCGTTGTGATTCCAGGGACGAGAAATACTCGTCGACAGTGGCATTGAACTTGTCGAATTCAAGAATTGTGATGCCAGGCTTGCCTTCAAATTGTTGTGGTCGAAATGGGTGGAAATCCTCGTACAAAAGGCCCGTCGTCTGTGACGCATTCTCGCCATCGGCAGAAGCTCGCTTATCCTCTTTCGCAACGATATAACCCCGATGGCTCTCGCCAGTGTCGAAACTTTGGGAGACTCTCTGGGCTTCCTCGAGCACTTCTTTCGCCTTTTGTAGCGCCCCTTCGTCCGCCAAAACATCGTCCAACGGCGTCGCGGGATCGTAACCTTTCACCGCAAAAGCGTGATCTAGGAGTAAAGGCGGGTACTCAGGGAATCCCTGAGAGAATGCTTTTCTCAAGACATCTGTATTCTTCTTCTTTGTCTTCTTCGCGGCACCCTCGTCCTTGGCGAACAGCGCTTTGGCTCTTTCGATCGTTTGCCTGACTCGGTCATCGGTGATCTCCGGCACACCTTCATAGTTTTGCTTATTTGTAATAGTGTAGGTCAGACCCAATTTGGCTTCTTCACCCTCGGCTGCGGACACTTGACGAAACAGCGCAATGATCGTATGGTCGCGGTCCGTAAGAATGATGTTGCCGCCGGCGAAGAACTCAAGGAAGAGATGGTATGTGCCGTCGCTGAAAGAGATGTCAATGACGCGATCTGTGCCGATCTGTTTGATGCTGGTCACACGGCGAGACTTGAGGTATTTGCGCAGGCGAGTCACGAAAGGCGAGGGAGCGGAGGCTGCGGTGCGGGAGTAGTGAGTGACATGGGTACGGAAGCCCGAGTCAACGATCAATTGGCGTCGGTGATCTGGCTTGGAGAGCTTGAAGAGAAAGATTCGCTGTAGGTGGCGTCAGACATTGGTGCTCATTGAGGGACAAGCAGGGTCTATCATAGGTATAGATGTAGGCTTGAGACGTACTGAAGAAAGGTCATAGATGTTGGACACGCGGAGATTGACAAGCTCCGCGGCCAGCTCCTGGACAATGACCTGGGCAGGTGTGTTAGCTGCTTTCCCCGTCAATCGAAAGAGCTTTCATGCAGGTCAATGTGAATACCTTCACGTCAAGCGACGAGAATCTCTGCTTCATCTTGGTTGCTGGAGATGTTTGGAAAGAGAGGAATTTTTTGAGCGTGACGTATGCGGGGCAGTGATCCGATCGGAGTCGGGGGTCTAATCGGGGTCAGGCCGCACGCGATTACTACTACGCGGTCCCCCGCGGGCCATTGGAAGCCGATGACTAGTACGGTAGGTAGGTAGGTACCTGTGCAGGTCAATTGTCGCACTTGATGAATTTATGGCTAACAGCTTGTCATAATGTATGCTCATCCATGCATAGCGTTTCAATCCTCTCGTATGGAAACTGAGTCTTCCAAAGATGCAATGCCACACATCGCACAGAACTGGTATAGTTTTAATCGAAGAGAAATCAGAGAGGTATACAGGATTTGAATCTATGAGAGTCCAAAATAATGAGGAGAAATCGCTTGGAATCAATCAGGGACGAGCCGTATCACGCCAGAGCCAGGCAGGAAAAGAACAATTGAAAGGGTAGTGGTAGTCATAGAAACAAAGGAAGTGGGGATGCGAAATGAAACAGCGGTTTCTCGAGACCAAGAATGCGCGCAGCTCGGCATCAGGGAAGGATCGATGGAAGAGATTCACCCGTGTACATGCGCCAAAGACATTGAAATTGCAAAAAGACAGATGAGATCATGGTGTTCCTCCTGTCTACATGTGTCGCAGACCCTCGGCCAGGCGCCGCTTGCCGAACTCCCAGGCATTCATGAGACCTTGTTCCGAGAGGTCAATGTTTTTCATATTGGGCGCATCCGCGGCGGGAGCACGGCTGACACGAGAAGCAATCATGACAGGGTCGGTCTCAAGGATAATTCCATCGTCGATGGTCTCGTCGATTGCGAGTGCGACAAGGTCGTAGTTCTCCACGATAGTCCGCTTGTCGGTGGCACCCCTATTGAAAAACGACAGGTCAGCTTCCGCTGCGTTGAACGAACATGCGCCAGATTCCTCGGATCTGTTCAGGGCCTAGAGAAAACGTTACAACATACTTGAAGAGTATTCCAAGCGCATCCCGCAAGGACAAGACAACATTGTACAGCAGCACTTCGTTCTCGTCGGCGCTTCCAACAACATAGATCATCACGTCGCTCTCCATCTTGAAGACCACGATCCTGTTATCGTATAAAATGACATCGCTGGTGGACTTGTTTGTCTTCTCAAGCAATCCTTTCTCGAAAGCTCGCTGCTCTTTGACAGTGGGGTATGGGTTGGCACCAGGGTAGTCGGTGGAAGTGGGTGCTGTGCCTGTAGGCGGGTGTGGAGCGGCATAGTATTTGGCGAGGATGCGGGATCCATCATCTGCCGACATTATGAGGACCGCATTTACGGAGAATAACGACAAAGGGCCTGGCATTTTTGTGAAGGTACCTGCTGGATTTTGGGTACGTAGTGTATTTTTAAAGATAGCTCCTGGAATTTGTTGATGCGAGCTGGCACCTGTCCGCGGATCCAAATCGCACTAAGGTTTTTCCGGGGGCTTATCAATCCCAGATAGCGGTGGGGTGTCAATTAACGGGAGGACCTCCGGCTCTACGGTTAGTCCTCGTCATTTGATGTGATCAGGCTCGAGGTCGAGTCGATGACTTGATCGTTGGCTATTACTCACTTGATCGAGGGCATGGAAAGACTGTAGTGGACACGTTCCCTCATCTGAAGGTTGATTTCAAATTCAAAACCTGTCCTCGAGATGATAACCGAATTGAAAACCAGTTTCCATCCACCTTCATCCACATGACGATGGAAACAGTTAACCCTATATATATTTCTCTAGGCTGTCCGAGTGACTCGCATGTCATGAACTCGGGCATGGATCTATTGAGTGATTTGCCACCTCAACCATTCAGGCGACGCATCCACAGCCTGCCTATCTACATTTGAAGGTACCTGGATAGTATGAATAGTCCTCAAGATAGACACTAGACACAAGTGCCCGATACGTACCTAAGGAGGTATTTCAGAGGTGCTTAGCAACTTGTCGACTTTGGGATGATACCTAAGCAGAAACTCCATGCTAATTACTTAATCGCTCACCTTATGAGTCTTCAAGAGGACGATCTAGAAGTGCCTTAACCCATGGAATCAAAGTGGAAGAGAATGTTGAACAAAGGGTACGCAGCTACCGAGAGCAAAACCAGTGGAGAAATATCAAGGGATAAATAGGTTGGCATTCCAAGTCACAATGCTTGCCCGACACGAACTGATTGATGACGCATGAGAGGACATAAGGCATTATATACAACCAAAGGCAAGAAAAAGGGGTATGGGGAAACGATACAAAACACAAGTCCAGAAGCCCATCGAGTCATCCAGATCCCGAACACGTCACAAAGTGAGGGAAAGTTCAACATGTACAAAAGAAGCATTCCATAGTCATAACATTGCCCTGGAAAAAGGACTTAAGAGGGAGACTGCGCTTGCTCCTCCCCGTTGGCAGGGCGATTGAACCATCCCGGAATCCAGCTGGCGCGGTTGGCCTTCTTGCGGGCGGCCTCTTCTTCTTCCTGTCTCGCTGCATCACTGACCAAACGCAGTGGCCGCAACTTATTTTGCGTCATCACGGCGCCTGTGTAGTTGGTCATGCCACTAACGGAACGGGGTGGGCTCGAAGTCCCTCCGGTCGAATTAGTATCCCCATGGATGTCACTGATGACGCTCGGGGAGGTACTGCGACCGGCCCGATCGGGTTGACTAGACATCGACGGCGCCCGGCTGGAGATGTAGCTGGCTGCACTGGAGAACATGCTCTGTCGAGAGCCAGGGCCAACCGCCGTGGGGCTCAGCGGGCCACCAGAATTGCGACCGCGATACATCTGCCCGACCACCGATGCAGCGTTCGGGTCAACCTGTTCCGATCGAGTCCGACGATGATTTGCACGTGCGGACTGGGTACGGATTGGAATACTCGGGGCCGTGTCGGGATTCTCATTGGCACTCAAGGGCAGTGCCGGCGGCGGCATCATGCTATTAGGGCGTGATAGAGGTTGCGAACGAGGAGGGCCGGCGATGATCGACTTAGTACGCTGGATGAAAGATTGCGAGGGTGCATCGTCCTTCTCAGGAGGCGTTGGAGGCAGTTCTTTATCATCCAGCTTCGAGGCCTTTGAGCTGGTGTCTTCCTCATTTCGGTCCAGGACGTGCTCGAACCCATCGTGCTGCAGTACGCGACTGATGATGCGCTCAATGTAAAGGGTCAAGGCCTTGTTCTGATCCCGCAAAGCCTTCAGCTCAGCTTCATACTTGCTGCTGAGCTCATTCTCCGGAGTCTCGTCAACAGACTCTAATTCATCAGCCAAAGAACCCAAGCCCCCGCCCGACGACTTGTCCGGATGAATGTGTTGCATGAAGTCACCCTTGGTGAAGTCGCCGGTGAGGGTCTTTTCGCTGAGCAAGAGTTGGTAGCTTTCGTTGTCTTCCATCAAGCGAGCGTTGGCCATGCGAGCCTCCAGGAGCTCCTTCTCCAACTCTCGCTGGCGGCCCCCGCCTGCGTTCTCCATCTCCACCAACTTGATCTGAGATTCCGCCAACTCGAGACGAAGTGATTCGATCAGCTTGTCTTTCTGAAGCAGCAGATTGGAGTTGTTGCGAGAGGGGCTACGCTCGATATGCGACGATGGAGCGAACTGCCCATCCAGATCGGGCGAAGTGCGGTTACGGAAACTGGCTGTAGATGTGTTAGAACGGTGATCAACATCAAGAAATCATAGAGGAAGAGGAAAATCGAAGTATCGGAGAATACGCAGAAGGGCCGTCATACAAGATCTGGAAATTTGCCGTTCCCCCTCGGCGTTCACGGGCATGCTTTTCTGCGCCACAGAGTCCTTCAGTCGTTGAATGGTCGCCTGCAACTCCTCTTCCCGACTGGCTTGCTGCTCTTTCTCCTGGAGCAGTGCATTCCGTTCCAGCTCGTGATTCTGTTCCAGGTCCCGTATCCGGCGAGCCTGCTCCCGAATCTCACCATGAAGCGTCTCCAGCCGGGTGTCCTTCTCGTGGGCTTGATCCTCCATCTTTCCTTGCTCGCTCACAGCCTCATCGAGTCGCATTTGCAGGACTCCCAGCTGTTTCTGATACTGCTCCGAGGCGGTCTCCGCCTTCTGGAGTTGCTCTCGCAACTCCTCGATGAGGGCTGCATTCTGGGCGCGAGCCTCCTCCTCGGAAGGATCATGACTGACCCGCGGAACGTTCGACATGCTCAAGTTGGACCGGCCGGGCTTTCGTGCGGCAGCGCGCGCAGAGACGGGAGTAGAACTTCGCTGAGAGGGGGAGCGACTGAGACCGTTGGTGGCGGCAGCGCTGGGCGAGCGGGCATGACCTCGAGTGGCGGTTCCGTTGGTCACAGGCGGTTCCGCGGTCGATGATTTGCTGGGACTGCCGGCACTGGCAGGCTTGCGAGTCGCGGCGGACATCGAGCAGGGTCCTGAGTGGAGAGGGCCCCGATGCGTCGATGGAGGGTATGTGAACAAAGGAGGAGTACTCGGACTGGCGGGTTCGAGGGTCTTCTTTCAGGGGATGCTGTCAGAGTCCAGGATGAAAGAAAGATCAAATGAATTGAGACTGGCGAAGAGGTGGTTCACCTGTGGTGGTGCTTGTGGTTGTGTGCTTTCTTCTGGCTGTAGTTTGAGGGGAATTGGGGGGGGGGGGGGAGCGGTCAAAAAAACGTAGAGTGGGTCGGACTACCGCAAATCGGTCGGTTTTAAGTTGGTACCTTGAGAAGTGAGCAGGAAGAGAGCGGGTCACGACGGGCAATTGCGAATGGATCGCAAAGCAAAAGATGGAGATGACGGAGGGGCGGAGGATCGGAGACGGCTGCTGCTGTTGGTAAGGTTGCCGATATTTGGGCTGGTACTCAGACTGTAGTTGTTTACATTGAGCGATGGGTGGATGGATGGATGGGGGTCTCGTGATGATCAATCGATTGCGCCCGAGAGTCTCGAGGGCGACAGATTCGAGGGTGTGAAACAGAGTGCCCAGATAACTCAGGAGAGAAGGGGAGTAGAAGAGAGGCCGCTTGAACGAGGCCGCTGGCTCAGCGGAATGAGGAGTTGTTGAGCTTCTTGTATGTTCTGACTCCAGACCCTTTAATTTCCTTCAGGTGCTACGGACTGCGGACTGCGGACTGCGGACTGTGTTTTCTCCTTACTGGGTAACCGGGTAACGACTCACAAGCCCCCAAAGACGAGTGGTACGCCTACGGAAGCGTGTGCTGCACACTCCGATCCACCCTCAATCTCCACCTCCATACATACATGTTCCTGCAAACGGTGGACTGAAGAGTCAATGATCAACAAGAGGATATATCGCCATCTATCTTGGACTGCATTATATGATCGTGGAGTCCGGGGCATTATTCGGATGGAAGAATCTAAAAATATCGGTCCCGAGACATGGTTTGGGGGTTCGGGGCGGAGTGAAGCAGAAAACAAGGGGCCAGAGGCCAAGGAAGAAACTCAAAGGAGAGAGAGAGAGAGAGAGAGACCTAATTCATATAGTAAGTGTACGAACGAGATATAGCCTGAACCTAATCGCAGGCAACGGTATACAGGACAAGATAGGTAGCAGCCGGATCGACTAGGGAGCGAGCACTCCCATCTTGATTCATATCAGGAAAGCAAGGGCCCCTGACTTCTATCCCACTACACGTATATTGTCATGGATGGAAGTAAATATTGTGCCCAGATCGGCAGTGGATCGTAAAACGCTGAAGGACATAAGTAGACCTCGTCTAACTTGATCCAAAGCTGCTGGAGGTTTCAGATAGGTCAGGGCCAGTCAAAGGGGCATTCCGTCAGCAGAACTACAGTACTGGTAGTTCGATCTTGACTCGACTTTCCAGTCGAAGCAGGTACTCCATCACGTAATACCCTAAGATAAGTAGTAACTAGCAGTGCAGTGGTCGCAGTTATTAGCCGGAAGTACTGCGCTCGGTACGCTGTCGCGCTGCATCTGCAATTCTGCATATAGCCATGTACAGTACAAGCCCACAAGGTAGGAAAAGTTAATACCCAGCTATCATCCGTACGCAAAGTACACTAGTACAGTAGCGGTTACTCACAGACAACCCTATTTACCTGAGTGGTTCTGTATGTCGTGCATCTATGATACGGATCTTTGAGGTGCAGGATGCAGCTTTGCATTATAGCCGAATATGTAAATACTAAATAGTGCTGTTCCCGTGGCCTGCAGGGGTTTAGTAAACGCGCCGAATGTGATGTGCGGCGGGCAATAAGGCGGTTGTTTGTTGCTCGGTAGGGAGAATGATCCTCGGGCGCAGAAAACGGAACAGTCTCACATGCGATCCACAACGGAGCACACATGCTCTGCACTGCATCCAGGTGGGAGGTAGGGATGCCCTGCAGCCTGTGGAGTCAATGGAGTGTACAACTTTCACTCCGAACTGAGCCATATGGCGTCCTCGAGACGGGTAACATCCAGGTGAACGTTGTGCTAGGAGAGATACAAGTCACGTGTTAAGCATGGGGCTGGACCGGGCGGCCAGCGGAGACGTAGACGGAGCGGAACAACGGCACCTCCGGGGACCGTTTGGATATTTCTTCAACATGGGCAAAACTCGCGATTCCCGCGATAGCTTCTCGTTATCCACGCCGGCCGGAGCGCATCTCTCGATCAACATCCTCAGATTATATTTGAAGTTCACCACTTCAAAGCGTAAAGATGGCCCCCAGCAAGAAGTCCAAGAAGGGTTCCGATAACGTGAGTGGATCTTTATTAGATCGTGATTACATTCCCGATCGCATTCCCCATCTAGATCCGTTGTGCCGTGCCCAGGGACCGAATGAAGTGCTGACCTTCCCATTGCAGATCAACTCCAGGCTCGCCCTGGTGATGAAGTCCGGCAAGGTCACCCTGGGTGTTCAGTCTACTATGAAGACTTTGCGTTCGGGCAAGGCAAAGCTTGTCATCATCGCTGCCAACACTCCCCCCTTCGCAAGTCCGAGCTCGAGTACTATGCCATGCTGGCTAAGACTCCTGTTCACCATTTCTCTGGAAACAACGTAAGTCACTCACCATCGGATTGTTGTCACCGAGGATCGCTTTAGCATGGCGCAAAGGTCCAACCAATTATCATTGACTGGACCCATGCTAACAGCGACTTGCAGATTGAGCTCGGTACCGCGTGCGGTAAGCTCTTCCGTTGCTCTACCATGGCCATCCTCGACGCTGGCGACTCCGATATTCTTACCGGTACCCAGTAATTGATGGAGGTTCAGAGAAGCCAAAGGGGAGGAGGTGGAGCAGAGCTGCCTGTGAGGACTGTCGGAATGGCGTGTTGGTGAATGCTCTACGTTGGCTTTCCCTGGAAGGAGGTGTATATCAGGTCCAGTTGATTACCGTCACTGATTCTCTGCAAAGTCGAACAACGAGCGTTTCACCACCCAAAAGTGCTGCCGTGCTTCCTTTAGAATTCCAAAGGGAGAAGCCGTATGACGTGATCTCCCAGAAAACCTTCCGACCCTGAACTGGAGGCGACGGGAATCATTGCTGGATTTGTAATCGATGCACGGATGAAGGTAACCGTAGTAAGCGCTAGTTAAGGGTTCATCCTGTTGGAGTCTCATTCGTAAGCAGCCGCGATGACTCAAGTTGAGTCAAGCACACTTGGGCTGATGAGCTCGAGTATATAGTCTTGAACGGAGCATCAACTCCTTGATCGCATCTTATCCTCCTATCAGTACTACTGAACTACTGATACAGGCGGACGCTTATCAAAGGGCGCCCGTTGTCGTAACCCAAATCGGCTGAGAAAGCCAATAGTGGATCATACATCCACTCTGTGATTGGTCCGCTCACTAGGGCTAGGGCTTCGCCACTTTGCTGCTTGGAAATCAAACAATCCCGTGACCCGCCCAGTTTCCCTTCTTTTTCGTTTTCGAACCCTCGACACCCAACGACAACCAAAAAAACCCAGTTCGCAGGAAGTGCATATCGCCAATCTCCAGCACTCACAATGGCTCGCCGTCCCGCCCGCTGCTACCGCTACTGCAAGAACAAGGTGCGTTGCCAACATTTTCGACTCTTGATGGAGAAGATATCTTTGTGTGCGGAAAGCTCGGCTGTGGGGGTTATGACGATCGCATGAAGCATCCCGTCTCTCGCGACCTCGTTGCGAAAGCGCCGCGGCGAGAGCATATATTGGATGTTTATACAACTCGGACGACAAATCGGGATATTTGTTGGAAATGAATCGTGGATCAAAAAAGAAGGATCTTTCTCGGGGGAAGGGCCACACGTGCACAAGAATTGAATCTACATCACATGGCTTCCGGCAGATCTTGGTTTGCTAACATCGAACCTTTTCGTCACTTTTAGCCGTACCCCAAGTCGCGCTTCAACCGTGGTGTTCCCGACCCCAAGATCCGTATCTTCGATCTCGGTCGTAAGAAGGCCAATGTTGACGACTTCCCCACCTGTGTGCACATGGTCTCCAACGAGTATGAGCAGCTGTCTTCCGAAGCCCTCGAGGCTGCCCGTATTTGCGCCAACAAGTACGTCTTTTTCCTTTCCCACCCCCAACGGTGGTCCGCTTGGTGCTTCCCTAGCATATACTCTCAAGATTCGCCCGCGAAGCTTTTCTGCGATGATGTCCATATGATACTAACAGCCCTCGGTTCAGGTACCTTGTGAAGATCGCCGGTAAGGAAGGTTTCCACATGCGTGTTCGTGTGCACCCCTTCCACGTCATCCGTATCAACAAGATGTTGTCTTGCGCCGGAGCCGATCGTCTGCAGACCGGTATGCGTGGTGCTTTCGGTAAGCCCCAGGGTACCGTCGCCCGTGTGAACATTGGCCAGATCATTCTGTCCGTCCGCACCCGTGACTCCCACCGTGCTACCGCCATCGAGGCTCTCCGCCGTGCCATGTACAAGTTCCCTGGCCGCCAAAAGATCATCGTCTCCAAGAACTGGGGTTTCACCCCCGTCCGCCGCGAGGAGTACGTTCAGCTCCGCCAGGAGGGCAAGCTCAAGCAGGACGGTGCCTACGTTCAGTTCCTCCGTGGCCACGGTCTCATCGAGGAGAACATGCGCCGCTTCCCCGACGCCTACGAGAACGTGTCCCAGGCTTAGATGGAGATCTGTCTTTTTTTTGAAGTTTCGACACAGAATATGAATTCAAGAACGATGATATTTTGAAGTTCTGATGACACTTTTAAAAAAACGGTTCTCTTTTCTTTTTAGCCAGCTTGTTCCAAAATATCAATTCCCCCGGCCTTTTTCACATTCGCATCCTCGTTTGTAGTACTCCGTAGTCAGCCTTGCACGTTGGTCAAGGACAGTCATTAAGACTTGATGATAAATTGATAGTGATGTCTCTACTCTGTACGACGTCAGGCTCAACTCAACTAGGGTACCTCATTCCATCATCTACCATCTACTGCTCCAAGCAGTGGAGTCTAGACCACGATCAACTCGCACCGGTAGGAGGCACTGGAGGTTCTCATCAGCCGCATGAGCCGTCGCTATCGCCTGGATGATGCTTCCTGCACCGAGACCGGAATCGTCAACGCCCCGCTCAACATTGGCCATTGTATGCACTACGTCTTGACATTATTCTTCCTTACCAGTACAAACAAGAGCCGAGAACGCAGCGACACCATGTGTAAGCGTCAGGTAGCTATTATTGTTCACCATGCGGCAGATTCTCACAATTTCGAACTCAGGGACCTACTCTGGGCCATCTACAAACCACCGCCGACCTAGTGCCGGACTGGTAATCTCACAGAGGAATTCAATATGTTCTATGTATGTCTAATCGATCAAAGCCCAGGTCACCGGGTATATGAAAAAGGAAAAAGGAAATGGAGAAACGCAACCAAAACGAGCGACGAAAGCTGGAGAAACAAATAGATACAACCCACACGGTCCACCTCACTTTTGGCCCAATGCTAGGAACGGAACCTGCTTTTTTTTTTGCCTTCAACAACCTGCTCTGACGCCTGCACTTGCGCGTGTTTACTCGGTGTCAGAGTTCGCGGGCACCTGGGCAGCCGCGGCAATAGCACTGGCACCGGCTTTGGCACCGCCACCACTGCTGGTAGTCCCGGCAGCACCGGGGGTACTGGGCGCAGTGCCGCAGCGCTCCTTGTGTACCTCGCCGGCGGCTATACGGGCCGAGTCAACGGTTAGCACTGGGTGGCCTGAACGAACTTGGGATGGCAACAAGAAGACAAAACACGGGGTATGGCTGGTAAGTTCCATCGCAGACGTACCTGTGATATCGTCGGGCGTGCAAGAATCCGTCAGACACTTTTGCAGGGCGTCTCTGAAGGCGGGGCTGGTGCAAGTGCAATCTGTGTCCCACTGGGAGAGACAGCCTGCGACGATGGCACCCTCGTTCAAGCAGCGGTTCTATGAGATGAGGGGGATATTCGATTAGACTAGGGAATCCAGACGTGTGTATGGGAGATCTCTTGTGACGGGGTGAACATACCAAGCAGTTGCTGACTTGTGTGGTCTGGTATAACATCTCGGCGGCGGTCATGGTCAGGAAGGCCGCGAGGGGAACGAAAACGGAGAGTCTCATATTGAATGATTGGGAGGTTAAGGATTGAAGATGAATGGAGGTAAACAGGTCAATGTGATTTTTATGAAGGATCTGTAGGGAGAGAGAGGAAGAAATATAGACGGTTGAATCAGTCTGCTAGATAGAGGAAATTAGGAATGAATGTGTGTTGCCCTAAAGAATCGTCGGCGGTTTCTCTACATTAAATAACGATCTCGGGAAAAGGACTTGAGGACTTGCAATGAGCTCGTCACTAACGCGACACACCGAGTCCAGGTAGTAAACAATCATTGGTGCCCGGGCAATGCGAAGAATGAGACAATAATAGAGATGCAAGGAATGCTGTGAAGATGCTCCCCCCCCCCCCCCCCCACCTTAGCAACCGACAACCCCCTTGGCATGCGCTGCCGGATGCTTCTGAAGATTGATTTAGAGCAGAAGTACTACACACTGTTGAGACATCAACCTTAACTCTGGGCTGGTATCGAGGCTGGATATGCTCACTGACAATATGTCGCTGCGTATGCCTAGGAAGTACCTTATCTAGTCCCAACAGTCTGTGTTGGCAGAGCGTTTGTTCATCTAGCAAGTTTGATCCTCGACCTTGAAAAGCCGTTGGTCCAGTACTTTTGTTGTAGTCACATCTGAATCTAACTTGTATGGAGTCTCCACTTCTCCTTAATCCCCAGAAAGCAAATCCTCCAATGGATACATTCGATCGCTCATCCGGATGCGCCTGACCAAAGGCTTTTCCTCCAGTGCTTCGGTGCTTCAATGCTTCGATTCAATGCAAAAGACAAGTCAAATCCAATTCGATGCCTCTTCTCCTGCAACCGCATCGATAAAAGGCCCCCCACTGTACTTATTCTGCCTAATCTATCAATAGGTAAACACTCCACAGTCCTGGGATCTCCCGGCCCGAATCCTCCGAAGAAATTATCAAAGGATCTCATTCGTGATTCTAGCCGGATAAGCTGGACCCGTCGATCGTCTTATATCAAGGGGGCTGGGATGTTTGTCCCATGACCGGCGGGATTGCAGACAATACAGCAAGTACTAAGTAGTAGGTACTAAGTTAAGTGAGTATATCAGAGATTTCCGCCGAATAAAAAGCCCAAATCTCTGATTCGGCTGTGGTCAACTTGGAGTTGTTGAGCTCCTGGGCGAAAAGATCTGGAGAACCTTCGGAATTGCACCGAGCCTGAAGTGGTATGGTCAAGGGCAAGAGCTCATGAGTACCCAAGAATTACTGGTCCCTCGTCGGCTGAAAGGAAAAGGGGCACCAATGCACTCGATTCCAAGTAATCAATTTGAACTGACGTAATCAAAGGGCAGCGAAAACAAATTTGAAGTCGCTGGGTGGGGATCGCTTCTAGAACATCTTGGTTGTCTTATGGGAATTTTATTCGAATTGGAAAAGGGGTTTACCATGTAGTCTGGACTCATGGAGTACGGAGCATGGACTAGCTATACGGCGTAGATTCCTATTGAAGCTTCTACATTCTAGTAGAATAAGAACCAAGAGGCTTTCACCATTTTTGTTGGCCTTCTAGGTGAACAGTACTGAGCCAATCTCATGGAGGTACTGGTGGTCTGGCTGCCATTCTGTCGGTCGTGATCATATTGATACATTACTCTATTAAGGAAATGCTTGAACTTCAAAACGAGCCAGTATGAGCTATATCCAATAGTCATGTATGTATATATGTAGATGGCAAGGAAAGAATCCAAGAGCCGAGAGTCAATGCTTGCAGGACCCAATAGGAAGATTCCAAAACCAGCCAAAGGTCAACAACTCGAGCAATCGAACCACAAGCTGAACCCCGGAAAAAGTCACTGCCAAGCGCCTGCAGATCGAATCAATGCCGCCAACCCTCTGCTTCGCCGTTGTATACGTATGTCCTTTGCCCCAAACAAAGGTTGTGCCACCCGCCACCCCCCGCCAACACCAAGAAATTTGTTGAAAATATGCAGACCGAAGTCGTGAAAATCCCAAAAAAAAAAAAAAAAAAAAATCGAAAGGGCGAAGAATTGCTGAGATGGAAAGAATAAAGGAAACAGACATATCACTTGATCATGCTTCCGCCCATGTGCCGAGTCCAGCTCCCACACCGATGGCGCTATTGCTATCCACAGATCCCCCAATATCCCAGTAATTTCTACTCGAACCCGTCAACGTACGATGACTCGAGACGCCCGATAGTTTGCTTTGACTCGCACAACTCGACCCTGGCCGACGCAGGTGCTGCCGGGTCAATGGCACCGGGAGTGCCGCAGAACCTGATACTCCTGAGATGTGAGATGGTCGGCGGGTCTGAGTTTGCGAGCGGGTATGAGCACGGGCAACGAGGGGGTGATGCTGACGAATAATGGCTGCCCTCCGCGAGGCGTCCTGTGTGTGACGTGGAGGGGACGGTGTTGCAGTCTGCTTCTCGCCGGACATGTACCCACGGCGACTGAAGCGACTTCGAAGATAACGAAAGACCATCATGACATCCAAGCCACGCTCCCAATAATCTTGCTCCTGTTGTAGACGAGCGGACTCGGCAACACTCGCGCCACCGACAGGGTCCTCATCTTCAATGCCCCACTGGGCTTCATGGTCGGGATTGGGATCACCTAGAGTTGGGTGGAACTGTAGGGATGGTATCGATTCGGCAGCGAGAGTCTCATTTGAAGATGGCCGTGGGGCGTTGGCGCTTTCGCTAGACTTCTTGATGGACGTACTGTCCGCCAGACGGTTGAGTGGCATGCCTGCATACTCACCTGAAATATCCTTTGTCAACTCGAAATAGGATGTAAAGGCACCAGGATGCTCACAGAGCTGGTGCACGAGTATCCCCAACTCGTGAGCAATTCGCTGAATGACTCGGCTCTGCCAGAGAGGCGCCTCGATTTGCGGGACTTCGGGTTCGCGTGCCAGCACGGTCTCCATGTCCAGCGGCGGTGAGTCTTTGTTCACAGACGGCACCTCCACCAGTAGGGTTTCTCCGAGTATGACAGAAAGCAGAGTGTCATCGATCCCGATGAGATCTTCGATCACTTTGCGAGTGATGCGGCGCCAGAATGATTCATCTATCTCGGCAACTGCTTCCGTTGACGACGTATCGATCTTCACGGAGCTCTTCGGCGTGGCTGCCAGAGGTGTAGACTCTACCGAGCGTGGCACGGCCGACATACTCGCGCGGCTCGACCGGCGTTGACGGCGAGTTTCCCGCTCGATCTCCTGTAGAAGTGCTCGACTCTGATCCATTCGCCACTGCTCTATCCTTTGCCAGCGCTCTCGGTCCATGAGGTTATCTTGCTCATTGATCGTGTCCACGTGACGCAGGACACTGGCCCGTCGGCGGGACTGGGTCCCGGTCTGCTGCCGCTGAGGATTATATTGCTCGTGCTGCCACAGTTGGGCCTGTGCCACGGGGCTCGATGCCTGGAAGCTGCCGAGCCCATCGTGAGCGGGCAGCATGGCCGGGGGACCCTGATCTGGAGAAGATGGAGATCCCGAAGGCAAGGAAGGTGCCCGAAAGGCATGCAGTCCATCATCTAAGCTGTCCAGCTCGGTCCCATCCTCATCGAAGTGGTCTTCCAACACATCCTCATCCTCTGCGATCGCGTGGTCCCCATCGTGCTCGACCGCCGATCGAGTCGCTGTGCCAAAGGAACCAAAATCACTGAGACGTGACGCTCCAATGGTGCGTGTATGCTCTGTCGAGGTGGTATGCGTACGGGCGGTCGGAGCAAAGAGCACCCATTGTGTGGCGTCCTCATCTTGTGGGGTTGACGATGGGGACGGCAGACCGAGCGACGGCGGGCGTTGAGGTGGTGAATGTGATGCTCGCCGCCGAGGTGCCTGAGTCGGCACCTGGAACGCCATGAGGAGGGGTGTCTGTGTCAGCAGCGGCAAAGTGGACAGTGGATTGTGAAGAGTAGCAATCCAAATTGACGGAGAAGGAGTGAATCAGTCGTGAGTCGAGGATGCACGGTTATTGAACTAGATCTTCGCCCGGGGGTGGATACTATGAGGATGAGGCATATAAGGGTGGATCTTCGCCCCCCGCAATCCTAACGACCGCAACTCGTGGTCACTCTGTCCCGATCAGCAAGTGTCTCAGGGAGACACTCAACAGTGGTGGAAAGTGGTTGGGAGAAAGTGACATGGAGGTTCAGAGATGATCTAGAGGGACTCCGCCATGCCCCCTTTCCCTCCGGGTTTTAATGGACAGGGGCCAGGAAGGGTTGCCAACGCGAGGGAGTGATGATGAGATACACCGCCGATAAGGGAACAGCCGTCTACGCCCGATAAGGTAGTGGAGTCGGATGATGCAAGCGAAATCGGACAAACCGGGTGCTAAAGAGGTGTAGCGTGAAGCATCAGGCGTCGCAACTGGTCTCCAGGTGTGTCCACGAACAGGGAATGGGCATGGGAACGGTAATATTCTCGAAAGAGATCCATCTTTTCGATGCCATGGCCCAGTGAAAAGGAAGGGGAGAATCACCAACAAAAGAAAACACAGAGAGCATGCAGATACGAAGACCGAAAATCAGCCTTCCTGAACAGATGGGCTGGCACGACCTCAACTAGACGTAGTCCTTACAGAATTATGAGACTCCGATCAATATAGGTAGTATACGCTGTCTTTTCCAGAGGCACCAGATCATGGCCTCAACATGGCACTTTTGTTGAATTGGGCTCCCAAGATGTCCAGCACTTGGGCGCTCAACTTGGACTGTACGCTCGTGTGCGGTGTCGAGCAGTCCGGATCTCCGTCCAGTGTGTCCACGGACCGGGCTTATTTCCACTGCGAATGTGATTGATCCTTGATCGCGTGAGGCGTTCGGACTCCAGAGGCAGATGATCCATCACAGCTGGGGTCCACCCGATCCATCTGTCCGATCAAAATGGACAAGACGTGTCATTCCGTCGGACCACTCCTCCTCCTTCTACTCCTATGTACTGTGTAGTATGTACTAACTATGCAGAGAAAAGGGGATTGATGGACTCATCGCGCGAGTGTTCGAGGCTGCACTGATGAGGCGCTGGCCACTCCTCCAAATCAGGTTGCAGCTGTCCCGACCTGCCATTAGTAGTAGTGTAAGCATGATCATATAACTAGCTTACTATACTACTACAGTGAGTACAGCAACACTGGAGGCTGGGTGAACTGCCTACTCCTAGTAGATGCCGTGGCAATAGAGAATATCCTGCTTATCGACCCCGGTACGAAAGTGGCAAGAGGATCGACGACCCCGTGACTGGCGGGATACTTCCGGCCTATCACAAAGGGCACTCGGCAGCAGGTCACTGTTTTACCACTCGGAGGGCTCATACTAAAAGTAAAGTACCTCACTCTCGTGATCTCGTCAGAGTAAGGTCCTGCGATAATAGACAGTACAGAGTACAGACTATAGAGTAACTCTGTTCGTACCGTCCGTGAGGGACAGGCTGACTCCAAAAGCAACTTACTCAGTGTAACCGGCATAGAGCCATAAGTGAGTAGGTAAGTATATGTAAGTAGTGACTTTACTTACTCAATACACACACACACACACACCATATTACATATGTTGACTTCGTTCACTACACGCCATCTCGCTCGACATGGACCCGACGGAACTAGGTAGTACTAGTGACCCGTGTGTAGGTGGTGAGTAAGTACCGTTTTATTACCTACTGGACAGTAGACGCCGCTTCAAATCAGAGGAACATCACGTCGAAAGTGAACACAGAGAACATCATCATCTGAAGAAAAAAGCATCTAGGGTGTCTCTCTTCGCAGTATATTGCACAGAGCAGGACCGGGCGGCACACACCCAAATGTCGAGAACCACCCCGACCATAATCAGGACGAAGTGCTCCGCCCCATGGATTCCGGGTCGTCACGCCTCGGCCGGACGGACCATGTCTGTGGCGTTTTAAGGATTCCACCTCAATTACATCCAACCCCCTAACGAACCTTGATCACTTGCCCGCCAGAGCTTCCCCAACCCAATCCATCTGCACAGCGCTGACGCCACGGGCATAACTACGATTCGTAAAGACAAACTCATTATATAGAATGGCCTCCACCTTCTTTCCAAATAGGACACTGGACGGGTGGATGGCAACCGTTTGGTTGCCGACAATGGTGCGGTAGCTGCCGTCGGGCACGAGACGTGCCGTGTTGGTTGCGAAGCCGGCCAGGAAGCTGCGCAGGATGAGTTCGGGGGATGGGTCGGGGTACTGGTCACCGCGCTCTTCTCGCGGGAGCATCTTGGTTTGTCGGCATTGAGCGCGAAGTTGCTTGCGAACGTCCTAGATGAGCATTAGTAATTGATCCGTAAGACCATGGCTTCAAAATCAAGCAACAGGGTCAAGGGGATCTCGTTCGTGATGCACACGAGGCAGATTTCCAGAGGAAGGGCAGAGAAGAAATGGAGAAGGACGCATCATTGCTAGAACGTACCATGACGGATTGCATCGCTCGATGCGATACAAGATGTCGCTCGGCCCAGGCCTTTCGGTCCACATTCTCGCCCGCGTAGGCCCGAACGGTCGAGAGCATCGTCAGATGGTCACCTTCGCGACGATACAAGTCTCGTCGGGCTGTCTCGGCTGCCTCCTTCTTCTCTTCCGAGGTAGTGTTGAGGAAAATGTTTTCAACACTGAGGCAGGAGATTATGTCAATCACGTCCAAAAGACATTCGTGGCCATGCTCGGACGCAGCCAACAGGACCCGTCCAAGCGTGGGCGACAGAGGCAACTTGGCCAACTGGAGACCAATCTCACTGATGCGGCCATCCTCCTGGAGGGCGTCAATGTTCAAGAGCTGAAGCAAGGCCTTCTCCAAGGCCTCTCGAGGGGGTCGCGTCAAGAATGGGAAATGCACAATGTCATCCACCCCACGAGCCTTCATATTGAGTAAAGCCTGAGTGAGGTCACACCGGAGAATCTCCGGCGTGTTCGTCTCGTCCAGTGCCAAGTAGTCTTTCTCGGTATAGAGGCGGAAACATTGCCCAGGAGCTTCACGACCAGCACGACCTTTTCGCTGAATGGCAGCAGATTTGGAAATCGATTTCACCAGCAGCGAGTCGAGCCCCAAACGCGTTCGGAATTGCTTCACCTTCGCCTTGCCGCAATCCACGACGTATCGTACGCCAGAGACCGTCACCGAGGTCTCGGCAATGTTTGTAGCCAGAACGACCTTGCGGGTTCGAGGTGGCGCAGGTGCAAAGACTCGCTGTTGAGCAGCTTGAGGGAGAGCAGCAAACAAGGGGAGGACTTGGATTTTGGGTAGAGATGGATCCATCCCCGTTGCGTACTCATTAACCAGATTTTCCAGATTTTCCACCGTCTCTTGACCAGTGAGGAACACGAGAATATCACCAGGCATAGGTTCCTTGTAGTGAATCTGGAAGATAATCTTCAATGCTGCATCGACAAAATCGTGGACGGGCTCAGGCGAATAGATCATCTTGACAGGGAACTGCCGTCCCTTGATGTGGCAAGCTGTGATGATCCGAGGAGCACGGGTCGACAGCTCTCCGGTTTGATCATCATTTGTGATCGTTTTGTGGACAGGTGGTTGTGGTTGCGGTTGCTCCTTGAGTCCCTCCTGAAAGAACCCCATCAAACTCTCCATGTCAGCCGTAGCACTCATGACCACAACCTTCAAGGGCACGCCTCCTCGTCCTTGCAGGTTACCAGAGACAAGATTCCGGAGAAAGCCAACAACCAGATCAACGTTGATACCACGCTCGTGCACCTCATCCACCACCACGGCACTATACTTGGTCAACCAAGGATCATGTAGCATCTCCTGAAGAAGCATACCCTCGGTCAAGAACTTGACCCGCGTGCTGGGTGATGTGGAAGTGTCAAATCGCACCGAGTAGCCAACCTTACTCGCCGGAGAAGAAGAACCCAGCGGTGTTCCCATTTCGTCGGCCACACGACGGGCCAGCGAAATCGCAGCGACTCGACGTGGTTGTGTGATCGCAATGCACCCGCCGACTGTTTTTGGCTTTTCTGACCCATCTCCCTTTTGTATCTTCGTGGGCGTCGGTCGGCACCAGAACTCATTTACGAGGAATTGTGGAATCTGCGTACTCTTTCCCGAACCGGTCTCACCGACCAAGAGCATCACATCCTGATCACGAAGCTTTTGTCGAATCTCGTCCGCATGGTTAAAAATAGGAAGCTTTTTTCGAGATTCGTAGAGCTTGTTGGCTTTTTCACGTAACGAGTTGAAGTTTGTTTTCGTGTCGGTGAGGGACCGATGAACGGGCTTTGACTTGGGCTTGGGCTTGGATGTGAAGTTGGACGTCTCGGCAGGTGTATCTCCCTGCTCAATTGCAGGAGCATGCTCATTTTCGGAAGCTTCCTTTGGAGTCACTGGTCGTGTCGGTGACGTCTTGTCGGTTCTTGCGACTTGGACCGACCGCTCGCTCGTCGCAGTCTGCGACTCCTCGGCAACTTGGTCGAGTTTCCGCTTCTTGTTGCGCTTCTTCTTGCGGTTGCCCTCCTCGACTAGCGACGCCGGCGGGAGATCACTTGTTTGAGGGTTGGAAGACTCATCGTCTGACTCTCCAAATTTGGTGTGAACCTTCTCTGGCATGGTGAATCAGTGCTGATTGAACCTGGCGTGGTCCTTTGCCTGTGTTTCTCCGCATCCCGATTTTTTTTTAGTTGCTTATCTGCTTATCTGCTTATCGGCGCGTGGACTTATCGATAAGAGATGCCCAGTGTAGTGGATCAGTACAGTAGTATGATTATAACAGTATGATTATAACAGTATGATTATAACAGTATGATTATAACAGTATGATAGTAGTATGATAGTAGTATCACTACTATCCGGTCGCTTCTCTTATCACTCGATCTGGTGGCTCTCTCGGGCTCTCAGCCCACGTTCAAAGTGGTTGCCGAGGAACGTATCTCGTCAAGTCACAAGTAGCCTTGCCAGCAGGGCTTCAAACCTCCTGACTTACTTTGGCGAGCGACAATCAATGTCACTAGTGCCGTAGAACAGTGTATGACGGACCACATCACTGGACAGTCGACCTGAGCGTCTTCAACAAGACATGTCACATCCACTAATTTGCTTGTTTCTGGGACCCCGAAAGCCCGAAGGACCGGCGACAACATCGTCATCTTTGGTCATGAATCGTCGTGCAATGGGGGTTCGCTTCGAAAGTTGGATATTAAACCAGGACCTGGTACCTCGCAGAGAGAAGCCATTGGCAGATGTAATCAGTCATAGGATGGATGGATGTTGAGAATTACCTCTTACGTATGCGTCATCAGCAGGTCACCTAGCGCACGCTCATATATACTCTACGCTTTCCATGAACCACAAACGGGTGAATTAAGGTGAGCGACAGGATAGGGTGGTGCAATGGGCAACTGATGGCCAGCAGGTGGATTTTTAGCTCGACCTTATAGTGAGTTCTCAGTTGTATTTGTGGATGTCAAATGCCAGACAAATCCTGCAACCGTGTTCGAATGGATTGCCCCACAAGGCAGTGGGCAATGAGGCACTGGTCTCAAGGCGGGTTTATGATGCTGTTATGTGGTGCTACTATGGTGGTGGATCTGGATCTCGCGCGTCCCATCTCAGATCTGAAGTTAACCTAAGGCTTAAAAGTCGAAACCAAGTTTATCCAATCCGCACCTCAGTAGTGTTTCTTGTCCGCCTCGGTCAACCAGTGTTCACTGTTCAGTGCGATTGGATACAGTTCCTGGACAGCGATCTCCGATCTGAATCATTGCCTCGTAGTGATGATTGATCGAGACTCCTCGACACCCCAGGCACTATCGGCAATCCCCAGTAGCGGGCTTTAAACAGAACCAGAGACGTGTAATAAGACACCATGACGCAGTCAAAGCTTGACAGACCTGACTCTACTCGCAGAGAACCGGGAACGTTCGAAGCAAGTCCTGCGCGGTCGTTTAGCCATGAGCAGGCAAACGAGGGCCAAAGCGGAACGAGCGGGCATGCAGAATGACCACCGTGCTTGTTGAGCAAATGTCAGATTGTGGTTGGATGGATTGACCGTTGTTGCAAGCCACAGGGGAACATACGACGCCTGCGCGTCCGGCGAAAAAGACCCCTGGACCGGAAGTAATGATATCGAGATACGATGACTGGCTATATTGTCTACGAGCAGGAGGGAAAAGGGGGCAAGAGACAGAGAAAGACGAGGCTGTCGTACACTTTGCGCCCTGGCTCGATCGAGAAGATCAAGTTCGCCGACGAGAAACGCTAAATCGGCTCGATGCGAGTCTCAGACCAATGCAAGGCAATCGATCGACCCTGCACAGTTCTGGATCCCAACGAGGACACAAAAGTCACACGAAGCGTTCGAGGCCCGCCACCCGTACTTTCTTCTCGTGATATTGTGGTCAATGCCCATTGTCCACTACAAGCAACCCACGATTGTTCCACTGAATAGGCGCCTGCCGTCGTCCGCCCCGTTCCCGCCAGAGCGGAAATCTGACCTGTCGAAACTCTGTCTGCCGCCAATGCAGAACGTCAATGCCCGGTGCTTCTCACCCCGAAATGAATTTGTCAACCCAGGGTCGTGAGACCGAGGGATAGACGCCCTTCGCAGGAATTGCTCCGCTTGTGCAGACTCGTTGACAGGCTCGCCGTCGTCCGCGGTTGCATCATCTGCCAAGAGTTACTGTCGATCTCGTGGAGTTTAAGCATGCTCTGGGGATCGATCGGCTCGGGCGACGGTTGTGACCTGTGCAAAAAGACGCACGCGTCCATGGCTGCTTGGCCCCATGAAAACGGTCCGATGTCAGGCAGCTGTCGAATGAAAATGACAAGGACGATGCGATCAGACTTGAGGCCAGAGATGACACATCAAATGTTCTTTCTCGATGCCAACGAACCCGAGTCAACGAGGAGAAGGATAAAACGTATTCATCTCCTGTGAATCCGGTCTTGCTCCATTTTCTCGGCGCGCGTCGCAAAGAACACAGTTCGATCGGAAACATCGTTCATGCACATTGATATCACGTACCCTTAATGATGTCGTTTGTGGATTTCCATGATGAGATGTCTGGTCTCGACAGTGAGTCCTTGCGTTCAGCGCCGGAAAGTCTTCGCGATGAATACCACGAATGGATGTCAGAATCGGGGCGAAACTCACGGGCTGGGATGAATGCGGTGCTGGACAGACCTTCTCCGCGGATTCTCTCGCCGTCTCGGAGCGATCATATCCTCGATGATTTTCCACATCCTCCCAATCGAACAAAAGGACTAGACATCATCACCGAAGAACAGACGACGCCCTCACAGTCACTCGCAGAACAGGCGTATCCCACTCCGAAGTCCTCGATCAAAAACATGCGACGACATGTCACGGTCAGTGAGCTACCGCTGCTTCAAGAGACCAATCCCTATGAAGATGCGGAAGATTACAACCCAGTGAGTGAAGAGGGCGCTTCATTCGAGTTGGTGGCCCCGTGGGACGGCGTCGATGCTCCTCTTCATAAGCTAGAGCGAATGTCAGATGTCATGTTCGGGAAGGAGCACATGTTGTGTATTCTTAACAATCCTCGATATCTCGCCAGGTTTCGAGAATTCCTGCTGGAGGAGAGACCGCGGTCGATCTCAACTCTCACGTACTATCTCAATGCCGTCAAAGCATCGAAAGCGCTTGAATATGCGAATGCGCTCGTCCGATTGTCTACCGACGTTCCGCCTCCGGCTGTTCAAGCCATCCAAAATGAGACTGAAGCTGTCGGGACGACGGTCAACCGAGTGCTCGAGCGGCGTATTGAGGATGGTCTCAATGCCCTGGTTGCCGAGGAGCTTCCTGCATACATCACTGCCCGATGCATCACTATTACCAGCAAAATTGTCGAAGAGCGTGTTCGCGGCACACTCCCCATGAAGTTCCGAGACACAGCGAATGCCCTGGCCGAGGTCTTTTGTCTAACAGACCCATCGCGTCCGGATAATCCTATCATCTTTGCCTCAAAAGGTAGCATCTCCTTGCTCTCAAGACCTTGTTGTAATTCTGCGCGAGGAATGCTCACCAGACCACAGAATTTCATCGAACAACACAGTACGGCATGGACTACGTGCTAGGCCGAAACTGTCGTTTCCTCCAAGGTCCCAAAACAAACCCGAACAGCGTACGCCGGCTCCGAGAATCTCTGAAGGCAGGGAGACATCACTCTGAGCTGTTTCTGAACTAGTGAGCTTATCCATTGAAACTGAAACCCTCAAAAATGCCCTTGCTCACTGGGACATATTTAGTCGTCGAGATGGATCCCCATTCATGAATCTCCTACAATGCGCACCGCTCTATGACAGCAAGGGAAACGTGAAATACGTGATTGGCGCCCAAATTGACGTCTCTGGACTCACGCTTGACGGAGTGCAGATGGAATCCCTCCTTGACCTTCAGTCCCGCTATCGCGATCCAGACGAAGAGAGCATTGCAGAAATGTCCACCACACCGCACAAAGATGAATTCCGTCAGCTCTGCGAACTATTTAGTCCCAAGGAGCTTGCAGCTGTACAGGAGCACGGCGGAGATCTATTCCAGCCCCTGCACACGAGGCCGTCGTCACACAATCACAGACATCGGTTGCCGCGAGGAGGATCCATGGACAGCGAGTCAGAAGCGATTCGCCTTCGAGACGTCAAGTCTCCTCTACTGCGAGGACTGACTGGTGTATATGAAAATGTGTGTTCCCGAATGCTCTCGCAGATACGCCCCCTCACTGTCTTGCCCGAGCTAATGATTTGACCTCCCAAGTACCTTCTTGTCCGGCCTTACCCCTCCCTCCGCGTCCTGTTCACGTCGCCCTCGCTACAGATTCCAGGCATTTTGCAATCATCATTCCTTTCTCGCATTGGAAGCTCTTCGTCTGTCAAAGAGGAGTTGATGGCAGCGATGCAGCAAGGCCATAGTGTCACCGCACGAATCAAGTGGATCACCCGATATAACAGCGACGGCCGCAGTCGATGGATTCACTGTACACCGTTGTTTGCTAGCAATGGGCAGGTCGGTGTGTGGATGGTGGTTGTTGTTGAAGACGAGGAGGAGCAGATTCCTATTAATTGGCGCACGTGATCGTTGCACATCGCTTTGCACTCACATTCATCTTCCAAGATGCTTTTTCTTTTCTTCTTTTCTTCGTTATTTCCCGCGACAGCGTTGCATGATGACCAGATGCACTGACACTAATAAACTAATTTAAGAATTTAATCTCAAGAGCTGTCGCCCTGGCCGAAGTCCTTCTCCAAGCGAAGAACGGTGGGCGCTGTTCACAACGAAGCAAATGCACCGCAGCTTAGAGAGCGCAGTACCACTTGTATTCAAACCACCATTGAGCATCATAGCAAATTATAAGGCAGGTCGGATGTATGGTTCCCGTGCGGGAGCAGCTTGGAAGTCGGAAGAACCGAAGCAGAGACGCATATTCTGGACTGGCTTCCAACCATTGGCGCTAGGTGCACGGACCGCGAGGTTTATTTTGCACATACTACTACTACTATATCTTATAATTGTTTGAGTATCCTGTGTTTTGCCCAATGGAGTGATCGCGGCTCCCTGTAATCGAGCTTTCCTTTTGTCGACAAGCCCGGCATATTTCCCTCCTTTTGAAGATATCTGTTTCCATGGCACGGCCTTGGGCAAAAAGCGCTGCACTGCTCCTGGGAGCTCCACCTTGCAAGGACGACAAAACCCTGGCAACTTTGTACGTCGAAGCGAACAAGAATTATAGCACCAATAATATGACATGGCTAGCTTTGTATGTGCGACACGACAGCAGTCTGGGCTATGTCGAGTATTCCGGCTATATTAGCACTGGAGAGCTCTATCCGGACTTTAAGCCAACGACGTTCCGTGGGTTCCTGGCGGGGGTTCTGGCTGGAAAGGAGAAGGAAGTGTATTCAATGTGGTATCTTGGCTTTTTTTTTTTTTGCTGCCACAGGGTCATGACGTGAATGAGCGGCCGTCTAGAGGTTCCAAAGTGTTACCACAGGCGAGACTTCCATACTCATCATCTTCATGGAGAGATTTATTCTAAACTCCGATTGCCCATCCGATTACCCAGTTACGACAGCAATGAAAATCTTTCAGCCATAGAAACATTTGGAATTCGATGCAATAGTATGGAATACCCGTACATCTGTAAATCAAATGACAGCGCTCATACCCAAGGTAATGCTAGCTAATATCCCCACGCCAAAAGGAAACCGTGTGCAAAAGACAAGCGAAAACAGTCCAAGACAATTCAAATCAGATCATATCTAAAATCAAATCCAACGATATACAATCAAATATCCCTGGTCCTTGCGCTTTGCAATTTCCTACGCACAACAAAAATATATGCCATGAGGACTCCATCGGAGCATAAACATTCAATAACACCCGTGATCATAATCATGCGGTTGAAAGCAAGCAACATCTAGATGGCATTACTGGCGCAGGTCCAGCTGGCCGAGGAAGTGCTCTTGTTGATCGACTTGCCGGAGACGTAAAGTCCCAGTCCGCACTGGCTTGGAGTTAGAATCGAGGGATACTCGAGCTATGAGATAAGGATGGGGGTAAGATGGAAGCGGAAGGGTGCTTACAATTGCGCAGGCAAATCCGAGAATGGCGACGTTGATAACAAATAAGAAGATCTTCTTGGGCGATGAGAACCACTGGCCCTTGTTCATGACCATCCAGAAGATAGCGGGTAAGCCGTCTGTGAGACGATTAGCATTGTTGCATTCACAGTATCAGGAATATGAGACGGGGGGTTACTTACAGCTGAACCAACTTCCAAAGAGAGCACTCTGTGGAGGTGAAAGTTAGCAAATGCCCTAGTCGTTTCGCCCAGTATGAAGGTTTTTTTGGTATTCGAGGGAGAAGCTTACGATCAGACTCAACAAGTCATTGAACACGGGAATCGACTCCGCAATGACCCAGGCAATGGTCCATGTGGTCAAACCGATAGCGACCCAAGTGCCGGTGGCCAACCAACTTCTCTCGTGCATGTGATGCGCGTGCTCGCCACGGAAAATGCGGACGTAAATATACTTGCAGGCAACGTGACCAAAGACAACACCTGCAACGATGACCTATATCGAAATTGATTGGTCAGTCTTATGCTGGTTCACGACGGTCTGTTTTGCTAAGCTCATGCACCAGGGTTTGGATCATACCGTTGGAATAGCCAGCCCGTAGGCAACCTTCTTCATCAGGGGGCCAGCAGACGAAAGCGCGGGCGAGGAGACACCAGGACCGGCGTAACAGTAAATCACCATGGCGGCAACGATATACATGATGGTGTCGACAATCTGAAGCATGGCCAGAGACTTAGGGAACTCGGCGGGGTCTTGCATTTCCGACATGATGCCGAAGAAAGAAACGTGGGCGATGAAGGCAAAAACAATATTGGTGACCGCGAGGAATGCCTTGACGAAGGTCGGCTCAGTGACAATGTCGTTCTGGACATTGTCAGGTGCCTGCACACCGATTGAGATCATGGTGACAATCGTGGCGATCAAGATGCTGGCTGCAGAGACCGTGGACATGATGAACACCTTCTCCGAGGTTCGGGGCAGGGCGCAGATGCAGCTCACCACCAGACCGATGACCCCGAAGACGATGGTACAGGTGCCGTGGTCGGTGATGGTGTTGAACAGGACCGTGAAGGTGAGAATGTGACTGGCCATGAGGAAAATGATGAAGAGAAGTTGGCCCCAGTAGCACAGTTCACGACCGAACTTGCCCATGAGCATTTCACCGGCATCACCCATGCTGTGTACGTGCGGATAGCGAAGCTTGAACTGTCCCATGATCAGGCCCGTATACCATGAGATTGCGGAAAGGCCGAGAATGATAATGAACGCTCTGCAGTCGGTCGACTCATTAGCTGATCCCCGAAGGAAAAGATCAGAAGTCGTAGAAGGGGTTCTCTTACGGTACTATGCCGAGAGTTGCAACCGCAGATGGGAGCGACAAGATTCCCAGCGAGATATTCTCCGCAACCATCACTGCGAGGAGGATAATAAGATGATTAGTTACGCATGAAATTTGACAATCTCAGTTCATCACTGCTAGGTGATGATATCAGTCGAGCAGACGTACGCATTCCCGATTGCCTAATACAAACAAGTTAGTCAACTCGATACTGCAACGATCATTGTGATATGGTAGACTCCCAAAGGCCTTGCTTTGGATACATACCACCACTTCATCACCCGATACTTGACCTCTCCATTCTCTTCATTTCCAAAAGGATCATCCGTGGGCGTCGGCTTCTCTGCATACGCCTTTTCCGCATCATCATGATCATGATAAGTCTCGACGTCTCTCGTCGGACCGGTCTGCTGGGGTGCTTGCACAATGCTCATTGCGTGTCTTGCCAGCAATTCTGTGTGTTCTGTTCCCTGTTCTTCCCACGATTGCGGAGGAGTCTGGAGAAGAAGCAGACCACTGCAAGATGAATGAGGGGAAAAGATGGATTCTGGGGGGATCACGTAACAAATATTGGAATGTCTCGGTAATTTGCCAGACAACGTTGCAGACCTAACCATGAACCCCATCGGATTTTTCTCTGGGCACGCGTGGCGATGGGCCATACCCTAAGATGCGTGCTCCACCTGCGATTTTCATCGTGGAGAACGGGTGAATTCCGAGTTCTCAATGGCTTTCATGGGAATTGGTGTGACACAGAGTGGTCCTGATCGTTGGGTCTGGGAGGGAAGAGCATGATGTCCATATCTATAAAACTTCTCCTTGTCCCGAACTTATGCTCATCAGCGACCAGTGGTGAATAGCACCTCGTCCGCATACTTTTCGACCCAAATGGTGTTCTGTACCACAACAGACTTTAACAAGCCTCGAAGGGCTGATTAAGTCATAAACCGCCACCCGACGGCATGCCGACCAAGCTAAGGTAAGTTTTAGTGTTCATCTGGCCGTCCGGCCGATCAGGGCAATCACATCTGGAGGCCACTACTACTCTCCGTTCGCCCTTTTTTTCTCTTCCCTGCATTTTAGGTTCAACCCACTGAACCCAGTGCCCGGCTGAGATAATCATCCGTCGGTGGATCCCCTGCATCATGTTGATCCTCGTCCGACAGTTCAAATCCGGCCCGGGAGTACGCAGTGGGTACCCAAGAGCTACCACTTATTAAGCGAGATCCGACACAGAAACCACGAGTACCCATAAAGTACTTCCGCCAGATCACGTCAAATTCGAGGCCTCCTGCGCCGGCCCGGGGTCATCGATCCCCCACGGGGGCCTGCCTGCCTGTTTGTCATGAGTTGCTAAATCAAGGAAAAGCGTCACGGATTGACCACATTGCAATGCGGAGAAATGCGTGATGATTGTGTTCCTTGGGGTGCAAAACATGGGGTGGCGGAGAAGCAGCGGTCGAAAAGACTGGAAATGGAGTGTGTGATGTCTATGAAGCCAGCGGAGGACGGCCGTCGTAGTCTTTGAGCAGCCCTCGACCCTGCACGTCCGGGAGTCCACTTATTTTCGCTGCGACCTTACCTAGATCTAGTTCACTCACTTCACTGTCAGGTGGATACTGGATCAGTGGACACTGGACAGTTGGGCACAAGGCACAGTCGTGGGCAGTGGGCACTGGGCACACTGCGTCGTCGGATATGCTTGCCTATCAGTATTCAGTAGTGACCTTTAGCAGTAGCACTCGCTGTCTTTCCACCTTCTGCTCACCGGCCGGTGTGGTAGTCCTGACAATCAGTCAGGGTCCCGCTTCAGAGTACAGCTCGCTGGGTCGCTTATCTCGAGTGGGTATGCTTGGATATACGAATTTTGGTCCTTTCTCTTACGTGAATGGAATTCATCCATCGGTGCCAGAAGCTGATTAAGCTGGTATCGCTCGGCCAGGACAAACAACAGACGACAGACTGCAGACTACAGACTACAACTACAGACTCAGAGAGGTCCATCGGTTGAGTACCTCCCTCAGTTCTTACCTTCTTAGTGCTCAGTGAATAATTGATAGCCCGTTCAAGATCCGACCCCCTTCTACAACAAGACGCCAACGTAGCGCACCTCTTCCTCCGGCAGATCCAAGATCTCATGGCCACATGAGTCAAGTGCTGTACGCAGCGCACACACTATAGTCTATAGTCTATACTCTCAGCTCTGTACTCGCCTCGTCGCACTCGACATCCGACACACACAAGAGCCTCTGAGCCTACTGAGCCGTGAGGGTTCACTTGCGGATCAACTCGACTTCCGAGGCCATGCGAATGGGCATGGATCGGCATTGATAGGCACTGATAGGCATTCAGAATGACCAGAGATGCGCCGAATCCCGTTTCGGAGCGGGTCAAAGGAATCCTGTACCCGGGGGACATCGTAACGTTCGACTGGACTCGGGACGGGCCTACATTTAGTGAACGAGGTCTTCATCCACTTGGTGCAGGCTACATGCGGTAGAAGACGGGAGAAGCCATGAGGACGGATTCCAGACCTTCCATTGTGGCGCTGGACCACGGAATTACCACTTGCCATCCAAACATTGATTCAACCCATCACACAGGACTCTTGGAGGACTGTGATTGTTGCGCAGTCTATGGTCACTTGCCCAAACATGACATTGTGGATTATGGAGCAGGCGATGCCGCCAGAATGCACAGACGGATCCCAAATCAGTATCTATTGGCTCTTCATCTCCAGTATCTCGTGGCAGCCATCTCGTAGCAGGTCTATGTGAGGTGCGCCATATGTACGCAAAATATGCCCACATGTATATGTCCAAGGTGAAATGGATCATAAGATACAAATCATCGTCACGTGTTCTATTTCAGACCCCAACCCCGGACGCGCCGGAAGACGTATGGGCGATCGTTCCGAAGTCCAAACTCACCCCAGTCATCGGTCATTTGGTTATAGCTCCAGAAACCACGCCAAGCGAGTTTGGTGTTGCGGGGAGGGTTCGGGTGAGCCTTGGTGACCGAGGAGGATCGTAGCGAGAGATGCATGGTGTATCGGTACTTGGGGTCGACGCCCTCCGTCTCTACAATCACATCACGGGGATCAAACGATGGGGATTTGTCGATAGCCGACGGAGGAGCGCTGTGGTCTTCAGGGTCATCGGCAAAGTCAAAGGGAGAAGCCAGACGCCAGCGCCCACGAAGGCCGTGCTTCAGGGCGTTGATGGCCACTGAGGGGACAGGTTCTGTGGAGCCGCCGTGCAAATGGCCCTGATCAGAGGAGGCATGACGCGGGTACGATTTATGAGTGGTAGGACGTGCGGCCAGCACATTCTCCGTGCTAATGTAGGGTACAACATCTACAGGCTCTGTTGTGGTCAGCAGGGACACTACCGACCCGTCAGGATAGAACCGCAGGTAGCGGTAGTAGGTCACGATGTGAATCGGGCTGTTCCAGGACACCGTCTGGAAAGAGGAAATCTCTCCTGGACGAGAGTAGTTGACGGTGCTGATGTAAATGCCTGTGAATCGGATACGGGGATAGCACTGGAAGACTTGACTCCACGAAGACAAAGGCTTGGGAATCTCGGCTGGTACGTTGACCGGAAAGGGCGTGTATTGCTCGACTTGGTCCAGTTTGTGTAGGGGGTGACCGACCCCATCACAAGCAAATGTGTAGTGCATGCCCTGAAGTCCAAACTCCACATGCTGACACAAGTCCTTCCAGATACTCTGCTCATGAGCAAAATGGTATGCAAACCGCTTGCAAACCAGGCTCATACGAGCCAGAGCTGCCGGGTCCATGAGTGCGACATGTCGAAGAACCTCGATGAGGACTTCGGACGGGATATTGGCGATAGGACATGGTGGAGGAACATCTCCTTCAATGAGCGGCTCCGCTCCAGGAACGGGCAGACAGGCAAACGATTCTATTAGTTCTGCTGTAGGGAGAGGAATTTGTTCCTCTGTAGGAACTGCTGAAGTCTCCTTGACGGAGGGTGCGAGATCATCGAGCGCCGGTTGAACGGGCTTCTTCCAGCTGTGGGAGTAATGTTTGTTGCGATAAGCCTTGTCCACCCCAGCATCCAGCTACAACAGGTCAGCACACCATTTCAAACATGTATTGTTCAACCCATGGCAATTCTTCTCACCCGATAGGCCTTGCGGTAATGCTGAAGACTGTCGCCCAAGTTGCCGGCAGCCTCTTTCTCAACCGCTCGTTCAAAGTGTTCCAAGGCCGATTCGGGTTCTTCTTGGGCTCGCCGTGTGAACACATCTTCCTCCGTCTCTGTATGCTCGTGAGTCACCCGTAGGCGTTCGATCTGCCGAGTTAGCTCCTCCGTAGCCACAGTATTAGGCAAAGAGCTCTCCCCAGCCAAGTCCTTGCGAGCTCCTGCCGCCCGGCGTGATGGCAGCTTGCTGCTTGCATTTGCAGCAGCCACAGCTGGACTTGGGGCTGCAGCGGACTGTGAAGCTTCGGAGGAGCTAGTAGCAGCGGCAGATTTAGTCCGCCGAGTAACCTCTTCACGCCACTGGCGACGAAACGACTCGAGCTCAGCGTTGTCTTCCATAGCGGGGATTTAATTGACGTGTCCGGGGTCGGAGATCGGAGGATCTGATAAGCCCACTGATGCAGGGTGGGGGACGCGCCAATGCGGCGGCTGTGGGATCGATGTTCGAAAAAAAAAACCCCTACTCATGTATATACAAGCCAGCTCATCAATGATTTGCGTTAGAGGGTTGAGCATCAAAGGCACATTTTCATGTAAAGACGGTGGAGAGTCAGATCGGCTTGGACAGAAACAGGACGCTTATCTCCGCCCGCCGCCACCCGTCAAACACCGAAAATCTTCCAAGTGACGCATCACTCCTTCATTGAAACTCTGCACGATCGCATTGACATGCCCACTTCCAGACAGCCCTGACCCAGACTTCGCGCACTCTTGGACAACTCGTTCATTTTGACCGTGAACACACCAGTCTGCGGCCTGACTTCAGACTCGGCATCGACACACATCGCCATGGACTGTCGGGCGTAAACGAAAACTTGCAAATGACGTCCACAGCCCCGACGGGGGCACCCCCGACTCCTCATGTGACGCCGCCTCCGACAGACGATATCACTCTTGGCCAGCGAATGATCTCTGCGACTGCGGGAAATATACTGACTGGTCTCCTTGGTATGTGCTTGTGGTTGTGATGCGCGACTCCCACTAGAATGACAAGCCACGCATATGATGAGCTAATCGGGGAATCGCCACAGTCACTCCTCTCGACGTTGTACGAGTACGCCTTCAATCACAATCCCAGACCTCGACACCTGTACCATATAAAACACACACGACAGCATCATTAAAGAATATTCCACCGAACCTCGGCATTACGGCTTGCTGTCGAGAAGTATTCTGGGTGGGAAACAACGCTGAAATCTGCCTATTCGGAGCCCCCGATGGCATTCTAAGGACTCCGGCGCAGCCGGGGATTGATTGCGCCGTTGAAGAGACACAGCGAAGGACTTTCACGTCAACCTTTGATGGGCTACGAAAAATTGCCCGCAATGAGGGTCTGTGGACACTGTGGCGCGGCCTCAGCCCGACCCTGATGATGGGCATCCCCGCAAATATCATCTATTTTGCCGGGTATGACTGGCTGCGTACTGATGATCGCAGTCCCATTAAGCAAAGAACCTCGGATGTTTATGCACCATTTGTGGCCGGCGCGATAGCTCGCACCGCAGCAGCAGCGGCGACGAGTCCGGTGGAGATGTTTCGGACAAGACTGCAGGCTACGCCCGGTCACGGCGCAGGACACTTCAAGGCTACCCTTGAAGGTTTGTACCAGATGACGCAGACCAGCGGATACACTTCCCTCTGGAGAGGGCTGGGGCTCACCATGTGGCGTGACGTTCCCTTCTCTGGTCTCTACTGGTGGGGGTATGAAAAAGTGAAAGAAGGACTGCAGCGAACGAGACACAACGGATCACATCATCCGGACTCGGAGAAGGACGCGCCCTCCTCCTCGACCGCCTTTTTCGAGAGCTTCATCGCCGGTGCCACTTCAGGCTCCTTAGCAGCTTTCGTCACTACGCCATTCGATGTGGGGAAAACACGACAACAGGTCTATCGGCACATGGACCATGGCGGTGCCTCAAACGGAACGCACTCAGCTCCTTCAGCCTCCAAAGCTGTGGTACCCGAGCAGCTATCCCTGCCAAAGTTCCTCGCGCATATCCTTAAAGAAGAAGGCATTTCCGGCCTATTCAAGGGCTGGGGAGCCCGCTGTCTTAAAGTCGCGCCAGCATGTGCCATCATGATCTCAACCTACGAGCTCGGCAAACGCATGGCGCGAGATGCCAATGAGCGCCGACATACAGACTGCTCATGAATTTCGCCTTCCTTTTCTCCTTCACATCTCATCCCTTCTCCTCTCTTCTTCTGATGTACCACGATATTGCATGCGATCGTGTTATTGATCGCCACATCTCAGCACTCTCCCATGTATAATTTTGACCCACGCTGTTCGTCTTCTTATCTGTTGCATCACATGAAATATAGAGACAATGTTGCATTCATAATCTTGTATCCTGAACTTTTGTGACATTCACCGTGCAATTTATCCGGACTAAAGTTTACCGTGAAATCGCGCCTTCACTAGTTGTATATACAATATCTCAATCAAGAAACACATGACAAGTGCATCTTGCCTGACCTTTATTACCGTCAGAACTCCATCACGGATGTCTTTGGCCCCCATTAATCAATGACGCAGGATCCCGAGGCCACTTCGTGCTTGGACCTTCGCTATCCCGAACTCGTTGCTAAAACGAGGCTTAGCGGCCTGCACGCCCGGGCACGGGGCAGATGATCACGGCTTGAGGCTGACATGACTCCGCCCGTCATCTGTTAGATTTAAGATGGCATGTCCGTCTGACTGCAGGTGGTAATTATTCTCTCAGGGACGATCGGCAGAGATGGTCCATTTTGTGATTTCGTCCCGTCCAGTATGTCGCATTCTGTGTCGACCAGAATTATTCAGCCAGCGGGCTTTGAGTGCCTCAAACCAGTAGATCAAACGAACGTTGAGTCCGTGCATTTGGCTTTCCGATCTGTACAAAAACGCAAACTGACCTTTTCATCACCATCAGCATCGTCGCCGTCCCAATTATCGGAGCTCATCCTCGTGATTGTTGGACTCCCCGAGGGGCCCAGTTGCCATGGCTAGAATCCGAATTGCTGAAACAAATACCGCGCGCTCGCGTACTACTGTACAGCCACGGACAGGCTTATGAACGAGACAGTATCGAGGCTCTTGGCGAGCGATTATTGAATCTGCTGATGCATGAACGTCGTCACGAATGTCCTCAGCGACCAATATTCTTCCTGTGCCATAGCACGGGTGGCTTGGTAGTCAAGGCCTGTCTTGCTCTAGCATCGCGACACGAGCCAACCTTGGCGATTCAGACGAGCTGTCATGGAATTGCATTCTTCGCCACTCCTCACCAGGGCTCGACATATCTATCAACCAGTGAATATCAGAAAAGCATTCGTCAGTTATTGCGGCTGGAGCAGGAGATGCCCCATTCACTTCGAGGTCAGCTCCGCCCACGAGATGAACGGCTGTGGCATCTTTCCAACCAGTTCAAAGCTCTTTCCGCGGACATGAAAGTCTGGTCATTTCTCGAGACGGTGGACTCCACGATGCAAGTGCAAGATTTATACTCAAACAATTTCATCGAGTTCCATGCCCCCATTACCTCCATCAGATCTGGACTTCTCAGTATTGAGCATGAGACTGAGATTCCGGTGGGAACCGACCATGCGGGAATCTCATGCTTCCAGGACCAGGAGAAGACGCTAGAAGCCTTCTTGAACGATCTCAAAGTCTCGGTTGAAACTGCAATTGAATTGTCCACCCGATTTGATTACTCGCTGCACGTTGAGGACGAGGTGCGGGTCCAGGTAAATGGGTTCTTCGAGGACGTAGCTCTGGGTGTCAGCGAGGAAAGTCCGCTCAGGATGTGGACTGCACAGGTCTCATTCAAGGATTATCTTGCCCTGGGTCCCTCGGCCTGTTTGAAGGAGCGTCTGGAGCGGTTTCGTCCTGATACAATGGACGATTCATCGCTCAGTAGTTTCGATAGTCGAGCTATTCCTCGCGAGGTGTTTCAGGCCCATCCGGACACCCCTCTTGACGAGAGTTCAATCGATGAGAAGCACAGCGAGTCTCGTCAAGATGACCATGAAGGTCATAGAGCACAAAATTATGGGACACGCTCGTTCAGACCCTCGTTAGTACACAGTCAAAGTGATGAGAGTAGTCTTAACCCTGGATTTCACTCTCCAACCATCCACATTACCAAGGCTTCGACAGATGGAATCCTTGATATTCAGTCTACCGAGAGCTCTCTTGCATCGATGGTACGACAAGGCAAGAGGACGTTTCTCGCTAGAACCAAGCGCACAAATCCAACGCGTCAACTATCCGGAGAAAGCATACAGCTGACAAGTTCTCGACCCGTTTCGTATGCTCAAATCCTTGTAACCTACTCAGCATACGATAAGCCTTCTGATTGATTCATCTTGAACAGGGCATCGGAATCACCTTCAAGAGAAGCGGAGTTTCTGAAGATTCCATCATCAACGCGAGATCGGATCAATCTTGATGCTGACGGGGCAGATCTCCCTCGGTCACTGCCGCGATTCGATCGACCTGACCCTGGTACTGAGAAGCTCTTGTGGATCCACGTTCCCTATACCAACGCTGGATGGGTCTCTCAGGTGATTCGTCGGGCGTGTGAGGACCGGAAGGATCCAGCATTGTGAGAAATCATCAGAATCAATTATGGATTTTCAAGAATTGCTAACCGTCAAGGTGACTGGCGCACTAGTCTCCGCAGGTTTATCAATGACAAGAACTGGTATTTAAACCTCAATCGAGCTCGACACAATGAGCCTCACGCTCGATTTGTTCGGCCAACGTGCATTCATTCCCGCCAGAAGGACGTCTCAGATGGTGCCAGGGAGAAAGATGCGGAAGATCCCCAGCTCGCTCTATACGTAAGTATCTCTTCACTGGGGCCGACTGCGCTAGATATTAGTGAAGCGTTGAAGACTAACCCTAGTGGCAGGTACCATATGTAAGACCGGCAAGTGATGTGCGCCATCGTGCCCCATGGCTGATATCTTCTTTAGCTCCACTGGGACACCTATCGAAACCTGATTCAGCGACGTAAAGTGGTCGAAGACCGGCTGCATCAAGGCCGATCCAGGCCAGTGCCATTTCGCATTGAGAAGTCCAGTCTCGAATCCAAACTCATCTGGCAGTATCTGGGGTGCGAACCTCCAATACACTTCCGGCGCACCCTGGACCAGTTCGGGTATCCCAATCTGCGGTCCACAGTGGCTCGGGACGATGACCAAATGCTGTGGAAAAGGACACGGAAGCCTGCTCAGATCGACGAACAACTTCGTGGCTACTTGGACGCCAATAGCGATGATCCCGAAGACGAGGGACCCAGTGAGTTCATGGACGGTAATGTGTTGATGGTTGATCAGCTCTGGCTCTGGATCGTCGACAGAAAAACCATCATTACATTCTTTCCAAACCAAGAGGCAACAACCTCAGAAGGTAAGCTATTGGAGCAGACCAACTTGCACAGTAGTATCTACAATGAGTTGAATGGTGACTTGGCTCGTCGGTTCGAGACCGCGGGTGACCTGGCCGCCTTGATCATGTTGCACGCCACAACTGTTCTCTTAGACCGGACCTTGCACCGAGACTTGCAAGTCCTGCGAATATTTGAAGAGTCAATCAGTATCCTCGTAAGTAGCCCCGATTATGTTGATGTGCCAACCGGGCCACGATTCGCAAGACCTACTGGGAAATGTCACTCACTTTCTTCAGACCGAATCTGTGACCAAATCGTTCAAACGCTTTCGCAATCAGGGTTTTGTGAAGGGGCCTGCCGACCTTGGTCGTAAGTCTCAAGGAAAGCATGACACAGCTGCGGAACGCGATGCAAAAGATCGCCAGACGGCTCGCCGGAACCGAGACGACCTGTCCGTGCTTCTCGAATTGCGGGACATTGAAGATGAATTGTCAACCATCCTAAAACTCCTGGATCAACAAGACACAGTCTTGAAAAGCATGTTCAAGTACTTTGACCAAGGTGGCTGCGGTATGGCATTCCTTGACAGTGCGCAGTTGCGAATCAACGAGTACCGGGTGCAAATCGGTGAAATGAAAGAGAATAGCCATCTGGCTCAGAAGGCGGTAGAGACCTTGCTTGACCTGAAGCAAAAGCAAGCCAATGTAGATGAAGCCAAGATGGCTCGGTGGCAAGCGGAAGAAACTCAAAACCAATCCCGGTCCCTGATGGTCTTTACCATTTTCACCGTCATGTCAGTCTGGGTCGTCGTGCTGTCGTTACTGGAGAGACGCATACTGACCATTTCTAGTTTTCTTCCTCTCTCGTTCTTCACATCTCTATTTGGCATCAATGCCCGTGAGTGGAGCGGCACACCGGAGAACCTGTCACTGTCTGAGATGTTCGAGATTGGTGGTATGTCTCTGTCTCCTCTGGGGGTTCAATCACAAACGCACACACTGACCACGCATCATCAGCGCCGGCCTCATTCGCCATCATTGCCATCGCCCTCCTCCTTGCGTTCAGCGAGCGTCTCCGGCAGGTGGTGACCAAGTCCAGTAAGATCGGCCAGGGAGCCTTCGAAGAATTCGTCTCTGGTCCCATCAAGCTGTTTCTTCATTGGGAGTCATTGAAGAAGAGCATCCCAACTGTGCGTCCTGCAGAGGACTCCAACATGCGAAAACGCTTCGATCAGTATCTTGGATATGACAATCAGCGGATGCAGTTTGATGAAGACTTTTGGCAACGTCGACAGGTTGATCGCTCACCGCTCGAGGAGTTGGAGCGGCGGCAGAGGAAGCGGGCCAAGTCCATGTCCGTTGCGAATGGATGGGGAGCAGACTTCTCGGATAAGCTGCGAAGAGTCAGCGCGGGTGTATCGAGCAGTGTGTGACTGGGGGATTTATTACGACTGTCATCGGCAAAGCATGGTTGGAGATGTGTTGGGAATGATCCAGCGCTCTTGAGTTGCAGACCTTTATAGTGAGTGCTTCCTTAGAAGCACCTGTGCCGTGATATGTCCATTGATGAATTTTGGCGCTCTGTTATGACTGCAATGACTATGAAATGCGATATCTCTTCTTTCTTCAAAACCGTACTGAAAGCTTTCAAGTTTTCATTTGTTGTGCAAGGTTTGTGAATCCAAATAAGAAGGAGTGGACGGGAATAGGAACCGCTCTGTCTATTTCTCTCTACATCGGGATTGTGACATAAAGACAGGATATTGTTCATTTGTAATCTCACCGCAAAGCTCCAAGTCAAAAGGCTACATCTAACAAAACAATAAGATTATCATACCCTAGGGGGATCAGGGAAGGAGATATCAAACATAAAATGGAAGCATAACGCAATAAGTAAGGAGAGAAAATCTGGTTCATCAGAAACGCCGGTGATCTCCAAGGCCATCAGCATCACATCAAGATCCTGCGAGGGATATGAGCGTTGCGATGACTCTCCTGGTTGGCTTTTTCATCATGGAACACAGAAGAGAAAGGGTGAAGGAAAGCCAAACCCAGAGCTGGTGTTGCTCGGGTGCGAGAAGAGAAGAGAAAAGAAAAGAAGCCCCCGGGGATGCCCACGTATGACTAGCTAAGGTGTCCCTAGTATAGGTGATGGGAGCTTACATGGTTCGCATGCTCTGGGGGCCTTCTGACTTGTTGGTACTCTCACTTCGTGCCCGTAGCTCCGAAGGTTCCCTGTCAGTCGGAAGTCCAAAGCACGCAGAGATCCATGATGGCCAGGACAGTACAGTATACACGGCGGACGGCGGACGTGGGACGGGGGATGGTGGTCGTATGTCGGGGTATCGGGGTATCTCTCCGTTAATGAGGTATGTCGTGACACCTCTCCGTTGGCAAGGTGCGTGGGTGAGAGAGATTGAAAAGAAAGAAGGTTGGAGGAGGGGGGGAGATCGGGGGTTTTATAGTCGTGGGAAGGCAAAATGTTTGCTTGCCCGATTGGGAAGTTGTGCTTGGACGTGCGACGCTGAATCATCTCATCTTTGCCAGATTGGAAGCCGGACTTCAAAACAAACAATCACGTATTGCCGGAATTTTCAGGTACATGTTTCGGTTTACATCACGGCAGCTTCGTGCAAGGACGTGTGCACATGCAAGAGCCTCTGACCAGATCTCTTCAGTATCATCTACATGTCAGTTCATCTACATTTCAGTTCATCTACATGTCAGTTCATCTACATGTCAGTTCATCTACATGTCAGTCTCAACGGAATCTTCACTCATCCTGGACTCACTTGATCCCTCAGTTTCCATGAGCTTTTCTCACCTTGAGCAGACATATCAGAGCTTCATGGATAGCTGCGAATAAAGTCTTATTTCAAGTGCTCACGCATAAAGACGACCAAAATGAGACAAGAGTATTTGTTGATCTCGAAGACACGAAACGCAAAGGCTCCTGCATGGTTTCGATCACTTCTTTTCAGATGTTCCGAACAATGCTAATTCAGAGTAATTCTACATAGACTGAGGACTTCTTTCTTCTTAATCTACATGTCTCCATTCACTTCCCAAACCTGCTCGAAACCAGAAAACCTCGACACAGTGGATGATCAAACCGTCTGTATTCAGTACGCAGACTTTCTTACGACATCACAGGAAGCACAGATGTCCGGACCACCTCACCTTCAATATTGGAGATGAAATCTCGAGCCCATATGATGTGCTTCCTAGAGCGAAGTGTGTGTGCTCCCATACTGCAAGATCCTTCGCGCAGCCATCCAACGACAAGGCGGGTAACGAATCTTAGAGACATACATGTCTCCGAGTACAGCACAATTAGAAACTCTATTCCTGCACAGTCGAGAATCTGCCTAAAATGAATTGAGCATGTCTAGGCTTTGCTGCCTTTGCATCCGTTACAACGCCTATGTGGTCACATCTCAAGGGTCTCTTGTACCCCGCTGGCCACCTCTGGTAGTTCTCAGCTCTGGGCAGTTGCTACACATCCATTGTCAGGGGCACCTCCATCATTTCATATTCTTTTTAAAAAGGAGGTGAGAAGCTCAACAGTTTGAAGAGATAGGCACTGAAGCATTCATTCATGAAGAGGCTGCGAAACATCTTCAGCTCGTCCTTGTGGCGGTGTCGTCGATGATCAACCTATCATATGGGTAAGTTAACTGACTTTGGTCTCTGTAGTCGTTTTCCCACGCTGATCGTGTGATAGCTTAATGAGTATCCAGAAAAATCTGAAAGCCAAGTCCAAATCATGGGCCATTTGAGGCGAAGCAATTTGCATCAGCCGAGAGACCGTCGGAGCTTGACTCTGAGAAACGTGACCGACAGTGAGGCGTCGCGCATGATGGATGCAATCTCACAACAGCACCGTCTTAACGAGCTTCTACCTACAGATAAGACGACAATCTGCCCATGAGACTCACAACGTTGACCCGCGCCCTCATGGTCGATGGATTTGTCGAATTTGCTGCCGTGGTATTCCCGGACTATTCAGGTTTCTGTATCGGCAATCTCAGTGCCCCTTACCTCTCACAACTTCAGTCATGGTTCGTCATCCACGAGTGACATGCTTTTTATCATTTCTCTCGAGACCTGAGAATGTGTTGGTAGGTAAGTCCAACCCTCCGACAGTACCGCCACCTCTGCTTCCTACATGTGTAGGAACCACATATTTAGAGATTCTCCAGACGCTGGTCGGTTCGATCTCAAAACAGACTTCCAGTATGCACGTTCTCGATCCTGTCCTTTCCTCTGACTCGCACTTGCTCGTATCAATTTGCTGATATTGCGGGCAGCCACTGTGTAGTTCATAAGTGTCGAGCAGGTCGCCGTTGTTTCCCACTGCTGTCCCTGCGGAGTGAATGTGAACTAAACAAATAGCCCAACGACTTGACTACATAGTTTGCTTCCTCCTAATGTGCAAATGCTGCCTATTGCTGGCTACCGCTTTCTCTATTAAAAACTTACGTGGAGCACTCCCTCGGAGCTTCTCGTAGTACCAAGCTTACCAGGTGCCCACGTCACGATTAGCTCTTGTTTGCGTCCCGTGTCTCGGAGTCCGTCACGGCTGCTGCTCGAAACACATCCAAAATGAGAAGCTCTTAATTCGCAAAATTTGCAGGATAGACTTTACACAGTTTCGTATGGCTGCCGCTGAGTAACAACGTGACATTGCAGAATACGGTACTCTGTATTGCTATTTCCAGGTTGTTCCGGTCCAAACCCGAGCTGTTCCTAAGGTTGACTACCGAAAGGTGTGTGGCGCAACGCACACGGCAGGCCCGAACGAGCATAGTCCAGGACTAACGATATCCTCCGTTTTCCCGTCTCCTGATCAGTCATATGTATATTGCTGGTGGCGGCATCCTCACTGCCTCAAGAGTCACGTAAACGAATTGCTTCCGACTGAGACTTCCACCCGACAGGCTCGCATCGGAGTGAGAAAGGAGTGTAGATCGTAAGAGGTAAGTGACCTGCTTGCTAGAAGCTAGAATGAAACCATGTATGTAGGCGGAATATTCGAAGAATCACCCTTCGCAAGAGCTGTGTTGGCTGAATAAATTCGCGTAGATTCGGCGACTTCTGAGGCAAAAAAGGTGTGACGAAGGCCGAAGGAGAGAAGGGCGCAGGCTTGCGCTTTCAGACCCAGAGGACCACGTTTTCAGGTCAACTGCGATCCAAGATTATGCGGATGGTGAAATATCAAAGAATTTCGCGCCTAGGGCTGAAATCTTAATGAATATTTTCGAAAGATGATGGTCTCCTTGAATTCAAGGTGCTTGCTCTCCAAGCCTACCCACGACGGCTTGCGGGTACTGTGTGTGGGGAAGTTCAAGACTTCCCAGACTGAAAGCGTTGGGCGGTCGCATCCTCATGATAAGTCGTATGTCAAGCTTCTACAGCCGAGACAAGATTCATCGAGGCGCATTTCAAAATCGTCTGCATCATCATGTTGGAGTTCAGCGGTTTCGAAAGATAGTCGTCCATGCCAGCTTGGATACACTTGTCGCGGTCACCAAGCATAGCATGCGCAGTGAGTGCCACGATGGGTGTGCGAGGAAGACAGTTGAACTTCTCATGTTGTCGAATCTTGACAGTTGCTTCGAAGCCGCCCATGACCGGCATGGAGACGTCCATGAGAATGACATCGTAGCGGTGCTGCTGTGCTTCTTTGACGGCTTGAAGCCCATTTTCGACCACGGTGACGTTGTGGTTGCACTTTTGCAAGATGCGAACGGCCACTTTCTGATTCACGTCGTTGTCTTCGGCGAGGAGGATGGCAAGCGATCGCGAAATACCCTCGGAGATGCGGTTTCTGCGATTTCCAAGAGCAGGGAGAATACCACTCCAAAAGTCAATCGGACGGGTACCAGCTTTCGTCGTAGCGTAGGAGGATATACCCAGTTCACCTGCAGACTTCAAAAGCAGGGTGACGCTGGGGGCCGCAATCACCAAAGGATTGAGCGAAAGAGTCGAGTCGGCTCGGAGTTTCGCAGCCGCCTCGATGCTGGGCACTAGCATAGCATCAAAGGATCCACCCAGGTCGTTCCGACGTTGCGTAGACACAAGCTCGTTCTCATGCACGACGACAGCTTCAAGTCCGAAATCTTTGAGCATCGAGGACACGGGGCAATCTTTCCAATTGCCATTGTCCACGAGCAAGACTCGACGGCCGCGGTAGGGCGCTAGTTGCTCCGCAAATCCTGCGGGCGCCTGTGCCAACTTAGCACGAGACGTGAAGGAGAATTTACTTCCTTCGCCAACACGAGAAGTAACCCAGATTCCTCCTCCCATGAGACAGACCAGACGCTTGGAGATTGCCAGTCCAAGACCAGTCCCGCCGTATTTCCTCGTCATACTGCCATCGGCCTGCTGGAACTTGTCGAAAATCAGGCCGAGCTTGCTTTCTTCGATACCAATGCCGGGGTCTGAAACTGAGAATTCAAACATTGTCTCGTCACTTTCCAAGCAAACGTTGGTCTCGGCACGCTTGATGGTGACGCAAATCTCACCGTGATCGGTGAACTTAATCGCATTACCCACAAGGTTCAGCATGACTTGACGTAGACGGTATGCGTCACCGATGAGGAAATCCGGCACGTTCCCATCGGTTGTATATGACAAAGTCAGAGCCTTTTCGTTGGTTTCCACTGCAAGTGCTTTGAGAACTCCCAGGACGGTGGATCCCAGGCTAAACGGCATTTTCTCAATCATCAAGTGATTAGCCTCGATTTTCGAGATGTCAAGGATATCGTCAATGATGGTCAAGAGCGAGTTGGCGAGATTATGCACCATATCGAGTGTTTCACGGACCGGTGCAGGAAGATCATCAGTGTCGAGTGCCAGACTCGAGAGACCAATAATGCCGTTCATAGGTGTCCGAATCTCGTGGCTAGATCGTTTATTAGCAATCTGACAGGGAACTCTGGGAGAAGGGGGGGGGGGGGGGGGGGGTTCGAAGTCGTAAAATACCTCATATTAGCCAAGAACTCTGACTTGCTTCGATTAGCCAGCTCGGCAGCCTCACGGGCAGCCGTATTGCGTTGGATACTGTCGCGTAAGCTCCAGATCATTTTATTGATCTTTTGCTTCAAATCATCCATCTCGCCGGATGCAGAGACAGTGATCAATTTTGTGAAGTCGCCGCTCATGGCAGCCTCAGTGATCTCTCCAAATGCCCGCACTTGGGAGGTCAGATTGTCGGCCATGATATTGACGTCTTCACTAATCGAGCGCCAGATACCGTACGAGCCTTCCAATTTTGCCTGTCCACCAAGTTTACCCCGAACACCGACGTCGCGAGCCACAATCTTGACCTCTCTTGCGAATTGACTGAGGCCGTCGACCATACGATTGATCGTTTCTTTCAAAGTCAAAATTTCACCTTGCGCGTGAACTTCAATCTTGGTACTTAGGTCTCCCCGAGCAATCGCTTGCGTGACGTTGGAGATCTGTCGTACTTGCTGGGTAAGATTCTGCGCCATAGTGTTCACATTGTCGGTCAAATCGCGCCAACGACCCTCGACATTCTCAACCTGAGCTTGACCTCCTAGGGTGCCATCAGTGCCAACCTCCCTTGCCACACGGCTCACTTCGAAGGCGAATCGATTCAACCGGTCAACCATAGCATTAATAGTCAGCTTCAGATCTAGGATTTCTCCTTTGACATCCGCAGTGACCTTCATAGTCAAGTCGCCGCGAGCCACAGCGGTAGTCACTTTGGCGATCTCGCGGACTTGTTGAGTCAGATTTGACGCCATACAATTGACGTTCTCGGTCAAATTTTTCCATGTCCCCTCCACTCCGTGAACGACTGCTTGGCCGCCCAAGGTTCCGTCGGACCCGACTTCTCTGGCCACGCGACTTACTTCGAAAGCAAATTCTCTAAGCTGATCCACCATACCGTTGATGATATTCTTGAGGAGCAAGATTTCACCCTTGCAGTCTGCTTGCACCTTCCTAGTCAAATCGCCTTTTGCCACGGCAGTAGTCACGGTGGTGATGTCGCGCACTTGGGTAGTCAAATTGTTGGCCATGGCATTCACATTCACCGTCAACTCTTGCCAAATTCCTTGGATTCCTTCGATATTAGCCTGTCCACCAAGCACACCTTCGGTGCCGACCTCACGAGCAACCTTGGACACTTCCTGACTGAAGATTTGCAACTGATCCATCATCGTATTAATGGTCTGCTTGAAAGTTGCAATGTCCGGCGACATTTCGAGGGGATGCAACCGCGCACGCTGCGACAGATCACCATGGGCCACTTGGGTGATAATCTCGCCGATCTCGCGTAACTCTTTCTGGAAGGCCTCATTGATATGGATATGTTTGCGCAATTCGCGCCGGAGGGAAGAGCATTCATGTTCGACTTCAGCAATCTCCGAATGAGACTCCCGACGATGTATAAGCTCTTCGACGATCAGTGAGATAAATTCGCGTGGGACCGAGACCTCGGGACAGTCTTGATGCTGCAGAGCCGCGCGGGCTTGTTGCAAGTCGGAATCGCTCACTAGCGCCGGGCGTGGCAGTTGAACCAAGGCAGCCGCCATTGTGTTCAGGGATTGTCGGGGGTTCTATACGTGTCAAATGCCGCTTATGCTGAATGCCGTGGAGACGACCTGACGACTTGAGTCAAGGTGGGTGATTTCACTACTGGGGAGTCCCCACACTATCAGCGCCTTCAATCTCTCTCGCTGAGGACGATAGCGCTGTCTGGGTTACGCTAATAAGTGATCAAAAGTCAGTGGAACACGCCATTTGACAGGGCACCAAATTCGTAGTCGGATGGATGTCTGGATATCACCAAAGGCTCCAAGGTGGATGTATCTTGGTCTCATGATCTCCTGTAGCCGATCGACCACTCCCGCCCGAATACGTGCTCACCTAGTTGGCCAGATGTGTCCGTCCGTATGGGCAGAGAGCGGACGTAGGGTGCGGCAGCACGATGGTCGAAAGCTTGTAGATGTTTATACATTCCCTAGAAATTGGTGTAGATGCGTTCGCAGGGCCCCCTCAAAGAGACAGGAGATCCTCGGAATAGAGAAGAATCAAGCACGACGGCGAGGCGAAACCATAAAAAACAGACCCAGGCCTGTCAGAAAATTGTGGCGCGGGAGGTAGTCTGACACTTTCAAGTTTTGGGCATCGGGCTACACCCAAACCAGACATGTGGCAATGTGTTGATTGCGACTTTGAACCCAAGGTTCGGGTCCGGGGTCGAGTGTCGGCGGGACTGGGACAAAGTCACCGGTCCAAATGTCTTAGTCTGTTTTATGGGCCACTCTCGGTCCGTGAGCAAGCACAAGAGGAACAGAAACAGAGAGCAGATGATAGCTTCCTCAGGAATTCGATGCAGGGACTGGGTGGCACAGGGTGGTCATTAAGCAAGGTCTGGGTTCACACTGCAGTCGTAGTCCTCGGCTGGGGCATTGTCCTAGACTGGAGTGCCGGGGTCATACTCATTGTGTCAATGATATTGTGTCCCAGAACCCAGCAGCGCAACGCCATAAACCCCCCTCCCAACTTCCAGTTCTCGGCCGCAGTCGTGAGCCAGAGTGCGCCGTAGCGGTGCATCGAGTCTAGACTCGCATCGGCCCGTCCAGAGTCTCCCAGCGGAGTCTAACGAGTCGCGCGGATCAAGGAACCGACCGTCTGCGCCAATGATCTGGTCAGCTGACCGCGTAAAGAGGACACGACCGAGACGGGCCCAAGTTATGTCAGGGAACCGCTTGTCCACGCCGAAAGGGCCAGGCATGCCGGAAAATGCAGGCAAGAATTCAACGGGATGACGAGGCCTTCGATGCGGAATGATCGAGGAGGCTTCGAGGTATTCTGACAGTCGTTCTTCATTGGTTCTTGTGTCTTTCAGTTACCCAGGATCCTGAGGTGGCTGCACATTGAAGTATATTGCTTGTGGGTGAATGATCGGGCGCGGGGCATTTGATGCAGTCATGGGGACGAATCGCGCTAGTATTGATGTCAAGTTGGTATGGGATGCCGTTGAGGATGAAAATCGATGCAACATGTCCTGCACCCCCATCGTAGGTGCATCACATATTGCACAAAGTCAAGGAAAGAAGCAACAACGGGCATATGGTCGATCTTGGTCGATCATCGTTGGCCGCCCGATACTACGGGGAACCACAAGTGCCACCCTGCGAAGGGGCCTATCCCCATTGATCACATGTCTAAGGAGGTACGTACCATGACCCTATCCAGGATCAATTCATGTCCTACGAATAAGGTATCTCCCTTGAGCATTCACTGTCTTATTCCGGATTTAGGACTGCTAGGCTCAATGCCTCGCTGGGTGAAGAGGAGCGAGACGGCAGATTGGCCACCAGACACTGTAGAGTGTAGAACTGTAGACAGCAGACAAGTCTTTCGCAGTACAGATGTACTGATCTGCTTCTCAGTCGCATCTTCACATTCAATAAAGTACGTCAAATCTGAATTGCCATGCATGATCTATGTCCCTCCGTCTCTTCTAATTCTGCTCTTCTATCACAAGGCTCGCTTACCCTCATAATAAAGGCCAAGGGCGGCACTGGTCGTTTCCCGTGCATCGATCATTCCGGGACGATCACAGATTGGACTCGACATTGACTGACTGGTACAAGTGGAACATCCAGGCGGGTGCTAAATCCAATTAGTCACCAGTCATATGCAGGTGTTGTCATGTTGCCCCAAGTCGAGATGGAAAAAGACAACGACCACACCGAGTCAAGGGCGCCGAGAATAGATAGGCCAACCCTGGCGTAGATACCGATCGATTGTTTATGCCATAGGCCGATCAACCGAGTCCGGATTGCTGTCAAGCCTTGTTGGAGAAATTCCCGAGGAACGTGGAGGCGCAGGCGCCTGAGCCCATGAGAGATCGAGTGATATGAGAAGAGTAGATGCTGTCCGGACGTGGACACAATTTTCACCATATGCCAAGAGGATTGCGTCTAGCATCAAAAATGCATTAGAATCACTAATTGAACAGTAAAAAGCTATAATACAGAGTTCTGCGCCGGTAAACCGTTCGTCAAGCCCCCCAAAGAGGAGAGTGGAGAGGAAGGGGGAGGTATAGAAGATTGATGAGAATACATGAAGAAGGAGAGGAAAAGAAGACGAGGGCATAGGTAATAATAGCACAAAATAGGTTCACAAAGAGCATGAGAGTGTGAATCCAAGTTCGCGCGCACGCAATCTCACGACCATGTAAAAGAGATGTGAGGGGGAGATGAGCTTTCATAGATTATCTCATGGAAGCGGATGGATTGAAGTGGGAATCACGAGTAGGAGAGAGTAAAGCACGGTGAGTTCGTTTAGAACATGCCGCCGCCCATGCCGCCCATACCACCCATGCCGCCCATGCCGCCACCGGGAGCAGCGGGGCCCTTCTCTTCGGGAGCCTCAACGATGGCAACCTCGGTGGTACCGAGCAGGGAAGCAACACCGCTGGCATCAACCAGGGCAGTGCGGACGACCTTCAGAGGGTCAACGATACCACTGGCAATCATGTCGGTGTACTCGCCCTTGGAGGAGTCGAATCCGCGGTTGAAGTCCTTGGCGAACTCGTCGGTGAGCTTGCCAACGATGACGCTGCCTTCCAGACCGGCGTTCTCAACAATGGTGCGGGCAGGGCGAGTAATGGCGCTCTTGATGATGCTGACACCAAGCTGCTGGTCGAAGTTGGCAGGCTTGACGTTCTCCAGGCCGTTGGCGGACGCCTTGAGAAGAGCGGTACCACCACCGGGCAGGATACCCTCCTCAACGGCAGCGCGAGTAGCGTTCAGAGCATCAACAACACGGTCCTTCTTCTCACCAACCTCAACCTCGGAGGCACCGCCCACCTTGATAACGGCGACACCGCCAGAAAGCTTGGCCAAACGCTCCTGGAGCTTCTCCTTCTCATACTCGGAGGTAGAGGGGTCAGCCATGACACCACGGATCTGCTCACAGCGCTGGGAGATATTGTCCTTGCTACCCTCGCCGTTCAAGATAATGGTATCCTCCTTGGTGATGGTGATGGCGCCGGTGGAGCCGAGCATGTCGGGGGTGAGCTTCTCGAGCTTGACGTCAAGCTCGTCAGTGAAGACGGTACCATTGGTGAGCACAGCAAGGTCGCCCAGGATGCTCTTGCGGTTGTCACCGAATCCGGGAGCCTTGACGGCAGCGACCTGGAGCTGGCCACGGAGCTTGTTCAAAATACAGACGGCGAGAGCCTCACCCTCGATGTCCTCGGCAATGATGACGAGGGGGCGGCGAAGGGTGGTGGAAGCCTCCAGAGCGGGGAGGATGTCCTGAACGGCAGAGATCTTCTTCTCGGACAGAAGAATCAAGGGCTTCTCAAATTCGACCTTCTGGGATTTGGGGTCGGTGATGAAGTAGGGGGAGGTGAAACCGCGGTCGAAGCGCATACCCTCCGTGACCTCGAGCTCGTCCTCGAGAGTCTTACCCTCCTTGACGGTGATGACACCCTCCTTACCAACACGCTCCATGGCGTTGGAGATGAGCTTGCCAACGTGAGTGTCACCGTTGGCGGAAATGGTCGCAACCTGAGCAATCTCCTCGCCGGTGGTGATGTCGCGCTTGTTGGCCTGGAGGTAGTCAACAACAGCGTCAACGGCAGCCTGGATACCACGGCGGAGATCCATGGGGTTGCAGCCAGCAGCGACGTTCTTCACAGTCTCGGAGAAGATGGCACGGCCGAGAACGGTGGCGGTGGTGGTACCGTCACCAGCGAGCTCGTTGGTCTTGGAGGAAACATCCTGGAGGAGGCGGGCACCGAGGTTCTCGAACTTGTCCTGGAGAGTGATAGCCTTGGCGACAGTGACACCGTCTGAAATCAAGGGGGAAAGAGATGTAACGTTAGCGATTGCACGTGGTGGGGAAGGGGAATTCGCCCAGTGGCCGAAAACGCGTGGCTAAGGAAATCAACATACCCTTGGTGATCTTGGGGGAGCCGTAGGGGGATTCGATCAAGACATTGCGACCCTTGGGACCGAGAGTAGAGGTGACGGCCTTGGCAAGAGTGTCAACACCCTTGAGGATACTGGCACGAGCCTCAACGCCAAACTTGATCTCCTAGTCGGACATTAGCTCCATTCCACACACGTACAGCTCCAGGACTGTACAGACGCGATACTTCTAACAACTGTCGGTGGTCCAGTGCAGTTGTCGGAGGCACCATGTATCGAAGACATACCTTGTGGGCAAATCGCTGCTGCTGAAGGTTCAGAGGAGAGCGGGCGAAGGGAGCACGCTTGGACGCGGCGGAGAGGACCGAAGTCCGGGATGACAGAGCGCGCTGCATAGCTATGGAAACAGAACAAGAGCAAGGGAATGGACGGAGGGTATTATGAAAGATGCTAGATGAAAAAACCCGAGAGCAATTGATGCGGGTCGAGCGAGCAATATAGGTGGGAGGATGAACGGAAGATAAAGGTGAAGGGGAGAAGCTGGGGAAGATGAAGCCTAAGTCTCGAAATTTTTCCAGGCCATTCTTCACTCTTCCCCATCCCCAGACTGCTGGGCGGCAGAAACAGCTAGAACGTCACGTGAGTCCCGGCTTTCCGAGGTGATGGGCCGCTGGAAGCCGATGATACCTTGCTCCGAGGTCGATACGAGCTCCCCTTTTGCCTGGGCTTGGAATCTGTTTGACGCACGAACTACCATAAAGGCATCAAATGAGCTGAAAGCTAGTAGTAAGGCTTTGGAGTCTCTGTTGGAACCTCAGCCGTTGACTCAGAGATGATGATCTTTCTCTTTGATCAAGGACAGGGCAAGTAGCTGCATCGACTGCCCGCAGAGTGGATCCTCACTAAATCGACCGGTAGTCCTGGAGACCACCGTATATCGATGGGCACTTCGAACCTGTGCCAACGAGGTGATCGACGCGAGGGTTTATGCCATGACTCACCTACACCTCAAAATGGGCGCTAACAGTAGTCATCTTTGATAAGTCGCCAAATTCCAGCCACCTGTCTGTCATGCACGTTTTCTTTGATTAAGCTAGCCTGGTGCAGTGCCAAGTGGTGCCTGAGGAATGATTTGTCTTTGGAGCATCTAGGGACAGAGTATATTTCCTATTCATCTACCGTCACACCTAGCTGTTGACGACACTTCAATTTTTTCATTATTTGAAGTTTAAAGAAATGAACCGTCAAAATTTCATGTCTACCTCATAGTTGAAAAAATGCTCATATCTCGAAACCTCAAACCACATACACATATTGGAATCCTCTCCATGAGAACATGAAATTTGTTCTCGATCGTCAAGCCTTAAAGGGAGCTTCAAGAACTTCCAAGTCTTATGCCGTAGATTTTCACAAGGACGTCAAGATAGCTGAATGGATGCTGGCAAAATGAGGTGAAAGTTGGCTTGCTCCCGCCCCTTTTCAGGCAGATTTGATACAGACATGTGCACATCGCACAGTCCTCCTCAGACTAATGCTGAGAGAGTAGATGCACTGCATCACTATCTGTAATTCTATTTCATAGACGAATTCCGCTCAAAATGCGCCAAAATTTCCATAGGGGCACGTGGGAGCAATGGAAGCGGACTTTTTCTCAACCCTACATCATACCTTAGGTGAGCCTGCTCACCAGATCAGCAGCAGGGGGTTCACATCACAAATGAACTTCCAATAAGCTCAATTATTGAAAGACCTCGCAGTTCACCTCAACGCCAAGATATATACCAACTACAATGCAGAGACATTGGGTAGGCGGAATACTCGATGGGGTGTATGCTGATTTATTCATCGTAATGACGAAGAAGAGTGGAACTAATGCCTGAAAGTACGAAATGCATCGATGCAGCGAAAAGAGAGCTGAAACCAATGCAAACCAGCCTTGGATTTCACGACATTCGAATCTGAGAGTCGATAGCCGGTGCACCAATAGGGCACGACGCAAGAAAATTCCAAAAGCCTCTTGAAGGACTGGAATCAGAAATTTGGAACTGAAGTTGCTTGAAATCCAAAGTCACTGCACGTAAACCGCAAAATACCGCAAAATGCCGGGAAATGGCAGAAGATACGCAATAATATAAGAATAAAAAAATGCAGGAAATTAGCCCGCTTCACTACTTATTCCGGCTCCTCGTCCTCCTCGTCCTCCTCGGTCATGCTAGAATTCCGATGCGCAGGTGGCTTCTCGGGATACGGCTCCCACGAGCCCAAAGTGACAGCACCCTGCGGAGATCCGAATGGTGCGCTTGGTGCAGTCCCAGTATTTATTGGTGCACTCGGTCGACCGGAGGCAAAAGCAGGCGCATGAGGAGACCAGGTATACTCGTGCGGAGCCAGCAATCGACCTCCCAAAGCTGGAGTGATACCCGGCCAGGTCCTACCAGCTGGCTGTGATTCGGGAAGGCTTCCGGAAATTTGACCTGATGGTGCTGGACTAAATCCAGTAGGTGGGACGTTGACTATGGCCGGATCATTGCTCATGTAAATAGGATAGCTGGACTCGGTTGCGCTTGAAGTAGGGAGAGTTGGGGTGGGATTGGCGTTTGCTGAGCCTGCTCGATACTTCAGACTACCGCCAAGAGGAAGCTTCGTGATACGTGAAGGGCGCGGGCTTGGAGTGCTCTTTGCGGCCTTAAGCTGGCGCAAGTGATTCGCGCACTGCTCAATGGCCTTTTGGCGCTCAATCTCGCGCTCAGTCTCCACAGCGCTGTCTTCGCCATCATCATCTGAGCTTTCATATTCTTTCTCAGAATCCCCTTGAGACACAAAAAGGGTATCACCACGTTTGGCCTTAGTATTTTTCTGCTTCGGGCGGCTCTTGTTGGACATCTTGACCCCCGAGAAAGACTCGCGTCCGGTTTTCAGCCTCTTAGACTCAATCTGTTCATGCGCCTCATCTTCCTCGTCGGAGACTTCCTCGTCATCTTCAAGGCTCCCATAGTCATCCGAGAGCTCCTCGTCCTCATAAACCTCATAGCTCTCATTTGGGTCAATTGTTTTGTTGTATTTGTCCTTTGGGCCCTTCTTAGTAGCCGGGGTATTCGCAGCGGCTGGAACAGAGCGACGAAGTGGCGGCGGAACACGCTGGCCTGCAGCCTCACGACGAATTCGAAGCTTCGAGAGATGCTGGACGATTGCACCTTCGGTAAACTTGGTTCCCATGATCTCAGCGACTTCTTTCCAGGGAATCTTGACACCGGTCTGGTTGCACGCGGCTTGAATGGTGAGAAGGAGCAGGTTATCAAGGTCCTCTATCAAATTGGTCAGTTAAGCTAGTTGCCAACGTGAAGTACATCATAGTGGTTGATCCCAGGATGTGGAGCTTCAGCATAGATAAGGGGAAACTTACGGTCCCAGCGAACCAGTTGGCGCTTCTCTTTGCGTGGAGGTCGCTTGCCCTGCATGTGATCAGCCTTACCACTTCGAGTGAAAGGCATCTTGATGATTGGTTCTTGGTTGAAAGATATTGGTTGAGAACAAGGCTCAAGTTGATGTTGAGATGTGTTGCTGAGAAAGTCGTCCAAGGGTTGTGAATGGTAGGAAGATGATCGTAAGAATGTGTTGCAAACTGTAAGAGAAAAGTGTTTGAACGAGAGCAAGCGCGATGTGCAGTGATCGATAAGATATCGAGCGTCCTTGCCGAGTGTTTTCGAAAAATAGGCCGAGAGCTGACCTCGTATCGACGTGGATTAATCGGTGGTCGAAAAAAAAGTTGCCAGTTAGGTTCTTCGCCGGAGTACAGACTACAGACTGCGTGCTGCCGACTGTCTTGCACGTCGAAAAGTTGATTAGTAGTCTAAATGTGGCTGCACTGGAAGAAGTAGCAATCTCAGCATAACTCGGAGACTGCTGTGAGTCAGCTGTCGTTAAAGCTGTCGTATTGCTTGTCGTCGTGTCGTCTCACTGCCTGTGCTAATCTTGGCGGTGTTCTCGATTGTATTGGTAAGGTGGTGTCTGTTCGTTTAAAGATGCCGCTATGAATCGATGAGAGTTAAGAGAGAGAAGAGGGTTGAAGTGAGGGAAGATCCTTATTTATATAGCCCCGTATCGTGCTCTTCGCGTAACGGGAATCATCTTATAGAATCACATGGAAAACTAACCTAAATGTTTGTTCATAAGATATTTTTCCGAAATTCTAGGGTATTCTGTGAAGGGAAAATTGTAGGGTCAGGAAAAGTATGTATTAGCAGAGTCATGCAAGATACAATTCGCGTAACGATGACTATAACAACTATACGGAAACTTATATGAATGTTTGCTCACGAAATCGAATCTTCTTCCTAGAAGGAAGACCATGGCGTATTCAACAAAGAAAAACATCTACTCATACATTATTCAAGCTTTAGAAAGCATACCATGATAGCTGTGTAACAAGAAGATTAGTATCACACGAACCTAAAGCTCAATGCTTACTTACAAAATCGTCCTCCGCCGCTATCGAAGCACTGAGGGTAGAGTCACGATAGAGCTTCTATCTTTCTTGTCGTCCTGTTGTCGTGCCGTCGGTGGTGCTTTTGTGGCGCTCCTATGTAGTAGGGTATGTCGGCACATCAAATGTGTAGCTATGATCAGACGAGTGTTATGTGAGAGAAGAGAGTTAAAACAGGGAAAGTTATCCCTTTATATAGTCCCGTACCATAATTCCCGGGTGACATCAATGATAGAATCACACGGAAAGTCATGTGAATGTCTGCCTGTGAAATTGCGTCTATTTTCGTAAAGGCAAATTTCAAGGTATTCCGCCAAATAGGGAAAGCAAAGTAAGAGAAAAACTTTATTGATATAGCCTTCTGCCATAATATTTGTAACAGGGCAAACAATAGAATCACACGGAAAGCTACATGTTTGCTTGGAGAAGTGTATTCCTTCCCAGAAGGGAAATTCCAGGGTATCATGCGAAAAGAGAGAGATGATCTAATAAAGCACGAGAAAGTATGCAATGCTATAGCCTCATGTCATGACCCTTGCGTAACGGCGACACACGGTCACACGAAAAGTCATATGCCATATGTTTGTGCATAAGTGCCCACCAAAAGATTATACAGAAAGACGGTGAAATACGAGTTGATTAGGTGAAAGGAAAGTGAGAGAAGCTACTTGGCCTTGAAGGGGAAGGGGAATCTATGTTCTGACAGTGGCAGAATAGATCAGACCACCGTCATCTCATCCAAACAATGTTTGCGTGCGAGATCATCTCTGTATTCTCAGTCGAAGGTTCTGGTGCTTCCGTCCATCACAGGATACGATAGTTAGATCGCCGATAGAGCTGTTGCCCTTCTTACCGTATTGTGGGAATACTGCTTGCGATGCGCTTCAAGGTGCTCTTCGGGGACCCACGGTCATCTTTGCAGTGCTTTTCACAGTCCTCTTGACCGTACTCTTTGCTATCATCCTAACTTACTGTATCCGCGTCCGCTACATATACGCCTATGAATAGATGAGATGAAAGAGAGAGATGAGGTAGATAAATAAGAAACACTCTCCATATACGTAGCGATATACCCCATTCTTCAAGCCCTAGGAGTATCAGGAAAACGCAGAAAGCCATTTCTTTGCCTACGAAATCGTTTCTACATCTCTGAAGGGAAGTTTTAGGGTATTCCGCTACTTACAGAGTGTTGTAGACAGGTTGTCGTCAGAGCCTTCCTACCTCTGACATATTATTTGGTATCTTGTGTTATCTTGAAAATGATAATCTTTGTGACTTTTCCAATAGTATTCGTTGGGTAGTGTCTGTATTCTGAATATGCAGCTGCAAATTGTTGAGATTCAATAGAGAGACAAGAGATGATGGATGGCAGGGGCGGGAAGATGTCGAGAAATATGTCTGGCTAGACATATGCGTGAAGCTAGTGACCGTGTGGATATTTGTCGAAAGATGCGTGTTACCTTAGTATCGAAGAGACTATGCAGTAGTTTTCTCCAATTGATCACCCGAGTATCCGGAGACTGGAATCCAAGACCAGTTCTCTTAAAAGCTTATCTGCTAGCATCCTTTTCCACAGACAGAGGGCTTATCAATGTTGTGAGGTTACATGTTATCATCACGTGGGTCGTGGATAGCAGATGCTTGCACGTGACCGAAGTTCCCGATCCTCCGAACGTCCAGCGCTTCCAAACTCACCCGAACCCGATTTTACCCCTTCAATTGAATCAATCAACTCCGCATCCATCATTCAAAATGACTGCCGCTTGGAAAGCCGCTGGCCTGACGTAAGGTCTCTTGACTCGAATTTGCCCGCGACTCTGCTAACTGTCGAAACAGCTACAACCGCTACCTGGCGATTGCCGCCCGGACGGTGCGCCGCTCTCTGAAGGAGCAGTCCCGTCTCGCCGCTGAGCGCCGCGGTCAAATGGACTTGCGTTTCGCCAAGTGGGAGGTGAGTTGAAAAGTTCGAGCTGGTCATATGTCGGAATGTTGAAGCTGATCGAATTATCATGGAAAAAGAACGGCAAGCAGGGTGACGTCCGCTCGCTCGCCCAGGCCAACAACGAGGCCATCGCTCAGAACGCCGAGAAATAGATACTCCCGGACCTTAGGAGATCGGCCTGAAAAGCAGACGTGGAATTTTTCGACAGCTTAAGGGTGCTTCAATTGGGTTGGGCGCCATAGTTGAATATGGCAGAGGTCATGGGGAGACAATACACCTTTTTGTACATGTGTAGCAATACAAAACCTGTCTAAGCCATTAGACAGACTTTTGATCAATTCCTGAGTGTCTGGCGATTATTTCTTTCGGTACTTGGTAATTCGAGACTAGCAGGTGGTCTATAGAGGTCTCCAAATCGTATTGTACCTTTAGCGTTTCCTCGGCCGGTACTGCACGTCAGAGGACCACACCCAAATTGCCCTTCCTGGCGGACATCCTTTTTTCCGCCCACCTCTTCCCCGCCACGCCCCTCGCGCTCTCCGCAGTTTTCAAATTGAGCCCCAGCACCAATTGCGAACAAGTCCATCCATTGCTCATATGAACAGAGCAGGCAGCATATTGCAGAGTCCAGTAGCCCTGCGCGATGCTGCCGAATAACGAGGTCCGCGTGCCCCTGCCGCGAGCGGCTGCGCAGTCGTCTGCGCCGCGCGACATCACTGCTCAATTTACGCAAGCCGCCTCAAGTACAGCTAAGCTCTAATACATTCCAGTCTTGTGGCCTGAGTCAAGTCTAATTCAAGTTTCTGAAAAATATAGAACTCCAAGTCGGTCAGCTTGTCAAAGATGAGTCATTTACGCTTTTCGAGGCCGTAGGCGCATTGGAGGTGCGTCGGTGGGAGATCGACAGCCAAAATTACACAATCTAGGAACGAAGACTAATGTCGGACGGTCTTGGAAGTAGATTATGGACTCCAAGATGGACAGTGGGTATATTGCACCCGGTGAAGATCATGCGGAGGCCCTTGAGATCAAGTACGACTCACGACAAGATCTAACGGCCGAAGAGGTGGTTGGCCTTATGGATCAGCTTCTCTGCCATGAGGTTCGCTTGCCACCTAAAATTTGATTGGAAGTGTACATGCTCACGAGTATACAGATGGCTTGGCACATGGGTCATCCATTGTCACAAACACTGTTTACATCGATTTATATCGACAAGCTGTTATGGCCGACACCGAAAACGATAGAGGAAGCCCATTTCGATCGCGCCCCCAGCGAGAACCGCCTAGTCGAGCTTGTGCTTCGTGCATATTGTCTAGCATTATTGAAAGCTTGCGACTACGTTCATGCTCGAGTCGCATCCGAGTATTACTATGAAGTATGTGGGACCACTATGATTCTTCCAGTTCCCTTTGCTAAATGAGCGAATTACTGGCGGCCACAGGAAGAAGACTTTGTCACGCAGCTATACAACCGCAATCTGTTGTCCGGGATCGACTCGTCACATTTCTATCGCCTGCTGGACCAAGCGATTGACTGGGTGGAGAATCAGGACACGATTAGATCAGACTTCAAAGATGCGATTCGTAGCCGACTTTGCCTGCGACGGGAGTTCCTCGCCTCGGTTGACCAAGATCTTGAGATTCTGGAGACTCAGTCCACAGAAAGTTTTAAATTGTGTCTGAACCACTTGGCATCAGTAGCCGACACGGTCACACTTGGGAAACCGGTGCCAGAAGCCTTCAGCCTCAAACTTCAACGGAAGCTCGCCAGTACGGTGCCCCCTCGGCCGATCGTTCACATCAAGCAAGAGGCTGCTCTTGAACAAATGAGACGTCTCTGCCAAGACGCAATTGACATGCAACAGATGCTAGACTACCGGGGCCCTAGCAACTTCAAGGTACGTGAGGGAGACGTACTGCAAGTTCGAACCTTACTAACTCATGGTTTCAGACTGCTGTCTGGACGCTGGTCTCACGAAAACCACAGCCATCTGTCTATATTAGATCACTCCTGCAGGCTTTGATCATAAGCGACTCGTCGATCCTTGGGACTGTCCCTGTGCGAAAATATCTGTACGATGATCTTGCGGAGCTAGTCTTGCCTGCGAGTATGCTGCTTCGAGCGAACCTTGATGATGTTGAGCTCCCCTCGGATCCACGGTTCCGGATTGCTCAAGTCATGGATAGCTTCGTGAAGCGCTTCGCCCAGGTTTGTTCAGATGGCGGATGAGGCGTTGCCTACGTCTGGCTGACTGTCATTCATTCAGCCTTTTGTCGATACAATACGCTCTGCCTGCCTTAACCGCTGTCGTGTTCGCCGTACCGTCTGTCACACGGTAGTCGACTGGGACAATCTTCAAATGGAGGTAATACGAGTAAATCCACATCCAGGAAAAGAGCACGGTTGATGCTAATGCATCATGTCTAGGCCGAAGAGATCGATATGCAACTTCAGGGTTTTAGTGCGGAACCAGCACTCCAAGTCCATGGAGGCGATACTACGTTCTCATACCCGCTCAGCAGCTGGACGTATCACCAGAAGCTACTCCAGCTCCGGCTTATCTTGCAGATGGGGTTCGAGCTTTCTATCTATGCCCCGGAAGAACTTCCCGGCATATACTGGTACCTTTCGCACCTCTGCTCCACGCACTTGGGCCATCTCGACCGCATTCGCACATTCACTGTGGCGGCTCGGAAGCGTGACCTCGTGAGTGGCGGTAATGATGCCGCAAAGTCGGCGGCGTATCATCGATCATTATTACACCTCGAACGACTCACGACTCACATCATCGCGATAGACGCGTTCGCCATCGCACTTCACGCGCTCTATGTCCTACTAGCACGTCACGAGGTGCTTCCTTGTGCGGCTAGTCCCCGGGCATACTCTAGCGACAAGCTCCGCTACGAGCTTCGCATGAAACCTTTCCTTCCTATATCGCTGCCGGAGCCAGTTCCGTTCGAGGAATTCCGGCGCGAGGCGACTTTGGAAGGCGACTCGGACACTACTGTCTTGGACCGAGCTTCCAAGGCTATTACGGAAGCTCGCAAGGCGTGGGAGGCCACTCTCGCCAATGGTGCGTTTATTGAAGATGTTGCTTTCTCTTCGACCACGAAATCGGCTCCTCTTGCTATCGAGGAAGACTGGCGTCGTGAGATCAAGGACACGATGCGAGCTTGCATCGGAACTAGCATTGCTATTGAAACAGTTAGAAAGGCCATCATGGGCGCCGCGTCCCCCTCGTCGAGGCAAGAAAAGCTTAGCCTAGATGTGGTGATTCCTGAGATCGGCTCCAAGGCGCGCTGGCACGACTGGTGGGTTGTGCCGCAAATTTCACCAGGGAAAATGTCGTTGGCGACTGGATGAGCTTCATGGAACGGAGCAGATCAATTTTAGAAATCCAAATTCAAAGGATATTTGAAGAGCTCCATAGCTCTTCGAATGCATTTCGTGACGCATTCTTGCCATGTGGAGAAACCCCTGACCGACTTCTCGTACTTGCGATCCCCCATTGTCCAGCCATGCTAGCCTGCCTCCAGCGTCCAGCTTGGAAGTCCCTCTGCTGGGTACTAGTAGTAGGTGTCGATGCGCCAACATGACTAAGGCGGGCCGGTGCACTTTCGCAGTAGATGATAGCGCTTGTCCCTCGTAGTGAATCGCACGTTGGCAAGGTAGGGGACTGGAATCGAGTTCGGTCACTGCTCAATGCGTGGTCTGTTCCTTGTACCACGGAACCTCGGACAAGTGCATCTTCAAGCAAAGCCTGAATCGATCAGTCTGTGAGAAGTCAGTGAAGCGACCATCAGCACAGCTGCGCCCACGAGCGGACGCCCGTGAAGAATCCTCAGTAAGGAGCGATCTTCCAAATCTCGTGACTTGGCAGAGACCCGTCATTTACCCGGTGCCTCAGACGGCTGTCCCGTTCGGGATGACGAGGTGAACCCAAGGAACCGGTCCGCTACGAAGGTTGCGCTGAGATCATCCACTTTTGCCTTCCAACCTTGAATCATCCAAGCTCCACGGAAGTCGGAGCTGCTGCACCGTCGTGAATTCTTGGATCTGCTGAAATTCATCTTGGCTGCAAGGTGAACATCGTTCTTCCTTCAATTTTTCAAAAGCAGTTTTCGAAAGCCATCATCATTCCCCATTCATCTAAAAGCAGTCGTACAAACTGCCTCGTGCAAAGGTACTGTTCAGTGCCCACCACCTTATCCCAAACAAGAAACCGGGTCACTCTTCTCGGTTGGGGAAGCTCGGATCACTTGAAAAAGCGGAATACCGTCCGGCTCCTGCAGGTGAACCCGCGCTTGCGAAAAACCTCAGCCACTCTCTGGAATTGTGAATTTGCGTTCGAGCGTTCAGCTCAGCCTGTACACTCTTCGATTCGTCCAGCTCAGATCCAACCGATTCCACAACGACCAACTTGGTGGGCCGCGATCCACTGCCGCCGACAAGGTATCTACCCGACCGGGCCATCACGATTCATTACGACTCTCGAGAGTAGTCGCAACCGAGTCGACACCGTTCTCTACGCACTGGTGTGATCTCTTCAATCTCCTAATACCTAATTGATCAAACTTTATCGGGGAATTTGGCAAAAAGTGACAGATCTTGCAGCCACGCTGCGTGAACCCCGTTTTCTTCGTCCCAGACTGGTGATAGTCGACGCCAATGGCGGTTCTAGCCCGTTCCCTGTGATCTTGTACGAATCGGACCCTCTTTCTACCAGGCTCTCTTCTCCCTCGCTCCCCCCCTTTGTGCGCAAGGTGGGTGTGCCACTGCTCCGGATCGTAGCAAGAACCTTGAATGATCCACTGGGCCGGTCGCGTCCTCCGTTGCACGACTGCATAGGCGTGGTGAGCGTCTCCTTGGCCAAGTGACAGACCCGGCGCGAGTTCTTCGGCACATTGGCGACATCCTCTTCTCTTGACGCATTATTCCAGGGCCGATCTGCATTGCAACCTGCCTATGCGGTGCTCTCTACACACCTCCGCTCGCCGCAGGCAAGCAAGCACTCTTCGCTCGTTCCACGCCGCGGGGCTCTGAACGATGCCGACGTATCCCATCCGTCGCCGCCGCCCGCGCGATTGCAAAACGTGTCTACCCTGCCGCGCCAGCAAAGTCCGCTGCGATCGCAATGTGCCTTGCAGCAACTGTGTCAAGCGCAACTTTCCGTGCACCTACGGCCGGCCACCTCCGTCCGCGAGGATCTCGGATCCTGCGACATCTAGCGCTGCATCTGCTACGCCGCTACAACCCTCCTACACCTCGTTCGGCATTTCACCTCGTGACGACGGCCCGGTGCCGCTCCCACATCAGGCCCCGCTCACACGCGATGGCTCTTGCGCCGCCGAACAGTCAGTTTCCCCGTGGGATGACCCGGACCTACCAGAGACGATCGACATTTCACAGGAGGAATGGGATGAAATCAATATGAAGATGGTCGCAATGGAGGAGATCGCGAGCAGTCTGCACAAAATGTTCAACATACATTCTGCCCGAAGGAAACCAGATATCGGAGATTCCACCGCGACTTCAGCCACTCCGTCGGATCGAAAGGGCTCTATGCGATCAGAAGGCGTGTACGGTTCCAATGTGATGAAGACGGGCGCCGTACATCTCGGGTCTCGGTCAGCGCTCGTAGATATTTTGGACAAGTCCAAGCGCTCCGAGGACGTGGCGCAGGCGCTGCCTCCGGAGGATCTGCTGGCGGATCTTGCCTTGGGTAACGAAGCCATGGCTTATCCATTTGTTGACCTGTGGTCCTCGGATCCGTTCACCTTCAATATTGCCGGTGTGTGTAGCGTGCTACCAGATGATGAGCAATGTTATAGGTAAGTGGGCGTGAGTCATCGTGCGATGACTGAGCAATATCCTTGGCTGTGTGATGATCGATTGTGCTGACCAGGATGTGTTGTCTCGTTCGCGATCCCGCAGGTTCTTGAACTTTTATCGAGACATCGGGGCAGTCCTTTACCCGGTACTCCCGGACCTTGACGCATTAAGCCGCCAGACGGCCCTTTTGCTCGATGGGAGACGACGGGCGGGAGGGGTCTACAAGCCAGACGCGAATGAACCGGTCAAACCATTCGGCATGGAGTTGCATTTCTTGAGCTTGCTTTTCGCCGTACTTGCCTCGGGTTGCCAATTGTCTGATCTGCCGAGTGCAGACCGCGAACTGACTTCTTGGGTATATAGTAAGCAGTCCAAGCTGGGCGCGAGGTTCACGTGGCCATGACCAGATGTCCGAAGAAACATAGCGCTAACCCGACTCGTGCAGTCTCTTGTGCATATCAGTGTCTGCGGATGTTGAATTACGTCTCACAACCGACGGTTGAGGCGATTCAAATTCTGCTCATTATTAGCAACGTCCTCTCATACAACATGAATGCAGGGGCATCGTACACATTACTAGGTGAGTCATGCCATTCCAGACCCCGGCCCCTCTCTGATCAGGGAGGATTCTTACACTCAGACTGCTAGGCATGACGGAGCGTATGTGTCTGGTGCTCGGTCTCCACGAAGAGTCCAGCGGGTTTACGACCGAGGAGCAGGCCACTCGGCGACGGACCTGGTAAGTTTTCTTTCGACTTCAGCTCGAACGATTGCAGGAGGGCTCACAATGATCTAGGTGGACCATGGCATTTCAAAATAGCCATTTCTCCCTTGCATATGACCGACCTTCCATCACCATGGTCAGCCAGCCTGAGATTCCCTTTGACCGAAAATCGATGCCCGGACATCGCCCGTATTTTGAGACGCTGTGTCGAGTGGTCTCGCTTGCGTTAGAGCTTCTCAAGTCGCGCATGTACCCTGGCCATCAGGAGCCTCGGCCTCACGACATCCGCGAGTATAAGCAACGCATCCTTCGCACACTGGCAGAAGCCTCGCCTCATCTGCGACAGAAAGACCAGTGTCGGTCTCTTGCCGAGCACATCGAGCGCACCGAACTGCGACTTCATTCCTCATATCTCCTTTCGGTCGTGACTCGAGTGTCATTGGATCGACAAGCCCATCTTGACGAGGCTCGCCGAGCCTGGATCCGCGAAGAGTGTCTGAGTAGCCTGGCGAGCACGATCGACGCCTTTGTGGAGCTGCATGAGATCAACTCTCACTGCTCTCGATCCTGGATCAGTCTTCAACGGTCGATTGCGTCCGCCTTCCTGTTGGTGACCAACGACGACAGCCCTCAGATCTGGACTCTAGTGGACCGTCTGGAGAAGGTCCTGTCCGACCACGTTTCCGCAAATGGCGAGGCCGAACAGAATGAACGCACCGACTCAGCCAAGCATCTCTCCTCGTCGTTGCGAGCTTTGCGGGAGATTCGCGTCTCCTTTCGGAAACGACCCCTCTTGCCGCCGACGCCCGAGTCCAGGCCCGTAGCATCCCTCAGTCATACCCAACCCTCACCGCTCACGGGGAATGGTACATCGGTGTCTCCATTGTCAGCACCCACGACACATGCACCGCCGGTTCCGCAGGTGGAAGATTGGCACATGCGCAATATCCTTGGCCGGGTGTCTGATGTCATGCTGTTCCCGAGTATGAGTGGAACCGGTCCAGTGGTGTAACCACAGCGTCGTCCACAGCCAGCAGCCACTTTTCTCTCTCTGGTCCATTCTCTGGGTCCACCCCCAAATGATCGCTTCATTGTGTCAAAGCGTGGTTGGGACTCTGTCTATTGTACGAAAGCGATTCATGATCATCGCCTTTCATTTTCCGAGTTCCGTGTTGATGCAGCACGACATCTGCAGAGGTCGTCCTTCAGCTGCCCATTGTTCACATTTCACGTTCCATTTCTTTATTTTCCACCCCTCCCCCCCCGTTCCATATACCCATTGTGGCCCCTGAGGTAGTTAGTGCAAGTTTTCCAAATGGAACATCCATGTCAAGACTTCTTCCGTTCTGATCAGCCCCGACACCCCAGTATGCGACACTGATCCCGTAGACCCCGCTTCACTCAACTCAGCCCATCTTCCTCTCGAATCGCGCTGCGGCCGGTGTCATCACATTGCACATGATGACACACCGGTCTGCTGCTGCTGCTGCTGCTAGTCACTGAGTGGTTATAAGGCATTACACATGCCTTGCCGAAAAACAATCCAATCCAACCCGCGATCGGCAAAGAGACAGCCCAGCAGAGGGGGGAGAGGAGGGACGTCCACGACGGTGAAGTTGTAGGAGAAAGACACTCCTTCCGGAAGATGAGTGAAGAAGCAGCCCCGGCGAGAGCAGAAAAAGGACGCGTGGTGCCCGCCCCTGCCATTATGTCCGTGGTGCCGATTTTCCCAGCTGAACCCCCGTTCGGTCTGCGTCAATCGTCACTAGTTTCGATGATCCTTCGATGATCCCACTCAGGCGCGCCCCCTTCCAACAGGTGTCAGAAACCCGACTGGAGCTAGTGAGGGCGAACTCGTGATGGCCCGGTCTGGGCTACCGAGGCAGACCGTTACAGGAGAAGATCTCGCTTCAGAGGCCCGTTTTGTGTTTTTCGCAGCCGGACTGGGAAGCAATCGTCCTGTTTATCTTCCCATCCCCTCTCTTTTGGTGTTGTTTGTTCTGAGCGTGGTGTAGATTCCATGGGACGATAGTCGTGTGTGACATGACCATGGCGCAACTCTACTCACTGACTCTCTGCCAGTGATTTTGCTTTTGATTTAATCAGACTGTAGTGGCATCCAATTGCGTCTTGCGTTCGACAGCTCAAGGATGCTGCCTCGCCCTGGTTGGGAACTTGGGGTACTTCTAAAAGAGGCGGACCAGTCTTTCGGCCGGCCGGGCTTTTTCCGGGGGTTTACCTGGAGGATGATAGGATCACAGGATGGTACTCGCGTGCGGGTCTCAGGCTATGAAATATGTTCCATCGTCAGACTGGAGTCACTGGACTGGACGAACTGTTAGCTTGTCTCACCTGGATTTAGGGTCGGCAACGGCCGGGGTTTGGGTGTGGCTTGATGAAGCAACGGCGTCAAGTGGTAGGAGAGACGAAGTGGGACTCGGAGCTGCATCAAGTGGTCTTGTTCTGGGATTCGGGCTTTGCGATTGTCCCAGGCCGGAAGCTGCGGTCGGGATTAGCTCGGGGCCGGATGTCATGTCTGCAGCGATGTGCTGCAGAGTCCAGCCTAGAATCACGTTCTGGGATTTCGGCCGGCACGAGGGAGGCGCAAATGGTTAGGGGCTGGGGAGGTCCTACTGCTATGGAATCATGGATCCTATAGTACCTCAGTACCTTACATGAAGAGTTCTATGGTAACATACTAAAGTTCCACCGACATCATTGTATAGTTGGGCTATCGCAGCCGACGGCGGTAGGTGAGGTCCCTCACCTTGATCATCTTCTCAATTCTTCCGAAGCAACTGCATGTGTGACGATGGGAATCTCCATGGCAGTGATCAACTGGGAATCTTGTAAAGCCTTCATAGAGGTCCATTTTTGGCAGGAGCAGGTGGCCTGTTAATCCAAACGGCCATTCATCTCTCATACCATACGTGGTACTCGTCTTACATCCATAGAACAGCCAAGGGCTATCATCATGGGCGGAAGGGTCTGGGCAAACGACAGCATTGGGGATCATTCACTTCTCACGCTTCCGGTTTCAATGCTCGGCCCGCTGGATCCCCCAGCATGATATCAACGAAATCGTCAGCCACGGACTGAAGACGATTCGTGTGCAGGTGGGAATACGGGCTCAGCGAAGATTTGGTGGATGCTTCATCAGAGCATTATCTTCGGGGTGGCCTCAAATTCGGTAGAAAGGTCGGCAGTGAGAGTACCTTCGCGATGCTGACATGTACATCCATCATGGACCACGGCACGCACGGTGCCTCTGGTGCGCAAACTGCCCAAAATGCATTCACGGCTCAGAGTGCCCCCCAAGCGAAATTTTACAAAGATAACCAGTATCCGAGTGCGCTCAAGTTCCTCGAATGAATGACGGGAGTTGATTCGTTCGGTCAACGAATTTCGCAACGTTGGTATGCTGGAGGTGGTCAATGAGCCTGTGCAGGAGAATGACAAATCTAGCCACATGCGTCAGAACTACCTACACGATCCAAAGGCTTTCGAGGTAGGTACCACAAGGCTCTTTATCTAGAGACAACCGGAACAGGGAAGCTAATCTGTTGAAAGAGCGCATTCGCGCGAATGAGACTAGTACCGGTATCGACAAGAACGACCACCTCCACATAGTCATACGGATGATGGATCAGCTCTGGGTATCTGAAGATCCAACGCAATACATCAAAGACTTGTATTCCGCCGCTTACAATGATCACCAATCCCTCAAGTGAGACACAAACGTCCAAGTCTCCCACGATAGCTACATCCAGACTTTTTGCAATAACAGGCGTGACTCCAAGACCCCGAGCCTTGTCGAGTAGAGACTCGTTGTTGCCAATGACGCGGAAAAGACATCGGACTGGAATCCTAGCACCCAGACTGACTTTTACTTCAGTTGGTCTGCCGCGCAGGTCCATTCGTACAAACATCAGCATGGCTGAGTCTTTTGGACGTGGAAGACGGACCTGAGTGGTGATTACCGATGTTTTTATCAAGGTATGATCGATGCTTCTCACATCGGTGGAGTTAAAGTATTCGAATTGAGACCATGCTCATGTATGCACAGGTGTGGTCCAGAACGGGTGTCATTCCGAAGAATCTTAACTTTTGGCCGAGCGTGTGTTGAACAGAATGACTGGAACCACGCTCTCCTCTTAGCCGTGTGTAAATTGCATTTTTGATCAATTTGAAACTCGAAACACATTTCGATATACTCATCATTCATGCTCGATGCGAAGTGGGTGTCAAGGCCGAGAGACCCACATCAGTAGGGCCAAGTATGAGTTTGTCTCGCCAACCTGAAGTTAGGATGATGCTTAAACCTCCAGGAAAACGTAATAAAAATGCCTTTAGGAGAACAAACATCTAAGCCGAAGAAGACGCTTCAGCCGTAGACTGCGAGGGCCACCAAATCATCGCCCAAAGAGGCACTCCGGAGCCTTCGCACTGCAGTTGAGCCTGATCGTCGACTTTGCCCTTGCCCAAGACGATTTTCTCGACGTCCTCGAACCCAAGGGACAGATATAGCTTTCGTGAGTTTGGAGTTGTAGCTTCAAGCCATATTGGAAGATTCTCGAATTGTGCCTTCCTCATATAATCTTGTATGATGGCCCTTGCAAGTCCTATAAGAAGATTAGTGAAGGATTCTACGCGTTCATCGAAGGGTTTTCTCGAACCTTTGCCGCGATGCTCGGTTTCGGTGCCGATAGTGAATATGTAATAATATCGCTGTTGACCCCGAAGACCAATCTTCTTCGCATTATCGGTCATGCCCAAGAAGTTGGAGAACAGTCGCTAGGATTCGGTGAGCACTGACAAAAAACTCCACGAGACACACCTTGAAAGATTCTCCCATTGCACCCTTCCGTACCTTGAGACCAGAGAACCCCATTTTCCACAACACACCTCCAAACCCAGACGAGAACAATGTCCACGTATTATCGACTTTCTTACCAGGTGGAAGGACCACGGCTGCGGATTTCCAGCCGTCGGCCTCTGTGATCACCGCGTCATTCAGCAAGGCTGACTTGACGAAAACAGACCAATAAGTCGGTAAATACGCATGTCGCTCTTCTCTGGACATATCAAGGAGCATGTAAGCAATGACCGGGTCGTCGCTAAATGTTCGGCCATTAAGTTGCGAGACCTGGTCAAGCATATCTGCGAACCGTTAGGTGATGTTCACAAGATTGTCCAATAATGGCCTTTCCTATCTCGTAATGCATACCATGCTTGCCATGAGTGAGTGGGATTGCAGAGTGGGCCATGGTCGATTCAATACGGTGTGTTTGGTCTGAGAGGGCAACTCGGGATATTCAAGGTAGATCTTGGCCCAGTTTCTTGGCCTAGCTTCTTGGCAGCAAGCTTGGCTCCTTTAAGACATACTAATTAGTTAGGTTTATAAGTTGAGCGTAGGATGTCGCCGGCCGATCTTCAGTTCCCGGGCTGAGTGGAGGCGACTGAGTCACGTAATCGTTCCTTATGTAAGCCAAATGAGACAGACGAGGGCCCGATCCCGACACCTCCGTCTGACCTCCCGCCATGTACACACCTCATGTGCCTCACCGTTGGCTGGTTAGCCAGCAGAATCACCTGTAGATTACTAGTATGACCACCAGGGACGGTTAGCATCTTGTTTGGCCAGCTCTATCGGATTCCTTTTTGGATTTTTTTCAACATCTTGGCATATGAAAATTACGGAGTTCAAGTATGTGCCTGGCATGGGGTCAGTGGTAACTTAGCTCTAAGCTCAGTACCTTAGTACTATAGGCATGACGACAGGCAAATGAAAGCCTGAATTACAAGGAAACCAAGAATCCACGGGGCTGCTGCATGTGATGGACAGAGTGGTGAGAATTCTGCCACACACAGCTTGAGAAATTTCAGCGTCCCAAAAGAGCGCAAGAGGCTGTTCTCCTCGTTCGTGACGCCTTCTTGACCTGTCAATCAAGTGAGCTATACGTAATTGTCATGTACTGTTTACATCTGCGTCAAGAGATCGACGTCTTTGCTGAGCTCGGATAGAGCTTGATTACCTACCCGAAATAGCTCTCCAATGGTAGGTAGGGTAGCTTGGGAAGGATGGATGTGGATATCGCACAGCAGAGTTGTGGAGCCTTCCCGAGCTGTCAAAACGATGTGCCGGGTCAACACCAGATGCCCGGAAGTGTGACGGCGATCAGGTTCTGCCATGAACGGAGTCAGCACCTCGTCTCACGCTTATACTCGAGACGCAGATGGACGAAGGCGCATCGTCGTTCATTATTATTCTTCAGGTCCAGTTGCATCTCTGAGCCAAACGCAATGAATGAGACTGATCAACCAAATCCAGGGGAAAGATCAGGCATTGACAGGCTAGCTTCCGCTGCCAGCCACATGCGAGCTCTTGTCCAGTGAAATCATTTGCTTCAAAGTGACCAGTCGATTCTCATCTCCTGTGGGTGTGTATTTCCCATAGGACTCTCGTAGTGCTCCTCGGCGGAGGTGACTGCCAGTGAAGCACCACCAAGCTCAAATTACGATTTCAACCCAAATTGGTTTACACAAAACGCAGATAGCCTGTTCACCACAAGACCGTGCCTCCGCCGGCCTGCACCTGAAAATTCTCCGTGTTTCCATTTCATCTTTCAATCAATACGACAAGTCGATTTGGCAACAGCAGGACTCGGAAACATTGAGTGGAGAGCTGCAGTGGAGGATTCATTCGGTCTCTGAGAAACAGTCACTCAGGATTCATCGTGCTTGTAGTGGGAAACATGCGCCGAGCCGTCCACAGTCCATCAGCTCTATACCGCACTGTTGTCAGTTGTCGATCTCTTTCGGGTCTGTCAAATCGGCTTCTAGAGTCTAGTCTTCGCGAAGAGGCCAAGTGAAGCGGGGTGGCCCCGGCAAGCGGTTACTCCCGTCCAGATCTAGCTCTGCTTAATTTGCCGATTTCAATCTTGCTATGGAATGTCTTCGTCCGTGAAGACTTGAAACTTCTTCACACTCAAGCAGGAAAGTCAGCATGTCGCTGAATGGCACATGGTCAGGTTTCAGAAGCTTGCCGATGCATTCATTGGCTGCTGCTTCTTTGCAATCTCTTGCGCGGAATAGACCTTCATATTCCAGCTCTTACGCCAGTGGCTGATTGGATTCAAGCACGAGTACTACTGTTACCCCCTTAACTGCTGTTGACTGATCCGTACCACAGGCTTGGTGGAACGCCCATCTGCCACGCTATGTGTAACGTTAACATTGACAAGTTGGCTTCTCGAAAGGGACCCATATGCACTGTGGAGGGTGTGTTGGGTTGGGCACTTCTCCTCTTGCGAGGTCTTTTATCCTCGGGCCATTGTTGACATTTTTCCCGAATGGGATCAATGCTGTACACTGCCTTCCGCGGTCTTTTGATTTCGACTCCTGACAATCGTGGACGCTGAGGTCCCGCGTTAATCTTGAGCATCTGGGTTTATTTGACCTTGAGACCTCGAGGAGCTCTGAATTTGAACGAGTCCTTTGTTGCTGAAGCCAGTATTCACTGTCAGCCCATGGGAGAGCTTCCATTTGAGGATGAACCCTAAGTGTGCTGTTCGCCTATTCGCTGTGGATCAATAACAGTCTCTAATGCACCCTGATTGAACGCAATAATACCTCTCCTGAAATTCCGCCAGCAGGTTCTCCAACTGAGACCACCATGGCAGAGAATCAAGGTACTACTGTTCACGATCAATCCCCACCTGGAAACGGCCGTGGACCAGGAGCCACTTGTGCGAGTGTCGATGATTGCTATCCCTACCCGAACGGGGACGATTATCCTCCTCGCGGGTCACTAGGGTCCCGGCATCCCCGTCATTATTGTTTTCCTTCAGACGAGAATGACAAATCATCTTAGTGTGAAAATTCGCTACCACGGTATCACGGTCATCCAGAAGGGACTGCACATGAAGCTTGGGATCGCCGAGAGACTGAAAATCTGCAATTTGAAGCAGACCAACCGACTTCCTCGGCTCGCTCGTCAAAGAATCGTCTTTTGAGCGACGACGGTGAGACCACAGTCGTGCAGTCGTTGACTCAGTGGCTACATTGCGGCTTTTACTTGGAGAGCCACAAGTATTTCAGCCCGTTCCCTAGGCATCACATACGAGTGACAAATCCTTCAAGCAGAGATATCACCGTGAGTGACGCATATTACAAAAGTCTCAAGCAGCGAAATTTCAATTTGAGGAATCTAGTTGAAGAAGCCTGTGCGACCTGGAAGAAAGCCAAGCCGAAAGAAGAAGCAGTTGAAGCAAGAAACGACAGGCTTCTGGCATTTCCCATGCTTCTCGAATGCCTTCAAACTCAACATAGCGTCCCTCCCGATCGTGTGTATGTTCTTGGACATACAGGATTCTTGTTGGATATATACTCGGAGAAACAAGCTCCGGGGGTCAATTCTTCTACGCGCCACGAGGGCGGTCATTGGCAGATAGTATCTGCTGTGATCTGTGCCAACAATGAAGGCAAATTTCTCTCGCCTTATTTCGTCGGCAAGTCTCGAAAGGTTAGGAAAAACCCTAGCTTTTTACGCAATAATCAATTGTCCTTTCCTACAAGGCCGTGGCTTGATGTTGTGCTGTTCAATGACTGGCTAGAGAAGGTCTTTGAGCCCCAGACATGCAAACCGGCATTCAGGCGTGGTCAAAGACTGGGGCGCATCCCACTTGTTGACGGCAGGATGTATGGCATCACCCCATCAGTTTTCATGAATTGCTGGTAAACAGGTATATATCTAGCATGTATACCACACACGGGTTCTCCATTTCTCAATCCGCTGGAGTGCAGTTTGTTTGAAAAGAGTCTGTACTAGACCGACCTGCTACCTGAGGTGTAGATCAATCCAGGTCCGGGAGGCTTCGACCAAGCTCAGCCGTGGGTCAACGATCATGTACATCCTTATCTACTTTTAGTTCCGCGGCGCTCGAGTGGCGCCCAGTTTTGACATGGCCAGCCGATATCGGTTCTTTTGACGTTCTTCTCTCACATTCAAATCACCTGATCTGCTCGTGTTCAGGCCCTGGCCAGCTCAGCCGCAACCCCGCATTGACCACGGTGTGTCTGGTCTAAAGGGCGCGAGGAGCAATTGTCGACGACATGGAAAGCTACAAAAGCTGTTTTGACGGCTTGTCGGGCGACCTACCACCGACATCCAAAACCTCAGACTCTTCGGCCATGCGCTCTCGATCGCCTCAGTGCACATCCATTCGCGCACCATCCATGAACACAATTTCACAACTATTATTCTAAATCATTCCTGTGCCAAATCAGCCCCCATACAGGAGGGAAGCTGCAATTTGGTGGTTCCAATGAGTGAAGTCTCACTGTCTTGGTCCATTGTCATCAAAGCACATGTTGCTCCGTTCCGCTCGCATTCACCCAGAACCTCAATTCGACTTCTCCCAAGCCATCCACCATGGGCTCGCACCCGCTTATTGAGCCCAAGTCTCGCGAGCAGTACACAGTAGGATGGGTCTGCGCGTTGCCCAAAGAACAGACCGCAGCTACGGCCATGCTACACCAGAGACACTGTGATCTTCCGAAGCCAGTGAATGACCCCAACGTGTATACACTTGGATCAATCGGCAAGCACAATGTCGTGATAAGCTGCCTACCCAAAAAGCAGATTGGTCCGAGTCAGGCAGCCGCAGTTGCGGCACGCATGGTAGCCGCTTTCCCATCTATCAAGTTTGGCTTGATGGTTGGTATTGGTGGTGGCATTCCAACCAAGGTTCGACTTGGCGACGTGGTTGTCAGTACACCAACAGGCCAGTTCCCGGGTGTGGTACAGTGGGACTTTGGTAAGGCAAAAGAAGGCGGAATATTCGAGCGCACGGGCGCTCTGAACAATCCACCGACTTTGTTACTCGCCGCCTTGTCGAGGTTGGAGACCAAACATGAAATGTCTGGGTCCAAAATTCCGGCCTACCTGGATGAAATGGGAGAAAAGTGGCCTAGACTAGTTACGAAGTATCTGAGGTCGGATCTCTTGGAGGACAACTTGTTCAGAGCGAATTACCCCCATCTCGAAAGACCTATCGATAGCTCCGATGGAACCTCAGATGATGAGCGAATGTATGCGGATGGGGAGGTGGAGGAGGAGGACGAGGAGGAGGAGGAGGAGGAGGAGGAACAAGGACAGACCTGTCGGTTTTGTGACAAGACAAAGCTCGTGAAGAGAAAGCCTCGAGGCATGCGTGTGCATTTCGGTCTTGTCGCATCTGGCAACCAACTTATCAAAGATGCTTTACTTCGTCAAAGGCTCAATCAAGATCTTGGCGGTCAGGTCCTTTGTATCGAGATGGAAGCGGCGGGATTGATGAACGATTTCCCGTGCCTTGTCATTCGAGGAATATGCGACTATGCAGATTCCCACAAAAATGATGCTTGGCAAGAGCATGCTGCTGCTGTGGCTGCCGCGTTTGCAAAAGAGCTTCTGGAGTGTGTTCAGCCGAGCGAAGTGAACTCCGCGCGCCCGGCGAAGGAGATACTTGGCCAAAGTTAGCTAACCCCTGACATCGTCAGCCTTTTCTCTGACCCGAAATCTGACGGTGAACCAGTTCTTGAATCCGTCTCGGAAGCAGCTGAGGATATCCAATGCATACGCACGTTCCTTGGGAGTAAAGAAGACCTTGAGGTGCTTGAATGGTTCGCACCAGAAACCTACGGTCCTCAACAGAGTGATCATCTTTCCAGACGTCGAGAAGGAACCGGCCGATGGTTCATTGAGTCAGTCGAATTCCAGACTTGGTTGAGCACAGAGAAGCAAATTTTGTTTTGTCCGGGCATCCCGGGTGCTGGAAAGACAATCCTCAGTGCGATTGTGATTGATGAACTTGGCAGACGTTATTACCAGAACAAAGACATCGGGATTGCCTATGTCTACTGCAACTTTCGACGAGAAGCTGAGCAAACAGTTGGAAAACTCCTTGCTAGCCTGCTGAGGCAATTAGCGAGCAACTTGCCCTTCTTGCCGGCGTGTTTGAAAGAGGTCTACAACTTCCATAGATCCAAGCAAACTAAGCCTTTACCGGAAGACATTCTACAGCTGCTCAAGATCGTGTCAACCAGCTTTCTGCGAACCTTTATCATTATCGATGCACTCGATGAGTGTGGTGTCTTTAATGGTTGTCGGTCGCGATTATTGTCGGCGATTTCTTCCCTCGAGATGCATAATGCGAACATCCTTGTGACCTCCCGACCAATACCAGAAATAGTGGAGCATTTCAGTGGAAAGCCAAATTTGCAGATACATGCAAGAGACGAGGACGTGCGGAGTTTCCTAGATGGGGAGATGTTCCGACTCCCAAGTTTTGTGGCCAGCAACTCAAAATTGCAGGATGCGATTAAATCTGAAATCGTGAAGTCGGTCGACGGCATGTAAGTTTGGGCTTTGAGGCAAAGACGTGAAGTGAAAACTAAACGAGTGCAGGTTTCTACTTGCACAACTCCACCTCGATTTACTAGTGGGAGAAAGATCAGAAAAAGCCATCCGTCTTGCCCTGGAAAACCTACCAACAGGTTCCGAGGCTTACGAGAAGGCATATGGAGATGCGATGAGGCGAATTGAAGGGCTCATCGAGAAAGAGAAAATCCTCGCCAAGGAGGTTCTGTCATGGATCACCTGCGCTAAGAAAGCATTGACCATCACCGAGCTTGAGCATGCTCTCGCAGTTGAAATTGGAAAAGATGAGATCGACGAAGCCAACATGCCCCACATCGAATACATGGTCTCGTTATGCGCCGGACTAGTGACGGTGGACAAAAATAGTCGAATCATACGCTTAGTCCATTACACTACCCAACGCTATTTCGAGCAAACGTCGAGTATTTGGTTTCCGCATGCTCACAGTTATATCGCTGAGATCTGCACTTCCTATCTGTCGTTGCGAGCCTTTGCGAGCGGAAATTGTTCTACTTGGACCCAGCTCAAGGAACGGCGCTCATTGTATCCATTGTACGAATACGCCGCCTTCAACTGGGGATGCCATGTGCGTTGTGCTGCACGTTGCTCTCCAAGTGTCATACAATTCCTTCAGATGCCGGCTCATATAGAGGCTTCAAGACAGGCATTCTGTTTGAATTACGCGTTTGAACATCCATGGGTTTGCTTGCGTGATATCCGTGAATATCGGTCAACTGTAACAGGACTTCACCTGGCGGCGGAATTTGGCGTCGAGGAAGCATGTGTGATTCTTTGCAAAACTACTCCAATTAACGTGCAAGACACATGGCTACGAACACCATTGTCGTACGCCGCGCAGAATGGCCACGACGCAATTGTTGAGTTACTTCTCGCGAACGGTGCGGACATCGAGATGTCTGATGACAAGTCTCGGAACCCGTTGCTCTTTGCAGCGCTGGAAAACCATCTGTCTGTCATCAGAACGTTGATCAATCACAATGCAATTGTGACGGCTACCGATCAGTACGGCGACACACCTCTGAAATGGACAATGATTCATAACAACGAATCGGCGGCTATGCTGCTACTGGAGAAGAACACGGGAGCAGACACTCTGCATCACAGTCATCCAGGGATATTTCACTGGGCTGCCAAACTCGGCTTCGTGAGCATTCTGCAGTTGCTGCACAAAAATGGCATGGATGTCAATGCCGTCAAGGATCATGGGTCTCAACCCTCAGCTTTGTTACAAGCCGCGGCAAAAGGCCACGAGGCGGCTGTGAAGTTCTTGCTCGAGGCGGGTGCAAATGCCCATCTGGCAGATACCGCCGGTGACACGCCCTTGTCGAGCGCCGCCCGAGGAGGCTATGTAGACGTGGTTCGATTGCTCCTCAACAGTGGCGCCGATCCGAACGCTAGGATCGAACAGGCCCGGACACCGCTGGTTCTGGCTGTGTTGAAGGAAAATTACACAATGGTGAAGCTCCTTGTCGAAAACAATGCAGATGTCAATCTTCAAGATGGACAAGGCTGGACACCTTTGATAGCAGCAGTGTTGAGAGGCAATCTCGAGATAGCCAAGCTGCTTATCCAGCATGGTGCAAGCTGTATTCGTGAAGACATACTGGGCCGGACACCTCTTGTTTCAGCATCTATGAAGGGGCATGAGTCATTGGTTGACCTGCTTCTCGCATATGGTTCAGATGTTAATTCTGAAGACAGAGTTGGCCGAACGCCACTGGTATCTGCAGCACTAGGTGGGCACCAGGCTGTGGCTCAGGTACTGCTCGATACCTTTGTTGACGTCAATGCAAAAGACAGAACGGGACGAACGCCGCTCATTTCTGCAGCGTTGAAGGGGCATTTTGCAATGATCAAGCTCCTTCTTGAGAACGGGGCAGATGCTGATGGAACGGATGACCTTGGATGTACAGCGCTGTCTTACGTTGCGTCCCGCGGACAGAAGGAGGAAGTCGCACTGCTCCTACAATATAAAGCTAGCGCGAATTCAAAAGACCTGAAGGGACGGACACCACTTTGGCGCGCCGCCGAAAAGGAGTACGAGGGAGTTGTCGAGTTACTTCTTGGGCACGGGGCTGAAGTCAACATCGAAGACAATAATGGGGATACACCACTTTCCATGGCTGTGAGGGGTGGACATGTCACGATTGTCAGATTGTTTCTTGTGCATGCTCAAGGCAGCGTCGCCACAAACATCGAACACGCTCGTAGCCTTCTACTGTGGGCTGTCAAGAACAGTCATGACACTGTAGTCAGTCGGTTAATTATGGATGGACTCGACGTGAATTTCGTGGACACTGAACATGGCCGAAGTCCTTTAGATTGGGCTGTAGGCAATGGCAATATCATGGTTGTGAAGCTGCTTCTTGCGGCCAACGCAAGATTAGATCTAGCAGACGGTAGTGGCCAAACGCCACTACATCGGGCTGCAGAAAAGGGGTATGATGCGGTGTTTGAGCTGTTACTCTTGGAAAATGCAGAAGCCGATGCGGCAGATTACCACGGTCAGACCCCGCTGCTACGGGCTGCAGGAAGTGGGCATGTCTCGATTGTTCTGCAATTGCTGGCCAAAAGTGCAGTATTCGAAATTCCAGATCAGTATGGCCAAACGGCACTATTTCATGCCGCGAAAAATGGCCACGAGATCATCGTCAAGACGTTGCTGGACCGTGGAGCCATCATCGATGCTGCAGACAGGATACATAAACGGACGCCATTGTCAATAGCTGCGCTCAATGGACATGAGGCAGTGGTGGACCTTCTTCTCGAATATGGTGCTGAAGCAGACTGCAAAGACCACTTGAATCGTACGCCACTAATGCTCGCCGCGCTCAATGGACATGAGAATGTTGTCAAAATGATGCTCTCATTTCGCGTGAGCATTGAATCTCGGGACGTATATGGTCGGACACCGCTGTACTGGGCCGTATACTCTGGCAACGTGACAACAGCTGCAGCGTTGCTTCAGAATCTCGCAAATTCGAATTCCAAAGATAACAATGGGCGTTCTGCGTTGACCCTGGCAATTGAAAGAGACCAAGAAGCAGTGGTCAAGCTCCTTCTTGACCACGGTGCGTTTGTGGATTCCGCGGGAGGAGATGGCCAAACGCCTTTGTCCGTGGCTGCAGAGCTTGGTAGGGTAGGTGCCGTCAAGCTGCTACTGGAGAGTGGAGCCTATGTAGACTCTATCGACGTTGAATATGGCCGCTCGCCACTATGGCGCGCTTCAGAAAGGGGACATACGGAAGTGGTGAAGCTCCTGCTGGCTCATGACGCCGATGTGGACCTGGCTGATAATGATGGGCGCAAGCCAGTTTTTAGAGCCGCAGCAAACAATCACAAGGAAGTGGTGGATCTTTTGGGAGGAGGGTCGTGAGAGACATTTTGAATCTGGCAAATATACCAGCCTATATTTTTGAGCTCAATGCATGCGTCGATCAGTCTTGGTGTTCGATTTGACTTATAATTTGAGAAGGTTTCTGTTGCCAGGAAACCGGCAAGTGCAATGTGAACGTGGCCCACCCTTGGAAGCATTCCTTCTTTTCATGTGTCGTAAAGGATAAGATACGTGCTCAAGGTCGAGTGGGCATGAAGTCATCAATATATGCTGTCTAGTAGGCTCTGGCCCTGACAAGTAATAAGACAAATCTGGGGAATATCACAACATGGTATCGGTATCAGTATCAGTTCCGAACAGACACCCCCCCCCCCCCCCTCCAAGCGCCTACAATTTGACGTGGCTGCGGTCCTGCGGTCCAGAGCAGCAGCTTGGCTCTGGGTGCAAGGTAGAATGGTTGAAGGACTGCGAGGACTGTGGAACATCCAATGCAGGGTTTTGCGTGAAGAATCCATCCGGCTTGAGCATGACACTGACCCGCTCCACTGGCATGACGGGGAAATCCTCAATGCGAGAGTTGTGAGTGAGACCAAATGCTGTTGGGAGAATTAGTCTGGAGGCTCATCACGAAGGAGACCGGGCAAGGTTTGAGATGGACTTACTATGCCAAAGAACGAGATCCTCGTTCTCCACGTTGTCGTTTCGTGCAGCCCAGACTTCCACGCCCTCTGAACTTTTGCTTTGATTGGTGAATTCACCGGCGGCGAATAGCTCGTCGTCCTGGTATTTGGTCACCCAGATCGGGCGGGTAGCGAACTGAGCACGCTTCGCGCCAAAGGACTTGGGATGAGCAAGGAGCATCTGGCTCGGGTTGGTCATCAATTTGTACGCGATGGGGTGGTACGTGATGGGGTTGATGATGTTGTCGTTGCGAATCTTGAAGACGCGGTGCTTTTCAATGCTCGTTGACGCGCTACCACTCTGCTTGATCACGTTCTTCTCGGTAGTGTAACCGACCGACCAGGGGTTAGCATCATCCTCGGGCATCGGAACGCTGTCCTCGTAATAGACTGTGTTGTTAAATCCATCCAGAGCAGGGTCAATGCGCAGAGAGAACATGTGCTGGTGGAAGGGAGCCATCACACCCGGTCCAACGTTGGTGCCCCATGGCACAGTCTGTCCGTCGCTGTGGTCGAATGGCACGGTAGATAAGATACCTGTGGCGCGGACCTCGAGCTCGATGTTTGCCGCCTGGTCTAGAATGAAAGCGAAAATGTATTCATAGTTGGCCACAGTGCAAATCATCTGCACCACCAGCTGTCGGTTGCGGACGATTGTGGCCGCTCCCGTGCGGTAGTTGGTGTGCTTGTGCTGCAGACCGTTGTCTTGCTCGTGCATGCAAATGACATTCTTGAGCTGGACTGGCTCGCCTTTGCAGTCGGTACGGTAGCCATCAAAGTACTTGATGTGACCCAAGCAGTCACAGCCAAGGGCCAGCTGGTTTGCGGTGATGCCGAAGCCCACATCACCAACGTCAAAGGCCTGCTTGCGGTGGTAAGGGGCCCGGGGATCTGGAAAATATTAGCGAGTGTTGAATGGGTGTTGTAGGGATGTCAAAGCTGTATAAAACAGTCTGATTTCATGGTACAATGAACCCACCTCCATAAGGCACAGTCATCTCGGAGAAGGAGAGACGGTAGAATGTGTTGCGACCGTCGTAGGTGATGTTGTGCAGAACAAGACCCTCGCGGTTGTTGAAACCAACCCGGAATCGCCATTTCTGCCATGAAACTGCATTCCCGATCACATTGAATGAAGCGCCCTCAGGCTGTTGGACAATGTAGGGCTTCAGGTCGGTGCGGAGTGGCTGATCCAGCAGCTCATGAGCGTATTGAATGGGAGCGACTTGCTTCCACGGCTGTGTCTCGGCCGTCTGCGTATCGGCTCCACCGGGCAGGTAGTCCATGCGGACCAGCTCGTGAGTGATACCATCGAAGACAGGTGAGAATTTGCAAGGGATAGAATACTGATTGTTCTGGGGATGGTCCACCGCCACAATATACATGTAGCACTGGAATAACCGCCGCGTTTCCTTGGCATCTTCGGTGCCGTAGATCCACGGATCCAAGCAGACGGTCATTCCGGCGGGAAGTTCCAGCTTTTCGATCTCGGCTTGAACTGCGGGATGCTTCAAGCAAATCTCTTCAATCTGCATCATTTCGTCCACGTCCAATGGACCCTGGACATCCTTGGGCAGTTCCTTTGCCGATACAATCAGCTTCGAATCTGCATTGACGATCGCCTTGTAGAACGATCCATTGTCGAGACGGTGGAATAATGTCATCAGAAGACGCGCCGGCTTGGCTGGCCGCGGTTTGCCGAGGCGTTCAGCCTCAAGATAGGGAACAGTTTCATGTTTGGTTGGTTCCTGGAGATCAATTCGCTTGTAGCGCAGCTTGACATCGGGGAATGCCGCCTCCAAGACCCGAACAGCCAGCTGAATTTCCCCGGGCGTAATAGGGTCAAAAGGGTGTAGAGGAGCCATGCTGAGAATCAAAAGAAATGACACCGTATAGTTGAGAAAGACTACACATCGACAATTTCTTCCGGTTCAACTGGCGGTGATGAAGCACGTTTTATACTATCCTCGAGGCAAGGAAGCACAAACAGCCAGCGGCTATTCTCTCTTTGGCAAAACTTTCGACCTCCATGCAGGAAGTGATTCGTTTATGGTGAGTCCATCACGGCGCATCTTTGCCTGGAAGGAGTTTAGCGCTTGAAACCGGGGCCAACCGCAGCAGTTGCGGAGTCATCTCAAGTGGAGTAGAACAGGTTCAATCAAGATAACACGATACTGCGGACATGTCCCATTGGCGTGAATGCTAATCGACATCCCGATCGGCACAGGTTGTATAGGAAGTCTCTTGGTCGCGAATGATACTCACGGTGGGCGACATGGCCGCATGTTACATGTATTTACATGTATGAACGGCCCAGCAGTTGATCCCGGGTATCGAAACCATGGCTCAAATAAAAGCAACCCATAGCACTACCGGGCCAAAGAAATGCAGCACGGATAAGTCATGCGGATAGCATTGAGATCTACCTGTCTCATTTGTCTCCCATCGGATGTCCAGTTGATGAGATACGGCTACGGTAGGGGCAGCAGTATCGATGTGTGAGAGGGATGAGGAGTGAGATTGCTGAGGGGGGAGAGATTCTACCTAAGCTTTGGACTGTGGTGAGTGGCAGAATCACATGCCATGCAAACACCAGTGACTGTGATCAACTTGGGTATTGAGTTTCAATAGATTCCAAGATTACAGATTAGGTTCGTTCTCGAGGATTCTGACTATAACATCGTCGTAGAGGGGCACATTATATCTAGGAGAAGGGGAGTAGGTAGATGAACTGTTCTATTGTACTTATCACTCGTTCGCGACCTCCTACAGACCAAGATGAATCCCTTGTTTGCCTTTCTAATAGATCATTTTCGAATGTCGATATTATGCTTTTGCAAGAACCATTCATGGAATCTTAAACATAACTTTTATAAGCACCTATCGATGCAAGAGTCTTTGCGACAGCCTTTTTCAAAGTTTTCCTGGAAATTCTATCGAAACCTAAGCTACAGTACACTGAGTACATCAGTACAGTCCTCCCTGAACATTACCTAATCCGGTATAGCAAAGGAAGATCGGGAAAGGCATTGCCCTTGATATTTTCACGTTTCACAAGCTCCTGCTGCTCCGGTAAATACATGATATCAAGAAAAACGAGAAGAAGGGCGATTCAACAGCCTTTCAGCTCCAGCCTGGTCAGGACCTAGCACTGGCAAGGTGGCTGGGGGTGGATGATGCTTTCATACCTCAATTGATGGCCTGAAGGCGCGAGGATCCCGCCCGGACTCGTTGACACTTTGGCGTGAGTCTTGCCTCTTTGGGAATAATCTGTCGGTATCCACTATCCAGTGATCCAGTGTGTCACGAGTCACGACCGATCGATGAGTCTTATCTACAGCACGGTCTACATGGTTCTTGCCTTATCAAAGTGCTATCTATCAGGATTCTTCTGAAGCGCGGACTACCACCTCCGACGCGTGATAGACTCGTGGCCTTGTAGGTCCAATGGCCATGACATACAATGCCATCTCGGATGAAGTGTATGCGCCGTCAGGGATGGTTCTCATCCCTGCGCCGGGATTCTAACTGAGCGGCTCTACAGTCTACAAAATGGCAGTCGAAGTACAGAGTACGACGTCAAGATGCTCTGAACTTTGAAGCGCAGCCGTGACCGAATTTCGCATGCACGCAAGTGGTCGCGGTTCGGTTGGGCGGGAACTTCAACTGGTTACGCCTACCTAAACGATCATATCAGACCTGCGTCTGATATAATCATAAGGGTGGGGTGGGCTGGATGCAATAGCCTTGAACCGTAGTGTATAGACATCCTTGGTAGTTGTTATATGATGGTGTAACTGTAGCGTTGGAAGGCCTGTGTCCAAGTTGAAGGCAGCCTTCAGCCTACACCAGCCCGGAGAATCAATTGAGCCGCAACCCGGCCTCGGGCCCATCCCCATCAACATTCTCCTTCGGGTTCAACCAAAACAAGAACTATGGTACACTTTTACTCACAATAGCAATGAAGTCCTCTACAACACCCATCCACTCCCTTGTATCTGGAAAGGGAATTTCGTGTAAAGGACTCGCCAGGGCCTTCAGGTTCACTTGGCGGTAACTCCATTCTCAAAGGACCATCCAGATCGACGACTTGAATCAAAATGACGAAAGAAACCTGTCCGATGAGCTGCCATGGCGGTTGGAATGCCCTTTCCCCCTGTAGGGATGATGTCGCAACGAAAGGGAACCGGCGCCCCTATCCATAGCCACTGATTACGGTTGGCTTTTGACTACTGGATCAATTCATTGTCAAGCCCGAAAGTCGAGAAGAAAAAAAAAAAAAAAAAAAAAAAAGGACTGTCCCGACCGGTCCTGGACAAAGTATCAGTCACTTGATCGCAATTACGTGTCCAGCACCTTTCGAAAGAACAACATGAGCTGTGAATCACCAGATATAGGGTGGGTTGATGATGGCCCTGGATTCAAATTATTGGCAGCAAGCCAAGGCAGTCCGGTAGGGCCTGGAATTCAGGACTGCTACTGTCCAGCTCATCTCAGGGTCTAGACCCGCAACGAGATAGTGGCATTCCTGTGAAAACAAAAGGTCAAAACTCGTGACTTGGTGTTTACAGGCCAAATGTGCCGATTTAACATGGATCCTCGCCGCAAATCTGATCAGCAACAACAATCAACACCAAATGGCAAATCGCTCACCTCTGTTCGACTGAGGCTTGACACAAGGCTAGTTCATCGTGAGTAATTACGGAGCTTCCTCAGCTCTGCACGGCCCTGTCACACAACACCACAGCCATTACAGGACTATTCTGTCCGTTGGAAGCCAATTTCCACTCAATAATCATTTGAAAGAGCCAACCAAGTTTCCAACTTCCCAATCTTGGGATGCATTGGGGTGTATATGGATCGGTTCTGGTGACGCTGGGGGCGTGTCCTATCTCGGCTTCTCACCATCATCGTATGAGACCTCGCTTTATCCGACCCATTGTCGTGTCTGAAGGTCCGGATGCAAGTATTTCCAGCTGGATGAAGCAAACAGCTCCTGGGCCGCACGTCGCGACCAGCACTTTCACCACTACCGTCTATACAGAGTGTCAGTCCACTCAAGCCGTCAACGCGACCAAGCATATTACGGCGCACATAATACATGTTTCAAATCACAGTACCAGCAATGAAGTAGTCGCACCTGCCACACCAGCCTCTGGCACGACCGTGATCGACGTCGTGATTCCCTCAAACACATCGCTGGCTGGGATTGCAACAACGCCATTCTCATCCACGCAGATCGTGTCACCATTGGTTCCCACTGAGACTCTACAAAAGCGGCCGGCTCACCCAACGACAATCCATATCCACAAAACAACCACCGCCACTGTGTTCGAGACCGTGCATCCAATCGTCTCGACCACCATTTCAAAATCCATCACAGATGAAGCATCAGTCAGAACAAGCTCGAGTATCAATCTTCCTATGTCTTCTATCACAACTGCCATGACGACAAAGGCCAGCAATGTCGCAGCCCACAAAATTCTTTCACTGGTCTCTGATTTGCCTCCAATCCTCGGGGGCATTCCTCAAGCCATCTCCTCGAATCTCCTTGTGCCGAATATTCCATCCATTCCATCGATCATTTCAAACCCACCACTGGACGCCAAACCACCGTCGATCCCTGAATTACTGAACTGGACCACCACTCCCCTGAACGGCGTCTTTGCACTCGAGGGTTTTGGTCAAAGAACCAAGCCGTCTGGTGAACATATCCAATACCGTGGTAATGTCGGCATCCCTTGGGGAAGCAACATTATCCCCGTGAGCCCCGCAGATGCCCACCGCTACAAGTATGTTGCCCAGTTCAGGGGCTCCAACAGCAAACCATGGACGATCGTGTTCTGGAACAAAATTGGCCCCGAGGGCAAAATGGACGGATGGTATGGACACACTGCACTGAAAGTTGTCCTCCCACCTGGCGAGACTCAGCACATCGCCTTTGACGAGAACTCCGAAGGTGCGTGGGGCGCCGCACCTGGAACCACGGGATTACCAGTTGATAACTGGGGTGGATATACATCCACGTGGGGGGAGTTTTCCTTTGGAGATGGAGAAAACAAGGGGTGGTCCGGATGGGATGTCTCTGCGATTCAGGCGCAGATGGCCAAGCAGGATGTGCAGGGGATGCGAATCTGTATGCCGGATGGAAAAGGCTGCTCGATTGTCACGCCACAGGCTCGAAAGGTGGTGGATGCTTATGTTGCGGACAACAGACATCATGACGGTATTGGGGGTGCGGCTGCACCGGGACCTGTTAGATTGGTTGTGGACATTGACTATACGGAGTGAACCCTGTCCCGGTGATACCTGTCAACTTTAATTATAATTTTTTGGACCTACAAGCCCAATTCTAAGCTGTGAACATCTGTAACTGGAGGCTCTCGGCGGGCTCCAAGCCAGCCCGGTTCTGCATTCCGTTCTCATTTTACCTACGAAGGGTAGATACTGTTCCCACGCGCCATGAAATGCTGACTTTGTGAGTTAGGTACCTATCTATATCTCTTACCTCGTCTCTTCAAATTTGATTAACTATTTACCGTGGGCGCAACCTTAGCTGACTACACTCGTCGCCTGTGAGTTATACCTGGTTACTTGGTACACTTGTACCTGGCCCCCGACTTGGATAGATCTTCAAGATCACATCAATCTGGAAGCAATCTTGTTCAACGGTAAAGATGACCTTCCGATAAATCGTCAATAATCAATCCAACCTGATTGCATTGTGCCATTCTCCTAAATGTTCATTCTGTGTGCTATCACGGATACATATCCGAATTCAACCACCCAGATGAATGCGCATTCCCTTGATCCCCATCCGCTCCAAATCAACACTTACCACTACATCAATTGCCATCCGCTACTCCAAATACTCCCCTCCCGTCTCCTTATGAATCACATCAAACAACGGCTTGGCACTAAACCAACCCGCCAACGGCGTCCCCACCGTCTGATACGTAAACGCCGCATCCGCATCATCAATCTTGACCGTCTGCCCACCGCGTCCTGAGGCCGCAGCATCGGCGAGAAGCTGTGCATGGCAGCATTTCTCCAGACTGACGAACCAGAAGATGGTCTCTTCGATGGACTTGCCAACGGTCAACAGGCCGTGGTTTTGCAGGAGGGCGGCCTTTTTGGTGCCGAGGGCCGAGGCGATCTTTTTGCCTTCTTCTTCGGCGAGGACGACGCCGTTGAATTGTTCGTAGACGACGTGGTCCTGAAATTCTCAAGGTGAGTATGATTTGATTCTTTTGTTTTTCCCCTGTGTGTTGTCTTTTTCATGATCCCGCCTCTTGATGCGCGCGGATTAGGTAGGGAAGGGGAGAGGGAAGGGGAAGCAGACGGTGAAAGATTTGGGGAAGGAGCTCACATTATAAAAAGCACACGAGTCTTGAGAGATAATATCCAACGGCCGACCGAGTGAGCAAAACGCCCGGCCGTATAAGCTGTGACTATGCGCTGCGCATAGGACATCCGGTCGAGCGGCGTGGATCGCAGAGTGAATCATAAAGGCCGCGGCGTTGAGCATGCGGTTAGGTCCACCGTCGATCACGGTGCCGGAGTGGTCCACCTGGATCAAGTCGGATGCTTTGATCAGGGAGAAGGCCGTGCCAAAGGGGTTGACCCAGAATGTGGAGGGGTCTACGGGGTCGCGAAGGGTGATGTGGCCGGCGACACCTGTCGAGTAGGAGAAATGAATCAGTTGAGGGAAATTGTCGTTTCTCGGACCCGGGGTCGAGATGACGGATCCAAGAGGCAGTTCACGAAAGAGACTGCCGTCGATGGAGCTCAACCCTATCGACATGTGGGACAGACATACCTTCATCGAACCCGTACTTGCCAAAGATGCGAAATGCAGCAGCCAGGCGACCCTTCCGGAACTCCCGCTCTTTGTATTTATCGTCAAATTTGGGCATTCCGGGCATTTGCATCTTGACTTTGGCCTTTTCGACTCCGGCCACTTGGGATGATTCTGGCGCCTGCATGGTGATGTTGTTTACTGTTTCGGTGGCTGTTGGGGGTGCCATTTTCGACCAGGTTTTATCTTGTAACACAAATGCTGGTTGGGGAAAGATATTGTATGACGAAGGAATATCCAAGACAGAATTATATGGGGGGGCAACGACAGGCTGAAATGGAAAGGATGGGCTATGTTACGGCGAGGATAAGTAAAAAGAGAAGTATCACTGAATAGACGCCGGATCAAAAATAGAAGCGATCGAGTGACTAGGAGTTTTCACTTGGCGGGGTTCCCCTCCTTTCCAGGCGGACACTTCAGTGGTTCATGAGCATTGGTTCGTACAAAGTATAAACTACATGAGCATTGCAGGTGCCAGGAGCCAACTCGAGAACTTGTGGGGTAAGCGGGATTGTAAGCAGAAGTGAACCAGCTCAGCCGAGGTTCCTCTTGCTTTCTCCGCAATCTCCGCAGCGGGAGTCGGGTAATTTCCCGTCGGCAACCTCTCCGCTAATGCATTTAAAGTTCATTGCAGGGAGCTGCCGATTTCAAATCTCCCCTTTCGTCCATCGATACCAAAAGCAGTACGGTAGTAGATGAAGAGCTGTTAAGGGATGTATTTGGTATAGGCGTCTTTGTGAGAAACTTCAGTGGTCCTGTGTCTCATTCAGGGATGTTTGGAAAAAGGACGGAAGAACTAGCGGAAAGGATGAAAAGTCCGTGAGATTTATCTATCGAGTTGATAACAGTTCCAACTAACTACAAATGACGAAGTTATTTCATACGAGGAGGAAGTAAGGTCGCGCTTTTAATAGATACCTTGTTGCGGGTGATCACGTTGCCTCTACAAGTGACTGGGGCGATTGCGGATTGGATGGCGTCCAAGGCAGATTGATGCGGCTTAAAGACCAAGCTCAATAAATGACCTGGTCCGATGAGAAAACTTCTAACTCCGATAACGACCACCGTGGAAAGAATATAGAGAAGAGATACTTGAAAGAAAGGGCATATCAGCGTTCGATGCAAAGAGTCCTACCGGGCTCGTCGCGAGGAGATGGGTAAGATCACATTAGCCGTGCCGATATCTTTCTGAGTAAGGAGAGAACTCCTTTCAACTTGCTCCAGATAATCCACGTAGGAAGCGAGGGTGGGATACTTTTCATAATCCTGGCGTGCCACCATCCGCAGCTCTTGCCGGGAGTGTTCCAGTAGATGTTTTCGGTCATCCTTGTCGCCCTTTTGATAATGCGGTGCATATTGTTGGATCCACAAAGCAAAGTCCCGGATAGACTGATTGGCCCGTTGATAGGAGTTATTGTACTTCATAATTGCATCGAGAGCTCGATGAGACGATGAGGAATGATTTAGCAAGAAGACGCAGAAATCGAACCACGTGATTGGACGGGCGTGTCGGCTACTAAAAAAGCGGTATGTGTCCGACACGACAGGAGCCAGGAATCGCTCGGCGTAAGAAACCTTCTTCGAGTCGTCGATAAAGTATCCGCGGTGATTGTGAAAGTGTTTTTCCATACCGGAGATGAATTGTCGACAAGCGAAGAAGCTGTTGGCGGCCGTGATTTGGATGTTGGGCGGGGGCGGCGATGGGCCCCGACTCGATGCCGAAGGGCGCGCAATTGAAGATTTACGAACCGAGGGAGCTCGTGAGAAGCCTCTCGAGGAGCGATGGCTTACATCTCTCTCTGGGGTTCGCCCTCGTGAAACGCTGGGTGAGCGTCGTCTGGGCTGTTCACTAGATATTCCAGATCTATAAGATGAACTTCGCTCACTTTCTTTTTTGTAAGAGGAGGACAGTTCTTTCATCTCCGCTTGACGCTGCGGAAGTGTGTCTTCAATATCCTGTAGATAGCTGACATAGTCTGGGTACGTCTTGAAGTAGGCGAAAGGACGGTGAGCCCGATTGCGCACCGCCGATACCACCCCCTCTTCAAGAAACTCATGCGATCTTCAAGGCTGAGCTCCACATCGATATCAGGGAGCAAGCGTTGGAGCCATGCCGAGAACGAGCTGACGGTCTCACCGGGTTCTTGCTGGCCGTTCCGGTACCGGGCATACGCCTCTTCAGATCTAGCTGATGGCTTCTTGTGAGTTTCAAAGGGGGGTCACGGCCGTCTCGACCTTGATTCGGACAGGTGTGGTCGGGGTTGGGGTCTTGGGCTCGTTATCTTGTGCTTGTGCGACTGGCTTGGCAGACGAAGGCGGGAACCTGAATGAGGGCGGTGCCATCGGACCGGCATTCGTAGCGGGCGATGCAACAGCTGGGGTAGTTGGCTGGGTCACTGGAGCGGGCTGTGAAGGGATGATCGGCTGAATACTGGCTACCAGCGGCTGTGCCTGCTGCACTCCAGATGACTGAGTCGTTGTGCCAACGACAGTTTGGGGAGGCTCAGCCGCTGGGGTAGGCGCCGGAGGTGCGGATACACTCTTTCTGGCGCTTCGAGCTTGTTCGGCAGCCTTCAGTTTCCTCACCGCATCCTTGACCAAGAATGCGCGGAAGCCGTACCACGTCGCGGTCCGATCAGGTGACGCATACCAGCGCTCCCGTTCAGCGGGAGACACATGTTCAAGAGCGAGCTTGACTCGCCGGTAGTCGCGTTCTTTGGTATAATAGGTTGGCGCCTTGGCAAAGTGCGCCTCGAGAGCGGTAATGAAGTTGGCATAATTGTCCCGTGTCTCTCCAGTGTATTCAGGTATCTTGTCCTGGCTAGATTCATTGGGAGCTCCCGGTGTTCGCGGGCGTTCATACCACTGAAGATGGCCTTGCTGCTGCTGCTGCGCGTGAGTTGTGGAAGCGGAGTTGACCTGGGTCGAAAGGTTTGTTGGAGTTAAGGTGCCATTGGTCACAAAAGACGTAGGCTTCTTAACGGGGGTGGTAGGATTGGAGGCGTTCTGCACACTGGAAATTTGCAGAGGCTTAACAGGCGCTACAGAAACCGCGGCTGGTGCTGATGCTGGTGCTGATGCTGGTGTTGATGCTGGGGCTGGGGCCGGGGCCGGGGCCTGGGCCGGGCGTTTCAGCGTCTCAAGTTGCTGAACAGCAGGGGCTGCTGGACGTGGCTGTGTTGCGACTACTGCAGTCGCATTGATAAAAGAGGCGTTAAGGGTCGGAGACGCCCGAGGTGCAGAAGCAGGTGGTCGCACCACAGGCTGATGCTGCGGCGTGTGAGGTGCAGACGAGGCCGGACGTGGGCTTGGCACCGATGAGTGGGCAAGCAGGGGAGCTGGGCTATTCTGCGGCGAGATGGAGGCGGTCGCGGTGGCAAGGCTCAACCGCTGGCGAGTGGCTTCGATTGCCTGCTGCTCCGCTAGGATTTTCTCCTGAAGTTCTGCGATCAAGCGTTGTTTCTTCAGATCCTCCAATTGCTGGGTCATGCGACGGATCTCGGCGTCGAATGGCGATTCTACAATCTCATCGGTGGTTTGTAAGCTGGTCTTCAGTCGCTTTCTAGCGGCCTCGAGGTAGTGGTCATTGTCCGAGGACGTGCCATTAGGCATGTCGGGAACCTCGCTGTATCGAGGGTCCTCGGACATTCTTCAGGTCTTGGTCGCGGGTGGCTGGACCGGGACGGGTGTGTGTGTGTGTGTGTGTGTGAAATGTGTCGCGAGAGGTAGTGAGAGAGTCCAGGAGTCGGTGGGCGGTGGAGACACGAAAAAAATAGTTTGTTGCTGGAATTCAGATATGCGCTGTCGGTTAGGCTTCACTCTGGCTTTTTGTCATGTTGCCGCACGTTAGGCTTCTCCACTCCCTAGTACGGGGGTGCATACCAAGTCGTCTACTACTGACAAGGCTAATTGACTCGGTCTTGAAGAAAAGCACCTTCCAGGTGCCGGCATGAGACTCGAATTTCATACTTTATTGACGTTTGTCTCGAGTCCACGTGGTCGAGAGTCAATCTCCTCCGTGCTATCGAGTTTGTGTCGATCTCGTCGTCTGGCACCTCTGTGAGTCGAAATAGGGCATGGCGGGTGAAGCTGAACCGACTGCATGACGTGTGTCAACCGAGAACGCAGTAATCGGGTGCACTTGATGAAGTTTATTCATTAGTTTGTGCTGAGACCCAAAGAGCGGATCGCGTCACATCGCCTCGCCAATGCCGCCAGAGAACGATCTTTAGTATACAGTTTACACCTCTCATCTGAAACTGTGGGTTGATGATGGACATCACCTCTGGAGCCTCGGTCGTCAATAAATCATGGGATCATTGAGGTAATTGTGTACATAAAATGCCTGATCCCCGCAATACGCCTGGCCAGCGCGACCACGTGAAAAACGGCTTACTAAACACCAGAGACATGTCCATTGCCCATCTCGACGCTCTCCCTGAGATCATGTCGATCTCATGGTATTCACAATGACCACCGTAAGGTCACTTCATTTACCAGGCGATCCAAGCAGACAGAGGAACTTGCGATTCGGGGTATCATCCAACACATTCTTGACCAAGTTCCACACATTCGTGTCGTAGGCCTCACCGATATGGCCAACCGGGTCCAAGGGACAGGTGTCCTGCACATAGCGGTTGGTCACGCCAGCCTCCTTCACAAACGAAGAGACACCTGGGGGAGTCACCAGCTCGTCATATTTGGACGCGATGATGGTCACTTTGTTGCCCGGCTGCACAATGGGCGTGCCGTCATTCAAGCGAGTCACGGCCGCACCGCCGGGTCCAAGATCATCACATGCAGCACATCCCACTGTCTTCAGAACATCGCCGACGGCCTGTCGCGAAGCATTACCTAGCAGATAAGCGAGGTTGTATAGCCCCGCGAACGAGGTCCCGTGCGTGGGCGGCGCAATCGCAGCAATCTTGTCGATGTACTGGCTTACGCCCGTAAATTTGGGGACATACAGCGACTGGAAGGCGCCCTCGGAGTGACCGACAACGTCGACTTTGCTTCGGCCGGTCTTTTGGATAACTTCCTTGATGTAGTCGGCAATCTCTTGGGACGACTCGGCGATGGGCTTCAGGCCTCCGACCAGAGGGCCGATTTCGTATGCACCGTAGGTCAGAGAGTATGTGCAGTAACCTTGATTCTGGAGCCAATATTGGAGCACGTTTAGGTCCTCCAGGTAATTGGCGCCCAAACCGTGCAGCAATACGACAGGGTTGGACTTGGATGTGCAGGAAAAGTCATTGATGCCGGTAGCAGAGACTGTCGTGGCAGCTGCCAGACCCGAGGCCAGCAAGTTGCGGAGGGAAGGCATATCCGCGTTGAGTTTGGTGCCGTGGTAATATAGATAGATTGACAGGCGATGGATGACACAAATGGAAAGGCAAAGTCTCGACTGTCTTGGACTACTTCCAAGCCCCTGTCCTGCAAGGCGTATTTATAACCCCCGGGCGCACATCAATGAAGCATACGAAGGCGTGTTCAAAGGTAGCTGAAATGCCCATGATCCTTCCAGCACTCCTCCCGAGCCAATTTTGACGTCCCCTGCTTATTCATTTTCTTTTTGGTGTCCACTTTGCCGTCAATTTCGCACTCTTCAGCCGCGGCCAGATGGGCGGGTCTCTTCGTGCCAGGAACTATCGATTTGCGATCTGCAGACGTCGATGCAAAATCAAGGCCATGACTGGCTCGCTTCAAGATCGGGCTTGTAATCTCCACAACGTGTCTTGTGCGCTCAGGCACCGCTGGTTGGCCCGACCCTGCATCGTCAGCACGGATCCTGGAGGAGGATCCCAATCAGAACCTTCTTAGAGTGCTTTTGTTCTTTCTTGACCCGTGTGATGTATCACCTTAATCACCTCGCCTACTAAACAATTCATTTCTAGGCGAGGGGAAGAGGCGATGACCTAGTTGATCTGGATGCGGAGTGGAGACCACGCAGCTCGGCTCTTATGGATGCCGGTTCATCGACGCTATTGAACGTGGGACAGGGGAGGATCCTGGTCAAGGCGTCCCCTCTTTACACATGGATCGCGAAGACACGACATTCAATTGGAGAAACAAGAAATTAGAAGTAATGACAAATCGCTAATGGGATATTTCTTTTGAGCGGATGTGGGACAGGCTTTCGTCGCGTCGTTCCGGCTCACTCTTGGTGAAGCCGCTTCCCTGTCATGGGGACTGAATGATCCTCATCAGACATCAGATTCAGAATTCAATGGAGAGTTTTGCCGCACGGACAGCTCAGCCATGGCACTTCCCCAGAGCCCTAAAGCATGCCGGCGCTCCACGAGTTGTAACACCTCCGCCAGGAATGCTCGTTCGGGACCACCGTCCGGAAAGGCCTCCCACGCAACTCGGGTGGGAAACGCAAGACGATTGATCATGTTCCCGGGCGCAGTGAGAATGTAATACGCCATAGTCCGACATATACCACATCCAAGCTCATACTGTTCCATGGGTGTGACGCGGTCTTGAGGGCGGGTGTCAATACTTGACAGTATCAGTCGAACGGCATAGTACAGACACATCGTCTGCGCCAGCAGCAGATTGGGATAGGTGAATCTCGTAGACGCGAAGATGGCGCCCGTCCGCAAGTCCCGCCGTCTGAAGATCGGGAAATTTTGATTTTCGTTTTGTTCCACTTCTTGTATGAGGCCTTGCGAGTTCTGCACCACCCATTCCGCGTACCACTGCTGGAACTTGCCCATGCAATCGGTGATGCCGTTCCACAAAGCCACCTGCTTCACGGCGGCCTCCTGCGCACCCATTGTGCGAGCCGCTTGACTCTCCTTAAATTGGTCCGACTGCGCCAGCAAGCCGGGGATTTCTGTTGCAATATCGAGTAGATAATGCAGCATGTCCTTCTTGGTCGTTCCGGCCGACCAAGGTATGGTTTTCCACTCCTCACGAGCGAGAAACGATGGTTGGCGAGCCGCCAGCGCTCCACCAATCTGGCCCGTGTTAGCTTCTGCAGCTGCGCTGTTATCAGAATTCGGATCACTCACCCAGTAAGGCCGAAGTTCAGTGAAAAGGAGATGTTCTACCCCGTACATATGGTTCTCAGGGCCCCGATGCTCGATGAGGCGCACTGCACCACGCACATGTGCCGGTACCCCGCTATGGGTTGTACGCTCCACACTCTAGTCTAGTTAGAGACATTGATCCTCCACAGGCCTGTAAGGCAAAAAGAAAATGGGCTTAGGCATACTTCAAAGGCAAGCAATAGGGTCACGGTGACCAATGTCGACTCTGCTTTGGATCGCTCTGGATCGACCAGCGCATCCTGAAGTGCGCGAAGTACTCGCGGATACAGGCGAAACCCAGACGCCTCGACTTGTTTGTTCTGGATCGACCGACCAAAGAAGGCCACCGAGACTGCTTCAAAGGCATCCGACATCAAAGGTGAAAACATACGAATCCCTGCTGCGGCACGCAATGCTCCAGCACGGCCATGCTTGGAATCTACCATGGGGGCAAAGGCATCGACGAATCGTTCGACAAACACGTCCACGGCTGATCGTTGTAAATTGATTACCGAACCAACACCAGATGAGCCAGATGTTTCTGAAGTTTCGTCCGACGCCACGTCCCCAAATTCACTCTCCTCGTCGGCGTTGGTGACACGGTCATTGAAGTTACTCTCCGGGGTTGCATTCCTGGATCGAGTGTGAAGAGGGATAACAGTACGTGGTGATACATGGTCCTCGTATGCTGTACAGGATGTCTGAGCGAAGTACTCTATGCCATGACAACCGTCTCTCTTGGTGCAGAGCTTACCTTCGTAGTCCTCCCATGGACCCACTGCGATCAATCCTTTCTTCAAGCCGCTTTGTGTAGTTCTGATATCCCGCACTAGCGTGTCCACTTCGCTTAATGGAGCTGATCGGATGGAATCAAACAAGCTTTCGAGTTGATCGAGGCGGGCCAAGTCTTTGGCTTGTGACTCTGTTCGTTGGCGGATGATGTTATATCAGTATCAGCTGGTTTCGCAGTGGTTGTCAAAGAGAGAGATAGAGAGAGAGATGGGCTTGAGTACATACGGTCTTTCCTTTCATCTATACGCGCTCGAAGTTCTCGAATCTCCAGACGCAGGTTCCGGATTTCCTCCGCTTGACTGATTGGGCGAGCATCTTCGTCGGGTACGTCTTCATACACACATTTGGATGGATACCCATGGGCACAGCACGCATGACAAGGTTTGACTCGATCGCACTACACCACAACCGGGGATTATGCGAGTTAGCGTCCACGGTTCGCACATGATCCCCCTGATTCGGCAATCGACCATCGTCGTTCCACCGTCCGGCGACAAGTTCACCACCGCGATACACCAGCACATGAGGTTATTCTGCCTCTCGTCCTGGGGTAATTGAAGGGAAATAGATCTTGGGGTCTTGGTGGAACAAGAGGCAACGGCCGGGACGGACGGTCCCTCCCGTCGCGATCTGAGCCCTTCTCAATTGGGGGGTTCCTGACGGGGATCGTCTCTGATTTGCCTTTTCGTTGGCTTTTGCTTCGAGTACTGACCTTCACCTTGCGGGCCCGGCAGACCTTGCATGATCGTGACTGACGGCTGGGGGTCCTCTTGACATGTGAATTGGCCGGGAACGGGGGTGAATCCATCGCCATGGTTGTGTGCACACGGAGCAAACTGGGGCGGGAGAGGAAAGAGGAAACATTACTGAACCAACGGGGCGACGGGAATTAGGGGCACCAGATTTGCGTGGAGGGAGTCCGAGATCTGCGAGTCTGACGGTGGATCTCTGGGCCACCTGGGAACAAGACGCTGATGGTGGGAAAGTCCGGTCTGGATACAGGGCTTGAGATCCCAGCGCCGTGTTCATCATCGATTTAGTCGATACGGTGGATGAAGCTTGGAGCTCAGCAGTAGCCCTGATAGGGTTGCTGGAGCTGCTAGTCGTGGAGTGGGGGAGACGACCGAGACTGTGCTCCGCCCGGATCACCGAGGAGCCCTTGCCATTGGCGTGAGACCAGGTGGAAATTATTGAGTTTGGACGTTTTAATGTCAGTCGCTCGAAAAGGTCATCGACGGGGAGGAAGGCTGGTCCGCCGCGAACAAAAAATAACACAGAGGATGCGCGCACGAGAAAGCAGGGTGGTGGTGTTGCTTCAGGAGGTGACGAAGGGAGTAAGTCGGTCACCTGGCCGGCGCACGAGATTTACGGGACCCTATCTTATACTCCTCACACGCTCCGTCGTTCAGCTGCGAAATTAGTGTCCTGGTGCATGTCTACATGAATCTGACAGCTCCAAGTCTGCCAACCGGAGTATTTTTCTGGTCTGATGTGTTGTGTCGCTTGGCGTTCACGGACATCAAGCTGAGTGGATGCAATAGTGGTCTCTTGATTTGATTGGTGATACTAACTGCGAAAACGTGCCCGACCCTGGGAACATGAGCACAACCACTAACTTACCAGGTCTAGTAGGTCCTCCGTACGAGTCTTCAGACCGAGCAACTTACAAAGACTCGTCACAAATTCAATCACGCGCTCAATTCCGTTCATTTTAGATTGAATCAAGAGAAACAATTGATGAGCCGTCCAGTGAAAGCGAAAGTCCGTCCCGCGGCTTCAGCCCAGTCCTACAGCCCAAATTTGAGGCATTGTGACGATGGGTCACTCGATGGAGTTGTTCCATGCGATCGGTGATCTACGCTCGCCCGTGCATTGTTGCTGCTTGACATTATGATTGCTCTCATGCTAGCTGGCAATTCGCTCTTTTTGACGAATGTTCCCTGTTGATTCGGCATTCGAGTCCAAGGCGCGTGGATCCTGTGCGTCAGATTTCGGGACTTTGGTCACTTTTGATCCATACCCTCCGTCGACTTTGGAAAGGCAGCGCTCAGAGACCTCGGCATTTGCTTTCTACATTGACTGTGGATTGAATATACCCCGACCGTGCGACGACCCGACGGGGACAAATAGTGGCCTGTACACAGCGAAAACCGGTGGAGATTTATATCTCCTGTACGCGCAATCGCGGAACTGCCCATCGGATCACGCCAATGTATCTGATCAAAACCTCCCATGTGGATAATCCTCAACCACTGGCGATGAATGATAAAGAGTATGTTTGACGTAGTCTATCCCGTCAATATTGGCCCCGCCGCCGTTGTCGTCGAATCTGCAAAATGAACATTGCATTCCAGTGGCCCATGCAGCTGTGTCTTGCTTCCGATGCGTACATTGTACACAGTGTACAGAATTTGCTTCACAACTACACTCACACACCGAGACGTCGAGGCAGGCTTGATCAGCTGATCACCTCTTGAATTTTTACTGCATCCAGGTGGAAGATCATTTGGTTTCAAGAAGATCCAGTGTGGTCCTTTGGGTATTTTGTTTGCTTCATTTGCGACTTTCTTCATTTGCAACATATAGTGCGACAACGAACGGGGTTCATCATGTCAGTCCCGACCGTGCCGACAATCCAGATCTCTCGACATTTCCCAGGATAGCCAATCGAGACCGAGATTGGAATTTCATGCAAGTGGCCGCGATCAGAACTCGGTCTAACGAATCGGACCGAGTTATCGCTTTCTCGTCTGGCAAAGTATGCCGAGTCTCTCAACAATGTCCATACATTGTGAGGAATCCTCGGCGTTGAGCCTCCTTTCAGCTCAAGCCACTTCCACGGAAGAGGACAAAGCTCCTTGATGCGTCTAGAGCGTCAACTACTGCGGCGATAACCAAGTGCCGTCTCGCGGTCGGCACTCGTCGTCTTTAAATCTCAAAAAATCTTATGCAATTGCGTGCGCTTGATCTTGAGTGGCTGCACTTTGGACCAAGGGCTGTTCCTTCTACCTTTTCGTCGAGATACGAAAGTCCTACATCTGTATCCGCAGTTACACGAGCCCGGTGAAACCATCTTCGTACCGGATTTGGCTTGACGAGTGATGCAGCGGACAGCGCATGTAGGAGCGGTCGTCAACCTTAGCCAAGCTGGTGAGTGAGCATGGACTACTTTGGTAATCCGACACAAAATTGTTTATCCTCAAGGATCGAGTGTTGACCCAATTGTGGCTTGGTGGTCGAGTAAGCTGGTCGGGTTGAGCCCATACTGTTGACTCGTTGAGAAGGACGGTGAAACAACCCGGTCGCAGGGCCCTCATAAGATTTTAGGTTCTCTGAGAAGATCTGTATTCTTCCACTTTCTGGGTATTTCAGAACCGCCGGGTACTGCGTAGCATCTGCTGCACTTCTTCGTGCGTCGCATTGGGGCATCGATTCATTTACCTTGTGATATCTGGCACATTAGACCCTCGTCGCAGGTTAATCTAGCCCATCGTACATGTCCGGCAATCAGTACGGTTACAACAATGTACCCAGGCGGTTAGAATAGGCTGATCTCCGAGTTCCATGTCTGCAAGGCCTCGCTGTAGCAAATTCTAGAGACTGAAGTTGGCAACCAGAAAGTAGATCGCTGGCATGGGCCAGAGAGAGTCCAAGCACCAAAGAACGTCGATCGTTCACATTCCCTATCCACCGGGCGCTGCGAGAGACTAGGTGCCAATCGCGTCTTTGACTCGACGCGCGCATGTCGCCACTATGTTTGAAGCCTCCATATAGTGGTCTCTCGGGCATTCCGAGGACCGGTGCGATCGTGCAGGGGGGTTTCTGAGACACCTTCGGTAGTCCGAGGTTGACTGTATCTCTTGCGCTGATAAGATCTCGGTGACGACCGGGACTTGATGTGATCGAAGAGGACGGATCGCCGGCAGACCACTCTGTCTCACTAAGTGATTGTCTGGCGTCGTCCACCGCATGAATTACCTTCAAAGCTCGTAGGTATGATTATGTCAGCTGGTGCATCAAGGTCAGTGTACATGCACAAATGCAACATGATCAGCTGGCATCGTAGTCTTGCCGTCAATATGAATCATGACGATGTCCAGAGCCAATGTGACGCCTCCAAAGCGTAGGTGTCAGGTGGACTCTCATTAAAGCATTGCAGGTGTAGATCGCTTCTGTATTCCGCCGATGTTACCATTTGAATACAAGGGCGTGGTGATTCCACAGGAAAATCCATGGGCTCATGCTCGGGCGTAGCTGCAACGACGAATGACCCTCCATCCAACCTGGGCTTTCCAACCCTGTGGACAGCTTTGAGCTTCATGGTCGATTCTTACGATCACCCAAGGAGACAAGGAGTGCTATTTCCCGGGTTGCTCCCCATCTCAACACGCGGCAGCGACCCCGCAAAATGAATACGTCCCGAAAGTCAGTGCCGCAGTGGTTCGTGCCCGACACCCGACGGGGGTATCTTCTCTCGATTCGGTAGAAGACGTGTTCATCATGGCGCCATCTGATCGGAGAAAGTGCGAGACTGGGGCCCAAGTCGCGTGAACGCGGGGGTGGGGGTCTTGGCAGGACTTTCCACCCCAAGGCCTCTTGCGGTGGGGAGACCCGAGGACGGGAGGTCCAAGCGTCCAAGCGTCCAAGCGTCCAAGCGTCCAAGCGTCCAAGCGTCCAAGCTTGGGTCCCTGTGGTTCGGCGTGGGGTGTGATTGCCAGGAAGGAACAACCGCGGGGACAGACCGCGGTTGAGCGAGCCGCAGATCGGGTGAAGCTCCGGGAGAAAGGCGGTGATGAATCGAAATGGCAAGTGGAGTCCACCGGCTGGCAGTACTAGTACTGCTTCAGTGCTTGCTGAGCCGCGGGGCTGGATGATGGACGGTACGACTGTACTCAAATCAGGACAGAATTTGTAGGGTATGGACAGACGTTGTGACGAAAAAGACGAGTACACTGCCCACTGCCCTGGCTGAGTGGGAGGTCTGTTGACAGAATTGGCTTGAATGGTGGATTCGCCTACAAACCCGAGCGTTCGGACCTCATCAACGCCAAATGGTTGAAGCTTTCTGCCTTCGGGACGACACAGCTTACCTGTTAGGGTTTCTCGGCCGACTTTCGCTATAGAGAGCCGAAGAGAAGATCCGGGAATGCTTCCGTCGCGGTCGGTACAAAGCGTTTAACCAGGGTGGTTCCAGCCACGAGGAATCCGTCTCTGCGGGGGAACGACTTGGAACCCCAGGCGAGTGGAGGAGTGACTGAAACCCATGCCTCTCAATCTTTCCCTCCTTCCCTACCTGGGGTACGACTTGTTCCATTCGATGCACGACTTCATTCTTAATGTTTACACGGTGACTTGCGATTCCATTGTCCCACTACCGCCCGTGGATCTCTAGCACAAGTAGGACGAAAGTCAACGGTGTGGGTTGACTGGGTACAGCGTAGGGGTACTGGGTACTGAGTACATACTACATTAGTAGTACTCATACTACATAGTATACTCAATACTACTATCACATGGCTCGTATCAAATGCCCATTCTCTTCCACACCGCGGATCAACTCCGATGGCGACCAAGCACAGACCCAGCATATCTTGGCGAGATACGTCTACTTTGGGAGATCCCGTTCAACCCTGGCTCACATTCACGGACGTTGTCCGTGGAGGAGACGAGGCATTCCATCCGTCCATCATTGACCTGCGCACCAGTCATAAGCCTTCAATGTTCCTTCCCCAAAATGGGGGTTACATTTTGACTTTCTCTGAAAATGATATGGACTTGGTTCCTCTCGGGGACTGGTATGTCCGCCGTGGGGGTGGAGGCAAGGACCCTTGCCTCCACTCCGGTGCCAGAGGTAGTATGTCCGGGTCCAGCCTGGGCTACCAAGCACTCCATCATGTCGATGTCGACTGAAGTGATAAACTCCATATTTGAGTGCTGAGCACGGCGCACTCCAGTCTGGGACAGGGTTCAAGCGATGTGGATGACTCCACGTGTGTGGGGTGGTCATGTGGTCTTCATTGGATCAACCACCACGTTCCAAGCTCCATCACCTTCCTAAAGCCCGCAACGATCCCCCTCCCCCACGCACTCTGTTTTCCCCCGGCTTGATCTGGACCTGGAGTGGAGTAACTCCGGGGCAGCAAAAAGACCGGGGTAAAATGGATCCTCAGCCACGGGAGAGGGTAACGCTAAATGCATCTTTGGCAGAGCTGGTAGCAAGGCTTGCGTTGCGGAAAGGCTGGATCCAGTTTCCCCAGGTATTCCAAAAGGGAAAGCAAATGGGTGGTGATCCCGACCCACTCGTCGCAAGTGCATGCTTGAGGACAAGATAGCCGCACCTTGGCCATGCGATGGTCGCAGTGCTGACCCCCGCCCGTCATTCATATAAAGCAATGCAAGTCCGGCAAGGGATCGACGCAAACAGTTTCGATCCAGGATCGAGAAGCACACTCTGCGGGCGATATTTGAAGTGAGCGTTGTTCTCGCCGCGTCTTCTCTCGACCGCATCCTTGTCCATCTTTACCTCGTCGGCCCCAGGGGTGTGTACACCGTTCTCTTCACAATCAAAGCGGATATCGCCCACGATGACCACACGCGCAATGGCCAATACCACGGGGGTGATCTCCGACATAGAGACCATGGGCATGAAGGCCGAAATGACCCATGAGGAGGTGGTTCATCTCGCCGAACTGTCACCCGAGGAGAAGATCCTCGAGAAGAAGCTGGTGCGACGCATTGATTCGCTGATCATGCCGCTGGTCGTCTTGGTCTATCTGCTCAATTACATTGATCGGTACGTGTCACCGCGAGATGGCGAGGAACGTTGTGGCTGCTGTTCAGGGCAGCAATAGATTGGCCGCCCGAGACTAATCGCGGCATGTGGAATGGGGATAGAAACAACTACGCCGCTGCAAAGCTACAGGGCCTGATTGGTGATTTGAACCTGACGATGACGGAATATCAAACGGGTCTGTCGATTCTGTTCGTGGGCTACATCCTGATGCAGGTTCCCAGCAACCTGTTGCTCAACTACATGGGACGGCCTTCGCTATACTTGGGCTTTTTCATCATAGCCTGGGGACTGGTATCTGCCTTGACCAGTCAGGTGAAAGGGTACGGCTCGGTTGTGGCCTGTCGCTTCATCTTGGGTCTCGTGGGTGAGTGTTTCCGCACATCTCAGTCTACCCCTTGACTTTCCAGACTCGTTGGGTTGCTAACGATTTTCCGTTGTTGGGCATGAACAGAGGCCCCCTTCTTTGCCGGCGTTCTTTTCTACCTGTCCAAGTGGTATACACGCAAGGAGCTGGCCTTCCGCATGAGTATTTTCTACTCTGGCTCCCTCCTGAGTGGTGCCTTTGGCAACCTCATCGCCGCTGGTATCCTCAAGGGACTCAAGGGCCATCGCGGCTTGTCCGCTTGGCAATGGCTCTACATCATTGAGGGGACTATCACCGTGGCGATCGGACTGGTCATTTGCTTCATTCTGCCCGATTTCCCCGAGACCTGGAAATTGCTCAGCCCGGAGATGCGGAGCGTGGCCACACGTCGTCTGTCTATCGAGGCTGCCGAAGCCGACATTGATGAAGCGGGCGGTGTCTCTCAGATCAAGGGTCTCAAGATGGCCATGACCGACATCAAGACCTATGTCCTCGCCGTGGGTTACATGTGTATCACCGGTGCCGCTGGGTTCCAGAACTTCTTCCCGACCCTGACCAAGACCTTGCACTACAACGACACCATCTCGCTCCTGCTCGTTGCGCCACCCTACATCTTCATGGTCATCTACAGTCTGGCCCACTCACACATCTCGGACAAGATGGGCAAGCGCTTCTGGTTCTTGGTCTACCCGATCCCCATCTCCATCATCGGATTCGTGCTCTTCTCCACCACTTCGGGTTTCGCCCCTCGCTACATCTCCCTCTTCCTGATGATGTTTGTCTTTGCGCAGAACGCGACCATCTATTCCTGGATTGCCAACGCCTTGCCTCGGCCCCCTGCCAAGCGAGCCGCTGCTTACGCCTTTATCAACTCCATTGGTAACTCGGCCAGTATCTGGACACCCTACACCTACATCCAGTCCGAGAGCCCCAAGTTCTGGACCGCGATGGGTGTCAACATCGGTCTTCAGGTTCTTGGGCTGCTGTGTGCGCTGTTCATGTACTTTAACCTGCGCATGTTGAACAAGCGCCAGGAGCGTCTGGAGAACGAGGATGTCCAGTTGACTGAGAAAGAGCTGCGCCGACTACAGATCACGGCCGACGTGGAAGGTATCGACATTGGGGCTGCGAGACGTTTACAAAAGGGGCTTCCGCTACGTGCTGTGATGGTATTTCAGTATCCTGTTTTTGACCAGTTGAAATGAAAGTTTGACCGATGGAGAGCCATTTGAATGTCAATAATGAAGAAACCCTTGAGCTCGCACATGGCTGATTATGAGTATAATTGAAAACAAAGACTCCCCCAAATCTTTTGCCTGGATCCTATTCTCGGTGCGGACCCTAGATCCATTGACTGTGGGGGAAGACCTGGGGTCTATGAGCGCCGCGTTCCCAGTACTTCCTAATCCGGTCAAAACGGCAGTCGATGAGTCCATGACTCGCCCTCGGCGGGACGTTGCGTGAGTATGAGGTACTCTCATCCGTCCACGAAGTCACGAAGTCTGGTTCGTCCAACTAGGACTGGGTATTCCCGGTGTAACTCACGATGGAAAGACGAGGAATCAACCCAGTGGTTAAAGGATCCAGGTATCGCGCTTGAGCTGGGTCGATTCACGCCAACTCTTAAATCCATCACTCTTACCACTTCCATTTTCTCTAGACGGATTTACCCTCAAACCTGGCGCCTGTACCAGGAGCTCGACCATATATCAAGTAGTACCAGGCTTATCATATCCTGACACTTCAAAGCTTGTCACATTGAACTCACACCCTCCACTCCCCCAGTGCCACCAATTCACCTCCCAACGACAGATCGTCTTTAAAAACAGATACGAACCTCAAACAAGTTTTTGCACCTTCCTCCCACTTCCATCCATCGCCTCGTCCAAAGCCAAACACCCGCGGACAACACTTCCACTATGCACGCCCTTGCACGCCCTCTCCTCCGCAAACCCTACCACCACTCCACTCGTCCTCTCTTCTTCCTCGCGCGCTCACTATCATCCACCACTTGCACCATGGGCGCTGGCGATACCGGTGCCCCAAGAGCAAGGGGCTCACTCGCAGAGTAAGTGTGTCCGTTCAGCTCGTTCTCTTTCTGATCTTTCTCCTCGGGACGTGCAGTGCTGCGACCGGGCCAGATGTCAATGACGTCATTGATCTCCGGGCGGAGGGTCTACGCCGGTCTGAGTCCTGCGGGATGCGAATGCAGAGACACGAACGACCCTATTGTCTTGTGATATTGAAAATATACAAGGCTAACGAGTGTTCCCTTGACATCACCGAAATAGAAAGGACAGATTTCAACAACGCGAGGCAGCGCAAGAGGCCATGTATATTCGACAGCACGAGATGGAAAAGTAGGTTCTTTTATTTTCCGAACGGACGAGCTTCAGTCTTGAGACGACTTGCTGGAGACGGTGATTCTGTTCTTCAAAATATGATCAACCACGCATAGCTTCAATGTCTGACCAATCTTTAAATTGTCTAGGCTTGAGCGCTTGCGCGCCAAAATGAAGGAATCGCAGAAACACATTGCCGAGTTGGATAAGCATTTGTATGTTCAGCGCTCCACTTCCTTTTCCCCTGTCTACCTGCTCGGTCTTGTTCTCCGTCTTCGTGTATCAGATCTGGGAGGGTCCTTACCCGGTAATTATGTGCCCAGACATGTTCAGTTCTGATGTTGATGTCCATTTTCTATTCTTCAGGGAAGAATACGCCAAGACCCAGGGCGGCGAGCAGAATTAGTCGAGTTCGATGCTATCTCGAAGATGTGAGATGTTCACACGGAGAGTCCTAACGGGCTAGATGGGATCCGCCAGGTCTAGTCAAGACGAGAGCACTATCTGACGCTGCTGGTCTTTTTCCGACGAGAAAGCGAAACGTGGTGGTGGGATTCCAGTGGAGCGAGCAATGACATTATCGCGCGCAAGGATTGACATTCACTTTCGAATGCTAGAGTGTCACATCTCATTTAAACCAAGTTGATCCGACTGTAATGAGGTACAGAATCTCTATGTACGGTGCTGTCTTGATAGAAGAGCCAGACTAGATAGAGAGGTGCCGTGGTAGTTGGCTTAATCCAAAGAACTTCCAAATGGAGCCCACATGTCTGGCGGGAGACCGGGATTAGTATGACTGTTGATCCAAGATTGAGAGCCATGTAGTTGCTGCCGGAGGACCCACGGGAGATAAAAGAATTGTGACAAGGATAATACAAAAAAGGAAATGATCTATGGCTATGTATTAGAGAGAGGGAAAAATAAGAATCTAATCTATAATGGTCCCGAAAACTCACAAACCCCCCCAAGACACGAGGGACACGGGAAAGAAAAAAAAAGCAACGATGAATAAAGGCAACCAGGTGATCCTGATCCAAAACTCGTACCAAGTCCAGATCAGCCTGATGCATGCAAAATTAAACCAGTAATCCGACCGCACGAGCAAAAATTCCCATACGCGGATGGTCATTCTCTCAACCTCCTTTCAGCGCCACCGCCAACCTATTCAGCTTTCTTGGAGGCCTTGGTCCGCAACTTCATCAGCAGGTAAACGAGGGCGTACGAGCTGAGTGCAAAGAGAGCCACGATGCCAATGTCGCGCCATCCGTAATAGTACTCTTTCAGGTTCAGAGTGTAGAGATAGTCACTCCCATGGGAGAATTGACACACGCGGCAATTCTCGGTTGCTTCCGGGTTGACCAAGTTCATGCGGGATCCGATTGTCTTCATAAAGTCATTCAGGTAATTGGCGCAAGTGCTTCCGCTGGGGGGATTGAAGACGGCGAACTCGCCATCCTTGCAGTGGATGTCCGTGTCCCAGACGTTGAAGACGAGTAGACCACCCATGAGGTAATTGAAGGGGTTGAGCCAGTAGATCCAATAACGCCAGAAGGCTTGGATTTGAGCGTAAGGGACCAGGACACCGCAGAAGGAGACGAGGGTTCCGATGATGAGCGGGTTGACCAGCGCGGCAAAGGTCGCGTTCGGTGCGTAGGCGGCGACGAATTGGCCGATGCCGGTGTAGACGAACTCGTACAGTAGCATCATCAAGAAGGTTGGGCCGGATTTGCTAGCGGCCGTGTCGGCACCGATGGTCCAGTACCAGCAGACGAAGTAGAGGACGCCGCAGATGATCAGGTAGGGGACTTCGGAGACTACCAGCGCAGTGACAAAGGCCCACCAGGAGTACATCTTGGACTTCTTTTCGCGCTGTTCGTAAATGCTGCGGCGTTCAATGAACAGGGGCTGCAGTTGGGCTAGGACACCGGGCGCGACGAAGATGAAGTTGAAGATGGTGAAGAGGCGCAGCTGCATGTCTCCGATGCCATCACCAATCATCCAGAACGAGAAGCCGTTGAACAGAGCGGAGCCAAAGTGAAGAGCAAACTTGTTGTTGACGTAGTCGGTGTTTCGGAACAGAGCAGTGCTCATGCGCTGGGTGACGAGCTTCGTCTGTTCCATGACCGAGGTGGCAAATTCTTGTCCATCGTCGAAGGTACCGGGGGGTTTGGCAGCTGCTGTGCTGATGATCTGATCCAGTTCTTGGATGGCTTTGCTGTGTTCCGGAGAATCGAGCCAGACTTGGTTCCAGTCGCGACCCTGACTGAGTCCCCCGGAGACGACGTCGATCATGTGTTCAGCTGGATTGGTATTGGGCGGGCACGGTGCGCCATAGCGACCAAAGTATTGCTTGACCGTGTTACCATTGTCACCGATATCGCCAAAGTACACAGTTTTACCACCTTTGGCAAGGAGCAGGAGGGTATCGAATTCGGCAAAGAGCTGGGCCGACGGCTGGTGAATGGTGACAAGGACGGCCTGACCGACATCAGCCAGTTTTCGCAGGAAGCGGACAGTGTTGTAGGCGGATTGCCCGTCCAGACCGGAAGTGGGCTCGTCCAGGAAGATGAGAATGCTCGGTTTGGAAACCAGCTCGACGCCAATCGTGACACGCTTGCGCTGCTCGACGCTCAATCCGGCGCCGGTGCGACCAACAAGAGTGTCGGCGATGTCGTGAAGCTCGAGGAGGTCGATGATGGTATCAACATACCTCAGCTTTTCCTCACGAGGCGTATCTCGAGATTGGCGAAGCAGAGCGGAGAACTCCAGAGACTCTCGGACTGTAGCGAATGGCTCAAGCACGTCGAGTTGCTCACAATAGCCGGCAGAACGTTGGAAGGAGACGGGAAGAGGACGACCATCGACCATGATGGATCCCTTAATGGTGCCCTCGGTCTTACGCTGAGCGAGAACGTCCAGCAATGTGGTCTTGCCAGCACCGGATGAGCCCATGAGAGCACCAAGCATGCCCGGTTTGACCCAGCCATAGACGTTGTCAAGCAGGACACGATCGCCTTCGGGCGTTTTCACGGTGTAGCTCAGATCCTTCCAGGTGAAAACGGAGGTGTTCCGTACCAGTTGATTTTCCACGTCACTGTCATCGCGAGCATCGCCCTCAGAGGGCTTCTTGGACTTTTCGTCAACTTGGGACTCTTCGTCGCGGGAACTACTTTGATTGTGCTGCTTCAGGCGTTCCCGGGGGATGAGCAGGGAGCTACCGCTCTCACTGGCCGAGGTCCATTTCGAGGTGGCATAGATAGTGGCGCCCACAAAGAGTGCCCACCATGCCCAGTTGATGCCAAAGTTACGCCAGACGTGCGAGTGGCTGTACGAAAGGGAGCCAAGATATTGGTCACCAGTGACATAGGTGTTACCCTGAACAGCTCCCCCCACCCCAGCGCAGGACTGGTGGGCACTATCTTGATAGCCGGGACCCTGAGGAATCAGGTTGACGCCAACACAATCGATCGTCTTGCCATGAAACTCGTTCGCTAGTAGAGCTTCAAAGCCGTAGGCTAGGGGGTCGATCCAGAAGATCCACCCAAACCAGGGGTGCATCTGAGGCTTTCGGATCATGTACCCGGTGTACATGATCAGGGCAGCGATGAGGAATCCAGAGACCTTGGAGGCACCATCGAATGTTCTGAAGAGCGCACCCACTGCTCGGAAAAGAGCAGTCATGCTCTACAATATATGTTAGTAAAATGCTCTCTTGAACAGAAGGCTCGGGATACTTATAACTTACCATTGTCGTGGTAAAGACGAGGGCCCAGTAGGTGAAGAAGACACCCGCCGACATGGTCAACCCGACCATGAAATACACCACGATGCCGAACATGGAAATTTGGAAAATAAGTACAGGGATATCCGCGGTGATTTGAGCAAGACAAAACGCAGCAGGGTGGAACATGGCGAATTCCTTATGCTTCACCAGGACCGGGCGACCCTCGAAGGACTCAGTCACCTCCGACATGGCGAGGAGACTGTTGTACAAGAGGGAGAAGAAGATGGCGCCGGACTTTGTGAAGAGACCAGCGGAGTTGTTCGGAGCATTGTAAAAGAGCGAACCGGCAACGAGTGCTTGAATGAGCGTGGCGACCTGCTTGATGACAAAGGTTGGTTTATCCCCCCAGATGATCTGGTACTGGCGCTTGATGCAGGTCTTGACCTGTTCACCGAAGCCGACGGTAAAGGGACTGTTGCGAGGTAGATGCTTGGACGTCTCGAGCGCCACACCATCCTTGAAGTCTTGTGTCCGTTGGCGGGCAGTGTCGGAGTCGGGGTAGTCGTATTCGGAAGTGGCCTCTTCGAAGATCGGTGATGCTTCGTAGAGTTGGCGGAGGGCGTCTTTGTTGCGAGGGAATCGATTCCCGTATCCTTCGCGAATACGACGCTCAGTGGGAACCGTCACACCGGTGAGGTAATCGGCGATGTTCGAACCTTCGCGACAGATGAAGCCCGCTTGCTCCATGAAAGGACGAGCCTGGGCCCGTGTGCCGTAGAAGACCTGCTCACCCTCATCCAAAACCAGAACCTTGTCGAAGAGCTCGTAAATACCGTTACCGGCCTGGTAGAGGGTCACGATGGTCGACAGACCCAGGGTGTCGGTCATGGCGCGGATTGCCTTGGTCCATTCCAACGCCGTACTGGCATCAAGCCCGCGAGTACTATTGTCCCAGCAAAAGACAGAGCCTCGAGTGGCGAGACATTCGATGATGGAGACGCGCTTCCGCTCTCCACCAGAGACTCCACGCACGAACTCATTTCCCACCTTGGTGTTCTCCGTATGGGAGATTCCTAGTGCCTCCATGAGGAACTTCTTCGACTCGGCCGAGTATTCCTCGGGCGACTCTACCCCGTCGGGGAGCTTGAAGGGGACCTTGAGACGAGTTGCAAAGTCCATGGTCTGGCCGACGGTCAAGGTGGGGAAGAACAGTTCCTCCTCGGTATTCATGACGATCTGGCCGCGGTAAGCCCGTGCCTCCTTGGGGCTCAGTGAGCCGAATCGCACATCCCCGGTGATGGATTTGTATCCACCGCGGTGATTTGACAGCAGCTTCAGCAGAGTGCTGCATCCCGAGCCTGGTCTTCCCAAGACCAGAAGCATCTCGCCGGGCTTCACGCAGCCATGGCTTTTGTTGAGAATGGTTCGCAAGGGTGTCTTGTTGCGAGATTCTTTGATATGCTGTGGAATGTTGAATTGTGAGAGAACGTTCTCGTTGACGGCAGCATCGGCACTGATGACATCCACGCTCAAGTCTCTCCACGTCACACCTAACTCCTGACGCTTGAACCCGGAGGCCATCTCGCGTGCGTGTTGTTGTTGAACCCGGCTCAGCAAGGTCCAGTCACTTGGTGGGTTGTGGGGAGGAGTGGTAGGTCGAGAGGAATCTTCCCCCAAGATGGTCGCATTGCTCTCGGTCTCGTCACGGGGGTCGACGGGAGCCTGGTTGGGCACTGGCTGTTTGTTGACTTCGTCCATGACGGGCGATGACACACGACAGCGTGAATGGGGAGAAAAAGGAACACCAGACGAGCCTAGGCGGCCTCTCTCTATCTTTTATGTAGAACAGAAACACCAGCCCACACTCTTGATCATTATCAGATTCGATTCACTCTAGTTTGATCTTGGCTCTCACTCCTAATGTGGGTCTAGGCTGACGAACGTATAGCGACGGACGGGCCTTGATCTCGCCGACTTCCGTGAGAGCCGAGCAAGTGCAACCTCACCTCAGTTCTCTCTCACCAGTGATCGGAACCATGGACTCCCGTACTGGCAGTCCGATGGCCGAGAAACACATCGTGTTCCAGAATAGACTCCCGGTGGATGGGAAATGTGACTGGCTGCCCGTTGGAGATTTACACGTCTCTTGCTCCACGGCCGAGTAGCGTTCCCGCCGAAGCGTCGTGGGTTTGTTCAGCCACATGTCTTCGAGTGGAGCCTCCCGGACGCTTCCACGACTTGTTACGCCGATTCCGAACGGTTGTGGAAGTTCTTCCGCCCCCGTCTGATTGGTTCGGTCCCCACGGTGCGACAGGTGCTTTCCGCTGACTCAGCGGCTACCTGCAGCCCGAGGCGCGCGCACGTCCCGATGGGAATCCCTTCCTCACAGTTTCATCAAAGTCCACGGGCACCGAATGCCTAGACCGGACACAAGGGGGCTTAGAGAAGTCCGAGAACTGTTCTGCATGTCAGCTTGGCTCAGACAGATGGGAGTTTCTGATCGAGATTTTCCGCCCGTGAGCTGCCACCCCATGACGACAGTGGAATTGTAGAAATCATCCTACAGGCCACGATTCTACAAGCAGGTACCTAGGTGTGGAGACTTTCCATGTGCAGGTGATCTATATCCAATTTTCGATTACACCGAGAAGGGTAAATGCGTGTGTCAGATTTGATGAGAGGAGCTTACACCTCTTCATCAACATCCACCTGCTGCAGTTTTACAGCTCTGCCACAGGACACAGACGATCAATTACCCCAACCTGGGTGAACAAACACAAATGGCCATTCCGCCATTACCGGCATCACTGCCAGGTGGGATGGGTGAACGTGGTGGCATTGCTTCGAGTGATAGCCTACAAGAATGACTACGGTGTATTTGAGTCAACTGGATTCGATAGATCATCAAAGTGTCACCGCAAAGACCATCACAATTCATGCCGAAGTGGCTGGTACTGTCGCTATTTGGTTGAGGAAGACCATGCATAATAAACGCAAATAGCGGAGCCCCCAAGACCGTACTGGAATACATAGCGGATCTCCGATAAGTGCATGATAGCCCGGCCCAAGGAGAATAATGGCAGAGACCATTATAAACCAGATATCCACTCACTCTCGACACGGGCGGCAATAGTAGAGCCTGGTATCTCCGATAATCTAGGCGGCAGACACATTTGAATTTCTAAGCTTGGCACCGAAATTTAAGGTTGAGGAGCAGCCGAATGAGCTAGTTATCTATCTGGCATGACGAGCTTTTAGTGTAGTCGGCGAGTTCACAAGTCCACCGAACAGGACGGATGACCTGCGACTCAGTAGAACCAGAGTCTCAGCGAGGCCGCAAAATGAAGACAGTCGAGGAGGAAACAAGTGCAATTCAGGAAGACCGCCAAAGACACGAGAAAGATGAGACCTAGAAGAACGGATAAGAGCACGTGGGGAAGATGAACAATACAAGCAGAAACCTTCCTCCAGACGCATGATAGCGGGCCTGGAAGCGAGAGAAGGGCAACCACTGCGTGGAAAGCGAACATGCCGTAACAGAACGAAGCTAGGTAAAGATCAAATGATAAAAACGTGGCCTAAGGACCAGGCTTATTGTTTGTGTGCAACTTTGGAAGGGGCACCGGTATTGTTCCACAAATATTCTGGGCCTTCTCGCCTCAAAAGTTTCATTTAAATAAACGCATGGCGGCGTGAGGTTCCCTTCTTACAAAGACAAGCATCTTGGTATCATCAAAAGATCATCAATGCTAGTAACGATGAATATCACGTCCTGCGAGCTTGAAGCTCAAATAGATCCTAACAATCAATCAAGGTATGACTGTCGGCTCGAAGCAAAACGACTTACAGCAAAACAGCACGCCGCAAAACAAAGAATTCCAAAAACAAAAAGAGGCCAAGTGACACGCTGCACGCTACATTGCGGGACTCAAAGCAGCGCAAGTCAGTAGGAGAAGTGTTACGACTTGAATCGTGACGAGACCACAAGTCGTACCACTGCATATTGTAACAATGAATTCAAACTAATACATAGTGTAACAATTAATTCAGATTAATACTTTATGAGTGGCGCGCTTTGTCACGGCACTCCTTACACATCTCATGCACGCTACCATCTGAATCGGTGAACATAGTCTCCCAAGATTCGTGAGCCCCGGGAATGCACCATTGCTTGCGGACCGACAAACAGTAAACGCACCACTTTCCTTCGAACAAGGCCTTTGGACGTGCCCGGACACACCCCGCACAATAGCCCCACTGGCGCTGGGTGGAGTCTCTGTCACGGAATTCTTCATGTGGCAGTCCAGTCTCACATGATGATTCACGTGATTCCTCGCTTGGCATCGTGATTGTGCTCTCACGTGATTGATCGTCGTCCTCACGAGTGGGTGCTGCGGATCTATCCGGGGTACCGCCGCGAACCTGTCCCTGCGTTCTCTTGCCCCGGTAGGTTCGACTGTGCTGTGAAAGATATCAGTATCTCCTGAAAAAGTTGGCTGTAGTTGGGTGGCTGTGGTTGAATATACTAACACGGCGAGTTTGATGCCGGCACGACGCGCAGGTCACTGTTGGCGTTTGGTTCGAGCGCTTTGACCAAAAGCTATTGATCGGCCTCCACTTGGAGCAACGTTTGCAACATTTCCATTCATCGGCCAGTGACTCGGCGGGGTTGCCTTGGGAAGAAGTCATCTGCACGGCAGCAGGACGAGCCTCATGCTCTGGAGTGCTCATGTCTGGAGACGCGAGTCGTGGACTTGGACGGCTGGAGCTCCGGGACAGTGAAGAGATGCTAGACCTGGGCCGTAAGGTCAGGACGGCGCTCTTTGCCAATCGTCGACTAGGTGGCAAACCCCCCGTTGAAGAGAACTAGGTGTGCAAGATGGGTGCTTGGTTGTGATCGACGAGGCCGGGTATTGGTATCGAACACACCCGTGGGCCGATGGACTTACTATTGGCGTGGGGAGTACTGATCCCACTGATCAACGGGTTGATGCGTGACGATGACGACAATGGCTGTGCTCAACTTTCTCTTACTTGACCAAACGAGGGTTATGGGAGACAGAGGAAGATCCCAGTCGTTCCACGAGACGTGTTGTTGATGAGTTGTCGATGAGTTGTTGATGAGGTTTTGATGAGGCGTTGATGAGATGTTGATGAGATTTTGATGAGGTTTGGATGAGGTGTTGGTGAGAAGTAAATGTTTTGGAACGGGGATAAGTTGATTTCGAATGTCTTGAGACGGTTGTGTGGTTTGGGACGCGCTGCTAATCAGACGCGTGCTCAGTCAATCTGCCTGTTGTATACCGCTCTTGCAAGCGGTGTCTTCTAGACTGCTGGGTCGATGAAAATTGATCGAAGTTCATGGAAAGGGTGAATTGACGTCTTCTATCGTACCCCAGAAGAATTGATGCCAGTTGCATAGGTCCCAGGTCTTTGTTTAAATTTCTGGGCATCTAGATGGATGTGTCTTCACCGAGCCAGTATCATTTACTACAGATGAACGCTTGGAGTAACACGTAGAATACTCGCAGTAAACAACGTCACCGATACCCAGATGGAGAAGATACTCGAAGGGTCAATGATATGCGTCCTCTATCGTTAGCCCTAACATGGATGGATCTACAGATTCTGGGGCTTTTACTCTCGAGTCTTCATAGAATACAGCTACTGTAGGCACAGCCACACAGTGAGAGAAGGGAATGAGTGTGATATCGACTGGCTTAAGAGAGATGCTGTCTCGACTTTGGGCTGCGGCGAGACGACAGTATCACATGCCATACGAATAAATCGTGCTTGAATGATTCTGCCGACTCACCACCGACCCATAAACCCACAACATTAGATAGCCTCTCTTCCTTCTATCTTTCTCACCAATCAAGTCGTGTTTCACCTTCCTCATTTCCTTCCTGTACATCGATATCTACAAATAAGTCGTTTCTAAATACAAGGGATGTTGAGACCCAGTGGACAGTTCAATATGAACCGACTCATTCGGAAGGTAAGTAGAGATCAATTTGCTCAAAGCCAAAGGAAAATCGCCTAGTGGCATGGAAGAAATCTTGCTGTTTGGTGGCCAACCCCAGTCCCAGCCCCAGCACGATACGCTATTACGAGCAGAATCGGCCATATCTCAGGTCCCGCGCCCACACACCACCTGCAAGTCGTTGGATGTAGCTTCAAACGTATATCCATACTCCAAGGCCCAGTGCTTAGAGGCATCCCATGATCTGACAAATCTCTAGAATGTCTGTTCAGATACCTCTTCCAGTTTATGCGCCGACAAATTAATTTGGCACTCACCCAACAAGTGGGCAACTAGTACTGTACATAGACCTCGGCGACTGCCACTGGTCCATTGTAATTTATGCGGTTGCCCCCATATGAAAGTCGCCCGGTTGACTAAAGAATAGACCTGGGGAAGAACTGCACCATGTTAAAAAGGCGCATTCAAGTGTCTTCCAGCGTTGCTTTGCATCCATAGGTATCGAACCCAATTTCGATTCAAGTCCTTCTCATGACTGAACACCCCAGAACGCCAATGCTAACTCGAGGTACCTATACATGCAGACAGGCCCGGGAACTCCAGTGATGAATCAAAAAAAGCCCTAAAGCTGTATCAAAAAGCTCCCCGTGATCGTCAAATCCCTCGCACAAAGTGGGATCTGATGAAACACCAAACGCCAAAAAAGCAACTAACATCGAACGCCTCCAACTGTTCCACTTTGATGAGTGCGGCAAAATTTATCGTTGCCCCAACGGTGGCCTCGCCTAGACAGCAATCGCTTATGCTGCGTCTCAGGGTATGGTCCTCGAAGACATTGATAGCGTCAAGATGCTATTTCGATTGTGCCCTCTCATGGACCGCCAGCTAGGGTAAGCAACCAGACGGAGAGCAGCTCACATTTCGCTGGCATGTTGAAAACATATGAGACGCGCAATCTCACTCCTTCTTCTGGCTTTGTCGAGCTCACTGACGGCCATCTCAAGCTCCATCCTGTTCCAGGCTTCATCATCCTCGAACTCAGGACCAAGAAGCCAGAGAATGTGTGGGAATGGAGCCACTGATTTTGCGCTGAGTAGGTGGTCGAGTCGAAGGACGAGGTCCTTTTCAGCCAATTTCTGCATTGAGGATGAGGCTAGCACGTGCCGTAAATCTGGCTCGGGAGCTCGTGCTTCTTTTTGCATTTTCCTCAGGGATAGCTGGCAGAGGCGCACGGCAAGCTGATCTTGATCCTCTGTTGAGTGATGCAGGGTACTTGTTGACGAGTCGTTTCGATAGGGTATTGACTTGGCACTTTTTGGTCGCTTGCGATTGACCGCAGGTGATATGTTTCTGACAATCATTCTTGTGCAATGCATTGTTGAGGTTGAGATGGTTTTGGATGATAATTGACTTCCAGGTTGGGTTATGTGATCGAGACAGTCTGATGTGGGCGGGGCCCGGCAGTTGCTTGAATTTATTTGACGGCGTGCAAGCAGACTTTAATCCGGATGAAATCAGAATGACCATGCAACAGGCTGTCAATTTGCGGCCTACTCGCAGGTCATCAGTCATGCCACTTTTCAACCTGCAACCTTAGTGACCACAGAGTACCTCCAGAGGCCCGACAAATTATCGAAACGCTCTGCTGGGTGACTTCGTCGGCGCTTGCCGCTGATCACACCACCCCCGGATCTTCCCGCGTGAAACCAGACATGTTCGGGTTCGTAAAGGTTCCTACATTTGGACGCGATCTCCCTCCAATAATCGGGTACCTTGCTGGTACCTCGTCATGGAGGCTTGCGTCTGCTGTTCTTCGAGCAATTTTTGCGCCAGCTTTCTGTCGGCCCATGAACGGGTCGCGTGACGAGACTGCCTTTCGTTTCGTCAACACATGCAGTGGTCTGGCTCGAGTTACCGACTTAGAGCTGGTGAGCCGAAACCGAGAGAATCCCACCACTAGAGCTGAAGTCTCTGACGGTGGCCTTGATGTTGGCCTGATTCCGAATGAGGCCATCAGTCGAGGACTTTGGGCTATCATCGAATGAATACTTGCGACTTGTCGCCAGTGATCATGCTCCCGGTCCGGGTCTGTCAGTGGAAGCCAGCAAGTACACGTTGCTTAGCCCCGATCGATTATGGCAGATGGAGAGTAAGTTATCAAGTTTTGCGATGGGTCTCCATCTGCAGCTTGGTCTAAGTCCAGTAGCTCCACGGTATGAACTTGACGCTCAGAGCAACTCGAATATTCCTCATCCGCATGAGCTAATATTAGAGATAATTAACAGTGAAGCTGCTGTTTACTATCCTTCTTATCGCGATACGGCCAGATTTCCAGCGCACAAGTGCGATCTGGAAACAGCATTCAAGAAGATTCGACCTTCTCTGGACCGGCAGCTTAACGGCAGTTCTTCTCGAAGCGAGGTGGCCGGCTGCGCCCAGGAACGCCAGTGACGTCACTGTCCGATCGGCTGTCTCGGCAGCGATCGGCCGAGCTTGACAGCTGGCCACCTCCTGCGATTGTTGCAGCATTGGATGATTTGTCTCCTGTTCCTGTTCAGACGTCTCAGATTGAAGCTTCAGAAGTTCAGATACCCAGCTTTGGATATTCAAGTCTGTTTGCCATCAGCCTTCCCACGCCGTGTCTGCTATCATGCCTTGGTCCTTTGCCTTGCCCCAGGCGATCTTCGCGTCGCCGCTTCTTGCGGTCGCAACGCCTATTGGCGTCGGAATGACTTCCGCGCTTCTCACGAGTCGTACGTCAATCCACTGCTTTGTAACACGGAGCCCTTTCACCTGCTTTGATGGACAATGAGGGTGTCCCCTAAGCGCAATTGTCTCCTTCAACGCGATGCACACTCGGATTGCGAAAGACACATCTCCGTCTTTTCAATGGGATTCCACCTGCTGACCATTTCCCCCCTATCTACCTACTAGGCTCCAACACCAAAGACACGTATAAACAACTCCGCCAACCACCCTTCAGCCCCCCCGCCTGGCTGTTCGGACCAGCCTGGACTGTCCTCTACGGTCTGATGGGTTATGCCTCTCACCACTCAACCGCTGTTGCCTCGCACTCTATTCTGCCTGGTCTCCGTGAAGCCAACCAGACTGCCCAAGTACTGTACACGTCACAACTGGCGCTCAACTTCCTCTGGACTCCACTCTTCTTTGGACTGGGCCGGCCAGCCAGCGCTTTGGCCGATATGGCTCTGCTGATTGGCAATGTCTCTCTTCTCATGGCCAACTGGTGGGATAGTGACCGCACGGCCTTTTGGCTAATGACGCCGTACCTGGGCTGGTTGAGCTATGCCTTCTATCTCAATGCTGGAGTGGGATATCTCAACAACTGGACTCTGTACCCCAAGTCACACTCTGAATAAGACAGGAGCCTCCACGTCACACCGAGGACGATACTTGGCCGAGGGTAGAAAGAAGAGATTATCTCCTGTCATGCTATGGCAAGTTAATATAGTCACTGATGTAATGACGTGTTCTGAAACTCGGCAAGAACCCCACGTGGTCCTATGTATATCTACTCTATCCCTATTCTCACATCCCAACCCATTCATCACCGTATTGGAGTGTAGACTGTAGACACTGCACCTATCGGGATCCGTCGTGTAGCTGAGCAAAGGGCCTGGCCGTCTCCCAAAAAATGTCGGTGTTTGGTCCGAGAAGTGGGTTCCTCATAGCGGGGGGGGGGGGGGGGGGGTATTTTTTTCTGAATGATCAGCTGAACCATTTCAGGTCCCACTTTCCAGACGTGCCGGGGGAAAGGTTAGAGTCTGGCCATTTGACCCGCAGGAGAAGTGCTGTGGGTGTCAATCCGTCTATATACATTATGAGGTCGAAGTTCATATTGCTAGTCGCCAGTCGCCAGTCGCCAAGCCTATGATCTGGTGTCAGCCCGTGTGTGAAACGAGCAGCCTTTGAGCGTGACATAATTCGTCATATGCAAGTAGGAAGCAATCATCCAAGCCCCGTATCACGAGAAAAGCAGTCGGATATTTCGGCGGTGTGATGGAGAGCTTGATTTCCTTTTCACGATCAACAAGAGCCTCCCATCTCAGCTCACTATTTCTCTTTAGGCAGCACTCGCAGGGGCATTATCTCACACGTGCAAAAGAGCCCCTATCACAGGTGAGTATCAAAGAATGAGAGGCTTTTATTACGGCTTTTTATTGTTTTTCGGTGGTGTGGTTCTCCACTCAGCAGAAACGGGTAGGTGGCATGCAGCCGGCTGCGGCCCACTTTCTTTTTTTTTTTCTCACTCATCGCCGCCACTACACAAAGCACGTTAACTGTACTTTGTTGTCACCTTTTTGCCTCTCATCCACCGTCGTTGACTACAGCACAGCGTTTCTGTTCAGCATATGATACACTATCTTCAGTGGACAGCCATATGCAGAGACTTTCTCATCATCATTGGTTCTGCATGGCCACGCAACAACCTGTCATGCATGTATATCGCTATCCCACTCCCACCGATTATTCCGAGCTGGTTGATTGGATACCGACCACACTGTACTCGCCGATCAAACAGACCTGACAGCCGGAAGGGAGATGCTATTTCCACACGCACCCATCATCCAGGTATCCCAGGTAGGGTATGAGCCGAGAATCATTCCAGAATCCCAGATAAGGGTCGCGAGAGAGACATTGGGAGTGTGACCCACGATTGGGCATCAGACAGACCGGACGTGCTGCTAGCCTGCTACTATCTCGACTAAGTGGCTACTCCCGCAGCCATGTCGTGCAGAGTCAAGAGGCCGAGTCCGCACAGAATAGGCAGCTTAGCCGGGGCTAGATGCACCCTTGACCGGGTCTCGGTTATCAAGCTCCTAGACTCTTCGACCCAGGTCGGGCCGACTTGGCCTAAGGTGTAGTGGTGTATGTACTCAGTACTGCGCCTCAGACACCTACGATCCTTCGATCCTGTTGGAATTCATCGAGCTGGGAATCAGGAACCACCGGATGTCAGAAAAGGTCAAAAGAGGTCAACTGCCCATTGAACCCCCCCCGGGAAATAGACTGAAAAATATCATAGACTTAAGCATGTATCCTCGTAGGGGTGATGCAAAATACAAAAAAAGAGCATGACGTGACTGGCCATAGCCCGGTCGTCCACTGTTTTGTTGTAGCGGGTGGATAAATGGCGGCTGGAGCTGGATCGCCACCACCGGAAACCCCACCGAGAATTTTCTTGAGTTTGAGACGGATGAGCAGGGTTGTGGATGGTGGGTGCACAGATCACTCAAATGAAAATCCCGACCCGAACAACGATACTCAGGTTTCTCTTGTGAATCTAGAACAACACACCTTGTGTCGACGTGGATGATACTAGCCGTTGTGTAAGGGCTTGGGGACTTGCCATTTCGAGTAGTATCAAAATAAGCGCAAGTCATGTGAAAACTACTCTCGTGTCGACCTCGTTGAAGGTAAGGTAGCATCATGTCTGTTGTACAACCCCCTGCACGAGTGCTCAGTGAGTTTACACAATCAAAAGAACTATTACAGACTCTACCAGCGACAGTGGCTCATACATGATTGAACAAATGCCGCAGCCACCAGGCACGCAATAATATTGATAGGGAAGACTAGAGAGGAGAAGAAAAATTTTCAAGGGCTAGCGCACGCCGTTTCCTGCATGGCGACACTTAGCTTCGGAACATTCGCACATGGCGCTTTGTATAGCCACGAACATGCAACATGATGTGCAGTTGGTCCGGCTCATCCACGCTCAGGCCGCTCAAAATGAATGGTGATGGAAGAGTCTGATTCATGTCATATCGAGACTTCTCACAGACCTGTCTTCGGTCGTCCGAGGCCATATGGTGAAGAACCGGTATTGCCTGTCTCATAGTTGCGAATCTATAGCTACATTCCTTTTTGGGACTTTGACTATGTATCCACTGTGGAACGTCTCCATGAGGCTGCAGTGAGTACATTTCACGATCAATGACAATTGGAACAACACATACCTTAATAAGTGAAAGAGGGAGGAATGGCCACAAACGAGCGGTCCTTGTTTTATCATTACGAAGCAGAGGCCGCCGATGTGGATCTCCAGACGATCCGTGGTTTATCAATGGGTCAAGGATAAGCCGATCTTTGTGAGCCATTATGAGCCAACCAAACGAGCATCCAGACGCCAATCGATTGACCATTTTTTCTGTGAGTCTTCTCCAGAACAGAGGTTTCCGTGGGTTTTGCCTCGCCATGCTGCCTCCCTCCAAGTCTATATCAGCACGGGCCTCGGCGGAACAGGCCTGGAATGTGTCATAGCCAGCGACGGCTGCTCAATCCGTGTGCAGTCTCCCAAGGTTTATTTTATATTATTGTTATTCTCACAACCACTTTTGTTTGGCTCTATTTCTCAGTTCCCATGTTTACTCGATCCCATATCCCATACATCCCTTAAACTAGTCGAAGGCTTAGGGGAAAACCACCTTCTTCTTCCTTAACCTCGGAATTCTTTCTCCTCCTTTCTCAACTCTTACACACTTCTCATCCCCCTCACTCCTCCCTTTTGTGATTGCACACCCGCAATACTCTGCATTCACGGCTCTTTCAACATTCCAACCTCATCGATTTTGCGGAGCGACTCAGGTTCTCGCCGTAGTGCCTGTTTGGGCCTTTCGGCTCTCGAGTACCGCTGAAATGTCCACTCCGATCAACACGCCGCTTCCCAGCCCGAATGAAGAATACGATGAATTTCCTCTACTCCCAGAGGACTTGACTATTCCACTGCCATCTCCTGTTCTCCCTGTTACCGGTCATGCGGTGGTCCCCGATCTCTTTCAGTCGGAGACAAGGCATGCCGATCCTGTCGCGGCGTTCTCAGCAGAGCCCGAAAACGGACCGACTCCCGTGACCGACCCCGTCTCCCAACCACTTGCCACACCCGAAACCGAACAACCTCGGACCCGCTCACCACGCGTGCGCTTCCACTCCATCACCCGCTCCCTCAGCGACCGATATCATCACATCCAGGATGGCAATAATCGACTTTTCTCTGGCCGGTCGGATTCTGCCCAGCATCCATTGCTGCCACCGCCCACTGACCTGGCTGATGATAACTTGTCGGGATTCGTGACCCCGCCGGCCCCGGCATATTCCCGCCCTGCAGGTCATGCGGGCGGCCGTGCCCCGTCGACGGAGTATTTCTCCACTGATCCAGAGAAGTATGCCCACCATGACCATGGAGATGACGAGCATACGAATCCTGCGCGTGAGCGCCTCCGAGCTGCTGGTCAGCTCATTCGACAGAAGACCACCCATTTGACCCAACGTCTTCGTCGTCCATCAAATGAGGGTGAGGCTCTACATGCCTCGATCTTGCCAGAGGATATGGGAATCCCCCTGGAGGAGGTTCAAGCTCGACGCGCCCGGCGTCAAGCGGATCGGTTACGCATGTTAGAGGAGGCAGGCGAAGAATCTCTTGAGCCTCCTCCAAGTGCAGAAGCCCATCGCCTGGTGCGCAGTATGACCCAGGTGCAAGACCAGCTGGCTCTGCGCAAGCGCCGGCCGCGCCCTGCCTACCAGCGATCCGGACAGACCACCCCCGAGGGTGCGCTGAGGGGCTTTGCGGCACGTCGTCGTTCCAGCGGAGGCTTCGGTGGTGGTGGTATTCTGGCACAGTTGTTGAAGCTACAGGCTACGCAGTCAGCCTCCTCACGACCGGAGAGCGTCATCACCGACGACTCGGACAGTGATGCACCCCTCTCATCTGGCGCGACCACCCCCAAGAAAATCAGCTCCCAGTCTCCCTCCATGCCATTGTCTTTGCCAGCTTCGGGCGCAGCAACCCCGCGCAAGGAGAAGCTCAAGTGGTACAAGAAGTCTCCTCATCGATCCACTGCGTCCTTGGTCGACGCATCAATCAATTTGAGCCGCGCGAGTCTTCCAGCCGGTGCCGCCGAGTCTCTCCACACAAACAAGCGGACTCGGAGGAACAAACGCCGCACGCGTCTCGAGGATGAGATTCGCGTCACCGTCCATATCGCCGAAATCCTTGCCCGACAACGGTACATTATGCAACTGTGCCGGGCGCTGATGCGCTATGGGGCGCCGACCCATCGCTTGGAGGAGCACATGTCAATGACGGCACGGGTCTTGGAGGTTTCGGGTCAGTTCCTGTACTTGCCCGGTTGCATGATCATGTCCTTTGACGATCCCACCACGCGCACGGCCGAGGTCAAGTTGGTGCGCATGGCTCAGGGAATTGATTTGGGTCGGCTGGCCGATACACACAACGTCTACAAAAATGTGGTGCATGACCTGATCGGGGTCGAAGAGGCCACTCAAGAGTTGGATGAGATCATGTCTCGCAAGCCGCGCTTCAACAAGTGGATCCTCGTTCTCATGTATGGCTTTGCAAGTGCCACCGTCGGTCCGTTCGCTTTTGGTGCGCGACCTATTGATATGCCTATGATTTTCTGTCTGGGCTGTATTGTGGGTCTGATGCAGCACGTCTTCGCCCCCCGCTCGGCTCTTTACTCCAACGTCTTCGAGGTCACCGCCGCCGTTTTGACGTCCTTCCTGGCCCGAGCCTTGGGAAGCATCACGATCACGCATAATGGTACGACACAGCAACTCTTTTGCTTCTCGGCGCTAGCTCAGTCCTCTATTGCACTGATTCTACCTGGGTTCATGGTCCTTTGCAGCAGTCTGGAACTGCAATCTCACCAAATGATCGCTGGATCCATCCGAATGGTCTACGCAATCATCTACTCCCTCTTCCTCGGCTATGGAATCACTGTCGGGACAACCATCTACGGTCTAATTGATCGGAACGCCACCTCTGCAACAAGCTGTGCCAATCTTGAAATCTACGGCTCTTCGTACGCTCGTCAGTTCCCCTTTGTGGCTATCTACGCCGTCTTCCTCGCCATCGTCAACCACGGCAAATGGAAGCAGATGCCAGTCCAGGTCCTTATTGCCATCTCGGGCTATGTGACCAACTACTTCAGCACAACCAAGTTTGGCACGCAGTCCGAGGTGGGTAATACCGTGGGCGCGTTCACCATCGGCGTCTTGGGAAATCTGTACAGCCGGATTTGGCACGGGCAAGCCGCCACTGCCATCCTCCCGGGTATCTTCGTCTTGGTGCCATCTGGCCTGGCCTCGAGTGGTTCCCTCATCTCCGGCATTCAATATGCCGATTCGGTGCGGTACAACCTCGAGACTCACGGTAACAGCACCTCCACCAGCAGCATGACGGCTACCTCGGTCGCGAGTCTTGGCTTTGGTATGATCCAGGTCGCTATCGGTATCACCGTGGGCCTGTTCATTGCCGCACTGGTGGTGTATCCGTACGGCAAGAAGCGAACGGGGCTGTTCAGCTTCTAGCCCGGGAGGTTGGTCGATCTGATGTCTCGGGAGAGGTGCTTGATGCACTGACTTTCCCTGAGCGTATTATTTCTTAATTCTTTTTTCCTTTCACCTCACATTTCTACAGCGTCTCATGGATAGGTTCATCTTAGCATGCATGATTTCTCTCTCATTTCTATCTCATCTCCTCCTGACTTTGACGTTGTCCAGCGTTTGTTATCGGTTTCATTTTCATTCAACTGTCGTGGTCTTCCACGATATTGCATTTATATTCGAGGAAAAGCGATCATTCAATACACGGAGCCTAGACATTATGTTATGGCCAAACGCGCGGAAGCTTGTCACTGACTATCATCATACATATGCTTAATAATCAGTTCATTTTGATTACTGTCGATGACAACGACCTGTACACATCCCTCGTCTCCTTTAATTCCCTCGCGATTTACTCTGGCGTTCCACGTCTTTTTTTCACCCGGCATCTCGCCATATGTGTTCTTTTCCTCTAGCTTCATGGTCAACCAACCTGTCGTGGGGATTTTGATGCTGTATGATAACCGCTGTATGATAATCTCTCAGCTTTCCTCCTATTTGTTAGGCCAAGGGAACGGAGAATACTTCCCGTTTGCAAAGTGGCTGTCTCCAACAAATCTCATATTGGGGTAAAATAAGCCCGGCCTTGTGTTGCCGGGTTTTTGGGAGGCCTTAGCGTTCTTGATCGCCTATCCTCGGCGTAACCCACTTTTTGATTGGGATCCCGAAATTTTGCAGATTGCAGACGAGATTTTGTAGCAAAACATTGAGGATTTGGGTGGCCAGGTAAGTATCGTTCCTGTCATTCATCGAATAGACCGCGTTTCCAGCGCTGATTTATATTCTGCCAGCGCGAGTTGGACCACTTGCACCTGTTTAGCCCTCACTGAGTGAAGGCACCAAGCCCCTTCGATTACCGGCTGACAACCGGAGAGAATTAGCTACACGACTTCTCCTTGATCTGGGATCATGTTGACGCACCTCACGACGGACTACGTCGTCACCGACCGGGCAGGTGTGATTGAAAACCGGCACGCCGTCCACGCAGCCATTGTCGACGCCAACGGCCAAGCATTATATGCCGTTGGTGATCCCTCAAGGATAACCCTCGCTCGATCCGCAGCCAAACCAGCCCAAGCAGCTGCCATTCTTGAATCCGGTGCCTTTGAGAAATTTGATCTCGACGATGCGGATCTGGCTCTGATGTGTGCATCGCACAGCAGTGAAGAACGCCACGTCTTACAGGCTCGTCGCATTCTTTCCAAAATCCAATGCAGCGAAACTGACCTGCAGTGTGGTGGTCATCCATCCATTTCGGATTCCGTCAACCGCGCCTGGATCAAAGCGGATTTCACTCCTTCCGCAATCTACAGTAACTGTTCCGGTAAACATGCGGGAATGCTCGCTGCGACCAAGGCTCTCGGCGCTGATATACAGAGCTATCACTCGCCAACGAGTCCAATCCAAGAGAGGATCAAAGACATGGTCGACGAGCTTTGCCAGTTGCCGAGAGGAAGCTCGCTATGGGGCATCGATGGGTGCAACTTGCCTGCGCCTGCCTTCCCCTTACATCGCTTGGCGCACATGTACGCTGCTTTTGCCGAGGCAGCCGGTCAAGTCGAGGCGAGCGCTTCTGCGTTGGATTCGCGCACGCGGGCGCTCAGCCGCGTGTTCAACGCCATGTCTTCATACCCAGAGTTTGTGGGCGGAGAGGATCGCTATTGCACTGTCCTCATGCGCGCGTTTCCGGGGATTCTGATCGGAAAGCTTGGAGCTGATGGTTGTTATGGAATCGGTCTCAAATCGTCGTCTTTGGCGAGCGAATCATCTGGTCCATCGGCTGTCGGGATCGCTGTGAAGATTGAGGACGGCAACATTCCAATGTTGTATGCTGCGGTCACAGAGATTTTGTTCCGTCTTGAGGTTGGGCATTTAGAGATGCGAGAACAGTTGGCTCGGTTTCATCGTCCACTAATTAAAAACACCGTTGGAGTTGTGACTGGAGAAACGACGCATATGTTTAAGCTTCGCAAGATCGGCGAGGAAGATGTTGCGTGGTCTCGATGAGATAGAGCTATTTTCTCTCTGGGGTATAGTTTTGTGCTGAGAATTCTTCCTTGTCTGTCTTTGCACAACGACCTAGAAGCATAGTAAGAATATGAGTGCTCCAACAGACCGTGGCATCTTAAGTACCTAGAGATGCCGTACATTAAGAAGACTGTTAGTCTGCAATCTCCCGGTCTATTCTCAAACATAGGTAGACAATGGCTTTTGTGTGCATGTCTCGATACTGTCAAACACCGAGCGCAATTGCCACGCATCAGTGACGGTCACAGCGTTGTTTGAATCAAAATTCACACCGTAGGTAGAGGCTATTCCGTATTGTTTGGTGTACGGTGGAACCCTGAGTGCGGTATATCGTGCCTTAAAAGGTCTAGTCTTGAAGGTCGCTTCCGGCCCTGGTGAGTGGCAATGAATAGTCAGATTTCAAGAGTCAGTGTCAATTTCAATGTTGACCCCGTCTTTCGGACAACCGGGCCAAGTCGTATCCGAAACCGCGAAATATCAATATAGCTACTCATTCGTGATACATGAGGTAGCATCTTTTTTCTCTGGATATCCGCATCTGCCGCTGTTGTGAACTTGCGACCCGCAGAGTATACTTATCGGGGTCTTGTGCTAGAGCCTTGGTTTTTATCGCTTTTACCTTTCGAGGCACCAGTTGTTCCATCTCATCTTTTTCCTTTTTATCTATTAGGCAAGGTCTCTCTGTCTTCACTCCGCCGGGTTTCTCTGTCGGTCCGAAAAAGCGTGAATCGATCTTCTGCCATTAGACTGTATCAAAGGCCAAGATATGCAACACCGACTGCATACATTATCCAGAAACTCCCATTCTCCCAGCTTTGGCCCATAAGGTCAGAGAGCCGCTGGTCGTCTTTCATACGACCCTGTTGGATCGCTATGTCTTCACAGTTCTTCATCATCTTGAGGAACGTCTTGATGGGTTGATCACACACTCTTGTCCAGTCCTTAATAGTCTTTAACCAGTATTCAGGTTTCCTTATGAGCAGCTTCCAAGAGAGCGCATGAGAAAATTCCGTAGGTGCCGCGTGGGTGAACTCCCAATCCACGACAAGGACAACTTGTATATTCTCGTTAAGTAGTATATTAGCCGGGCACTCCTGTGTTGTGGATGGGGACGAAGTCTGCAATTGGCCGCATTGTCGCAAGATGTCAGCTTCAAGGAGTTGAACTAGCCAGTTGTCGGATCTTTCTTCAGCTTGTTCTCAGGCTACTTCATGACGGCATAGCCGACTTTGCATAATTGTGTCGTAGTATAGAAGAAATAATGTACCGCAAGTTTCGGCGAAACAGAAGATTGTATTCGAGAGAGATAGACTTGACTCTACCGCTAGTATAGTACGCGGTGACTACGTGACCAAACTCGTGGAAAGCGATGATAAGCATCTGCGTGGTGTATTAGGTCCCTATATTCTTTTGTTTATCTCGGACTACATCGGTGACTGAAAAGGGGACGAGTGTCTCGCTATACCTTGAAGGGCTAAAGTAAATATCATACGTATAGAATGTTCTAAAGTAGCGCAATCACTATTACGTAGGCACTGATCACCCCGAAAGTGACTGCTTACGTATGGTTAATGGTCAAGTTGCGTTTTATTAGGTACGAGCTTATATCGGCCGAGCGGCTTTCGATGGCTATATAGAGGGCGGGCATTATAGGTAGATACTTAATACGGAAAGACGACCAGCGCTACTTTGAAATATAAGGTTAAAGGTCGTGAGTGGTTAATCTTCCAGCGGTCGTACAGTCGTACTACTACCTGCTCCTCCGGTCGGACCTTCTCAGCACGGACGACGTATACTTATACCAAGGAAGATGAAAGGTTAGTTTGCGTATTGGTTTATATTAATCTCTCCGAAAATTCCAGCGAGAAGATGAAAATAATACAAAAGTCAAGGCTTGGTCGACTATATCAAAACTACTCCGTCAAAGCAGAGCACTGACGTTCCGAGGTGCCCAGGTTTGCAAGCGTGCTTGGCGGACACACCTGATCAACCCTTTGACTGGACAACTTTTGAGGCACGGGACGCAAAGGTCGCTGCAGTGTTTGTTTATTGACGCTCGTCGCTTGACGGTGGCTGACGACTGCCGCAGTGGCTGGGCGCGCCTATTTTTTTGTGTAGGTAGGGCTGCGCTGAGTGGAGCATCCCCATCAATCTGGCGCTTCTCCCGTCCGGCCAGGTGAGTGTTTGACGTGGACATTGTCCACCGCGCGTCGAGACGTATGTCATCATGTATGAGCCTGGGAGAGGCGTGTTTATGATAGGTAGATGCAGATCATACTATTACCCTGGATCAGGCATTTGTCTTTTTAAAGCAGTATTGCCCTAAACTACTTAACAACCTGCGATGTGGCGGGAAAGGGAGACGAGCATACGATGTTCGGATGTTGTGATTGAGTCAATTGACACCGAGGCAGTTCCTCACGCACTATCTTGTATCGCTTCGTGTACACAAGAGGCAAGATTTCCAGCTTTACCGAGTGAAATGTCTATACTTTCCATTCTCCTTCGCTCGATGCTAAAACTGCCAGGTTATTCGACACAGCATCGTACTCTCGTCTACGGGACATACCGCGGTTGGCGCTTTGTGGAGTGGTGCGCTCATCAGAAGCAAACTGTGATGACCATCCATGAAAGTCGCAGCACCTCTTTTATACCAGCGCCAGTGTAAAACACGGATGTCGGTGTCTTAGGATCCATGGAACTACATCATCGGGTTTGTCGCAAATGCTGGGCAGGAAGAGCAATGTAATAATGAACTGTAGTAACCTCAACAGTACTCAAAAGCAATGTAACAATGAACTGCAGTAACCTCAATAGTACTTAAAAGCAATGTAAAAATGAACTGCAGTAATCTCAACAGTACTTAAAAGCAATGTAACGATGAACTGCAGTAACCTCAACAGTACTTAAAAGCAATATAACAATGAACTGTAGTAACCTCAACAGTACTCAAAAGCAATGTAAAAATGAACTGCAGTAATCTCAACAGTACTTAAAAGCAATGTAACGATGAACTGCAGTAACCTCAACAGTACTTAAAAGCAATATAACAATGAACTGTAGTAACCTCAACAGTACTCAAAAGCAATGTAATGATGAATCGCAGCAATACCGACACGATTCAAGGTGTCTTTAGTAGGCAGGACTCAAGACAATATCTTGACCAAATTTCCTTTTCACCCCCCTCCTCGAGGTCGTCCATGGACATCGCCAGACCAGCATTTCCCTCAATCTCGTGGTCGGGTCCCGCCCAACGTGTGACATTTCCGTAGTAAAGCCCGCAGATGGTCCCGAATTCATCGAGGACCACAGACCCAGAATCCCCAGGATCGCCAAACTTAATTGACATGGGCGAAGTTTCATCGGTCTGTGCGATGATCAAATGTTCCTCAGTATCGCTTTGGTCCATAGCAACTTGGGCGCCCGATAGATCGTATTGGATGTTGTCATTCCCAGCCCAATTTAAACAGACATGGACACCATTGGCGATTCCTGATTTCACCGAAGACCGCCCAATACGAGTGTACCACTTCCCCGGAACGATTTTGCTGAACCGTTTTTCCGGGAAGCTGTTCCGGTTTGCGTCTCTATCGATAACTGCGAGGTTCAGGCGAGGGGTAGGTGACCCCTTGTCTATCAAACGCCAGATTTCACCCATGTCAATTGTCGGTGCCATCGAAGCGAGAGACTCTTCCCCCAGTTCGATCAGGGCCCAGTCTTGTACGCGGCCACCCCAGACTCCTTGACCGCTTGAGCAGAGAACGTTACCCAAGGGTCGCGGTAATTGCGAGAGAAAGTCACGCTGCTCGGTAAGGCGTGCATGGTCGTCTTTCGCAATCTCCAACCTGTATTGGATGCTCTGGGCTACCTCTCCGTGCTTCAGCTCGGCCCCGAGCGCCGTTTCCTCCAAGTTCTCGAGCTCCACAATAGCTTCTGCCAAGTCTGCATCAACGAGGCGGCGAGTCGCTGCAACATCCATGGAGGCAAAGAATTCCATGCGGGAGCTCAACTTGTCGAAGTTGGAAATCGGCACACCGAACTGGTTTGCGCGTCTGTCGACGTCGTTCTTTGAGACTGTGGGTTGCACAACGTGGTGGTTAGTGATACCACACTTGTAGGTCTGGCCGTTATGGGTAACCATCACCAATGCCCCCATTGTGCCTGCTCTTGTTTGGCCTGACTCGCCAATCGATAAGCCAAGGTGAGAAAGCCCGTCAGTCCCACACGACCGGAACTGGGAACGCCCATCAGCCGTGTATTCGTCTTGCGACGAAGTGGAGCGCTCTGGGGATGAATCGAAGCGCCCCGGGATAAAGTCAACCTTGATAGAAAGGCCGGACGGACTGTTCTCAGAGATCAATGAGCGAACCCAGTTCACTAGGTCAAACCAGCTATGGGAACTCTGCTGGTTGACGGTGATGATGATGCTCGGCGAGGCAGTGAGCCGCTCTCGACCGAGAAGAACGAGGGTGAGGGATGTCCAGTCGAAAGGAATCTCCGTGCGGAGCCGCTGCAGCAGCCGGGGTTTGATTTTTTTGTAAACGTCGACGGCCGGGTGGGATGGTGAGATAGCGAACCAACCCGGCTGGTAACAGTAGTCGACATTGACAACCTCGACATCGGCTGAAATTTCTTTGGCGACAAGGAACCGTTTTAGATGGTCCCGTAATGGCGCGAGACTTGGACATCGGCCTCGAACTTCAACCATGACAGTCGGGCGGGGGGATGGCCTCCCAGGTAGCCAGGCTTTGACACGTTGACGGGAAACAGGTCACGATTGTCATTGAAGCCTTCCTTGGCCAAGATCTCTTTGAAGGCGTCCCGGTTTGCCCAAAACTGGTCTCGCAAGACGCCGGGGGCAGATTCCCGCTTTAGCGGGAACGGCAAGGGAAAGGGTGCCGTAGTGGCTCGGTGCGCGTCGATACTGTAGAGGTAATCCTCAATTTTCAGTGTATCCGCGAGCCCTCCGTCGGTGAAACGCCGTTTCTTGCGTGGCGACGTTTCGCCCGCGATGGAGCCAGAATTCGAGCCCGACGACATTGAAGTTGGAGGCGTAGGGTAGGCTAACTGGGGGAACGACCACAGGCTGGGTTGCCTTGGGGATTCTGGGGACTGAGGATTGTCTCCTGGGCTGAGGCCAGCTCACTGTCCTGGGCAAACTGGGGTCAGCGAGCCACGAGCCGGAACTCCGAAAGTAGGAAATGATCTTGAACTGCTCAATCGAGATGGAAGGTTAATACTGGAAGAATCACTTCGATAGACATGTACTCAATCCTAGATTGAGAGCCTTAATCGAGATAATCTCGGTGGATGGACTCAACAACGATGAGCTCAAGATGCTGGGAGGAAAATGAACTACTCACTTGAGTCGAAACCGGTCTCTGATGAATTTCAGGTAGGTCCTCAATCAAGACAGTCGACGGCGATGGCTGAAGGAGAAGAGGCACAGTGGTCCGAGAAAGAGGAAATTGCCAACCGTTGGGAAGAAGACTGTGTTTGATTGCTATACTTCGCTGTCGCTCCGATTCCCGAATAGGGAAAGCACGTAACCCGCCGTCATGCGATCAAGTCCGAGTCCCAACTAGGGAAAGGGTACAGAGCCGTTCCGCTGTTGCGATACTCCTACTTCCCAATTAGGCATAGGACTTGACATTTTCGGCAGATCGACGAACCGTGATCCCGCTGGATCACTACAGTGCGTTATGGATTGAATATACTTGAAAATCTCCATGGTCACGGCTACATTATGGCATTCGACCTTGCCCACATCCGGGCCTACCTTACTCCTGCCATGTCTTGGGTAGGAATCATCATTTTGATACGTGATATGTATACATTGGTAATGATTAGCAACGGCCAGACAATGTACACTGTACAATACTGGCGACTAGACGTACAGGAAATTCCAATCTGGTAACAAGAATCAATCTTAATACCTCTCATAAGCAAAGGCTCAACAAAAACAAAAGAAAAAGCGATGCGGACCCGGCTAGCCTCCCCCACGGCCACGAACCCATGCCCAATCCTGGGCTTCCATCAAAGCCCCTTCTGAGGGCTGTGTTTTTTCCGGAGACAGGGACCGAGCTCCGATCGGCCTAGGATTTTCTTTCGTTGGGCTTCCCTTGTGACTGGTTGGACTGCGACGGATGCGTGGCCGGATTGGCATTGGCCGGGAGGGAAGGACATTCTCGTCAGGATGAGCGACAATTTGGGCTGGCGGCTGTAGCCACGAGAAGTCCCTTCCTCTTGAGAAATCCCATCCGTCGTCTCTATTTTCGGGCTCGGCGCGGACTGGAGGAACTACACTCCGAGAAGGGACTTGGGTCGTCTCATAATCACTCAGGAAGTCATCGTCTTCGTCCTCTGCGGCACCCTGCATAGCCATAATTCGTGACAGATGCCACCGGAGCTCAAGTAGTTCGAAGGACGGGAGAGGAATAATCTTGGGATCCGGCGTGCTCATTTCGAAAATGAAACCGGAGCGGATTACCTCCATTCTTCCCCAGTGGAAGAGTCCTATCTCCCCGTCTTCCTCATTTTCCCTTGGGGTATGGACCCAACCTTGCCGCCGTTCTGGATAGGGATGGGACTGAAGGGGAACACGAGATGTCCGACGGGCATCAGCCATCGGCAACGGTAACCAGTGAAAGGAAACGGTCATGCTAGTCTTGGCTTCATTGATAGAGATGGGACGGAAGGCACAGAGACCGGCGTCCAAATAACAGTGAGCCTGAACACTCAATGTCATAAGGTTGGCTAAAAACTCGGTATTCAGAGCATCGTCCTCGCCTTGGATAAGCTGTTGCTTCCATGAGCGGGTCCTCTCTTCGCCCCAAAACGTTTCGAGCCAGGTCCAGATTGGGTCGTCTCTACCTGTTACCCCGTTTAGCTTGAACGGGATAATGTGCGCTATGTGAAGCGTAGGTTGACCTAGTTGGGTGAGGACGCATCGAACCCCATCTCGATCCAATATCTAGAGTGAGTTGAGTATGTTAGTAACTTAACGGTAACTGGGATGTTTCATGTAGCTAGAGTCAGCTCGAATTTACCAGTTTCTTAGACTCGCTGGAGCTTCTTAACGGCCGCGGAGAGGTAGACACTTGCGATGGGACTGGTAACTGTGATCTCGCAGGGCTTCGAGGACTGCGGATCGCGGAAATTCTTGGGGTCGCCTTGGTCGAACAAGCAGTATCTTGTAGATCAAGACGCCGGAGTTTAGCGCTCCCTTGCCGAATCCTGTCTCCTGGCTCGTCTCTGACCACAGCCTTGTTGCCAGCCCCTAGCACGACCACATCATGGTAAGCTCGGGCAAACCACAGAAAAACTCCAGTTAACTCACAAATGCCAGCGTGATCCATCATCGGCACTGTCACGATCAGTTTCAGAAACCGTCTGTATTCCTTCTGTTCAGGCTCCACTGCCCTCCGAAGGATGTCGAGATCGCAAAGCCACATGAGCAACATGCCGGTGCGAGTCACAGTAGTGAAACCGGTATCGAGATTCACCAGGCGGTCGATGAGTTCTTGCCGTTCTGGATCCTCAAACTCCGAGAAGATGGTAAAGGTGTCCATTTCGAAAGAAACTTGGAAGATTTGGTGGGGAGGTTGAGAGTTGAGCGTACGAGAAGGAAGTTTACACAGAATGGGGGAAGGATAAAGACGTAACAGGACCTTGTTCTAAGTGCAGGAGCCGGGTCCCAATTAGGAAATCTGACGTCGGCGCGGTACCGGAACCGAATGGAGACACCACTGAAGATGACCTTACACTAGTAGACCTTGAATTTACCAGAGTCCCCTTATATCTTAGGTAATACGTTCGAGTGCAGAGAGAGTTACGGAGAGAGAGGGGCCGGTACGGGCTTAAGCTACCGCGACGGTTTAGAGGGCATGAGTTTTTAGTGGGGAAGATAGAGAGGATAGAAGAATGGGGAGTATGAGTATTGCAGATAAATAAAGAGAAGAGGAGTAAAAGAGAAGAACAAAATACAGGGTAAGATATTACTAGAGATAAAGCTCTTCTTTCTTGTCCGGAGAAGAGGCCATATTTCCGGGACTCTCAGTCTCAAATTCAACAAAGATTCGACTCATAACCTTAAGATCTCCACCCCAAAAAAACAGCAAATGCCGAGGTGATTCCGCAATCTATTCGGAGAAGTCGGGGTAAAGCATTGCAAGACGCTCCGAAGTCTCGGCATGGGGGGAGATCCGATCGCGGCTTTGTCTCCTCTCGTACCCGATTTGATTATCTGATGATACAGTATGTTGGAAAATGGGTCCACGAGTCCCTCCTGAGTCATGCGTACTTGAGCGAGCCGAACATTTGGGAGTCATAGTATGCTTCCTAGGTTGTCAATCCTGTGGTAGCAGTTATCGTGTTTCTAATCTATCAACCTAAATGCCGTTTTCTATAGTGATGTCTATCTCTCGAACGAATCTCGAGGGTGCAACAAGAACAACAGTAGAGAGACCATAGTCAAAGTCAAATTTTGATCTCGAGTAAAAAGCTTTGATATCCTCGTTTCCACTCCCCATTCTATAGAGTTCCAGTCCCCAGGAGTCTACAATCTGCATTCAACGCAGACCGTACATCCCAGACCTAGGATTGATTCAGAGGTTCCAACCAATGCTTTCTACGCACATGTTTGCCGAGATTATCTTTTCGTCTCTTACCCTGGCGCCCATTCGCGGTGTACTTGCAACCGGAAAAGGGACAGTGGTCCAAGAATTGAGACTCATGCTCTAAGTCCCCATGAACTGAAGCACAATGGCGATGTAGATCTTTGAGCCTAGTAAAGCTTGGCTCGCTGGGGCATTGAGAACATGGCAGACGTTGGGTGCGTGGCGGAGACTCGATGAGATCGCTAGCGACTCCATGGTTTGAAGATTGATTCGAAAAGAAAGCCCATCGATGGAGTCTTCTACCCAGCCCAAGTACTCACATCGGTGGCAGTTGAGTCCCGGCCGCCTCTGTCGAGTTGTCATGTAGAGCGATTGCAGGTATATCAAAGAACAAGGGATCATTCCCAAACCCATCATGTTGACTCCATTCAGGGTGAAAGTATCTTATGATCGCCTGTTGCCTGTCCTGCTGAACCTCCCTGTCCTGCTGAACCTCCCTGTTGGTGCTGAGCGCTTCCATCCTGAAGAGAGATGCCAATTGACCGTGGCTGCGACTCGAACTCACAAAATGAAAAAGACGCACATGGATCAGAGCGATCCGATATCTATAGCCACGCAGGGTCGACGTAGCCGAGCTCAGGAAGCTGTTGATGATAGGGATAAAGTTGTTCGAGATGCTCAGCTCGTGATCGGCGGCTTGAAGATCGGCTTCTGGGGTGTGTCTCGCTTCTGAAAAGAAGAGGGATTGTGTTTTTGTTTCATAGGTGAATCGAGCCGACGGGACTCAGACTTGACAGTCACTCATAGAGGAAGGAAATATTTAGCTTGACAACCCGGCAGTACCACAGGAAATGAAGTTCACGGTACAAATGCTGATTTAACGGAGAGAAAGTCAAAACCAGCAAATACCTCTGGATGTAGACAACAAGGTTCCTCGTCGTCTTGAAAGCTATAGAAACCGAGTCTCAAATCCCTGATGATTCGCTCGGCCTCTCTAACTGTGGTGAGCTGGAATTCTTGAGAGCTCCTGGTGGATAATAGACCTTCCTCCTGTTCGAGTTTGACCGTCCTCCGGGCTTAATATCCTAACAGAAGTTAATGAAGTCAACACAAAGCGATTATACACGACTCAAGGAAGCAATAGCAAAGGAAGAAGGGTAATATTGCCTCATACAGCCGGTACCATAGCCAAAACGCAACTGCCGCCATACAGTATGACGGTACAAGTGCGGCCCGTGGGCGTTACGCTACCGCGCCTTCCATTTTTGGTCGCGGTTGCATCATCCGCTATATGACAACGCCATCTTCCCGAGTCCTAGCTCCGACAGACTCTTCTTCCTTTCTTCTCGTCCATCTTCCCCCATCAAATCAGTTCCTTTCGTTATACGAGATCCTTCTCAAAACCAGCTACAATGACCGACGCAAAGCGTCAGAAACCGGAGCGTCTAGCTCCCTTTAATCGTCTCCCAATTCCGGAAGTCAAGCCTGATTCCCCTCGTCTAGAGGGATTGGGTTATGCGAGGCTTGTGCCAAGTGGGATCTTATGCTCTTCTTCTCCGAGGCCATCGTTGAGTTTGCTTTACTGACAAAGAGAAAAGAAACGGATTCACGAGGATGGGGCCGGCCCGAGTTGGCCGAGTTTCGTGCCCTGCAAACACCACAAGTCGCCCCGGAGGACGAGATCTTTGTTCGTACATTTCATCCAGCCCTGCGAGATTGTGATCGAGTTTTCGTCTCGGATCCACGCTACGGTCCTGAGGTTTGGCTCGTGGTTGGCAACTGTACAGCCAATGTGGTAGCAGGAAGACCTGTCCATCCGATGCCCGGAGACAGAAGCAACCTGAAGCCCCATGGCATCCTGACTCCACGATCCCCATGGAAAGAGGAGTGGCTCTTCCAGACAGACATCAATCCACGCAAATTTCTCTCACATGATCAACTGGATGCCCTTCGAGAGATTTTTCCCAAAGCTGTTGGAGCAAGAGTACACGCTGCGGGATACCTGGTCATGCTTTTTACCTCGTTGTCTGACATTCAGCATATGTACTTGAATGACTGGGTGATGGTGGTCGGTGGCTTGAGAGTGATGTATGACCTTCTCGAGATTGATATTACCTCCGACACAGTTGCCTCTGGAATGCCGGTATCTGGGAGCCCAGATGCTATTCATGGTGACGGCTGCTTAGGGCTCAGGATCAAGCTGCAAGACGGAACAGAGGGAATCACGACGGTCACGCATGGATTCGTCAAGCAGCCAGACCAGTCTCGTATGCTGCCTTTTTTCGACTGGATTTGTAAGAAGAAGGATTCCCTCCGACGACTGCTATCTCTGCCAACCCGTGCAGACACCCCGGCATCTGTGATGTCTAGAGGCTGGCTATCGAACTCACCCATCGGGAAGGAAGTCTGGCTTACTGCGGCCGACAAGCCGACACTGGTATGGTCCTTATTCCACCATCCATAGGCTTCACTAACTCTAATCTTGATCTAGGTTGGTACGATCACTCAAACATTCGACAGTCCTAGCCTAGTGTTTCCTTACCCGACCGGTTACCGACACGATCTCAGCCTAATCACTAGTGAGAAGTTGCCGCACCTCATCAGCCCCCCCGGATACCCAGTTGTGACAGGATGGGCTGAGTACTCTGAAGCACTCTCGGGTCACCACGTCTACTTGGTGAAGCTGAATGCTATCACCCAGAGATGGGTAGTCGCGGATGGTACTATCAATCCCGCTGCCATACGGGACGCCGGTGTAATCGGGACTCATTACATGTGGGATACTGCGTCTCATACGCAATCTGCATCATTATTATGGACAACGGTAGAGCCCACGACGCCAGCTCAGGGTTGGTCGGGCTCTGTTCTGTGCTTGGGAAGTCCAACAGATGCAGCTAGTCGAGCGTTGGTTTTCCAAAACTACCAGATGCACTGCACTTGTGACGTCGATCTCGTCACCGGCGAGAAAATCGAGACCATTGTGAAGGCTGGATTCCTTCTTCCCGAAGCCGTACGCAGCTCGACAATCATGTCGGGCTCAGACGAGTACCGCAACCGAGCTTCGGACAGTTACCCTCGCCGGAGTAGAGAGGGCGCAATGCCTGGCCACCGGGTGTTCACGGCGTAGCGGATGATCTTGCTAATTTATCCTCTGTTCTTTTCTCTGCGTTCCTGTATTTTTAGCTTGATTGCTTTGAGGACGTTTGGAGTACACAAACGTCATGGAGACTACCTAGCGAATTAATGGACAATTCTGTAGTATCTTCAAAGTTTCTTCAGAATCTCTTGGTCGATGATTGAGATTGGTATGCCCGCTCCGCATGGCCGCCAAGGCCGTATGCCGTGAGAAATTATATAAAAGCGAAGTTGACAAAGGCAGTCAAAGAAAATCTGGAATTGCTTGAGCAGTATAGGAAGTTAATGAATCTAACAAATAAGTTGCGATAAATTACGTACGAAATAAACGCTCGATTACTATTTGACTGCAGGATCCTACGAAGGAAAAACCTGAAAGGTGAAAACACTCGACGTTGACTAGAAGAAGAAGAGGAGGAAGAAGGAAGCTAAGCTAGACTATTGAGGTTGGTGGTCCTAGGTGGTGAGAGGGCGTAGTCCAGGCGGTATGGTAGGCCTCACCATCAAACAACGATCACATAGAATATCAGACGGTTATACTACGCGATGCGAATTCTTTCGGGCAATCGCCGGAGCCACAAGGCGAGAACTAAGATCAAAGGTATCAGCTCCCAAGGACTCTCATGCAGAATCGCTTGCGCTCGAGAAGTACAGGCATGTCCCTAACAACGCGTGCTCTGCTGCAATGCAACCTCAGTTGAGGCTGAACAACGTAAGGCGTGCGGAGCCGACCGCATTGCCACACTGCAAGCGCGCAAGGTCATCTGGTTCTCCAACCGCTATATACCTGACTGTTGTCTTGTACAAGAACATCATATAACCAGAGTTTATCTCGTCGCTGGCCTTACTCATGAGGAATCAAGGTGCTGCGTGATATATTCCTCTGCTTGGTCCATCACTCCATGTCAAAAGGTGTGTCTCTACCAATCGAAAGTGAAACCAAGTTGCTCTGGCTCACCCGAACAAAGCAGACAAGGAAGTCCGCGATTTTCCAAATCCTGACAGAATGCTTTCTTCGAAAGAATTTCCCTGCTGGGTGGTCATGATCCAATTCATCACGACTGTCGCCATTTGGCTCTCTGCCATTGACCAAGTCGGAGTTTGCTGCCGTCCTGATTGATGGTGCTCGGTCGCACCAGGGTCAGCCAATTCTCAAGGCCGCACCAAAATTCTTGAACAATGCGACCTATCGCCGTACGCCATCGGACGAATGTTGACTCGCTGTTGGTTCCCTCAACAAGAAACCTCTTAGTGTGCGCGGCCAATTCTGCAACCGTGGCGTATTTGTTATGCCAGCACTTGTCGGTGATATCGTCAATCAGTGGATCACCATTCAGTTTGGGATATTCCATATCCTGCAGCAAGTCCACCACCTTAGGTCCATGCTCCCGAGGATCCTCAGTAAGACGTCGATCACCGTAAACTTCGAAGCCATAGTTTATCAAATTGTATAGGGAACCGAGAGCGAACTGCTCTGTACGAGGACCCACGGAGCTGGGTGTTCCACGTCCTCCTTGGTCAGTCTCGTTGACGTTGAGTATTCGTCCATAGGGTGCCATGCAAGCTTCGAAATCTGTCCCGATCTCCGCCGTACAATCAAAGTCAGACAGCTTCACCCGATCGCGATCAAGAAGGATATTTTCAGGTTGCAGGTCGCCATGAGCGAGGTTGAGCGATTCGAGGAGAGCGACGGCCCGAGCAAGGTCGTTCATCCATTCCCTTCGCAGGGCAAGAAGTTCTAATTTCTCTACTTTGGTAACCATCTTAAGGTAGTATGTTGGTCTCGAATATGATTATGTTGTATTTTAGAAGAAAGGGACACATCTAGTGACGCAATCAGTAAACGGACCTATAACTGCCAGTCAAGATCCCACCTCTCATGGACTCGAGGGTGATGCCATTATCTGAGTAAAAAAAGCACTGCACAACGGATAGACAGGGTGTGTGTTGTGAGAAAATCTCATAGACCTTGAGTTCTTTACGAAATTGACCTCTCTCGAACTCTCCAGACTTTGCGACCTTGACCACAATGCGAGGGTGAACCTCATAGGCGAAGGAGATGCCTCCTGCCCAGATCCAGTGAACATCTGGAAATTGGCGCTGGGCATCCATCGCAATAATACGATGCGAGAAGCAATATCAGAAGAAAGTGATGCTTCGGGGGGCGGTGAGCAAGGAGAAAAAGAGCAAGGGCGCGGAAAGAAAAAGGGAAAGAAGTCGCTCATGCATTTTGATCAGTCCATATCATGTGTGCCTGGCCTATCAGGCTAACAAAATACTGCCTATAATCAAAGCCCAATAGCTTAGAAAAGGACCAGTCTGAAGCTAAGGTGCGCCTAGCAGCTCGCTCTCGGTCTCGAGTCGTACGAAAACCTTCCCACTGATGATGATTATGTATAGAGTAGGTAGTAGACTGATGCATATAAATCATTGAAAATAGACCTCACAAGCAATAATTCTACCCCTTTTTGATCAAGCAATTGAAAATCATTTCGGTGATTGACTCCAAAGTATCGCCTACTACCTAGTACAACATCGGATGTGATTGGTTTCACTGGTTCACGGAGTGAGGCTCCGCTGGGGCCAGGCACAGTCCCTCGTCAATCGAGTGGAGCTCCGTACCGCCGGAGCTTGGCCCGCACGCCTCTCATTTTGTGGCGTCGATTCGTGCGGAGTGGGTCAACCGCCATACCCCAAAAATTGGACGATTTCCGTGACCCATGCTTTCCAGTAAATCTTGAACCCTTTGAAAAGTACCGATGAGGTTACTGATATTCGTCGATATCCTCTACGGAAGGCAAGAGAGAAAGAGGAAGGAAGAGAGCGAATAGGCTGGGCTAGTTAATGTGTGGGGTTGTGGGTCCCTCGGTGGTAGTAGAATGGCCAAATCATCCAAACAGACAGTCGAACCCGCAATTCCACATCCTGCGGATGCGCCCGGGGTCTTACCTGATTTTGACGCGCTGTCACAGCGCCGGCTGGCTAACTAATAAAGTAGAGAAGAAAAATCCTGGAAGTGCCCTTGAGCCATGATGGTAATTTAACACGGGTCACGTGGTCTATCACCTGATTTTGAGCTTGACGATATCACCCTAACCACCAATAAGACGGCAATGATTCTGCCGGAAGTGAGATCTTGGCCGCATTATGGCTTCGCTTCGCTCAGCATAAATCAAACCAGAAGCCCACCACACTCGGACACACTCTCTAATCTTCAACAACCCCTTTCGTTCCATTGAGAAATTTCAAATTGACAACCCACCTATGACTCTGCGGACCTGTACCTTTTCTTGACAATGCAATCAGAGTCTGAGGATCTAGAATGGGGATCCCCATCCATTGTTGTTTGGACGGAGCTCCAAGTGCCTATCGGACTGGAGTCTGATCAACAACGATGGATAGGATACTTTGAACCTTTGGTACATGCCATAGGCCACCATGAGACGGCTTGGGCTCGCCTCCGCGTGAACAAAGATAGGGTTATTCTAGGCACATGTACGTGATAATACCTATCAACAACGAGTAGGGTACTAAGTCTGGACTCTAGGGTGGCAGGGTGGTAGCCCGGCGTATAGAGCATTTCAAAACTCTCCGTCAGCTCAGCTTTTTAGGGAAACTCTTGCTGACGATGGAATTACGTTCTTGACATCTTATGAGACCGCCTTTCGGGGAGGACATTGGTTTGACCTTGTACCCCGATACTTTGTCACCATCTTCTGGGTTTACTTCAAAGCTCCGGTCACGGAAGCACAGAAGCGCGAAGTCGGAAATGGTGATGGTATTCGCCCACCTGCTATCCTCCGCCCCCGACCAAACGAGTTGCTATCACCAAAACCTCCCGTCCAGCTCTGGGCTTTACATAATGAGTATCTACATGGCGAAGAAGTTCACTCGCTACTGTGGCCGCATTTCTGGAGGGATGAGGAGGCATCGCTATTCAGACACGTGAAGTTTTGGACAGGTACAGGCGAGACGTACTTGGAGACCTTTCATCGGTTCCTCCGTGATACCGGCGCGATGGAAGTCAAAGAAGATTACTGTGAATTCAAAAAACTCGTCCCCATATAAGTGCGGCTGCATTTATGGCGACATTCCCGAGTTCCCGGTCGTATGTGCAGGATCTTTGCATCATGTCGAGAACAGGACGCTACGTGGAAGCCAAATCATTGGATGCATGTAAACCTGATCATCGAAACGCAAATATCTCGGACGCGAGCCAAAGCCGTGTGCGAAAAGCGGAAGATTCAACTTATTTATCAGAGTATAAGGCATAGCCTACGCACCATTAGACTTGGTTCATACTTTTGCTCATCCGTGTCGGTTCAATAGGCGTGCGAGCCTTGGAGTTTATTTGTATACGCCTAATCTATGACAAGCTCATATCGAAATTTCCACTGTTATTGATTCATGCTGCTTCGCTATCAAAATAGCTAGCTCTAAATTGAGATCAATTGAGCAACCCCAGTATCGAAACTCCATCTGTTATCAGACGACCCCGACCACTGAGTCTGCAGGAAATACCAATAACCCACAGTGAACCATAAGTATGATTCAGGGTTACGTCGAATAAGGTGCTCGTGGTCTTTGTCGTAGGGCACAGGCACAGCAGTCGGCTGCTTGCCCTGGAGCCAATCTTGAGATTCTGTCCATTGATCTTTGGGGCCGTTAGAAAATGCACGGATAAAAGACAACCTGCGCTCTCTCGTGGAAAACTCACAGCTCAAATCTGGTGTCTGATCATTCCCTAGGACCACATGGTACAGTTCGTGATAAAACGTCCCGGACTGTGGAAGAACATTGGCGAGCGCCATTCTTGCCTTAGGTGCTGTGTTCCCAAGCTTTGCACGTTTGACTGTAGATTTGAAGGATCTGGGGCACAGTGTGAGGGTATTTGGCCTTGTCTGCTCCTGTGACGCCCCAAGGTTTTGCGCCGAGTTGGTGCAATAGGTCTTGCCTTTTTTGTAGCTGTCATCGAAAAGGTATTGAGACATGTCACCCGCCCAGTAAGGTACTTTTCCAGTTCTCTCCCAGTTACCTTCCTTGTTTAGCTCCCAGAGATATTTTCTGTAGGTCTCTATTTGATCAATCGACACTGGTTGGAAAACACCATCTTCGCCGATCGTGTACACGTCATTATTTTCATGATCCCAGGCTATATCAGTGGGTTCCAACTTCACAAGCCATGTGTCGTCACAGTATAGACGTGGGATCTTGTCAGATCCGATGACTTTCTTGCCAGATAGGAAATCTTGAACAACTCTCAAGAACCCTTGCAGGTTGTCAGATTACGGGCGAATGAATGGTCAATGGTTTCGAATTGGAGAATGCGCGGATTGCACTTACTCTTCACAAATTCAATCGATGCGTCATCTACCGCCCTGAAGTATGTGTATAGGTACCGTTTGGCAACGACGGACTCCTTCGCGGAAGAGTCTTTCGCATGTTCAATTGCCTGCAGACCGGCTGCGACCAAAGCTCTGGACTCGAACAAGTAGTTGTCGAGGGCTTGCCGGCGTTGTCTGCACCCGCCGTGTGTATCCGTGTCCTTGATCACGAAGATGGTATCAATCGTAGGGTCAGTGGCAAGTACTGACAATAGAAAAAGACAAAATAGGGCAAGGACGCTCGATAGCATGATGAATTGAGTCAGCGCAACTTCCGCTCAAACGTTGAAATAGGAGCCTGGCAAGTGCGTCCTTTGCAAAGAGTAAAATCTTCACTCTTATAGTTCTATCGGAGAAATCAGCAGGAGTGGACCCTATAATCTACATATTACCTGCTTCATAATTCACGCGAAAAGATAGCAACATTGTCAATTGGTCTCCATAGAGTGTGGTAATCGCATGTGTCCTGGCCCCCTGGGACATTCTGGCCCGCCAAGGTGCTAAAGCAATTGCGGAGGCACCGACGGCACGATGGGTCTCCGAGCAAATTTTTGCCAAAGTTTGGATCCTCAAGTTCACAGCATCGTGTATACTGCTAGGATCTAAGCGAGGTATTTGAACGCTGGTGTTATGAAAATACTAGATCTCCGAGGCAGACTACTGTAAGTGTGCGGTATAATTCGAACTCCTGAAGTAGCAGCACTAGCTACTAGTTAGTAGCTAGTAGCCACTAGCCACTAGCGCCGCAGAATACCCACAAAGCAAACGGATCCGCAATTCTAGGTGGGCAAAGCGCTCTCTTGGTACTCGCCTTCGCTTTGCCATTTTGTGGAATCGCCTGCTCGGCCTATTGCCTGTAGTAGTGGTCCCAACATGTTGAGTGCACGAAGCACAAGCCACCGGACGCACTACCTATCTGGAGTGTAGATGCAGGTGGGGGCGCACTTGTAAAATAAAGATGCCTGTAAGAAAGTGTTTCAGACACTACTTGACAACGCTTTGACATTGAGGATTAACTGTAGTGGAGCTCATTAATAGGTATTAGGTGATAGTGTACTGGGATTTGGCACCCCTGAGAAACATAAAAATTGTCTGAATCAATAAGGGGGCAATCCTACTACGTACACAGGTACACCGTTTAACCTAAGTCATGTCACGTGTTCGCCACAGCGGCTGACAATGGCTTGACGCTCGTCCATGTACAGTAGTTCCCGGCAGGTTTGCCTATGCTGCTTGACTCGATCTTCAGCGTCCCTTGGAATAAGACTTTTATCTAATATCATGACGTGATCTATATCACGTCCCAAAACAACCATCCGATTCTGCTTTCATATTGTCGCCGCCTCAGATTCTTTGGCCGCTGAAATTTTCTTGGGTATACGCCGGGTACATTTCCGAGGAGTCGTGTTTTAAATGAAGACTCCACCACTAGTGTGCAACTACTGTACACTTGTACAGTGGTCACATCTGACAACCCAAGGGCCTCCACTCAAGACAGCCCGAATTTTCCGATGTCCGTTGACTAGAAAAGCTAAGCTCTAATTTGGTGTATACTTTGTGTCGTAAATACGCACGAGATTCATCCTTTATAGTATTCTACAGTACCAAGTATTAACAACGTCAAGTGGTGCTCGAAAGCCCCAGCTATAGGAAGTTCTAGTAGCCACTAGCCAGTCATAAAGATATGGTTTATCCGGCTCTGTTGAGTAAATTGTTGAGGCATGGGAGCGGAGATATACGATAGGTCAACCAGATTTGATAGTACAAATGGTACGTAACACGTAGTACGTACAATATTGAACGCTGTCCCATTTGTTCCTTTGCAACGTACGCGGAGCTGGAAATGAGCTAAAACAGTAGTGGTCCTAGAAATTATTCCTTAAGTCCAACGAGCTTTTCTGTTCTTACCATCAATTCTTTCGCACAGGTAGACAATCTTTACTTCATGGCATACCTCCATTCACTTCTGCTTATCACTACCCTGGCTGTCCGAGGCAGCCAGGCTGCATCCGACTGCCCAGACTCTGTTCAAAACAAGACAATTGCCTACTTCAACAGTGCTCCTATGACTTTTAGTTATGAACTCGCAACTGCTTCGGACTGCCAGAAATGGTGCGAGAAACTCCCGGCATGCCAGGCATGGATCTATGTTGAGCAGTCGAATCAATGTGATCTTCATCGCACACCGGCGTTAAGCGTCTCAGACAATGCAGGCTTCATCTTTGGTGGATGCATGCCGGACGCTGTCAACGCATCTACCAAGCTCGCTCCTACTCCAACGCCCTCGTTGCACCCCTCCTTGCTCCGTACACCGGCAGCTTCAGATACCGTTGCTTCGGTGTGTCGTTCCCTTTTGCTCTGTTATCACCTTCCAAACTGATGGCTAACTGTACTTTGGTGCTCCAAGATCCACACCAAGCGCGATCTTTTCCGCCATAAACACAAACATCGCCACTGACTTCCATCACTCGAAATCACAATTTCGCGGGGAAATGGAGTTCGCATTTGTTTCTGGGAGATCTTGAGTCGTATTCGAATAAAGATCATTGTGTATTTATTGTAGCTATCAGGAACCACCACGGACCAAGCCCCGAAAACACGAAAGCTTCCGGACCGAAATATGTACGTCGGCTATACAAAGCGCCATTTCAATAGAGTAGATTGCGACCACATATCGTCCATTACTAGCGCTATGACACTAGCTCTTTACAGAATGAGTCATTATACTCACAGGATCGGGAACGACAGCACTGGACCTATTGGGCTAGTGTACGTGATGTCGTACCCAGAGCTTCGGTGAGAGACTGGAGAGTGCTTAGAATTAACTTTTGTATAGTTAAACGCAAGAATTCTTGTCTGAGACATGATCCCTTTAGCGGCTTGGCACGCTGGGCTGGGAATTACAATCCCAGTCAATTTGGCAGAGGCAGCCCATCTGACTTTACCAGTTTCGGTTTCGGTTTATAATGACTTGAGTAAATGATACCCCAGGACGTTCGATAGTTATGTTCAGTCTGGCACACTGCGCAGCTGACAATCAACGACGCAATAGTAACATAATCGGTACTGTTGAAAGGGTTCAAGATTTTCTGGAAAAAGTGGGTCACAGAAATCGTGTAAATTTTAGGATACGGCGGTTAACCCACTCCGTGAAGATCACGCCACATAGTTAAAGGCATGCGGTAAGCTCCGGCGGTACGATGCTCCACTTGATTGACGAGGGACCGTGCCTGGCCCCAGCGGAGCCTCACTCCGAAATCCAGTGAAACCAATCACATCCGATATTGTACTAGGCGATACTTTGGAGAGCGAGTCAATCACCTGGAATGATTATGGTGAATCGCACTATATCGGACCACTGCGTGATAGAGCTATGGAAGCCTTTGAGATTGGCAAAGCTCCCTTCAACTACGCTACCGATATGCCTCACGATGGCTGGCGAGAAACTCTTCCCTACTGGATCGATATGTACAAGAATGGATTCGCAGAGGTTACCGAGGAGAAAATCATCGCTTGGTATCGAACAACTCCTGCAGCAGCTTGCGGAAGTGGTGGTACGAGTGGTAATACTGCCTCGCAGTTACAAATTGAATTTCCACCTGCAGATCTTGTTGAAGATCGAATTTTCTTCTCCGCTGTTCTTAGCTCTTTCTCGGGCGCTGTGGTATCTATCGGAGGTGATGCGCAGACTGTGGGCTGGTCCTTTGTCCCTGAAGATAACGTTGGTGTCTACTTTGGTAGCGTCGCCTTCGGAGGTCGAACAGGACCTGTGACGGTGTCATTGATGCGGGATAATGTTATAATCGCTACAGTGAAGGGTAAGTCTATCTCGGGAAGCTGTCCAAATGGCATTCAAAATTGGAACGCCTGGGTTGGTAGCGCGATAACAGGGCGCTCAGTATCGGCCCAAACGACTGTCCTGCTTATGGACCAGAAGTGTATGAATGGCACTGGCAGTTACAACTTCGGCGGTCTCTGTGAGTATGCCTGTTCCTATGGTTACTGTCCACTTGGAGCTTGTACTTGCACCAAGATGGGCATCGGCAATCAGAAGCCAAATTCGACGGGCGTTGTAGGGTACCCGATTGCAGGAGAGGGTGCCAGCTACAGTGGTCTTTGCAACTTCGATTGCAATCTCGGTTTCTGTCCTCCCACGGCATGTGGACTGGTCGAGGTGCCCCTTTCGACGCCTTCTGTCTCGCCATTCTTGCCTCCAGCGTGCACTGCGGGCACGGGTGCCGGCAACCTCGCCGGTCTCTGTAGTTTCAGCTGTGGTCATGGCTTCTGTCCTATGAACGCTTGTACGTGCACAGCGCAAGGAGCAGTCAATGTCATGAGCCCTACGACCAAGATGAGCGGACAGGCTGCCCCTGGACAAGACCCGGCAATCTACGGCCCACTGTGTGAATACACGTGTCAGCGTGGATACTGTCCCGAGGGCGCCTGTGTGCCGCATGCTGGAAGCTCCACTGGATCAGGGTCGGGCTCTCATTCCGGAGATGGCGACGTCTATATCTCACCGTCCATTTGGGGTCATGCTTCACCCGTGATACAATGCGAGCCACCATGTTCAATTATCTTGCCGCCCATTCCTCTGGAAACACCATCGATCATTGAGATTCCGCCATGGGTCATTCCTGTCGAGCAAAGCCGCACAAGAACCAGAACCTCAACCGGCGAAGACGGCACGACAACAACCTACCACGGCTATAATGTGACAACAATCACTATCACAGTGACGATTCCTGATAGTGAGTGGCCTTTCTTTCTGAATTAAGATCTCTTTTACTGATAGCTGTTGCAGTCACGCTCCATTCAATCCCTCTCTGGGGAGTGTCAGTCAACGGCAGCCAAACTGCGAATTCCACAATCACTCTGACGAGCAGCGTCTCCTTACCTCACATTGTTTACGTTTTACCACCGGTGCAGGGCGATCCTACTTCAACACGCAGCACGACAACGCTCATCCCACCCCCTTATCCGTGGTCCCAGATTGCAAAGGAAACGGGTGCGAATAGCAAGACACCTACGCCGGTTTGGACTTCTGGGCCTCCTACTCCAACGGTGTCGAAGGGAAGCCCAGGTGCTGGAAAGAGTTGCGCACCGTTCTGCAGAGGTCCCTGCCTACTTTGCCCTCCGGCGGGGGCTGATACAGTTGGTGGGAGCGGTGGTGGCTCAGATGGCTCAGAGGAGAATTGCAGCACTGACACCGCTGAAGTCTGTTCAACCGCTTGCGTCGCCGGATCTGAGTGTACTTTCGATTGTACAACAACAACTGGATGTTCCGTGACGGCGTCATCGACCAAAATTGTTGGCACTCCCGCACCTGGCGTTGCAATTACCATGTCGCCCCACCCAGCAGAAACTCCCGATCCCTCAGCTGCTCTCAGCATAGCAAGTGAACTTGAACCAACCTTGGCTTCAAAGTTTGGCACGTTGTCTGTCATTAGCGGAGCCTTGTCCTCCCCAACTCCGACGGGTGCTGCCCCCATGAACGGCCCGTACCCAGGTGTGATCATCCTCAGTTACTATGTGGACAAGCACTCAGGTGTCGGCCAATGGGACTTGTACCAAACGTACTCCAACGGACCTGGGAGAGATACGTGTCCGGAGGTCGACAAGCCGGACTTTGTCATGAAGGACGGTGCCTTCTTTGGGATTCATGATGGGACTGGAGGTTTCAAGGCATTTGGCTCAACATGTACCTACAAGGGGACCAGCTTACCGGGTTCTTCCGACCCAAGTGAGGCAACTGGCAGGTTTGTGTGCGACGGATATCGTGACGCTGATTGCCACGGGTGGATGAGCGATGGAGGCTCCTGCTCGCAGGGCTGGCTTGAGCATTATACTATTTTGGAATGTAGGTGGTAGGCTGGTAGCCAGTACAAAATAAAGTCATACTCGTTCTTTAATTTTGATCGAATTTCGACACCCAGGGATCCTCTTTACGTACGAAATTGATTTGTATGAGCGTTCCTAGGGGTCCCTCCCCCTCGGAAGGAACTGCGGAGTGAAGCAACTGCGGAGTGAAGCAACTGCTATAATTAATCCGTTGAATGCCGTCGCAATGCTTGATGTTCTACGCTACCGTAATTGACAGGAATGCTGGGCGTTACGGGCATTGGCAAAGCCGACGAAGTCACCTGATTTTAATAAATCACATGATTTTAACATATCCATACCGCTACGAACAGCGAATCAGAGGAGGAACATTCTGCCGGAATTGAAATTCAGCCCCCCCCCCCCCCCCCGGGGGAATAGTAGTAACGGCGTTTTATAATAAAAACCACGTGATCAATCACCTGATCTTAACAGAACACTGCCCGACCACCCAATCAGACAGCAAAAACTCTGCCGGAGGTGAGATTTGGCCCCATTATTATAGCGTCGCTTCGCTCCGCAATAATAGGTTGATAAGATAAGAGAAAGTTAATACCTCAAGGGATACTATAGACTCAGAACCGTCAAACAAAAAGCTTTGTGAGAGACTAGCAACATAATATGCCGAACCCGAGGACAAAAGAGTACCATTTCGAGCCCTTATAGACTCCGCGAAGGCGCAGTCACTCGTGCTCTCCTAGTTCTATGACTCAGACATACTGAGAAACGTTGTGAAAGTCGAAGCAAGTCAAAGATTTTTGAAGTAAAGGTATACCAGATTTCAAGTGAGCGGATAGGCTGCGAGTCACCCCTACGTTATAAGAATCGGACTATCCCCCGAGACTAAGGGATTGTGAGACGGATATCCATAAGAATGAGTTGTGTGACTCGTGATATAGACCATGTGCCCGGCCGTGTACATTAAAACCGAAACCTAAATGTCGCGCCAGTCCGGCATCTCAGCACGCATCAATCAATATTCACTCTATACCATCTCGATTCGTATCATACGGTTCTGCCAATATCTTGATGGGCTCTATATTATTGTCAAAGCAGGTCTTGCTGGGCCTTTTATTGGGATCTTGATGTTCTAGAATCTAGAACCTGGGATGAATAAATCTCAAACCCTTCGCAGGCTGTGAAGGCATGCTATTTAATCTGGCGTCGTGTTATGCTTTTAGATTATCTGAATAGTTTTAGAATAAGTCACACAGAAAGGCCTATAGCTCCGCGTCTTGGTGTATCTAGCAGTACTGAACATCCATGGATAGTATATCCCTTCAACACGACAAGCGACACTTATCACCGTGTTTACATACAGAGTCTATGGATACACAGCCTGTAATTCAGCCAATCGTGCTAAAGCCCTCGGAGCAAGACCTATGTTCAAACGGTCCCTGTCTTGGAGAATCAGAGGAGACATCATTGAACCACCTGCAAGCGGAGCTTATGCAGGCAAGTCTACCATCAGAAAGGCGCTTCAAGAGTCTGGCCTGACCTTTGATGGGAGTTGACGAGAACGCAAAAAAGGGCACAGGCATGAGCTAGAGCTGAGACTATCAGCGAAGAGTTGATGGCAGTTCTGATTAGTTATTTTCCGCCAGGTGCCCTAGATACGCGGCCATTGGCTGCAAGCAGTTAAACAAAAACATGAGGGTACACAGCGATGATTAGTGGACGGGTTGACGGACGTGAAGGAAATTCCCGCTAGATACTTTGATATAAACGAGATCATATTCCTATCGTCTAAATTGATTAGAAAACACCTTAGGTGCCTTTTTTTCTACAAACCCGACCGACTTCATTATCCGAACCAACGCAATGATCATAAACAGTCCGCAAGTTATGGCTACGGCTGCTCCGTTGATGGGCTTTTTACCTTCTGTCTTTGCATGCCTGGAAAACAAGGGATCGACAAACGTTTGTTTCCAAGGCCTAGGCACCATAACCAGAATCGATTATGATGCTCAACCCTGCAACGGCCAAGTAGGCTCAGAAGACCAAAATGTGAGTATTGTGTTGTTATACTCGCTGTTTATCTCTCCTTATTGCTTCCCCTTGGACCTCAATGTTGTTCCAGTATCTAATTCAGAGAAAAGCCTGCATCTCTGATTACTCGTTGAAGTACGACAACATCGATAACAGCCTGACTGGGTCTAGGCCGATAGCCTCTTGCAACCCATCGAACTAGTATGTACTACGTGTCCTACACGCTAATTTATGAACCTTGACAGCTTGCAGGTTTCCCCAAGACATAGAATTTGAAGCCTAATGTGATCGGTATACTAGCTACGGGATTTACGTCCCACTAGGCCGTCCTTTATCTAGTAATGACTACTAGGGATGCAAATTTGACTATACAACCTTCTGTTGATAAGAAGTCTTAGGCTACCAGGTTGTGAGATCGCCTTATCCTGCGGACAGCTTTGAAGATCTGTCTACTCTTCAATATCTCCTACGAGCGGCGAGCCTTTCACCGCCCATTATTTCACACCTTCTTTGTGTCTCTGTTTTTCGGATAGAATATAAAATCGAATTCACTTTATATTACATCTCATGCTTGTATTGAATAACAAAAGAGTCACGGGGGTTGTTAATACAGCGAAAGGTCGACACACGCGAAGCGATACATATAGTCCTGTAGTTCCCGTCTATGGACGTAATTGTATGACTTAAGCGAAACTTAAAGAGCACCTCCAGAGCATTATTACCCGGACCTCTATCGCCTAGCCCGCAGGAAAGAATTGCTTCTTGCACACTCTTTTTTTGTACCCACCATATCGACCGACCATTCAAAGAAGGTTCCAAAACCTCCATAAGAAGAATTCTCAACGTTAATGTGAGAAGCCTAAGCGACGTCGGCTTTATCCTGATTAGAACCAATGGGAGTACCTGAGAGGAAGTGGTAAACGTGTAGAAGTTAACTTCGGTTTCGTGCTAGCAATCATCTATGATCGTGAACCACAATTTGCGGGCGCCTTTTGGAAGATAGTGCACTGTGCGACAGGCCGTAATTCGATGGGAGTATATTGACGGCATTCCATCCCCAAACGGATAGTCCAAGGGGACAAGCGAGCGGAAAGTTGAAAGGCGCCGTCGATTCTGGTCCTGGCCGGGACTATCAACAACCGAGATACCGCTTCCAAGGGGTTACCACCGTTCTTTCTCACGCACAGCTACCAAATAGACTCTAATCTCTATGCCCTAGATGATGAATTTAGTGCGACGACTAATCGGAGCCAATAACCAGCGCCAGTCTATAAGGCTCAGGTCCGAGTATAGTTAAATTTCCCTAACATTCGTACGGTACATACCGCTTGCAGGTCTCCCCCCTTCTTCTCCTTTCGTTTATCTGCCTTCTTCCATCCACGCGGCTAATCGGTATGATTATTTGATTCTCTATTCCCTGCTTAGACAAGCTTAGCTTCTTATTCTGCAAGTGAAATTTACTCCCGGCTAAGAGTTAATTAGCGAAATCGCTTCATCCGACAGAGGATGTTGACTGTCAAAGAGAGGGCGAGATTCAAGGGTTGAAGACCAGGATGACTTGCAAGATAGAGAGAAGATGTTCTCTACCAATTACTAGCAAAAGCATGAGTAATATGTCTTGGCAGAGTAAAGAACCAAACGGAGCAGTCAGAACGGCGATGTTTGGTCAAATCACGGGGCCGACCTGCTCTAGCGGGAACTCACTTGGCGAAGCCTCGGCGTCAATGAGCGATGGCAAAGGTGTCTATACCGTCCAGCGCGAAGTCAACATCAACGGTGAATGTGAAGTGTCTAGATTCAATCGGGGATAGAACACTGTGTACAGCCGAGGATACGGAAGCTTTTCGAGTCCCAAGCACTAGACCCGTTAAGCCCGGAATGGGCTGGGAATAGGCGCGTGATGCCCGGCGCATTGAATGGTCTACCGTTACCAATGCACAGCCTTGATACTTGGAACTGGGCCGGTCTATATATTCCCGATACTTGGGATGATGCGCAGTATCAATCCATGATTCATATCTATCGCTCCTGTGTTCCCACAAAAATCTTTCAATCCTTGAACCCACACCCGCGCTTTGACTATGCCCGTGATGCTGCCATGCAATTAGAATAACCCTGTCTTTCCTCGTTGACTGTACAGCAGATACCACAATAAAAGTAAAGAAAAAGCGCCCACGGTCATTGTGATTCCACTGAACAGCTGAATACCCAGAAAGTTCAAATCTGCACTGCCCTTCGAATTGATCGATGCCAGTGCTCCAGCAATCGGTGGACCTATCAACGATGCAAAGCCACTGATGCTTTGGGCCATTCCTAGCCATGTGCCGAGCGATTCGGGATACGGACAGACATGAGGAAATACACTCGGAGGCAGTGGTACCAGAGCACCGGAAATAGCCCCTAAGTGGTGCTATCAGCCATGTTTTCTTGTGCATAAACACAGTGGAATGTCTTACCATAAAAGGCCACGAACAGAACGAAGCGAAGTATACTGTCTGCACTGATCCAAGCCAGGCAAAGGATACCTGATAAGATGCAGCAAATGACCCAGGAGATCATCGAACCAAATCGATGTGCAAAAACCGTGGTCAAAACGCGACCCACTATCGAAGCTGCTTGTGAGCCCATCAGAATGTACGAGCCTGTAGAGCGCGATGCGTGAAGTTGGGTTTGCGCAAAGGTAGGTATGTAATAGTACGGCGTGATGTACCCGAGATAGATCAAGAAGTTCGAGGCCGTGAAACTCCAAAATGGAAGATCTCGCAGTGCTCGATTGTCAAAGAGTCGGCGCCGCTGATCCGCCGACTGGTTGGTTGGCAGATTCGCCTCTGATGCGAGAAGCAGGCCTGCGAGCACAAAAAGCGCCAGCATAATGAAGGCCATGATCCGAACAGTCCAAGCGAAGCCCATGCCCACAATGAGCTGATTGAAGATAAGAGTGTAGATGATTCCGCCCGCTGGAGCTCCACTGGTAGCCACTCCAAGGGCAACAGCGCGATTCCGAGAGAATCTTCGACTGATCAAGGCAACAGTGGGGACATAGAGCAGACCAAACCCCAAACCCATCGTGACTCCTTGACTCAGGAAGATCGCATAATACTCATGACTGAGGCTGAGCATCATAAATCCCAGCACCGAGAAAAAGGTACCGATGACCACCATGGAGCGGAAAAAGCCCATGTCGAAGAGAGGTCCAGAGATGAGTCCGGCGGCAATTAACAGCCATGACTGGATAGTCCCGATCCAGGAAATGGCAGATGCTGTGGTTGACGGGATGAATGTGAGAGCGTAGAAACTCTGGAATGATCCAAATGCGAAGTTCAATCCCCTTGATAAACCACCATATTAGATCAGACAAATTCAAAGCTCATGAGTATGCAGACTGACCAAACGTTGAAGCATACAAAGAAAGCTCCGAGTACCTGGGCGCACCCACGGATAGTCGCTGAAGCGCCGCCTTTCTCTATAGGCTCAGCACTGATCTCTAGATCGGGTAGAACCACTGTCTCGCACGGAATATTTTCCTTGGCCATCATGTATCGATATGCGATGCACGACTTTCAGGACCCTCGACACAAATATCGACCATGAAGGCTGACCGTTTTTTTTGGGGGCGAATGGCGGGGATCCATGACTATCAATATTCGCTTCTATGCTCAGTCACGGCACTGCTTGGCTTACGATCTAGACCAAGCTCGCCATTTGCTGTAAGTTGTCCTGGTCTTACATAAGACCATGAAAGAATGGCTCTCATGCCGTTATATCCGGAGGAGTAGGACATTTCGACTTGAATTTTTTATTGCGGCGGTTTGTCAAACCGAGACCCTTCTTCCTGGACCTCGGCTAAGCTCACTGCAGTGCGGGAGTTGCCCCGCGATTGCGGAGAAAGACTAAGCGGTTGATCGAATTCGATGATGTGTGATCTTCACCCACCTCCCCACTTTTCATGAACGTATAAGAGAGCTCTCGGCTCTCAATCTGAAGCATGCTACCAAGTCTCGACCGAGATTAGCGATAAGGTTTGAAACTCTTCAGGCCCACTGACTATAAAGGGTCTACTTGTGGTAGACTACTATTGAGTGAGTTCCCTCCAGGAGCTTACCTACTTAGAGCCCCTTTCCCGGGCTTCATATAGCGCCCACGGGAGAAGACTTTGTCTCCTTCGTCTTCTTCTTCTGCTCACTTCCTTGCTTGCCAACATCAAAGCTCAAACACTACATGGCATGGAAATGGCTCCACCCACGCCAATGCTTCACCGAAGAGAAATACTTTACTTTATAATGCAAGACAGCTGCAACGTGAAACGAAACATGGTAATAAGCGAAATGATGCACCAGAAACGCCTCGACGAGACGTGGAAATAGTGTTTGGTGACTTCACACCCCTCATATCTCAGTCCAATCCTCAATCTTAGATGGGTCGCTCGACTCCCACAAGTACTCTTGCTCAGCAGACAAGCCTAGCGCCCCGTGCACAGGACTACGAGGCTTGATCGCGAACTGGAAGGGTGAAGGATGACTGATCAGACCAGGTGTTAATCTCGGAGTGCTACTGGCCGGAACCCCATCTTGAATCGCATTATTGGTGTTGAAAGCTGCCAGTGTCTGCGCAACGGTCAAAAAGACAGTGTTGCCCGCCAGGAAACGACCTGGGCAAACTTGACGACCGAAACTGAAGATTATAGAGTGCGGATCAGGCTCTGAAGCGCCGTCTTGAGACTTGGTAGGAAAGAATCTTTCAGGCTTGAATGTAATCGGGTCGTGGTATGTCGAGGGCTCATGCATCATAGTCCTGGGGAAAACATGTTAGGTGCCTGACATCGAATCCAGCTCTTTGCGCGCAGAACTTGCCAGATATTTGGCAACATCATAGATCCTCTAGGGATGGAGTAGTCCCCACAGATGTCATCTTTGATCGATGAATGGGGCAGTCCCAGTGGTGCAACTGGGTGCCAGCGCAAGACCTCCTTCACCACTGCATTTAAATAGAGTAGGCGAGATCTATCCTTCGGGTTCGGCAATTTCGCCGAGCCAATGACGCGCTCAATCTCTTCATGAGCCTTGGCTTGTACATCGGGGTACAGAGCCATTACGATTAAGAAGCATTCCAACGTCGCAACAACCTTGATTTGTCAGCCATAGTTGTACCAGTATGTAGGGAGTCAAGGGACTGGTGTGATGGAATCCTCACTGTATCTGAGCCGCCGCCATATAGTGACCCAGCAGTCCATTTGGCGACAGAACTCAAGTCAGACCCCGGCTCGGGGGTACCGTGCAATTTGAAGATATTGGCTATGTATGAGGGCTTGGTTTCTCCATTAATGATTTGCAACTTGGAGGATGCGTAAGGTATGTCAATAAGCGCTCAAGTCTGGGCGCTCCAACGCCGTGCAACAAGTTTAAAATTTGCACCTGGAAACCACGTTGGCACATACTTCACTGTGAACAAAGTCAGCCTTCTAAGATCTCAAAGGCTTATGATCTTCCCTTCGAAATTCAAACGCACGGACTGGATCAAATCAACCATCCAAGCTCCAGGCTTTGCAGATTGAGCGAAGATATCCATGACGTCGTTGCTCAGGTGGACAAGCTTGTCAAGTTTGAAAGTTTCGACTGTGTATCCATGCGCAGCCCCTAGAATGACAGCTCCAGCTTCCCTGGAGAGGGTCAGCATAAGCTGGTCAGGAATTCTTGGGATAACAATGAAGCTAGCTGTACTTTAGGCAGTGATCAGAGAACTCTTCCGGCTTTTGAAGCATTCAGAGTAGGAAGCGGAGAACTTCTTTTTCTTGGTACGAATTGAGCTGAGAAATTGCAGCTTCGGGCCTGAATGAAGGGTCCCAGTCAGGCCTTGCAAGGCTACTTTCCAAGATCCAGTCCCACTCTGATGCTATATTAGTCATGCTGCGTTATGCCTCCGAGGCCCGTCGACTGCATCAAAAATCACTGACAGATCGTTTGCGAATACCATCCTTGGCCTGGATGAATAGATTGAAGATCGTTTGTTCAACAGTTCTGTCGCAGTCTTTGGATCATTGATGAGAACAATTGTTTGTTCAAGAACAGTGACCGAGCTGATGGGGCCTGCGCCAAATTCAGGTAGTGCATGAGAAAAAGGAACAGTCACTGGTCATCGCTTCGCCGACCCAAATCATCGCTTACCGTAGAGCTCTTTGTGTTTCGCCCAGTGAACCCATTCTTGCTCCCCCGGCCGGGGCATGTCCTTTACGTTGCCCAAAATCGGAAGTCCCCGAGGACCTGGAGGAAGAACTCTGTTTCGATCTGCAATCAGTCTTTTGAAGACATGGTAGGTCAAAAGTTAAATGATGGAGCACACGATCAAAAGCACAGTCATCTTCTCAGGATTGGACCTTTCCCACCAGAGAATCCCGTCAGGGCTTGAAATGTGAAGTATCCGGGAGCTACGGAAAACGTAGCACTGACCAAAAGAGGAGAGAAAGGGATGGTGAGATTGTAACTGGTGAGAGGTGCTATCTAAACTACTGGTGGTGTGCGTTGCGTAGGCGTGCACCACGCTGGTGTGACGCGCCGGACCACCCAGCTATCTCAACATGAAGAATGACCTTCTTACCTGAATTGAAGTAAGCTACGTCGACCGTATGAGAATGTGATGATAGCTAGCTTGATACTTTGCTAAAATTCCAGGTAATTCATTTCATTGTTGGACAGATGGTGTGGTCTGTCTTTCAATCCGGTAGCTCAGAAAATAGAAAGTGGCTTTTTGCCAGCATTTGATAGACAAGGCTCGCGTGCGGGAGCATACGGCCAGTAAAGGTCACTACCTACTATGAGTTAGTGTACCTACTACCTACTACCTACTACCTAGGGCCTCCACCTAGTAGGAACTGGCTAAATTGACAGAGATCGGTGAATCCCGGGTATGAGGTTAGTGAAGGATTTTGAACCGATCAATTGCCACGCCCGCTGTTATGCCGCTTGCGACTGAACTGCCTACGGTCGCAGGCGACGACTAGATCAGAAAAATCGTCAAGAGTGTAACTGAGTCAACATCAGACGCCAGCCTGGCCTTCCACTTGGAGATACCAAGGCTATGGAGGTACATCCGGTAGTGCCACTTAGATACACAACATTGCGACCGTTCAAATATAGAATATTTGCGCTAGTATAATGTCTCAAGGGCACCCACAAATTCGTAGCGCTGTACACATTCACTTGCTTCCCCGCTAAGGCTTTATCATAGGAAAGCAAAGCAAGGTTGTGAGATGGCAAAAGGAAAGCCTATATGTACCTAGCAGTCACTTCTATGCCTGCCGAGGGCCAGCAAAGATGGAGCTGAGATCAAAGGTCAAGATATTACATATTTGCAATTGTTTAGAGCTCCTTGTCACCACTTAAGCTGCCAATGAAAAACACGACGTCTTATTGACTTTTTTCTGGCTAATTGTCTGCTGTGGACTCCTCGGAGGTAGACTTGGGATAGCTATTAATATTAAAAAATCCAATCGACAGAATAACCGACGGAACTATGATCTGACTGTACAACCTCACACTCAATAGCACCTGACTTAGGCTCGGCCAGGCGCAATGAAGAGCGAGCACATCTCAGCAACGTGAACCTTAAAAAGCTCGACCGCTCATTTTAGCCCCGGGGAAATCATCCTGAATAGCTTGCCAAAAAGGCTTACCACCAATTTGGAGGTCCTTCATCGCCGGGCAAGTGATATCCAGCAGCGGTGTGGCCAGGATGTTTCCCAAGAAAGCTAAGGGTTGAGCAAGCGTTGAGTAGAGACTTGATAGCGCATTGGGGCTTGCGAATTTCAGCACCTCAAACGCAAAGCAAAGAAGACTGTTTCCTTCCAACAAATTCGTTGCATTGAAGAGTCCGCCCGTCAGGTCGGCTAAGTCGACCCCAGCGAAGCTGTTGACCTTGCCGGTGTTGCCACCCACACTGTTCCGCGTCAGTCAAGATGTCTCTGGATCAATAATAGTACTCTTCCAGAGGAGCTGTGCGTACCTGCCAAGTTCGGGATATTTGAGCAGGAAGTCAATGATGTCAAGATTGAGCTGGACAAGCCCGTAGTCAACCGGTGTCTTGTACCAGTTACTAGGGATCTGCTCCCATCCCTCTTTATAGGTCAAGTTACTTCCTTCGCCGTAGACCGCGTAGAAATTGCGAAGGGCGTATTTTGCTATGTCTCGATTAGCATGTTCCCACCCATCGATTCTTTCTTGCCAGGCTTGTTATAACTCACTCAAAACGCCCTCCGGGTTGTCAACCGAATGATTCCGAAATAAGCGACCGGGAAAAATGTAACCGGCATTTCGTGCGATAAGGCCAGTAACTGGGCCATAGTAGAAGTTTGGGTTGCTCTTAATCGTCTCTTCGAATCGATTCTTCGCTCGCAAAGCCATCAGGTCCATGTCAAATGTGCCGTCGGTAGACATGTTGTACCATGACATGAACTTGTCCATATTCATGACATAGTTGTTGCCCGTGACGTAGATGTCGTCTCGAGTGTTGGACGAGTCCGCCTCAATAAAATTGTGAGATCCGATCAGTCCTTGGGGTTCACCTTTGATAGCTTGGCGTCAGCATTAGGACCCAGTGCAGGTGGGACATCGTACAGACCAAGTAGGCCACCCAGGTTATCGAGCAAGTTATTCACGCCCGTGCTGCGCCCTCCTATAGAAAATCGGGGATCCAAAGACAAGGGATCACCTGTCCAGACCGTTCCCATGATGGCGAGAACAGTAGCCAGATCAATACCCATGCCGTAGACTATTGCTTCGATATTAGCTTGAATTTGAAGCACGTGAAACTAAATACCCGCCTCGTACCTTGGTTGATGGCTTGGATGACATGTGCAAACTGTCAGAATTAGCTTCGCTATGCATGGCCTCATTTCCCATTGACTCGCACGTCCTTATCTCAACTCACCGAAACCACGCCATTTCGTGGAATATATCCATGATTTGCCAAGGCATTCAAGCCAGGACATGGGCCGCGCTGGTCGCCCTTTTCGAAATTGGGCGGCTGAAATGCGTGAACACCAGTCACTAGAAATCTTTTCATTAGCACTCTCACATGAGCCCTACAATCATGTTGCGTACCCTCGACGGGCGACTTCATCGAGTCAACTAGGAAACGCTTCTCGTGCTGCATTATCTTCTCAGGAGCGCCGTGGTTTGCATATGGACATCTTTTGTGCAGGTCCTGATGAAGTTGCGCATCGTGATGATTGCTTGCTGCACCTGGAAAGGCTGAGGCGTGCACGATCAAGGGCAGTGCGCAGAGCCATCGCAGGCCGTAATGGAGGTGCATGATGACTATGATCCCGCAAACACAGAACGAGTAGTGAGTAGTATTCGACTTGGAGGGTAGCTTAACACGTTGATAGACAAGAAATTTGAAGCATTTTATCAACTCAGAGAGGCAACTCTACTGCAACCGGCAGAAGTCTGGGTTTTGGAGGTGACATGTGGCGGAGTTGAGTACAAGCCCCTGAAAATGGTGAATGGCTTAAGCTACAACACTCACACTAACTCATTGTGAAATCTAAGCTTGAAGGAAGGAATGATCAGCATCCAGTCCCGAAGATCATCTTCCAGGCTTAATCCGTTCCTGTTGCTCAAGGCCTAGACGGGATTTTGACTTTGTGACCAAGAAGATGCCTCCTCGCCGCGGCACATAAGTGGACCTTCCTCGGGAAATTCTAATAAAGCTGGAAGTAGTGGCGAATTCCTACATACATGATGTGCATGGGTTGAACGCCGGTATTTTTACAGGGTTGTGAAATGAAATTGGGACCTATCGTCAACCTTGGTAGCAAACCCTTAATCGGCTTTAACAATCTCGAGGCCATATAGCATCTGGGCCATGACTAAAATTGGTAGGGTAGGCCCGTAGACGATTTTTTCCATTTAGGGAAATTTGGGATAATAATCTTTTGATCGGAGATGCACCGGATCAAGCAGGTAGGAAACGGGCTGGAAATTTTCAACCCTGAAATTGATAGTCAGTGAAATACGAAAGCCGAAGGCGGGGATTTCCCTTTTAGGATCTTCTATCAGCATTGATATCATTTCGGACAGTGTCGATTGGAATGGTGAAAAGCGACAATATCAGTCCGTTTTCGCGATGGTTGACTAAACAATAGGGAGCCCTAAGTCGGAGGTTGAATGGCAAAAATGACGGCGAAATCCCCACGACACATACCAGAGAACGTGCGCATAGAAAACACCAACAGTGGATCCCAACCGCAACACAATTAAAGTTCAACGGTTCTTGCCCGGTACCCCAACTGACATGGGGGCGGGAACTGTGTGCCCTGAAAGAGGCGATCAATGTCCAGAAACAGCAATGCCCGGGCAGAGACGATCATCACTTCGGACACTCTCCGTCTCGGTCCTGAACGCACGGGAACTAGCCACGTCCCACTCTGTGCCAGCCTGAGACATCGAATTTAAATTTCAGGAACTTTAGTTGCTCACGGCAAGGGTGATCATGGCAGTTGTTATTCCCCGGAAAAATTAGAGCTCAGCGGGGCCCTTGGGCCTGAGCACTGAAGCCGTTCCATGCCTGGGTGTGGATCTGTCTGAACTGCACCGGTCTAGGACCAAAGTGATAAGTCTGTCTACCAAAATTGAGCTGTCCTAGTACTACATAGTAACTGAGTCATAAAGGTAGTGAGAATCAAAGCCAACCACCTGATCTGAAGGCAGTAGGGTTTCCGGTGTCAATGGTCCCCGAAACGTCACGGAAATCTAAACAGACAACACGGATAGGATACACCGACGATCGCGACTTGACGATAAGCCCACTTCAACCTTCCGAATCACGCTAAAAGTCGAGCTAGGGGCCGACTGGTCGTTACAAGAGTTACTTTGCCCTGAAGACTGTCCTTGTCCAGGATACCAGAAAAGAAGAAAAACAAAAACACAAATCACCAATCATTGACCGCGCCGTCTCGTCAGCATAAACCCCCCAAAGGGTCCAGAACCGAAGACACGGGACAGACAAAAGTCCAGGCATCTCGATGGGGCCCCGAAGCTGTCAAAACCGACATTCATGCACCTAAGCTCGTGGGTATTGACGCGGGACAACGAGGGCGATCGAAGTTTGTTAATATCTTCGCCGCTCTTAAGACATTTAGTTCGTTCAGTACTGCCTAGTGTCCACTTTCTGAACACAGCAGCGTTATTTGCAGTGTTCATTATCTTCTGCTCCCCCAACTGTCATTCAGACACATGACTCCAGTAGTCTGCCAAATGCCACCATGAGAGTGCAAGGAATTGTCTGTGTTGTTGGTGTCTTGTTCGCCACATTGACAGCCGGCGCAAAGCAAGAAGCTCCTACTTTGCCGACCTGTGCGGTATGTGATTGTCAGAAATCTCACTCGGGCACCTCTAATATCTTGCAGCTCTCATGTATGAAGTCGTCCTTCTCACAAACCTCGTGCATATTGACAGATCAGGCATGTCTCTGCACCGACACCAAGTACACCACTTACTTGGAGAAATGCGTTTCTGCAAATTGTACTATCCGCCAGTCACTAGGTACGGGTTTGTGATTTCTTTACTCTTCACAAATACATGGTATTCGAAAGTCATCAGAGCTGAGTTCATGAAGCGACAAAAAAGGTCACATCAGCAGCATGCGGTGCGCCAGTCCGCGACCGAACGAAAATTGTCTCGTATGCTGGAGTTGGAGGGGGGATCGTGGCTCTCATCGCATTCATCCTCAGAATTGTCGCTCGCTTCAAGTGCTCTACATCTATCGGCATGGATGATTTGACAATGACAGTGACAATGGTAAGTTGTTTTCCAACAAGTCGCAAACACCGATCTCAGAAATCTTGGTGGGATAGCGACTAACACAGAGCTTCACAGTGTCTTGTAGTGACTCTCAGTGGGCTCTCGGTTGTCTGTATGTATGGTTCCTCGACTGGGCTCTTCAAAACACAGACACTTACAATTTCATTTTCAGTGGCGGAAGCAGGCCTGGGAAGGGATATGTGGACGATACCCGCAGACAATATTACGTACATTCTTTATGTGAGTCAAAAAAGAATCCTCCACTTTCAATCGAAGTATACTGATATTGGGATTCCTCCCATGTCAGATCTACTTCTGGGACGAGCTGATCTACTTGAGTATTCTGCCCCTCACGAAGATCTCGATACTCTGCTTCTATCTTCGGATTTTCCCTGAGCCTCGCTTCCGATACTTGACTTATATCGTCATTGCTTTGAACGTGGGCTATTTGATCGCCTTTATCCTGGTCTCTGTGTTTCAATGTCGACCTATACAAGGTGCCTGGCTCCATTGGGATGGAGAGGGACATTATCAATGCAACAACATCAACGCCCAGGGCTGGACCTCCGCCATATTCAACATGGTACTAGACATCATTGTCATGTTGCTTCCTCTCAAGCAGCTTTACCATCTGAAGTTGTCTTGGAAGAAAAAGATCTACGTGATGTGCATGTTCGGGCTGGGCATTTTGTGAGTACTCGCGGAAGGTCCTCCCTTCTCCCTGGGCTCTGAATGGAGCGATCAACTGAGCAAACGCTTATTCCACGTGATAGTGTCACGCTTGTGAGTATCTTGCGCCTGAACTCGCTCATTCATTTTGCATCCACTCAAAACTTGACCTGTAAGTCATAGAAGCCCGAGGTTGAGAAGGGATGATTCTGTGGGCCCGACAGCTGATTTTACCAAGGGGACTACGTTGCCGTGGGATACTGGAGTACCATTGAATGCGACGTTGGAGTCATATGCGCATGTTTACCCGCAATCCGATCTCTACTGCGCCACGCTGCACCGGGCGTATTTGGCGACACGGAGCGAAACAAGTCGTATGGAACAAGCTCTCACGGACGTGGTAACTCCCGACTGGACGGCTCAATCACCGTCAACGCCAAAGGTGATAATGGCCAATTTTATCCATTGAACAACTTCGGGAACTCGAGCGAGGCTCGGCTAAACCAGAGCGGCTGAACCAGCCCGCACGACTTGGCAGCTGCTATTGCATCAGCATAATCAGCTCCTGCGTTATTCGTTATGCTGGACTCCTCCGCGCGACTCGGCAAAAATCACGATAGGGTATCTCGATAGATCAATCTTGCACATCGCATGCGTCTCTTCATCGTGACTTTATTCTTTATTTGTTTTCAGTCTCAGTAATACGGATTGTATACGAGCATCTTTCAATAATGTCCTGCATAGTTTGAAAGCTCTTACGAGGGGATTTTGTATAGGTCTTGCATAGGTGTACTAACTGGAGCCTCGTGCGCTTTGGCCATTTGCCTAACTTCAGGATCCATTGAAAGGATTATTGGTACCCATGCTTCTACTTTGTATCGGCTTCAACGGGACCATGGCAATATAACAAAACTCAATTCAATAGTAATTAGATGTTATAGTCTTCCGGATGAAAATGCCGAGTTGTTATTTTTCACTAAAACAACCTACACGAGCTTATCGTTCGACACCAACCCCCTATCGAGAGACCCTGTATGTTGGAGGTGTCTAAATTGTCCCTGGGCGAGAAGAACCCGGTGACTCCCTTCACACTAGAAGAAAGTTTACGCCATGACCCGCCAGTTCGGCATCTGAAGCAAACTGTCTCAGTCGCAAAGTTGTCAGGAACTTGTCTCGGCAATTTTTCGGGGGTGGATAAGCTTGCCACCTATAGTAAATGAACGCCACACGGGATGTGAAACTCACCAGTGATGAGCTAAATTAGCGTGCGAGACTAAGTACAGAGCAAAGTGGGTCTCAAAAAAAGAATAGATGATGTGTACGCAGACAAAGTACGCGGGTTTCATGGGTCATGGATCTGCAGTGTCGACTGTCTACTCTCAACAGTAAGAGCATGCAGCTCTAGGGTCTAGGTTCTTCACAAGCCACTCGCTCGGGCCTCGCGGGTTAGAGGTTCAGCCTTTGATTGTGGAGATAGAACGACGTCCTGAATAGGAATAGAAAAGCCGTTTTTGAAGCAGTGAGCCGAGTCATTTACCTTATTTCACTCGCGGGATGTGGTTGAGAAGCCTGCAGCAAGACGAACTTGGAATTGCCAGAACTGGAAATGCTTCCGTCCGTTGAATGCTTAGCGACTTGGGATTCCGTGTGATCAGCGCCGTGCATAGGGAGATTACCGAGTTGTACGAGTGGATTTGGGACTCGGTCGAAGTTGAGTTGACATCTCAAGCGTGCGCGGATCACGAAGAATGGAAGTTGTACGGAGCAGGAATACACAGTCCGACTGTCAGTGCTGTGCAAGGATCACTGCCTGGATATGTGCCACCCTAAGAGGAGAATAGTTTGTGAAGTCGCTGGCCGTGATGTGCGAAGAGGACTTTCTTCTTTTGTCTAATCTTCCGCTCATCGTCAAGTATTGTGGAGTTCTCTGCTTTGGGCATGGCGTGTGAATCCTTCACTTACTCGAGTTGACCACGCTGTGATTGCTAATGTTGAGCCCATTGTTCAAAGACAGACAAAAGTCGCCGATCGTATCCCAGTCTCTGAGTCCACTCTGCCAACGGTCCGGGTCTAAGCTTCAAACGTCCTGCAGATACTCCAGGAGAGTGAGACTCCTATTTGAATGCAAACGCTTTGACGCATCGTGAATGGGTCGACAGTATATTTTGCAAGTCAAAAGCCCATCATTCTGGGGCTCAACCGTGCCTTGCTCTGAGCATCTGTGCTTTGATTGACTTGGCACTCACTCAAGATGCGTATTGCTGTTACACTTGGAGTGCTGGCAGCTCTTCCCAATGTCTTTGCCTCGTGAGTACTTTATCCGATGTGTTTTCTGCTGAGGAGATGAAGATGGATAAGCTGATTTATTCTATTGTAGCGCACACGCTCACGATTATTCTCTCAACCACTCTCACGAAGAATACCGACGCGCCACAGAGCCTCAATATGATTACATTGTCGTGGGCTCGGGACCCGGCGGTGGCCCTCTTGCGGCCAGATTAGCTATCGCCGGATTCAAGGTCCTTCTTCTCGACGCAGGAGATGACCAGGGTGATGCAATCACTCAACAGGTTCCTGCCTTGCAGTTGCAGTCCACTGAATATGAACCCATGAAATGGGACTATTTTGTGAACCATTACCCCGACCTGTCACGTCAAGAGGAAGATTCGAAAATGACCTACCAAACCCCATCTGGCGAACTTCACGTTGGACCAAATGCACCCAATGGGTCTGAACCACTTGGGATTCTCTATCCCAGAGCCGGCACTCTGGGAGGATGCTCGGCACATAATGCCATGATGTTAGTTTGTCGGGCTCTCATCCACTTTGAAACTCAAAACTGACACTCATTCCCACGTTAGCACCATCTATCCATACGAGAACGACTGGGAACAACTTGCAAGCCTGACGGGTAATACTTCGTGGTCTGCTAAACACATGCGGAGCTACTTCCAAAAATTGGAGCGCAACCGATATCTGCCCAGCAGCCTTTCTGGCCACGGCTTTGATGGATGGCTGACGACCAGTCTTACCGACCTGCGTCTGGTGGTCGAGGATCAAAAGCTACTCTCGCTGATTCTTGCCGGTGCGACTGCAGCAGGCCGAGGTTTGCTGGGCGGGTTGATTACCACCATCACCGGCCTCGCAGGGGTCTTGACGCGTGATCTGAACAACGATTTTCCTTCTCGCGATTACGACCAGGGGCCGTATCAGGTACCCCTTGCTGTTGACGTACCTTCTTATAAGCGAACAGGCCCGCGAGACTTTGTGCTCAAGACTGCGAATGCAGTCAATGAAGACGGCTCTCGGAAACACCATCTCGATATTCAGTTGACCACCCTCGTCACCAAAGTTCGGTTTGATACCACTGGCAGCCAGCCACGTGCTGTGGGAGTTGATTACATTCGAGGAAAGAGTCTTTACCGAGCTGATCCCCGCGCGTCGAAGACAGCATCTGCTGGCACACCGGGCAGTGTCAACGCCACTCGCGAAGTCATTCTGTCCGCTGGATCTTTCAACACGCCGCAACTGCTCAAACTCAGCGGAATTGGCCCGCGCGACGAGCTCACAAAGCTCGGCATCAGTACGTTGGTTGATTCGCCTGGCGTTGGGACCAATCTACAAGATCGATACGAAACCGGCCTTGTTGGGAAAACCCCGACCGACTTCGTGTTGACTTCCAAGTGCACATTCGGGTATTCGCAACCGGACCCCTGCCTGGAGCAATGGCAAAATGATGTTCTGTTCAAGGGCACTTATACCACAAACGGTATCGCCATTGCAATCATCCGCAAGTCCTCCATTGCCGAGGATGAACCGGATCTTTTGATCTCCGGAGCCCCCGCCAATTTCCCGGGATACTACCCCAACTACTCCTACGAAGGTCTCAAAGACGCTCGACACTGGACATGGATCACCTTGAAAGCGAGGAGCCACAACAACGCCGGCACAGTCACCCTACGATCCACAGACCCTCGTGACATGCCCATCATCAACTTCAACTCGTTTGATGCGGGCGTGACCGAAGGAGGTGCCGACGAAAAAGACGTGCAGGCCGTGTACGAAGCGATGCAGTTCTCCCGAAAGATCTTCCATGATTTGATCCCGCTTGACGGTGGCTTCGAGGAAGTCTGGCCCGGTCCCAATGTCACGACTGAGGCTGAGATGAAGGACTTTATCAAGAGAGAAGCATGGGGGCACCATGCATGCTGCACTGCGGCCATTGGAGCAGACGGTGATGCAAAGGCGGTGCTGGACTCCGATTTCCGGGTTCGTGGAGTGGACGGGCTTCGAGTTGTGGATGCTTCGGTGTTTCCCAAGATTCCTGGCTATTACATTGCCCTTCCGATCTATATGATCAGTGAGAAGGCAGCCGATGTGATTATTGCCGAGGCAAAGTGATACTGTGACGATTATGCGAGGCCGTGTCGCCCTACGCAAGCTTTGTAATTCAGTGTGTCTCTCCTAAAATAATTTGTTCAATAAATCTGATCTTCAAGGAATCGGTCACAATCTGCGAGGTGGACGAGGACATATAATCAACAACGCTGAAGCGTCAATTTGTATGAAATCCCATCGCAATCGATTTCTTTGTGGAATATTGGCCTCTGGCCATCACTGTTGCAATGCATGCAAGGCCTGTAAAATCGCGTTTGGAAAAGGTACCGTCTTCCTATATCAGCCCTACTACAACGGCTGAACCACGCCTACCCGGACTTGCGATAGGTGCTGCGCAAATGTCAATCCATATCTGGCATGACAAGTTGGGCATTAACATCTGGAATGACTAGGCTTCATTCACTGATCTATGCTGCGGTATGAAATCCAAAGTATGTCCTGCCTGATCTTCCTGCGCGACTGCCCAGTACATCTGAGTGGCACTTTGTCCACGATGTTGCACTTGGCGTCTAATCGCAAAGTATAAGCCCACCGCAAGGCCAAGGCACGTGACAATCCCAAAGGTGACCAGGCTCCAGTTGACATGAAGCAAAATTCGCCTCCCCGCGCCTGTAGCACGCATCATTGTGGCAGACGTCCCAAGTACGTTGTCATTGGCGTCGAGTGCTGAAATCCGGAAGTAGGAGGTGACGTTGGCAGTGAGTGCGATTTCCGTTTCGAAGCCCTCGCGAGAAGCTTGGCCCACGGCTAAGTATGTCATGTTCTGCAACGGGGAAAAGCCATCCCAACACTCGATTTGCCAGGACCGTACCTCCGTTGCCCCGTTCCAGCTGACAAAGGCGCGGTCACCAGCAAGAGCGACGTCCGGCAGGGTATCTGGCATCCCGACCCAATCTCCTTTTGTAACTCGGTACGACACGATGCGCCCAAATTGAAAGTAGGCGGATGCGCCGTAGTGAACATTGCACAGGACATCCCCGTCGGGAGAGAATTCGGTGTATGCGGCACTGTGGCCCCATCCGATGAATACGTTTCCAGAGTCGAGAACCTGCACATTTCCTTGCGAGACCGCCGCCAGCTCTTGTGGGTGGTGATATGTTTGCAGTAATTCTGCCGAGCGGTTGGTCAGATTCAATTCGATCAGGGCGCCATGACTGATCTTCTCTTCGCGATGATCTCCATTGGCCGCATTATTGAACAGGGTAATCTGGTTGACGCCGCGCCATCGAGCATCGTGTTGCCATGAGAATCCCGTGGCGGCTCCATTGGACAGGTCTTCAAAGTCATTGTTCTTGCCACCTAATGTCCACAAGACCTCTCCGGTGACTCCATCGATGTAAAACACGGAATGGGCATGCCTTGCGGAAACCAAGTATCGGCCTTGATCATCCTTGTCGACGCTATTGATGTGGAAGAAATCGAATGCTGAAGATCGCTCATGACCTTGATCTCCCAACGGCTGATAGCTGGCATTGGGCGGAAAGTGTTGGGATGCGCGCCATTCGAAGATCAGTTCGCCCGTCTCAATATCCACTTCTTGAAAAACACCGTCGTAAACCCAGCCTAGTTGTGGACCACCAACTGAGGTCAGATCAGCAGGAATGGGGTCATAAATTGCGAAGAGGGCGGTGGAGTTTGCGGTGATCTGAAATTCGTGCAGGTCGCCTGACATGACACCAACCGGTGATATGATGTACTGAACCGTGTACGCCGAGTCTAGCTGTATGTTTTTGCCAATCGTACTCGTCAGATTCTCTTCCACCATTTCAGGGGGCCGAAACGAGACATCATATCTCATATCATCATACCATGTACCACGATCCACATCCATGTCCATCTACCTTGCCACCTTCCCAGTATGTCAGGTAATCCTGACCTTTATATCGCTGTATTCTGAAGTCCTCAGTGGTGGCGGAATCCGACTTCATCCAGACCAATTCACCACGCGCATCCAATATCATGGGTCCCGGGTGAGCGACCGAGTCTCCGCGCGGGGCAAGGAGGGTGTATCGTGGATCGCATTTCGCATTCCGAGGCGTAATCTCCACCAACAAAGACTGCTCTTCGAAGGAGACATAGCTCCGCGAAGGCCCAAATCCATAGATTCCCAAGTCATACCAGCTAAGGTCAGATCGAAACCGAAATCTCTGCAACTGTGGTCGGAGGAAGAAGACCAGAAGAAACGCCGTGACGATAGCACCTGTGGCCCGAAGGATCCTTCCACAGCGCTCCCAAGCGTTCATATTTCCATCCCGAGCAGATATGCACTCGCAAGCAGAGGAGAAACACAAATCAACGGGGAAACTGACACATCGAGTTCATTTATGGAAGCAGGTCGGCGAAATTGACCTGGGTCAAGGGTGCGTCGACTAGCACAAGACGAGAAGGAAGAAGGGGTCGGTGCTAGTCGAGTTGTTGTCGATGTATGTGCCGCTGGATGTCCATTTTTGGATCCTGTTTCGCCCCTCTCCATTTCATGAGACACCGTGACGAATACATCCCAATCAACGGTCCGCAAGTGTGGCTCGAACCCATCTGTTGTCCAAATAAATGGAGCATGGCGCGCAGTTGCGAGGGCTCGGCAACAGCGCCGAGTGGGAGTGGATCCCATGGCCCGCGGGATTGCGTACATGTATGGGGCGCAAGCGTCAACGTTCGCAAAAAAAGGGAGGTGTCCGGGGCACTGTATGGCTTCTTTGTGGAACGGACAAAGAGAGTAGACTGTGAATAGAATGGCCATCAGGAGGAACAAAGTGCCGTAGGTTGCTCATCCCATGTAGGCCTAAGAAGACGTAATACTCGCAGCATGCGTGTACGCGGCGTGCCAAGTTCTGGATGTGGGCCGTGGGCCACTGCTGTCGAGGCTTGAGAGATGCTATGGTCATGAGTCAAGGACCAAGCGAGGTAGCGCTTCCCTGGGCACGGTGACTGGCTCCAGCTTCACATTATCGTTAACCATGGTGGATATGTGTGGTGGAGGAACTTGGCTACAGTCTACACTTGCTTGCCAAGCCCAAGGGAAGGGTCCCGAGAGTGGTGCAAAGCGGAGCCTTTTCAGTCTCCGCCGCGGCCCCTGCGCTCTTTCGCTCCGCAACCTGACTTCCTGTAACGACGAAGAGTGCGAGTCCGAAAGAATGGGGATCCATCATCACCGCCATGTGGTCTGAATCGAAGTTTCATAGCTTCATAGCTTCAACGTGGGACCGCCTCCATCATAGGTGGCTTGGGGGGAGAGACTACAGTCCTCTCTTCTGGGCAGACGACCGGCTCAGCGACGTGGAATCAGCTTTCTGCAGTCTCGAGACACGTCAGTCTGGTGCCATTGTATTTCGAGAGATGTAGAACTGGTATGGTGGTGCCAGTGATACGAGTGGGATCATACGTCAGCTCTGTTGCGGGAGATTCCAAATCTCGGGTGTGTTGATTCCCTCTTGAGGAATCAGGAATCAATGGATACTCCACTGCTCACTATTCAGTACTCAGTGAGTCAGTTATACTCACTGACTCGGTCCTCCCATGCGCACGTGCACATGTGGGAGCCAGATTCCCTCGGGTCCATGGGAATGGCGGGAGTTCTACGCGAAACAACTTCGGAGAATCGCTGCGACGCCTTCACGCGATGCTGAATCAGATGAGGTTGTCGGGGATCTGAGGAGCGAGTCAACCACTGGTATGATCAACATTTGTCTCACGATCAAAGAGAGGCGGAAGCTAGGTCTTCCGCCTTCTTACGGGTGCCGATTCACCTGCGACAAGCACGGTAGGCTCGTGCAGGCAAGATCTAGCGTTGCTGAGCGGCAGGGCGGGAGAGCAAGATCGAGATGAAATCGCGCGAGGTGACCGCACCCCCATTCGTAAGACCCATCTGCTTTGATCTATAGAGGCGTAAGTCAAATGTCGTCTTGCTCAAGATGAGCCTATCATCCCTCCAGCTCATACTTGGTGTGGCACTGTGGCTTCAAGCTGGAGCTTGTGTTCCTCGCGTCCGATGTCACGTGGTTCATGCTCGACTGCCACACTCGGCAGTGCCGAGTGTGGCAGTAACAATGATCAGGGCGTACTTGCAGGTGGGGAGTTCTGCCGCAACCACAATCATCTTACTGCTTCTATTCACGAGTTCACAGTGGTTGCTTCGCTGCATGAACGTCTTCCGTCAGATCCAGGTTATGCGGATGCACCTGTCCTGTAAGACTTTTTGGATCTTGCGGGCGATTTATATTCTGCCTGTCAGGTTCCAATGGAAAACCACTCGCATATTAGGATCTACCTAGATATCCATTCTATCACTGTAGCAATAAGTATACCTATGCCCGTCCCTTACGATGAAACATTGTCAGTGCCAGAGCCACTGCGATCGTCGCTGATTGTGAAGATTTATTCTGCGTAGCTAGTGCCAATAACTGATAGACAGTACTAAGGTAGACCACTTGAGATAGACGATTGTTCAGTCATCGACATTCACCCTGCTGGTGTGTAGATATGCGGGGTTCAGCATGACCTCGGAAATGTGGAGGATCGGGATAGTGATACCGACAAACTGCCGAGACCATAGGCTGGGTTACTGTCGGGCAAGCTACTAGGCAGCCTACCAACCCACTGTACCCTCCAACTTATTGATAAGATACGGATGTGGCTTTCAATTTGAATATCTGCCGTAGATTCTAGAGAGTATCGCAAGACTATTGTCATAGAGATATACTGTTATCGTCTACCCGTAGCTGATAGAAGAGGTACATCCAAGTTGAGGAGAACGACCGGAGTGGTGGTTTCCAGACGGATCCTGATAGCAGTGTACTAACGCACCTGGACCGTCCGATAGGACAATGTGTAATCATCCCTGTCTCTCCCGTCTCTGGTGGCATGACTCCGCCTTATCACATGCAGCGACCGTACACTCGGATAGCTCGTCAGTTCAAACAATGACTATTGTTCAAATCTGGGGAATTCATTCTGCAGGAGACCCGACTCCGAGAATCACCCAGGGGAATAGAACCGACTTTGGCGCGGAGTTGATCATCTACGTGAAACACAGAGACATCACCTGGAGGATTTTTACATTTTTACACGGAGGTCAAGTCGAATCAACATAGACAGACGTACAATGTCGAAACACGCCATTTGAAAACAGATACAGTTAAAAAGCATGCTCCAAATGTACAGTTATACATAGCAAAGTCACCTTTTACTTCACTCAAGATAGAACATACGACATCACCCTACTATTCCCATATAGGTCAACCTGGAACCAGAACCTAGGCATACGTTAATCGTGTACGTAATACGACGCACCCAATAATAATCCCCGAGCGGAGATCGACAACTTGACTACCGCAAACCGCACCCACTTCACAAGCTGAGGTCCCTAACCGAGACCCGGACGGGAGACGGTCCAGTCTTGGCCGACACGTTTCAGACACAGCATCACGTCAATGAAGTCTCCGTGTTTGGTGGATGTCCACCGACATGTGTGGAGTGAGGACTCTGAACCGTGGAGGGATTGAGGCGGAGGCTAGGGGGACCTTCACCTTGAAGAACTTGTGTGTTGTCATCTTCGTCTGGGAAAGGTGCGGTCTCATTGATTCATCGTTAGTATCGAGATTGTGAGACTGGCACGAACCTGAGTCGCGAGTCACTAGAGTACCTAGTACCTAGTATCTAGTACCTAGCACCTATCAGGTAACTAGTTTAGATGGGTGTACACTGTACAGTGCACACTGCACTGGGACCGTGACTGCAGTAGTGACCTGGACTGTCACTGATGAGAGAAACCATCCATAGTGACCAGGGCAGGGATGAGATTTTGAACATGTGTAAATTACATCGATGGTGACTGGATAGCCAAGAGCAACAAGAACGCATGGACCGCGGATTTTGCCCCGGTCGCAACAAGTTCGCTCAGTCGTGTCATCTTGAATTTCTCGATAAAAACTTGCTATACTGAATTCCCGCATGACTACATAGTACATACATCTTTTATCCATGTCGGTGGAAAGAGGAGATCACCGGGAATGTAACTGTTTCGAGCAATGACCCGATAGTCGTATGTAGTAGTAAAATCACTTCAAGACAGCATCAAGTCCTCCTTTGCCTCCGGACAAGGGAAAGCGCAGCTTTTACTCTTTGGAATCTGGTCGCCTTCTGCGCTCTGGCCGCCTTGGCACGGGAATATTCGACCGAGCCACGAGACTGGTAGTTTGCTAGATTGAGGTACAGTAATCTTAGACTCGCGATGCCGACCTCTGCCTTCATATAAGGAAAGGTGGTTAGTTCATGTCCTAGTGATCATTGTCGATTATTAATAGGTGGTAAACGGGTCTTGGTGGCCCGTTGCCACAATCTCGGCGACCGAAAATGCGGGTATTGAGCAATTCTCCACGGTTATGTCGGTTAGTAGTGAAGGACTAGGAATGGATGTCAAGGGTACGAGTCTGACTGTAGTCAGAGTACAGTGTACTCCATCGAGGCCGTCAAGGGCCATCCACAATGACGGGATGATCTTCGGCGGAGAATTCAATAGTTTGTCTTTTGACATCCCACACTGTAGCCACGTGCTGTGATTCATCACCTGAACCCGTAGATAGCTTCGGATGCATCGCGATGACAGCTGAGAAATAAAGCCTGCTACAGTTCCGATGGCGGCCCTATCATCATTGTTATTGAGAGTGATTGCGCTGCAGCAGGCATGGGATAACTGACACAGGGGTAAATCGAGGGAGAGAGTGTGCAGTTGTGAACCTGCCTCCACGAGGTATTGTGCATGCATCGCGGCGTGTCTGCGTGGAATGGCGGAAAGGTACCTGGGTCTCGTCAAGACCGAGGCCAATTGATAGTGATATATGTTGCTGGTGTCTCATCAAGGGGTTGACCCATAGTGAATCCTCAAACCCGAGATCATAGCTGATTGCTTATCGAAATATCTCGTCCACCACAAGTGAGTGGTACACCGGTTAGCAGAACCCGACAAGGCTGGCCCAATGTGGCGGACGGTAGGTTTCCACGGTCCACGATGTCCCAAAGATCCCAGAGTTGTGCAAGTCTCCATCCCGCATCCACTGATTCAGTCGTCTCCACCACTCGCGAACTTGCGACCGCGCAAAAAAAAAGGCAATTCTTGATCGAGAATTGGTTCATGCCGATCATCCATAGTTTGGAACTTTGGAGAAACCTTCCATACCGGCTAATGTTTGTAGCACCGACTCCCGAGTCCGACAAGGCAACGGGGCAGCGGCGAGTGTTGTCTATGACTGTATGACTGAATACGCACAAGACGTTCTTGTCTAGGACCACCAGTTGCAGGAGTCCGAATAGGGGCCTTTATTCTCATGTCTGCACTAGAGCACGTACCCTGTAGTCTGTGTGACATGACTATGAGAGTATGGGGTATATTCTCGTTCCCTACGTAAGAACGATCCCCTAGTGCGATGCCTGGTCAGCCGTCTCCACCTCGAGCAAGAACCAGCAGTGTACCACCGCTTCTGTACCAGAGTATAGTTCAAGAAGAGTGCCAAAGCTCGATGTGGCGAGCTCGGTCGGTCGGTCGGTCGGTAGCATGGCCCGGTCCATAGTCCACATTCCACCCCCATTGCTCCGCAACATGATTGTGTAAGAAAAGGTGCCGATGCTCGACCCAGTCAGATTAAAGTCTGGTGCGCGAGAATCTGCAAGACGGGAGCTCGAGCATGCAACGGAACACTGAAGAAGATTATCACCAGCCTTCATCAGGAAGGTCAGAGGGGCAGAAACAGCGGTGATTCGCAGTGGATGCCCCAGACGTGCATTGTGGCAGGAAGAGACCAGGATGGGAGAAGCGGCCATCTCATCTCGCCTCTGCAGGGCTGCTGGATCCGAAACTCTATGCTCCAGAAATGCAGCTTTGAGCACCAGTCGTTGAAGTCCCCCTGTCATCTTGTACCTTTGGCAAAGGTACCAAAGCCAAGATAGTACTGTGAGCCTGTGAGAACTGAGGGACTGATGTACTGTAGCAGGGGTTGCCTCGACTGCTTGACGAGTACTGTAGGTCGCATTAGAACCTTCACCTCGTCTGCTGTCCTGCAGATCTCTCCGGTAGCCGGCCTGGTGCGACAGGTCGCTGTACCAGTGTAGGTTCAGCACTGGCGTCTCTTGCTTCTGGTCTGCTTCCAGCCTTTCCACGCTCTCCATCTCGATGCTGATCGCCATCTCTCGTCTCCACTTTCCACGAAGGATCTCGGGTCGGCTGGCTGTGATTGGCAATGACCCCCCAAGAACGGAGCCTGTCTTTGCAAAAGAGCGGCCCCTTAACAATCGAGCCGTGCCCACTGCTGCCCCGGACATTTCGAGATTTCCTTCGAGCCAGCTCTTTTTCCTTCTGGTCCGTGGGAGTCGGATCATTCACCAAATATCATGTTGAGCGACAAGGAGACCATGGCCCATGAGGTCGGCCTGGAAGGCAGTTCGCAAGATGACCGCGACATGCAGCGGCTGGGTAAAGTCCAGCAACTCAAGGTAAGTGAAGAAGAGGCTACTGTGGGGGGGGGGCGCCGTCGCAATTAGTCTGACCCGCAGTAGAGAAATTTCCGCTTCTACTCTATTCTGGGGTTCACAACGACGTTGATGGCCACATGGGAGTCAATATTGCTGTACGTTCATGCGCACACAAAATACAACAAGATAGGATCGTGATGGTTCACGTTTTAAGTTCGCGGTCGCCAATTGTGTCGTTCCACGAGACTAATCGCAATCGTTTCTCGAACCGCGCAGTACCGCAACATATGGCTTGATCGATGGAGGACGCGCCGGCATGATCTATGTCTATATCGGCTCGTTTGTTGGATTTTTCGCATCGGTGATTTCGATGGCGGAGATTTCGTCAGTGTATGTTGAGCCGCGGGGACGTCGAAGCCCCCCTCCCCCCCCCCCCCAAAAAAGAGTTTTCCATGGAAACTTCCAACGTCTTAACACTTCGCATCGCACAGTTCGCCAACGTCTGGAGGTCAATATCACTGGGTCAGTGAGTTTGCCGCGCCTCGCTGGCAACGATTCTTGAGCTACCTGACCGGTAAGTTGGTTGTGCTGCGCGTGGATATGAACTCTCGTACTTTGCAATGCTCTCGACCTTGTCCTGACCCCTTTCTAGGATGGCTCTCCGTCTTGGGATGGCAAGCCGCATTTGCCAGTATTTGTTTCCTCTGCGGCACACTCATCCAGGGACTCCTCGTCTTCAACTATTCCGCACCAGGCGGATATGTATACGGGTACGAGCGCTGGCACGGAACCCTGTTGACGATCGCGATCGCCGCCATTGGTACCCTGGTGAACACCTATGGCGCCAAATTCCTGCCCTCTCTAGAAGGCGTCATTCTGTGTCTGCATCTGTTCGGGTTCGTGGCCGTTCTCGTGCCCATGTGGGCCATGTCTCCTGGCCACGCTCCCTCCTCCGAGGTGTGGACCGTCTTTTCAAACGACGGCGGCTGGATAAGTATGGGACTGGCGTGTCTCGTCGGACAGTTGACTCCCATCTTTTCATGGACTGGACCTGATGCTGCCACGCATATGGGTAAGTGTTAACCACCATTCACTTTCCCTACACATCCTCGATCAACGCAACGCTGACCACGCCTTTTTCTTTTTTTTCTCTCACTTTAGCCGAGGAGGTCCAAAATGCCGGATTCGTCGTCCCCTGGTGCATGGTTTCCACGGCCTTGATCAACGGCGGACTCGGCTTCATCATGCTCATCACCCTCCTCTATAACATGGGCGATCTCACCGAGGTGGTCAACGCCGCCAGCGGCTTCGGTTTCATCCCCGCCGTGCAACACGCGACGGGCTCCGTCGCCGCGACCAACGGCGTCGCGGCCATCATCCTCATCATGGAAGTCTGCAGCGCCATCGGCATCCTCGCCACGGCCTCTCGCCAAACCTTCGCGTTTGCCCGCGACCACGCGCTCCCGTTCTCCGGCGCGCTGGCCCGCGTCGATCGCCGCACCCAAATCCCTACCATCTCCGTCCTCGTGTCCACCATCATCACCGTCCTGCTCAGCCTCATCAACATCGGCTCCACCGCCGCCTTCAACGCCATCGCCTCCGTCATGATTGCCGCCCTCTTCACCACGTACATTCTCTCCATTGCCTCGTTTATCCGCGCTCGTTTCCAACCCGGTGGAATCCCGCCTTCGCGCTTCTCGCTCGGCTCCCTGGGCCTGCCGATCAATGTCTTCTCCGTGGCCTATCTGTGCTTCGCGATCATTTTCACCTTCTTCCCGACGACGGCGGCGCCCACGCCCGTGAACATGAATTGGTCGATTCTGGTGTTTGGGGTCGTGGTCATTTTCGCCGTGGTGCAGTACATGGCGCATGGTCGGAGGGTTTATCAGGCTCCTGTGACGCAGGTGCAGAGGGAGTCGAGAGAGGATGCGGACGCGGTTGTGTCGTCGCAAGGATTTCAGGATTTGAAGGGATGATTCTTGTTTTCTGTTCATAGCTTTATCATTATATATTCAGGGGGTGCAGCGATCATTTTGAGGGCGTTTTCCTGTTCAGATATTTTGCTTCTGTTCCTGCTGGGCCTCCTCCAACCGGGGACGTTCTTGTCTATTTACACGATCATTGAATTGATCATACGATCTGTCGCTTCGACCGAGTGGTATATTTGTCATCGTATTCTACGTGCTGAATTGATCATCAGCGCAACGCAACGTGAATGAGGTGGGATATACCTGACTTATTGTAGATTGCAATTTGTCGTTGGTGTGCAGGAGCAAAGGAATCCAAACAGGATGAGCATGCTGACTACCGAGATTATTATCGGTCCATACCTTACCTCCTAAAGCCCGATCAACTAATCAGTAACCTAAGTACTAGTATTGTAGTGAGGGGAAAGAGCTAGAAGAGAACAATCCAGAGAACAGAATGCACAATGGACCGAAGGACACATGACCAGCCAGCTACCTGTAAGCCCCAAAAAGGTCGGGACAGTTCAGGGATCAAGAGGAATCGATGAGAATTTCCATCAGCCCGGACATTACAAACTATATAGGCCAGATCCTGGCATGTCGAGCAGTACTTTTGTGTGTATATGGTTCCACAAACAGATACCTTGACGTGTTCTTCATTCAACTACGTTTAATGTTATAACAGAAGCTATAGAGCACTCGTACTTTACTTCCCCAAGTCACCTTGTCTTCTAATCCGTCTTGAGCGAGCCATCGGGGCTCTCTCTGATTGGCGCTGAGTATCCCCCCATGACAGAATCAGTCACGGGACACAACTGGTGATACCCTTGTTTCGGCGAAGGCCATCCGCATTGTCTTCGAGACCTGAACCTGCATGAGACTTTCCAGGTCTCCTTGAATGACAGCCTGAGTTTGCCACCTACCGACTGGAGCTGGGATAAAGTATTGTGGGAACTGCAATTATATCAGCTTGCACGCCGCGCCGCACTTTCAAAACGGGTGTACACGGGCATCCCTCGATCGCCCTGAAAACCCAAACCTTGACTTCAAGACTTGATGTTACGGATGCTGATGAGCGACTGAGATTCCCTTTTGGAGATTCCTATACTTCACAGTTACGTGAAGGAGGGAAACATCGGAGACCCTATACACTGCACAGTCAGTGAAGGAAATCTTGCTTAGTTCCAGAGCTGCAATCCTGATCGATTCTCTTGCCAGATGTCCAGACGTGTGGCGGTCGGGCTCTCCTACTAGTCAATCAGCGATCCTGGATAGGGTTATGTACTATCGGGGCTGGATCAGGAGATGAGGAAAATCACGAGGGATTAGGTATTGACGCACAAGGTAGTGTCTCAATAGATGAGGGATGGTGGGTAAAAGCTTGCCGACAGGTCCAAGCCGAGATTTGTTGCACACCGACCGATGCTGAAAATGCCAAGGTTATCAGTCTCACAGTTTTGGATGATCTACTTGCATTTGGTGGCGGTGGCACTATCCGTCAATAGGTGCAGTCTGCACAGCGCAGATTGGGGGTGGCATGGGATCCGCCGCTTACTTTGCGGGAACCGGTACCGCGTTGCGTTGGTCATTGAAACAGCGTCATAAGGCTGCCAGGGCGCTTGAAGGCGATCAAAAGAAAGTTTGCTCCGATGGGACAGGCTTCTGGTTGCTGAGACTGCTTAGGTGGATCAAGACTTGTGTGGCATCGCAAACTGCGGATCTCGGGGGCTTGTCGCAAAGGCATAGAGACCAAAATGGGCGTGAGTTGCGTCGGGGCCTGTCAAAAAGTCTTTTTTTTTTCTTTTTCGGCAATTGATGAGGCGCTTTGGAAACAAAGTATCGCAAGGATGGGGGCTGGATGGTCATTTCCGGGTCTTTGATGGCTGCCTTTTGGTAAGACTGTCGTGGAGCCTTTTGAGGGCGGGGCGACTTTTGTCTTTTCTTTGGATGCGGGTTTCTCAGCCCACAACGGGGTGATTTTCCTGGGATACTCGTCAAATGAGCAATGATTGAAATGCAAGTCAATGAGTATTACAATCTCATAAATTTCCATAATCCCACCATGTCGAAAATCCATCGATGCTTCCCAGGGCAGACTCCGACTCCGGATAACCGAGTGTATCCATGTCAATAAATTGGGGCGGCTCAGTCCAGAGCCACGGGGTGTTGGTCATCAAGCTATCGGCGGGAGCAACCAGCTTGTCAACCCCGTCTGTAGTCACGGGTGGCTCGGGCGCAGATTTCCTCCGTTGTGGTAAATTGGGTGGTAGGTGAGCAGCAGATCCACCGTCAGTGGTGTTGACTGTGATATCGGGGGACATTGCGACGATAATCTCAAGCGTGGATGAGAGGTCTTCCATCTCGTCACGTGCACCGGCAGGGCTCAGTGAGGGGTGTAATAGCCCAGCTGCGGCAGTCTCTTGGGAAGTTGGCGTGCAATTGACCTGAAGGAGCTCCCACATGAGCGGGATACTCAGCAAAATCTTTGAGGGCTCCCAGTCAAAGTCGACCTTGTCGGACCCGGATGCGATGCGTGTCATCTTGTCAAGTGTTTGATTCTGCGCCGGGAAATTAATGTCGATTCTCAATCAGCCTCATGCAGCCCGAGTCCTTTACTTACTAGTTTCTCGCACGCAGGAGAAAAGGAGACGAAGCTCTTCAAAAATCTTCTGCATTTGGTGAAATCAGTCTTGGATTTGAACTTCAGCCGTGGGTCGGCCGCACAGCAATAGTAAAGATGGACGGTGGCCGCAATAGCGGCAGCATGGCCAAAGAAAGGATCAATGAGTCGCAGCTTCTTCTCGGATACCATGTCAATCAACCGAACGATCCAGGTCGCATGAAGCAGAACCAGCTCAGACGATCGCCTCCAGAAGGTGTTGGGTATTGTCAATTTGTGATTGTATTGGGATGCGACGATGTACAGAAACGGATGGTTGAGAACGGTGAGGATGGAGTGATAGGTGAATTGAAACTTTAGCCAGGGAGCCCAGTAGACTGGATTCGCTCGCACTTCCTCGGCTCTTCGCTCGTAGAATCGGACCGAGTCATATCGGTGGCACAGCGACAGCTTATTCTCTAGCTCTGTGACATCGGATAGCACCTGAGTGTATAATGAATCATGCCTCCAGGGCTCCTTGAGACGATTCTGTGCGCAATCGAAAACGTACGATCTGACACGGCTCCAGATCCACCCGAAATGAAGCGCCAGACTCCAGATGCCGAGATCCGAGGACGCGGTGCAGCCTACCTCATCCATGGGAAAGGGTGGCGGCCTTGTATCAAGGTCTCTGAAGGGAGTGAGCTCGTCATTTGACGAGACGTAGAACGACCTCAAGACCTCCGCGGGCACACTCAGGACATCGTGAATCTGACCATAGGTCTGATCCAAGCACTGTAAGCTCCAGAAGAGTCTTTTCTTACGCTCTGCCGATGAACAGTGGATTCCGTACGTGGAGTGAAGATCTAGCATTGCTGAGCGGCAGAGCTGCAGAGCCAGACCGAGATGAAATCGCGCGAGGTGACCGTTCCCATCTACCAGATCCGTCAGCTTCGATATTTAGCACAAGAACACTCTCTACTGCCGGAGCTCACCAAGGAATGAAGAGTAGGAAAGTAAGCAAAGACTCTCGATCGTCTCCAGCTCTACCGTCCCATTGGCGATGCGAAGCATGACTAATGTTCGTGCACTATCGCCATAATGCAACAGCTCATCGCGTTCTGTTGAAAAGCGAGCTGTGAGAGTCAGGATGCTGCAGACCAGCTCTTCGGAGATGTAACTCGTGTCTTTGACTTCTTCGCGGTCAAAGCACCAGATGGGTTGTCGGTGACAGTACTGAAAATACAGATCGATGGCCTGTGAGATGCGTGACGATGGGCTAATCTTTGAATCCTCGAAACCCAACCCGAGAAGGAAAGGATCGTTCATGGACGACCCACATTCGGCGGAAGATGCACAGGAGCCGGCAGAATATGCCGCTTCCTGATTGTCGTGATTCCCGCCTCGACCTTGGTCCTGTGATAGAGTCCTAGATGACGTGTGAGATGAAGAGCATCTTGAGAGCATTGAAAAAAGAAAAAAAAGAAACTCGGAATCTTTAGAGGTGATGCATACCGGCCACCACTTAGGATGAGATTCACTTTCTCCTCTAGATACGCAAGTCTGTCGGCCTTTTTTCCGCATTGAAGCAGTGACATGATCAGTTTCGTGAGCTGACCAAAAGCAAGTCGATGAAAGCCCATCACTTTGAGGGAAACCTACCGAGGGGCCGTTCCGGGAACCTCTCGTCACGGGGGTGTAGTGACACTCCTGATTCAATCGCACACAGCTCGAGCAGGCTGGCTTTTCTGCGGGACAACGTGTTTTTTTTCGTCTATGGAATGATCAGTCATGGGAAATTGGAGATCTGAAAGACATATGGCAGGTCATCCTGCGACGACGGACCTGCAATTCAGACAAGCCTCGTGCGAGCGGAGTCGTCCTCGGGTGCCTTCCCGTGGCATTGTGGAAGAGCAGAGCAGGGCCGCCTAATGGAAAAAAAAGCACTTTCGGGCTGTTCAATTAGATACTTGGACTATGGAAGATCAATGTGTCCTGGGTGGACAGAGATAGAGTGACGATGGAAGAAGTGGTGATGATGGTAGGTCTGTTGGAGAGTATAGACACCAAAGACTCGAGACAGCGAGGTGATAGGGAAAAGGAGGAGTGGAGGAGGGCCGTCTGATAAGCTGTTCTCCACTCCGAGTGCGGAGACCCGACGAAGAGGGGTTCCTTCTCGGCTGGAATGACGGGAAGATGATAACACAGCTGTGGATGTCAGCGGAACGGACTGAACATACCCAGCCACAGAGTATATGGTACATTTGAGTATTGTAGACCTGTTACCTATGTACCTAGGTACCGCGTACCTACTACTATAAAATATGTAACCATGTACTACAGTACCTTATAGAGATACTTTGACTAAGCCTTGTATTGGAGAAAGTCAAATCATGAAACGGAATGGACAACGAGCCACCAGCACAGAAATGCTCCGCATCAGAAACCAGGGAGAGGGATCGAGTCAAGTGATACGTAATCTAGTACACTCTCCAGATTGGAACTCTCGTCAACTCTACCCGGTGTATGATGATCTCCAAATTTACTTAGTCCGGGAGAGTGGTAGAAGAAACTTGGAGTGTGCACGGTTTGTGCTCTTCGGGTTACCCCAGGCAAGGCTGCACTGCACGTTACGCGGATCCGCTCTTGTGGATCGGGGGTGCCAATCACCACGTACAGATCACTCGTCGGCGATGGTCCGTGGAGGGGGATGATCGGGTCGCGTGATGTAATTGGCAAACGTTACTCGAAAAAGAGGGAAGAGAAAGTATCTTGAAACTTGGCACTGACTCTAGCTCCCGGCTTGCTCCCGCGGTGGTTTATTTACCGATTCAACCGGTGTATGTATACTGCAGTAGGATCTCTGAGTATGGCGTTTTCATCTATTGGGTTACTGCCCCGTAGATGCGTAGATCACCACAGCAAGGACGAGTGACAGGTACTAGGAGTGAAAGTATCTGACGAGGCAGGTATCCAGTACAGTATCGTAGTCACGATGTTATCGAGAGGGATCATGCTCGATTTGCTGTAGATAAGACAACCCCAAGCCCACAGTCAGTCCATGATCCGGCCCGCTGTTTATCTCGAGCCAGCGGCTGCAAGAATGAAGCAAATGTGAACGCGATGCGAAACCTTGGGCTCCACCCCGTAGGAAAGAGCGGGGGTTACTGGGGATCGCCGATAAGAAGAACAAAGAACGAGGACGATCACAACGAGTACTTGCAAACCCATTTCCAGCCATTGACTGTGCAGCACTGTCGCCCTGCCCGACGTGGCAGAATTGCTGCCACCCGGTACTGTAGAAGTGCCTACGATCTGCAGTACCTCAAGAATTCAAGATAATCAGCAAAGAAAAATACAAAACCGCTAACTTATCGGGTCGATCAAATCCTTCCCGCGTTCATCCCGCCCTTGAATGGAAACCCAACGGGACAAACAAACTTCTGGAAAGTCGAGAACACACATAGAGATAAGAACGGTCCATTGAGGGGTTCTATTGTAATCGTTATCGTCGAGAGAATCCAATCTCGATGCATACATGCAAACCAGGTGTAAAGAACCCAATGATCCAGCTGAAGAAGACAATGCCCGTAAGATGCAAATGAAGGGGAAAAAAGAGGAAGGAAAAAAGAAAGAAAGAAAAAAAAAAAAAAAAAAAAAAACAGGTCATCTGACTCGAACAAGCCAAACAGCCCCCCTCGCCTCCGGACAATTGCTGCCTTGGATGGGATGAGACTGACTTGGCTACGACCCCGAATCCAGACACCCTCTGTACAGTAGTGTACAGGGTACAGTGTACGGTCACTACAGAGTACACCTTCAGTGGATCCAATTTCCATGCATTCAGTATGCCAGTGCCGGGTTGGCCGACTGACACGCTGCACTACCGTGACAGCCGGGCTCGAGCGTCGCGCAGTCTCCATCGGTCTGGCCCGGCGCCTGCAGCCGAGCACAGAAGTCTAGATCCCCGCGGCTGGTCGTCGCGTCCGTGGGAAGGATCTGCCGCGACGGCCAGATCTCATGACCGGCACTTTCTTCCCTGTGGCGAAACTCGGTCATCAGGTCGCGGACCTGACTGGCAAAGTTCAGGGGACTCGTCTCCAAGAGTGTCGCCCACGGTTCACTGCCAGACGACGACTTGCTCGCGTCGAGGTGGGTTTGAGTCGCTTCGAAGAGCCGTCTTTCCTCGGCCAGAGTGCGCTGGAGACGCGCGTCGATCTGATCAATCGCCTGGTCCGTGGCCCCGTCCTTGCGGAACACCTCGAAGCGCATCGATGTGGTCGTGGACGCGGTCGGCACACAGCGTTCAATCAGGAGAGCGCTGGGCATGACCATGACCGATGTATTGGGGAAGAAGGAGGCGGCCGCCAGGCTGTTTTCTCCTTGTTCATCCTCTTTCGTCTCCGCATCCAACGGCGCTGCCGAGCTGGGATCTGCGCCCGAGGCGCGGTGCAGAGGATCGCCCGTCCGACCAGCGCAGATCCCTCGCGTGGCTCGGTCATAGTTGCCCGCCAAGATTTTCCAATTGAACTCCCCCGTTGTCTCCAGGACGTGGTCAAACCGGTATTCCTCCGCGTGGAAAGCGCCGTGCAACTGGGCCGCCAGGTCCACTCCATGCGCTTCCTCCTCCCAGGCCATCTCGGGTGTCTCTGCCCCGTCCAAATTCACCCAGATGAACCCGTGGGTATCTGTGTGGGCATGGATCGAGAGAAGGCCGTTCTTGCTCTTATCAAAGCCGGTCAGGTCCTGATATCCAGGCGCCTTGGCCAGTTTCCCGTTGAGACTATACGACCAGCCGTGGTATTTACAAGAGAAGATTCGGGACGTGCCGCGGTCCTCGGTGACCACGGGGAACGCCCGATGGCGGCACACATTGTGAAAGGCATTCACCGTGCCGTCTTTGTCCCGGATCAAGATGATGTTGAAGCCGGCAAGATCCAATCGCACCCAATCCCCGGTTTTGGAGAAGCGTGACGAGTGGGTCGTGAGCAGCCACTGGCGGGAGAAGATCGCCCGGCGCTCGAGCTGGAAGAGCGCGGGAGATGTGTACCACGAGGTGGGCAGTCGTCCCGTCGCAGACTGGGGGTGTGCCTGCGAGAGCTCCTCGTCGAGCAGGGCACCACTCTGTGCCATTGAAACCTTTCGTGCTGGAGATGGGAGTCTGTAGCCCAAGACCGAAGCAAACGTCCTTGACGTAGAACACCCCAACTGTACTTATGGAAGAGTGGGTGACCGAGGGTGAAAATTGGGCTGGTGAAAGGGTGACAGAGGGATTAGAGGATTGATCCGTCGCACTTCTTAGGGTGCCTCGATTGGGGGAGGGATCTATATACAGTTCCGTTGGTGTCTCCAACCTCATAGTGATGCCTGGATACCCTCAGCTGGGACGGAGGCTCGCAGCAACCTTTCCGATCACAAGACCGGGAGCCAGCTGGGAGCGGGCCCAGAGGCCCAGCCCGTTTCCAACGGGTTCACAGCTGTTCAGGGTTGGGGGTCCCCCTCCTCTGGACGATCAGCGGTGCCCCGCAGCCGACTGCCTGGGACGCCACCTTCGGCGCAGTCGGTTCCCGGCTCCGCTACTTCTTCCCCCCACTTTGAGAGGGGGGCCGACGATCTCATCCGATAAGCTGTCAATTACAACGTTGAGGGCAGGGAGACTCGAAGAAGCTTGATTGAGACAATACCCGGTCACAAATTGACCACAGAAGCCTTAGATTATGATCCATCCACGATCCCAGCCCATTTGATATTGTGTACCTCGTCCATATCCGACCAAGAAAACGGGCGCCATTCTGCCCATTTCGGTGGAGCGTCCCATTTGTGTGGTCAAGGTCCTTCCGCAGATGATAAGCTAATTCCCCAAATGATTGATTTGGTCGGACCCAGATTCCATTTGCCTTGGCTTATATCCCTATCTATATATCTGAGCCTTCTAGAGTACGTCTGCGTCTGCACTGCGGTCACGCCAACGCACTCATGCAATCTCAACCCGACATCCTCTACAGTCGCGAGTGGAGGCACAATATCCAGTAAATGGGACGTCAACTGGCCCTCGGGGGTGTGACCGAGCACGAGATCCGTCTTCACATTTATCATGAAACACCGTGAATAAACCGGGGTCAGGGTCAAGATCGCCGGGGAAATCAAGATGAGAAAGGATTGAAAAATGTGAGGTGAAGCGATCAAGTGCGTTTGATTGATGAGAACATCTCAACTGGTCCTCGACTGCGGTCGACAAACATACACCGAAGCATCGGTCCGGGCGATTGCACCACGGATCTGCCTCAGTTGAGGAGGTATTGACTACCGGTGGTAGGTATAAGTCCCCTAGTTAGTGCTTCTGAAATCATAAAGGTCGTGTCGTATGATCCGTGTGACGCATACTTCGGAAGCAGACCAGGCCGAGCAGCCGGTCGGCTCTAGCCGGTGTTCAACTCGAACCAAAGGGGTTGCAATGTGTTCGATACCCACAGTGTGATGGCTCATCACTAGATCATGTGCTAATCGTATCGAAAAGGTCGACAAAACAGCTTCGGTAGAACGGGTCTTCATTCGTGAAGTTGTCTTCTCAGTTTCCCTTTCGTTTCTTCTCCAAGCAAGCCTATTCTCCAACTCGTTCGATCATGAGGCGATGCGCACTTCTTGAAAATATTGACCTTGCACCGTGACTTGAACCCGGTTCAATGAATATCAATCACCTCGATATTCCATGCCTACCAATTTGGCCCGCTTTACAGCAGTGACGGCCAATCAACGATGGCAGATCCACGAGGTGACAGGGGAGCTGGCAGGGGAGCCCCACAAGAACAATCGAAGAAGTGGAGTGAACAATCTCAAGCCACATGTTGTTTGTTTCCTAATCGGGGTCGAGATTGCTCCTCGTGAGTTCAGGACACGGCTGTTCTCAAGAGATTTTTCCTACCCTTCTTACATGGGTTCGTTTCTCTCGTCAAGCCATTCACTTCACTTCCTCTCCTTTCTCGTGGATTCTGTCTGGATCGCGACATGGATCGGGTGGTGATTGTTGGAGCGGGTGAGTGCGTCTGAATTGCGACACAACTACTGGTCGCAGCGTCCCAACTGACACTTGAGTTTCTGATCAGGTCTCTACGGCCTCATCATGGCAAAGACGTATCTTCAAGTCTCGGGCGCTTACGACTCGCGCGGGGCCCTACCAGATGATCCCACTGATCCCACTGATCCCACTGATCCCACTGATCCCACTGATCCCACTGATCCCACTGATCCCACTGATCCCACTGATCCCACTGATCCCACTGATCCCACTGATCCCAGTGATTCCATTCCCAACGGATTGCCCCCATGCTTCACAGGCATGCGACACCAAGTCGAACCCTGCGCTGGCACATCTCTCCTTGTTCTCGACTCGGCATCGGACATCGGAGGCACGTGGGCAGAAGAGAGGCTATACCCAAACTTGCTCAGTCAAAACTCCTACGGGATGTATGAGTTCAGTGACCTGCCTCTCTCGCAAGTGACACCCGCAGATTCCTCGGGAGTTGGGCAACAGTTCATCGCCGGGTGGAAGATCAACCGTTACCTGCATGTTTGGACCGAAAAATGGCATCTCAAGAAATATATTCGGCTTGGTTGGCGAGTAAGCAAAGTACATCTACATTGCCAGACAGTAGTTGACTGATGACGGACAGGTGGAATGTGTACGACGTCTTGCGAGCAACGAGTGGGAGCTTGAAGTTGAGATCCACAATGAGTCCACGCCCACTCGAAAAGTCAAAGTGGTATGCGATAAATTGATTCTCGCAACTGGACTCACTTCCCTGCCGAATTCTCCCGCCGTATCAATGCCAGGCATCCCAGCTTCAAACTCCGTGATACATGCAAAAGACGTCGGTACTTGGGCTCGCAACAATCTCGGATATCACCCGTTGCCAAAAGACGATCCTTCACAACACCGAGTAGTCCCGAAAAGGCATAAGGAGCCTCTTTGCAAGTCAGTCGCAATCTATGGGGGAGCCAAGTCAGCCTTTGACCTGGTCCATTTTTTCGCCACTCTACATCAAACTGACACCTCCCTGCACTTGCAAAAAGCGCCATCCGAGGCCGTGAAAGTACATTGGATCATCCGCGAGGATGGGACAGGGCCATCGTGGATGACGCCCCCGACCTCAATCTCGCCATTTGGTGAGGCTGTTCCAAGTGACAAAGGTGCAAGTATCAGATTGCTTCATTACTTGGACCCTTGTTGTGGCGAGGAACCGAAGCGGTTGGCTGTCACCTACAAGAAAGGAGGATTGCTCCCTACTCTTTCTTTGAGGGGCTCATGGCTCGCACGTCTCTTTCATGGCAATCCGCTTGGAAGGTGGTGGATTCGTCGATTCTGGTACTCGGTGGACCAGAACTTGCAGAGCTTTGCAGGATATCAGACTGATTCAAAGATGCAGCTACTACGACCTAGTAACAGGTATGTTTCCTCTTTTCCGTTTTCAGTATGAAGAGTCAACGGGAAACCCATCTTAATGTATTTTACAGTGTGATCTCATGCGTGTCTCCGATTGGTATTGCCAATCAACCAGACTTTTGGGATACGATCAGGTCGGTCAATGTCAGTGTGTACCGATCGTCAGTTGAGAGAATTAAGATTCTCACTGGCAACACCTCCAAACATCCAAATGAAGCTCTACAGATATCTCTGGCCAGTCAACAAGTCCTCCCCTCGGTTGATCTCCTTGTACATGCCACTGGATACAAACCCATCGTTCCGATTGCTTTCGAACCGCCAAGCCTCCGTCTACAGTTGGGATTGTCTGCGCTTCTGCCAGCCGAACGCCAGTTGTCAAATACAGAGAAGGAACATGAGCCCTGGGTGGTGCATATTTCTGAGGAGGACGTCGTGAAGAGTTATAATCAAAAGTGGAAACAGATCGATAGCAATACCCGAGATATCGCTAAAAACCAGCACCATGCAATGGGCTGTCATGCCGCAGAGCGAGAACCACCATCGTGGAGCACGCAGTCTCAACTTCTTCCCTATCGGCTATTCCGTCGCATGGTCTCTGCAGAATTAGTCCACGAGGGGGATCGTTCTTTTGCAGCCATGGGCATTCTCTATACCTCCACGGTGGCGGTCGTGGCCGAGGTCCAGGCACTTTGGGTCACGGCGTTTCTCACAGGGGGGTTTGACTTTGACGGAGCTTCCCGCGACGGAAAGCTACGCGTGGAAACCAACCTTCACTTCGACCATCTATCACAAAGTGACATGGAAAGTATCATATCAGAGGATGTTGTGGTGGGATCAATGACAGGGACTGGCCTCGAGGTTGATGCTCTTCATGTAAGTCTTGAACCTGACATGTGCTTTTACTGACTCCTACGTGAGGTTGCCACGAGCCCCGCTGACGAGATTAACTTGCAGTACAATGACATGCTGATGCGAGATCTTGGTTTGAATCCACATCGCTTGGGAGGGGGTATGTGGAGGGAGCTCGTTGGGAACTACGAGCCCTCTGTGTATGCTGGCATAGTCGATGAGTGGAGAGCCAAGCAAAGTGACGTCTGACCAGTCAAGCAAGGACTCTCCGCTTCGTCGTTGGGATCCATTGCAGCAATAGAGATGGTTCGCACGAGTGTGATGCCAAAGTTTCGATGAGATGTACACGATTCGGAAGTCCGCGGAATCTACAACCCAGTCCATCCAGTAAACACTTAAATCAGCAATAACACGTCCGCAACATATTACCCCAAGACGAATCGCAAACAAATTCCCAATCTCACAAACTGAGACTCCGTAGGCGAGCCATTGCCAAGCAGCCCCAAGAACAAGCAAAGCCCAACCTTGGAAGCTACCTACTCGTCTACGGTCGAAATCTGACCGCTGATCGACCGCTAGTATCTTCAGTGCAGCTGCACCGTCAGCCTCTAAACTTATTTAAAGATCCCAGGCTTGCCAGCTACGCAGGGTGATTGGTCAATCTTCATCGAGCCAGGCAGTCATGTTGAACGGTGGGACTATTGGAGTGGGTGATTGGTGGGTGATACCCGGTTGTGGGCCCTGAATGTGGTGGCCTGGGGCACTCCGCCTCGTCTGAGTCTGGATGAAAGACTTGGAGAGTCTTTTGATGAATGATGATGCCTGTGAGGGTGGAGGTGGGGAGGTGAGGTGTGATGAGGTATATATCTGAGACTAATCTCGAATGAAGAGTGAAGGTTTGGGTTTGAGATCAAAGTGTGATCCTTACTGTGAGACAGAATTACCTTTTGTTTTTGTTCCCGTCAGATCTATATCCATTTGGCGGACCGTACTCATCGGTTTTCTCTGCAAACCAGTCGTCTCAGCCCAACACCTCAGCATGGCCTCGTCCTCGACAACCACAACTGGAAGCTCGACACTTGCAACAGCGACATGTCTCCATGTTCCCCCCGGTAAAAATGGCTATTTACCACCTGAATCATGCGATGTCGTGCTGTACTACGTTCCCTCGTTCGCGGCGGCGGTGCTGTTTTGCGTTCTATTTGGAATGAGCACATTGTTGCACTGTGTCCAATCTCTTATTTATAAGAGGGTCAGTTGATAAATTCCTTCCATCTTCAATGAACCTTACCACTTCAGAGTCAGACGTGCCATGGAAAAACGAGAGCTGATGGATTATAATATTGTCCCAGACGTACATGTGGGTGTTGATCATGGGTGGAGCGTGGGAAGTACTGGCATTTGTGTTTCGAACATTGCAGACTCGACACCAGAACAACGGAGACTGGGACACGCTATTCACTTTGTTCTTCCTGCTGGCTCCTATCTGTCAGTATTTTCAATCTCTTGTACTGGAAGCACGCGGCATGAATGGGCGTCGATGAAAAAAAAAAAAAAAAAACAAAAAAAAAGCAACAAAAAACAAACAGGAGGCTTCTAGGACTAACGCACATCAACCAGGGATCAACGCCTTTCTCTACATGACGCTCGGCCGCATGATCTACTTCTTCCTGCCCGAGAAGAATCTGCACGGTATCTCTGCGCGTCGCTTCGGCACGATCTTCGTCTGGCTTGACATCGTCGCCTTTCTCGTCCAAGCGGCCGGGGCCATTCTTGCGGGTAACCAGGACAGCGACACCGGGTCACTCATCACCACGGGTCTGAACATCTACATGGGCGGCATTGGGCTGCAAGAGGCCTTTATTCTTTGCTTCTTGATTCTCGCCATCAAGCTGCACAGGCGGATGCTTCGATTGGAGCGTTCCGCAGACGAACCCAACGAGAGACTGACCAAGACGCCGCTTAACTGGAGATGGTTGTTCTATGGACTCTACTTTTGCCTGGAGATGATCACGGTGAGTTCGATGTTCCACACCCCCAAGTAGCACCGGGACTTGTCGGGGATGCGGTCCCCGGGCACATTGGACTGATTATTTCGCGGGATATGTTTCCAGATCCGAATCATCTTTCGAATCAGCCAATACGCCCAAGGCACCTCGCCTGGCAGTCCCGTACTGACGACTGAAGCCTACGAATACGTCTTGGACGCCGTGCCCATGTTCCTTGCCATGCTGGTGTTGAATGTCATTCATCCGGGACGAATCCTTCAAGGCCCGGAATCGGGATTCAGTGCGATTCGCCGCGCGGAAAAGCAAGCGAAAAAGGACAAGAACGAGGAGAGGAAAAATGCCAAGGAAGACGAGAGGATGGTCAAGTACATGGCTAAAGAGGATAAGAAGCGACGGAAGGGAGAGACGAAAGCCAGTCCTACTGAGTCTTCTACCCGGCCGGCTATGGTATAATAAGAAGAGACAGATCGTCCAGTAAAAAGGGACAGGAGGACCGCTTTGTGATGAGACATGTGAAATTTTCAGTCCTCCGTTATGTCGATGGACTTTCGAGGCGAGAAAGTCTATAGTAGTTGACCAAATAAGATCAAGCCTCCCCCTTCTCAAACTATCAATGTGAGGGCCTTAGAAAGCGCGTCAATCCCCGTGTTCAACTAAATGCCAGCAAGCCGCAGGAGATTGATCTTTCTAGAAAGGTCGCTTGGAGTGACAATAGATCGAAATGATAGGAACCGGCTCCTTGTTAGTGTGGTCGCCGGGAGGCAGTAGAGAGTTTCGACCGGTGCAAGAGGAGCCACTGGAAACCAACATTTATGAGAATCGTGGCCTTGAACATCAATCTCAAACCAACACAGATTTATCCCGGAGACACGTACGTGAAGACTCGGCAATGCTTTCGAACCGAAATAGTAAACACATCCCTACACCCCCAGAATGTCAGCACGCCCCATCATGTCTTCCGATGACCGGTCTGCAAACCACAAGAGGAAAGAAAGGGGATGCTCACTCTTCATCAATTTCTTCGCAATCGTCCAACGTCACAGTCTTTCCGAAACTTCCATCCTCGGTCTCGATTCCGACCTATCTCACGAGAAAAAAAAGTAAGTCCAAATCAGCTCCTTTGAAACCAGACCCGGTCGGGAAAAACGCCCAGCCTAGATGCACGGTAAACCTGGTCGAATCGAGCTAACATACCGTCGTCTTTTGAGCGGCTTCCTTGGCTGTGACGGCGAGGAGCATGAAGCTCAGGACGGATAGTTGCTTGAGACCGTACATGATGGAATTTCTGGGGCTGAAAAAAAAAGTTGTCTTGCTCTCGACTGAGTGAAGGAGGCCAATGCTGTGCAGTTGAGATGATAGTTTTACCGGAAGATGCTTGCTTTCGGTCGAAGCGAATGTTTTCTTCGGGGTATTTAGGGGTGAGGCATTGTTTGTTATTGTGGTTATCCCTTGCGTGCCCGGAACGGTCTTGTTGGCCATGGATAGGGGTGAAGACTTGTTGTATAGAGAGATCTCAGCTCCATGAGATACTACATGGAATGCTGCTCGAGGGAAGATTATTCCTCAAAGACAGGGACAATCTCTACGGGTAGAAGCGAATGTAATGGTCTATGGTGAATGGTTGCATCCACGTTTGCATGAATACTCGAGCGAAGAATGGCTAAATTGACTACTCCAAGGGATTTTGCAAAGCACTCGGTCTGCGGGGGAAATTTGACAGGTCACATGTCCGAACCACAAGCCCAGTCGAGTGTCAAGTAGGCAACGGTACTGTAGCTTGGGAAGTGCTAAACACAGTTCACGAACGGTCTGAACATTGTTACTTGGAAGTACGTTGTAAGGTCGTGAAGAAGTATTGATCGCGCGCGCGAGGCGTCAAATTTCAAGAATACTTCGGTTATGTGTTATGACAAATCCTTGGATACACGCCACTGGCTTCGCTGTGGCTGCGCTGTGGCTGGGGCTGCTGCTCTCTCGTGAACTGTCATTCTAGACAGTCCGACGGTAATTCAGGATTCACCGTCAAGGAGGAGGCTCCTGACTTTGAGAACTCCAGATGAACAAGATTCCACCCCATGCCGTCTCTCCGCTGGCGAGTAGCGGCCAAACGAGTGCGAATTGAATATCCATCTGACCTGACGATCATTGGCATGGACGGTGGTTTACGGTGTATTTCGCTTCATGCAATTCTCACCTTTGGCCAGTCTTTCCATACTAGATAGCACTGAACCTTTCAAATTGTCTTCTTCAGCATCGGTTTACCGACTCCCGACCTAGAAGACGAGGAGTGGGAAGTTGAGGTCAATGATGAGAAGACAATTCGAAAGGTCCAATACTATCGAGTCAAATGGAAAGACTGGCCGTCGGATGATAATGAGCAAATATCCGAAGGAGATATGACCAACGCGCGGCAAGCGATCCAAAAATTCGAAAAGACGCAAAAAGGCCAACGGCCTCAATAATCACTAGATTGCAACAGAAACGCAATCAAAACGGCGTGCTCTTGCGTGGGATTCGCGTGGTTATGAATGTGGACCGACTCTACACGAGTCAAAAAGTATTGGCGACGCGTCCTCTCCCAATCCGAGTCCCCCATATCGCCGGGCCGACGGCGGCGGAGTGAAGTCCTTGACTGGTGACTCCATGAGCTGCAGTTCCAATGGGATTGGAGCTGCAATGCGCTGTATGCTGATTATTGAACTTTTCCAGATCGAATGGCAGGCCTGATCAAAGCGTCAGACGCCCACAACTACCCATTGCGAGGGAAATCACAAAGATGAGATGATCGCCGCAGCAATAGCGGAGATACACGCCATGCGACGTCGCAAACGACATGACCACTTAGCTGGGCGAGACGTTCAATCTCACGCGTTTCCCAGATGTTCGATTCCAGGCCCCCGTCATTATGGTATATTTCGCCTTTCAACCTTCGAAATAGAGGTGATGGATGCCGCGCGGGAGCTCTGGCTTCCCCGTTGGTTTCATGTCACAACACCATAAAGGATGTCTTTCGTTGCAGTAGGGGAGGCAAGACGAGTGAAAATCGGTAGAAAATATATTCAATTCTAAATCATGTGCAGTCGCAGCATCGCGCGCTTTATTTGGTAATCCATCCCCAAACCCTCCAGTGCCAAGCCTTTGGAGGTCCGGTATCTTTTTTATACTCAATGCGACCCGTATCCAAGTCGGCCTCCGCAGCCTTGACAAATGAGGGCCGCACAACAATCTTGTGGGCAACATACAGGACCACGAAAACAATCGGGCAGATGTACGCCACGAAGAAGTTGCTCACATCAAAAGTGGGAATAAAGGCAGTAAAGCCCTGAGTCAAGGCGATGAGAATGTTGAAGAACAGACCGTACCACGCCAGATAGGGTTGAAGAATGGCCTTGTACGGGAGGGTGTCGCGGGAAATTTTGCGGGCAGCCAAGGCGCGCATGAATGCGATATGGCATGCATTGATCGACGACCAGGTGATGAATCCAGCCACACTAGACAGGTTGACGAGCCAGTTGAAAACCTGTCCAGCATCGTTGGAAACATTCATGAAGCCGAGAAGGCCAAAGAGGGCCGTAAACATTACGCTGACATAAGGCACACCGCCCTGGGTGGTCCGGGCGAAGATCTTCGGCGCAAAGCCTTCATGCGCCAGTCCAAGCAGAATACGACTGCCGCTATACACGTTGGAATTGGCCGCAGACAGAACGACTGTCAGGAGTACAACGTTGATCAGGCTTGGCAAGACTTTGACACCGGCAAGATCGGCCGCAATCACCATTGGCGATGAGGACGCATTGGCAGTAGTAGTCGCCAGTCGATCGTTGGTATAAGGCACAAGAAGGCCGATGAAGAAGATCGTGAGGACAAAGAACAGCAAGATACGCACAAAGGTCTTGCGAATAGCAGACGGCACAGTTTTCTGGGGATTCTCGGTTTCTCCAGCTGCGACGCCGACGAGTTCTGTGCCCTGGTAAGAGAATCCGGCTTGGATCAAGACAGACCAGAATCCCACGAACCTGCCAACGGAGATAGGCTCTTCAATCAGATGCGTTGCAAAGGCGCCAGGGTCATGCCAATACTTAAAGCCAATGTAGCCTTGGTCACCTACACCGACATCGATACAGATTGCGAAGATCATGAATCCGATAACTGTAATCACCTTAATCGCCGCAAACCAGAATTCAAGCTCGCCATAAAAGTTCACGGGCAAGAAGTTCAAGGCAGTAATCAGCACCCAGAACACACCGATGAAAATTGCGATATTCAGAGTGGGATCCCAGTATTGAATGATCGTTCCAGTAGCGGTGAGCTCCACGGCAAATGTTGAGGCCCAGTTAAACCAGTAAATCCATCCCATAGAGAAGCCGAGGCTAGGATCGATAAGACGAGCGGCGTACGAGGTGAAGGCACCGGGGATGGGGATATAGGTCGCGACCTCACCGAGAGAGGTCATCACTGAGTATACGATCGATCCGACAAAGAGATAGGCAATCAAGGCGCCTGCCGGGCCCGAGTTTGCGATGGCCGTGCCACTAGAGATGAAGAGGCCTGGAATTCATGTTAGAGTCTTGTCGATAATTCAAGTTCGCTGGAGCTTGGGTTTCCATGGCGTACCGGTGCCGATTGTGCCACCTGGAAGTTGACTGCCGTTAGTGAAGTCGACACAAACCATGGTGCTCTCGGATGGTTCACGAACCGATGGCAATCATTTGAAGATGGCGACTCTTCAGCTTGCGCTTAAGCTCGCCGGGAGCCGACTTCATCTGGTTTCCCTCTGCATCTGAGGGCTTGATGTCTTGCACCATGTGCTTGTTGTCGGTGTCCAAACCTTCGTCTTTTACCGATTTGCTTGGAGCCGCGGGCGCCGGAGAGACGTCTTCGGACGCCATCTTGTCGTGCTGGTGAACAGAAGGCGCTGCTCAAGATATACGAATGCCGCAGGCCTATTCAAGGGAACTCCACAGACGACAGCTGAGCGACGGGGAAAGGAAACAAAAGACAACTCGGGGAACAAGTGCAAGAATTTTTTTTCCCCCGTCACTCGTCATGTCAGTTTTCAAATTCGCTTGCAGACCCTTGGGTGGGTTTCGTGGTCCATCATGGCAAAAGACAAGGACCCACAGAGTCCTCGTGGAGAGGATTTTTTTAGGTAACCAAAAGGCAGACAGCGTCCGGAAGAAGAAAGCTAATAACGGACTGCGCGGTGCCACTTCGGCAACCCGAGGCGAGCCGGAAATGGTCTAACTTCGGAACGAGCCGTGTGGCAAATAGGGCAAGCCTATTCCGAAGGTGCCTTAGTAGTAGTCCAGCGCCAGAAGACACACTACTCCAGCTCTAGAAGGCGGCTAGCGAAGATGGGGATCGTTTCCAGCGATCTTGCACAATTCGTGGTTCGAAAATTCGAATGAAACCCACAGAGTCACCGCAGCGCGCAGCGCCAAGCTTTCGGGCGCCGGACTGTCACGTGGGCGATCTACGGTAGCATTCGAGCCGGGATTTGCAGGCAACAATAAAAAAGTCAAGGTAGGTAAGGTACCAGGTCCAGTAGACCTACATCAATACTATGATACGACTACCACTCTGTTGAGTCTGTTCTGACTTCTTGATGACGCATCACAAATTCCCCACCCACGTGATGAACACTCAGGGTCCTGTCTCTGGGATGTAGGCCAGACTGAGCATACGGATAACCTCGTGAATCACTTCAAATCACAGCCACAGGGGTCGGCACCGACGTTTGCCTGATTCAGATCTTGGAGGGAACTCCACGGCCAGCTTTAATGTCTCTCTTGGGCCCGACGAAACCGAAGAGATAAGCTGCGATCTTCCGCATCTGAATCTCCTCGGCCCCCTCCGTGATGCGATACCGTCGAAAGTGACGATAAATGTGTTCGAATGGATAATGACGGGAATAGCCGTCGCCACCGTGAATCTAGAAAGTAAAGTCTCTCGTCAGCCCATCGAAACCGAGTTGCTCCCCCTTCTCACCAGAGAGATTCAGTGGGGCGGACAACATACTTGAATGGCACGGTCGGCAGCCTGGCAACATAGGCGGTTGGCCCAGAAATTACACATGGCCACTTTGTCACTGAGCTGACGTTCTATCGCGACCAAAGGCGGTTGAGAGATGTCGCCCGCCTTGCTGGCAGCCACGATGCGATCCATGTCGCAGCTGGTTTTGAGAATGAGCAGACGCAACATCTCGACCTGCGTCATCAGCTCCACTACGGGAAACTGAATGGCTTGGTTGTCGGCCAGCATCTTGCCCTCGCCCCAAATTTGACGCGAGCGTGCACGCTCAATACTGCGGTCGAGGCAGAATTTGGCAGCACCACATGAACTTGCCGCCTGGCGTATACGGTTCTCGTGGACAAATGTCTGCGCGATTGCCAATCCCTGATCGACAGCACCTAGCACCGCCGAGTCAGGGACCCACACTCGATTCAACTCGACGGTGGCATGGTCGGTAGGCATGTTCAGAGTCCACTCATAGCTGGCGATTCTGATACCTGGGGTTTCACGAGGCACCAGAAACGCGGTGATACCACGGGAAGAGCCCGCTAAGCCGGAGGTCCTTGCGAAAATCAAAAAGTGTGTACAGTGGTGGGCCCCCGTTTGCCACTTTTTGGCGCCGCTGATTTCGAATCCGTCCCTTTGGCGACGAGCTATCGTTGTCATGAACGTAGCATCACTTCCGTGATCCGGCTCAGTCAGACCAAAGGTTGTTCGAAACTCTCCCTGCAGGCGGGCTGGGATGAATTCGCCGCGCTGTTCGGAGTTCCCAAAATGGTGAAGCATGAGCACGTCGGGGAAATTGCCGACAATGCTGTGCTCATTCTGTAGATCGTTGGCGAGACCGAGACCGCCCCCGTAGACAGGATGTGAGGAGAGATGAAAGCGAATAGCTGACATCCACAGATTGGTGTCTGGATGCCCCTGGCCCCCGTATTGCTTGGGCAGCGCAAACCGGAAGAAGCCAGCTTCATCGGCGAGGATGCGGGCCTGATCTTCAATTTTGTGAGCTCTTGGCAAGCCCTCCCATTGTGGTACAGACCCTTAGAGCAATACTCACTCAACAGATCTTCCCATTCTGGCCTTGGATTGCCGTCGTGATCCCAATCCGTGCGCGAGTGTTCGCGTCGATGGTCGAAGAACCGGTTGTTGTCGTCTGCATGCTGCAATGGCAAGATTTCTTTCTCAACAAAACGCTCAATCGACTCAATGTAATGGACTAGCTCCTTAGGCAATTCGAAATTCATTTCGACGCGTCACAAGTTCAGGATTGCAACATGTGCTCTACGGGCTTTTTCCACCACATTGCCAGAAATGCTGAACTCAACGCGCCACATTTCCCCGCATTTCGACCTCGGCCCTGTCGGCCGCGGATCTGTCCCGATACCTGATCAACTTATGCTAAGGCAGGAATAGGTGGGGGATGGAATGAGTAAGTTTGGGACGTTCGTCACTCTCCAAGAATGTATAACTCTGTGCATTATTTTTTGAGGTTCGACGTTGTCACTGTGTATTCAATCGAGATGACAAGTACACTCAATTGATCAAAAAGACATCCAAAAGCTTTGACGAATGAAGTTTCTTCGAGGCCGCGAGTGAGAGATATGGGCAATAGACCAGTATGTCATTTTCGCCCACCCGATTTTCAGGCCAACCTATTGAATCCATGGATTTCCGAGGGTCTATTCACCAGAAATAGCCTCTCGAGTCGGAGAAATAAAAGCCGACTTCCATCATCAATGGATTTCTCACAGTGTACTCCCAAATCGGGCAGTAGTCGAACGAGGAACCATAGATTGTTACACAGGACGGATCAACTTACTCAAATCAATGATGGTCAAGGCAAATCCTACGGGACAAACGCCCCAGCAGAGCCCGGGCCTAGCTGAGGCTATTTTATCTCAAAAGGGGCCGCTTTCTGTGAGCGGGTTTGACCAGTGGGAAACTTGTCTGGTTGGCGGTGGAATTATCCGCAACAAGGCACATTTAGTATGTTGGCGGACTCCCTTGAACGAGAGAGACGAATTCTATTGCAATGTTGCTTTGATCTAATCAAGTCCTTGAGAGGAGACGGAAGGCTAGGAGAGTCCAAAAGGACTTTGCTCTAGGGATGTGAACGGACTGATTACGAGTCAAAACATCTCAAGATGGAAAGGGTTAACTTATTTCTCATAGATTGAGACCACTTCCATGTGAAGCAGAGGAGTGCAGATTGGAAAAGCGTAGAGCAAAGAATGAAGGTTGTTCTTGGAGTTACTAATCATTCATTAAGCATGGAGTGCCTTGAAGTGTTCCTCGAAGTTCAAAACTACCTAACTGCTTCAGTAGTGATGCCAGTTCGAAGTAGTTCGAAGTGTGGATCAGTCAAAATCACTATCATGACCTTATAGGATGGGGCTAGTGGATGGCTCGGCTGGAAATCGAAATGCTGCTCACAAATTCCATAGACAGTGATACTTGCCAATCTACTATCAACTCGGTGGCAGTTGTCCCCATGTCACGATTTGAACGATGGGGTGAAGCATGGCTGAATGTATTGACTTCGTCAAAGCTCAACCTCGGGATACTATTCAGCATTGAAGCTCAGATCCCACTTTCAAACAGAACCGCGGGACTTCCATCTCATACTTAGTCTGATACTCAAGTGCATAAGCAGTGGCCTTTGTAATCGTCGAGCACGTTCGTCGGGCAGCGGATCCTGGTCCAAGGACAGTCAAAGTTCGTCAAGAAAGGCGTGAAAGAGGTAGCGAATTGAGCATACAAAGGTACTAGAAGATATCCTGACTGCTTCATATCATCTCATTTAGAAGCGTACACATGTGCGCATACCACACTATGCACTCAAACATGAATTATCGCCAGTCTCGCCGATCGGCATGCGACCGCTGCCGTGGTTTCAAACTTCGATGTGAGCGCGATCACGCCTCGAATAGATCGTGTGAGCGGTGCCTGAAAGCGCAAGCCGTGTGCACTACGAGCCTCAGCCACCCCGTCTCGACTCTTTCGCAGTCAAGCTCAACTGATCACACGTTATCGAGCCAATATGTGGGGGGTACACTGGGGTATGATCGGCTCTATCTGAACGCTCTTCACAAAACAACCGCGTCAAGGGTGAAGAAACACGCCACCTCGTCAAATACGTTTCGATTCCATGCGAATCAAGAAGTTGATCCATGGACTACTTGTGAGCCTTGGATCAGCTCCTGGGCTAACAACACTGTCCCGTCGCCTTACGCCTACTGGCCGCTTGAGCGGACTGACACCGATCATTCTCCGACTACAGGGATGGAATCAATTGCACCTTCCAATGGGAATTTTAACTACCAAGAAGTAAGCTATTTCCCAAAAACAAATTGAAAGGGCTCGCTCTAATCTGTACCAAAACACAGCAGACTCTAAGTTTGGAGCAATTGCAACCCTATGGTTATTACGACATTCGAAACGAACATATCAGTGTATCTGCTAGCGACACCATCTCCAGTCTGCAATCTTCCTTATCACGACAGATTCAGCCTGAAATTGAGAAGATCGAACTGATTGACGGGATTGATAACTCTATTTCTTCAACCAACAACGAGGGAGCAACCCCAGATGACTCTCCGCTGTACTCTGCCAAGCTTTCGCCCGCCGTCGACCTGAATGCAGTGCAAAGAAGATTGCTCCGTCTCAGTCTTGCAATCTTGGACGATATCGATTCCCTGGAGACAGATGAGGGCTCTGTTTACACTATGGAGACTTGCATCAACTCCACCAATGATCGGCTCGATGATCTGATCCTACGAATGCTGACACATTCAACTGAGCTCCTCACGATTCTGAACTTTGATTCCGCGGCCACAAATGATCATTTGTCTTTGTCTTTCACCAAATATCTGGGACAGTGGAGTCCTTGCGCGCAGCTGTGGTCGACAGATCAATTCATATCGACCGAAGGGCTGGTTATAGGAAGAGCACCTCCCCTTGTCAATTCCGGACATACAACACCAAGAAGCCCATCGCCAGCCGCAGCAGGAACGGTCATGTCACCTGAGAGAGTTTGCATCTACTTATCGATGCTCACAGCCTACCAAAAGTTGATTCGCTTTCATCACATTGTTTATTCCGAACTGAATAAGTTCATTATCAATGCCGATTTCTTGGGGGAAATGGAGATATGCTTTCCTCGGTCCTTATCATTCATTCAAACTGCATTGAGTTCCAACGAGGGCGTCCAGCTTCAGTTACAAGCACTGGTACACGCGTTCAGCAACCTCCTTGACAAGCTTCAGTCTGGCCTGCAATCTCAGTTTAATATGTGTGGGGGTGCTAACAGAAGTAATCACTCAAGCCCATCGTCACTGGATCATTGTGGTCTTGCTTTCATCCATGAATTTCTCACAAAGCAGGACGGTATTGACCCAAATGATGGGTTGCAGGAGAAGTTGAACACCTTGAACAATCTTGTGCTTGGATCGTCTGTGACTTGGGATACATAACAGGCTCGTGTTGAATGCATAGTAACTAGCGGGCACACACCATTGATACTTATCAATCTCCGTCGACTTATGTCTTGAATGCTAGGGACCCTGCTCTTCCATTACTATCTTTGAACTACAAGTGGAGAGACGCTAAAGAAGCTTTATCACAAACCAGAGGGATATCCTAATTTACGATCCCTAATTGCCGCAAGAACTCCAGCTGAATATTGACACCGAAGAGACTGGAACTTCAGACACATAGGATGATTCTCTCGATTGGCTATGTAAATTGAAAGTGCATCTCAAATACCTCAAATACCCTCATGGCATTTCTAGAGACACCACCAATTTTTGACCCGACACGGACCCGCCCTTCAACAACTCGAGCCCATGAAGAATTCCCTGGAACCCTCCCGGAACCACTTTGATCGGGCAGCCCCTTATTTTGCCATCATGAATCAAATGTTCAACAAGTCTATACCAACTTCGGGCCCAAACCCCAATCTCCGCTCGAGCTGGAATACCGTAGGGCTCCGGTAACTGCACACCTTTCCCCGAGATCGCACCTCCCATTACAAGATCATTCTTGATTGTCTTTCGAGTACAAAGATGCTCCTGGTATTGTTCCAATGCGCAATATCTTCCACCCGTGCGGCCAATCGCTTCCTGGCACAAACGTACTGTTTTCGCCTCGGCAAAGGGATCCAGAGCATAACGAAGGGTGTTTTTCGTGGCCATTCGTATATCCTTGGCACAGGTCTCCGACTTGTAGTCGAAGACAAGATCAGCGCCGTAAGCGCGTACCAGGTCGAAATTCCGGGGCGAGCAAGTTGTTATGACCCGATGACCACATCTAGAAAAGAAATGGCCGTGAGTAATTCTGCCTGCGAAAATCAGATAGGACTAGAAAGAACCTTACAATTTCACCATCTGAATGGCTAGAAGACCCACGGTGCTACTCCCGCCATGTATCAAAACGTCAACGGAGGTGTCAGCAGGCGCATCAGGACTGCCCGGTATCTGGAGTGACCAGAACAGTGCAACACCAAGCGTGGCTATTCCAGTGCCTGAAATTCCCAATGATTGCTGGAATGACATGCTCTCAGGAATATGGAAAGGAAAATCCTCGTCGATTCTGAGGTACTCGCAGTACGCGCCCGAGGTTGCATCAGATTGATTTGACCCCTGGACGGCACCGAAGACTCTGTCTCCAGGCTTGAACCGAGTATTCGCAGCTGCTTGACTTCCAAGAGCGACAACGGTACCTGCAAAATCACAACCGTCCCATAGACCGGGAGTTGGAAATCGCAAGGGCATCTTGAAATCACATGGGTTCAGAGCCACCGCCGCGGTTTTCACTAAGATGTGAAATGGTTCCAGACTGGGAATGGGCAACTCCGGCGTGATACGAAGGTTTCCACCTTCATGCTGGATGATGGCCGTCTGTGAGCTGGGGATATCATGGGAAAAGCTCATCTTGAAGCTAATTGCGCCGGTTTCACAGATCGATGGATGATGGTCTGGGTCAGGAGAAAAGTTGGATACTCGGCAAGATATCTCTTTGAAGAGGCCATTTTGTCGAATCTATCATATCCAAACCAGTCGACAATATTCTAGAGCTTTCATGTCTGACCAACGAGGATTGGTTACTATTCAATGGGTGCCTGCTTCTGATGCGATGAAACATCAACCCATTTCGAGCCTAACCAACAACCAGTCGTACCTACAATCAAAACTTCCTCTCGACTTCGTTCAAAAGGCGAAAACGAACACTCCTGCCCCGTCTAGCCTTGTCTCACGATGATTTTTTATCGGCACAATGTTCCTTTTTGAGATTAATCGCTCGGATTTACGCTCCATAGCTTCAAGCGAAGCAAGTTGAATTTTGATATTTGCCTGAAGTACGTCTGGCTCATGACTGATGGTCGTATGGGCTGCAGCCAAACCAGCCGACACTATCATTGTGAGCTCCTCTCAGACGTTATGGGCCCCCGTTTCGCCACACATGGTCCATGGATTATCTGACAGACTGCATCCAGCCCAGGAGGCATACTAAGTCACTCATGAAGCTAGAACTAGGGTCAGACCTCAGTTGTGGCAATAAAAGCTTTGCTTGAACACTCTACAAGACCCCCCACCCCCCATTGTGATTTCAACCAGTTCTACTGTTCCCCATGTTATTATACACGTGTGAACCGAGTCATGGCAGTCGGAGATTACTCGGTTGTATTATAGTCACTAAAGTAATCGATCAATTATATTTGACAATAATCATAATAATCTCAATCCTGGTCCGCCGACCCATCTGCAGATGAGACAGCGCAGGCCACAATGCATCACTGAGTTTGATTTTTAATTTTCTAGCATGAACCCCCGAGTCTGTCGTGTCAGCGCCAAGTACCATGAGGTTTGCGAATCCCTGCCGTGGCAAGCACCGGGAGCAATTCGATGGAGAGAGACTTCACTCGGCGTCAAGGGGACAGACAGGAGCCTGGTCGTTAACCTGGATTCCACCCCGCTTCTTCTCCAAAGTGTCCGGATAGGGGAGTTTCCAGCCCCCTTCCGACTCTGGCACAGATAGCCAGAGTCGCATCAGATGCCGTCGCTTGGCAGGACGTCCATCCTCGTCTTTGGCGTCAGGTGCATGATCTGTGTATGCAGTTCTTGCGTGGAAGACCTGCGAGTTGCTCACAAATTGAATATCACCAGGGTCAAGGATCATGTGCAGAGCGTTTTCCTCACAGGTCCTTTCGAAAACTTCCATGGCGTGTTTTTGCTTCTCAGACAGAGGTGGGATACGCGCGTCTGGGCCTGTGTTGAATCGTGATAACGAAGTCACATTCATTGGGTCGTATCTCGCGTAGACACGAGCCTTGTCCCCGGCACGCTCATTCTCCAGGTAGAAGATGCTACCGCGAATCCAAGGGTCCTGCCCTTCTGAGACCTCTCCCTTGCGATCGAAGTACCAATTTGGCTCGACCAGAGTTTCAACCACGTCTGGATGTTTCTCTTGAAGTATATTGAAAATCTGATGGGTAGAGACAATGTCCGATTCACCACCTGAAAGCGCTTTCGCAATGCAAAGAAGGCCTACAATATCGGTCCCATCGGTGTGGAAATATTGACTGTGGGGAAGTTGTTAGTGCAAAACTCACCTCTTGCGTAGATTCCATTGAGATACGTACCGCGCATTGGTACGATAGATGCGCACCCGGTCAGTCTTGGTTGGGTCCTCCCCCAAATCTTTGACGTGGCCTAGAACATGGCCGCGACCATTTTGACTAGTAAAGTACCCGATGTACGTTCCCAGACCCATGTAGGCCGTTGCGCATTTACGGAGATCCCAGTCTCGAACTGGAATGCCTTTGAAGAGATAAAATCCCTTTCCGTCTAACAATTCTTTCTTTAGTGCCCGCAGCCGCTCGGCGAGTCTAGGTAATGCGAAGTTTGTCTGCAAGGTGTTAGCAAACATCTACTTGAGCCCAATGGCAAAATGGCTTGGCTTGCCTGCGAGATCCCTGTCAGAGGAAGATTTTCTTTAATAAAATTGTCGGTCGCATTACTCAACTCCTCAATCTCCTCAGGCGTAAACGTATGGGTCCAACGCTCGCGGTGTTCACAAAAGTCCTCTGCTTTCCAGACAGTTGGCCCGCTCTGAACTTTGGGGAACGTGGTGTAGGGCCGCACTTGCGAAGCCATAGGGGCATGTTGTCCAGAGGTTTTCAGTCCATCAGGAAATACTGCGAGGTCGATGTGGCCTGCCAGACCTTCGGTAGTGGTGGATGCTGATGTTGTTGACGCCATCTTGAGCAAGTATCAGTGGTCACCTGTCTCTTCTGCCGTGTTGCTCGGATTGGCGCAGAACTATGCCGACATGCGATGCTCGTCACAAATGAGTGCATACCATTGCCGTTGATGGAGCGAATAGAAGCACCTGGCTACCTCTGCGAGTCTTTTATGCTATTTTTGTAGTCAAGGTCTCCGCGACCCCGCTTCCCCGCATCAATCAGGTCGGGGTTACCGGCTACTCGGCCAGACGCCCGGACGACCTGCACACTGTGCGCTCGGTCTTCCTTCCGTGAAATAGCAGCCATGGGTATCTACGATCACATTCGCAGAGACTGCGATTTGAGATTGAGATCCGTGACGGAAAAGTTTCCATTATCATCCAGGGTGAGGTAGATTGACCACTGGCGACCATCGGCAGCTTGATGTTTGCCATAAATATCTTGAACAGAAGAAGTCTCATGATTTGTCATGCACTTGATCGTTCGATGAGCAACCAATTGTTCAGACTTTGGTTCTCGTAATAGGTCATGGGAATGAAGATCATCGAACCAGAAAACGTGCGTGCAGGACGCGGTATGCTTGACTTCGCTCTAGGACATCAGCCGGGGCTCACGTGAGAATCTGTCTAGGTGCATGAAGCGACCGTAGAGGCCGCCGGGTGCGAGAGATCGGACCCACAGGGTTTATCTGGGATCGAAAACCTGCTATCTCCAGGAACCAAGCACCGAGTGGAGATTCAGATCTGGTCATCCGCTATTGTTTAAGTGAGCTCGAGACCAAGGACAATCCAGCCCTTTTACATAATCATGACTGATACTTTTCAAGGGTATCACAATAATGTGGTTCAATGGCCTTCCAAGTTTGAAAGCCTCGCGCGGACACGCCGTCCGTTGTAAGCTAGTTACACGGTGGAACATGTAGCACAGATCAACACCAGAAAAGACATTGTTCTGTAAAACCCTGCGCCTATAAAAGCTCCTCCGCTAAGAGTGAATCAAATCTGAAGAGGAAACCCTCTTGCCCACGTCCCGCCCTTTGAGGTCTGAGCTTATGACATATCACAGTCCTTTCAAGTCGTTGCCACATCCCGGATTTGTCGTCAAGATATGCACACTGCGTGGTCGAACCGACGAGCTTGCCCAATCCGGGTGAAGAGAATACTGACGTCACCCCCACGAAACCCGTCCAACACTGGGACATAGTATGTATTTATATGGAGCCGAGGAAGGGCCATTGAATCGTCAAACCCAACAATTATCAAAGCCCATCAACTATTCTCAAAGTCCATTATTGATCTACCCCCAAATCCGGCGACATGGTCAAAGACGACAACACCGTTATCAGGTATGCGTGACGACGCGAATCGCACATCACGCGAAGCGCTAACAGAAAGTCTCCACCTGCAGCGAGTTCAATGAGCTCGTGAACATGACGCCCAAAGAACTCCGTGACTGGCTCAAGGAAGAATCCTCCCAAGAGTCTGGCTGGGGCGGCGAATCAGGCGAGACTGTCGGCCACGAGAGGTAAGCCATCATCCACGGCTACTGACGCTCGGCATTTGGGAGCTCATAAGCTGAAACTCTCCATAGCGGTCGAAAGATCGTGAAGATTTTAGAGAACAACCCGGATCGAGACCCTTCGGGATACGATAAATCTGATCTGGAACACATGCGCAAGGTGGTCGCATACTGCAAGCGGCATCTTGCCCAAGAAGAGAAGGCCAAGAAGAATCCTGACAGCAAGAGCTACAAGTCGCTCAAGAACTGGGGGCATGACCCATTGAAAGCCTAATTGGGCGTCATCGTGGATATGTATAATCTTTTTGAAAAGACAGGCGTACGGGAATAATGCGGAGGTCACATGAGGAACCTTTTAGGCTTTACAATCACTGTCTTCAGTACCGCTAATTGTCCAGTCAGTTGTATCTGGGGTATCGCTCTCAACTGGCAACCTTGAAAGAGTCGAAAGATGCTGTAGATCCGAAGATATCATTACCTGCGCCGGGCCGCCACGCTACGTGGGATATAGCAGCCAGCTGCCCCCACGTGTGTGGGGGCTCCTAGCAAGGGAGGCCGCACTCTTAGTCTGTTGGCATCAAATGCCGACGAAAGCGTGGCTAGCTTTGACGCATGAGACCTTGACCTCCCAGCAAATGTACGCGGGGGTGCCGAACCTGGGGCAACGAAATGCCAGGGCTGGACCCCTCCAGTAGCAGAACTGTGCAGCTTGGCAAAGGATCCGTGCACATGAAGAGGGGACTGCCAGAACTTTGTTCGAGAGACCGGTAGAGTTTGTTGAGTTCCCATGGCCCGAGAATCGCCGTGTCGCGGTCAGTCCTATATTCTTTCGGTGTGGCACGCTCGCGACAGGAGCAACGAGGCATGGATGTCTCTTACCTGAGAGACCACCACACTCTGGGGTCGTATACAGCGTCTCCACCTACCCATGCTATCTGCCCTACGCAGCATTACCATGTCGGGATTGGAAGGGTATGAATAATGTTACGGGCAAAGTTCGGAAGAAGCGGCCTGCCAAGCTCCGATGAGGCATGTCCCGGCGTCACGGGACTTGATTCGTAGACCTCCTGTTATCTTCGAGCACAGTCCCATTTGATGATCGGCTTCTTCTAGCGGTCAGTCACCAATGAGATGGTCGGTTTCTGGCGCCACCGAACACAGTTTCACGTCTGGCTTTCGCTAGTTGGCTCCTGTCCGTCGGCTGAGACCAACGCGGCAACGTGGGGGGCCCGGACGCGGGGAAGAACTACCCCCACTGGGAAGGATCGTGGTCAATCTTCTCGTGTCTGGAAAAGCCAGAACGTGGGGGAAAATCTGGGGAGACAGATATAAGGCACAGTTTCCCGGATGGCTTGACGGACCATCACCTCACCTGTGCCACAGCTCACACGGCGACATGAACAAACCGATCGTGACTCATGACGAGGGCCCCATGCCAGCCAAGCCAGATCCCAATCTTGAGGGGGAGATTCCCCATGTGCCGTTGACGGAGGAAGACAACAAGCGCATCTGCCGCAAGACCGACCGCACAATCCTGGTGATCTTGATCTGGGTCTACTTTCTGCAGATCCTGGACAAGTCGGTACTTGGATATGGCGCAACCTTTGGCATGCGCAAGGATACCCACTTGACTGGCGACCAGTATTCCCTGGTGGGATCAATTGCGCCAATCGCCCAGCTGGCCTGGCAACCCTTCTCGTCCTATCTCATTGTCAAAGTACCTCATCGAATTCTCATGCCCTCCTTGTGCCTGGGATGGGGCATGGCTCAAGCATGTATGGCGGCCTGCCACAATTTCTCGGAGTTGATGGCGGCGCGCTTTTTCCTGGGATTGTTTGAAGCTGGATGCCTGCCACTCTTTGGAGTCATTACCAGTCAATGGTATCGTCGTGCCGAGCAGCCGCTTCGCATTGCGGCTTGGTATGGCACTAATGGACTCGCGACTATTGTGGCGGCTGCACTGTCTTATGGCCTCGCCCACATCAAGTCTGATATTCTGGAGTCATGGCGAATGTAAGTTGCCGCCACGAACTTTTGCCACTCGGCTCGAACGGACCCTGACACATTCATGCAGTATTTTCCTCTTTGTCGGCCTAGTGACGATTGCCTCCACCCCTTTCGTATACTGGCGTCTTGACAACGATGTCTCCACGGCCCGCTTCCTTAACGAGGAGGAGAAGCTGCAGGCAATGGAACGTCTCCGAGCCAATCAGACAGGCCTTGGCAGCACTGAGTTCAAATTCAGCCATGTGGTCGAAGCGGCCATGGAGCCCAAAACATACCTGTGGATCGCCATGGCGATGCTGCTAAACATCGGTGCCAGTGTCACTAACACCTTTGGTCCATTGATCATTGGCGGCCTGGGCTACGACAAATACACGACTAGTCTACTGAACATGCCCTTTGGTGCCGTTCAGCTCTTCGTTATTCTGCTTTCAAGCTATCTTGCTCAAACGGCACGGCTGAAGGGCGCTGTCCTTGCCTTCTTTATGCTTCCTGTTGTGGCCGGGCTGGCCCTTTTGTACGCGATTCCTCGGACCAAGGCCGATCAAGGCGCATTGCTTGCTGGGTACTATCTGCTCGGCTTCCTCTTCGGTGGCAACCCCCTGGTGGTGACCTGGATCGTCGGAAACACGGCCGGGAGCACCAAGAAGTCGGTCGCCATGAGTCTTTACAATGCTGCCTCGTCAGCCGGCAACATCGTGGGACCATTGCTTTTCACCGCAAAGGATGCCCCCGCATATCTTCCCGGTCTACGTGCCTGCTTGGCAATTTTCAGCGCGATGGTCGCCGTAGTGCTCCTCCAATGGGCCAATCTCTGGGTCCTGAACAAACAACAGGCCCGTCGGCGTGTCACCAATGGGAAGAGCGCTCATATTGTCGACCATTCGATGCAATCCCACTTCCACGGTATCCAAGAAACCCGGGGCGAGTCTGAGACTGGAGAGCACGTGGAGCACACCGGTGCTCATGGCGCTGATGATCTGACTGACCGACAAAATGATGAATTTGTATATATTTATTAGCCTTTTCTGACTCTTATGACGCCCTGATGCATGATGTTGGTGTTTGACTCTGTATGGTCAATCTCATGTTCTTGTTGATTCCCTTGAAATTGTCTTGTTTCTTCGCCTACGTAGTCAGCATAAATTTTTCGCTTTCGATCTTTGTATCAGGCCATTGACCATCCGCCGTCCGCTTTAGCAGAGACTCAGGCATTGCGTGAATCTGGCCTATTCTGGGGCATACTACCTACTCGAGCCCATCCCGGCAAAGAGACGAGCTTGGTTGTGGGCTACATCTGGATCCTTCTTCTCTGGCCCGAGGGTGTCTACCTAGATGGCAAGGATCGAAACAAGTTGTGTCTTGCCCGCCTGCAGTGGCTACATTATGGCCATCTCAGCGGGAGCGGGGAATACCCAGTTCTTGCAGGGATTCTGTTCTCTTTGATTGAATTCGACGAGGACGATGCTCTTGAAGACCCGATGAGTGAGTTCTGGGTCGCATTCCTCGCCGTCCGAGACAGAATCCAACATCCAAGACAAATTCATATCCATGACAATAAGGTGGCGCATGATAAGATGCAGCGTGGCATCGGCCACGCATCCACCTTACGTACTAAAGCGCGGATACCACGTTACCAATATCAGTTTCGATTCCGTCCACACAGTGGCCGACTTGCATTTTCGCGTTTCGGAGAGCGTTAGGCGATGATAGCCTGCATGCCTAGCGTGGCGTTGAGGCCGCTGACACGGTCATTGCGGAGCCCAGACGCCGCGTGTTAGTTCTGAACTAGATCTCAATTCAAAATATATTGTCATTACAGGAGCTGAGACTATCGATGCATCGATCCTCTTACGCCTATGCTGACAATGTTGAACAATGGCCCTTTGTCTCGCGGATGGCCGCAGAAGCCCTGGCCAGAGGAGATGGCCTAGATGCCCAAGGCATCAACACATCTGGTGGGCCACGCCGCGCTGCAAGCAAGGTTGTCTCTTCTGCCCCAAGCCCTGCGCTTGTGGATGTCGTACAGCAATTGAACACCATATTATTGACTTGGATCAGACTTGGCTCCTATTTGATGCCGTAACTGGACCCCTGGACCGGTATCAAAGAGCATGGCAATCTCGAGCGTGGCAGAGCGCCATGCTTGCGCTAGCTCTATACCCTCCACGCGTGCATGGCTGGAATCGTGACTGCCCACTGAGACAAGACTCAATATTACACAGACATGACTCGCACGTTTCGTGTTTATTTCGGATTCGGAGTCGGAGGCCTCCAAATAAGGATGCCTTATGACGTGGTTGTCATTTCTCCAGCGGCACGGCCGCTCCGACGTACCTCGTGGCATTGCCTTGCGATGACTCGACTCACTCGAGACTGAGACTGCATTCGATCACGCAGCAGGATCCAAATGTCCTCAAGAACTGATGCAGGGGAGATATCCGGAGTTTGAAGGGTCATCGATGAGGTCGCGATGGTGATTCGTCAATTATTCCTTGCCATAGTGCAATGACCAGGGCAGAATCTCACTTTGTGAAACTTGTACTGACAGATCCGAGTCATGGACCGTTCTGGATTCTAATAAGCGAGAAATGGCTCAGTATATGGCGGCAATCGATACCGAAAGACATATTCTCATTGTGTCATATGCATTCAGTCTGTTCTCAGGCCTTCCTACTTAAATGGTCGTCACAGCCCCGTGAAATCATTGATCACATACCGAGCGAACTGAACTATCACGTCTTGCTAGACTTCAGTCAAACGCTTTATAATGGCCACACCATTGAACCAGGCTGCCGCCGAGCCTATAGCGATTGTGGGAAGTGCCTGTCGATTTCCGGGAGACGCGACATCCCCTGCAAAGCTTTGGCAGTTGCTCAAGGAACCTCGTGATGTCCTCAGTGAGATACCTGAAAGTCGTTTCAACACGAAGACCTTCTACCACCCTGACGGCTCCCACCATGGTACCACGAACGTGCGTCACTCGTATCTGTTGTCTGATGACCATCGATTATTCGACGCCCAATTCTTTGGCACGAAACCAATCGAAGCGAATTCCATTGATCCACAACAACGCCTCCTCCTTGAGACAGTGTATGAGGGCTTGGAGTGCGCAGGGATTCCGATGGAAAAGCTGCAAGGATCAAACACAGGTGTCTATGTCGGATTGATGACGAATGACTACGCCGACATGTTGGGCAGAGATGTTCAGAATTTTCCAACCTACTTTGCGTCTGGAACGGCACGAAGTATTCTTTCCAATCGCATCTCTTACTTCTTTGACTGGCATGGGCCGTCAATGACAATTGACACTGCATGCTCTTCCAGCCTTGTCGCTCTTCATCAAGCAGTGCAGAGTCTGAGAAACGGAGAGAGCAACGTCGCGATAGCAGCTGGGACGAATCTTCTGCTCGGTCCTGAGCAATATATCGCGGAAAGCAAGTTGAAAATGCTCTCGCCTACAGGTCGCTCTCGCATGTGGGATAAAGATGCGGATGGTTATGCTCGAGGTGATGGTATCGCCGTTGTTGTTCTGAAGCCCCTCAGCCGTGCATTGGCCGACGGTGACCACATTGAATGCATCGTTCGTGAGACTGGTATCAATCAGGACGGGCGTACGAAAGGCATTACCATGCCGAACCCAGTAGCGCAAGCCAGTCTTATCCATGAGACCTATGCTCGAGCTGGGCTCGACTTGTCACGAGAATCTGATCGACCCCAATACTTTGAGGCTCATGGCACCGGTATGTTCGTGGATAGTGAACTTATCAGGTTATACAACCAAAGCTGACAATATCAAAGGAACACCCGCGGGCGACCCCGTGGAAGCCCAAGCAATCAGCACGGCATTCTTTGGACCCCAGCCAAACTACTACCGAACTAGCGACAAGGATTCACCGCTCTATGTGGGCTCGATCAAGACCGTAATTGGACACACTGAAGGAACAGCTGGCTTGGCTGCCGTGTTGAAAGCCTCCCTTGCTCTACAGCACGCCACGGTACCTCCAAACCTCCTGCTGAATGAACTCAATCCAACAGTGAGGCCATTCTACAAAGATCTTCGGATTCTTCAAAAGGATCAAAAATGGCCAGACACAACCGCTGGGGGGCCTCGCCGTGCGAGTGTGAACAGTTTTGGGTTTGGCGGCGCGAACGCTCACGCAATTCTCGAATCCTTTGATAATCAGCGTGCGACTGCCGATGACGCCAAGCCTGCAAATAGCGGCATCCTGCCGTTCAACTTCTCTGCGAATTCAGAAACGTCACTGGTTGCCATCCTCGAAGCTTACGCAGCTCATCTCAGAGCAAATTCTGACATCGATCTCCGTGATCTTTCTTGGACTCTGAACGCTCGCAGATCAACCCTGCCTTTCAGGATATCAGTCTCGGGATCGGACGCGGTCGACCTTGCCACGAAGCTAGAGAAGGCTGCTCAATCAACATCGGAAATTTTGCCTTCAAGTAAGACAAGATCCGTTAAGAAGCCAAAGCTACTCGGCATCTTCACTGGTCAAGGAGCCCAGTGGGCGAGAATGGGAGCAAATATAGTTTCAAGCTCACAAATGGCTTCCGACTGTATTTCGGAGCTCGATCTGGCTCTCCAAACTCTTCCCGAACAAGATCGACCCTGTTGGACACTTCGTGATGAAATTGCCAAGGATTTACGCTCATCTCGTATTGGGGAGGCCCTTTTCTCACAAACACTTTGTACTGCAGTTCAGGTAATGCTCGTACAGCTCTTGTGGGCTGCCGGTGTTGAGTTCACTGCCGTGGTCGGTCACTCGTCTGGTGAGATTGCTGCAGCATATGCAGCAGGCTACATCAGTGCAAGTGATGCCATTAGAATTGCATACTACCGTGGCTGGTCATTGCGGCATACTGGCGACGAGCAAGGAAGTACAGGTGCCATGATGGCCGTCGGAACATCTCTGGAAGATGCACAAGAACTCTGTGGAATGCCGTCTCTCGAGGGCCGTGTCTGTGTTGCGGCTGCTAACTCACCAGCCAGTGTGACTATCTCCGGTGATTTCGACGCTGTACTGGAAGCTAAGGAGATATTTGAGGACGAGAAGAAATTTGCACGCTTGCTCAAAGTTGACAAAGCCTATCACTCACATCACATGTTACCATGTGCCGCCCCATACATTGCTGCTATGCGCAGATGCGGCATTGATGTTGAGTGTCCTCGGTCTGACCGGAAATCTGCGTGGATCTCCAGTGTGTATGTCCGAGACATCAATGATGTCACTGACAGTCTTGCCGACACCTACTGGAGCAATAACATGACAAACCCGGTCATGTTCTCCCAAGCTATTAGTCACGCTGTTGCTGCTCATGGACCCTTTGATATGGGACTGGAAGTTGGACCCCATCCTGCACTGAAAGGCCCGGCCTTACAGACGCTTCAAGAAGTCTCTGGAAGCTCGATCCCCTACTCGGGTGTGCTTTCTCGCGGAAAATGTGACCGGGAGTCTTTTGCTGCTGCGCTGGGCGCTCTTTGGGCCAACCTTGGAGAGCATGTCGCCAACTTTACCGCTTTCGATAGGGAAGTGAGTGGTAAGGGGCGGCCACCAAAGTTGCTGAAAGAGTTGCCGTCTTATGCATGGGACCACGATCGAGTATATTGGCACGAGTCCCGAATCTCCAGTTCGTCGCGTGTGAGTGGCGGGGGTTTTCATCTTCTATTGGGAACAAAATGTCCCGATGGCACAGACAAGGAGCTCCGATGGCGAAACTATCTCAACACAAAAGAAATTCCGTGGCTTGTGCATCATCAAGTTCAAGGTCAAATTGTTTTTCCTGCTGCAGGCTATATCTCTGCTTTGACTGAGTCTCTGATTCAGCAGTATGGAATTGAAGCAATTCACCTCATTGAAATTGAAGACTTCATCATTGGCCAGGCTCTGGTCCTCGAAGAGAACGCGAGTACGGAGGTTGTCTTCACACTTACCATATTCGACTCGAGCGACAAGTCTTTCACAGCAAGTTTCAAATGCTATTCTGCAGGTACCAAAGGAGCTTCCACCTTGTTGCTTCATGCATCTGCCCAAGTTCAGGTGATATTGGGAACTTCTGATGCCTCCGCACTTCCTGTCAATCCCAGCCCGTTGGCAGCCTACCTACAAGTTGAACAGGATCGCTTCTACAATTTTGTTTCAGTTTTGGGCTTTGGTTATACTGGACCTTTCCGTGCCCTTACAGACTTGACTCGTAAGATCAATGAGTCCACGGGAAGGATCTTGGTCTCGAACAGCGACGGTGCTGGCCAGCCGTTGCTTGTTCACCCCGCAACATTGGACTGTGCTATACAAGCCATTATGCTTGCGTACTCATTCCCGGGAGATGGACGTCTACGCTCTCTATACCTCCCAACAAAAATTGATCGTCTGAGAATCAATCCAGTCCTATGCCGGGACAGCGCCGGTCCTGGTTCGTTGATACCTTTTGCTGCTTCGGTTGCTAAGTCAAAGTTCGCGGAACTTTCTGGGGACGTTGACATTTTCTCGGCCGATGGAAAAAACACGCTCATTCAGCTTGAAGGCCTTCATACCACGCCTCTTACACAATTGTCCCAGTCGACAGATGTGCCTATGTTCACAGAGATGACATGGGCCCCTGAAAGCCCTGGATGCCGTGCAAACAACGACATACTGTTGGGCTTGTATGAAGATCGGGCCCGCGCTGTGGACTTGGAAAGACTGGCTCATTACTACCTTAAAAGTCTGGCCAACTCTGTTACCGAGTCACAGAGATCGCAGGTTAAGTCCCCCTTCGTCCAGCTTCTGTCATACGCAGATCACTCAGTTGCACTTGTCAAGTCGGGCGATCATCATCTTGGGCAAGAATCTTGGGCAAATGGCGAAGATGACATTGCACGCGAAATAATCGAAAGGTGAGGGAGGAAAAATCATGGAATTTACACGAATAATCACGCTGATAAGGCATAGATTGGGATCAAGTCCTGATAGTGAGATCTTACAAGCTGTTGGTCAGAATCTTCCTGCAATTGTTCGCGGCGACCGCAATATCCTCGATATCTTACTGAAGGACGATATGCTGGGCCGCTTTTACGAGACGACTCTCGGCATCGATTCGTACTTAGCTGAACTGAGACGCATTGCTGCTGTGATCGGAAACAAGTACCCCCATATCAACGTGCTTGAGATCGGTATGTCTATTGTGTCTTTCTCATGTGAGTCATGAGCTGACTATTTCTTCAGGTGCCGGTGCCGGGGAAGCAACAGCTGCTCTGCTTGACGGGCTGGGCGAGAGCTTCTCATCATACACGTACACAGACTTCATGCAAGATTGGCTGGACAGAGCTCAAACCAAATTTGAGGTCACGCAAGCCAAGATGGTATTGAGAATCCTGGATATCGAGAAAGATATCACTGAGCAAGGGTATACTGAGAAGTCCTATGACTTGGTGGTCGCATCTTTAGCCCTTTACGCCACCTCCAACACTCAGCAGACGTTGTCAAATGTCCGTCGTTTGTTAAAGCCAGGTGGGTATCTGCTTCTGCTTGAATTGACTGACCCTAGCCTGATGCGATTCACTACAATTCTGGGGTGTCTGCCCGGTTGGTGGCTGGGGCACGAAGACGGGCGAGAGCTTTCACCGTGTCGTTCCCCAGCGCAGTGGCATGATATTATGCAAAAGGCAGGATTTTCTGGCATTGACTGTTCCAAACCTCATGATACAGACCGGCTTGTTCCCTTTTCCGTCATGCTTACCCAGGCGGTTGACTCGCGTATAAGCTTCCTCCGTGACCCTTTTGCTGGAAACCATCACAAGTTCCGTGCTGAATCCTTGACAATCATTGGTGGCAGAACTACCACCACTGCAAGACTGATAGATCAGATTGGAGACCTGTGCCGGCAGAGTTTTAAGCAAATTCGATGCTATAGCGAGCTCGCCGAGGTCAATGCGGATGAGATTTCCTTCATGGGAACTTTGCTCGGCTTGACAGAGCTCGACGAGCCTGCCTTCCTGAATCTGAGTTCTCGGGCCTTGGAAGGTTTCCAGGCACTATTCAAACAAAGCAAGAATGTTCTTTGGGTTGTGCAAGGAGCACAGGGTGACAAACCAGGGTGTAACCTTTTCCGAGGTATACAACGGACACTTGCCATGGAAATGCGTCACTTGAGAATTCAATCTTTGAATTTCGGCTCTCTTGCCGAGACCGACGGTCAACTGATTGCCAAACAGGTCCTCTGCCTTGCTGCTACGGACCAATGGGAAGCAGATGATCAACTAAATGATATTCTCTGGTACACAGAGCCTGAGCTATCGTATCAACAAGGAGAGATGCTCATTCCAAGAATTCGATTAAGCTCATTGCGCAATAACAGATACAATTCTGCCAAGAGGCTGATCGTCAAGGAGGTCGATCGGGAAGTTTCAACAGTCGCAATAAAAAGAGCTCAAGGCTATGAGATCCTGCCTGCAGAGTTGAGCCGGCACCCGGAATTCAGCGACTCAATTCATATCGAGGTCACACACTCGTTACTCCGCTCTATTCAGATCGTCGACAATGACTTCCTTTTCCTTGTGGCTGGCAAACAGTGCGGGACTGAGAAATACATTGTGGCCCTTGCGCAAGAGACACACTCTCGGGTTGTTGTGCCTCGGCAGTGGATCCTGGCTCATCCGGAGTCCAAGAGTGAGGCAGCGCAATCATTACTTCGCATATCCGTCAGTCTTCTCGTTCGCGCTGTGCTCAGTGATATGGTCACTGGGTCGAGCCTTGTCGTGCTGGAGCCTGACTTCTCTGTTGCGTCGGTCATAATTCATCAAGCGTGCCGGGCGGGCATTCAGCTTGTACTTCTTACCTCAAAAGATCGCAATTGCTGCAAACCCTGGGTTTACGTACATCCCCGTGTTACTCAGCGGGATCTGTTGAACAAAATTCCTGGCAGCACCTTCCGAGTGTTCAATGTCGGTGCTGACTGGGAACTGGCAAGACTGGTGAAAGAAGTACTTCGTCTGTCCCGTGGAGTCGACAATGAAGGGCACTTCACTCGTCATGAATCCCAATTATCTTCTCGACTGGACTTGCACTTTGCGGCACTTGAGGCCCTCAAGGTACATCTCTTATTTGATCTCAGCAATGCTCCGGCATATCCCAGAAGGATACCAAGCATTACCTTGCGGGATCTAATGGGAACCAACCTACTGAGTGGGCAACACTTGATCGACTGGGATGCCACTCGCCTACCAACGCAGATTAGACCGGCCACCGAGACTGTCACATTTTCCAGCAGAAAGACGTACTGGCTTGTTGGATTGACCAGTGGACTGGGTCTTTCCCTTTGTGAGTGGATGGCCGGTCAAGGTGCTAGGTATATCGCACTTTCCAGTCGAAACCCCAAAATAGACAGCGCGTGGCTACAAAAGATGGCTTTGCGGGGTTGTACAGTCAGAATTTTCGCCAAGTAAGTTTTCTCTATATCTGGTGACGCAAAGACGGTGGCTCTAACCTCCAACACAGTGATATCACGGATCGTGAGTCTGTTTATGACACACATCGTCACATTTCTGAGTCCATGCCACCAATCGCTGGCGTCGCTCAGGGAGCCATGGTTCTACAAGACACAATGTTCCTTGACCTGGATCTGACTCGCTTCAATTCAGTTCTAAGCCCCAAAGTCCAAGGCAGTCTCTTGCTTGACGAAATCTTCTCAGATGATTCTTTGGATTTCATGATATTCTTCTCATCTATGGCAGCTGTGACTGGTAACCCAGGCCAGGCTGCATACAATGCCGCCAACATGTTTATGGCCAGCTTGGCTGCACAACGACAACAGCGGGGGCTGGTTGCTCATGCCATCAACATTGGAGCAATTGTCGGTAATGGGTACGTGACACGGGAGCTCAACATGTCACAACAGAACTATCTTTATAAGGTTGGCCACACATGGATGTCCGAGCAAGACTTCCGGGAGATCTTTGCTGAGGGAATTTTGTCGTGCCTCCAACGTGATCAGGCAGCTGATATCTGCAGTGGTCTTCGTATTGATGAGGATGAAACGAAAGACTGGGTCACAAATCCTATATTTCAACATCTCGTGATGAAGTCTAACACGCTCATTGAGGACGGGAAGAAAGGAACAGGTTCGATAATGATCAAGGCCCGATTGATTGAAGCAACCAGTGAAGGCGACGCCATGGAAGCTTTGCAAGGTATGCGTTTTGAGTTCCTGTACTAAAAGGACCTGCACAAAGACTAACAAACGTGCACAGATGCATTTTCTGTTAAGCTCCAGTCTGCTCTCCAACTCGATCCGACAAAACCTATCCTTGACATGAGCCCTGACGAACTGGGTGTCGATTCGCTCAATGCTGTGGACTTCCGCTCTTACTTCCTCAAGGAATTAAGTGTAGATGTTCCAGTTCTGAAGATTTTCAATGCAGGGTCAATTCGTGACTTGCTCAAGTTTGTTTTCGGCTGCCTTCCAACTTCACTCGTCCCAAACATCAAGAAAAGTAACGAAGGGCCTTTAAACAAAGAGCAAGCTCCTGAACCATCCACGCCCGCCGATCGCAAAAGCGAGGAGCAGTCTTCCGTGCCAGTGGCGAACAAAGACTCGAGCGACGGAGCAAAGTCATTCCATCTGAGCTACCTGGCGACTGCGAAACAAGCCGGCAGCATTTCTTCTGTATCCGCCAAGGCAGATGATTCAAGCTCCGATCAAGATGGGGACAGCTCCTCGCAAACATCACTTGAAAACGACTCCAATGCGGATGAAAGCAACGTGGTCGAGCGGGTTGCACCAATGTCATTCGGTCAATCTCGCTTCTGGTTCCTCAAGTCACTCGTGCAAGATCAGACGGCTTTCAATGTCACCCCGACCTTTGAGCTTTGTGGTGAGATTGACATTAAGCGATTTGCACGTGCTGTTGAGAGCGTTTGTCAACAACACGAAGCTCTTCGTACATTCTTCTTTGTTGGAGAGGACAAGAAGCACATGCAAGGAGTTCTCAAGAGGTCGCCTGTTCGTCTCGAACACCGTTACATCCAAAGCCAGGCCGATGTGGAACTTGCCACAAATGACCTGAAGAATCATGTGTTTGACCTCGCTGGAGGCGAAGTAATTCGCGTTCAGCTTCTCACACTCGCGCCTGATCATCATTGGTTCCTCATAGGCTTCCATCATATCAATATGGACGGAGTCAGTTTTGAGATTCTATGGTCACAGGTTGAATCTGCCTATGAGAACGACCTGTTTAAGCTCGAATCAGTCCAATATCCTGATTTCACCATACGTCAAATCAAAGAGTACGAAGAAGGTGTCTGGTCGGACGATCTAGAGTATTGGCGATGCGAATTTGAGACGATCCCAGAGGCGATTCCACTACTTCCTTTTTCACTTCGGCCAGCACGTCCGACCGTATCGGCTTACTCTACAATTCGTTCACAACTTCGCATTGGTCTGGATCTTTCCAGGGAAATAGAATCCTGCTGCCGGTTGTTCAAAGTGACGCCGTTCCACTTTCATCTCGCAATGTGGCAAATCCTCCTCCAGCGTCATCTCAATTTGGAGCAAATATGCATTGGCCTCACTGACAGCAATCGGACCGACATCGATATTCTGCAAAGCGTTGGCATGTTCCTTAACTTGCTCCCTCTTAGTCTTTCATTAACCTCCTCCCAATCATTTGGCGAGACACTCAAGGCCGTGAAGAATGTTTCCCAAAACGCCTTGGCGCACTCAAAGGTTCCCTTTGACGTGATCCTCTCGGAGCTGAATGTTCCGCGCTCTGCCTCACATAGCCCGCTTTTCCAGGTTTTGTATAACTACCGCCCTCGTGTGGAAGAGTCACGACTTTTTTGTGGTTGTCAGGCGTCAGGCTCATTGCAGACTACGGGGGAGACTTCTAATGATCTACAACTCGATGTAGTCAATCTTGGGGACGGAGACACGATGATACACTTGCTTGTGCAGAAGAACATCTACGAGCCAGAGCACGCCCAGATTCTTCTTCGCAGTTATGAGCATCTCATCCGTGCTTTCGTGCAGAATCCAGCCACTAAGGTGTCTTGGCCGTCGCTTTTCCCAGCGGAAGATATTCAGCAAGCCATTGCGGCGGGCAAAGGTAAGCGCTTAATTGGATTTCTAGTAGAACTTGCTGACTGGTGCTCCTCTAGGATCTGAGTTACCTAGCAAGTGGCCAGCCACAGTGTTGCATCGCATCGAGGAAATGGCCGAAGCATTTCCCAGCCATGTCGCACTGAAGGAGCCACGTGGTATTGAGCTCACTTACGCACAGATGAGAGATACAGCTGCCAGCATTGCCAACGAACTTTTGGTCAACGGCGTCCAAGTTCAGGATCGCGTCGGTGTCTTGCAATCTGCTGGAGTGCGATGGATCTGCTCAGCCCTCGCCATCTGGCAGGTCGGTGCCATATACATTCCTTTGGACAAGAAAGCGGGCATTGAAAGATTGTCCGTCATGGTAAGGGAGTCGAAACCCAAGCTCATTCTCATGGACACAACAACCATGAAAGAGTTCGAGCTGCTTCACTGCTCCGCCCAAGCTGTCAATGTGAGCAGTGCGATTGCATCCTCCACTGTGTACCCTTCGATTGCTGCAGAGGGTGCACAGACTGCAGTTATCACATTCACCAGCGGCTCAACTGGCGTTCCAAAAGGCATATGCCTCAGCCATGCAGCTCATGTCAATCAAATAGAGGCATCGACCCAGGCTTGCGACATCAAACCCGGCCAAGAAATCATCCTCCAGCAATCCCCCTATGCATGGGACATGTCAATCTTTCAAATACTGTTGGCCTTATGCAATGGCGCGAAACTGGTCATTGCCCCATTGACCGCACGTGGCGATCCGGTTGCAATCACAGATATCATAGCTGCTGAAAATGTCACGGCGACCCTTGCTACACCCACCGAATATCATACCTGGCTCCGTCACGGTCGGCACGCACTGGAAAAATCGAGCCTTACTCTCGCAGTCTCAGGCGGAGAACCCATCACTGATCATCTGTTAAAGGAATTCAAATCTATCTGCAAGCCAGACTTGAGGTTGATCAACGTCTACGGTCCAGCGGAAGTCACAATCGCTTGCAGCGTGCAGGAAGTTTCTTACAGCGATGTTGAATCACGTTCCTCAGAGGAATCTGTCGGCCTTGCTACATTGCCAAATTACTCTGTTTATATCGCCGATGAGCAAATGCAGCCCATGCCGATTGGAATTCCAGGAGAGGTCATAGTTGGAGGAGCTGGAATTGCACAGAGATATCTCAACCTTGATGCCACCAAGGACGCGTTCGTGCAAGACCAGTTCGCTAGTCCATACTTTGTCAATCAAGGGTGGAGCCGAGTTCACAGGACGGGTGACCGAGGCAAAATCACGCATGACGGACGTCTTGTTCTATTAGGCCGCATCAAAGGAGACAACCAAGTGAAACTTGGGGGCATTCGAATCAATGTCGAGGAGATCGAATCTTGCATCCTTCGTAGCTCTGGCGGTGCTGTCTCGCAAGCTATCGTCTCTCTCAGGACGGGTGAAAATCAAGAGGCTCGTTTCCTAGCAGCTTTTTTGGTCTTCTCCGACGCCAACAATTCGGAGGTATCTTCCCGGGTCCTGAATGAACTCAAAGCCAACCTGCCATTGCCACAATATATGCGGCCGGCAATCTTTGTTCCAATGGCTTCTCTCCCGCAAAACTCATCCGGCAAAGTTGATCGCCTCGCAATGCACAATATCTCCATCCAAGATCCTACAGAGCGGGTTAGCAGCCATGGGGCTCTGACGACGATCGAGCAAGAACTGAGTATTCTGTGGCGAGAGTCAATCGCTTGTGACAATGCTGGATTGCATTCCATCGACTCGCGATCCGATTTCTTTCATGTCGGCGGGAGTTCGCTCACCTTGGTGGATCTGCAAGGTCTGATCAAAGATCGATTGGGCATCTCGGTGCCATTACACGAGTTGTTTGCAGCGAGTACTTTGCGAGGAATGGCCGAACGACTGGAAAATATGGCACACTCTCAAGAACAAGCCCCGATAGACTGGGAACGTGAGATCGCTGATCTTTTGTCTGACCTGTCACCGGCTCATGAGACTGACACATTCGATCAACCTTCCGGGCTGGGTAACGTCATACTCACTGGTTCTACTGGATTCATTGGAAAGGAGATACTTCGTCAACTAGTAAAAGACGATCAAGTCGTGACCGTCTATTGCCTGGCCGTGAGGAAGCCGCTTGCGAAGCTCCCAGCCCTTTTCGCTCATCCCAAGATCCACGTCTATCACGGTGACCTGGGTTCCCCGAGACTGGGACTTTCCGACAAAGACGCAAGCTCAATTTTCCGAGCAGCCGATATCGTGATTCACAATGGTGCCGACGTGTCATTTATGAAGACATACCAATCACTCAAGTTAACGAACGTGTACTCGACCACAGAACTTGCCAAACTTTCTCTTCCGCGCCGTGTTCCCCTCCACTTCATCTCGTCTGCGAGTGTCACTCGATTCTCGGGTAAGACCACTTTTGGAGAGTGCTCTGTGGCGGCGTTCCCACCTCCATCTATTCCCAACGATGGCTACGCCACAGCCAAATGGGTGAGCGAGGTATACCTCGAGAAAGCGAACGCAGCACACAGACTTCCTGTCTGGATTCATCGCCCATCGAGCGTAATGGGATCTGACGTGCCTGAACTTGACCTCATGAGCAACGTCCTCCAGTATTGTCGAAGCACCAAAAAACTTCCCGCTTCCGAGGCGTGGAGTGGTGTGTTCGATTTCATTCCCGTTGAATCGGCCGCGGCGCAAATTATTCGCGCGGTCCACCGGTCCGCCGATCAGGCCGGTGCTGGAACGCTTCGATATTTGTTCGAGTCTGGCGAGGTTCAAGTGGGCCATGAAGAGTTGCAGGCGAAGATGGAGGCGGATTCAGGCCACGAATTCGAAACGGTGCCGTTGATGGACTGGGTCAATGCTGCAGAGGAGGCGGGGATGAGTCGACTTTTGGGGATGTACTTGCGGCAGGCTGCGAGTGGTCAGGTCCTACTTCCCAGATTGATCAAGGGGGCAGTCTCGGGCGATGCTTGATTTGATTGTCTGAAGTGTAACTAGAGTATGTCGATGGTTGAGTGGGTCATAGATAGCTGGAACTTGTGGAAGACGACAAACCTAATGCTTTGATATTACAGTCGCAATCCATTTACAGTATCTATATGTAAAAGTGGTGTGCGTGCCGTTTCGATAACCGAGCTACCTCTACTGACGTGTGCGAAGTGGGCGTTTTCAAAGCAATAGGAAAAAATAGTGTCATTGATATTCATTTCAGTTGGGTCATGCACAGATTAGTTGTGTGAGCAAAGATGCGTTCTTGTAGACTCGAGACTTCTTTCTTTACAGGCCGAGCCAGAATCTTGTCTTGCCAACCTCGAACTCGGCGTTGAGCTCTTCCGGTCCAGTACCGGTGATAGAGACCTGGTACTTGCCCTTCTCGGAGACCCATTGGCTTCGCTGCTCATCCCACCAGCTAGTCGCAAGCTTCTTCTCCACGGTCAATTCGACAGTCTGGGTCTCGCCGGGTTGAAGGAAGACCTTCTTGAAGGCCTTAAGTTCACGAACCGGTCGGTTGACCTCGGTCTTCGGAGGTACGATCCACAACTGCACGACTTCAGCACCGGCAACCGAACCGGTATTGGTGACCGTGACTGTGGCAGTTACGGGCTCTCCCGATTCGGTGTATTTAGATTGCTCGGGGACTGTATCAAGCTTCAGGCCGGATCGGCTGAAGGAAGTGTAGGACAGACCGTGGCCGAAGGCGAACGCGGGCGCAACGTCGGACTTTTCAAAATAGCGGTATCCAACGTAGATATCCTCTCCGTACAGGGTTCGACCGCGCTCAGAGCGGAAGTTGAGGTAGGAAGGGTTGTCTTGCAAACGACGAGGGAACGTGAGTGGAAGTTTACCAGACGGGTTCACATCACCGTACAGAACATCGGCGATTCCGTTGCCACATTCGTTACCACCAAACCAAGCGTGAACAAGTGCACGGGCATCGTTGGCCCATGGCATGGTGATAGGAGTACCAGATTGAATGACAACAACAGCATTGGGGTTGACCTCTAGCACCCGGCTGATCAGCTCATCGCTGCCGGGGGAAGGTCCATGTGGTCTCGGTCATAGCCCTCGGTCTCCCATTCACTGGTCAACCCAGCGAAGATGACTACCTGGCTCGCCCCCTTGGCCTGTTCGACGGCTTGGGAGATCAGTTCCTCTTGACCGACACGACGGCTGGTGCCAAATCGGAAGCCACCACCGCCAAAGGCAACGATACCATGAGTGTCCAGATCGGACGTGGGAGCACTACCGAACTCAAAGAGGATCTTGTACTTCTGGCCGGCCTTGAGTTCTTTCGTGCCTTGCTCTTCAATGGTAGCGGTACCGAAGAAGGCCGATCCCTGCTTCTGGTTTTTGGTATTGTCCACCACCACCTCGCCATCTACCAAGAGACGGCCGGTGCCGACGACAGTAACACCAAAGTCGTAAAGGCCGTCCTCCTCTGGGGTGAAATAGCCCTCCATATCGACGTAGAAGGTCAAAGAGTTGAGTTTGGGGTTAACATAGTCCGCCAAGAAACCCGATGAGTTGACAAGATGAATTTCGTCGACGGCAGTACGTTCTTGGCCTGCGCTGGGCGGCTCGTTGTAAACCTTGAAAGTGAAACCAGTCTTGCCGTCCTCCGTCTTCATCAGTGGACCGAGGAGAGGAAGATCCTTGTGCGAGTACACACCCTGGGAGTACTTGACCTCACCCGAGCTTTTCGCAGTGACACCCTCGAAAGGACTGACGGTGTAGTACGGGGCCAAAGAAGCGGAACCACCACCGCAGTACGAGGCAATCTTTGCGTTCGGCCCAATGACAAGGATTGGTCCATCTTTCTTCAGTGGCAAAATGTTATCCTCGTTCTTGAGCAGAACGACGGATTCGGCAGCGGCACGGCGCATCAAGGCTTGGTCCTCAGGGCGGTTCAGAGCCTTTTCCTCAGCTCCCTCTGGGATGCCCAGCGGATCGACCCAGTTCACCAGGTTGAGCACGTTACGTACGCGCTCATCCAACTTGAACTCGGCGACTTTGTTCGAAGTCACGGCGTGAGAGAGAGCCTCACCTCGCCAGCGGGTTTTGCCGGGCATCTCGAGATCAAGTCCGGCCTCAATGGCCTCGGAGACTGAATATGTTCCAAACCTAAGGAGATTTTCGATCAGTATCAAGTTCGGAGGCGAAACCACTCAAAAAGCAGCAGACGATCTCGCCTCGGGAGTATTGATGCTCACCAGTCACTCATGATGAGACCTTCCCATCCCCATTCCTTTCGCAGAATATCGTCGATGATCGCCTTGTTTTCGCTGACATGCGTGCCATTAATTTTGTTGTAGGCGGTCATCACACATGCCGAACGACAGATGCGCATGGCCAACTGAAAGGGCATCAGGTAGATCTCACGCAACGCTCGGTCCGTGATGATGGCGTTCACGGCCAATCGCTCATGCTCTTGATCGTTGCAGACGAAGTGCTTCAATGTCGCAGCGACTCCTTTTTCTTGCATGCCCTTGACCATGTAGCCAGCCAAGGTTCCTGAGAGCACACCATCCTCGGAGAATGACTCGAATCCACGACCGCCGAGTGGTGAGCGCTGGGTATTGATGGTGGGTCCCAGAATAACGTGTGTTCCCTTTGCGATGGCCTCCTCACCCATCAAGAGACCAATCTCTCCGAGGAGATCGGCGTCCCACGTGGCACCGAGGGCAGTCGCACACGGGAAACACGCCGCAGGAACGCCATTGAAGAAACGGGTACCACGGACTCCATTCGGGCCGTCGGATGTGCGCAATGAGGGAATGTTCAGACGAGGAACGGGGTTTGTGTGCCAAAAATCGCGTCCTGCATGGAAGTGGGAGTTCAGCCAAGGATCGGGATCCCATGAGGGGGCGGAAGAACGTCACGGGGATTTCGGTCTCGTGATTTGATCTTCGATTTAGAGGCACGCGCAAGACGCGAGGACGGCACTTACCGGCTGTGAGCGCAATCTTCTCACCCAAGGTGAGTTCTTCGATCGTCTTTTCCACATCGATTGGAGCCATTGTTCCCGGCTTAAGGCGTTGAGGGATGTATCCAAAAGTATTGTGGTACAATACGGCGATGGCTCAAGTCAACGTTGCTAACGAACTCAAGCTGCGTCGGTGATTGATCTTGTAATCGTTCCAGACGATTCAGGTTGCAATTTGCGGCCAGAAGACAGATCAAGTCTTGCAATTCGTTTGAATGGGTACTCCAAACGAGCTGAAATCGTAGACTTTGGCAATTCTACAGGGCCCACGGATGTAGTTTCTCATTGCAAGAGGGGCAAAGCTACGGTTATACTTATAGCCTGTCTTGCCGCCGTGTCATCTCGCTTGCCCGTATCCTGCTCCGTCGTCTCACCTCGCTCCCCACTTTCAAGTTGACACTTTTTGTGGTTCAGCAACGAAGGATGAGAGCGAGAGGTGAACTGGATTGGTGAAGCGTAAGAGTGGAATCAACAGATCGCTCTTCAGCTCCGTTGCTCATTCGGGTACCTCAACTTGACACGGAGAGGTGTCCGCTTGGGGTTCCCGAGGTTTTCCCGGCCGGGGCACATTTTCTCGATGACGACTGAGCGTCCAGCAACTACAGTACCTGAGCACGATAGTGCAATCAATGACAGCGCTGCAGTGGGTGGTACCATACCCACTGGACTGGGGTCCTGGAGTTTCGCCTAAGATCTCGTCGACCGCACGTACCTCCTCCCTTCTCTTAGCGCCCTTGCAGCAGACGGTCGTCAGATCGTCCACCAGTTCATCGTCAAAGTACACGACACAAGTCAGGTGCGGGGGTGGGCACAAGCGGGGACGGCCGGTCCGACAAGCCGTGCGGCATCAGCAGGTCCACGAAGCAGAGTTTACCCGCTGCAATAGTGATCGTGTAGTGTCTGTGTTCGACTCATTCGTGGTAATTGGACGTGTGAAAGGGGACTGGGGGACTTGGGAAGAGAGAGTCTCAAATCAAAAGCTCGGCCAACCTGTCATAATCGGCACAGCAAGCGCACGTGTCATCCATACCTTTCAAGGTACAGTATCGCAATCCCCGCACCTCAGATACCAGACCCTGACCCTTGGACAGACTGTACAACGATTCGCAGGTGATGAGGTAAAATGTACTCCCCCGCCTACCAAGCCCCAAGGTTGGTCTCAGTAGGTCGTACCTGACTGCATCGAGTCGTTTTTGTACGTCTTTCGAGCTCGAATTGAACCTTCAGTAATATGCATGCCACCTCACGGAGATTTGCCCATGCCGCCTCGACCATGACTGATGCTCTTCGGGGTAGATTCACTTCATCCTAACCTCGAACCTGGTAGGACATTATTATCATCCACTGTCAAAGACAGTTACAGACCGAATGTGGTGACCAGAGAGATACGACGAGCAATCTAGAGGTTGTTGTGTGATAGACTAAGTTGTTATATTGAACCTTTTAGCCGAGGACGGGACTTAATCAGGCTATCCACGTCTCCCTTGGCTTGCATCGAACTTCGGTATCGGATCAGATAAAGCTTCCCCGGCGTTCGAGAAGTTTGAGCGAAGAGATCCATGCATAGCGTCGGAAGGTCCCAATGTTTGAAGCAATGGATGCTAATTTAGATCATAGAAATTGATCAAGCATACCGAATTGACGGAAGCAACGACCCCAAGGAAGATTTTGAAGCCAAGGAAGAGGTCTATATATTCTAGAGGTTACGTCAAAAAGCACATAGTTCCCGTCTGCATGGATAGGCCTGGGCAACAGATTTCACCCGCCTCGACCTGGGGAACGCGCCTTCGACCAGAATACCGCAGATATCGCCTCGCGAAATCATTTCCCGGGATCGCGATCGATGATTACACTGAAAATGAACTGTCAATTTCATCGAGGCGTGTATCAACAATAATCATGGCGGGATGGATGTTCGGTTCCGAGAATTACGTCATGTCTCTAGGCGCGGCTCCTCTGTATCGGATAAATTCATACTCCGATATCCGAATTTCCTTATCGCTCCCAAAGATTGATGGACTCGGACAACATAGTCCGTTGCCAAAGACCACCTTAGTGATCGACTAATTCTACGCACATCATGGCATCCCGGCGGCTGTCAGGGTTTCAACCACTCCTCAAGGGTAAGTCGCATCTCCTGCGATCCCAGCAACGACGCTGGGCGCAGGTTCATGATGTGCGCTTCCTGGCCACCCACCACGATCCGAATCACATCATGGAGAAATACCGCAACAAGCTGGATCAAAAGGCCAAGCAGTGAGTCACCTCTGCCCTGTTGTATGCACTACTTGTTTCTCAGTGCATCATAACTTATTCACTGGAATCAGGGAAGGGCTGGGCTCTATCGAAGCCTTAAAGGAAGCGTACAGCGACAAGATCCAGGACCTTCGTCGACAAGCTGCTACAGTGGCCACCCCCGAACCCGAACCTGACGCGCCGATTCCCCGCGCCAAGACGACATTCACAGCAAACACACCTCCAGCCTCTCACCCTCCATCATCATCATCGTCGACGACGGGAGGTGCGTCAGCGACAGAAAAGGCCGCCCGGGAAGTCTCCAGCAGCGCAAGCCCCATTAAACCGCTGAGCACCTATATCGACGTGGAAAAGATTCGCGAGCTGCCACCCAAGGAGATTGAAGCGCTATGGCGGTTGCGATTCGCAAACAGTTCCACCACCATCTGCGCTGCGATTCCTCTAGATACCTACCTTCGCATTGCCGAGGCAGCCCGCCAAAACCCCCAGTTCATCCTTCCTCTTCCCCGCCAGGCTGCGGACCAGGACATGCAGACCCCGGACGGTACCCCTGCGCAGACCGCGGCCGAGATCCATTTCCTGCAATGGGCTTTCCACCCACCCGCCGAGGACTTCGTCGCGACCAAGAAGGACACAATCAACAACCATACTTCGACCGTGATTTTCACCAACCTGGGCGCTTTCAAGATGCATGGCTCTTTTGCGCAGCCGCACACCACGGTCACGCATCATCTGGACTTGGCTGATGACAAGGGGCTGGTCCTCATGCATGGCCAAGTCATGCCGGATCGGGGCGTCTCCACTACCGAGGCGACTTGGTTGGTCAGCTCGGTGCAGCGCTTCTACGATTTCGGCGGGCAAGCCAGCGGTCGCAAGGGCGAGTTGGTGCGTATGTTTACGCGCGGCGATGTGGAAAACTTCAAGGTGGAAGAATTGATGGAGGAGACGGAGCGAATTCACTGAGTTCTGCTTTGGGGAGAAGCGCGTCGGCGGTGTTTGAGTAACTGTCCGGGTATATAGCACGTCCCAGTGCTAGTAAAATGTATTATAGGGAATAATCCACCACCGTGCACGGGGGAATCGTGCAATTGGCTTAGCAGGGTCACCAGAGAGCAATCTTTAATTCGACTCAAGTACATGATCCATCTCTAGACCGTCAAGTTCCGAGGTGATTCACGAATCCGTATCAAGGTTCTTGGGTGTCGTTCAACTTCATGCAGATGTGAGTAATCCCCCGCTTTCTTACCTATATCCTGCGGAATCAGTTGATAGTTCAATATGCACAGACAGGCCATCTATGGTAGACGGGACGGGAGTATTGGAACTTACCCACATTCCATCTTGTTTCTTTTCTTTCCTCTGTTCAATTGGGATAGATTTAATAGTGTCCTGCCGCAGGCTAGATACTTTTATTCGTCGACCTTCACTGATAAAATCCCTGCTCTTCTCTTCAAGGTGGAGCTTGCAACCCAAACCCCCACGGGGAGCAATCGATGAGTTCCGGATCTTGAGAGAGAGAAGTCCTCTTCGCTCTCAGGTTCCACACCACATCAACGTTGGAAAAAGGGCGGGGGCCCTGAAGAAATGGGGGACTGTAGATCACTTGGAGGGATAGGCTAAGAAGCTTCCACCTGCAATGGTTTCTCTACAGTTCTACACACTTGGTCCTCGGATCATGAGTAGTAGAGTACCTTACTAGGTAGGAACTACTGTAGGACAAGGTAAGGTAGGTAAGTTCGTAGGAAATAGCCCAGGTAGCAGGTACAGGCAATCTTGGGTACGGGTGCATCGCGTGTGTCGTCTCGAGGTGCGTACCACGCATGCCCGTACCTGATGCACCGAGTTGTGTGCCAAATCGTGAGTTACTGCAATGAGCCCCATGTTGAATTCACAGCCACGATGATCACGGTCGTGTCGAAGGGCTTCTCAGATCAAGCTAGCTGATGTGTCTCTGGCGGCACATGCTCGACTTTTGGCGTCGGTGTCCCGTGACCCGTGCCCGGTCTCATTTCCTCGGGCCGAAACCACGCTTCCGAGTACGCATCTTCCACACAGCCAAGGACAAGACGGTCGGGGACTTCGGAGGACGGGACTCGTATTTAGAGAGGTCTCTTCATCCCCCTTTTCAATTCTTTTTTTTCTTCCTTGGCTGCGCCCGGTCTGTGATGGTGCACGGAAAAGAGAAGAGCGCCGGCGCTGAGATAATGAGTGTGGCGACGAATGCCCGACTCCTGAGATCTCAGGTTTAGGTGGCTTTGTGAAATCCGTGGAACCGTGGGCGGTTTGTGTTCTTGACGCGTACAGAACTACAGACTACAGAGTAGTAGTACAGAGTTACAGACTGCAGACTACGGAGACACAGCTCTATGGCCTTGGTTGTACATCAAACCCTGTTACAGGATCGAGATGCGAGACCGTTGTAGGTTACTCAGAACGAGAGAATATCGCCTCTTCCTCGAAGCCCAGGACGCCTCACCGAAAGCCACCACCGCAAGACGTCGATTGACCATGTGTTTGAATTGTTCGCCTCTGGATGCGGGTGTCTGCCCCCTGCAGAGCCCCCGTCGGTGGCAAAAGTTTAAGCAGCCCCGTTATTCGACCCGACTGGCTCGATCCACGTTTTGAGTCCGGGTCAGGGCCCTGAATTCGTCTCATGACTTTTCTGGTCCAACCTGTCCAGGGCCTCGATGATGATGGGTGTCCTACTGTGCTCCAGGCACTGGCAGCATTTCCCATAGTCCGGTGCGGTGTCTTTCAACCTGGAAGAGTGGACAATGGACATGGCTTTTCTACCAAGTAGCTCGTCCTTGACGGGCGATGACCTCAACAATCAAAGAGGAAGGAAGCGCTTTTGAGGAACAGACCTCTTCTCGTGGACACGAGAGTTTGAGGCGTCCAAAGTCAAAAGTGGTGGAAGAAGGGTCACTGCTTGTGGATTACGATCCCCATCGCGTCGAGTCTCGTCAGTGGTGTTCATTCCACGGGCGCATGTTCACTCTATCGCCGATAATGATGAGTGAGGGTCGTCTTGCCCGAGTCACCCCGAATCCATCGATTGCAGAGCCTGAAGTCTTCCTCCCCACACTCTCGGGGTTGGCTTGCCTAATGGGGCAAATTGTGGTGCCTATTCCTCTTTGCAGATGATCGTGATCGATGCACGGCCTGGCATCGTATGCCTCCTCCGGAACTGTCCCGGATCTTGGAGGTTGCTTCACAAACCAAAGTCTACCTCGAACACCGGCAACGCATTCTCAAATTCAATCTGATCTGCTGGTGACAGGTGAATTCCTCGTGGTACTGCCGGTGGCATGAGGGTATAGAAAAGGGACTCCCCGAGGCTGCCACGGGACACGTAGAAAGCAAGAGTCCGCTCTCCGTCCGAGCGATGAGGGAACTGGGGACTCGTGGGACTGGGCCGGTGGGCCGGTGGGCCGGTGGGCACTGGGGAGTCGACTCGGTGAGTACAGTGACTCCCGGATGGTCTTGGCATTTCCGCTTTTGGCTTCCGGCCTTGCTTCACGGACCAAAGGGCAACCTGGGGATCAGACAGACAGAGACACTCGCCGTAACGGTGGTGTCGCGAGTCGTGACATCCACACGATCCGAGACCCTCAATTGACCGCATCGGGACAGCTGCGCGGCAGCAATGAATGAGGTATTTTACTCGTCTGTTGCTCGTCAATGCAGCCGTGTTCAGTCCATGGGATTCGGCTCTGCTAATCTCCCCAGAGCATACGGTTCATTTGCTCACTGTTCTGACTTCTCTCCCCGGTCCAGTGTCGACTACTCGGTAGTAGTGAACTCAGAACTGTAATTAGCTTTTCTGCACCGGCCCGGGGATCGAGGCGGCCGAGCACGGGAAGCCGGTCTGAGTGCCACCCGCCTTCCAAATCAAGCCCTCGACCGCAAAGTCGGTGTTGTGCCCGGGTGCCGTGACTGCCGATGGCCCTTTGGAACTGAGCCTGGAAGGATTGTCCCAATCGTCAAGGTTTCCCCGGAGGCGTTTCTAATTACGGGGTCCCCCGGTTGCGTGATTGGCCCACCCAAAGATTGAGAGACGTCTGAGGCGTAAAGGCTGCCCCGGATTTTCACGACTTTTCCTCCATCAGGGCTTTCACGGCGGGCAAAGTCTGGTAAGTAGGGGACGGAGCCACAAGGGCCTCGTGGGGTTGGAAACCCTGGGAATGGATTCGAGTCACATTTAAGACGCCTTCAAAACTGCAACCGAATCCCCCCGCAGTGAAGCAAGCAGGCAATTCCATTCTCCATTCTAGTTGAGGTGTCTTCGACCTGCATTTGCATTCCTCTTTCATTACTTTTTCCGGTGCCTTTTGGAGTCGACTAGACGCTTGACCCTCACTCATCATCGCATATTCGATTCGCAGTCCTCTTCAAGATTCTTCATTCCCCAGGGCAGACGATCATGTCTTCGTCAAAAGAAAAGGGTCCTCTCGGTAGCGAGTCGTCGCAAGAAAATGTCATGGTTGAAGAATCTCGCGATGCCGTCTTTGGTGAAATCACCGAGGACGGCCCTAACTATCGTGCAGTGAGTACCCTACCACCATTCACATCGGTGGCGATCTCCTCCTGGGTGTCAACAATAACTAATGGATGAATCTTGATTTGCACGACAGGTCGGTTGGAAAGGAACCGCTGTGCTTATGATGAAAACACAGATCGGGCTGGGCGTCTTATCCATCCCAATCGCCTTCGACGCGCTCGGTGTGATTCCCGGCATCATTTGCTTGATTGCCATCGCGGCGATCACAACGTGGTCCGACTATATCATTGGAGTTTTTAAATTGCGCCATCGCGAAGTATACAACATCGACGACGTTGGGGAGCTTCTGCTGGGTCGTCCGGGCCGCATTCTCTTTGGAGCTGCGTTTTGTCTTTGTGAGTGGACGTCTGTACAGTCCTTGAGCTTTGCAGAGTAGACCGTGTGCTAATCGACGTCCTGATCTTTCTCATTGTAGGGTGGATTTTCGTCGCGGGATCGGGTATGCTGGGCATCTCGATCGGCCTCAATGCAGTCTCTTCCCATGCCACTTGCACGGCCGTGTTCGTCGCTGTGGCGGCGGTCATTGCTTTCTTGTTTGCCAGTATTCAAACCCTGGGTCGCATCTCATGGCTGGCTTGGGTCGGTCTCTTTGCCATCTTGACGTCGAGTATGTTCCCCCCCCTCGCCGCGAGTCCCGGGGCTTGCCCTTTCACCAAAGCGATCCTGAACCCTAACTTTCTTCTCTTTCTCACAGTTATGATCGTCACTGTCGCCGTGGGAATTCAGGATCGCCCATCGGCCGCTCCCAAAGACGCGGTTTGGGTATCGGACTACAAACTCTTCGCCCACTCATCGTTCTACCAGGCTATTTCCGCCATCTCGACCTTGGTCTTTGCCTTTGCCGGCACGCCCGCTTTCTTCTCGATCGCATCTGAGATGCGCGAGCCGGAACATTACAATCGCGCTTTGATTGTCTGTCAGTCAGTTGTCACGGGCTTTTACATCGCGGTCGGCGTGGTGATCTACTACTTCTGCGGTTCATACGTTTCATCCCCGGCGCTTGGATCGGCTGGCCCGATTGTTAAGAAAGTGAGCTATGGCTTTGCCTTGCCGGGACTGATTGTCAGCACATTGCTTTTCGTCCACGTAAGTTGATAACCCTCTCCTTCCTGATCCTCACCCCGGCGATGCTTGCCAAAATCAACCCCACTCACATTCTTCATCTTTCCAGATCGTCGGTAAATACATCTTCGTCCGTCTTCTCAAAGGCTCTCGCCACTTGACCGCCAACACCCTCACCCATTGGATCACCTGGCTCGCCTGCACTTTCAGCGTCACGCTTATCGCCTACATTATCGCCAGCTCCATTCCCGTTTTCGGCGACCTGGTGTCGCTGGTCGGGGCCCTGCTCGGTACCCCCATGTGCTTCCAACCCATGGGTGGAATGTGGCTGTACGATAACTGGAGCAAGGGCAAGACGCACCGCACCACGCGCTGGAAGTGGATGGTGTGCTGGTCGATCTTTGTGATCGTGGCGGGCTTCTTCCTGATGGTTGCGGGTACCTATGGGTCGGTGCTGAGCATCGTCAACAGTTATCGGACGAATGGGGGGACCTCGGCCTGGACGTGTGCTAATAACTCTTGAACCGAACCTACTTGACTTTGGAGAGGTTGGGAGCCTTTTTTTTTTTCGATGAAAAGATACTCGCAGTGCCCTGGGAGGTTGATGGAGTATTATACACTATATAGAGAGGAATAGACGGACCGAACTCCGGCTCTTTTTGATTGCACACATCCTCGAGCTTCCCAGTTACTGGGCAGTCTTATGTACCGGGGTGTCTATCTAGGCTACTTTGGGAAGGTGCTATTTTCAAAATCAATGGCCGGTCAGATTATCCCGCGGGACTGAATTCAACAGATTGACGGAAGCTATCTCACCAAGCCCCATCAATTTTGGCCACGGAACTGTCTGACAGTCTGACATAATAATCTGACAGTTTCCACAGCTGACACAGCCTACAGCCTGGTACCCGTAGAAGCCATGGATGGCTGTAAGCGACCTAATGACTGGACTCTCGCGGACGGGGTGAGTATCCGAACACACAACTATGGCAAGCGAGATCTATGCCGAAGGTGAAGCTTTGTCCAAGACCCCTACGTCCGGACTTACGTAGGTGATGCATGGCAAATCGTGAAGAAGTGTCAAGTGCTGTAGCTCGGTACCGTACAAAAAGTTTACGGGGGTCGCGTCACCTCGGGGCGCGGCTGAAAGAGTTAGGTACTTTCGAGGTTCGAGTCTGTTTCTGCGCTTATTTTCGTCGATGGCCCCCAGTGGCCCCCAGTGGGGGTACCTGCATCTGACATGCAGCTGGCGTGTTCCAGCTTAGTCGAAAAGCTTACACCGTCGTGAACCCGGTCAGACTGACCCGTCTGACCGTTTGCCTTCTGACCATTTGCCGTGTCTCGACTCCTCGCGTACCTGAAAGTCAGGCACGGCCTGCGCTAAGACTTTCGGAACTTCCAGCCGCACACTTGGCGAGCCGGAAGGGTTGAAGGGACACCGCTAAAAGTCTCCCAGCAAGGTCTCCCGGTTTCGGGATATCTCAGGCTACGTCTCTTGTAGCGGGAAATATCCCGATGCAGGGAGAGGGTCGAATGAGCGAGGTCTGGCCGCTGAGCCACGAAGAGTGAGATTTGAGGCTCTGTGCTGACTTTCTCCGCGACATTCAAAAGGACTCTTATTGTCATTGTTGTCCTTCTTCTTCTTCATCATTTCCTCCCCCACATTTTCTCTAGCCAGGCACCAAACTACTTAGACACTTTCTTGTCCGTCGGCTAGTGTCTTGCTGTGAAATCGTCCAAGAATCTCTCCGCAATCATGCTCTACAAGTCTCTCGCTCTGGTCGCCGGCGCGGCCCTGGCTGCGGCAGACAGCACCGTTACGCTGTTCCTGCCCGGCTCAGACATGCAGACCGCTGATGCGAAAGTGGTTGGTTCGGTGAGGAATACCCTGTCGTAACCATGATCTACCTCATGGTAGACATCCAATACACAAGAGCTGACTGGCTTCGCAGAGCAACTCGATGACCACCTACGCGATCGACTGTCCATCTGGGCAAGATCTTTCTGTTTGCGGTCTTCCCGAGGCCACTTGGACGGTGACTCAGGGTCCATCTTCGATGATCTTCACCCTGATCTCCGAGTTGTGAGTTTCTAGCCTCCCTGTCTTCTTCTTGGACCATCTATCGAGTCTACAGCCTTCCCCCGAATCTGCGACGATCTTTCTCCTGTCCCATCATCAGGTCATCCCGCTAATTGAGTATCCGATAGAACCATCGAAGAGACCTGCCGGTTTGAGGGAAGAACATTTGCCGCTTGTACCGGATTGTTCAAGTCGGGCGATTCCACTTCATCTCTCATCACGACAATCAACCCGGCAACTTGGCCGACCAATTATTGGGTCCCCGTGCATGTCACGGCCACTGAGACCGGTGCGGTCGCGCCCACCACGGACGCGTCAGCCTTGGCTTCGAGCCCGAGCATGACTCGCGCATCTGCTGCCTCCACCGGTACAAGCACCTGGACTTCCTCCTCGCAGGGTACCGCCACTGAGACCAACGCGACTTCAGCGAGTAAGGCTACCCCGACCTCGTCGAATGCTGCCATGCCTGCCATGACTGATACTGCGGTCTGGTTGGTTGGGGGTGCTGCTGCGGCTTTGGCCATGGCTGTGGTGGTTTGAAGCGGCACTTTGGATTCTTGAACAGTCCCTACTCTAAGTATGGCCTGGGCTTTTTTGCCTCTTATTGATCAGGTTGATCACGTGAATACAAGACCATCTATGTACCATTCTTGTGTCTCGTCAGAGACACTACAACAGTAGTTTAGGCTAACTTCTTTGGGATATACGCTTAGGGGGGGGGGGGGCCCATATAATAGTATTCTTTTTTTTCCCTAGGGGGAGAGGCGTTCTGCCATAGCGGTCTGCGAAGTACAAATCATGTGACTTACGATCCATCAACCTGGCTTTTACGGCCGCGACGCTAGCCCGTAATTGGCTAGACTCGACGGATCTAGCTGCCAGTTGATACTACTAGCGCCGATACTACTAGCTACAGCCTACGATGCTGGCTGCGATACTGGCTACGGATCTGGCTGCGTTACTGGCTGCGTTACTGGCTGCGTTACTGGCTGCGTTACTGGCTGCGTTACTGGCTGCGTTACTGGCTGCGTTACTGGCTGCGTTACTGGCTGCGTTACTGACTGCGTTCCTAGCTGCGATGCTGGTGCGGATCTGGCTACGATGCTGGCTTCGATGCGAGCTCGGCGTATAGGATTTAGAATGTTGTTGTGGCCTCTGACGAGGCACATTTTCAGTCCTAAGGCCACTTTGGTCCTAGGATAGCTAGTACCTCAAATTTAAGCATGATCTACATAGAGTCGTGATGCGCAAGCCGGAAATCATGAATCAGTGATCGAATGAAACAAATTCCACCGGAGCATGGTAGGGCCTCGTCTGCTCATGAGCGTAGAAAGGCTTCAAGCACCGCGAACGACGGTCTACCACCAGCAGATGATGATTTTGAACGAAGGAAAAAGAGAAGAAAAATTGAAGCTTCACCCCCGGGAACACAAGAAAATAGGAAGCCGTGCAAGTGTTAGTTCAGAGCAGTCGCCGAGCCTGTTGTGTGCATGCGCAGCAATTTGTCACTGTTATCTGACCCTGTTTTCCATGATTATCCGAGTGTTGACCGAACAGCGTCGGAACGGGAAGTGAACTTCCGCTGGGTTTCCACGCGCTCACATCTCGGAACTGGTTCCGCTTCCGAGCGATCAACGATTCGACAGACAGTCTTTGAGATTTCCGAACAGTCCCTTCTCCTCTTATTTATACCGATCGTGTGAACCACATTGAGGACGTCAGATCACTTTGCTGTTCCTTAGACCAGAAGCGACCACCTCGTCCCTCTCTCACCAGGTCTTACGAACCTCTGTTTCATTTTTTTTCTTCCCCGCACTCGCTCACGCACGCTGCAGTATTGCCCGCATTTCCTTTCCCCACCCCCCAACGGCATTTCTTCCCCTCGGCTTTGCAATTCAGCAAAGATGGACGGGCAGCAATTTCGGGCGGCAGCCCACTCTGCCATTGAAGATAGTAGGTTGATCTAGTCTATGTTCAAGCGAACTTGTTGTCGTAACTAACACCCTGTCATTGCAGTCGTCAACTATTTCGATTCCGTCCCTGATCGCCGGGTTCTCCCCGCTGTTGACCCCGGTTATCTTCGTCCTCTGATCCCCGAGAACCCTCCTACGGACGGAGAGACCTGGGAGACCATCCAACAAGATGTCGACACAAAGATCAAGCCAGGCCTCACGCATTGGCAGTCCCCCAACTTCATGGCTTACTATCCCGCCAGCGTGACCTATCCCAGTATTCTCGGTGAAATGTACTCGGCCACTTTCACAGCACCCGCCTTCAACTGGCTTTGTTCTCCTGCCTGTACCGAGATGGAGACCATTGTGATGGATTGGGTTGCCAAGGCTCTGGGCCTGCCGGAGTGCTTTCTCAGTACATCTGAGAACCTGGGTGGTGGAGTGATTCAAAACAGTGCCAGCGATGCTATCGCTACAATGCTAGTGGCCGCCCGTGAGAGACGCGTACGTGAGATGGTTCTGGCGGAGGGTTTGCAAGAAGGCTCGATGGAATATGAAGAGCGGAAAATGGATCTCCAGCCGCGGTTAGTAGCCATCGCTAGTGACCAGACGCACAGCAGCGCGGCCAAGGGCGCCTTGATCGCTGGAACGCGATTCCGAACTGTCCCGACACGACTGGATGAGAACATGGAGATGACGGGAGCCCGACTGCGGGAGGTCTTGGAGAAGTGCGAGAAGGATGGACTCATGCCGTACCATCTGACCATGACGTTTGGCACGACTAATACCTGCAGCGTGGATCGTTTTGCAGAGATCAAGGCTGTGCTCCAGGAGAAGCCGGCCTGGCAGCGGATTTGGGTCCATGTGGACGCTGCGTACGCGGGTGCTGCTCTGGTCGCGGATGAGTGGCAGTATATTGCCAAGGACTTTGCGGAGGGTGTCGACAGCTTCAACATGAACATGCACAAGTGGTTGTTGGTCAACTTTGACGCCAGGTGAGTTTCTAAGTTGCCGCGTACTCGGCATCTGTGACGCCCGACCAGACACAGACCTAATTAAATGCCAAAACAGTGTCCTCTTCGTTCGCAACCGCCTCGACCTGACCAACGCCCTTGACATCACCCCTACCTATCTGCGAAACCCATACTCTGACATGGGTACTGTCATTGACTATCGTAACTGGTCCATTTCTCTGGGCCGTCGTTTCCGCGCGCTCAAGATCTGGTTCGTCATGCGCAGCTACGGTCTGAACGGAATGAAGGCGCACATTCGCAGAACAATCGAGCTGGGTAACACATTCGCGGATTTGATTCGAGGACGGTCCGACCTATTTGAGATCGTGACCAAACCCGCATTTGCCTTGACAGTGTTCAGGATCAAGGGTTCCAAACCCGCCAATGGCCATGTCAACGGTCATTCCGACGGCCAGTCCACCGGTGGGAGTGCGGTGCGCAAGGATGATGCAGCAGATCTCGTCACACGGCAAGTTTCTGAAGTGATCAACTCGCGAGGCGAGATTTTCATCACCTCTACTGTGATCGATGGAATCTATGTGATTCGTGTGGTAAGCGCCAATCCGATGGCCGAGGAAAAGTACGTGCGCAATGCTTTTGACGTTGTGGTCAAGGCCGCCGAAGAGATCTTGCAAGGTAAATTATGATTACCGGAGGTTTTCTGCTGTGAAACGTGGTTTGTCCCCGCAATTGTACATAGACACGCTAGAGAAGACTGGCTTTTTGAGCTGTGAATCACATTCGTGGAGTATTTCCGCGTATGGAGTGATCTGATTTATCTCAACCCGAAACAGCATATCAGTTAACGATGAGGACCTTTGTTGCACGTCTCGGCGGCCTCGCTCAATGCCCGAGTCTATTACCGGGCAGGAGTGGAGAGTGGACACTAAACAACTTGTAAACAGACGGATGAGGGTTCCAGCCTCGGCCATCATGCCGACTCCAATTCTCCACAATTTTCCCCGCGCGAGCATTGGGTCGGCATCTTTTGCACATTGACACTTTATCTCTTCAACTGTCTGCTTCCTTGGTGATATACAACAGAGTCATTTCCCAGGTCAGCGCACCACGTATTTTTATGACTCTCCATCTCAGTCCACGACCTCATGCAACGATGCGTCGATTTCGCGCCTTTAGTTCCTCCACCCGCTTCTTCTCCGCAGACCCGCCCGCCAGCACCGTGGCGGCATTATTCCTCTCCAAATTCCAGTCTTCCGGCCCTCAATCCCGAACACAATCTCTCGACGCAAACCAGCTACATCTTCTCTCACAAACACTTGGCCGTTCATCGGATGGAGACGCCAGCTCGTCCTCAGTCATAGATGTGTCTGGCAGCCCCTCTATCGGCACCCCAGTACCTCCCGGCTACCATCTCGTTTACTTCACGCCGGGATTCGTCGAAGATGAGCTCGGCGCAGACGGTACTGATGTATCGTATAATCCCCAGTCACCATTTACGCGGCGCATGTGGGCCGGCGGGGAGGTTGTGTGGCCGCGAGACGCGAGGGGCAGGCCGAACCCGCTGCGCGTGGGACAGCAGGTTCGCGAGAGGACGCGTGTGCTTAGCGCTGAACCAAAAATCGTGAAAAAGACAGGCGAGGAGATGATTGTTGTTGGTGTGGAGAAGGAGTTTTCGAATGAGGAAGGGGTGGCGGTACTGGACCGGAGGTAAGGGGGTTGAGTTTTGTTCATTTAGCATCTATCCGGCACCTGGGAGTTTCGACATCTGGCTGATCTTTGATGGGCTTTGTTGCAGGAATTGGGTCTTTCGAAAGGCTCTCCCAGTACCAAATCCTTCAATGTCTACGCCTTCAACTTCTCTGCCTCCATCAACGTCACATTTATCCCGTGCTTCGGCATCAGCCATCTTATCTGAGGACAACACCCATTCGAGGACCTTTGTCCAGTCCCCCGTGACATTGTTTCGATTCTCAGCATTGACGTTCAATCCGCACAAGATCCACTATTCGCTCCCATGGGCACGAGACGTGGAAGGCCACAGAGACGTGGTGGTTCACGGACCTCTGAACTTGATCTTGATGCTGGACTTGTGGCGGGACGTGCAGAGTCGGAAGAATGACTACGTCGGGGAGAAGGGGATTTTGCCGAGAAGTATTTCATATCGAGCGACGAGTCCACTATATGCGGGGGACAGGTACGACGTTGTCTTGCAGGATGAGTTGGACGTTGCTCGTCTGCAGATTTTGGGTCCTGGCGGTGTTGTTGCCATGAAGGCTGAGATACAGGGGTGAGGGCGTCTTGATCGATCTTTAGTAGGTGAAAGTTGACACGAGGTCTTCTTCCCATGTCATTTTTTGAGGCTACCGATATTTGGTCCAGAATATAAGGGATGGCCCGTGTCTTGCCTTGATTTGAGACGAAGCTTTCTCAACACAAGACTGGAGAAATCGCAGCACTGGCATCACGAGTCATCCCCACGGCAGAAAGTCAGTTCATTAGCGGGTCCTATGCATCCGGGTATCTCGAATATGCAGAATGACAGAAATTGGGAAAAAATCCATGCCTACTCCCCAAAAGGATAGTTGAACTTGAGTAGACCATTCAACCCGCCTACCCATGCTTCGTGGGCTTCACCACCCATGCTCCGACGCATCACACTCGGCACGCCGCCCTGCCACTCATTCTTCCCATGTCTCATATCTTCATTCCACACGCGAACTTCCATTCCAACGGCCATGCCCTGGCCCAGATTGAGTCCGTCCAGACTGACCTCCAGTTCCCGCCCCCGGTTCTTCTCGCTAAGCCGAAGAGTGATCGGTGTACTCCATGGCAGCACCAGGGGTCGGAAGCTGAGACTCCTCGCACAAATGGGCGTCACCAGGGTGGAAGGCACAAGTGGGTGGACGATGCTGCCGCCGCTGCTGAGGCTATACGCGGTACTTCCCGTCGGAGTGGAGATGATGATTCCATCCACGACCGCTTCGGTCAAGAACCGACCGCCCAGGTAGATATCAACGATCGCAAGATGAGGCTCTTTGCCACGATGGATGAGAAGTTCATTCATCACGTAAACTCCCTCGCCATGGTCGGTTTTCCCTCGTACAGGCGTCATCTCCTGGCCATCCGCGGCGAAGAGACCAACTTTCAACCGGTTTCGCATGAGAATGGGGGCACCCCGAGTGGTACCCATCCACTGGCCTCTCACCGAAGACCAGCCCGTTGGTCCTGGTTGAGGATCCTCGGCATTTTGTGTCAATGCTTCACGAGAGGACGGTACGGCCGTCTCCAGTACAGGCGTTCGATCGCCGGCGCCGGCGCCAGACATATACACCTCTCGAAAAGCCCGCTTGAATTCGGAGAATTTCCACTCGCTCAGAAACCCGAGCGAGCCCATGCTGAATGATAACACGGGTGGTACATTTGGACACGTTGCAAAGAGAGAAGACGCATGGAGAATGGTACCATCTCCACCCAAAGTGACAGTCAAATCAACTTTATCGTGGTAGGCGACCGGCGTCGCCTCTGGCCGTGCGGTGTAGACAGGATGGGCCAGTGACTCGTGGACCTCGGCGGCGGTCTTGGGTTCTAGAATGACGGCAATAGACGGGTAAGTTGAAGTGATATGACTATATTGACGACTCATGAGACTCTTGTGTTAACCATAAGCGCAGTGAGGGCTGAATACTTGGCAAATTCAATTAACGACTCGGTCACCGCTGGGGCACAGTCCTTGCGCACTAGGAGAACATTTCGCGGTGGCGATGGCCATTGAAGGGATAGCAGCTCGCCACGAGTTTCTGACCGTAGATTTGAAGTCAGCAAATAGATCTGATTGTGTTGGGAGTCAGTATAGACCTCGATATTTAGGAAGCAGCCGTTGCGATAGAGCTCCGAGATCGCGCATCTCACGTCGTGGTGCGGATGTGGAGAAGCATCGCCGCAGGAATTGCACAGATCGCCATGACTGGGAATATTGCATAGTCGCGACAGCCGTTTCAAACGAGAAAGGGAGACGATTGTGACTCTGGATGAAGCGCCCAGAAAGAGCTAGCGCCACTGGTAACCGAGGAGAGTCGGTTGACGCTGTGCGACCGATCTAGCTCTCGAACTAAAATTGTCAATGATTGAAGCTCACCGGAGATCCTCCGCATTCGCAGTGACGCACTTCGGGCAGAATGCTGACCGCTCTGATATCAACATCTATATTTGTCGATCACGTTTCACGCAGACGATCTCTGAGTAGGATAAGAGATACTTCTTCTGGATAGCAAAACAGGAGAATTGCTTTGGCTTGATACGAGAGACACCGCGCTACCGCTTGTATGATTTCGAAACGCTATCAATCGAATGCGCAATATATAACTCAATGACTTTCCATGAACCTGTGGTTGACGCGAAATATCCCCGAGCTTCAACATACTGATGGGCAAACTGGTCTAGTCACACGAAGAGAAAAGATTGAGTGGAATGATTGATTGCCAATTCATGAGGAGACAAAATAGAAATTTAGAAGAAAGAGAGAAGGTGGAAAGAGATAGAAATAGGAAAACCGGGCAAGAGACAGCAGGGGGGAGAAACCTCTATTCTATCACATAACTTCTGGGCCTACACAAGCGAGAGCAATGTCCGTCAATATGACCCTTATTACCGAGGGTGTGACACCTGTCCGTGCCAGCTCAAAGTCAACCTCCCAGGGCTTCGAAAACCGTAAATGATCCCAGTACACGAGAAGCCGGGGGTTTTCTATAAGGATCAGCCGCATCGTCCTTTCTTTTTGATAGAGCCCAACTATTTCCTCGACCGCAATAGCAGCGAGGAACAAGACCTATCCCCGCTTTCAATTTCTTCTCTAGGTGACTAAAGTACTAATTTTCTCCCCTGTGAAGCTACCTGGCGAAGAACTTTCTTTTAGACTTGTTATAGTCTTCTCCTACGAGTTGAGCGAGATCCTAATTGTCCAGCTGATCCAAAAACGACATTGATCGCAGGATCAAAAATCTAGGGCCAGATTGTATACCTTTGCAATACGTGGCCCAAGCGTCTCCGTTCAGTCTTGATGTAGCTCTCACGAGTCACAAATTCCGATTCTTCTTACAATCAGGGGTTCCTGCTTAAGACCAGGTGCATTGCCTCGTCACGGCCAAATTGTGATTGACCTGGCGTGGCTAGCTTATCGATCAAGATGCTATGATTGTCTTGGTCAATTGATCTAGTCTCCGATGAGCAGAACATGAAAGTACGCAAGTGTGTAGCAGGTAGCCTTGGATCACGTATGGGGCAACTTCCGCGAGTGAATGGCACATTCCATAGGTCAATCTGCAAATTCCACTCTTCTCCGCATAGACTTGGGCTTACGACTTCCTCCCACGAGCTTGAAATGTTTGCCTCAACTCCATGCCACGCGAAGGTTATTGATACTTCCCCCTCACCTGACCCTCACCTGACCAGCCTAGCAAAGTCGAGTGATATATGGCGACACACCGAAATGTCCTCCCTGCAGAGTGAGCACAAGAAAAAAGAAGAGTCGAAGAGACCCAAGTTGTCGTGGAACACTTACCAGCGACAGTTCCTTTGTTGTCTCTGGCGCTTCTTTCACTGCGGAAACTATCAGGTCTCGGCTATTTTTTCAAAAGTCTTTCGCCATGACCTGATCCAGTGTGGTTTCGGAAACCAGAATATTCCGTATCGCACGCTACACGCTCAGTGGTCTTGGTTAAGGCGTCAACGGCGACCAGTCTGGTTCCAAGTCCATGTTGACACTGAGTTCAGCACCCAGAAAGAGTGGAAGGACATCATCCACTTGATTCGACTCACAGCTTCCCAGCTAGGCTTGACCATCCACGACAAAAAGAAAGACACAATATTGATCCCGGGGGATACAGTGTGTGCCGATAAGGAGCCGAGTGAAGCTCTTAAATCGATTCTGCTTGCCTGTTACCTCCGGCCCCAGGAGGAGACTTTCTGGTCTTCGGAAGGTACCATGAAATCCCACATAGGCGATGTCCAAGAGCAGTCACGGCCCGCGTCAGAGCCTGCAAATCCAAACAGGACCCATGAGTCATTTGAGCCCTTGGTCACAAGTCACGGCAAAGTCTGCTTTTGGTGTGCAAAAGAGAACGCAATCGATTGCGCTTTCGTGATTCCAGACACGAGCAGTGACGAAGATGGCCAAGCTACTCCCATCGCTCGGACGAGTGTGAATTTCGAACTTCAGAATGATCAGGAGATTCAAATTACGCCGGGCACACCTTGTCAGGCCTTTGAACAGCCCGAGAGCTGTCCCGATGACATCCCACATATCATGGACATCCCGGGAATTCCTGGTCTTTGTGGTTCGGGAGACACACCAAAACCGCCGGAACTGTTGTATCGGTGGTCGAACAATCATTCGCAAGGAATCAATACTGGAAATTTACTGGTAGCAGGCTTATTTGTCAAGAATTATCCCCAAGTACCATCCCCCTATCAGTGTTCAGTCGACGAATTCCTCAGGCTTTTCAAGGTCCATGTCACAAGAAAGAAAGTTCCCACTCCCTTTATATCGGCATTTGCGAGACCGATTGCGCCACTTCATCGAGCACTCAGAAATGGGCACCAGGCGAAGATCACGCTCATTGATACCTGTATTATGCCTAGTCTACAGGGATATGTTTTCTCAGCTCAGCCTCTAGCCCAAATCACTGACACGATCGTGGATCGCTGGAAGGGATATGGGGAATATGCAATCTGGGGATCGATTCCCCGCGAGGCAATAGTCACCACCTTCTCTCTGGCTGATATCGAAAAGATCGCGCGCGATGACCCAGAGGTCCGGCAATTCCTCCAACTGGACCTTATTAGAGGAGAAGCAACTTGTCACAGGGGTCTTCGCCGAAAATTGCGGGAGAATCTTCGGTCTCTCCGCATCGAAGACAACCGTCCTGCGCTCCGGCGACTCGCCTGGCATCTGGATGTTCCAGAGGAGTGGCATGAGGTATTTACGCAAGATATGCATGACGCATGGACAATGGACCTGGGTGGCAACAACCAAGTCCTGGAAGGAGAAGGTGATTTACCTATGGTCCAAGATGAGGCTTGGCCAGGTCCACTTGGTCAAGCGTTCATGAATGCCGTGCGAAGCTTTCGTGAAAGTAGTGAGACAACGATCTCTTACATTGCTCCCCTTAGTGATGGAGGATCGCCTTCTGAGCCCACTTCTGAAGAACATGAAAGCCCTTCCCAATCTCCCATAGCCGCAAACAGGCGACGAGACACACCCAGCTCAACCTACTCCATGGAAAGTGATTCTGACGATTCATTCACCTTGCTTGTAGCTCAGAACGCACTACGAACCACCGATGCCGATATTGCCGAACTGGCTGTGCCGCGAGGCCCAGATCAAACGAGCAGACACTTTGACCAGCCAGACAGATTGGCGTCAATCATACACTCTCCTGGTTCTGACATGCTGGGCTTGCCTGCTCAGGTGCCTCTTGACCATGACCCTAGCGAAGCTTCCGACTGGCCCTCCGATGGCGAGATTCATTTCGGAAGCGACACGCCGAGAAAATGCCATTATCTTAGTCGCCCGTTGAGTCAAATTACTCGAGACCGAGACGGCGATATCGCCCGTCTCCCTGATCTTGGCGCTTCGGGAAAAAATGCTTCGATTTTTGATTTTGGCGACAATGAACAGTCGAGTCTTTGAGCCCCCGCGAGTTAAGATACGCCCAACTACTCAAGACTAAACGACGGCGGTGGCAACAGAATATTGTCTCGGGCCGTTAGGAGCTGCGATTTTGACTTCCTGTTTTCTACGGGCAGTAATCATTTTAGTATTATGGACCCTTGTGTTGAATGCCTCGCTCAATTTGTTCGCTTGGGTCAAATTCTCAGAGGCACAGCCTGGTTTTGTGTGCCGAATGGCTCTGGTTTTTTTGTGTTCTTGAATCTACTTCAACCAAATTACAACCTAACTTTGACATGAAGGGGAGTTCGAAGCTGCGGAGCAGATCAAATTTGAATTGAAGGGCCCAAGGGTCAGACTCCAGAATTTAGCAGTAATTCTAGAAAATTGGAGAGCCTTTTACAGCGAGCTACAGTATAGCAGTCTGTTGTCTCGGTCCCCCCTAAACTACATAAACTACCGAGTTATACATTCTCTCAGCCAATAACCCGAAAGTTAATCAGCTATCCCCGGACCCACCGAGTTTGCTCAGTTTGCATGAGACGATCATCATCATCATCAACTTTCCCGATCGCCGACTCCCCTCAATCGACCGACGTCTCAAGTTAAACGGAACGTGTTCACTGGGAATGAAACTGTCCTTTTAACACAAACTCCAAATCAGCTTTGAGCAATATTTACCCATCATGTCCAAAGGTGGAATGTGGGCCAAGTCCATCGCGGGGTGAGTGTTTCCAGTCCTGCGTCCAAAATCGCAACATTGATCTGATTTGGGTCTAACATCTGATGATGGTTTCCAGTGGCATCCTCTTCTGTATCGGAGGTCCTGCACTCGTTCAATATCTTCGGCCTACAGACGCAGAGCTCGTCTCTCGATACAATCCTGATCTTCAGAAACGCAGTGCGGAACAAGGTGATCGGAAGGCGCAGGAATTCGATGACTACGTAACCAAGTTGAAGGAGTGGTCAAAGTCGGACAAATCAAGTATGCATGTCCTGGGTTCACGGTTGTTTTCAATTCGACATGCAAGATCCTTTGGCTAATTTTCTGTTGCTGTAGTCTGGTACGCGGCTCAAGAAGAGCAGGAGCGCGAGAAAGCTCAGCGTGAGGCACAGCGTGCTCGGCAAAAGGAGGAAGCGAGGATACAACGAGACGAGATGCGGAAAGAATTGCTGGGCGACAAATAGAGCAATCTGTGCTGTGTCTTGTCACCATCCCGTCCCTCTCCGAGTCCCGTCGGCTCTCTGTTGTGATTGTCTCCAATTTTTTTGTATATGGCGTTTGGAAGGTACTGGGGCCTCATGCTGTGCTTTTGACACCGACATGTCGAGGTAATACTAGTTTTCTGGCTGGTTGAGAAACTCGAAAAATCATGTACGATAAATTAACTAGCGGTGGAAGGATCTGATTCAAAGCCGTTACTTGCCGGCTTCGGTGTTTGCATTTCACTTACGAGCGTCTCCCCTTCTACAATACGAGATTCAAAACCAATCCAAAGTGTTCCTTGTTCTCGACTTTCCCAGGTCACAAGGTTTTTGCTCTATCCAAGCAAGAACTGATATACTCTCTGCGGTGTATTCGATTATTCAGGTTCCTGATGCTGCCACTTCTCTCGCAGCGCCTCCACATCGAATCCACAAGCCTCGGCCTTTTTCACAATCGCCCGAGCCTTCTGTGCCACGGGCACGTCAATCATTTTCCCATCTAGCGTCCATGCACCTCGCCCTGCTTCAGCAGCCTTGTCGTCTGCAATGACAACCCGCATGGCCCAAGTAGTCTCCTGGGGATCCGGGCCAAAGATCTCATTGGCGGTCTTCACCTGCGACGGATGAATACATTGTTTTCCATTAAAGCCAAGCCGGCGACCATCTCGGCATTCTTCCTCGAGAGCCGCCGGTGGTGATCCGTCTGTTTTGTCGGACTTGTACGCCGTGCACACCAGGTCGATGGTGGACGGCAGATTAGCTGCTCGAGCCGCGGTCGCAATGGCCGATCGAGCAAAGAGGAATTCGGTCAGAGACGGAGTTCGCGTGATACTCAGATCGAGTGCAAAGTCTTCAGCAGCAAAAATCAGTCCCTGAAGCAGAGGCGAGGCATTGCAGATTTCAGACAGGTTAGTCAGGGACTTGGCCGACTCCACCAGCGCGAGAAGAGAGATAGGAGGTCTGGCTTTCGGAGAACTCTGCTGGGATAAAGTGTGACTGATGACATCGGTCACGAATGTCAAGTCTGAGGCGGAATTGACCTTTGGAATGACAAGTGTGGTCAAATTGGGTGATTGGAGCTTCAATAGATAATTAGTCTGCTTGCATCATATAAAACATGCAAAGAGGCAGAAGCGCGACATGCAACCTACCACTTCTGTCAAGTCCGCCAAAGCCAACCCACTATCGACCGAGTTGATGCGAACAGCACGCTCACGGATCCTCTCCGGCGCAGGCTGGTCGATCGCTCTCCGCACGAGAGATCGCGCTTCTGCTTTTTTGTGCGGCGTCACGCTGTCCTCCAAGTCATACGTGAGACAATCAGCCGCCAACGAGCGAGATTTGTCGAGAAATCGTTGTGAAGAACCGGGCACTATTTCATTGCGCCAAATTGTGCACGCCGGTGTCAGTGAGGCCCTTTTCCAAGACAACCGAGGACAAGCTCCGCATGGATGAATGCGGGGAACATGCGCGTTGGAGGAGTGAGTCTGGAGTGGGCTGCTATGACAGCTTACCGTATAGAAGAGAGCGACGGATGGTATTTCGCGCTGCCATTGTAACGCCGGCTTTAGAGTTTTGATTTTTTTTTGAAGGCGGGATATTGATTCAGGGCGAGGGGGTGTTCTTGCGTAAAGTCAGCCGGCGATTGTTGTTGGGGTTCGGAGAGTGGAGTGGACATTGCGGGTACTTGTTCACTACGTCGAACAAGATGGGAGCAAGGTTGTCGAGAAGGCTTGACATATACTAGACCGGATACGACAGACTCAACTGTGACGAGTCAATCTGGGTCTGGCGCCATTTGAATACTAAGATTCAGACCATTGTCAGCAACTGTGTTTTTGTTTTCTCCAGGCTTGCTGATGTGGAATAGGTTCTTGCGGGAAAGCACATCGAGGGCATCTACTAACATCTACGGAGAACACCTACGAAGATGAATGGACTCTCCGGCTTTGTATTTTAATTTTTTTAAAATGGAGTTTCTTCTCGGGGAAATATTCCCAGTCTCATAATCACGTTGTCCCTGCAGATCACTCAAGACGATAGGCACTTGACACATCAGGGACACCGGTACCCTCAGTGATCTTGGCCTCGAGGATCTGGTCAATCGGAATCTCCTCAAGGCGAGTCACAACGTGGTTCAGCGTTGGCAAGGCGTCCCAGCCGAGTGCATGGATCTCGATTTTAGCACTCTTCGTGCGACGAACGCGAGTCACTGTTGATGGAACAACCTTGGCTTCTTGCGCGTGCGGAACAAAGACTGGATACTCAGCTTCAGCAACACCCTTTTGATCCTGACCGACCTTGGGAATGTATCGATGAACCAGGATGCCTTCGTCGTCTTCACCACCAATGGTTCCCTTCTCTGCAGAGTGGTCATCGTCCACCAAGTCTTCCAACTCAAAGTGGCCCCAGACAGCGCCCTGCCAACTGGTCTGCGAGCGATAAGAACTGTGACGCTCAAACACATCAATGGCGGAGTACAGCTTGGGCATACCAAGCTCTTCCCGACCGGATACGATCGGGTCCGCTAGGTTCTCGAATAGAACTGGCATGTAGGTGCCTTTGACGACCTGGCCATTTTCTTTCTTGTATTGCACACCGTGAATATACAGTCCAATGTGACGGTAGCCACCTCCAGCCAGCCAATCCATCTTGTTCAATGTGGTGATGGAGAAGCTGGCGCGGGCTACGCTGCCGGGCCCAATGAAGCTGTACCGTTCCGAAGGAAGGAGATTCTTGAGCAGAGTACGGCTCGTCTTGAACTTGATCGAGGCTGTTTGGAAAGTAGAGGACTGAGACTTGAGAGCTCGGGTTTGGCCCAGGAAGTCTTGCCTTGGGCCGGGCATCGGCCCGAAGACCTTAGGTTGTCGCCAGTATGCGCTCGGGGTTTGAGACCATTGCTGCTCGCGAAGAACTTGCGTGGAATGATCAAACTCGTCATGGCCGAAAATGTAGACAACCATTCCAAATGCTATGATAGACACCGTTTCATCAGCAATCATCGTACTTATTGAACAACAGAGCGAAGGGTTGGGGAAGGGGAATCCATGAGCCAGACGCACACTTATCGGGAGGCAAGAATTGAACAGACTCGCGAGTCATTTCTTGCACGGTTGTAGCACGTCCATGGCGCGCCTTTTCATACAACTTCAGTCTCTCTGGTATTTCCTCAACAGTAACACCTCTTTGCAGCATCACAGACAGTGAAACTGCATCTTCGATAGCCATAGCGCCGCCCGAGGCACGATATGGGAGGAATGGATGCACGGCATCTCCCAGCACAGCCATCCGGTCCTTGACCCACGTCGGAAGCGTAGGCATATCAAGGAGTGGCCAGAGCCGCAGGGTTTCGGGGTCGGCCTTGCCCAGCAACTTGAGCACTTGTGGGTTAAACTCCTTGTACACGTCCAGAAGGGTCTCCTTGCTAATGAATTGGTTGTAAGAGTCGCCGCCGTCGTTACTCGTGGTCAGAGAATCAGGATGAATACAGACAAAGTTCAGTATCTCATTGTTCGCGCAAGGATAGATGACCACGCGTCGATCAGCGCCATCCCACATGTCGACGGCGCCATCGTCCAGGGCAATACTCCGAGTCTCGGGGTCATCGAGGGCCTGCTGCCGAGAGATGAGGAAGCGGAAAGCGTTTTTGCCAGAGCTGTACGGCTTGACATCGGGGCTCAACTTTTGACGAGTTAATGAGTGGACACCGTCCGCGCCGATCAAAACATCGCCCTTGATGATATCGCCATTTTCGAGCGTCACCGTCGCATTGTGCGGATCAACGTCCACCACTTTGCTGGCTGTGTGAAGCACGGCGGGTTCACCTTTACCCGGTGCTTGAGCCATTGTCTTGAGACCTTCGTGAAAATGGGCCCGATGAACGAGGAGCCAGGCCTGAACGGGAAAAAATTGAAGCAGTCGTCAGCCCCATCTAAGACCTCGGGGGACCACGGCTCAAGTAGACTTACATTCCTCCAAATCGCTCCATGCTGTTTGACTGGAGTAATATGGGAGACTTCTCCCGCGGGTGTATATTCCCTCAACTATGCGGACAGCACATGAACGTTAGCATAGGGTCCGCGTCAATCGCGTAAATCTGTTCAGAGATAGGTCACAACGCCATTTCTCTCACTTACCGCTTCGCACTCGACAGCGCCAAATTTGGTGGCATCAACGCCTAGTTTCAGGAGGACGCTGTTTGCATTTGGAGACAAGTGAATGGCAGCGCCAATCTCGTTTGCGAAACGCGACCGCTCAAACAGCTGGACGGTGGACAGTCGTTAGCTAACACTTACTCCAAAGAATGTCCAGCTGTCAGTGATGGAATCATGACGATCTCAAGATTACCTCTACGCGATGCCCTTGCTGACGCAGCGCAATCGCAGCGGTCAAGCCTCCAATACCAGCACCGACAATTAAGATACGAAGACCGCCAGATGTGGTGGCCTCGCCGTTCACTTGTTTGATGGCCATGATGCTTGTGTTCTCCTTGCGTGTTGCAAATAAGACCAGAGTCTCAACCTCGTAACTTAGGCCGCGCGTGTCAGACCAGAGTATTTATGATCAGATACACATGTGCCCTTGCGTACCACATGATCTTGAGGGCCACATCATCCCTGCCATTCTGAGGTACTGCGTCGGGCTGTTCGTGGCCCATACTTGCGCATTCAGTCGATGCTCGCATCGCCTCGGATGTCCATTTCGGCCCCACATCGAAGACCGACAGCGCCTCACGGCTGCGGGCGGGGGAACGAATGTATATGAATTGTTCGGTGCTGCAAACTCCGACACGATGGAATTAAGTCGAAGTCAACATATTGGTCTCTCACCTTACGGTTTGCATTCAAGCGCAGAGTCGAGCCCATCGTCGCCGTTATGCCCAACGAGATCAAGGACATCACCACTCGGGATGAGACATCATTCTCATATGTCTTTGAACAGAATGTCTCTATTCAATTAAAGGATGGATCTGGTGTGGTACGGTGCAATGTCTATCGTCCCAAGGGTTCAGAAAAGGTTCCTGCCTTGGTGACTTATGGTCCATACGGCAAGGACATTCCCTACAAGGATTTCCACGGCAAGAGTTTCAGTGAAGTCAACCCTGAACAAAAGTCCGAGCACTCAGCCTGGGAGACCCCCGATCCCAAGTATTGGACCAGCAAAGGATATGCAGTTGTGCGTGCCGACGAGCGTGGCACCGGCCAATCCATCGGTAAACTCGACACCATGTCGCGAGGCACCAGTGAAGCCTTCTTTGATGTGGTTGAATGGGCTGCCGAGCAGCCTTGGTCATCCGGCAAAGTTGGCTTGCTGGGAATCAGTTATTTTGCCGGCAGTCAATGGCGCGTGGCCGCCAGACAGCCCAAGGGTCTTGCTTGCATGATTCCCTGGGAAGGCATGTCAGACTACTACCGTGATCGCTGCCGCCACGGCGGGATTCTCTCCAATGCATTCATCAAATTCTGGTGGAACCGTCAGGTTGTGACCAACCAGTATGGTCTGGGCGGTCGCGCAGCCCGCAATTGGGGACCTGACACCATTGAAGGCGACTTGTCCGAGGAAGAATTGGTGCAGAACCTCCAGGACCAGACGATCGACAACCGCGAGAACAAGTTCCGCGATGATCTGTACTACGCATCAAAGGAGTACAGCATGTCTGACATTCAAGTGCCACTGCTATCCGTCGCCAACTGGGGCGGTATCCTCCTGCATCTGCGTGGAAATGTGGAGGGCTGGACTCATGCAGGCTCGGAGCTGAAATATCTTCGCTTCATCACCGGTCGACATGATCTGCCCTTCTACTACACCGAGGAAGTCGAGCTCCAACGCAGCTTCCTTGATGCTTTCCTGAAGGGAGAGGACCGTGAAGGTTGGTCCACAGGCAAGGCGCCCAAAGTGGACATGGTCTTGCGAAAGGGCAACCCCGGCTTTGACAATGCTGAAGCCGAGAAGGCATTCCCTCGTCGCATCGAGCACGAATGGCCCATTGGGCGCACTCAGTACACCAAGTATTACCTCACATCGCAACGCGAGCTCATCACACATGCTCCCATTGAACGTCCCAGTAAGATCACTTACAAGGCTTTGGGGAGTATGGAAAACCCGGAGCTCGTGCAATTCGTCACTCCGGCCTTTGAAAAGGAGACCGAGATTACAGGCCACATTGTTGCTCATTTGAATGTTTCCATGAGTGCCTCTCCAGGCTCACCTACGCCCCAGGACCTGGATCTCTTCATCACGCTTCGTTACATTGGCCCCGACGGCAAGGAAGTGTACTACACCGGTACCGCTGGCGACCCCGTCCCTCTGTGTAAGGGCTGGCTGCGTGCCAGTATGCGCAAGGTTGATGAACAAAATCCCCGTCACCGATCCTATTTGCCTCACCGTAACTACTACTCCACCGATGTGCTCCCCGTCATTCCGGGCGAGATTTACCCCGTTGATGTTGAAGTATGGCCGACGAATGTTGTCGTGGAGAAGGGGGGTAAAATTATTCTGGAGGTCTCTAGCGGAGATACTCAAGGAAGTGGTATTTTCCAGCATAATTGTCCCGTTGACAGGTATGTCTGCCGTAATCCATGTCCTACCGCATTTTCTTCTTTCACGAATTCTCCCATCCAACTGACTGACTGATACTTTTTCACACCAGATCCGTCGAACGCTTCCAGGGCCAAAATCACATCCACTTTGGACTTGGTGACAACTATGTGACTTTGCCGATTATTCCTTGAATTTATGGGATGAATAAGGCGTGAATGAAGTCCAGATGAATAAATGTATATACTTGGATTCAATGCCCAGTATCTTCCTCGGGTCATTTCTTAGTTTTGTCCGTGAATATACTAAGTGTGGTCCAGTGACTAACTATGGAACTGAAAGGACTTACAATGAATTCATGAGTCCCGCTATCTAATCATGGCTGTATTTGGTGAGGTTATCTCAGCAGTATATGGCCAGCGTCCATCACGTTAGCAAACGACTGGCTGCTCTCACGTATACACCTCGAATCAAACAAGATCTAGATAGGAAATTGATGGTGTCTTTAGTGACCAACCCGACCGTGCTTCAGAACAAGCTTGTGCCGGGAAGTAATGAAAAAGGACAATTATGTTCGGGAATGTGCCATCCCATTTGCTCATGAAATTGACGCATCGTCACTCTAATGCCGAATATTCATTTGCAAGCCGATCACGTCCGGGTACAGTCCCAACCGTCAGGTTCTCCGCAATGTGCCCGTCAGCCCCCGCAGCCGATGTGGTCGAAGATGGTCCCGAGAGGTTCTACTCCGCACGAGGGCATTAGGGTGGGGGATATAGATCAGTAATGGAACCAGACAACAACATAAACACACTGGGAATCCTCCATGCCGGGTACATCTTCACGCGATACCAGACTTATTTTTGTGCTTTGGCTCTTTCACAACATCCATCCATAGATATTGACTTACCTCCCCTAAGTTAATCTCGATACTCTCCTTAACCGCCCAATATGGTCGAAATCAAGCACCCCAAGACCATCCGCCCACTCAGCCGATTCATCACCACCCATAACGACGACGGCAAAGCCATCTTCTCCAACATTCTCCCCGAGACTCTTCCCGTGCAACAGATTCCAGACGGCGCTCAATTCAGCCTCGCCTACACCACCCAGCGATTCCCCGCCAAACTGGACAACGACGCCGACATCACCGAATACTCCTCCCACCTGTCCAGTCCCCCCGGTCTGTCCATCTCCAGCGGCACCGTCTGCCGCATCGTGGACATTCAGCCGGGGGCGACCAGCCCGATGCACCGCACTGTGTCCTTGGACTATGGCGTTGTGCTCGAGGGAGAGATTGAGCTTGTCCTGGACTCGGGCGAGACGAGACTGTTGAAGAGAGGGGACGTTGCGATTCAGCGCGGTACGAACCATGCTTGGAGGAATGTGACGCCGGATGCGGTGGATCCTGAGACGGGCAAGTCGATTCCGCAGTGGGGAAGAATGTTGTATGTTCTTTCGCCGACGGTGCCTCTGGAGGTTGGCGGGCAGAAGTTGGGAGAGGAGATTCATGGTATGGGTGTGCCGTCCAGCTCTTGAGGCTCGAATGTGGAGAATGCATGAGGTAGCGATTTTTTCGCATGACCAGGGCATCCCAAAGGAATAAACATAAAAGTCGAGTGAGCATGACCCAAGTCCACGAACTCCAGTGTGTGCCTTTTCTAGAGGGTGCACTCCACGTCGAATTAATGCTCTGAGTTGTATCTCGATGCTCGGCAGTAGACGGTATACTCTCTAGATCTACCTCAACCTCAACCACCCTAATTCTCAACCATTAGATCACTAAGCACGCAACAAATTCACCAAAAAATGTCCTATTATTCGTATCTTGCATTAAACTTTTTCAAATGGATTGTCCGGCGAATGGTTAGTCCTATTCAATGTCACTCCTCCCAGTTACTTGCAGATAATGGCCGACTAGGTACCCGCCTCGTACACCACAAAACTGAGCTATGTAGGTATGTTGGGTAAGGATACGTTCTAGAGGAGGGCGCGGATTTTTGCCAATATACCTACCTACTCTTAGACAACCCTACGCCTCCGAGACTCAGTAGGGTAATTATCACTTACGCTATGATTTTTCGCTGTGACTCGTAGTGTGCACTTGAAGGAAAGCGTTCTACTAGATCGCTTTAGAGTACAGGAATATAGTAACAAAAGAACTTTTATTCAGTGATACCACGACATCGCGATTGGGAAAGGGGATTTGTTTTTGTCTAAAAGCTTCAGTATCTTAGGGTGATTGTCCGTAATGTTGGAATAGGAAGGACAGTAAAAGTCAGTGACCTTGCGATGTAAAAAAGAAGAATGATCAAGTCTGCCATGGAATAGACTGATAGTTAGAAGAGACGGGAACAAAGTGTGAATTCGAAACAATCGCGATTTGAATATAGAAATCAGAAGCGGATTGAAAGAACTACGCAAGAAGAAATGAAAAGACAACAGGTCAACCACGCATCCTCACATAAACCCACGTATAGTATCCCACAGTCGAGAATGTTGCGATCAATGAGATCAGGGTAATGCTGACACCGGTCAAAATACCTTGCTCAAAGAATCCAATCTTGAAACCAGCACGTTGCTTTGTTGGAGGAAGTGGTGAGAGAGCTGCCCGCCACAAGGCATCAGAGCGAACAGTGCTCTTGGTATCCAAGATTGAATTTACAGCAAAGGTGGCGGTGGAGGGTGTGATCAGCTGGGGTCGTGGCTTCTGGAAGTGACCGATGGCGTAGCGTGTGGTTTGGCTGTAAGGAGTGTTGCGGGGAATAGCCGGCCCAACTATGGAGTGATTAGCGTCGAGATTCATGGCAGAAAGTATTTTGCAAATGTATGGATGACGAACTCAGCATATTGCTTGGAACATGGTTAACCCAGGAGATGTTGGCGTCAATGAATTGGGTAAGATACTTGGCCGAGGCGGGAGCTGCAAAGGCATAGACGGCGGCAAGCGTTTGGTTGCTGCGCATCCCGGTCAGTTCAAGCCATAGAGGGGCATTTGGGCAGTCAAAACTCACAAGTTCATATCGATCGCGTCATCCAGACTGGTGACCGGGTGAACCACAAGCACCTTCTCGTCGATCTTCTTCTTCAACAGTGGTGATTTGCTACTGAAATCAGCATTTTAGACTCTACCAACGCACAGCGCTTTCGCCCACAACTCACCGATCTTGAACCTCGACCACACCCCAGTTGCTTCCTGAAACCAAGATGCGAGCCGATCGATCCTTGTGGATGGAGTCCAGAAGACTCTGTCGCCGCGTGGGCGCCTGTGATTGCCGGGCTTCTCCATTCTCCCCGGCGAGGTACTTAGATGCGCGCTGAATGACGGCTTCCACAAATGGCTTCATCGCAAACTCGTTCACAAGCACGACATCGGGGCTGTATGGAGACCTGCCACCCAAAGCAAAGCGCGCGGTCACCAAAGCATGTGCAGCCTCAGTCACGTCGCCAGAACGGTCGACAATCGCGACGCTGCGCGAGGTCGCGGAGGAGATGAGCCCGCTGGGGGCATCGGAGCCCGTTTGGTCCACCAACAGAGCTTTGCTCATGAAAGATGGGTCAGGTCGCTGACTGGTGATGGTGAAAGTATCATGATCCAAGGCCCCAGGGAGAATTTGTCGCAACAAAACGGGCAGGGACATGGTAGTTTGAGGCAGCTGGATTCGATTAGCCTCTGATTTCTCGGGTTGCTCTGCTTTAAATACTGAAAGATGGCATGTTCACCTCTAGCACAACACAATTGCCTGCAGCCATTGCAGCTGTCAGCGTAGAGATGATGGAAAAGAACAACGTATGCGTCGAGGGCACAATGTATACAATGCCCGCGCCCTGGACGTTGTCCCCATTGTTCTGGCCCTTGGCAATGCGATACTCAATTTCCAAGTCCTTGTGAATATCGCAAGACGCATAGTGAGTCCGAAGCTCCTGCATCGCCAGAATGACTTCTGCCCGAACTTCTTGCTGGGTGTGTCCCGAATCGGCTCGGATGGCATCCTGGATGTCTGCAATGCGCTCCACGAGAGTTGACTGTAGACGCTGAAATTGCGATTGTCGGTAGCGCGCATTCTGAGTGCGGCCGTCAATGTTCGCAGCTGTGATGCGAGCGAGATCCATGTTTGTTCTCTTTTCCTTTTCACAAGTGCCCAGTCAACAATGAAAGAACGAAAGGCGCGGCCCACGAAGAGTACGAGAGGATGTTGCAGATGACAAGATGGCCGGAATATCAAATAAAAAAGTTAAAGTTCGTTCCCCAGAGAAATGAGCTCTACATTTGGAAGAAATCGAATCAATTCAGCTCTCGGGGCTCTTCCCCCAATGCTCCCCTGCTTTCTCATCCTCCGCAGTTGCCTTCTGCGATGGACAGAAATCGGGATGTGGGGGAGAAATGCGGGCGCCCGCTGGACATCCTCAGAAATGGCCCCGGGTTCAGGATTTCCCACGGCACATGATGGCCCCAGTCGACTCCGCAGGATGGGCGAGCCTCTCGACGATTCGGAGTCTGATTATCTCCGACCGAAATATGAGAGTGGCTGGCTCACTCGTGCAGAGAATATCGACACTCATCCGCATTTTCTCCCTGAACTGCTCCCGCGCCATCATGTCTGCTACCACCACATCCACCACGACGGGCTCGCTGTCCGTCCTCGCTGACTACGAGGTTCACCACAGCGGGACTGAACAAAACGACACGCTTGCTACCACCTTCTCAGACTCACCAGGTGCCCCGCCAGCTTCAGAATGGGCGTCGCACTGGCGTCGTATGCCGGCGTATCGACCGGTGAACCGACATCTCGACCTGGCCGAGCGTCCAGCGGGCAATGGACACCCGGCAGAGTATGCTTTTATCCAGATCATGTTGCACGGCTGCTGGATCAACTCAGTACGTCGCAGATTGATATGCTGGACCTTCGAGTCTGCAAATCGATGCTAATGTTGGATAGACTATCTCCAAGATCTGGAGAGCCACGGGTGGCAAAGTTAACGACAAGATCTTCTACTACGATATTGGCGGAGAATTTTGATTGAGTTCTACCTGGACATGATGCGACATGGTTAATACCTCCTGAGCTTTGACATCGAAACCTCACATGCGCTTCCGGACGCCATGTGATGATACCTTTTACTTTTCACCCATCAATTGATATCGGTCTGTTTGTGGTTTTCTCCAGAATATACTTCACGAGCAAGTGAGAGGGCGGTTGGTGTCCACCCACATGTTGACTGTGGATCAATGTACTCAGCAGTAAAGCGTATCCGGTCTCTCCTGAGTCCTGAGTCCTGAGTCCTCCGTGAGCAAAAGCGGCGAGAGGCCAAGCGTCAAATCAGTAATGTAAAGCCAAGACATGCCGTAATGAACATCTTTCCCACCACGACCAAGGTGCGGTGGGTAATCCAGGGTATCACTCTCCATTTGCAACGGGTCGCAGCTCCAGTAGTGGATTGCAAGAAAACGGGAACGACAAGGGCACTGTGAAAATGGTGATTTCGAGATCCCATCAACCCCCGCTCCAGGAGATAATGTTCAACCACTTGATTATTGTATGCTGCCATGCCATCTACCTCGGCGGTCCAACCCACGGAGCTGATGAGAGCGAGTGGTAAGTCTCACGTCGAGTAGAATCCAAACTACCCCATAGGTAGCTGTAGATACCAGATATACAGGAACCGTGTGAGATGTGTCCAAACTCACTAGTCGTGGCAGGTTGATCGAGTCATTCCAAAAGGGAGAAACTTCAACTTTTATTGCTCATGTCAAGGCTGGACTTCAGGCACTGGCGCAGGATCCTCACGGACTACTTGTTTTCTCGGGGTTAGTCTAGGATTGAAGCCTCGATTTAAATGGAACGAGCAACCCGGAGGCTGATTATTCTACCGATAGTGGCCCTACAAAAGAGTCTCAAACGAAGCTCAGTGAAGGGCAGTCATATCTCGTAAGTTATGTGCCGATCGATCTTCACACCATGCGACTTTGATTAACGTGAATGGAGAATCTCGTCCGTGAGAATGGCTACTTCGCGAAGGAACTCGACATCACAGCCGAGATGGAGTCGAGAACCATCACAGAAACTCTTGCAACGGACTCCTATCAGAATGTTCTGTTCTCGATGATCCGCTTCCACTCCCACACGGGGGCGTGGCCTACCCGAGTCACCGTTGTCACCCACGACTTCAAGCGAGCCCGGTTCATGGAGTTACACTTTCCAGCCTTGGGTCTACTACCCCCCACCGATCATCAGAAAAGCAGTCCCCATCCAGGAGTCTCAGTCATCGGTATCAACCCCCCGGCAGAAGTGACTCCGCCCGAAGTCTTGGTGTGGGGTGAATCTGCAAAGGGGTATGAACTTTGGAAACAAGATCTATATGGCGTCGGGTCCGAATTGGCACAGAAACGCCTGGCCCGAGGGTGGTCGCCAACGAAGATAGAGGATGTGTGTGTCAATGCAGACCTGAGTTCCAGTGTGAAGCAGCTACTTTCTTGGAACGGCGGAAAAAGTAACGAGTGGTTCCAACAAATGGCAGAATTACCGTGGTACACAGGATGAAGCTTCCGGTCTCGACTGACCGCGAAAAAGTACCATTCTGTCCCTCTCGGTCAATTTCCTCGAGGCAGACGTGCAAATCCGAAAGTAAAAAGGAAATAAGAAACGAAACCAGCCGTCCCAAACGCCAATGCAAATCTTGATACTCCCACATCGGGCTCCCGTCATAGCAGTCTTGAACACGTTTCGCCAGGCAGCTCAGTCTGTTTGCCGGTAGCTGACAAGCGTACCAACCCGATGATTATTCGTACTGAAGCTTCGTAGCTGGACCTTTTCCGCATTCTTGATCTCCTTCGCATCACTGTCACCCCATTCGACGGGGACATCCGAGTCTGCATCTGCATAGACTAGCACGTTGAAAGTGCAGTCACCGTCGAGAACGGGGAGGAATGTGACAGAGGCCGTAATTTGTCGAAAGATGGACTGAATCTCTTCTTGGATCTCTTTCTCCGTCTTTTCGACGGGCTCAGACGGCTCGGCGCTGTTTTCACTAGCACGATGACAACAGATCAGCTTCGGGCTTGTCGATCCGGTTCAAAAAATTGCAAGGCTGCAACTCACCTAGGAGCCGAGTTCTCTTTGTCTCCTGCTTTTCGAGAAGTCTGGCTCTTAGAGCTCTTGCCGAATATCTCCACATCGAACTGCCATCGCTCCACGTGCTCTCCGGTCTCCTTGTCTGTAATGACAATGACAAGCTTTGAGATCTTTCCACCGGCCATCCATTTGTTCAGTTGTGACATTATCTTCTTAATGTATGCCTTGACTTGATCATCGGCCGACACTGTTGTCATGTTAGATCGAACTCTCCGAGAACATGAGGGGCGGGTTGAAATGGGTCTTGAGAAGTCGAGAGGCAGGCGCACCAAGCATATTGAGTCCATATTTCTTGACGCTAGTTTTCATCACTGTGAGTGATCCATGATATCCAGTACCGAAGCATGAGGTCAGAACCTACGTGGTAAAGTCTTCCGGAGGATATACACCGCGCTGAAATCTTGAGAGAAACGATGAGAATCTTGAGCTCATCCTTGGTGGTGTGATATACTCACAGAATGGAATTGATAGAGTATTCAAACTGTGTATAAGTCAGCCTTGAGTCGCACACCAATTGTGACCAAGGCCAGCACATGATTGCAAGACATTTACTTACGAATTCAGATACCAACTTGGCCGATCCTGTGACATCAATTAGCAATGTAGACCTTGGAGTGATTTGAAGATACAGACGAACCTCTGATGGATAGCTTATGGACCTTGGATTTGTCCTTTGTCTCTGGCATGTTGACGCTCCGCAAATCACTGTCTACAGCTTTGATCTGTACACGAGCAAAAACGGTGCCAAAGAACGTTTGTTTACCACCCAAGGTTGATACGGCAATCATTTATCGGATCACCGCCCGGCAGTACTTTTTTCTCCGCAATCACTGCCGCATCCTGGGGATCCGTTCCACCTCCGAACAAGGCCTTATTGATACTTGCTGGCATAAGAAGACAGGACAATTCCTCTCTTCTTCCATGCCATTGTTTTACCCCTGATGCAAGGATGCTGGCAGTTTGTGCGATCGCTACGCACTGTGTCAAACTGTCGGGCAGCAAGCCTCTCCTCTCAATCCGGCTTTGCCCCGTCTAGGGTCGTGCGATTTTTCTCAAACTCCGCAGTTTGGAGCGCTCGAGCGAAAGCGTCATCCAGCCTCCCCGACACCGACCTCGAGAAACGAATTGCCGCGATACCCCTCGAACGATATCGCAATTTCTGTATTGTGGCTCACGTCGACCATGGAAAAAGTACACTTTCCGACCGATTGCTGGAGCTCACGGGCACCATCAAGCCGGGCATGAACAAACAGGTGCTGGACAAGTTGGACGTTGAGCGAGAGCGAGGAATCACGGTCAAGGCACAGACTTGCACCATGATTTATAATCACAAGGGCGAGGACTACTTGCTGCATCTGGTCGATACTCCGGGTCATGTGGATTTCCGTGCAGAGGTGTCGCGCAGTTATGCCAGTTGTGGAGGGGCCTTGCTCCTTGTGGACGCTAGCCAGGGTGTTCAAGCTCAGACCGTTGCCAATTTCTATCTAGCTTTTGCGCAGGGTCTGGAATTGATTCCTGTCATCAATAAGGTGGATTTGCCTTCTGCTGACCCGGAGCGGGCTCTGGAGCAGATGAAGAGCTCCTTTGAGCTGGACACGGAAAATGCGGTGCAAGTTTCTGCAAAGACCGGTCTCAATGTCGAGGCAGTCCTGCCAAGGGTCATTGAGAAGGTTCCCGCGTGAGTCGGATGATCTTGAATGGATGTTGACATGTCTCGAGGCTAACAATTTCACACAGACCCATTGGTGACAGTAAAAAGCCCCTTCGCATGCTCCTTGTGGACTCTTGGTACGACTCATATCGTGGCGTTATTCTACTCGTACGGATCTTTGACGGTGAGGTACGCCCAGGTCAGCAATTAGTATCTCTGGTCACGGGTCTGAAATACTACGTCGGTGAAGTTGGTATCATGTACCCGTTGGAGACCCCTCAGACTGTGCTTCGAGCGGGTCAAGTGGGCTATATCTACTTCAACCCGGGCATGAAACGCAGTCAAGAGGCCAAGATTGGTGACACTTATACCCGCGTTGGATCGGAGAAGCACGTTGAGCTGTTACCGGGCTTTGAGGAGCCCAAGTCGATGGTCTTTGTGGCCGTCTACCCCATGAATGCGGATCACTTTGAACACCTAGAGGACAGCATCAACCAGTTGATTCTCAATGATCGCAGCATTACCATGCAAAAGGAGTCCTCCGAAGCGCTTGGTGCGGGTTTCCGTATGGGCTTTTTGGGCACCCTGCACTGCTCTGTCTTTGAAGATCGTCTTCGACAGGAGCATGGCGCCAGTATCATCATCACTCCACCCTCGGTCCCTGTGAAAATTGTATGGAAGGACGGCACGGAAGATATCATCACCAACCCTGCCAAGTTCCCCGACGACGATAGCGTCCGTTTGAAGGTGGCCGAAGTTCAAGAGCCGTATGTCCTGGCCACTATCACCTTCCCGGACGAATATCTCGGCAAGGTCATTGAACTTTGTGAGGCCAATAGGGGCGAGCAGCAGAGCATTGAATACTTCACATCCAGCCAGGTCATTCTCAAATACGAGCTACCCTTGGCTCACCTCGTCGATGACTTTTTCGGCAAACTGAAAGGTAACACCAAGGGCTACGCCAGTCTGGACTACGAAGAATCCGCCTGGCGCGCTGGCAATATCGTCAAGCTGCAGCTTCTGGTGAACAAAGTCCCCGTCGACGCAGTGTCTCGGATGATGCACATGAGTCAGGTGCAGTACCTGGGCAGACAATGGGTGACCAAATTCAAGCAACATGTGGACCGACAGCTCTTTGAAATTGTGATCCAAGCCGCCGTGGGAAAGAAGATCGTCGCCCGTGAAACCATCAAGCCGTACCGCAAGGATGTTCTGGCCAAGCTGCATGCTAGTGATGTCAGTCGTCGGCGGAAGCTGTTGGAGAAACAAAAGGAGGGCCGAAAGAGGCTTCGGGCGGTCGGAAACGTCGTGATCGAGCATCAGGCTTTCCAGGCCTTCTTGGCCAAGTGAATTCTGTACTATATTCTGCATTGTCTCGTTATGATATACCCCAAATGTCAACTCGGCTGTTTCAAACTTTCATTTTGGTTGTCTTTGGTACAACGATTATATGTGGATGGTGAGGAGCATAATCATTTGACAAGGAGAGAACGATGAGGTGGCTTGTTGGTTCAACATCAACTCATGATTGACAAGCTACCGGAGACCACCATTTTGAACAAGGACTCATTGACACTGACAACCTGCGAAAGGTACTGTTCGACCAGACTTACATTACAACTTGGCCCAAAGCCGGGCAGGAGACTTCTCAGGTCGGCCATACTGCCCTCTGGCGCCCAAGTTGACCACAATTCCTTCCCCAAAGGCGGCCTCTTGACAGTCTTCCTCATCCACCCCATTTACATGTTGCACCACCACAAAGTCCACTCGTCTCGGGCCCAACACCACCATGGGCGCATGCCATGTCCCAACCCCATAAGTAACCGCCTGGCCTCCACGCGCAATGAAAGCCCTCAGGTTCTTCAAATCCGGCGGATCACGGATAGTAACCGTCTCGCCCTTTGCATTCTTCGCAGTAGCAACTTCGCCCTTTAACGTCGGCGCAACGACGACCAGGAAGATGGGCTCTTCCTCCCCCTCTCCAACCTTGGAGTGACTCGACAGGTCGGTCGGGATAAAGGTCTGATTTGTGAAAGGGTGGCGCTCCAGGATACGCACATCAAAGACCTCGCTGGCTGACTTTTGTTGTTGTCCATGTTGGCTGGCTTCGATGGTGCGCAGTTTGCGAGGGAAGCAGCAGAACATGGTCATTCGCGCGGAGGCTGCTTTCCCGCTGGGACAGGATTTGGCATAGTCATCGGTGAGGGGGGAGATGGGGCTATATTTGAGGGCGGAGTTCTGGTTTGCTAATACGGGAGCTGGGATATGAGGTGGGAGAGAGGATGCTTGAGGGGGAATGTGGATCTCTCGAGGTAGAGGCGAGGTGATGGCGGTTCCGAATGGCGCGAAGCTGACTCGAGTAAGAGGCTCCGGGGTGACGGTCACGGTCGGGTTGGACGTGAGGATAGGTGCCATTGTGTTTGATGAAGTGGCTCGATAAAAGCCTTGAAAAGAGTGTCAAGGTAAGGAATCTGTCCTGGAGGATGTCAAAGAAAGTGAGTTAACTTTTTTGTCTGCATCAGACAGTCGAGAGCTTGCGAACTAAGAGCTACGAGTCTGTGGAGAAGCGCCCGCAGGCAATTGATTCCAATCGCCGTCATCCGCGCGGGGAAATTGTCCCGTCAAAGAAATTCATCGGCGACCGCCGAGCCTTGCAGGCGATAAGATAAGCAAGCCCGTCATGGAAACTGTGAATACAATTGAGTCACATCCCGTTCTGCGTTGGTAGTATGTGGGCCGTATCCACATTTCTACTTTCGGAAGGGTCTATTGTACCTCGTTAAATGTCCCCCGTAACATATGGTAAGTTAACTAGAGGTGTATATGATACCACTATCAACTACATAACTTCCTCAGCAGTAAAATGTTTTCCGTATCTCGTCTCAATCTCGGAAAATAAGTTCAAATCACGGCAACAGGTGGTCTCTATTTGATATTCACATGTTCGTTATTTATCCCACCACGACTTAATACCCGTAAGTATTGACTGCCTCTATGATTGAAATCTTTTTATACCTAAGGCTGCTAGGGTATCTAGAAGCTTGATTGTATAATGCCTAGGGAGCTGGGTACTTTCTGCTTGAAAAGTGGACACGGTCCACATACTACCAACGCAGAACGGGATGTGACTCAACTGTGTTCTGATGGAAACTGACGGCCGGAACCGAGGTCAACTCGTCTACTCGCGTACTTCTGGACAGAACGGTTGAATGAAGATATAGAGCAAGGAGTCGGGACTGCGTGTTCTAAATTACCGCCAAGCCGCCTTGTCCTTTGGAAAAAAGATCTTGTTCTTGAATCATTCCTTGGCCGGTCGATTCACGATGATCGCGTCGAGGATAGTTTGCGCACCCGCCTCGACCAGCTTAGCAGCAAGCTCCTGGCCTAGTACTACAGCTTCCTCAGGATTCTCCAACCTCGCCTCAACTTGAGCTCCAGCACTCTGCGCCCCATCCAGACTCACGACAATGCTCCGCATATGCAAAGTGTCCGTCTCTACCCACTCCGTCTCAACACCGATAGGAACGCTGCAACCACCCTCCAAAGTCCTCAACAGCGACCGCTCAGCCAGACAGGCCAGCGTCGAGCGACGATCAGCCAGCTGATTCAGCAGTGCATGCATTTGCGCATCTCCTTTGCGGATCTCCAGACCCAAAGCGCCTTGGCCAACCGCATGGTACATACCCCCATTGCTGGATTGTAAACACTGGTTGATCCGGTGACGGAGTCCCACGCGCTCCAGACCCGCGGTCGACATGATCATGCATGTGTATTCGCTGTTGGGATCGTCCACCTTGGCGAGTCGAGTCTCGACGTTGCCTCTCAGATTGGCGAAGTTCAGGCGCGGATAGAGTCGTCGTAGTTGAGCGGAGCGGCGCACTGATGATGTCCCTATGACTGCGCCGTCCGGTAGAGTGCTCAAGCTTGTGTAAGGCAGACCTGCCTTGACGATCAGGGCGTCTCGCGGGTCATCCCGTGGTGGAATTGAGGCGAGCTCGCAGGTTTCGGGCAACGCGGTAGGCATGTCTGTCGATCATTTAGCCGTGGCAGTGGAACTTTTCGGGGTTGATTTCGTGGATCCGAGAGGTATGATCAGGTGTCCTCGATACACCACACCTTTCAAACAATGTACAACAAGATCCAACTCGCCCGACACAAGCTTCTCTTCCAGTTCACATGTCCACAGATTCTTCACCCCCATTTCGTACAAGGCCGTCGTCTTGTCCCGATCGCCCAGCGGTCGAAGCGTGACGATTTCAAAGAATCGGTGAGGCTCAATCTTCTGTAGACTGTCCCGAATACCCTCTGCCTGAACCACGGCCAGATTCGAGCGCCGAGTGCCAATGCGGATAGGCGTCTCGGGCGGCGTTGGTACAGCCGCCATTTTCGTGGATTGGCCTTGCGGTCTTGGTATTTTGGCTGGGTGCGTCTGAATTGATGGCCTGTGTGATTTCAGATTGAATTGGCACCAACTGACTCAATGTGTACTTGCGTCAGTCGTGTTGATTCTTTTTGGCAATTGACAATCCCAACTCGAAGCGCTCCGCGCTAAGCGGTAGTGGTATGGTGGCATGGTGTCGCGACTCGCTAGTCTCGGGATCGCCCTTAAGCAGTCGGTTCAGGTGGAAACCCGACGTTCCGCCAGCAGCACCGCGTCTTATGAGCCGGGTATTGATGATCCGGCTGAGGTTGTCTCGTGATCAACTCTATTCTGAGTCATTGCAAGAGAGCACTGCACAAACTCCGATAGCTTCGGGCGTGTAGTAGTGAAGGAAAATTTACATCATGGTCAACATTTGGCTCCACAATGCATCGCACCAAGCATCCTTGACTACTACCCTCATGCCGAGTCCATACTTGTCAACAAGGTCAGAGATGATTCTCGTCGTCGCAAGCAAAATCGTCTTCTCGATGGAGTTGTTTTCGCGTTGAGTTAGGTGAGCCAGACCCTCGAGCTCCTGAAATCCAATGATAGTACAATGGTGGACCAAAACGCATTTCACACTCCAGCTTGATGGGCGGGCGGTGCGTGCCGATCCTTGAAAAAAAGCTTCCGAAGAAAAGATTCGGTTTGGCGGGGCGCAAAGGGGGGTCCAGGCTCCAGACACACATTTCGTATCGCATCTTCTCAGCATGTTCTCCGACCCTGAACATCGCGAACTTTGGTCACGACTTACACCCCGTACAACATCCCTGGTCTACACAGGGCCCCAGGAACGGGCAGATGATCAAACTCTCCGAAATCTGATGTTAGTGCCCTCAACTTTATTAAATTCACGTACCCATGTCGTAGCTAGCTAGCTAACTCTACTTTGTGGATTGTAGATGGCTTCAACCAGCCTGCCAAATGAGTTGTTTCTGCTGATCGCTCAACAGCTGCCGGCCTTGATTGATTTGTCCAGATTGATGCAGGTGGATCGGAGGAGATATCACCTTCTACGCGAATACCTATACGATCGAATTACCGGCAATGAGAAGAACAGGGTTCTTCGCTGGGCGGCGGAACATGGCCATGAAACAATTGTGCGTGCCATGTTGCAGCGCGGCGGCGAGTACTATTCGTTGAAACGCCTCCTTTTGGATGACGGGACCATTGAGTCTGGCCCGAGGCTGATGCTCGATGGTGCTATTGCCGGCGCCGCGGGCAACGGGCATGCCAGTATATTGAGGCTGTTGCTGAAACGCCTGTCCGGTCCGTTGACAGTGCCTCTTCCCACAAGTGAAGCGCCAATTGTGAGAGCCGCCGTCAATGGTGACGCCGAGACGGTGACGATCTTATTGGAACACACCGCCGCAACGCAATCCAGTCTCTCATCAGGGCAAGCTGCAACAGATCTCGCGGCCGAGAAAGCTGATCGGGAAGCTCAGATCACTCGCTTGTACAGCTACGCTTTAAACGAGGCTTTGCGACACGCACGGGAGGAGATAGTAAACCTGCTCCTCGCGGATGGTCGCGTTCAGTTGAACTCGCAAAGTATATGCGCCGCGGCGGCGGGTGGGAGCCTGAAGCTTGTGGAACTTTGCCTGCAGCAGGCGCCCGCGTGGTCTCCGGGTACGGGCCACGAGTCGCCGCTCGGGGCAGCTGCACGGAGAGGTCATGAAGCTGCCTTCACATTGATCTCTCAATCGGGGAATTTCGATCCAAATATGACAGATGAGGCGGGCAGGACGCCGCTTGCTGTTGCTGCAGAACATGGTCAGAATAGGATTGTCGAAATCCTGCTGGGTACCCCAGGCGTGGATGCAGATCCTCATGATAAATACGACCGAACCCCTCTTGAACTTGCAGCCAGCAAAGGCAATATGGTGCTCGTACAATGGTTACTTGCGATGCCAGGTGTAGATGTCAACAATTGCGACTCAGATCATTACATACCCATCAGTTCCGCAGCCAGCTCTGGAAAAGTTGAGGTTGTGAAACAATTGCTAGAGGCTGGAGCAGATCCCGACTGTCCAGATAACGAAGGTCGCACACCCCTGGCTCGTGCAGCATACTCAGGAGCCAATGAAGTTGTAAAAGTCTTACTGTCAACTGGCAAAGTGCAGGCGGATTCCCGTGACGAGGGGGGCATGACGCCCTTGATGCTCGCAGCGAAATCCGGTCGATTTTTGAGAAAACCTGACGATTTCGTCCGAACACGACCTTATGAGCTGGAAACCGAGAAAGTGATTGTGCCTTTGCTCAAAGGGGAACAACCGCCTCCCTTGAACCTCAAGGGCCTGCTTCTGGAGCCAGACGTCAACCGGGACATTTCCACTCGCGGTGCACTCTCCGTCATGGAGCAGCTTCTGGCCCGGGACGACGTAGATCCCAACGCGCGAGATGGACAGGGGAGAACGGCACTATCCTATGCCGCGGAAATGCATGAGATCGATGCCATTCGAGCCTTGATGGAAGATGGGCGCGTGGATGTGAATTGTGCCGACAACGATGGGTGGACACCAATGACTTGGATAACCAAAAAGGTCAAGGATAGCCCCTGGCATAATGACTGGGAGGTCTATTATGGACTATGAGAAGGTCTTTGACTGGGAATACCATGTCTGCAGAAGCGCATTGTTTTTGATTTTCTTCTTCTGGACCGAGCTTCCAAGTCATCTATGGGCCGTGTCGACTTTGGCCCCGGAGATCAAGTAAAGGCATCTTGCACGGAAGTACCCGTCAAAGCTCACTCGCAACTACAATTGGAAAGACCTGGTATATTCTGGGCCGAGTCCCAGTATTGGCTCAGCATCAAAGTCCACTCCCTCCAGGAGATGATAGAGTAGTAGCATACTTTGTCGACCGTTCCCCAAACTTGGCAAGAAGTGGGTCTTCTCCAAATCTGGGGGATTACAGCAAACCGAGCAAACACGCCCCGCTCAGAGCCGCCGAGGTTCGTTTGGCCGAGGTACCCCGGCTGTTGGACCTGAGAGCTTAAAGTTACCTACCCCTTCATCGTTGTTGCGTGCGATTTATATGTTCTGGCGGAACTAACGACTACGTCTCTCTGCTCAGATAGCTAATAAACTCGCTACCGATCGACTCCTGACATCGCAACCATGGCAGGAGAAGTTCGCCAACCTATAGACGTACCTTCATTGGCGCGCTACCTTGACCAAAATGTGCCCGAGGTCAAGACACCGATAGAGATCAAACAGGTGGGCGCAATACGTCTATGTGCTCAATGACCAGAACCGGGTATACGGTACTAAATTTTTGATATGTTACAGTTTGGCTTCGGTCAATCAAACCCCACGTACCAACTAATCACCGCCGATGGACGCAAACTTGTCCTCCGAAAGAAACCCCCAGGCAAACTCCTGTCAAAGACGGCCCACCGGGTCGATCGAGAATACCAGATCATCAAAGCTTTGGGAAGCACCAATGTCCCCGTACCCGAGGCTCTTTGTCTCTGCGAGGATAGCAATGTCATCGGCACTCCGTTCTACATCATGGAATTCCTGGACGGTCGACACTTTGTTGACCCCACGATGCCTGGAGTGAGTCCAGAAGAACGCACGGCATTGTAGGTCCTGACGAGTGCCTCTTGCAGCAAACTATACGAGGAGAAGTAGTCCCGCTGACCAGAACGGCCAGATGGAAATCCGCGGTGGAAACCCTAGCCAAGTTTCACTCAGTCGTCCCACAGTCCGTCGGACTCGAAAAGTTCGGCAAATCCTCAGGATTCTACGACCGACAGATTGCGACATTCACAGCTGTCTCTCAGGCTCAGTCCGAAGTTCTTGACAAAGACACCAAAGAACCCGTTGGTGAATTGCCCCATTTCAAAGATATGGTCAATTTCTTTTCCCAAAAGTCCACCCAGCCTCGCGACCGAGGCACCCTCGTGCACGGCGACTACAAAATCGACAACATGATCTTCCATAAGACCGAGCCGAGAGTGATTGGTATCTTGGACTGGGAAATGGCCACGGTGGGACACCCCTTGTCCGACTTGTGCAACTTGACCAGTCCGTACGTTATGGACGGGGCCGAGAACTCCAAGGACGAATTCCAGCCCGGCCGGGTTCCAGGCCTGCCTCGGCGCGAAGACTGCGTTCGCTGGTATGCCGCGGTTTCGGGATATAACCCTGCCGATGATATGCTTTGGGGTGATGCGTTCTTCGCTTTTCGAGCGTCGGTCATCATGCAGGGTATTGCGGCGCGATATGCCGCTCGCCAAGCGAGTAGTGCTCGAGCTGCGGAGTATGGAAGTCGAGCAAAACCTTTTGCTTTGGAGGCATGGGGCCGTGTCAAGCAGGTTCAAGACTTGTCGCGTCAGAAGAGTCAGAAGAGCAAGCTATAGGGCGGAGATTCTGCGCTAGTGGTTGAGTCGATGATCAATATATCCCAGAAATTTGCGAACGTTGTGAACATACTATTCGTAAAGTGGGCTGGATTTTCTCGGAGAAGCTAACTGACGCCTATGTTATCAGAGTTTGTCAGATATATTTGGTCAATTCCAGTCATATGTTGAGATATAGGGATCGGCGTGTTTGCTGATTTTTCTACCTGCGCGAGTATCGCCGGATTGTTCTATATTCACCTGCTGGGGCGTGGCCTACAAGCAGAAAACATCGCCAAGTAAAGACGCCAGCAGGCAGCGACGTAAACAAACAATTGGATATTTTTTGTTGTATGGCTGAAGTTTGCCTGACCCCTATGCGAAAATTGTTACGGGTTGACTGACAAATTAGGTAGCAAAGTCAACAGATAGATAAGGTTATTTAAAGGGTCGAACTCATCCTCTTACTCCCCATGAAGCTCTTCAATAGCATCCTTATCTATCTTTCAGTTCACTTCCATCTTTCACTTCCATCTTTCGCATCCATCTTTCACATCCGTCTTTCACATCCATCTTTCACATCCATCTTTCACTTACTGGCTCATTCACCTTATTGCCCTTCTTCCTACCAGTAATGTTTAAGGTTGAAAAGGCCACAAGGCATACATGTACACCAACTGAAATAACGGGTCTTGTACAAACGTACCCAAGCCTGAACATGAAACAGCCCCGAGCGAAGGCAATATAGGTCTATATTGCTCATCAGAGTAGTCCTCGAAAAGACACTCGAGAAAGCCATCTGCAGACAATAGAAGACACTCGAAGTATGATGTATAGGAACATTGGCGTGTCAGGTATATCGCAGTCTCGGCGCATCTCCGAAGAGCCAGCCAAGGGCCATTTAATGGGGGATCAGTTTTTGTGGCAGCATGATACTCACAAAGTGTTAATGCCGAGTCGGCATCCATGCATGACAATTGCTCCAAAATACATCACTTCCTTCTGAATCATGTCCTAACTGCACTCCTCTTTTATCCGGCCCACCATATCAGGGCAACCTTCACGTGCGGAATTACTCGAAACCATCTGCATGTGGCCGGTTAATTAGCGGCAAAAAGATACCGTCAAACCCCGTGGGGCTGAGTCAGCATCTTCCAGGAACGGACGGGAGGCTTGACTCAGTTGGTGAAGAGGCGGCCAAGGGTTCCTGCGGTGAGCGTAAACAGTCGTTCCTCGTGGTGTTCGCCTGACAACGTGTAGTCGTCTACGACTGCTGAAGTGCCAAGTCCTGACATCTACTAACACCAATTGACGTACGAACAATCTATGCTGATATCGTAGAATAAGTCATATTAATCAAGCGGTTCGATTGATGAGTAGTTGTCACTTCGTAAGATATGCAACCAATATGACGAGGATTCAAACATGCTGCGTTACAAGGAATACCCAGAGATACTTCGAACGACCCGGCAGAATTGCCGTGGTGTCATGTACTCCTGGGTACATGTCGCTTCCGGGGAAAGCACCGACTTCTACCGACACCGACACCGGCACCCGCACCCGCACCCGCAGTCATCTGCGTATCTGCGAATTGCTGTGTCAAGCCTGAGTTGCGTCTCTTCACACACTCATCTTCCAGAACTTATTTCCCCTTCCTGCCATTTAGTGACTTCTCCCCTCTCCCTCCCCTCCTTCCCCCCCCCTCTTTTCACAGCTATATTGTCGACTCTGTGGTAAGTCTACCGCTCAGTGTTTGGCAGCTGCCATTGCTCATCGGTGCGACTGGGTTAACCTCCACTCGTGTCAGGTCCGCCGGTCGCCCATCATGTCTGACAAGGCGCAACAACCCCTTCCTTTCATCTACCAGTTCGCTGCTGGTGCAGTGGCTGGTGTTTCCGAGGTATGTCTCACAATGAGATGAACATGTCCAACTCTGCTTCGATAAGATGGGGCGCATGATCGCATCGCGCGACCCCAAAATGGCAATTGGTAGCTAATCGTCCTCCCCGCACGGACAGATTCTGGTGATGTACGACCTCATCGCTTACTCTTCACGATCAACTTTCTTTCCATGACGAGAGGCCATCTGTAACGAAGGATGGCTTCTGGTTGCTACGATCGCCCGATCGGACATTCGCTAACGTCGTCGCGCCGCCAGGTACCCATTGGATGTCGTCAAGACTCGTGTGTGAGTGAAGACCACCTCGCCCGCAACGTTATCCGAGTTCGAGTCAGCTCTGACCCAATTCCTCTGATTCTCGCAGCCAACTTCAGACCGGACCCGCTGTTCCTGGCGGCGAACACTACAATGGCATGTTGGATTGCTTCCGCAAGATTATCAAGCAAGAAGGGTAGGTACCCACTCCATTCTCCCTGACGGAAGCTACCCTTCTTCGTGCGCCCCATGCTCATACACCTATTCCGGTCCCAGCTTCTCTCGTTTGTACCGTGGTATCTCTGCGCCAATCCTGATGGAAGCGCCCAAGCGTGCCACCAAGTTTGCCGCCAACGACAGCTGGGGTTCCTTCTATCGTGACCTCTTCGGCGTCCAAAAGCAGACCCAGAGCTTGGCCGTTCTCACCGGTGCCACCGCCGGTGCCACTGAGGCATTCGTCGTGGTTCCCTTCGAGCTGGTCAAGATCCGTCTTCAAGACAAGGCCTCTGCGGGCAAGTACAACGGTATGCTGGATGTAGTCAAGAAGATCGTCCAGCAGGAGGGTCCTCTTGCCATGTACAACGGTCTTGAGTCAACCCTGTGGCGCCACATTCTGTGGAACGCCGGTTACTTCGGCTGTATTTTCCAGGTGCGCGCTCAATTGCCTCCCGCTGAGCCCGGCAACAAGGCCCAGCAAACCCGCAATGATCTGATTGCTGGTACTATCGGTGGTATTGCCGGTACCCTCCTCAACACCCCCATGGACGTCGTCAAGTCCCGTATCCAGAACACCACCAAGGTTGCCGGACAAACTCCCAAGTACAACTGGGCCTGGCCCGCGTTGGGTACCGTGATGAAGGAGGAGGGCTTCGGTGCGCTGTACAAGGGTTTCATTCCTAAGGTGCTTCGTCTCGGGCCCGGTGGTGGTATTCTCCTGGTCGTGTTCACTGGTGTCATGGACTTTTTCCGCAAGATGCGCAACGAATAAACTGTATGACCCATGTTTATATTGGATATTGGCGTCTGCTAGAAAATATATCTCTTTGTTTCCTGTTATCAGTGCTGCTCATGTTGACGCCCATATCATTCGACAACCTCCAAAGTCGAGCGCTTGCCTCAGCATTTACTCACCCAATGTTCACTCGGGGTCGGTTCATTGGCGGTTGTCAGAATGAAATCGGCTCTAGGATCAATTGACATCCAGCATTGAGGTGGTGCCTAAATACCTATACGATTCAAATAACACGATAGGACCTGACCAGGGGCCACCAGGCAGGTTGCAAGCTCCTGTTCAATGGTCTCAGGTTTAAGATCCGCCGGGCCCCTGAGAGGCACCTTCACCTGAGTCCGAGGCCATGTAATACGTTATTCTCTACAAAGTGGTAGCTGTCTATCAACGTGGATTAGCCAGTCCAGGTGCAGTGGCTGACTCCTCCGAAGAGCCTTTGCCAGCGCGCGGAAGGAAACCCGCGGGCGGAATTTGGCCTCCAGCACGAGGCGGCAGAACCCCAGTTTGGGCGCAGCACAGGCCGTCCCGAGTGGAGATGTTCCCTTCCGTTTTCTGGGGTAATGGAAGCAGCTCCTCTACCTGGCTTTCGACAGAGGATCCAGTGACTTCCAAGGATCCGTCGGACACCGACTATGTAGCCTTGTTACCCAATGCGGTTCTTCTCTCATGCAGCCGCTTCGGAAATGCTGCGCTCTCGAACCCGCACTACCCAGGATCCGCCGATGCCCGAGCGTATGCGCAGAATCTGATGGGGGGTATATCATAACATGACCATGACCTGTACAGGACCCTTTCTTTCCTTTACACATCTTCACGTATTGGACAGAACGGTTCAAAGAGATCACCATGGCCCTTGCAACAGCGCTTGTCGCGGTACATGAGAGTATTCTCCGACATCCAGTGCAGGCTCTCGGGATATCTGTCGTCGTCTTGCCTCTGTTCTATATCGTTTTCAACGAGTTTACTCGCGCATCGGCCCGCATCCAGGGCCTCAAAGGTCCAGCTGGTCTGCCATTGATTGGGAACTTGGCCCAAATCAGAGTGAACGCGGCGGAGCAGTACCGAGAATGGTCGAAGAAGTTTGGTGCCGTTTATCAAATACAGCTCGGCAATATCCCCGTGGTGGTAGTGAACTCGGCGGCGGCGGCAAAAGTGCTTTTTGGTCAGAATGCACAGGCGTTGAGTTCAAGACCGGAGTTTTATACGTTCCATAAAGTGAGTTGGGGAGCAAAATGCATGCCGGGAATTACGACATTGAGCGGGTCGTCGATGGGATGTTCGGTTCGAAATGAGGTTCCATTGTATACTGATGCACAACTGTGATAGATCGTCTCCAACACGGCCGGCACAACAATCGGTACCTCCCCATACAGCGAGTCCCTGAAACGACGACGCAAGGGTGCTGCATCTGCTTTGAATCGGCCTTCAGTCGAGACATACATTCCCCATCTCGACCTCGAATCAAAAGCTTTCGTCGAGGAACTCTACCGCTACGGTAAAAGCGGCCAGATCCCCGTCGATCCTATGCCCATGATTCAAAGACTAAGCCTGAGTCTTGCACTGACTCTCAACTGGGGCACTCGCATTGCCTCGCAAGAGGAAGAACTGTTCGACGAGATCACTGAAGTCGAGGAGGAGATCAGCCGGTTTCGAAGCACGACGGGGAATTTGCAAGATTATATCCCGCTTCTCCGTCTCAATCCGTTCAGTAGTAACACAAAGAAAGCTGCGGAGATGCGAGCGCGCCGCGACAAGTATCTAGGATTTCTGAACCGGGACCTGGAAGATCGAATGGAGAAGGGGACGCATAAGCCCTGTATCCAGGCGAATGTGATTCTGGACAAGGAGGCGAAACTCAATTCGGAAGAATTGATCTCGATCAGTTTGACCATGTTGTCGGGTGGATTGGATACAGTGACGACGCTGGTCGCGTGGAGTATCGGATTGCTTTCATCAAGGCCGGATATTCAGGATAAGGCCGCGAGGGCGATTCAAAAGCTCCACGGTAACAATCACCTGTTATGCCCGGCGGAGGATGATCAGAAATGCGCATATGTCGTGGCGTTGGTACGGGAATGTCTTCGGTGAGTAATGAAGCACCTCCATAATACCGGTATATCCCAGGTCGCACCAAGGTACTGACTATTTGACTCAAGCTACTACACCGTCCTTCGTCTGGCTCTGCCTCGAACTTCTATCAAGGACATCACTTACAAGGGCACGCTTATCCCCAAGGGAACGGTTTTCTTCCTGAATGCCTGGGCATGCAATATGGGTGTGTATCCCTGAGATTCCTCATGTTACATGATACACAAAGTCCAGGATGGCTGACATCTATCGCACACCAAAGATCCGGACGTATGGACAGATCCCGAAGTCTTCCGCCCCGAGCGGTGGCTTGAGCAGCCTGATGCGCCCTTGTTCACGTACGGACTTGGATACCGCATGTGCGCCGGTTCTCTGCTCGCCAATCGGGAACTATACCTCGTCTTTATGCGGACATTGGGCAGCTTTCGTATAGAGCCGCATGATGATATGGACTGGGACCCTGTTCGAGGCAATTCTGATCCTACGAGCTTGGTGGCCATTCCTCAGAAGTACAAGGCGCGTTTTGTTCCAAAAGATCCTGCGGCTCTGAAACAGGCGCTCGGACTGTGATTTCATGATGTCTACATGGATCAGATGCATCCTATATATAGCGAATTGATGTGAAAGTACAGAATGAGTGGCTGAGATGTTTTTATCTCTGATCGACGTGCGGGTCATAAACAATGCGGGAGGAAAGATAATGACAGCTTGAGGGTGGTTTTTGAGACAATCGCGAACGTGAGACTTGACACAAAGTAGGTCGATGTGGTCATATGAAACATCGAACACGATAGAAACCACACCGGCGGAATGGTACAAAAGAGGCATTAAAGTCATACATCGTTAGAATTCAAAGTCAAAACAATTGGTACGCGTGTGACGACACAAGCGGACATGTGCAATTGCGGGTCTATAGCTCCTTTCAATGCGAATTTCAATCAGAAATCATGGTTCAGATAGAGACAATGTCTGCAAGGTCCGGATGCTCGGCTGGGGAGCCGCCATTGACTTGGTCAGGGCTGCTTCCGGGGAGCCAGGCATCATATAAAGGTAGGATCAGGCTTGGGTTGACGTATTTCTTCAGTCGCAGACCAAGCTCTTGACTTCCAATGCGAATCGGTAAAGCGTCACGATCCATTCCCACTGGCGGGGAAAAGGTGGATGAGATTGATGGCGAGATATCACCACCTCCTGGATTATCACGATTGATGCTTTTCAATGCGATGAATTTCATCAAGGGTTCATAGCTGCGTGCAAACCAGTAGGAAAACCATACCGTGAAGCCCAGCAGTGGCACGAGCAGTAATGACCGAGTAATGGCGCCTCGCAGTGCAAGAACACCGATCATAGCAAGTTGGTAAACCACAAGTCCAACATAGACACGATTGCAAATCATCGGCCATGCACGACCAGTGGAGTGCTGCTGGTGGTCCATCGCGTACAAGAGCTGATACTTGTAAATAAATTGACCGATAGAGAAGTACACCAGGCCGAACAAGCAGATGAGCCATGAACTGGGGAAAACGCTGTAAACGATGCAGATGATGAGGGCCAGGATTGTCTGGGGGATCGAAAAGCCGTAACTGAATTTGGGTGGCGTAGACAGTTCAGCATACTCTCGAGGCGTCTTTGCCCTGAAGAACTGCAAAGGGTACAAGGCGACATTGCCAAACTCGAGCAGCCGGAATGGGAAGAGGCCCAGCCCCTGAAGTACCAGAAGGTTGATGTAGAATTGCGTGAAGCTTTCCAGGGACGTCGCGAGGGCAAACGCGATCGTAGTAGCATCTTTGAATGCATCGCGTAGGTGTTCCCAGAATTTGTAAAACGACGTAGCTGTACCAAAGACTGTGAATAGAAGAAACAGGTTGAAGAATGAGAAGAAGAAATTCTTGGAGATGACGGAGAGTTCAATATCTCCACGGGACATCATGCCCTGATTATTGGATAACCCTACCAAACTGTCAGTATTTCCACCCACACGTCGGGATACGGGCGAAACTCTTTGTCACTCACATTCGTAGATATAAGGAACCGCAACAGTCAACAAAGAAAAGGCCAAGGTAGGCAAACCGGTTGATACCAAGGACTTCAAAATAGGGTGGTCGGCCAATGTTTCCGCAAGTGCTGGAATGAACCTGCGTAGAGTGTCCAACTCGAGCAGACCTGCGATTGGAAGTAGAAGAATCGACCAGAACACAGTAAAAAGTCCAATAATGATGGTTATTGACCATGCCTGCGTCATTCGTCGAGAACGCGAGAGATAGGTATTCTTCCACACGATATCTGCGGGCGCAGGTGCGAGTCTGGCAAACATCTGCATTGGGTGCGGGTCGAGGGTTGCCTGCGCGAGCATCTGCGACGCAGCGATCGATTCCATCGTCACAAAGGCAATCTCGGTCGGTGGAAACTCCTTAGTCCGGGCGTGCGTGACCTTCTCATCAATTTTGCGCAGCTTTTCCTCGTAATAATCAATCTCATCGACCAATCGGTAACGTAGCTTGAGAGGACCGTACCAGATTCGGGTCTTTGGTCTTGTCTGGGCATAGTCCATCCCGTGGCCGTGGTCGGCACCGTCCAGCAATCGCGCATTCTCGTCGTCGACCTCCAGGCTAAGTCGTGCTCGTGTATACTGAGGCTGACGTGTGAGAGGCAACGTATTTTCATCCGCTCTTGGGCGTTTGTAACCAAGGTACTTTGTCCAGGCTCGTTCCAATTTGCGGAGGACGTTCATCCGCTCATCAATCAGTTGGTCCAGCTCGCCCCATTTCCTACAGAGTGTGACGGACTCCACTTTTCCAACACGAAGGCCCTCAACAAAGTCTTTGATTTTGTCTTCGCTGATCAATTCCGAAGGAATGCCCGAAAGTCGTACAGTGCGATCGGTGGTTGTTGTTTGGTTTCCAAGGTAGGACTGCCGGGTGCGAATGATTTTGTTGGTTTCTTGGAGTAGAAGGTATATCGCCAGACCGCTGAATATGTATGGAAAGAGTACGTAAATCCAGATATACCCAGGGTCGGTCACCAATTTGTCTTTGTCGTCATCCTTGCCGAGCGAGCCGATCATGCTCATTGAGTCATTGCGCGGAGGCCGGAAGTCGTCCCAATCAGGCACACCGTATTTCCCAGTATATTTGTAATGAAGCGGAAGGATCACGGTAACGGCAAAAAAGAAGATGTAGAGCAAAAGCTTGATAGCAAACTTGAAAAAGGAGAGAAACTAAATCGGCCAGAGGTTATGGGTCAGTGGGAATGCTTCGCAGATCGGCTTCCGTGACGAGTGTTTTTCTTGACTCACCACGTATGCATCTAGGCCTGCAGAATGCAAGACCTCCTCCTCGGTGATTCTGAATAGCACTGGAATCCACCCGAAGAAGCTATCTGGCAATTCCGGTAGAGCCGACGCTGCGCAACGTTGCCGCCTCCGAGCGGCGTAGAGCTCCGTCCATTTAGGCCTTAGAATCTGCGAAACGAGTCTTGTTAGAATAACGTCCATTGCAGCGGTAGGAAATCGATGGCAGCTATGAGACGAACACAAAATGAGAGGAATGCGCCCAGCCCAAGGGCAGAACTTATCACAAACTGAGTGTATAGATCTCGTGAATCCTTTGTCTGGTCTCCCCAGCGCCGAGGATGGTCATCATTTCCGGCAGCCTTGACGAGAGTGGTGAATACAGCGCTCGCTACCGTTGATGTATGCGACATTGCCGAAATGTCAAGGTGGCCTGCTCCACCTGCTAGACTTGTTGTGTGTTGAGCCAGATCTGTGGGTCGTTGAAATTAAAGCTCCATGGGGCGCGTTAAAGCAAGAGATGCGTGGTATTCACTTCCGAAGCCTTCAGGAACTGAGCGAGTCTTGTTTAATCAGTCAGTTAGAGAAAAGCCTGCGATTCCGAGTCATACTAGTCTTTTCTTAGGTTGTCACCCAAAAAGGAGCTAAAATGATTCCGATGGCTCCAGGTTGGGCACGCGATGACGAGAGCGGTGAAAGCTCGACGGCGATTATGCGCACACTAGCCCGATTTGGACATCAATGCGTATAAACCCAAGATTCGCAGTATGCAGGTCCTCCTTTACTGCAGGTACGACTAAATACTTTGATATCATAATTTCTGGAAGTGATATCTTTTCAACTCCATGTTGTAGAGTAGAGACCTGTGGAACCTGACCTTTCATCTATCTCTGTAGACTGTCGGGTCATGTATTCCCAGTTCTCCACCTCTGTGCAGGCGCTCCCCACTCATATTTTGGGGGGGCATCTACGGATCGGATCTACACCGCAACCTTAATTACTCGAAGCCATGGGTCGCGTTCACAAAGCATCCCATCAGCAAGTTCTCGACGCTAGAGTGAGAATTACCTTGGACCACTCTTACATGGATATAGTGCACGAATTGAGACATACGCACGGGATGCGTAAGCGAAATGATGACTTAGGAGAGAATTCACCAAAGAAGATTCCGATGAGCAGAGACCTACCTAATACGGCAAAGCCAGACGGCATTTCACCTCATCGCTGCGGCCAAGCCCGCACTTGGTTCAGCGCGGGCTTTAGATTGACTGCAAGAATATTTTGATGGTTTATGTGCATAATCAACCCAAACACACGCTCCAGAGCCTCCAGCTAAGTATTCTAAAGGCCTCGAGACGCCTTTTTCATATTCTATGCTTTGTGGGCCATCTATCGGTATGAAGGTCCCCAAGTAAGTAATCGCCACACATGAATGGCGTTGAGTCAATGCACAATACAATCCCGAATGAGATCGAATTGTATGCTCTGGGCCAAACTCAAGGCTTCAGTGATTGCACATGATGCTGAAATGATGCCTGTAATGCTGCTACTTTGTTCAAACCATTGAAATTTCGTAACATTTTCCACTTCAGGACTGGAAATTCATGGAATATCCGCCAGTATTAGGATCTTGAACGAACTTGAAGTTATCAGTCGATAGGCCGAATGGTTTGAGAAACCCATTGCCCAACTAGAATTATTCCACGAATGTCAGCTCCGTGGACCTGCAGCCTTCAAGAATTCAGGCTCGACTTACCTCCTTCATCTTGGACATCATCTCCCCGACTTCCTTGTCCTTGGCCTCGTTCACCCGGGGAGGTAGCTCCCGGAGTGCCTTTTGTACAATACGCTTCTCATCTGACGGTAAAGTTTCCATGGAGCTCAACACTTGATAGTCTTCCAATGCGCCCTGCAAATTCCCCCATCCGCCTAAATTTGATTTCGCCTTTGCTCGTCGCATTAATGACTTTGCCCGGATTCGAAGCACATTGGTTCGTTGCGTATCAAGGTCTTTTAACTGAGCCAGCTGTTTCTCCTCCGCTTCAGCATCGCTTGCTGATAGTTCCACCACGTCTGTGTTTTCCGTTGAGGTTGCTGCGGGATCGGATGCGCGTTTTCCTTCGCCAGTTTTGTTCTTCCCGTCAGTCATTGGAATGATTTTCTCCAAGCGATCCAGAGAGGCCGTGGCAGAATCAATGGCGGCCTTCCATTCTTCCGTTTTCAGGTAGCATGCAGCAATATTGCTGCGGAGAACGGCGATATCGTAGTCGAGGTAGTTGGGACACGAGGACAGAGCACGGTCGTAGGTAGAGATGGCTTGATCATAGCAAGCAGCAGTGAAGAGTGAATTTGCTTCCTTTTTGATTTCCTGGGACTCTTTCAAAAGACGCTGTGGCAGTTGATAGGGCAAGGTTAGTAGTCCAGAATCATGTCTGTTCGTCTCTGTTCTTGCTTTTTTTGTCCCTCGGGGAGTTCTGTGCAGGTTTGGCTTACAGCTTCCTCCTCCGCGGGGAAACGTGCATCGTGAAACTCGTCCTCGTCACTGTCTGATGCATCGTCTTGCGTGTGTGGGTCTTGGATCGGTTTTTTATGGTCTTGACGAGGCCCCGACTGGTGTTCAGCAGCCATTTGGAACTTGCGTGGAATGTGGAATTATTCCGCAAATACTGCGGGGACTGGGTCAAGCATAACGATACACCCCCGCGGCCGAGGCGATAAAGACTATCACGTGACATTTCGTCACGCATCGCTTTCTTGGATGACTTTCGGAGTAAATACGCGACGAGAATTCTCTTCTAACAACCTGAAAGAGCCGCCCTTCGCAGATTCACGGCGATGCGGAATACCTGGCTACATTTACCACTTGGGAATTTCTCTAAGAGACTCAACTTCTCACCCCTTCGCTTATGTGGCCATTGCAATGCATCTCACCCTTCAGACCATTACATCTCTCCGCCTCAAACAATGACCTTATGTGAGGAACTGGACTGAGAGCTCTCTCGAGAACAGGTATATATGTGCTCTCTGACTCGCATAGAGCGGCCTAAGTCTGATGCATGGTCGGCCTTGCTATATTTTGATTGGCTCGGTGCAAGACTTGATCTAGAAGGCAGTGAGTTTCATTCAAAATCAAGGCCTTGAAGGTATTGATTCATCAGCCTGAAATGACGGCAACAACGTCATGCAGAATCGGTGACGCTCTCGTAAAATAGTTTACCTTGTATCAAATGCCGGTCAGACACGATGGATGCACGGCAACTCATTCGACCGCAACTACGACTCAAGCACAACCCCTACCACGTCTGTAATCAGCAACATGAGCGCTTCCGTCTCACTGCCCAGTTATTGACCCTCTATCAGCTCGCCATTTTCTCAATGTAGCGGTAAGGTTTCACACTTGGCGAGAGTTCAAATCCCTTGTTTGGTCTCTCATTTGTTCTTTCTCTGCGAAGTTAGCATTCCTCCCAAGCATTCACCAATCAAGTGTACTTTGTCCGACTTGTACAACATCCGGTTAGTATCAGCACGCCGCCATTTCGGCGTCGCCGACTCCAAGCCTTTCCATCTCTTTGTGCGCAGAAGATGAAACGTAAGGTCCGAAGAGCTCGAGTCAAAAGGCTGGACCCTATGACAAGCATTCTGTAGCCGTTTACGGCCACTTTCTAGGAGGATTTATTGCGACCGGGCAGATGAGGCAGCCACATCGGCTCCACCCACGCATCCTTGTCCGATTGATATAGTTAATTTGAAAAATGAGTTGTCATGGACACTGTACTATATGATCAAGCACTCATCGCTGTGTAAATGGAGGGACCCCTAATCTCATACATGCATATCCGGGCTTTTCAAAGCACTGATCTGACCCTAGGACCCTGATAGTTGCAGGTTCTCAAGTCTCGCCTTCACGCACATCTGTCCATCCATACAGCCGACCATGTCGACTCGACAATCAAAGTCACCTAATAAATCCAGCCAAGTGAAATCTCGGCAGTCAACCTCATTGAAACAGAACAGATTCCAAGAAAAGCACAGTGCCGGGTCTGCTGACTATCTGTGGATCAACGTTCAAGAAGAGGATTCTCAGGATCGGGATGCTTCTCGACAGAAGCAGGCATTCATCCGGACGAGGCACCATCGGCTGAGAAAGGAGCTACAGACACAACACCTAAAGCCCCAACCTTCATCGACAGGGGATCATGACTCTTCTGTGAATTATGAGGATACACATCAAGGCTCCAGCCAGTCAAAAGAGGAGCAATCTCCTCCATTATGTCGATCGCTCGAACAGAGTGTTGCCTTGGCATTTCCATATCTTGCTCGTCCAACAGATCAAAGTATGACAATATATCTTCAGCACTGTACGTTTGTACCTGATTCCACTCAAGAACTTCTCTATAGGTCCTACTCGATAGGTTTAACAGTTCTGTGAGCTGGCAAACGGCACCGGGCTAACTGTTGGATATCGTAGATCAAGCGCATGCTACCAAACTGTGTTTCCCTATTGGAGATAATCAGATCACGCTTCGATACTTGAGAATGGCCCTGGATCATCCGGCCCTCATACAAATTCTTCTTTCGACGAGCGCTTTCCACCGAGCAACTTTGGACCATGTGAGTGGCGCTCCCTCGCAACTGATTCGAAGCTCCACGCAAGACGCCATACGGCTGCGATCGGACACCATCAAGTCAATTCAAGGGATCTTGATTCAGCCGTATAAGTTCTTTTCGGAAATTACCCTCAGAGTCATCGCTCACCTCTTGTGTGTGGAGGTAAGCCTTTTGTTGAGACTAGTAGGGTGGACGTCGGGTGTTTGCCTAATGGCATACTACCCTTTTACCCTTGGTTTGCTACTAAGCTTCTGGGGATGCATGACTGAGACTGAGTACCTTCCTATCTAGGCAGCCGAAGCCAACATGCAAGCAGTACGCGCCCATGAACTGGCCATCCAAAGGATTATCGACGGGCTAGGGGGCTTGATAATTTGGGATATGATTCTCTCTCCATTTTATACGTGTAGGCGACCTTAGCTCAACATTTTGTCACATTGACTCACACTGAACTAATCTCTCCCTACAGATGCGATCTGATGAGAGGTCTGACAAGTGACATGCCACTTCCGCTCCATGAATCCTGGAAATGGGAACTCAAAGTTCGCACAGAGTGTTTGTTCTTACATGAAGAATACAAAGTCTCAAGCACATCATTCGTCGGCAGACGCTTCTTCAACTCGCCTTGGTCTGCGAGCCTCCATCCACAGCTAGTTTCCACTCTTCGCTCGCTGCGAAAACTGGTCTCGCTATACGAAAGCGTTGTTTCTTCTTCTTGGGGTCAGACTCGCATGGACAACGACGGTCTTCTTCTGCTAGACCATGAGCTGCTTTATTTGGCGCAGGATCAGTCTCTGCCTGCTTTCCAAGACACTCTCCGCCTTACAGCGCTGATATATACCGTCGTGCGAATCCGAGGCTTCAGTGGTATGCCGTGCGCAGATATATTTGTGAACACCCTCCGCAAGAGCCTGGAAAATAGCTTGAAGTTTCTGGATGCAAACGCGCCAGATCTCCTACTATGGATCTTCTTTATAGGGAGCTTGGCATCGAGAGACCGTAGGCACCATGCGTGGTTCTCGCGTCGGTTACAAGTGTTGGCTAGCACATTAGGACTCGAGCAATGGGATAGTGCTATGATAGTCATGCAGGAGTATCTCTATGTGTGTAGACCAACAGACGGGTTTGTTCGGGAGATGTGGGAAACAGCGTTCGAGGAAAAGGTAGTAGAAACTTAAGGATGGAAAGCCGACAGAATGTATCAAAATGCATTCAGACATTTCCTTGAATATCCCTTTCCAATCTGCTGTTCCGTGACTTAATGCGCTTCAATGACAAGCCTGAATCTCACGATATTCACGCCGCATCTTAGCCTGCTGAGATCTAGTAGAAGCCCTCTCTGTGTATCTGACTTGGCTGAATGCCAGCGCTTTGCAATCCACTCTCTGCTGCGGTGCCGAAAGCATTGGGCCCACAAATGAAGACATCCTTCGTCTTCGGCACGGTGTCCCAAAAGGCTGAACCCACTCGCCCTCGATGGATCTCAATGTTGAAGTTTGTCAACTCCATCCTCGCTCTCGAGTCAAGATTACTCACGCTAGTGAAAACATGTAGCGAGAAGTTAATCTTGGGGGCAATCTTCTTCAAGGACGGGAAAATCAACTTCAGCATCAGGTCCGGCTCGCGCGTGGAGAGGACAAGCCAGACGTCGCCCTGTGACGTTGAATGACGCTGTTCGAGGGCATGAAGCATGGCTAGAAACGGCGTGACGCCGATTCCTCCCGCGACCCATAGTGCGTCAAGACTTTCTGAAGGATCCAAAATAAAGTCACCCGTGACGCCAACGAGCTCCGCATGAACTGAGCCGTCGAATTTGACCGTGTCCCCGTTTCTCGTGTCTATCCTGGAATTTTCGAGCAGATCAAACAAAGCTCCCGTCACTACGCCCCCTGGCATTTTGCGCATCGTAATTTCAAACCAAGAAACGTCTTGACCCTCATGGGCACTTGAAACTGTCCATGTACGGACTCTGTCGTCATTGATCGACCCCGGTGCGGCATCCGCCATATGTCGATACTGAGGCGGTCCAATCCACTCCATGAAATCAAGAACAACGGACTGGCCAGGCTGGATTTTCATTCCTGGTGGACTTGAGGACCCCGAGCTGATTTTAAATTTGAATATCGCAAGATCCGGGGACAGTCGTACAGCTTCTTGGACATGTGCCTTAGCTGAACCGGAGGCAATGTTCTCTGCCCCTTCCTCCTCCACCAAATACTTCACTTTGGGATCATATGGACTGCGTTCAACAGACGAACCCTGCTTTTGACGTACAGGAAGTGCGTTTCGAACAAAGGTATACCCCGTCACTGTCAGAGTGGTGAGACTCGCGTGCCGAGCCATGATTTCGAGAGCGTCCGCGCCGACATGATTTTTCGCTTCTCCTGTCAAATAGAGAATATCGCCTGTGTCGAAAGATACGACAGTCAGTCCCGCGAGCCCAGTGGCTTCAATATTGCCTAGACTGGAGACAAATCTGTTTCCTGAATAGTCTGGGATGACCACAGTTCTGCCATCAGACGGGCGAACACGAACAAAGCCTGGTAAGCCACTTCGAGCGTTCATGCCCGCATGGGCTGGATATCTCTGAGCAATAGTGGGCGCTGGTTTGAATATTGATGCCATGAACACCGTGTCGGCGCTTTGAATAAATTCAATCACCTTATCAGGCAATCGCTCCTGGGCTGATAGTTGAGGCTTGTCAAAGAGAACCTCAGCCCGGCTTTCGGGATACGAGACGAGATTCCGAACATTGATATACTTTGGGCAGTTTCTGTCCTCGGATTAGCAAATTGTTAATTAAAGCACGCGTTTTGCGGGACGTATCAAATAGGTGCACACCGAAACTTACCCCAGTGCTTGAGTCACAGTCAGCTCTACTCGATATTCTAGATCCCCTAGCGCTTCTGCATCGGCGACAAAGCCGGCGAGCTTGTTCCGACGTCGCGTCGTAAATTCGATGCCGAGCCCGGCTGTCAGTTGTCTCTCTGACACAGCCAGTCGAGAGCATTTTTTCGAAGTCAGCTCGTTCAGTGTCTTAAGCAGCGGGTCGCCCACCCAGCTTTTGACATGGATTGAAAGTGAACGCGCACTTGGGCTCTGGATGAAGCCGATATCGCCGTTGGGACCTGAAGCAATTGAGCCCCACGGTCGTCCGTCTTTGTCAATTGTGGTCAGGGGCAGGAACTGTATATTTGAGGAGAAGAAGATCTGATGCTGGGTCGGCATGAGATTGATGACTCTAGCCCAGTCATGCTTGACGGCATTAGCGAAGCCAAGCCTGCGCTGAATCGCAACCTCGCCAGGATGCCAGCTTTGGAGCGCAGTCACAGACATGACTTTTCTGGAGGACTAGCTGCCTCGCGGCTTTTGTGAGAATCGGACGGTTGAATCTGCGGTGGTTGCTGTAAAGATATAGCGAGGAGCTGGGACATGCAGTCAGCAACGATCTGACAGCTCTGCCGTTTTTAGGTAGTGCTAGTCTGATTGTCCCTTGGGACAATAGACTGAGGATCAGTGGGCCTTGCTCTTGACCAGGGCTGTTCAATAAACGGATGACAAACTGAAGGCACTCGACGCTATCATCAGACTGATTTTTGATCTGGCCTAGATATATACAGTGACTGGACCTATGGAATGTCGATGCATCTTATAAGATGGAGTCATGTCTAGTCGCCCCCGCATTGAGATTTAGTAATTTCCGCAAATCCATTCAGCACCACCTCTCGTTCTTCCTTCAGGTTGTAAGCATCAAATCTGTCGTGATTGTGAATCAAAGGTGATTATTAATCACACTGTGTCCTACCTACTACCTTACTAAGTTTGTTAGTAGTACCTACCTGTACTACAGGGCTAGTTAGTCAATACTTACTACCCACATACAGGTAGTTTCATAAGTAAGGAACTACTCCTAGTCTCCTAAGTTAACTACTAGTCACTACATTCTATGATACTACTAGGTCAAGTCATTTTATCTCGGATTCTGGACGTATTTAAACCTCTCGGGAGCCCGCTCGGCGACTTCGGCGAGCTCAACGATCTCTAGTATTATGACGTGCTGGGGTGGCAGATACTACGGAGATCAAGACCTGATGATGGATGCCCGATGGTCGGGTTGAAGTGAGTTCGATGGGAATGGCAAGTAGTAGAAATGGCTGGGTGTAGTCACTCCTACTCACTGTCAGTACACTGGGCAGTTACACACTACGCAAGTACACAGTGGTTGATGGGCGTTGCTTCATAAGAAGATCCAGTAACTTGGTAATAGTAGTCAGATAGGTGGTAGTAAACGAGCAATGGTTGGACCCATTCAGGCGCACATCTGGAAGCAATTCCGACAGTAGACTTGTCAGTAGATCATCACAGAATCGTTGGATTTAAACATCCGTCTGGCATTGACATGGTCTCCAGAGTCCAGACAGACAAGTATTCAAGCATTGGTTTGTGAGGGGATTGATCAAGCTTCCGACAGTTTTCGAAAAATTATGGTAGCTCCTTTTACAAATCGTGGGTCAAAAACATCGGTCATACACGTACACAATTTGCTCCGACGATTTTGTGAAACTTTGGTTGCAAAGCGGTTGGACAACCGTTCCTGTGACGCCTCAAGGTAGGAATGGGTGTAACACTCATGCTAAGGTCATGCTTTACTGCTTAACTACTGCTTTAGTGCTTACTGTACCTTCATGCGCCGGCATCGTCATGATTGACTGGTAAAATAACCGTTGTTCATTCTATGACTCTCATGACTTCTGCCTCCTTCAGCCATACAAGCTTATATTGGCTTGTAGTAGACTTATGTCTCGAAAGTGAACCTTTGCCTGTGATCGAGAACCAAGTTAACCAACAGACCGTGACATCATGCGTGAGCTGATATTAGGTAAGATCAGGCAGTGCTTTGAAGGTTGTTTGTGTGTTCTCGTCACGTGGTCTCTCCACCTCCGATGAACCCTTCATCAAGTATTGACTCCAGAGTGCGGGTACTGGCAGTGGGATCGGGTTCGTGAGGTCCAAGTCTTCCATGTGACAATACGGGGGTCAAACAATTCAACAAACATGCGTCGGCAAAGATGAATCCCACTTTGGAGAGATTCCTCAACTCGAGCTCGTTCTTCTTCTTCAGCCTTGTCTGCTTGTGTCTCATTCTACTTACGCCGGCCGATGCCATTTACCAGTGTTGGGTCACAGATCGCCTCACGAACATCTTCTTCATCGCCGGCGCATACGTTCTTACGTTCATTCTTGCAGCTCTGATATATGCGACTCGGCTCTATACCAATCGAACGGCACTTGCGGGCATCCCCAAGGCGTGGATCCCCATCGAGGAGGAAGATGTCACAAAGAGCGTGAGACGACTGGTGGTGGACGGACTGGCCCGTAGCGCAGTGATCACCTACCAAGCGTGCCCGCGCGACACAACGGGAGAAGAGAACAGCTTCTCAAATTACCAGGATCTCTTGGTCGACCCCGAGCGGCCCCCTTGGGGCTCCGTCGAGCATCCCGGGTGGTCGTCTCCGAAATCGACAGACCTGCCCGATCTCCCCTATCGCACTGTGATCCTGGAACTCCCAGATCTTATCGAAGCAAAAGCCGTCTCCACAGCTCCTGCAGACGACACCTTACCGAACACCATGGACCCCTTTCCCGACATGCGCGCCGTAGAGGTTCTTCAAAGACCTCCTTCGATGGGTGTACGACAGTACCTCATACACCTCGGAAACCTCGGGGTCATCACATCCCCGAGTCTTGTGGTTGAATTCACTTCGCTTTATGAACGTGCGCGCTTCTCATCCCATCAACTACGCGAACCGGAATTTCGAGAATTGATGCGCTTGTTTGCAGACATTCTCAGGGCAATCATGCCCATGCCTCCACCAATCCTTGAAGGCATCCGTGACAGTATAAGTTACCAAACTGAGACAGAGTCCATGATAGGACCGTCGGATGTGGAAGGCGAGTCAGATACTGTGGACCACCAAATCTACGACGGCGCATTCACTCCAACGAGAAGCGTCAGTCTGCGACCATCGATGGCGTCAATGTGGGATGCCCGTTCTGGCCGCAGTGCATCTTCGGCTGCGCACAGCCCGCTGTCCCGATTCTCCGTTAGAAGTGGCTCATATAGGGGACTGCAATCATTGCAGACGCGGTCCACCGAATCGCTGCGTCGAGTCCGATCAGGGCAGTCCGGTAGCTCGGGGGGTAGCGTGATTCGACTGGCACGTCCACAGGACCCCACTGACCTGCCTTATACATTCAACTACGCCGGTCGTAGGAACTGAAGTCTTTTTTGTCTTTTGATACCCTTGAGTTGAGTTGTACTTAATATTAATGGAAACACTCCGGTTACCAACCATACCCGAACTTCCCTTTCCCTGTTCGGCCATGCTCAGAGGACTACTCGGTGAGCTTATTGACAAGTCAAGGACCGGCAGGTCTTTCAACATAATCACACATTTTCTCATGGCAGAATAGAGGGGGATGCTTGTTTACGTCGAGGTACCGATTCAGACTGGGACCACTTTGACTTATCGACATAAGAACAAGACACATGAAGTAAACGTAGATAAGAGAAAAAAAGGCGATGCCATTCAAATTGCTTGGAGGTTGTCTAGTGGGCTTGGGAGAAGAAAAGGAATAGCAACGGAAAATCCACAAGTCCGAGATTCCAATTTCCAAAAAAAGAATGCAGAAACAAATGCTCGCTTTAGTGTCATAGGGAGCTCCTAAACGCCCACTCGAATTGTACTCCTCGTGCCGAGAAGTCGCTAAGCTGAGAAAAAGAAAGTTGTATATGTGTAAGCCACCAGCGTGATAATCGTACGAGAAATGAGATGATTGTCTCTGATCAGTGGTGAAGAAATCAGTCGCCCACAGGAGACGACAAATAGTCAAAGTCTTTCAAGTGGTAGTTGTTGTTGCGGATACCGGATCTCGACACCCGAACCATCCGGGGCTGTGACAAGTCATGGAGCTGCTACTTAATGACGAGGGCGACGCCGTCATGGTAGGCGCCGGCGTCACCATGGGGCTGTCCATAGTAGTGGGGTCTTTGCATCCAAACCAGCCAGGGGTATGGCATGTTGTGGTCAACGAGCTGGATGTAGGAGACATAGACGCAGTTGTAGTTGTTGGGTCATTGCAGCCAAACCACCCCGGCGTCTTGCACGTAGTCGTAGTTGTTGTAGTAGTGGGTGCAGAAGTGGTGGTGGTGATCGACGTAGTAGCAGTGGCGGTGGTCGAGTCGTCAAGACAGCCCCACCAGCCTGGGGTTTTGCAAGTGGCAGTCCTTGTGAGAGTCGGAGTGGCCGTTGTCTTGGTGGTGGTTGTAGTAATCTCAGACCCGTTGCTCTTGAAGAACTTCCACAGGACACAGTCATAACATTCCTCCTCAGCCGCGCAAGGTGGCACGGCGTCATATGCCTTGATCACATCTCGAATGACGTTTCTGATTTTGTGAGTTCCTAGACCCACACGCCAACCTTTATCAGCAACGGTATCGTACGTGCACATTTGGCCAGTATGACAGGCAGATTCCATCGCATAGCCTCCCCAAGTACAGAGCGAATTAATACCATTGCAGGTTCCCATGTACACCGGATCGGCTGTATGTCCGAAGTGGTATGCTCCTGTGAAGCTTCGCTTCTGGGGCAACCGGGAGTCATGCCCGGGGGGACTTGGTATACCCAAGCGAGCCGCAGGTAGCGCCTCCGGAACGGCCTCAAACGTGACCGTTGGAAGACCGAACGTCAGCCCTAAGAGACTGGCCATGGCACCACCAAGGGAGTGGCCTGTCAGCCACACCTTGGCCTCGGGGTAAATCTCGGTGACATTGGAATAGAGTTCGATGGCTGCTTTATAGTACTTGTTCTCATCATTCATGGCCTCGACTATGCAAGTCAGGTTGGCGGTGTAAGTGGCAGTCTGACAGTCACAGACCTGTCGCCATAGATATGAGCCACCTTGACCACAACAACAACTGAAGAAGAGATTGTCGTTGACTTTGTCATTGGTAGTCGTTCCGGCTCCATCGAAGAGCGCAGGAGATGTCCCTTTCAAAGATACGACAATCGTACTGTTGGTTTGATCGGCATAAATATGGCCACGAAGACCATCGAGTTTCCACCCGAAACTGTTCGAATAATTGAATGGGCCATTGATATTCTGCCAGTCCTCTGTCCCAGGGACTTCAATGTAATCATTTGCCGTCATTCGCGCAAATGTCATGACTGTATGCTTGTCAGTGACATTAGGCCCCGGAACTGTATCCATCACCCAATCTGATGGCGATGATGCTATTGCGACACCAGAGTATTTCGCAGCACTGAGATGTCCCTGAATCACAGATACTCGTCGATCTGCCAGGCGCTGTATCGTGATAGGGTTCGAAGACGCTGTCAAGGGTCCTTCGTCAATGGGAGACTCTGCGCTAGCGCCATCTTCAGATAGTAAAGCAAGACGAGTATCCGGTTCAATATCTACTCTTGCGTATAGATCGGGATGCTGGTGTATCCCTCGGTGGAATATATGCCGCAGAGACTGAAAGCTGTCAGAACAGAGACTCAAGGTGACCGGTTTGGAGGCCAACGAACTTACAAACTGATATGGTTCGGCCGATAAAGCCGGCTGGTCCAAGGGCGCCGCCGGTGGCGGAAGAACTGGGAGCTGTACAGCAGGCAAGTTCTCGTAAGACTGGACAGCCTGCGGTAGTATAACTGCTGATACAAACACAGACCACATGTTCAACATGCTCTTTCGACGAGCTCGAGAGTGTTGAAGACGAGCCATGATTGCCGATAGTGTTGACTGTTCAGGACGCCGAGGACGGATACAGGCTATCGCGCCTTATCGGCCAAAGTGACGCACATGCGGAGAAGCCCCACACGTGATTTGGCCCCGTGATACTTGTCCGCTGATCATTGATAAGAAGATCATGTGATGACAAACCGACAGGCTTTGGGACGATGTGCACGACTTCATACAACACTGCTATTCTCAATACTTTCAACCACAAGAGGAAATTTCTCGACGTTGCGCAGTAATGCCGCCCAATCATCTCGCTCGCTTGACATTCTTTACCAGGGCTGGTTGTGGTCTATGCGATACAGCAAAGAACACTGTTATTCAGCTTCGAAAGCGACGACCATTCGAATATGTGGAAAAGGATATAATGGATGCGTCAAACAAACAGTGGAAGGATGTTTATGAATTCGATGTCCCCGTACTTCACGCGCAACCCACCAAGCCGGGTCTTCCGACGGAGGCTCAGTTATCCGACGCCCGGAAATTGTTCCATCGGTGGTCTGAGCAGGAATTGGAGAAACTTGTGAACGAGACTGAACAATAAATTACCTCTGACAGCCCGACGAAGGATGCAACGAGCAAATCCGCAACTAGCCCAACAAGGCGTACTTTTAGGCCAGTGCTTCGTCTACGATTGTCCCACGCCTCTACATGCAGGCTCCTTGAGCGGATGTGGGTTGATTCTGGAACAACGGGCCGACTTATGTGCTAGGCCTTCGTGCACAGGTGCCCAAAAAAAGAGACGTCTTTGGCTGGGACTACAAGCTATCTCTCCAGCCACCTCGTGCTTCATCGAAGGGCAGTGGTGTCTCCGACGAACCAAATTTGGGGGCGCGGTCTCCAACCCGCTGTGTGACGTCTTGAAAATGGAACGATGATAATATATGTTCAAATTATTCATTCCCGTCATGCTTATTGCCTACACTCTCAAGGAAGAACAATATACTTCTCCAGATGCTTGGGAATCGCCGATCGCAGGTTCTTCGACTCCAACCAAGTCTTCGAGAACAACCGATCAGCATAGCGATAAGCACCGTCACAGAGAATTGTCACCACGGTACTGCCCTTGCCCATCTTCTCAGCAACTTCCTTGGCAGCTACAACATTCAATGCAGAACTGGCTCCAAGATAGAGACCCTCCTCATCAAGACAGCGATAAACCATCTCAATTGTCTTCTCGTCCGAGATGTTCAAAGATCCATCCAAAAGATCGATATCGGGCTGCAAGTTGTCGGTGACACGTCCCTGGCCGATACCTTCCGTAATACTACCCCCGGAGCGCTCGGCCAACTTGCCACCACTTTGGATGAAGCTATGCAGGACACTGCCAGGGGGATCGGCCAAGAAGCTCTTGACTCTGCCATCGCTGGCTTGCTTTAGGTAACGAGTAGTTCCGGCCAAGGTGCCACCAGTGCCAGTAGCACAAGTGAAGGCATCGATTTTGCCGCCCGTCTGAGCCCAGATTTCGGGACCGGTTGTCTCAACGTGCGCTTGGCGATTGGCAACGTTGTCGAACTGGTTGGTCCACACAGCATTATCCAGGGACTCGGCGTGCCGACGAGCCTGATGATTGTAATTTTGGGGGTTGTCGAAAGCCACAGCTGGAACAGGATAGACCTCTGCACCGAGCAGACGAAGAAGATCGATCTTGCCCTGTGATTGAGTGTTGGGCATGTAGATCACCAGCTTGTAGCCCTTGGAGCGACACACGTGCGCCAAGCCAATTCCAGTGTTTCCGGCTGTGCCTTCGACGACAGTGCCACCAGGACGCAAAAGTCCCTTCTTTTCGGCGTCTTCGACCACGAACAGAGCAGCACGATCCTTGACGCTGCCGCCGGGGTTCTGGAACTCGGCTTTTCCTAGCACATTGCAGCCTGTTTCTTCAGAGAGACGTTTCAGGCGAATAAGGGGCGTGTTGCCAATCGCTAGAGTAAAAAGTCTTAGTCAATTCACTGTTCCATAGTCTCGTCTGGAGATGATCAAGAAAACGTGTCATACCTTCCGTCAACCCGTTAACTGAGCCCTGAGCCGTAGACACCCGCAACGTATAGGGTGAACCCTCCGCAGCGGCCGCTCGAAGGGCAGTCGTGCCAAAGCGTCGGATACTCTGACGGAACATTTCTGCTTGCCAAAGGAATGAGTAAGGTTAGAGCCCGCGAGATACTTATCGGTCATCATGCATGTGTGGACGCTGCCCATGCGCCGATAGCCGGCCCGCTCTTAGTCACGTGATGCTGGACGAGCACGTCATCCTGGTATCTTAGCTGATCGGTGACCGTCGGTCGCATCGAAACTTGGGGTCAGGGCGGTGTCGCACAGCCGAGGTTCAGCTTGTTAGTGGATCTGTTGGGGATATCTGCGAATGAACGAGCGACCTGTTTTGTATAATTCTTTACGATAATATTGGAGTTCAGTGCTTCTGGTTTCAAGTAAAGATCATTGCGGTTTGCGATCCAGCAAAAGCGATGCTTGGCCGATAGATCCCGGAGCTCCAGTAGGTAGGAAGATATCAATTGCGAAAAAGCATCACGTAAAGATAAAAGAATGAATAACAATTGCAATAGTCATGATATGGTATCAACATCATCAAAAAAAGCAGATGAAAAGGGTTTCAATAATAGACCACTAAACAGTCTCAATATACCGGCGAACCTCCCTGTGTATTTGAACAAAACATTAGCCTCGAGCCCAGAAAAGAAGCGGAAAACAGAGCCGAACACGCAGCGATGTACAACGACAAGTTGACGCTCGCTATTGATGGTATTCACTTACCAGTCAGTGACAGCTTCCTCAAACAAGCGCACTTCGTGCTCTCTCGTCCCGCCAAAGTGATCAACGAAGGTATCTCCAAAGACCTCGCGAGCCACACTGTCAGGTCGCGTAAATGTAGCGACAGCCTCTTTAAGAGACTTCGCGAGTCTTACACCCTGGTCGCTGGCACCACCCATTTCTTCACCCTTTGACAAGGGCGGTGTGGGAATCTCCAGCTTCTTTTCCACACCACGCCAGCCTAGTGCCATGATGGCGGCAAGCACAAGATGAGGGTTGGCATCAGCACCTGGAGTGCGAACCTCGAACCGTGTAGCCTTGGCGCTGGCTGTAGGGGGAGTGATCAAGCGAATAGAGGCAGCGCGGTGTTCAAGACCCCATGAGACAGTCACTGGAGCCCAGAAATTCTCAACTAGGCGTTTATAGGAATTGATCGTGGGGGCAAAGAGCGGCATCACATCTGGTAAGCCTACCAAGAGACCTGCGAGGAAGTGACGACCGAGATCTGAGAGATGTGCGACATCCGGATATGGGGGTGAAGGATCGGGAGTGTCGCGAATGAATGCGTTCTTGCCATCTGCCGTAACAAGAGAAATATGCATGTGTCCACTGTTTCCAGGCAAGCCTTGGCGCGGCTTCGCCATGAAGCAAGGCGTAATTCCGTGTTTGATACCGTATGCCTTGACAACATATCTACGCGGGAAGAACCCTTTGGTCAGTTATCGTACTGGCGTAAGAGGTTCATCTGGGCAGATGTGTCAGACGTACTTGAACAGCCCCGCCTTATCGGCCATATCTTTCGCTTCTCCGAATTGCAGTGCCTATTCAAAACAGTGAGATTAGTTACATATTCCAGCGTTTAGAACCCTGGATTATGAGAAATAACTCACCGCCTCAAAAACACCAGGTCCGCTCTCGGTATGCCAGCCTTCGATATCACAACGGAATTGCTCGCAAGCGTCAAAGATACCGTAGTAATACTCCTGGTTATGCAAAGGCCGGGTGATGGAGTAACCAAACATGCCCTCTGTCAAAGACGGCAGGGAGTCGACAGGATTCGATTGAAGGAAAAGTGCCGTAGCGGTCGCCGCGCGCTCGGGATTGGGATGGTCGCTCGGGGCACGGAATTGATAGAACTCATACTCCGCTATTCCAGGTCAACCATTGCACTTGTAAAAGAGACCGAGACTCGTCCCTATTGCTATCACAGCTGGCTGTTCAACATACCTCCGGCCATGGCGCGATATCCTGCGGCTTCGGCCTTGCCCGAAACCGTCTTGAGGAGCCCACGCGGGCATGCGCACACGGGCTCTTTCGTGTCGGGATCCAAGAAACTGACCAAGAAGAAGGGCACATTGTTCTCCCACGGAATCCGCCTGAAACTGCGCAGATCTGGGACGGCGAGAAGATCGCGATAGCCATTTTCCTTGTTACTAATGGAGAGCTCCTTGAAGTAGGTCTGGTCATGCTGGTCCCAGCCAAAGATGACCGAGCAGAAGCCAAATCCTTCGGTCACGACGGAGAGGAACTTGCTCTTCTTCATGATCTTGCCGCGCAGTTGGCCATCCACGTCGACTCCGGCTACCTTGACCATGCGGTCATTCTGCAGGATCTCGGCCACATTCTCGGCCGTGACGGTGACGTCGGAGGCCGACATCGTGGGGAACTTATAGTAGCTGAGTGAGAAAATGCGATGATCTTCTTTGTTTGCAGGGTGAGTCTGGGAGAACAAATGCAAGGCCTCCGTAGCTCTAGTCAAAGATATCGCAACAATCTGACAACTTGGGAATGGATCAGGTCACAAGCTGCCCTGGCCGCGAGCTTATCAGTGATGATCATTCTGCCCACTGGGTCCGTTCGCGCCTGAGGCTTTGTCTCGTCGGAAGGAAGGAAGCAGTTGGCTGAAGCTGAAGCCCACCAGGTAAGCGCCGCCCGGACCCACAGCGCGGTCCGCGCGGTCACGAGGGACCACGTACCGATGATGTACTTTATTTGACGGTACTGTACTCTGTAGTCTGTGGACTTGTAGAGTGTAGAGTGTAGTATGAGCTTTCAGTCTTCTATGAAAGATAATTCCGCTTAGGCAGCAATTTTATATGCAAGAATACATCACCATACATTGACACAGTACTTGATGTGTCACCTGAAATACCAGGCTCAAGCAAGGGACTCGAAGCTCTGCCGTTAGGTCAATATTGTAGTGGCTCTGGTGGAGCGCGGTCCTGGCTTATCTAACATCGCAAATGCTGCCCGTCCGTCTATCAAGTCGGCACCCCGCGGTCTTTCTGTAGAGCTTCCAACCCGATCGTGGTGAATCTGAACATTCCAACAATTGGCCCTCTAATCGCAGACACGCGATTAAGTTTTCTATCCGCGCGCTCGAATTCATCCGTGTCATGTGAGCACTCCCCATACAGTAGCTTGAGCAAGCAATAAAGCTTTGGACATTTCCCCCGCACCGGAAAGCCCGATAACAGCTCACACTGACAGTTTGAGAACCGAAGAGAAAGAATCATTCTACCAATCGCTATAATGTCTACTTCTAAGGGTCGTCTTCAGGGCAAGAACGCCATTGTCACCGGTGCTGCTGGGTAAGATTTGGTGCAGATCTCATTTCTAAGCTTTCCAAGCTCTTCCGCCGAGATATGAGCGCGCTAACCTGTTGCCTTTCGCTTCACACAGTGGCATTGGTCTGGAGACCACCATTCTTTTTGCCCGTGAGGGTGCCAACATTCTCCTCGCCGATATTTCAGAGCCCGCGCTGGCCAAGGCTCTCAACAAGGTCAAGGAGGTCGTTCCCAACGCTGGTCGTCTGGAAACAATCCGCTGCGATGTGTCCAAGGAGGCCGACGTGCAGGCCATGGTCGAGTCCGTCGACAGCTGGGGTGGTGCCGACATTGTCTTCAACAACGCCGGTATAATGCACGCAGATGATGCCGATGCGGTGGACACCGCCGAGAAGATCTGGGATCTGACTCAGAGTATCAACGTCAAGGGTGTCTGGTTCGGCTGCAAGCACGCCGTGCTGAGCTTCCGCCGCAACAATAAGAAGACCGCGAGCGTCATCAACACTGCAAGCTTTGTCGCTCTCATGGGTGCTGCCACCCCTCAGCTGGCCTACACGGCTAGCAAGGGTGCTGTTTTGGCAATGACTCGGGAACTGGCCATTGTCCACGCCCGTGAGGGCTTCCGCTTCAACTCCCTCTGCCCTGGTCCGCTCAAGTAAGGCACCCGTAAGCTTTCCATTGGGCGGAATAACTTGCTGACAATACTATAGCACCCCTCTTCTCCAGGACTGGCTCGGCGACGACCACGCCAAGCGTTTCCGCCGTGAGGTGCACTTCCCCAGCGGTCGCTTCGGTGAGGCGGTCGAGCAAGCGCACGCCGTTGTCTTCTTGGCCAGTGACGAGAGCAGTTTCGTCAACGGTACTGACTTTGTGGTGGACGGTGGTCTGAGCAAGGTAAGCTTGACCTCGGCATTCCTTTGTTTACCTTCGTGGACGATCATCTTCGGGCGCTAACACGGATTCTCTCTAGGCGTATGTCACCGCGGAAGGTCCCGCCCCCGCGGCGCCAAAGAACCTTGCCCACTAAAGTAGTCGGCGGTCAATGCACCCACGGGGTGCACATGTCAGTAAATAACGAATTTTCTTGGTTACGGACTTTGAATTAGGCTTGGCTGCAGGTTGTGGCATTTATGGTTTTCAAGGATGAGCCACTGGTGGAGACTGGTTTTTCGGGGGCTAGCATGTTTAGAAATGATATACCTTTTTTTTTTTTTTTCAAACCGAGCCGTTTCAGAATATACAGACAAGACTCGATCTTTTTAAGTGTGAGGTAGGAAAGTCGAACCCGGTTGAATTTCGAGTCTCGTGAAATCTCAGTACTCAGGCCATTCAGGGTCAACCTGTTCACGCCAGGCTCGCAACCCGCCTTGGATATCCCCAATAAATCTCTGGCCACCGCGACCCAGCCCCAGCTCTTTCATCCGTTGCACAGCGAGCTGTGAATCATTTCCGAGTCGACAGACAACATAGACGGGCTCCTTGGAGTCTGTCGCAACAAGCTCGGTCGGCACCCACGAAGGCGTGGCCTCGGTAGACGCTGATGCCAGAATATCTGAGATGGGGATGTTTATGCTATTCTCCAAATGACAGATCTCAAACTGCGTCTTATCTCGGACGTCAATTATCGTATGACGGCGCTGCAAGGAAGATTTGTCGAAACTGTCATCAGATTGAGAAGAAAGCTCCCGGTACTGCCGCGCAGAGACACGCTCGTCCTTTCTCAACAAAGCAGGAGGATTTGCCGAGCCACAGAAAAACACGTAGTCCATGGATCCAGAAGTGATAGTGTCCAAGGAAACGGTGGCTTCCGCCGAACACACTGCGCAGTTTGTCCTTCGAGAGCGAATGCGAATAGTACGGCACAGCGGATTGGAATATGCCGAGAACATGTGCAAAAGAGGAGACTCGGGCGCGCTTGACTCGATCGCGGTAATGACCTTGATCGCTTCCAGGGCCTGCAATACACCCATCGTTCCTACCACAGGACCGAGAATGCCTCCATCTGCGCAGCTCACCACGCTATCGGCTGGCGGGGGTTTGGGGAATACACAGCGATAGCAAGGGCCGCCGGACTTGTCGCCGGGCGGACGAGGGGGGTTATTCAGTACCATCAGCTGGCCTTCTGTGCGCAGCGCAGAGGCTGAAACTAGTGGCTTGCCCAGGAGCACCGCTGTGTCTGAAATCAAGTACCGTGTCGCGGGATTATCCGTGCAGTCCAAGATAAGGTCATATTGCGCGAAGATTTCAGGCGCCTCGCCGGGCGTGAGATGCGTACGATGTGCGACGTAGTTGGGGTGTGGATTGAGTCTGCCGTGGAAAAAGAAGAAGGTTAGATGTGGTTCGTCTCAACTCTGAGTTTAGATCAATGCAGAACATGATGGCAATGCAAGGACAATTCTTACTCTTTGAGAGATTCGATGGCACTATCAACTTTGTACATGCCGACATTGCGAGTCCGGTGAAGAACCTGACGGTGCAGATTCGAGACTTCGACCGTGTCCCCGTCGATCAAACCGAGGGTTCCCACGCCCGCCCCAGCAAGATATTGTGCCGCAGGACATCCGAGACCGCCGGCACCGACAAGAAGCACTCGGGCTGCTTTGAGCTTCAACTGGCCTATTCCACATACCAGAGGATATAGTCAGCAACCATTGGTCTTTTCAATGAAACAATATTCCTCTTTTTTAGGCTGTGAAGCTACCGACGAGAACTTACCCGACAACCCCACCTGCGATACAATCATCTGTCGACCGTATCTCTTGTACTCTTTTTGGCTGAGTGGCCACTTAGACCCATTCTGTGAGCCGTTCGACTCGTCCAACACAGTCGGGTTCTGGTTTCGAGCATCTGCGACAACGTCTCGAGCTCGCGCAAGCTCTTGCTTGAGTTCTGCGAGTTTGGCCTCGGTAGCCGCAATGCGCGCTTGCAGAGCGGCACATTTATCGTTGAAAGGATCCATCATTGGCAGATGGCTTGATATGGCATCCAGACGCGATCTGGCCGACGTGAAAAGTCCAACTCTGGAAAAAGAAAGGCTCATGCCATGACGTCGCGGAGTTTGTACTTCCCCGCGCAAAGTTTGACGGACTCCTTCGGTGGACGCGGGGAACGGGAATTTGCGGCGATAAGATAAGGGGCGGCCGCATGGGGCTGCTGGTGATCGCAATCGAAGAGTCGGGTTGACTATGATGAGTGACCTATGCACAAGAAATAGGACAAATATCTTTCATAGAACAGACAACAGACAGCTGATAAACGAGAATCCAGTTGGGCTCGTTGAAGATAGACCGGATGTTCAGTCTGTCATATAGCCCGGTGCATTCAAGCTCGATCCAACGACTGTCCACCAGATGCAATATAACTAAACATTGATGAAACGTGGTTGGACTGGATCCGATCAATGAGATTGATCTATGGTTTTGGAAGCGCACAACGAAGTCAAAAGTAATTGCAAACCCCCATCACAGAGCAGCGACCAATTCCTCCACACTCTTCATTTCCCGATCATTATTCTCGCCAACATCCAAAGCGACCAAGAACCGACTAACACAATTGTACCCCGCAATCCCCGTCGTCAACTCGACAATCTCCCGATCATTGAATCCCACCGTCTGCAGCTGCGCAAACACCGCATCCTCAACCTGGATCGTCCGAGTCATCTGGTCCGTATACCGCACCACAGCCCGCTGCCGCGCCGTCAGAACACTGCTCTCCAGTGCATCCACATTGTCCTCCGCGGTGCACGGTAACGTGCGACACGCCTGGAGTTCCGCCGGCTTGATCCCGCCCTTCAAGGCAAGCGGTGCGTGTGCATTCCACTCGTACACGGCGCCATTCAACACTGCGACTCGACACACGGCGAGTTCGAGGAGGCCTAGGTCGACGATGGTGCGCGTGCGAATAGCGCCCAGAAAGCTGTTCCAGCCATCGGCCACGGGGGGACTGTGTAGCAGGGACAGATCGAGGGGGATGAGAGGGCGAGGATTGCGACGCGCGGCGATGCGCGAGTAGATTTCGGCAGTTTCGGCGGTGTTGTCGCCTTCTGTTGGGGGAGTATTGGGGGCGTAGGGAAGACGCATGGTGCGGGTGGTGGTTTTGCTTGGGTAAGAAACGCGAGAGGGACGGGGTTGGAAGAGAGAGAGTCTGGATCGCAGAGATGGGAATCGATGCATGACTTGGCCAGTTCGGGTGATGGGGTGGAGCTTTATGGGGACGGGCGTACTCGGGCGACAAGCACCGTTTGCAATTCTACGTTCTACTAACTAGTGACTAGTAGACTGCTATAACTACTTACCAGGACAAACCATGTCCGGACTGTTCAGTTGGTCTGATCATTTGATGCCCGCCCACTCGGCTGAAGCCGAGGCCGGCTGCCGAACGTCCCCGCACGGAAGTGTGTTTATGCGGGACGATGGGGCTGACTACAGCAGTTGCCTCTCTAGGGGACATCTCAGCATGACCTCGATCATATTATCATGTAGGGTTATCCCAAGTACAAGGTCATTCGTCTAATGACCCTCATCCAGAACCCTTTTGAATTCATCTCGCAATGAACCTACCCGCGACAGGTGGTCACCGCATCCGTTGTTGTGTGATCAGCTGGAGGGAGGGGTCTTTGAGGAAAGCAGCCCAAATGTATGAGGATTTTTGAACCAGGACACGAGAAAGGATGACCATGAGTATCGGTGTTGTTCCTGCTAGGTTCTAGGACAAAAATGCCGGTCAACCTTATTCATCAAAGATTGAATACCTTAGCATTCCTTCAATAACGAGTCGGAGATGAATCAAAGCAGACAAAACGTATGATCTACTAATAGGGTGGATCCAACACCATAACCCGCATTGAAAAAAAAAGACGTCCACAAGGCTCGTTGAAAAGAAAGCTTCCATATGGTTCAATGCCAGTTGCAGATGGAAAGGCTAACAGAAAGAAGGCAAAAATGGCTCAGGAATAAGTGTCCTGTCTCATCCACCCATATTAGAGATATGCCAAGAATGGATTCTCTGTGTCGTCTTCTTCAATATTGGGCGGTGGAGGTGTCGTCAATTGATCGTGGTCTTCCAGATACTTCTCTAGAACCGCTTGATCACGATTGAGACTCTCCATCATAGCTGGAATAGACCGGAGTGCCTCGCGCGTAGCAGAGAAATCCCCGTCTTTCGCCCAGACAGCAGGGTCGCCCAAAGGAGACGTCAGCCAGGCATTTTTGAAAAACCGACTTGTGGACTTGGTATCTTTGTTGGTGTTAGACTGTTGGTTTGATTCCCGGTGATTCACCGGTGCCTTGACAATTCTCAGGCGAGTTTGTGGTTTCTTCGCCGTTCTGGACCGAGTACTCATCCTCGCCGCCGGAGTTGATTTGATGGTTTGTGACTCCTTTCCGAGTTGATTGGTTAGACTTTTTGAGGGATACACAGCCACATCTGGGCAGCCAAAGGACGACTTACATTTCTTCGAGCCTTCTTCGGCTGAGTCTGGGTCTCACGAGCTTCCAAGGGGACTGCGCGTCGGGGGGCTCTCTTTGGTAGAGCGTCGTTCACGAATGATGCAAGCGGATTAGGCCCAGACCGCAACGAGCACGAAGTCCCATTCTGTAAGAAAGCGCAATTGGCACAAGCGCCTCTGAAGAGCGGCGTGCCCGCGGGGACCACAACGCAGCACGACTTGAAAGGCCCATTGCCTGCGCGGCATCCGGAACAGGTTCGATCGCTGGGGACAACCCGGCCCACCTGCTGAGTGAATGCGGCGCGATATTTTTGTTTGTTGGGACACGGTCTGGGGTCCTGACGCCAATCTACGTCCCGCCAAATCGTCATCGCGAGCAATAACTGATCTAACTCGGTCCTAAAGACTTTATGGTCTGGATTACCTTTGGCGTCTAGATTGATGGCAGCTGGGTTTTCGAAGAACAAGATGATAAGCATTCTGCGACTGGTTATCTCAAGATCAAATGGAGGAACCTACCTTTAGTCGCTACCGTCTGGTCGTGCGCCGTGTTATGAGGCGCATCATCTCGGCGTGACAATGTTGTAGACTGAGCGGCGCCAGCCATGCTTTGAACAGCCGGCGAGGTAGCACGCGCCAGAGCAGTCGAGGGAGTTTCCTCGTGTTCCGCATGCATCCCTGACTCGAGCTCGGGGGAACTATCAGGGATGTCGATTGAAGACGTCTCCGAGAAACTCTCTGATGAAATTGACAAAAGTTCATCCTCTTCAGCTTTGATTTCCACGAGGCGATCGGGCGCGTTGATTGCATCGCCAACGCACGCTGCGCTGCCTGTTTGGGTTACAGCCGCGGGAGGCACAGCGTGCGACATGGGTGCAGCATCTGACTGAGATGTTGCTACCAGACCAGCTGCTGGGGAAACAGAGGGTGCGACTCCTAAGGGCTGAACCATAGCGCTCTCCTCTTCCATCATTTGCAGAAAGACAGAAGTTAGTAGCTAAGTACGGTACTTCAATATCACACGCCAGAGTTAATCGCGTGAAGAGGCGCGAATGAAGAGTGCCTCAGAGCCTGAGGCCACCAACCTCATTAAGCGGTAAATTGTGGCTCCGCCAAGATCTTCGACACGGTCTGGGCCATGGATTGAGGGTCTATTTGAAAGCTTTGCAGTCCGAATATCGCTTGTCTACTCTACTCATGGTCATATAGCGAAGTTGCGAACACTTTTCTTGTACCGCGTTTGTCCTAAAATGGGCCCTCAGGCCTCTGTTGTGCGGACGACTCGACTACCTGTGTGTCGGAGATGTTCTTCGATTTGCCCTGCAATAAGCGGCGTCAAAGGCTTTGAGAAAATTCTCGAACAGTTTTTCCATATTACATTGACTCAAAATCTCAGTTTTGAGCTACCGGGAAGTATGTACGTGGTAGCTTCAACGTAAAAGACAAGAAAGGAAATGGAAGTAGATACAGAAAAAGGTCAGACTGCGATCGCGCAGATATCCCTACAACGCCTGCTTGATGCAACTAAAGGTCCCCCCCACCGCTCAAAATTCTCAAGAACGCCGCCACGATTAACTGTACATGCAATCAAGATGGATTAAGAAATTAGGAAGCATTGGACTCGGATTCCTCTGGAATCGTGGCGAACTTGTGAAGCACTTGCTTGAGCACAGGTCGTCGAAGCGGTTTGCTATTTCTTGAATTAGCGACAATATTCGGCATGGTGCAATTACGCCGTGGCCATAGCCTACCTCATAAACATGTCCATGCCGCTGTCAATGCAGTCTTTGATATTGCTCTCTTCGGCAAAGGCACTAAGAGCCACAATAGGGGCGGAATAACCGATTTCACGGATGAGCCGCGTACTCTGAAGGCCGTCGAGATTCGGCATCTGTAATAGTGTAAGCAATTGCTGATCATCAATACCGATGGGAGTCGCGAGATCCTACCTGGATGTCCATGAAGATCAGATCAAATACTGTGCCCTTGTCCATGTTCGCCTTGACCGTGTCGAACGCTTCCTGTCCGTCTTTGACCATGGTCACATCGTACACTTCCTCAAGTGCCAACATTCTATATCTTCGATTAGCGTACGTCGTCAAGAACAATGGTCATCGGAGTATACTCGTACCGTCGCACGACTTCCTGATTCACTTTGTTGTCCTCAGCCACCAGCACACGGATCTTTTTCGTGCCATCTTCTTGGACGTCCAGATCGCCGTTCGCATTGGGTGGAGACGCAGGCGAGTTGGCAGGAACAGTGGGAGTGAAGAAGGGCTGGCTTAAACCGACTAGACGGGGCTGAACTTCAGACTTTTCGAATCCAGGCGCAACAGTCTCGTTCCGCACGGAGTGATTCGATGGGGTCCGGGCCGCATTCGAGAATTCTTCCAACGAGAGCACGCTGGGCGTTCGCGAGCCGGGCGTACTAGGGGCCAGTGTGCTAGGCGCGACTTCCTTGACAAATCTCAAAGGAATGCGCAAAGTGAACTGAGATCCGCGGCCTTCCTGGCTGTCCAAGAGAATCAATCCACCCATAATGCGGGATAGTTGAGCACAAATGCTTAGTCCCAGGCCGGTGCCACCGTATTTGCGATTCAATCCGAGATCACCTTGCACGAATGGGTCAAAGACCCGCCGATGAAGGTGTGCAGGAATACCAGGGCCATTGTCCTCAACTTCGAACTGGAAGACCAGTTGCGGCAGTCGAGCAATCATCGAGATATGATCTTCACTTGACCTCTCGACCGCTTGCAGCTTTTCTGACACGTTCTTGCGGATGGGTGTCGTGTCAAGGAGCATTTGCGGGTTACCGGAACGACTGCCGACAGAGAAATCGATTTCCTCCAATGGGCCGTGTTGTTCGCCTAGGCAGCGGATTCGGACTTCGACGGTTCCTCGCTCGGGCGTGAATTTGAGACTGTTGCTTACCAAATTGATCAAAACTTGGAGAATACGATGTTGATCACCCCAAAGTACCATGTCCATGAGTTTTGTCGGATTTGTGGTGTCGAAACTTGATCGTGGTCGTCCGAGATCGTGATCAGGGGATAGTTGACTTAAAGGACCGGTTTGGACCTCATTGCCCGCAAAGCAATCCACACTGAAGTTGATCTTCTTCTCGCTCACCTGGTTCTGGAAGATGGTGGTCAACTGGGCGCGGACATCGGAGAGACGGAACTCCTTTTCTTCTAATTGAATTGCCTGTTCGATTTGGTTCTTGCTGAAAGTCAAAAGGTCGTTGAGAAGATGCAAAAGTAGGTCACCCGACTGGTACACCACTTGAAGAGACTTTTTGACTCGGCCCAGGTTGTCTTCTCCCATACAGACCGCACACATTCCGAGAATTCCATTCAGTGGCGTTTTCAGCTCGTGAGAGATGTTTGCAATAAACAGGGTTTTGCTTTCATTGGCGGTCTCGGCGGCCAATTTGGCCTTCTCCAACTCCCGGGTCCGCTCGGCCACGCGCTCCTCCAGACGATTATATTGAATGCTCAGCTCGTCGGACATCTCGTTGAAGGTGCTAGTCAACTCAGTGAGTTCATCTCTCACGCAGTGTCGTCTTTCCTTGACACGGGCGGGGATCTGGAACGGTCGGCGAGCGGGATCGCCCGCAACAGTGTTCGCGCTGCTGAGTCGCTTCGCTGGCCGCCGGATCGCTTTGATCCACGCGACCGGCCCAGTTTTCTCGTCGATCTTCCCTTCGAGGCCTTCTGGATCACTGTCGGCGGAATTGAGTCGTTGCGGTGCTTGGCGTGAAGACGGCGGACTTGGCATTTGCAGAATCACAGATCTTCGTGCTGCCTCGCGCAGTCTTCGAATAGGGGCCACGGCGAAATGGGCAAGCAGAGGGACCAACAACAGGATTGCACCGGCAGTACCAAAGAAGCACGCCAGGATGATCTTTCTCAAGCGGTAGACGGGGCTGAACGCCTCAGAATGGGTCTCCTCCACGACGAGAATCCACTGGGTCAGGTTTGTCTGGGGACGAATGATACCCACTGCCACGGAATTGCCTTCCTCGTTCGTTGTCGTCAGTCGACTGAGGGACTTGTTCTCATACGCATACGGCCGATTCATCGCCTCCAGCGCAGCCTTGTAGGAGGACAGACTGAACGAGTCACTGGTGGTCAACTTGCTGTGTCGGGTCTGCTGACCGGGAAGTGGTGTAGGTTCAAAGACATAGTGAACCTGAGAGTCCGCCAACGCTGCCGAGTCGGGTGCAGTGCTCGGTGTCGCGGGCTGTGCATCCTTGGCGAATCGATTTTGGGGGCGTGCGGGGCCGATCAACAGCACTTGTCCAGTCTTTCCGAGGCCATCGCGAGATGCGACGACGTCTTGAATACTTGCGGCGCTTGCCAGGACCCTGATAGTTGTTAGCGTTTTCTACAATATGTTTTGATTCGTGCACGGCAAGAGGGAGAGTATTCCACGCACGTCATGAACCCGAGCAGCTCGGTGTCCGAGGTGTTGTTGACGATCGGTAGCGTGAGAGATACCAACGAGAACGAATCATTGACCCAGAGAGGTCCCAACAGTAGGGCAGTATGCAAGTTCAGCGGGTAGTCGGGAAACGCATACGCTGCGGGGGAAGACGTGCCACCTTTAGTCGAAGATTCCGAATAGGTGATGTTTGGATACAGCGAAGGTGGGAAGACGGTACTTCCCAACTGTACGGCGCTCCCATTTTCGGCGGTCCACGGAAGAGTGATTTTTGGTAAAGAGTCACTCGTGACGTTCAGCAGTCGAGAGCTGCCCTGCTTGCCATCGCGAGAATATAGCATCACCTGATACAAGCTGAGATAGCCCCGGCTTCCCAAGGCGGATTGGAAATCTAGCAGGGAGTCATCCCAATTGCCGCTGGTGGTATTACCATTGATATTGCGTTTGAGGGCAGCTTGGATCAGAATGCGAGTTGAAATCGTTTTGCAGGTGACCTCGAGCACCTCCAGAGTCGAGGCAATCTGACTGGCCTTGATCGATGCGACGAGTTCGAGTCCTTGCGAGCTGACGAAAGACGGTCAGCTTGAGTCTCGACGTTGTAGATAATACGTACGACGGCATCTAGCCCGATGCAGTCTTCGACATCTCGACTTACCCGACTTCGACAACGAACTCATATGTCGTAAACCACTAGCGCCGCGTCAGTCATGTACCCCCAGCATTCCAAGTCGCCTCTCCATTATTTCGGGATATGCCGGTCATGAGATGTGAACAGGCGGGGGGAAAGGCTGTGTAGCATACTGTTGCGATGGCAAGAATGGCGATTCCACTCAAGGTCGTCAAAAGGACGAGCAGCCCAAGCTGCACGGCTATTGGAATCCGCATCCGATCGAATGCACGCCGCGTTTAGGGCATGAATAGAGCGAAAGTAATCAGACGGCAAGGTTGGAGATGTTGACGGACACTGGCGAAGTGTGCCGGGGGAAACGAGGGTGAGGGAGGGCGCACAAGAAGGGCATGCCGTGTCAGAGGGAAAGAAAGCGGAAGGAAATCCGGATCTTTGCTGGGGAAATTCCTCCTGCCATCGTCAGGGCCGACTGCCATACTGCCAAGGCCTGCTGATAGGCTACCGGAGGCGTGGAGATGGGGAACCGTGGGCGGGGCCGTCAGCGTTCTAGACTAGGCGAAATGAAAAGGAACAAGACCAGGTTCGACGAACAACCATCACCACCACATGGATGGGGAGGTCGATTAGACTAGTATGCTTGGTATATCACTCGAGAGTCTAGACAAGGATGTTCCAATCTGTATGATGCATGATTCTTGTCTTCATAGCCTCTGGTCTCTCCGGGTATCCGCCAGCAGTCAGACTGATATTCGCCTACTGACCGTGACAACATTTTCAACTACTGTAGTATTCGGGTAGATCCGCGGGGCTACCGTTTGAAAACTTCCAATTTGGTCTATCCACTGTAACACTAACCATTGTTGGTAACCTGGTACGGTTACCCAGCATGATACGGACTGCGTACTGTAAAGAATGTACAAATTGTACATCAAGCGTACCCGGCGGAACTCGAGCATGGCACTCCTTCAATGACACTACAACATTATACTTGCAGTTCGGCACAACCTGAGGATCATCAACGGCCACAGAAGTATATAGTTCTGTGCATCCTGTACTGAACTGGAATTGCCCCGTGGCCCATGGTCCAGCATGTTGTGCTTAACAAATCTCGGATAGATATTTCAAATGACATACTGCTTTACCACTCCCCCGCATCCATACTGTCTCGAAAGATCGGTTGTTCTATCTTTTTGGGGAAGTGGCCACATCCAGTGCCATGGAGCGATTATTCAGGGCGTAGGATAGGAGATCTTTTTGGCTTTCCAGGACAAACTACTACCACTGTCTGGTGACTGATCTGTCTGGCCGACCACATAGTTGAATAGGACCTAAAGCTAACATCAACCTTATCATGGATGGAATCGATTTAGAATCGATGATTCGATGCTGACCGCATTACGGTACAGTGACAGTATTGGGCCCGTGACTACAAAAGCGGTATCAAATTATCAATGTATTTACTATACTTCATAACCTCATACGGACCGATTTGACTTGAATCAGGGAACAAGGATATGCCGCGATTCCACGCCTGCGCAACATGACACCAGCACATTTCAGATTGAGCCCCCTCAGAGGCAGGCAAGCGTTGCCGAGCCAGTAGTTTCACGTCTCTAGAGTCATATCTATTGAGCTAGTCTGTGCGGTCCCCTGTTCGGTAATCGGTTCATGCTCACTTTCACCGTTTCACGGTATACACGGGCAACAGTACATGGCAACTTCATGTTTATTGTTTACGGTTGCTTCGCAGAAATGTAATTCGTGTCATTCCCCGGCGGGGCATGCAGCTCAGTCTTTAGTTGGAAAGGTGTATGGTAGGTGTTCGGAGACCTGATTCTATCTCTGCTTGATGACCAGCTACTCCCACAACACCAGATTGCCAACTGATCATCCTCATCATCTCCGGACGAGTGTTTTGTTTCGCGCCCGTGGAACTCGAACTCGGCAATGGACTGTAGGAGGGTCCTCCGTTTTGGAAGGACTAAAATTAACGGGAGTCCTCTTTCTGTTTATTCCTGGGCTGCTCAGGGCTTGGCGGCGGCCCCTAAAATTGTCTGCACCAATTGTGAGTGGGAGATTGTTGACCGCAGGCGCCACAATGTGGGTGCTGTCATCGCTGCCGTGACATCATCGCTTTCATCCCAAGCGATGAGCTTCGATCCCGCTGAGCGTGTCTCAGTTATCGCTTCGAGGGTACCCACGAGTCACCTCCTTTCTTGTTAAAAAACAATGTTCAGGAGACGGAATTAACACGACTGTTCAGTACGCAGGGCCTGTCTTATGTGAATATCAATATTTGTAGCTCAAGAGGTCATAGGAGGACAGTTCTGTTCCAAATGGCCTGCGCGCTGGAGACCGCGGGACCAAGTTGTAGTAGATATGGAGTTCGCATACGTTTTGAGTACTAGTCCGAGCATAAAACCAAGCATGCCGAGAAAGGAAAGTGTCAAGATATGCCCCCTTTTTTACAAAGAGTCCTTCTAGTATAATCAAAGGCCAGTCTTGATCAATTTAAGCTTTGATATGGTTCCGACCAGATTCTTCCAAAGAAACCCTCGCTTTTATACAGGTAGGTCCATACCTGATCTGCAGGATTGATACATCTCCCAGCACAATGGAAACTTCAAATCCTCCAAAGCCGCGGGACCCATCCAGACCCCAGTAGGATTGAGTTTGTTTCTGTGAAACTCCAATTGAAGATGAACTACACTGTCTCCAGAGATCTTCGCTCTGGGTCGCAGATCGTGGAGAGAGACGAGCGATTCTGTGCAGATCGGCTTGAGTCCACATCTGGTGGAAACTTCCGAACGGACTGAGGGCGAAAGGCGACGATCGTCACATGGCTGGCCCGAACACTGTCGCAACTTTTTTTCGGATCAAAGTCCTCGTCTGAAGTTCTGCACTAGTGGAGAAGACTGGGGGCATTACTTGCTTACTCTGAGATCCTCTGGTGAAATGATTCGCTTTTGAAAACTAGAACAGAGAGGCGAAAGACTAATCGATCCGTAAGTCTAGCCAGCCCCCGGCCCTACCTCCACGTAACTTATGTGGAGGCTACTACGAGTATGGTAAAGTCTAGACCCTGGACCCTTACAGCCTCCAGAAAGTGCATGCAAGCGTAACTAGAGCAGAGCCTGGAAGCTAGCAACATTTTGCCCCTGCCCTTTCTGAGCCAAGATACAGATGGCTACGTTGCATGGCTGAATTTATGACGGGCCAACGTTCTATGACGGGCTAAACGCGCAGACCTTGTTTGAGGACTGATGCCGATGTATGTCCGAATGGTCTATGCTGCGGCCACACCCATGTCAAGTAGACGTGACGGCCGTTTCCAGCTCATTTCGCTTCACGTGGCGTCTAGGCCCTGCGCCATGGAAACTGTGTATTCGACACGTGTTTTGGCGGAATTCTTTTAGTGGCGAGACTGTGTTATTGGGCCGGTAGAGAGTCGAATGACACCTTACTCCATGTATCTCTGCATTCAAGATTACGGTTGAATGCAATGACGAGCCGTTCAATTTAAAGCTACACTCTCACAGAGGCGCTATTGAAGGTTGGTGTTCAAGGGTTGACATCGTCACCGAATACGGGGCCATACCATATTACCATACTATACTGTCCTGTACAGTACGTCTCGTGAGGCCCACTCACCCAGAGCCAACCCAGCCTCAGACAATGCAGAGCTAATTCTACGTCATTCTACCCGGTGGAACAAGCCACCATTTCGGCTCGAGGCTGTCGCAAAGGTGGACCCGAACATCGAGCCCCGCCGAGCCGGAACTGGGAGTCTGGACTCTGGAACCACACATGGTGGAACTTTGAAGAGTTGTCTGTAGTGCCTGAGGCACCCTAAAATCATCGGCCATACTATGATTTCGGCCGAAATCGGCATTGATCAAAGACAGCAAGGTAATTTATATATAAAAATCATACTGTATCACGGGTAAGGGCACCGATACGGTGTGAAGCACCCGGAAATCGTATGTCCCCGTACATCATCGTTTGTCAGTGTGGAGGTTACTGGTAAATTTTTGAAGTCATTCAACGTAAAAGACAAGATAAATCCAGATTGGGGGTATCCGTAATGTTTTCTATGCACAGACAAATATGTCGCACTATAAGTAGTAGGCAGCGTTTGTGTATCACCCGATTCCATGCAATGCATTCCATCGTTTCGAAATCACCGCTTGCGCGTAGTCTTCTTCTTCTTCTTTTTCTTCTTCTGGTCACCATCACCTGAGCTCGCCGGCACATTGCGAATGGGCCACTTCTTCAGATGCTCTTTTTCAAACGCATCTTTCTCCCGCCGATACAGCGCCATGGTAGCCCGGGCATCCTCCACAGATGAGTGAGCTCCATCTTGGATCTTCAACCCCAAGAAGTGCTCAGCAAGCATCTTCAGCCGAGGGGAACCTCCACCTGCAATCTTGCGGTATTCGGCGTGTTTGCTGGTATCGCGGATGTCGCGTTTAGGATGACTGAGGAGCAGAGCGTCCAAATCATTACTCAATGCGTGGCCCACCAGGATTCGTCCGTTCATGATCTCGCCGACTTCCTTTTGTACTTCCTCCAGTGTGCGAGCTTCAACCATGTGCTTGGGCGCGATACCACTGACGTGGGTCCGCCAATCGGTGACCATTTCTTTTGGTCGAACATAAGAATCGTAGATTTGATCGCCGTTAAAGTTGACAATACTGACGCGCGCAAGGACGGAGTCGTTGTCGGGGTTGGGACCCACACCCACCATTTCGCAGTCCATGGCAATGTATTTTCCAAGCTCCGCACTGTATCAACAACGAAGAATACAAAATAAGCACCGTCCTCATGTGAAAGAGTATTTGTTTGTCCAAATTAAGGGGAACTCACGTGGCAGAGCGTCCCTCATTGACCTTTGCATTTCGCGACACCGTCACGGGAGCGGCAGATGTGTTGGTGCTGGATCTTCTGCGTGCTGCTGAGGGCTCAGAAGACCCTGTGCCACCAGTTGCAGAACAGTCTGCCATCTTGCGTTTCTTGAGTGGTGTCTTGCTCGGTTGTGTTTTCGAGGATACTTTGTGGGGATGGTCGGCGATTTTGCGCTTCTTCGGGGCCGCGGATGAGTCGCGATCTGCAATCTTCCGCTTCGTAATTGCTGTTGTTGATGCTGCACCGCTTTGCTTGAGTGTGGCTTGTAGTGTCTTCCAGTTACTGGAAAGGTTTGACGCATCCATTGCAAATGTGACTGGTTCGAAGACCTTTATTGCATGTTGTGACTTGACAAGAGTCTCGCGATAAAGAGAAACGATATCCATGGTACTTTTTTTTTTCTGTCGGCAGAAAACTCACCCGTGAGACACCGCCCGACGAGAACATGAATCTTGCCGGATCAGGCAATTAGTTGCTGGTTTGTGATTCTGAGACATGCTTGTAAGGGCAGGAGCAGTAGTAGTAAGAAGAGTGTGCTCTTGTTTTCGCCAAGTGAATTATTGTACATAGCCTGCATTTCAGGTCAATCGGTATACGTGAGTATCAACCAAAAATCTCTATTTGAACCAAGATTTCTCCCAAATATTTGATTCTGCTATTTTGGGTAGAAAAAGGTAAGAAAAACATTTTTGCGACTCAACGGACAGGCCCATTTTGTCTTGCGTGAAAATGATGTAGAGATCCTCGACGCAATAAGAGTCTGCGTCATTGCTTCGCATTTCGAAGAAGACGGTGGACATCTGAAACGAGGTACAGGCTGCCGGCAATGACTATCGGCCCACTCTGAGAGACTTCGCTAGCCCATTGCATTGCGGAAAGCAGGTCCCCTTCGAAGCTCTTCATCTGTCCAATGTCAGAGATTGAGCTCATAGTTGAGGCGAGATCAGTAGACTTCGTAGGCATCACCCAAGGCATACCATCCACGGGCCCAAACTCGGCCGTTGCAACATTGTCACCAGGATGGATAAGTGAGCAGAAAACACCAGCCAAGTCTTTGCCACTTGAAGCGGCAATAACCCACGTGACGGGCTGTGAGTTCGCGCGAAGCTTGCGATCAACGTACCGACCAAGCACGGCAGCAGATTGTGGATTATGAGCACCATCCAGGAGAACAGGTTGTGAACGGGAGATGAGGGGTTCAAGAACCACATTCTCCAAGCGTCCCGGCCATCTGACTTTCGCAAGAAGAGGTAAAAGCCGAAGCGGATCTGTCTGGGGACGGATCTGCGCCAGCGCAATATTCAAGGCTGATGCAGCGAGACACATGTTCTCTTCTTGGTGAGGCTCCAAGTCCCAAGCTTTGAGTAGCTCTGCAAAAGCTGGAGCGTGTTCCTTAGCTTTGTCCGGTGACACAAAAGACGCATCGATACCAAGATCTTGTACAATATTTGATAATGTCTCAATGACGCCCTTTTCATTGGTACTGTCAATCACACAAGGCACGCCTGGTTTCAGGATACCTCCTTTCTCCCGAGCGATCTCCTCTATGGTCGATCCCAAAAAGGCCTGATGGTCCATTCCAATTTTTGCAATCACCGAGACCAGGACGTGCTTCAAGACATTGGTGGCATCAAGACGGCCACCCATTCCCACTTCCACGACTCCGACTTCGACGCGCTCATGGTTGAAGATCTCAAAGGCAGTGGCCGTCAACAATTCGAACTCGGATGCACCGATGCCAAGCTTTTCATCCCGTTGCCTGACTTGTGACTCGATCCGGCGAAAGAGGGACTCTTGGACCACTCGTTCATTAATGGTGATACAGTCCCATTTATCAATGAGGTGCGGTGAGGTAAAGCGACCGCATCGGACACCTTCCGCGGAAAGCAAATAAGAGAGGTAGGCACTGATTGAGCCTTTGCCATTGGTACCAGCGACGTGAATAGCTGACCATGTCAGCGGAGTTTGCTGAACCAGTCGCGCAATGCGGCCTAATCCTAGCTCAATCATTGCTCCAGATGCACAATTGAGTCGAAGATTATAGACATGACCCTTGAAGTCATCGGTGAGTTGACCATGATAATCGACAGTCCGTCTTATCAGCACTCCGGCATTGCTGGGTGGAGTCTCCGTTAAGTTTCCCGCATGCCATCTGTCGGGTAATCTGAAGGGCGCTCGCACGTGACCAGCGATCCGATTACCAGACGGGACAGGGCGGTATAGATGAGTAAGTTCGCTAGAGGTCACTGGTAACTTATGTACCTGCCATTCATACTGCTACATGTAGGGAGCTTTAACTGGCTTAAAGAGCTCGCCAAAAGCCTTCTTACCTTACCAGGCGAGTCGTATTAATTTGCAGCCTGTCGATTGGGCAGGGCCCGCCTGCCTGATACACATTACCTACAATGTCCGTCTCAACGAGGGAATGAGATGCTGTCGGTCTGATCGCAGGGCCCAGTGCATCCTGTACAGAAATTGAAGCCTACAGAGGAGCATCTCTGCGAGCGGACCTAGACCCCGTAGTGATATATTTGGGGGGGGGGGGAGAAGCTGCAATCAATTCTCCAAAAACGCATGCTAAAATCGCCATGGGTATTCCGTGAAAATTCATAGAGACGGATAAGAAATGACAACTTGAAGCTGGGAAAGGACTGCTCAAGACCAACAAGAATCCCACAATTGAAATACAGCCAGTATCGAGCCAGGCTTTCACCAGACCGAAGGAAGATGGGCAGGTCATCCGAGAGACATAGACAGCGAAGAACACGAATCCCGGCTCCTAACAGACATGGAGGATGACCTGCAGACATCATTGCTAGGCATATTGTCGCTCAACATTTCGAGGTCTAGTCATAAGCGCTGGAGGGATGGGGTTGACGCCCCGGTATAGGTGCGCCTCCTGGGATCCCGGGCGAGGTGGAGGTGGAGGTGGAGGCGGAGGCGGAGGGTGAGTAAAACCTCCCGGATGGTAGCCATACGGGTGGGCAGGGGGACGAGGAGGTATACTCGGCGGAACGGGAGACGGACTTCCAACAGTGAGTCGACCAAACTCATCCACAAGTTGTGGACTTTGGTAGCGATATCCTCCAGGGTGGAGAGGAGGCGTTGGGTTCGCGTAGCCTAGACCACGGGTTGGGTCACCGGGGAGGCAGACGAGGGATGCGTGAAGGGTACGCTGAATATCTTCGAAGATGACTTCCATCGGTAGAATGTAGGTTATATTGGTTTGTGCTGACCAAGCCAGGACGTGGCCACAGACGCGGCCGGTAGACCTATCAAAAACCCAAGCACCTGAGTCACCGGGGGCTGAGAACGAATGTTAGCGGGTGCCTTTCAATAAGAATTTACTCCATACACGTTGAAGTCATCTTGCGCCTTTCGTTGCTCGTAGTAATTATCGAGAGCAATGGTTTTGGATTACACTGCCAGCCTAACATGGTAACGATGGAAGACACGGTGGGCATGAAGGGCGTGAAGAGTTTAAGAAAGCGAAAACGCGACTTGTCAGTCGCAAAGAAATCAATCACAACCAGGGTATCTAACTAAAATATCGCGTGAAAAACAAAATGGATCTGCTGAATGGCGCCGCTTACCTCCAAAATTTCCGCTCACAGAGAAGCTTGTTGAGAACGAATGGCGGCCATGAAGCTTGACCAGTGTCATGGCCTTGGATATCTGCCCGGTCTGCAAACCACTGGTGCGACCGCAACATTGGACCAGCATACCGCCCAACTCCTCGATACGGGCGACCTGGTTGAGAAAGATCGGGGGTGGGGGGCTCCGACCAAACCCCGCTCGACCTGGAAGAAACGGCGTGGTGTCCACAACGATATTGCGGGCATCCATGCGAGTGTCATCAACTTTGATAAGGGCCCAGTCAATCTCATGCTTCATGCCCTTACGCGTCCACCGACGGAGACCCGAAGAGGCATGGATGTAGCCAAGGGAATGAGACGCGAGATGTTCGTCATCACGATCCTCAGCTGATGGAAAGAAGTCGTCGTGGACGTCATCAAGAGCTGGTTGGGTGACCATCAAACGAGGTTCTTCTCCCGGTTCAACGCCAGCAGTATCACCGACTGAGGCCGCATCATCGTCAAAGTCATCGTCGTCGACACCCTCCAAAGATTCATCATCGGAGGAATCGTCTTCGGACAGCCAATATTCGTCGACCTCACTCTCGTCGGGGTGAGAGAGGGAGTCATCATCTTCCGAGCCTGATATCTCGAGGTCTGCATTGGCTTCGGAGGGCTCATCATCGCGCCAGGGATACATGAATTCTTGACTGCTGACACCAGAGGCCGTTCGCAACGTGTCTTGGGGTCGGCCGGCGGAGCGCAAAGGAGCCTCAGGTCCATTACCCCCAGGCTCGTCATCGTCACTTGGCACCTCAAGCATATGGTGAACTGTAAGACCATAAGGATGACCATCGACGAGAACAGCACCTCCGTAAGATACAGGAGGCAAGTGCTCTTCGTTCTGGAAAGCGCCGATTGATGCACCACAAAGCGGCCTTTGTTGATAGCAAGGATTCAATTCACGCTGGCGAAACGGCGTTTGAATCGATGTGTTGGGACGGGTCTTGGCGGGCTGTCGCTTGGTGCGAGGAACTTTTGATCTTTCAATGTCTCCACGGAGAACAATGAGGTCCCAGTCTTCATGGTCAACGGGGAAATGCTTCTTCAAGGCAGACCGAACTTTCTTGACACTTGCGCACGTTACACAGATTGTGGTTTTGGCGCTTTCAATGGTTTCACCGGTCATCATGAGGTTCACCCCGCAGGACTCGTCCGATTCTTTGAGAATCTTCTGCAGAAGCCGGCTGAGGCGAGGCATGATCTGAAAGTTCCATTCTTGCAGATGCTCATCGGGTATTTCCAGGTGTGGAAGACGTTTTATAGTTCGTTTTCTGGCAGGTCTTTCGATCACATTGGGCTCGGAACGCACTTGCCATTGGGAATCTGGAAGTAACGGTAGATCTTTCTCCAGGTTGAGCGGCTCATTGTGGAATGAAAGGGGTTCAGCGACCTGCGCGCTAGGAGCGAGTTCCGAACATGGAACGAGTGCCAAAGGCAGAGAATCATCGAGCTCTTCCGGGGGTGGAGCCGCGAAGATGTCGATGCGGGTGCACGCCCAAAGAACTTTGCAAATGGTGTAAAGGAAGTTCATGGAGAACGAGAAGGTGCCTTCAGGATCTGACTGTTCAAGAACAGGGTAGTGGTATACCTGAGGCACACGAAGGGTGAGGTCGGTCATAGGTTGGGTGGAGAGATGGAAATTAGGAGCATCAAGACAAAGCTGGACGGCCTGCAAGTACGCCGTCCCGCACTTTGCACCAAGCTTTTTGACATACAGATCTTCAATCCGACGCTTGAACCAGGAGCGATCGTACTTCTCTTTCCAAAGTCGACCGATAGGGGCCCACAACCCAATCTCCAGTAGGACAAGGCCCAGAGAGTAAAGATCGTATGCCCAAGCAGCGTCGTCTTCAATTGATCGCTTGTCGTCAGGATGGCGGTACATTGCCGTTGACAGCAGCTCAGGTGTTGGCCCGTCAGCAGAGAAGCGCGCTGGTGAGGTGAGGTAGGGTCGCCGCATGTCTGGGGCCAGGCCACCAGCGTCATGGCTAGCATCGGCTCGGCCAGGGAAGAAAATGATATTGTTGCTGTTGATATTACCATGCACGACATTCTGACTCCTCATATGCAAGACAGACATCATGAGATCATATGCAAGTCGAAAACGTGTCTCCAGATTGGGCATTCGCTTCTCCCGAAAGTCCTCTGACGAGGGAAGAAGGGCTTCTAGGGACATTGGTTTCAGTTCCTTCAACAGGTCACTGGGGTTTAGCAAAAAAGGGAAATAATCCACGGGCATTTGATAGAGGAAAGCATAACGGGCGTTAGAATCGTCAGCGCAGTAACCCAGAAATCTCAAAAGACCCAGATGTCCAACCCTGGAATTTTGAAGTAGAAGATCAAGAGAGTTCTGCAACGTCTCCAGCCGAGAAGTCTTCGCGCTTGGCTGGGGAGCAACCATCATCGGCATAAACTCCACCAACACAGACACATGCGGATCGGTCACAGAGTCTCGAAGCAATGCACACGACGACGTTTGCAGGCGACCGATCATGCGGGAGTTGGTTGAGACTGCGACAGATGCGTATGGAGGTGGGCTATTATCATGGGTCGCGCCAAATAGTTGTAGAGCAGAGCGCTCAATAAGCAGGGCTTGGGACTGGCCATTTTTCGAAGTCAAAGATGTAGGGAAAAACGCGTCATATCCCGGCTTTGAAGCCCTTGCCTTTTCGTTCGAATCAGAGTAGGTCCTGTATGGAGTGTCGTGGGCTGGGAGAGGATGCGTCTTGGATCGACGCCCACTCATGCTGTGTTTGCTCGATGATATACTAGACGCCATCGTGCGGCGTGAGGTAGACAGCTCATAGAGTGTGTCAATGCACGAGGTGAGGTCATTCAAAATTGTCTGAGAGCGACGAACATCATCCTCCGTCCACTGCGTTTTAAGAGGCCGGCCGCCTAATGCGTCTTTCGTGGGCAGATCAACCTTATGTTCCTTCGAGGTCATCGGTGGATCTATGTGCTGAATACGCTCGGCATCGTTCAACAAGCCCTGGATCGTGGACATGACGCTTTCCACGACATCGCTGAATCCGGCAGCGGTCAACGACTCATCGATGTCGTTTGGCTGAGCGGCGCTGGCGTCGCTCCAATCCAGCCCCCATGATAGCAATCGGTCTCGTTGTTTCTGAAAGCTTTCGTGCAGGGCGACCAGCTCTGGGTCGTCGAGAGCTTTAGATGCGGTCGTAATGCTCTCACACGAAGTTTTGGTGTCCGTATAGAGCTTCGTCAGGCGACGCTGGAGGAATCCGCTTCCTCCATGGCGCATCACGGACATCTTGACGATAGCGTTTCGATAAGGACCGAGAGGATAGCGGGGCTCAAGTTGATGGCATGGAGGTGACAGTCACTGTGAGTATCACCGACCTCATTCCCTACACATCGTGAGAGAATTTGGATGAATTGTAGGCGTTGGAGGCCATGTAGCGCAGACTGATGTCGAGAAAACTCCAGATTCAATGGATGCCCGGTCGACGGTCGATACGACCGTCGTGAACGGACTACGGACTAGCCATCTGCCATTATTCTACTGCGGGCAAGTCAGCAGAGTCCATGGGAATCCTGTTGCCTAACCAATCACCCTTGAGGATGTGCGCTAAGTGGATCACGTGGCAGGCATCTCAATTCGACGGATCAAGCAAAGTTACGGGTAATACGAATACCAATTGTCAGGCAGCAGCATTAGTTGAAGGATTTACAGAAGTAAACACTAGGGAGATCCCCCGTCATTGCGGGCGTGCATGTGAAAGCTTCGCGGGATACAGGACAATCATGTCTTCGAAATGGCATCATGGTATCATTGGAAATAGTCAAAAGAGAGTACAGCCAAGCCATCACTCTGGTCCGGCTGCGGGTCCTCTGTTCCGGCATCAAAAGACTCAAGAGAATGGGCCCAATGCCGATTGTCGCTCCTAAAAGGATGAAATGTAAAATGTACAAGTGAGAAAGGCAAAGAATTGCACATAGTTGAAAAACCCTAATCACCGAGTCAGTAGAGCCTGCTCGAGGGCGAAGAGAGGCGGTCGCGCAGAGTCCGTGAATTCAGAACTAATGCAGGTCTATAGAGCATGAGTAAGTGAGATCATGGGCAGTGGGAGCATCGCAAGTTCACCGGGAGAACACGCGTCGCGAAACGCCAACGTCCCGCGCCCGCTTTTCACTAAAATTATGAAGTCGTTCGCCGATCAGGTAGACATCATCGCGAATGTGGATACGCCAGATCGCCAGCTTTCGTAGAGCGAAGTGCACACTCCATACGGCCAGAACAACCGACAGGGTGACAGGATATGCGAAGCGATAGATGTCGGGTTGTGCTCCAACGACCGAGTAGAACAGGGTGTAGCGTAAGGCAAGTCCGAAAAATAGTGGGGCAATGATCGCGATGCAAGTCAGAAGCATCATTGGCAGGATCAACGCACGCGTCGCAAGTGAAACATTGGGATTGAACCACCCTTGACGGAATACACCGTTGACAGCGACGGCTGGCCAGGATTGGGGATGCCAAAGAATAAGCTTGATTGCCATCTGCACGTACAAGACTCCCAGTGTCCAGTCCTGAACCAGGTGAATGACATGTTCTTGTCCATCTGCGAGGAAAGTGTGTGCCGGGATAAGGATATATAATTCGGTGAGAAGGGCAAAGAAAGACGGCAGCACCACGACCAAGGCAATCGCAAGATACAAAAGCCTGGCGAAAACGAGTACAGCACTGCCCAGGAGTCTGACCGCCTCGCGTGGGGACTGAAGGTACGTATTCTGATTTTCACGTAGGCAGCGGAAAGCTGCCTGGCAATAGTACACAGCGTATCCTAGAGCGCCGACCACTGAGAGGCCAATCGAAAGCGCATAGATATCGTTGACGGGAGCAGGACTGGAGAAGCAGGCTGAAGCAAGCACACGCCCAAGGATCAGCGGCACAATAGTGATGCCGACGCCCGCGGTGGCAGCGAAGAGCCAGATAAAGACGATGAAAGCAGCGATCCGAGTTCGGAAGTGAGGTGGAATGTAGACTTTCGTAAAGCTGGGATTTCCGCGACCATGAAGGCCATCGTTCAAATCAGGCAGACCGTCGATGCGAGTGTTATCTTCGCTTACGTCAAGGAAGGCTCGCGTGCCCTCAGGGATACGCACTTGGTCGGACGCGGGGGCGCGAACGTAGCGGCCGTCTCGCAGGAAATAAACATCGCGATTCTCTGACTCGGCTTGCGCCTGGTCTTCCTTCCCAACGACAGGGTGCTTCCAGTCACCTTGCTGGGCGGAGAAGAAGCTCCACCAAGTGCGGCGGACGTGGTGGCCTTCCTCTTCGGGATGTCTTTCCGGAAAGAAGAAGTTGCTCAACCGCAACAAGTGAGCACACTTATGGAACCACCAATCAAAGAGGTCGTGAATAATGTCTGAGGGTTTGACGGACTGAAGTGCAAGCGGTAGCACGAAATTATAGAACAGCAAATCCACAGGGAACTCGAGCATTGGTGCGCTGGACGACCAGTGGATGGGCAGAACGCCATCAAGTGCGTAAAATAGACCCCATACAACGCCGCCCAGACAAACAATGACCAAGGCGCCGTACACCAGAGCACTGAATGCGATCTTGCGAAGTTGGGTGGTGATGCTACGCTCAAGCACGTCACGAATGGGATGGAAGGTAGGGTCGTCGGGGTCACGGATAAAGTCTATGAATGAGTCAGTAAAAGAAAATTCATCGGGTCGTCACGTCATTGCTTACAGAGGACGCCGCTTCTCAAAATCTTTCGGCACATTGACACGAAGAGAGCGAAGTGGAACATGTAACAAGTGCCAATAAACCAATGCACGAACAAGGACGTCAGAGGAGACGCCACGGTGAAGGCAATGCGCGAAGAGATCGTTGCGTCGGAAAACAGAGGCAGGAGAGCAACATCCAGCAGGGTACCGCAATATAAGGGGAACACGATCATCTCAATTCCAATAATCAGGATCACCTTCATGACTCCACCGGCTTGCAGGAGTACTTCGGCAACAACCCCGTCGACTCTTTGGCCCCGATTGGCTCCCGCGAGCAGCCCACTGACTCGCAGATACAAGAAGCCGGCCATAGTGGCGAGAAGATACCCCATAGCAATGGCAATAGCACGATCTGTGGTGTCCCATACAGCTAAGTCCTCCCGAAGATAGATGGCAGCAGGTGCTCTTTGTCCGGCGCTGGCTCCCAGAAGGGTGGACCCTGGGTTGGTGAACATCGAGGACATTGTCATGTTGCCAACATAGCCCTTCACGAATGTTGTGGCGTTGGTCAAATGAGCTAGCTTCAAGTCGATTGTGAATGCAGCCGGTATCCCGATTGTCATCAAGCGCAGAGGGAAGTCGTACAGAGCGAATTTGCAAATAGTAAAAATCGATCTGTAAAGCGCGACAAGACGTGCTTGATGCAGTTTGAGGGCTTGATGGGAGAGCACAGAGAACATGGGAATGTCGGACTCTTGGAATATCAAAAACGTGCTGACAACCTTGTTCAAGCGATTCGTGCTTTTGTCGATCAAAGAGATAGACGTGCTGGTGATAGCCCGAGATTTGGACATCCATTCGAATGTAGGCCCGAGATTCCCAAACGGACTGGCGAGTACCTTCAGAACGAGGCTCATCCAATACATTGAATAACCAAGGGAACCAATGAGGGTATCGAGCACAATGTCGGCTATGACGGTTACAGCAGTCATAGGCACACCAATGATCAGTTGCAGAGGGTTGGCCAGAAGGACGAGGGCGATCTTGCCCCACAAATATGGGAGCCAGATGCCAATTGCTATCGTGAATGCGATGAGAAGGGCACAGAAGACCCCGTTCTGCAGGAGACCAAAGATAGGACCCTGCATCCCAATGAGATCTAAGATTCCATCGAAATCGTCCCCCTCAATGGCATCCGCATCATTGCCTTCCAGCAGACCGTCAGGTCCAAGTCCAGCCGGAGCCACCTCGTCAGCAGGGCGTGCGTCCAATCGGTTCTGAACAGGCACGAAGGGGTCTTCCAAAGCCGGGTCCTGCACAATATGTTCTTCGTCTGGTACGGCGTTGGTATCATTATCGAAATTTTCAGCAGTGACATCTCCCCAAAACCAATCGATTGCACGTTCGATGAAAGCCTTCGGAGGTCCAGCTTCCAGTTCGGCAACATCCGGCCGTTCGTCATCGGTCATGCGAGCATTGACCTCTTCTCGATGTTGGATTGCATCTTCAGTCAATGTGGCAGATGTCTCTGCATTTCGTGAAGGACTCTCAATTGGAGCCGTGTCAATTCCATCCTCGTGGAAAGGTTCACCAAATGGCCGCTCGTTTTGTGATCTAGTGATCGCTTCTACAATCCAGGCCAGCTCTTCCTCGTGACCTTCGCGTCGAATGATTCGTAAGATCTCATCACGATCGCCGTTGGCGCGCATAAGAATGTCTTGAAGCAGTGAAATATCTGATGCTGGTGATGCATGAGTTGAGTCTTGCGCTGGCTGGCGAATGCCCATAAAGTCATCATTCTGTGAAGGGATTTGGGTGAAGTGTTCGTCATCCATACTTGCCCTTCTCTCATACGCTGGTAGACCGTCATCCGAATCGGTCCAAGACGGCGCAGGAGAAGGTTGGCGAGAGCCACCGGGTAAGGCGTCATTGGCTCCCTCTGGAACAGGAAATTCGGGTCCATCAATCTCACGGCCATCCCGGACCTCTTGCTCCATTTGCGGGAGTTCGGGGCCGTCGTTGACGCGATCATTAGCGATGAGCTGCAGTGCAGCTTCTCGCTCTCCCTCCGCGATGTTTGCCATGGGCTGCTGCTGTACAACCCATTCCCGTATCAAAAAAAGCAGAATGAAAGCAACAACGACAAGTAATGTAATCAATTGGCCCTCAAGTGTGTCGATTATCATGTTGTTTATAGTTGGATACGGCGTTAATGCCTTGAGGAATTTGACATCAGAGAGCCAGGAAGGATAGCGGGCTTTTGACGAGCCAAGAGCTCCGTTTGTTTCCGAGACACTTCCATCACGACTGGATGACCAGGCAGGTACGAAAAGACTTGGTATGATTTTCTTAATCAGTGTGAGCATCAGCGGCTCGCCGGTTGAGTGAGCGTTGGCAGGCGACTGGGCTGACAGTGCTGCGACAGCGGAAGTCGAGGCAGACAAGGCAGGCGAAGGGCTTGAAAGAGCTAATCCCATGGGTGTGAGAGAAGCGGCTCCACTGCCTGTGTGGTTTGCGGCCCATTGCTTGACGCTGCTTGATGCGGACCCCGACCCCGTCTGCTGAGATGGTCCAGCAGCCGACCAACGGCCATCGGCGAGCCAGAAAAGTGCCCTCCATATCGCTCGCATTGACCATGGCAGCCAACCCAGCCAGACGAAAGCCACAAGCAGGAATCGCAACCAAGTTATGAGTGTCCGAACGACCTGAAAGAAAGCTTGCTGGATGAACAATGGCGTTGGAAGGCTCTTTGGCATGTTTGGATCGTAAAGTTTCGTAAATCGAAAATGTGTCTTGCAGAGCTCACAGTGCTTCTTTTGCGAGTGTGACAGCCACTCCACCAGGCAGGTTTGATGGACAAACTTTATACTGCCACTGCATTTGCATGGATAGAATAGCGGTTCCTCCTCGGTTCCTTCTCCATGACAGATTCGGCAGGTATCCACATCTTCAGGTCCAGCCTCCCGCTTGTCATAGGCTTCATCATTCATCAGACCGGGGAACGACGACGTGTCCGCGGGGCCGTAAGATGACTGGGTCGTGAAGTCCATGATGGTCTGTGGCGCAGGATGCGAGAAGTTGCCTAGGTAGCAGGATGTCTACCCAATCTGCATCATAGTTCAGTCAATGGTCAACAACGTGGTACTGTCTGAACCCGGTTCCTCAGAGCGGCGATGGGACGGTAGAATAAATTTCCAGGGCGTTAAAGAGTATTACTCGGCCGACGAGGGAGACCGGCGGGTATGTTCTGCGTTCCGAAGTTTCTCCCGCTTCTCAAATTTGACAGGAAGGCTCAGAATTATTGAGCAGGCGCCGAAGGCAGCATTGAAGCTTGATGCCCACTTGCTTCACTGTTGGTCTGTCGTGATGTGGACTGATCGAGGACGGTAGAATACCGGAGGTTCTTGAATTCCGCCCGCTTTTCTGAGGACACTGATGGACGCCCAGCGGATGCCAGGCCATCCGAGGCCGTGCTGACTCAGCGCCTGCCAGCGGGCGATTACAGCAATCTTACATCTTTATTTACAGATGACACCGTGCATGCTGTTATTTATTAGTTACGTGCTGTATTAACATTATGGTCCCGCCGTTGCGCTTCAAGTCATCAACAAGCAACTTGGGACACCACTAATCCAGCAAGGCCAAGTAGTGCATGCGCCCGTGCCACCGATGACCTCACTGGGGTTAAGCAGCACATCAAGCCACCATTGAAAGGGACACAACCTTGGCGCCCATCGCATGGCCAAGTTGACTCAAATCTGCCTCTGGACTTTCTGCATCATTTCTTCCCATTTCTGAGTCTTCGTGGAGAAAAAAGACCCGCGTTCCTCTGGAGGTCTTGGATTCTATCTGGTACGCCTAGAACGGTGGGCCGTAAAAGTCCCCTAGCGTCAAATCGACGCGAGCATTCCGCCTCAATCGCTGACTTCGTTCGTAATGGTCAGCCCTCGCGTCGCTGCACAGGATTTGAAGGTTTGCTGTACGGTTCAAAGCTACCTAAGCATGCAATAGCTGCTCGCACACTCGCCGAGGTTCAATTATTCAGTGAAGGTCCTACCCAGTGCAGGCAGAAGCTTGCATCTGTCACCGGTGCTCTCTATTTTTCTTTCGAAGTTAGAAGGGCCGGCCCGCCGTCAACGACAACACAAGATGGCAGCTCAGGAAAATGGACACGCATCGGCAGCTTCATCAGATACTAGCAAAGGTGGTCTGATCCGGAACAGCGCTCGGAAAGCCAAGCCGCGACAGAAGGGCCCTATACGATGGTCTCTTGGACTTGTTGTGCGGTATGTGTGAAACCTCCTTTTGGAACGTGGTTGCTCAGCTGTCCACTGAGCAGGAGTCCTGAGCTTCAAAAAGCAGGACCAAAGCTAATATGATCGGGATCTCAGGCTCTGTATTTGGTACACCCTTTTGACGCCGTTTCTTCGATGTCCGTCCCGGTTGGACGAGTTGAGCGAGACCTCTCCGAAGGTCTGCAAGCCATACCTGGTCGCTCGCGCACACGTGGAACCGTACCTGTCACCTTACTATAACGCCTACGCTGTCCCCTATGTGAATCAGGTGCAACCATACGTGACTATCCTCAATGAGCGAGTGTATACGCCTGTCTCAAATGCCGCCAAGCTTGGTTATGAAGCATATGGCGCTCCAGCATTGCAGCAAGCTCGCGAAATCGGCGAGGTTCAATGGAAGCAGCAAGTAACACCACGCCTGGAAGCTGTCCAGTCTCAAGCCCATCAATTGTACATGGCCCAAATCGATCCTCATATTCAGGGAGTCGCTTCTGTTGTGTCGCCTTACTATCGTCAAGTGGACGGACTTGCTAAGGCTGTATACTGGAATCAATTGGTGCCCCTTTACACGCATTCCCAGCCTTACATTGGGAAGACTTATAGTACCAGCCAAGAAATCTTAGCAACCCATGTCATGCCTGGTGCCCGCTATACCTGGTCATCACTTGTCTATTTTGCCAATAGCTCCTTGTGGCCCCATGTCACCGGTCTGTACTCTGAGCAAGTGGAGCCCCAGCTTGTAAAGATTGGGCAGCGTCTTGCCAGCTACCGCGAAGGCAAACGACTACGCGCTGTTATGGATGAGATGGATAGGTAAGATACTCTTCCCATACTATGCCATACTATAGCAACAGGAGCGGATTCTAACTAAGACCACAGCACTTCCTCTGAGCGTGCTTCCTCGACACCGGTGACTACCGCAAAGATTGAACCTCGCACATCTTCCACAGTGACAACTAGGCCAACTGAGCAATCGCAGGCCGCCAAGCCCACGATACCGGCGGAGGAGCAGACTAAGCAAGCTCGCGTCCGCATTGATTCCGATCTTCAAAGATGGCAGGAGAAATTCGCGGCGGCGGCTGACAAGGGCATTGAGGATCTGGAGGAGCGCATCGAGGAAATCGTGTCAGCACTTGTTGAAAGTAGCGCCAAGGGTCACGGACGGAGTCTGTCAATGGCGCTCGAGGCAGTCTCTACCGAAAAGACTGCGGTCATCAAACAAAAAATCATTGATCTAGCTGGATCGTTGCCGAGAGAGGATGTCCCGGAACAGGAGGAGGAAGCTCATGACAAGCTCATCGATGACATTCGTGCTTCTGCTGTTGTAGTTCGAGACCGTGCACACGCTCTCCGACAGTGGTCACTCTCCTTTGACGAAGAGTTATCTCGACGAGTATCTGCCGCCATTAATTCGACACTAGATGTTCTGGACAGCATTCGTGACCTGGGCCTGCAAGAGATTGGCACGCGATGGGCCTGGATGGATGATGTCACTTACAAGGACTGGGCAAAGTACCATGCATTGAAGGCACAGCTTGACGATTGGCGGGACGAGATCCGCAGAATTGGAATGAACCACCAATCTGTTGTTGTGGCACAATCTTTGGGTGCTGCCGTTCTAGACAGCGGAATGCGAGTCGCCGAAGAGGCCGCAAATGAACTGATTAGACTTAAGGATGTCGGCAAATGGAAAATTGCCGCTCGTGATGTGAGCGACAATTTCGACTCGCGCGCGGAGTCTCCTCCTTCATGGCCAAAGCCAATTGTCACGACTGATAGAGATAGTCAAGCATCTGCCGGCGAGGAAGACAAGGGTGAATCTGCTGCCTCTTATGAGGAATCGTCGTCTTCCGCGTCCGAGGGACAAACCCCGGGAGAAACTTCCTCAAGCTCCACCACATACAACGAGTATGAGCATGGCGTTGAATCTGAGGACGTACCGGTGGCCGTCGCGAGTGTTGACGCGAGCGAACACTCGATCGAGCCAATTGTTGAAGAGTACCAGCACATCACCAAATCGGCATTTGGCGTAGCTGCTGCATCTTTGAACATGAAGCAAGAGCCAATCTTGGACGAGGAAGAGCGAGGTATCTTTGACGATCTCGCTGAAACAGCGGAGGACGTGTACCACGATGCCAGATCTGCCTTCGCAGACTCTACTGCACAGGCTAAGGTTCTGTATGAAATTGCCAAGTCTCAGGCTATGGCACAGATGTCGCATTCATCGAGCGCGACTGCTCACGCTGAAATTTTGAATTCCATCGAATCAGCCTACTCACGCGCTGTGCGATATGCTAGTAAAGAGTTCGACTCTAGACTTGGCGTTGTTTGGGCTACACCCACTCCTACCGGTCCCCTGGCTCACATCTCTTCAGTCGCATCCTCGCGCTTGAGCGAAGGGCTGAGCTTTGCCTCTGACCAGCTGGCACAACACACCAAGCCAGCGTCATCATCCGCAGGATCGCAGCCTTTCGTTCTCGATGCACAGCGCCGTTACTATGAGGCTGTCGGTCTGGCGCATGAGCACTACACCGCATTCATGTCAAGTGCTTCGGATGCGGTTTATGGCACTCCCACGCCAGCGCCCACTCCTTGGAATTACAAAGGCGTTCTCGCTGATGCTGACTCAAAATATCAGGAGGCGTCCTCGCTTGCCTCTGCTAGTCTTGCCGCAGTTGTTGGCTCCGCTAGCTCTATGATCTCCGCGGCCGACGATGGTAAGGCTCAGAGCCTTGTGGAAGATGCCTCATCAAGATATCGCGCCGCTCTTTCTGCTGCGTCATCCTCTCTTTCTCTCGTTTCGGCGTCCGCCAGCTCAGCTGTCTACGGCACCACCCCTGGCGTCATGGCGTCTTTATCGAGCCAAGCTTCTGTGAACTGGGAGACTCTAGTCTCTAAGGCCAGCGAGCAGGTGTATGGTACCCCAATGCCCTATTATCAAAGCATGATGGAGGAGCATCTGCCGCGATTTGACACTATTCAGGCAGTTCTTTCCGAAGTCCTTGTTGGTCAGCAGCCCTCGTTTACGGAGAGTGTTATTAGCAGAATTCGGGTCGCATTCGAGACACCTTATCCTGCCAAGGCGGTGTCGGCTGCATCCAGTTATGCTAGTGAGGCTTATGAGACGGCTTCTTCCGTCGCCAACGCCTTCATCACTGATGTTCCCAGCGTCGAGGACGTTGTCCAGCAGGCCAACGAGCAGCTTCAGTCAGCCGTAGAGGCCGCCAGTGTGGCCATTTATGGCACCCCGAAGGGTCGCTACGAACAGGCCACGGAGGCTGTTGCTGAGGCATACTCAAGCGCCTCTGCTCAGATCAGTGGTGCCGTATACGGGAAGGAGCCAACCTACATTGACATTGCCAAGAGTAATATCGAGCAAATCCAGTCCAGAGCCAGTGCCGCGATCTATGGTGAAGAGCCTGGTGCGGTCGAGAGTGCGACCCTCCGTCTTGCCGACGCTGTTGAAAGTGCTCAGGCCCAGCTGGCCAGCCTTGCCTCTAGCATGAGCAGCGTGGCATCCTCTGCGACGTTCGCATATGTCACTGACGTTCCTAGCGTTGAGGACATCATGCACCAAGTGAACAATCAGCTTCACTCCGCTGTTGATGCTGCTAGTGTTGGTATTTATGGTACTCCCAAGGGTCGTCTTGAGCAGGCCGTCGATGCAGCATCTGAGACATACTCCAGTGCCTCCGCTGAAATCAGTGGCGCTGTCTTTGGAACCGACCCTAGCTACATCAATGGTGCTAAAGACAACATTGAGCAGATTCGGTCCAAGGCCAGTCTTGCATTTTACGGCGAGGAACCTGGTGCGATGGAACACGCCACCAGCCGCCTCGCCGCCGCTGTGGAAAGTGCACAGTCGCGCCTGGCAGGTTTGGCTACTGAAGCAACCAGTGGAGCTTCAGTGGCCATGGAGACAGCCGCGTCTCAGGCCAACCAAGTGACAAGAACCATCAGAGCCAGTGTCTCGTCTTTGGCGAAAGACGAACTCTAGACGTGAAGGCCACATTTACAATGAACAATGCTCACGTCTCAAGGCTAGCTAGTCAATATCTTCCCTTATTGCTGCGCTTCAACCTTACTCTGCGAGCGATAATCAGCGCCGGCCTCTAATCGCGGCATGCCAGAAGCATGTGTGGCCAGCTCGATGTCCTAATCATATCTCTCTCGACTCACGATCGTCTCACGCTTATGACTTTCAATTTGCACAGTCTCGTTACAGTCATCATCTTTATTTATTTCTCCTTTCCCTTCTTATCCTTTTCAGAGTGTATGGAATGTAATTGCAATCGTCAAGCCATGTTTTCCGGCGGGTTTCGAAGATTTAGCCGTCCGTGCCCAGCGACTGTACTGCTACATATAATTCATTGCGTGATCAGTGTTCTTGGTATCAAAGGTATTCCACTTCTGCAAAAGTTCAAGAACCATAAAATAGCTTTCGAGCTAGCCCTTCCCTGGCAGCCTCCTGAGCGTCGGGCTGTGCAATCGAGCAGGTAAGCCACGGCATCACAACTTTCACATATATACATGGGCAGCGTGCGGCACCGCAGTGACACTGCATCCGTCCAGGAGAATATGATACATCGTATTCCTAGATGATAATCTTCGCAATGATTAGATGAGTGTAGATCGGTGAAGCTCAGCAAGGAGGCATCGAATTGGCCATGGAGGTCACGGACTTCTTCCTTTAACGAGATACACCTCTGGGAAGCCGACTTGGACCGGGCTGCGGCAGGATGCAGTATGACTGTCCGATGCTCAGAGTTCAGGACCGACTCCACAAAGCACACGCCAGCAGCATATCCCTTCCAATCATGACACTCAGCGACGGTACTTCACACGATCGCCCTTCTTCTCTTTCTTCATCTGCGTCTTGCTCATTGATGCCTGAGCCTCGGGGCCATCCGCACCGCCACCACCTCCCATTCCGGCAAATCCCTTCTTCACACCCATGACCGTCGTGTAGGCCAGGTAGATCGAGTACACGGGGACTACAGCCCACAGCCACCAAGCCCGGTCATTGAAGATACAGGCTGCCGCAATGCAGCCCTCGGTCCAGTAAAGCACATCCCACATGTACTCCGTCAGGCCAGTCGCGTTGAGATCCTCACCTGCGGAGCGCAACGAGCCATCAGCGTTATAGCTGGGGCGACCCACGCGGTCGAGGTAGAACTCGATGAGTAGCGTCGGTACGGCAAGGAGAAAGTAGGGCTTGAGTGAGCGAGGACGGCCAATTGTGAAGTGCAGACCCAAAAACAGGAGGTGCAGGACGGCTGTGATGAGGTGTGTGCGGGAGAGGACGGCCGCATTGCGAGTGGCTAGTGTTTTAGCTGCTTTCTGGATATCATGTCAGTTTGTTGTACTACCTCTCAAGAGGATGCCCATCAAGGAAGGGCGTGGTGTTTGGAGCGTTTCCGACGATCCTGTCATCTGTAAAACCTGTGGGGGGCGGGGAGGGTTGAGCAGCTTACTTGAGCCATGGTGTGAAGCTAAAACAGGACCTGTCTCATAATTGAGCACAAGCAATGGATTGGAACAGGGAGTTTGTACTTTGTAGTGGACAGGAACGCAAGCAAAATTGTGGACAAGAGGAACGAGGGGAAGCTGTGTCTGCGCAGTCAAAAGGTGGTCTCTACACTCTCTACGGCTCTGCAGTGCATAAACGCCGAATTGTCTCCGGTGGCAGCCGGCTGCGGCTCTGCAAAGACGGTAGCTGTCAGGGCTCCACTGCCACCTTATTCCAATTTCCAGTAGATTCTCTCGTCTGGACTTTTTCACAAGCCAAATGCATAAATTTGCTTGCTATGTGCGCGATGAGATAACCATCTATTCATTATAGAACGTGCACGGAACAAATTCATGACTCCCGAAATCTTAGCTGCTGGACACATGCTTCTCGTTCGTGAACTTACTTACCTTTACTTAATCTCCATGGATACTGGGAGACCTCAAGAAATGGAAGATTGAAGAAATCGAATTACAGCCCGAGGTACGTGGAAGTAGCACCATTGATAGATATAGATATACCTGCAACCGTGACGTCCATCCTGTATGGTATACATGCAATCTCGACTCATTGGGACTTCCTGATACGAGGGTCACTATAGGTAGCCCATCCCATCAGCAAGTAGGATTCTGGGCCGATCGATTGAGAGAAGTCAAGATACTATACCTGTAGTCCTGCACTACTTGAAAGTTCCACGCTGTCCAGAGATATATGGTGTATTCGAAAGGAAATACAACCGACTCACCGAGCTCGCACGACTCGTGGGCAAATAGGTACAGAAGGGCCACTAATGTAGAGCTGGTCATGTAATTTCAGTAGGGCTATATCGACGATGTAGTCCAGATTTCAGTTGGAGGGTTTATCGTGAAAACTCAACTCTCCGATGCATAAGGTAGGTAGGTACCCATGGTAGTATACTGGTATTCAGCTTCGCGCAGCTCGGAGATACTTCGGCCCTCGACTCGAATCAGTCAGTTAGGTTGGTTGCCCACTACAACACTGACCGCCTGGCAGAATGCATCAGCATTCGCAAAGCGGGAGCGCAATCAAAATAAGCCGGAAGACAAAGCCATAGAGTTACGCGCACGACGGCATCGGCCCTGTTTTGCGATCACCAAGAAGTTTGATGTACAGAAAGACTCACATCATGGAAATCGCTGCCTAGAGCAACCGATCTCTCTGAGCGACTCAATCTAGAATGTACAGCCTGATTCTCGAGGACCACCACGACCTTCCACTCCCGCCTCCCGCTTCCGGCTTCAATTAGCATTCCACCCTCCCGCATCTCACAGGCGCTTCCCGCTGCAGGATCGGCATACGGCAAACCGTGAATCTTCTTTTCCTCAACCCTGTCCAGTGACCCCGATCATTGGGATTTAAGCCGATGTTGAGGGACAACTGGCGCTGATGGTCTCTCCTCATTCGGCCAATATCATCATAACAATCGCATCACGTTCCCCTCACCGCCCGCCCAGATGGCCCTGTCCACGGGCCATGTGGCCAGCCAGCTAAGGCATCTGATTTATTACAACCTCGATAACAACCTCATTCGAAATGCGCTTTTCCTTGCTGGTCGTCTCCACGCCTTCGAACCCCGATCTTATGAGGCACAGTATCTCCTATCTCTCTGCCATCTTCACAACGGTGAAGTCAAGGCCGCACTGGATTGCAGCCACGGTTCCGGCTCTCGTGGGCTACACGCGGGCTGCGCTTACGTCTTCGCGCAAGCCTGCCTGGATCTAGGGAAGAATTTAGACGGCATCACTGCTTTGGAGCGTAGCAAATCGCTCTGGGCATCCAAAAATCATTGGAGTAAGGTGTTCTGGTATGCTGGTTGGCTCATTCGATCTCGGCGCTAACGAGGGTTTGCTCCAGATAAACACAGCGAAACATCGCGACAACATCTACCGGACGCAGCAGCCGTACACTGTCTTCTTGGAAAATTGTGGAAAGCACACAAAGATGTGGAGAAGGCAGTAGACTGCTATGTGGAATCGCTCAAACTGAACCCATTCATGTGGGATGCTTTCCTGGGACTATGCTCAACTGGTCAGTATTGTTTGCCTTCCAGCAATTTCATCACAAGAAAAGTAAATGCTCACATGGGTCATCACAGGGGTCAACATCCGAGTGCCCAACATATACCAGTTAAGCCCGGAACTCCTCTCCATCATATCTGCCTCTCCCGACGACCTCAATGCCGTTCCGAGCCAGCACCCACAACCCGATAGACCTTATCCCTCTCACCACAGTGTCGACCCTTTCACGGGTCCGACTGTTGACACGACAAACGGAAGCTCGGCGCTTTGGGAACGATTGAAAGGCACTTCTTCTGGCATGAACTCAGGAGCTGCGCCTGTCATACACGAGGGAATGGAAACCCCCAGCGGGCAAAGCAGCAGTGGCTCTGAAGACTTCCGAATCGCAAATGGAGTCACTGAGCCAGACTCCGTCTGGGAGCCACCATTAGCACCAGCCAGGAGAAATCGCACCGTGCAATCAGTGAGCTTGGACCAATCAGGCTATGCACCTCCCAAAATGAAATCTGCGGGAATTAGAACGCGCCCCAGAACTCGCACAGAGCCCGAGGAAACATCCCTGGCTCCCCTAGACCGAGAAATGCCACCTGCGTCAAGATTTGGGGACCGTAAACGGACTGTCTCTGGTCAAGTGGCTCATCCAGCCCCTCCTCAGCCAATGGAGCCAGGAGCACCACAGCGACGGAGTGTGCGGCTGTTCAACCAAATCAAACCCACCACCAGCAAGCTTGCAACCTCTTCGCTCACTGGTCGCGACGGCCGTGAGGTGAAGAAGGTCCGTAATCCTGCCACCAAGGGACGTTCCACTACCACGTCTACTGTGGGCCGCGTAGTTAGCGGTAACCGCAAGCATCTCCCCGACTCCTCCGATACGGATGGGAAAGAACACCGAGTGGGCTCGATTCCTCCTTTGCATTCAGGGCCCCCTCCCTCCCACGAAATGCCGAGAGAACCAAAGAGCTGGAAGCGCTGAATTGGCTCCTAGGCTTGTTTGCGAAGCTCGCATCTGGGTACAGTGCTCTCCGTCGGTACAGGAGTCTTGAAGCAATACAGCACTTCAATTCTCTTTCACAAGGCCAGCGTGAGACTCCTGAGGTGTTAGCCCAGCTAGGTCGTGCTTACTTTGAGCAAGCGTTGTATGACGAGTCCGCCAAGTATTTCGCACGGGTCCAGGTAATGGCGCCATCAAGAGTAGAGGATATGGAGATCTATTCAACTGTTCTTTGGCATCTCAAAAATGACGTGGAGCTGGCCTATCTCGCTCACCAACTTCTCGAGGCGGATCGATTATCACCACAGGCTTGGTGTGCGGTCGGCAATTCTTTCTCACACCAGCGAGATCACGATCAAGCCCTAAAATGTTTCAAGCGGGCTGTCATGCTGGATCCTGGATTCGCCTATGGTTTCACCTTACAAGGTCACGAATACGTGGTCAACGAAGAATACGACAAGGCTTTGGATGCCTATCGCCAGGGCGTCAATGCAGAGAATCGCCACTACAACGCCTGGTATGGGCTGGGCACCGTGTACGACAAGATGGGCAAACTGGAATTTGCTGAACAGCACTTCCGGAATGCCGCTACAATAAACCCGAACAACGCTGTTCTGATCTGCTGCATGGGCCTGGTTTCGGAGAGGATGAATAACCCACGAAATGCTCTTTTGCACTATGAACGAGCATGTTCTGTGGCTCCGCAGTCCGTTCTGGCTCGCTTCCGCAAGGCCCGCGTCTTGATGAAATTGCAAGAATTCAATGTTGCCTTGGCTGAGTTGAAATGCCTTAAAGATATCGCGCCTGATGAAGCCAACGTGCACTACCTCCTTGGTAAGTTGTACAAGACTCTTCACGACAAGGGTAACGCTATCAAGCACTTCACAACCGCACTCAATCTCGATCCCAAGGTCAGTGTCCCTTCCCTATTGACATTTGTAGTCCTACTGAAATTCGTTACTGATCTTTTGTGCCTTCAACTGGCTCATAGGCCGCACAATTCATTAAAGACGCAATGGAGTGCCTCGACGATGATGACATGGAAGATGCGGACATAGCTTAAGGCGGCTGAGAATCTCGATTGGATCTCCTTTCCTCTCTTTTTCTTCATCCCTGTGATTGACGCACTACTTTTGGGTCCGTGAGTCTTGATGCGAATGACGCCAATCTACGCTCTCTGGGTGGTGTCATGAGCCTTTGTGCTTTTTCTTTTTTACAAGGGTCGGGACGAGTTTCAAACAACATCATGGGCTAGCGTTCTGTCTGCTTGGTGTCCCTGGGATTTGGCGTCCGGGCAGGTTGGCTTCTTTTTTACAAGCATTCAGCATCCGGCGTGGTGGTTTTTGTACATTAATTCATGACGTTTGGATCTCGACGATGAAGCGTGGCGTGAAAGTATGGGTCCAAACCTGCATTCTTACGATTTGCGACCATTCTTCCTTATCTTTGTGACCCGTATGCTTCTTCTGTAGTCAATCAACCCCCTAGCTCTGAAGGGCATGAGACGTTGGGTGATTGCGCAGAGCACACCGACATGGGAATTCACGGTCAATGATTGAGTATTCCCAACCAGCCTCAAACTTGTCTCAACAATATACTGCCATGAGCTATTCCGTGACCCGCCAAGTCTTATATCTTACAGAAGCCAGGGACCGAAACAGCACGCACGCTGGCTTTCAGCAATACCGAGAGTGATGCTCTGGCAAGACTGGTGGACTCCCACGCCTCCATATCAGCCCGCTTGGACCCTCCTTTTGTGGTGCCTGCTGCGTGATGCCGTCATATGCCGCGGTCAGCTGGCGGTGAGTCGGCCCAGGGCAGAAATCGGCATCTTTTGACTTGGTCCCCGCCATCTGATCGCATTCGTCCTTGCTGCTTGAACGCTGTTCGTGCCTTTTCGGTCCTCCTGATTCTCGCTGTCTGTGGGTTCTGGTGTCAATATTTGACGAAGATACGTAAGTTGAGCCTTCTGCGCATCGATCTTTTCGTCATTCTCTTGACGCTTCACTAAGGACACGCTGTGTTACTCATCAGATCAAATCTTCCTCAGAAACCCACTGCGATGTCGTTTACTTCCTATTTGACAACGGGTGTCGGTGCCTACGTAGCCATCACATTGTTTCTCTTCACACTGGGGCAAAAAGTGCCCCGGGCGGCCTTCGTTGCGCGCTGCCTCGCTGCGTACGCCTCGCTCCTCGTATGCGCGATCTACGGTGTCGTCGCTTCTATTGTCCTTCGTCTGGTCGGCTATGGCCGTGTCTCTCAGTGGGCGACTGCCCGGAGTTTCAAATGGGTGATGCGGCTCACCACTGGTGTAACGTTCGACATCATCGAGGGCAAAGAGCATCTCTCTACACGTCCGGCCATTTTTGTGGGTAACCACCAGTCCGAGCTGGATGTCTTGATGCTGGGGCATATCTTCCCACCATACTGCAGCGTCACCGCGAAAAAGTCCTTACGCAATGTCCCCTTCCTCGGCTGGTTCATGACCTTGTCGCGGACTGTGTTCATTGACCGGGCCAACCGAGAGAATGCCATGAAGGCGTTCGATGGAGCGGTCAAGGAGATGCGTGAGCACCGCCAGAGTGTGTTCATCTTCCCCGAAGGCACACGAAGCTACTCTGATGAGCCTACTCTGCTGCCATTCAAGAAGGGCGCCTTCCACCTGGCCGTGAAGGCTGGCGTACCAATTGTCCCCGTTGTCGCTGAGAATTATTCTCATATCATGTCACCTCGTAATCTGCGTTTCAACGCCGGCACTATCAAGATCAAGGGTATGTCCAATGGGTTTTCCATTTTGAGAATGAGCTGGGAATCTGATGGACCTTTGAATTCTAGTTTTGCCTCCCATCGAAACCAAGAATATGACCCCCGCCGACGTGGATCAGTTGACGGTATTAACTCGGGAGTCCATGCTCGAGGCGATGATGAGCATGGCCAAGCACAATCACAAGATTGAGCCCACGCGCAGCAACGGAGTATCGACTGGTATTCAGATCTAAGATCTGGCAGTGAGACAATTCTTCGACCCATTCCCCTCAGCCCGGCTACGCGATGCTGCGAATGACGATCACGTGTCTCAAAAATTTCCATGCTTCATGCAGATCATGAGAGAATCCAGCTTTCTCGAAATTATGACCACAACAATCATTCAACCTGGCAAAACATCCAGGTGGTTGGATTGTGCGCCAAAAGACCGGATAATGCTTATTTCCCCGGCCTGATGGCTCGAAATTGCTGCATTGGATGATTCATTTCCGAACATGCTCAACTTCCTATTGTTTCTGCTATCTATACTTATCATATCAGGTCTACTTTTCCATTGCACACGCTAGTTCAGGGTTTTTTGTGATGTTATATTTCCGTCGTGCCTTGGGCGAATGTATATACCACGAAGCCTCCAAGAATGCCATGGATTGCTCCATGTCGAGATACCCTTGTTATTCGAACTATTGACTACTTCTTTATCCCTCCGTCTTGCCTCGGCGACAGAAAATCTCTATCTGCGTACAAAGTTCCCGACATGGAGATGGTACTTTTGCCTTGAATGTTTGTTTTTGATTGACCGGGTGCCCATTCATTTGACTAGGATTCAAAACAGCGTAATCCACGATACCAGTGAACTGTAATTCATTCAACGAAATTTTGCCATGAAGGTGATATAGTTCTTTCCGAGTCTCGTCCACGTCAATGAGAACATCTTCCCTTGGCGCAAGACCGGATGTCACGATCGATGTCGACTTGTTGCACGGGCAACCAAGGATCGAGAATCTCAGACCCCGGATTCCACGGATTAGGTTGTCCCAGAGCCAGGCGGGTGCTAATGGGAATTCGATCTCCCGCACTTTCGTTCGCAATGTCTTCGCCAACAAGACTACATGTACTGTCTTGATAAAGCGGACCAACTGGACACCCCTGACCAGCAGTGGCGATGACGTAATCGGTCCCAAAGGCCTCGAGCTGCAGACGTACGCCCTCGATCAGCTTGCCGTGCTTAGAAACCTTGATGTCTGAATATGGCGTACCCCAATCGCCAGGGGCTGTAGACCTCTGCGGCGGTGACGTGGCTGGGACAGGCGGGGGGATGACATTTGAGAATTCGAGTTCCTGCAGCCATTCGGCTAGAAGCGCTTCGCCTGTCATTTTCAGATAGGCTTCTTTCAAAGCCCAATGCGAGAAGAATATGCGAAGACCATAGTTGATCATCGTCGCTTCATCGTCCTTTGGGAACGCATCGGCGAGGCCCAGTTGTCGCGCTCGACGAAGAGTCAAGAAGGGCTCCTGAATCTGCCCCATTTCTTGTGGAGAGAATACTGAGCTAAAGGCTGAGATGAACTCGGAATAGTCCGAGCCTGTCGTTATTGGCTTGCGCCGCTCGTTGACGCATGTTATGTCGATTCCAATTCTCGGCGGCACGGGTATCGCGCCTCCAAAGGAGGCTTGTCTCGCAAGTTGCTCCTGAGATGGAGCAATCACACCCGCGAGAATGGTCAGGGAGGCCTGATGGCTCACGTTGAATTCCACTTGCGTGTGTGATTTGGACGCATAGTACGGTCGGCCCTCGGGCTTGGGTGTACGACTAAGCACGATTTGGTCCCAAGGGACACCGCAAGCATGGTGCACAAACAGGTACTTCAAAAGTTGAGACGCCAGCGACATGCGCCGATCGGATGCAAAATGATATCTCTTGACTGCTTCTTGCTCTGTTGGACTTAGGGCATCTATCAATGGAAGGTCAAGACCCTCGGCCTCCCATTTTCGAGAATCGATAAACCATCGGACCAGCGTTGGAAGGCCGTGCGACACTCGTTCGGCCTTCGTTCCGAACATTGCTGATTGGGTACCAGCGGATCCGATCTTGTCGGTAGTCATTGCAGTCTTCTGAGATAGAATTCAATCAAGGGACGCGAGAGCCCTGCGAGCATTGATGTTGCGGCTCCAAGGTTTGGCTGTTGATCATAAACTGCAGCTGTTCGTGGGATGTTGAAGGATCAATAAGCACGTCGGCATAACGTCCAGTGATCAGCGAATTTGCATGTTGCACCAGCCACGACTGCGGGCTGGCCATCGGCCGACAACAATGATTCCCCAACCCCGCGATCGGTCGACCCGCCAGGGGAAGAATGAGCGGGTCTCACGTGGCAAAATTGGAGGCGGTCAAAGATAAGAGTGTCCCGATAAGGTTTTGCCTCCGCGGAAAGTCTAACATCACGTGTCTGTAGAGTCATATATACAGGGATCGATCGTCGTTGAATTCTTGACGTTGTCACTGCTGTTGAAAATATGCCTGTCACCGTTGGGGTCCTCGCTTTGCAAGGCGCTTTCATTGAACATGTGAAGCTCCTGAAGACGGCAGCTGAGCAAGAAGGCTTCACAGACTGGGATTTTATCGAAGTCCGCACGCCACAAGAGCTGGAGAAGTGCGATGGACTAGTGTTGCCCGGAGGCGAAAGCACTACAATGTCTCTTGTCGCAGCTCGCTCTAATCTCTTGGAACCGTTGCGAGAATTCGTCAAGTGAGTATATCTCATTCTTGAACTTGTTTCCTTAGTGGTCGATCTAGGTCTAACGGCGAAGTAATCATGCAGAGTTCATCGTAAGCCCACTTGGGGTACATGCGCCGGTTTGATCCTTCTCGCCGAGTCTGCGAACAAGACAAAGAAGGGTGGCCAGGAGTTGATTGGAGGTCTGGATGTTCGTGTCAACCGAAACCACTTTGGTCGACAGACCGAGAGCTTCCAGGGCCCTCTTGAACTGCCCTTCTTGGGCGAAGGCGCCGCGCCGTTCCCCGCCGTCTTCATCCGAGCACCCATTGTCGAGTGCATATTACCACCACAGTCAGGCATTCAAGAGGAGGAAGCTCAGCGCGAGGACACTATCACCGCACCTTCCAGGCCCGCGAGAAACTCGGTCGCCGAGTCCGCCAATAAGGACGTCGAGGTGATGGCCACCTTGACCGGGTCAGCCGCGCGCCATGCTACGCAAGGCCGCGATGTCAGCCCAGACCAAGAGCTGGGCGATGTGGTGGCTGTCCGTCAAGGAAATGTGTTTGGGACCAGTTTCCACCCCGAGTTGACAGGGGATTCCAGAATTCATGCTTGGTGGTTGCACCAGGTGCAAGATGCCGTGAAGAGGAGGCAGAAGCGCAGCTCATAAACATGCATGTGTTCGCGGAGGATGAACACTTGAGGCGCGGACTTTGCATGCTGCAATAAGGTTCTCGTGTAAATAATACATCATTAGAATAGACAAAGTTCTCAGATCCTGCTAAATTGATTTCGCAGCCGTTGTAAATATCATAAAACGCCAGTTTTGCGGCCTTGTCGGTGCTATTGTTGTACAACAACTTTGTTACCTTCCCTCGCCGTATTGCTCCTCCTCTCGTTGGCGCTGCTCGTCGTATGCTCGGCCATAACCACCACGTCCAGGGTCGTATTCTTCACGATATTCGTCGCGAACCTGCCCACCAGACTTACCGCGTCTAATGAAGAAGATCGTCAGGCGCACTGTCAACAACCACGGGCGAGAGAACAAAGAAGGTGATACGTACCCGTATTGCCGTCCCTCCTCAAATCCAGGATCCAAGTCTGTTCGAATAATGCGCTCATCCAACTTTGTTCCTCCGATATATTTCAGGCAATCCAGAGCATCTTGGTGAGTGTAGTATTCGACAAAGCAAAATCCGCAGGGCGTCTTGTTGAAGCGATCGAGACCCATGACCAGGCGCTTGATCTCGCCACACCTAGAGAAATAAATCAGAGATTACTCTACTGCATCGAGACTATCGAGGTGAAACTCACTTGGAGAATAGCTCGTGAATCTGTTCCTCTGTCGTGTAGAATGACCTAGAAAAGGAATCAGTCAACCGCCCACGGAGCCGTTGGCGCGTCACGTACAAGTTGCCCACATAGAGCGTAGTCGCATCCTTCAGCTTCGCCATGGGGTCCTCTCGCTCCGGCTCGTCGTCGTCATTGTATCTGCTGCGCCGCTTGTTCTGCCGTAGTGAAGGGTTTCAATCAGTATGACGAAACGAGGTTCCAATCAGCTATCGCATTGTTTCTTACCTTGCCCACGTAGTAGGCACTAGGCCTGTCTAAGCGATCAACGGTATTGATAGCTAGTGTGCTCATAGTGAAGACTGTTGAGGGCGGTAGAAGTTGTCTGTAAAGGAAAGTATGATGGTCGGGGAGCGTGACAGCGGCGACAAAGGGAAGCTCGGAGCTCGGAGGGAGTCTTGGCATCGCTAAATTCCACGATCGATCAATAACCCTGGGCGAGCATACCTGCTAGCTACTTACTCAAAGTACTTCCTACGTTTCACGCTTCCCTCGACACGGAGGACGTTTTTTCTTTCTCTCTTTCTCTCGACAGCTCCTTTCTGACCGGACCCAGTGTGATTTAGTATTCCTCGACTGAGTCATGCCAAAGGTCAATAGCTATGCGCCCGCTTGGCTTTACCGGCCATCGCCTGGCGCCAATCTCTTTGCGAGCAACCCTGAAAAGACCTCTACGGATGATTCGCTGAAACAAAGCAAAAATACCACTGCTGACGGTCCGGTCAAAACAATTGCGAAGAGAGCGAATGAAGTCTTTGCCGTCGTTGACAACGAGATTCGGTGGTCCAATTTGGCGCGTTTGAAGGATCAATGGCAGCAGCAGGAAAGGCAGAAGAAAACAAAGACGCAAGCTGATGAATCTTCTGCTCCATCTTATCGAGTACGTCACTACTGTTGCTCTGCAGTTCATCTTCCAAATTGAAGCTTTGTATTGCGTGACTCATGATTGACTTCTACTTCGCAGGTGCTTGCTGTTCCCGTTTACGGGCGTATCAAACAAATTCTCCCGTCCCCCAATGGCGCGTTCCTGGCGATTGTCGCCGAGAATACAGTGCACATTGCCGTGCTTCCCGACTCCTCGCATCTCTCTTCTCCAGACAAGGCCCCGATTCGACTGAAGACATATCAGCTTGGCCCGACCACTCATGTGCTTCCACAAGCCCCCGTCGTATCCGCGCTTTGGCACCCTCTTGGCCTGCACACCAATCTGGGCGGCTGTCTGGTTACTATTACCGCTGATGCTGCCGTGCGAGTATGGGAGCTGGATCGCAACAACCACTGGTCCTTTGATCAACCAACATTAGCCGTGGACCTGCAGAAGCTGGTTGACGGTACCTCCTCTGAACAAGACTTTGCTCCGTCTGGGTTCGGTAAGAATAAGGGATTTTCGGCTGATGTCATTGACATGGAGGTCGCATCAGCCTGCTTCGCAGGTAACGGGAATGACAAAGAGAATGCTTGGGCACCGATGACCCTGTGGATCGCGATGAAGCCCGGTGATCTTTACGCTCTGTGTCCATTGTTGCCGTCCAAGTGGCAAGCCCCTTCCGCAACGATTCCCTCGCTTTCTTCTGCCATCATTCCCAAGCTGTCTGCTCTCGAAGAAGCGCCCGAAGACGTTGAAGAAGAGCTGATCGCCGCCCGACAGCAGTACGAATGGCTCAAAGAGATCGATGAACAAGAGCCTGCACATCTCTCTACAGACTCAAACCTGATTCCGGGTGCCGATGTCTTCTCTCGGCCCAGCAATCCCAGCCCCATCCCTCGCCTGCAGGGCCCATTTCGATTTGAGACTGGAGATGAGCTTGATGATCTCGATCTGCGGGATATTCTCGTGATTGCATCCAAGCTTGATGCAGAAGATCTGATGGCTGGAGAAGACGACGAATCGGCAGCGAACTCCAATGATCAAGACAAACTCTCTGCAACAGTTGTGTGCTTGACTAATGGCAATGGACGCGTTCACATCTGCTTGGAACTGGATGGCGTAGAAGGCCAATGGCTTCCTCGGTCAAAGAAGGGTGCCTTCCGCACGCCGATCTCAGAGCCTGCTGACCTGGTTTTAGTCGAGTCCTTGGACACCATTAGATCCACTGGCGCGGAACCCACCACCTGGCCTACTTTCACCAAGGATGTGCATTCGCCATACTCATTCTTTGTAACAACGGCATCTAATGTTGTTCACTTTTCCCTGGCATCCTGGGTGCAACGACTGGAGTCTGAACTACAGGCCGAGGACACGTCAGGATCAGGTTTCCGTCTGCAGATCCTTTGCAGCGGAAACGTCGTCCAAAGGGAAAAGATCCTACAAGCTTCGGATGCGGACGTTGCCGCCTCGAGCGATCACCTTGCGACTTCATTAGTGTTCTACGACTTCGACCTTGGCTACATGCTTCTCACGTCCCTTCCTTCCAATCCATATGCAGCGGTCATGGATGGACCTGAGGATGCGTTTTCAGCAACCATGGAGCTTCGCACTTATGACTACAAGGCAAGTGCAGACGCGTCTTCGACGCCATTGCCCCCTCACCGAGCCCCATACCAAGTCCCTGCAATCTTCTACGCAAAGTCGCCCCTTGAGACCTTTGTCGAGAAGCATGTGCCGCATCGTCAGCGGCACACTCTCAAAGAGCAGGTTCGACTATCTCCTGCGACTCTGGACTTAGTGACTACCGCTCATCGCGTGCTCTCCGCCCACACCAACGCTCTGGAGCGAGCAGCATCGGACTTGTTCCGCCGCTGTGAAAGACTCCAGGGCGAGATGAAGGACCAATTGAAACAACTTTCAGATGTTGCTGAACGCATCCAGGGCGTGGCTAGCGAGATCGGAGAGGATGGAAATCGCAAGCAAGGCTCACGCAACGGTGACGCCCTCGACAAGCGGCTGCAGGCGGCAAAGGATAAGCAGGATGAGATCACACGGAGATACGAGGCACTGCGCAAGAAACTCCTCAATTCTGGCGGACGCCCCTTGAGTCAGAGGGAGAAAGCGTGGATTTCAGAAGTCAAGTCTCTAAACGCTTCCATCGATGAAGAGGAGCCTGAAACGAATGAGACACATGAACAGCTGAAACAGCGCCTGGAAACTGTGAGTTTGGTTCTTCTCTGTGTTGACAGCTTCGCCTTTCATGCTAACGCCCACTCTAGGTCAAGAATCTCGCAAATGAGCTTGTGGCTGAGGCTAAGAACCTCAGTGCGAAGGCTTCGTCCCCTGAGCCTGGCAGTCCCGCGTCCCCAGGCGGTGCTCAGCCAAAGGTGCCACAGCGGCTCCAGCGGGCCAAGGTTGCAGACGCGATGAGAATGGTTGAACGAGAGTAAGTCTACGTCTCATAAAACGCACCATTGTTACCTTATAAGGCATTGGAGGCTAACGATTATTATCATACTTAGATCTGCGGTTATTGAGGCAATCACGTCTCGTCTCGAGCGATTGCATACCAGTCTATGATGGACCATGTATGGAGTGAACTTATCGGGCTTGCCGTCTGTCAATTCAGGTACATTGTTTTACCACGCCATTATCAGAAGCTAGCAGAATCCATGATGTGGTTCTGATCACCAGTCACCATGATCTTATTTTCGTTTCCACCGCGCCTATTTCTGGCTTAAATATAGTCATGATTGCTCTCTCTTCCCGCTAGTTCCGCATAGAAGCGAGGTTAAAGCGTAAGCAGACGCTCATATCATTACTAACGATTCAAAGCTGTAGAGACATCATCTATTGTTCTTCCCTCTTCGAGCCCGATAATTTCTCCAAATTCTGTGTGGCCTAACTGGATCACAGACCCTGCTCGCATCACCGAGAACATCCGTTCCAACAACCCATCTAGGTAATCGCTGTGTATCAGACTCAGCCGTGTGTGAGCTTAGTCCAGTTCGAAATGGTCTCAATTCTGGGTCGTATTCGTCGGTATATGTATCTGCATCAGTATCAACAGAGGTATCAGATTTGCTGTCCTCATGTAAAGCTTTCGCTAATTGCTCATCGCCTTTTTCAGAGATAAATGCTTCATCGTCGAGACTTGCAATCGCTGCGGAGTTGTCTGTTGTCGATAATTGAGGCAAAAGAGTATGAGTTACTACCCGGTGATCAGCTGTGATGTTCTGGGATCTCGCGCATTCCTGGCAACTGTGTGAGTTGTTATGGGTTATAAGGAATATTGAGCCCCAGCATAGGTCAGTGGGCTTGCAAAGAAGATCACGGATAGTCCATATGCAGCCGCAAAGGTGGTATTTCTGGGTCCAGATGATACACATTTTCCTGGAGACGTCGCTTTGCAGATGACTGTTTTGCGCAGAATAAAATCAAACCTGTTCGAAATGGGCAATCTTTATATACAATAGTATAGAGCACTACGACTTGTGATTTTTTCTCTTGTCGATCATATGAAGCCCGCGACTGCTCGGTTAAAACAATGAAGGCTGGCAAAGAGCCGCGGAGAGAAAGAATGGTACTAGGTTAACAGTGATAAAAAAGAAAGGATTGAATGTCATTGTATATTGGACAAAGTAGGTTAACAAAGGCACAATTTCGGGTGTGCACATGTCGTCTTTCAGAAACAGGAAATCCCAACGATCGCGAAAAGATTGAAGGCTTTTTCATACATGACAGATGTAGGAACAGCACTGCATATCACTTGCTCGGTGCTATTTGCGACCAGACAATGTGCATATGTATATGCTATGTGGAGGAAATGCGATCATCTCGTTTGGAGAAAATCAGAGCGCCATGTAACTTGCGCCTCTGCTCGGTAAGTGTAAAAATGATTCGGGAATTGTAGTTATACATGGTCGTGGGAGGCGTGAGGAAATCGTAAATCGGGCAGTTCGTGACGAGGCCGAGGCTGTGGCCGCGGTGTAAAGGGTGAGTGAAACGCGGTCATGAACGAGCTCAGTATGAGAACGGACTAAATGGGAACGTGGAAGAGGTACTCCGCAGTATTCATCATATTAGCAATGACAGTCTCGGGATCATCAGCACGTTCCCGGATGAGCCGGTAGAGGTCGCTCACGCTCTGTTCCCAACTGGGTAGTCTCATTCTACGCAGAAAGGGCAGCCACTGGTTCTGGTGCTTCATAAATTCATGTCTCCACCAGTAGCTCCATGCCTCGAAGTCGTGCTGTGCCATACGCTGCGCGGTGAGACAGACATCCAGTCTTATGAAGCGATATTGAACCCAGTCAACAGACAGCACGGTATGCATGCGTCGCTCGAAGATAGCGGTCGTTTGCAAATAGGCCCGGTAGTTCATGCGGAGTTGAAGGGCAAGGCTTGGAATCTTCGCGGCTGGGCTACTGGACGGCCAGGTTCCGTCCTCAGGCTCAGGACTCGTCTTTCCTTTCTTCTCGTCGAGAAGTTCGAGGGCATGCACATGGTTCTCGAGAACAAGGCTTATGCCTCGAGGGCAAAGACCGACAAGATGATTATCCAGTGCATTTTGTAGCATACGTAGGCCATTAATCACAGACCAGGCAGCATCGATGAGTCTCTCGTGCTTATCACGAAGGTCTTTTGGCAGTCGGAGATAGGCTGGAGGTCTGAGATCCTCTGGCGTCCCGCGGTAGCCAAAGACTGTGTCGTTGTCGGAAGGGTCCTTGACAGGGAACGGTGCTTGGCGATACTCGGTGGAGAGCGTAGAATTCAAAACAACGGGCACCATTCTCAGAGGCTCGATGGGCTCCATGGCGTCTTCCCAGGAGGTGGATTCCATGGTGGACTTGATGCAAAGCGCGACAGTAGACTGAAAAATTGTTGAATAGGTAAGACTGAAGAACGTCGTGGCGCTGTGAGAGAAGCATGTTGACACAGGACTGAAAGAGTCGCCATGACGATCCACGCCCACAAACACATTGCACAACATTCGTTAGCGGAGTTGCAGCGGAGCAAACAACTTCGGATGTGTATCTATAGGGAATCAGCTATTGAAGCGCCTTCCTCGCTACCACCTCCAGTCATGAGGAGTTCAACGGTCGTCCAATCATTCCGGAACCACCTAGATCTCAGAAGATGGCCATTGAACTATCAGACCGAATCAAATGGTGACGGTAGCAAGAGGCACGATGTATAAAATTACAAGTACCAACTCACAAGGCTTAGACCCCGCTCAATCCAAAGATTCGGGCTCATTTTGCAACGACGCCTCTGAATCCTTGCTTGAGCCATAAGTGAGCCATATGCGAGAGACAGAGACTTCAATATCCCGTTCCACTGCAGGGTCATCTAGAACACTGCGAGTAGTTATCAGAGGAAGAAAATTTGAAGAAACAGATACCCGATGGATCGAAGATCTTGCTAGATTCAGCTATCCTAGGAAACGCTGGGCATGTGAAACTATTTACTGGATCCTGCTAGCAAGTGATTAGCTTAAGAACTTGGCAAGTGCGTTGACGACGTCAAATTAGAGGACTGAGGTGAGGTCAGGCATACCGCTGAATGAGATGAACCCCACTGGCTGTTTCCACGATGCCGCTGACTTGGCCGGGCTTGAGTGCAAAGGCGGCATCCTCAAATTCCTTTTGCATCTCTCCGTGCCCAAAGAAACCGCTGCTTACGCATTAGCATCGCTTGAACAATGTCCCGCAGGACCAATGTAAGACTTACAGGTCACCCTTCTTCCTGGCGCTGCTGCAATCCGATTCTGAAACAGCGATATCACCCAAGGATTCACCAGACTGGATGCGCTGTTCGTAGCCCTTCAAAATCTCAATGGCCTCCTCCTTTGAACGGGTGATGTCTGCCTCTCGCCAGCTGCTTGGGCGACGGCTGTCACGGTGCTTCACGAGAAGGTGGGCGCAACGAATCTTGCCCTCCCCTTGGCCAGCAACATCATTTGAATGTGCCATGGAGTGGTGCGTGGCCATGTACTCTTTCAGAGTCTCGGTATCGGTATCGGCAGGAGGCTCCCAGCGGGACTCTTTTGTGGAGGGATTGAAGTAGTAAGGAAGGTTCTTGGAGTTTGAGTGACGAACCTCCCATCCGGAGGGAAGACCAGTGGCAGCCTATAGAAATCGGTGAGATCATGACTTTCGTGACGCTGATGAGCGGTGAGCACGGACCATTGTGAGATATCAAATAAAGTCAGTGAGGGAAGCTTTCGTTGACAGAATAGGTTGATGCACGAATCATGTATGTATGTAGCCAGGAACTATTCTTGTCCACGCTTATGGCAGAATTGCGGGGGACAGCGACAAACAGTGCAAACATAATGTCGGCCCGGAAACCTCTCTTGATGGCCGCAGAGGGCGGCGGCGGGCTCGGCGTTCCCGCCGCTTGGCTCGAGAATCCATCACGCAGTTGCCAGTCTAGCCAGCCGATCTTTTCTTCGTCCATCTTCGCTCTTCCACACCTCCAAGTCTCATCCATTCATCTCGCTTCTATCTCGCTTTCGCAACCTCTGCTCCCACCGCCCTGCTGCTTCCAGCAACTTGGCACCACGTGACTCCGCTAGTGTGACCTCGTCTCTCTGTCTCACGATTCTTATCTCATCAAGTCTCATCGCAATCGCAATTGCAATCGCTACCATGTCTGCGAGCCCAGTCGCCTCCGGTGCCGCTGATGCGAAGCCCACCGACCAGATTCACTTCCGCTTTTGCCGTGAATGGTAAGTATCTCCTCTTTCGGACTATGTCCTGTCCTACCTGTCATACAGACTAAGCTGATTGAATTATTTAGCTCCAACCTCCTCTACCCTAAGGAGGACCGCCACACCAACCAGCTGATGTTCACTTGCCGCACCTGCCACGTCGGTGAACCGGCGACCTCCCATTGCGTCTATCAAAATAAGCTCAACAGTCAGGTTGGAGACACTGCCGGTGTCACCCAAGATGTGGCCTCCGATCCCACGGTTGGTACTCCCGAGCTCCTCTTCTCCAGCGCGATGAGCCTCCCGGGTTTCTGCGCCTGCTGTGGCGACGAAATCACTTGTGACATCTGCGGCCTCGGATACTTCGTGATCCCCGAGGATGACAAGGCCACCGGCCCCTCCTGCGCGTCGGGTGCCCCCGGCTCCGACCTCCTCGTCGGCTCTGGTACTGTTCGCCAAATCTAGATTTCTAGTGCGCTGACTGTTTGCTACTTTTACCTCCATACAGCTTCCTCGAGCGAACCGGCTTTGTCCAAGCTGCGGTGAAAATGAGGCAGTCTTCTTCCAGTCCCAGCAACGCTCAGCTGAAAGTGGGATGGTGAGATTTTATCCTCCTCATCTTTCATTTTAGGTTGAAGGTTCAGTACTAATTGACGCTGCCAGAAACTTTACTACGTCTGCTGCGCATGCGGAAACGTCTTCCTGTAATTTGCTCTTGTTTATATGGCGCGACACACTCCACCCGGATACCCCCATTCTTTCTTGATTTCCTTAGCTTAGTTTCACGGTGCTTGCATAGGGATGGAGTTTCTTCGGCAAGGGCTGAATTGAATGAAAGTACGCGCGCATTAAAGTCAAGCCAAGTGATTTGTTCCTGGTTCTTGTGTCAAAGTAAATATGATACATGTATGATGATGCTATAGAAGAACAACGCTTTCCCAAAAATCAAACCCAAGTGCAGCCCGAGTTCCGTGGACGGAGGATATTACACATTGATAGGAGCCAACGACAAGATCTTGGACCATTGTTTGCCACGCAGTTCTTGGCCCACGACACCTTTTTTCTTGAGTTAGAGACGTCGACAGAGCACAACAAGCAGCCCCAGTTTGCCTTATTCATCCAATGGGAAAGAAAAGACGGGGTAAACTCACCGTTCATTCGCGTCCCAATAGGGTCCCCAGACTTGTTCACCAGGACACAGGCATTGTCTCCGAACCGGACGACAGTTCCATCCGCCCGCTGCAACTCCTTCTTCACGCGGACCACAACAGCATGGCGAATATCTCCACGACGGACCTTGTTGGCGAGGGCGGTACCGCTGGATCCTTCCGACGTGGCGGCTCTTTGCTTCTGGACGACGACAACGATGCGGTCCCCTGTACGAATCATGGATTATGTAAGAACTGTATGCCGGTTTCAAGGAAGTATGGGAGAAATCGGGTTCCGACTCGTCCTCGTGGTGAGTACTGACCGATTGTCGCGGGCCGCTTCTTCTTTAAGACATTGACGCACTCGACGATCGAGGCACCGGAGTTGTCGATGCAGGTCAGTAATGTCTGGAATATCGGGGTTAGTGATCATGAATATTGTGAGATGAGGGCCGGGTAGTACCTTTAGTTGAATCATTGCTGGTGTGTGAGTGGATTAACTGGTTGTTGGCACCTATGCCGGTATCACGATAATTTGTTCGGCGAGTCGGCGGGCGGAGGGAGGTTGTCCCGAAATGGATGGTTTCTCCGACGAGGTGCCGTCACGGTGGATCAACGTAGTTGATGTAGAAGAGATCAATGGTTTTCAGTCCGAGGTATACGGAAATGCCTTGTATACCACGCGTTTGAAATGAAGTCAACTTTAGCTATAAATATCGTGGCTCTCGGGGCCAGTATCATACATTAAAATTTGTGAGAACTCCGAATTTCATCCTGAGGGAGCTTACCTGGTTGATGCCCGGTCACGCCCGACCCATGAGCAGCCCTCGTCCTGGAATATATTCGCCCGTGCCGGGTACGCCTAACATAAGATCAGGATCAGATCCATACCCCCCTTCGAACATCCTTTGCAAGCTCACAAAGTTGACATACAGCGAAATTCAAATTTGAACCGGCTTGATTTCATGTCATTGTTACGGGTCGGTTACTAGAAATCGACGCCATCGTCAATGCTACAAACACCTTGAGGTCTGAGGATATACCCGACTGAGGCTCGTCGGACGGAAGTGGCTAGATATGGCTATCTTTGTTGACATTCAAGACGACTACTGGAACACACTCGCTACCTCTACTGGACTAATATCTGTATGCTCTTTTACCATGTTCTCTCCATTCGATTTCAGATACGCATAAGAAGCCGCCTAGTCCCTGACATGAACTGGGGATCTGCTGTACAGTGACAACCAGGTACATTTTCATTTGCCAGAACTCGAGTCACGGGGCAATTTGGAACTCAAAGAAACCTACTATTGATCACTCAGACAGGCACCAAGAAAGAGTGACCACCCTTCACTGCCGTCTTTCAATATTTGGAAACAATAGTGGCAGGCGGTATCCTTCATTCGGTAGATTTCCTGCACTGAAATGCGTGGCTGGGCTCGGGCTATCCCCCGGTTACTCTTCTGCATCTTTTTACTCACACGCCCAAATTCCACTTGACTTGACGGAGAGATTGATAAGAGTGTGCCAGCATGGGAAAGGAGTAACTACTCTAGGTAAGACGAAAACATTTTGACACAAATAGAAGAAAGCATAGCTTCAAATCTTGAGAAAGCTTAGGAGGTAACTACGCCGCGACAAAATTCCACCTACTCGGAGATGTCTGAAGATTGTCCAAGGACTGAGCGACACCTCATAAACTCGAAGTACGTGAATGTAAATGAGATGAACATGAAGTTTGAGTTTCTTCAGAGACGAAGTGGTCTACTCGTCGAATATTGGAGGTTGCTTCATCGTACTCAAGGGCTTACGCGATGCTATAAGATAAAGCGAAGTTAACAGGTGAAAGGCTGGACGGAAAGTGTATTGTTGGTGTCCACATGCAGTGTGACGTTCCCAGATCTCATCGTATAGCAGGAAAATGGCACTTTTTTTTATATATCGTAGCGAACAACAGTTAATGATGCCTGGAGACGGCTTGCACAGCACCGCTTGGCGATAAGAACAAGTGGAGGCAGACCGGGCAACCCGCGGAGCGGGTGTTGGATCTGACAAACTTCCCCTTTGGCCTCGAACCCGCTGCCCGCATTGCAGCCTTTCCTCGATTGCTTGCGCGTGGATTGTTTGCGCGCCATGTTGCCCACGTCGAAGCCTCTCATGTTGACATAGATGTTTGCCTTGTCACGTCGGCTACCGAACATAAATACTCATCTCTACCACCACCGACTGACCTTTCGACCCTGCGCCTTCCTTTAACCGTCTCCCTCCCTTCGATCTTGATCGGCCTTTGACTTTCAGTCTCGTCTTCGACACATTCGGCTTCGTTCAACCCACTTTCTACGTACACGACACTTCTCTGCGAATATCTCACGCATCTTCCTCAATCAATGTGACGGACATAATGCCGCTGAAGAAAGCGCGCCCATCTTCCCCCGCCGCCGAGCGTCGTGAGCGTCTGACTTTGGACAAGTTGGCCAGCTTTGACGACGTTGCAACCGATGCGCTTGTTGATCACGTAGGTACCTTTGCTGCAGAGAAACGATCCCCGTGCAACTCTTGACCATTCCTGTCTACAGGCATACTTTTGGACCACTACGCGTAAGAATCGCAACAAATACAATTCAGCTCGCGGCATTCATGACGATGATGTCGGCCGCATTCTCCTCCATGACGTGGTCGTCGCAAAGGACTCGGTACTCGCGGAGGAGAAACTACTTCAACTCCCAGGCCTTCGCAAGTATTTGACCAATCTCAAGAGCCCTCGCGACAAGGACTGGTTCCGCCGTCATCTCCGCAAGTACATCCAGATGTACCAGCCAGACTGCCCCTTCGAAGTAACGACCACGAATCGTTACGTGATCACGCAGCACGAAGCGGCGATCTGCGCTCGAAAGTTCATCAAGGCTGGCCAGGAGATCAAGTACCTTTCTGGAACCTTGGTTGCTATGACCAAAGAAGAAGAGATGGACCTGGGACTGACACGCAAGGATTTCAGTGTGGTCATGTCCAGCCGCCGCAAGACCCCCTCATTTTTCCTGGGACCCGCTCGCTTTGCCAACCATGACTGTGATGCCAATGGTCGTCTGGTGACTCGGGGCACAGAAGGGATGTCTGTAATGGCAACTCGTGACATTCACGCGGGAGAAGAAATCACCGTCTCCTACGGCGAGGATTACTTTGGTATCGATAATTGCGAGTGTCTTTGCCAGACATGCGAGCGGGCGGTCCGCAATGGGTGGGCACCCACTATCAAGTCTGATGGAGATGTTCAGGAGGTGTCGCCCTCCTCAGTTGTCGGGGCGGCGGATAAGAAGCGTCGCCGCGACTCGGACTCGGATCCGGAGAATGACTCGGTGGCCTGCGCTTCTCCCAACAAGCGGGCCAAATTCAATCGCAATACCTCCAAGTTGCGAGAAGAGATTTGCATGTCTGATGCTTTGGCCGAATCGACGGCCACTCCGGAGTCTGAGAATCCTCCCACCCCGGACTCGGACGTCGAGGCCCCTCTTGTTCCTGCGGGGGTTGCTGGTGAGCGTCAGGTCTCCAAGTTAAGACAGGAGATCCTGGCCACTGAGGAGGTTCACATCTCGTTGCGGACGTTGCTCCCCTCCACTCAGGATAGCGAACACTCACAGCTTAGTGCGACTGATCTGTCAGCCATTGACTCAGACGAAGTGGTCCTTATCAACCCACTGCCCTGTTCTGTGGCCGTCAGCGGTCTATGTGATCGTCTCTCACCTAGCTTCTCTGCCGAGAGTCAGGGATCTTTGACCTCGACACTTCGCACTTCCGTGGTTAGCCCTGACGGGAAAGTGAAGATCGAGCAGACGCCCGCAGATGCTCGTCATCTCGATCCTGCCGGTCGACTGTCCCCTCCTCGCCACTCCGACTCCTCGAACCACGACCGCCCGGATCCTTCCCAAAGGAAATACCATGAGGATCACTCCGATAGTCCCATTGAAGGTCAGCCAGAGAAATCCATTCCTACCCCCCGGAGCCCCACCCCCAGTGAACTTTCAGACTTACCAAGCGACGTGCAATTAGACGAGGTTCACCAGACAGTCGTGGCCAAGACGCGACAGCCTCGGCGCAAGCGTAACTGGGCAGTTGTGGCCTCGGTTGAGGACGAGGCTCTCATTGCCCGGACTCCTGGGGACTACACCAAGACCCCACGACTGCTGGCGCAGAAGTACGACCGCTGGGTGGACTGCCAGACCTGCGATTCGTGGTTTGTGCAGTCCAACTCGTACCAGACGCGGCGCGAATGCCCTCGGTGCGAACGGCATTCGAAGATCTACGGCTTCCAGTGGCCCAAGACCGACAAGGGCTCTGGCCGTGAGGAGCGAGTGATGGATCATCGCACAATTCATCGATTCCTATCCCCGGATTCCGAAGCTCGCGTGTCTCGCCGAGATCGTGGCCTCAGCTTCGGTGTCGCTCTCACACCTGAGCTCTCAGATGCCCGCACCGAGACGCCCCTGGGTGATGGCCATGAGGTACGCCACAACACCCGCGCCAGTCGTCGACGAGCCCGGGAGCTACGTACGGTGATTTGAGCTGGGCCGGCGGTCTGTATTGTGCTCTTGGGGTGGGGTGTTCCGGGGGGAAGATGGGTATGTCGATGATGGTCGGGAGTCGTGGCGCAAATGTCCCTGCCAGAGCGGGTCTTGTAACATTTCTGCATTTCTTGAATTGGTGTTTTCCCCGTTCTCCTGGGTTGTCTCGGAAAGCATCGGAGTTGGGTAGGGCCTAGGTGCATGGACGGATTCTGCTTCGTTATGGTCATGATGTTTCTGCATGATCATGATGACCTCTGTCATTTCCGGAGTTTTTTTTGTCAATAGTTCTTGTTCCATTACGGAATTTTCATACTATTTTTCTAGAGACACGGAGGTCTCTCGCATATGGTGGAAATGGGACTCCTAATACAACTCGACAGCTGCATGAAGCTCCATTGGATTTTTCACTCTCTTACAGCTTCGCTTTTACCGGGCGAGTATTACAGCTTTACAGCGATAGACTAGAGTCGCCTCTGGAATGTGCGTGCTAAATTAACTGACCCATGCAGCCTGATGCATGGCACTTCAGAAGCACATGCTCTGCGGCCGATCTGACCGATCTCACCGATCCAAGATGTGAGCCATGTGAGGGGAACCGCTGACAAGCAGTGACCACGACCGGGCACTCTACAGTCCAGTGGTTTGCGGTCAGTGATTTCTTCCCGACATTTGTGAAAAAGTTCAATCACAAGCATAGTGAATCAGGAGTGATCTAGTAATCACCCGTGACAGTATCCTGTGAGCTTACTGTAGTGATGTCGTGTTGTATGCAAAAGCTGGTATGCAAAAGCTGGACTCGGATCGGTGTGGTCCAGAGGTCCAGTCAGCCACCCCCGCAAGTCCCAGTGACCACATGCTGTGCCCGTTCTTCTTAAGCCCGGATTGTTCCCCAAGGCCCAAGCCTCGAACGTCACCTTCTTTCTGTCCTCGCCTCTTTTCTGTTCCTCGCTCTCCTTTTTCCACCTCCCTACTCTTTTTCATCAATCAGACTTGATACCGCCCCCATCATCCCATCATGACCTTCACGTCCAGAGCCTGTCGGCTGCCGCTCACCCTCTCCAGACATTCCCGACGAATGTCACTCTCGCTGCCGAGTGGTCCTACCCCTCTTGCCAGCGCTCGTGGGGGAGCGGCCCAAGTCCCCGTGCTGCATCGCACTCCGTCCGATCGCCATCTCATCTCGTCGCGCCGGCCTTTTCCACCCATGCGTCTCAGCTGGTCAAGGCGCGCATGGAAGCCGCGCATGAATCCGAGCTTGGCCGTGAGCCAAGCTTGAATGCACTGACGATGACTTTCGAGTCCCTGGGGATTGGCAAGAACATGCAACGGCTTGTCATTCTGATTGCATCCGTGACCGCAGCGCTGGAATTGTTTATCTGGTGCGAGTATGTCTGGAACTGGTGGGGACGAGATGACAGCATGATTGAGAAATGAAGGGCGTTTTCGAGTCCTCGTTTCATGCGACATGACATTTGACGACTTCTGAACGGCACCCGATGATGGCGTTATGCGAATCTGTTGTTTTTTTTTTTTTTTGGTTGAGTGTCTGAGTTTGGCACGAGCGACGGAAAAAGTGCTGGAATGCTCGGAGTACACAGCTATAGGTACTGCTATTGGGGATTCGACATTTACATACAACTGCTACCACCACACGCAAATTGACCCGCCAGTGCGTTGTGACTCCATACGTGGTGATATCGCCTGACTGTCACGACTCACGACTACTACGCACCCGCACCTGAAACAAATGCTGTTGAGAGATCTCCATCTGGCGTGTGACCGAACCAGCGATGCAAGTGACACGCAATGTGGAGGAGGATCCTTTCACCACCCAGCTGCCACGGCCTCCCGAATGCGATGGACTCGAGACGTTGCAGTCAACATTTAATGGGAGCTCTGGAGGCACAACTCGCTCTGTATCACAAGGCTAAACTGCGACTGCTGAATCCCGAAGGAGACTCGCTTTTTGCCCGGACGGCGGATGAACCCCGATGGTATCTCATCCATTCTCGACGCGAACTTCGCCTTGCTCAGCTGCTACTACACACCCTCTATGAGCATCTGATACAGTCGTCTCATCTCACACGGTCAGACAGAGTCAACAAACGTCCCCGTGGAGTAAATTCCAGGCACGGTTTAACATGCAGTTGGGCACTCAGCACTCAGCACGACTGCATAGCGCATACACGGCTGTACATAATTTTATTGTTTAGTTTCCCGATGCAACTCACGATGTGGAGCCGCGGTGACCGAGCCCCGTTCGGTCGGTGCCCGGCGGAGCAATGAACACATCACATCCCCACCAGGGCGTCATACACCAGCCAAACTTTGTGGCATAACGAGACCACGAAGACGGATGTGGTCCGGCCGTGTCGATTCTGTGGATACCGTGGGCCTCGGGGGAAATATCCTGTCCTGGTTCCTCACTGATATCATTGTCTCTGGCACAGAAGCATACTTTCTTGACTGCAAAAGCAATGTTGTGCATATGTTATGTACTTCTGACCGCCAACAGCGTTTCTCCCTGACATTGGAAAAAGAGTCCTTCGGTATAGATATGCGGTGCCATAATAGCGGACAGCGACCTGCTGTACATTGTAGTGTCAATAGTGTGTAGTGTGTACAGTTGTACACCGACACTTCTATGCCTGTTCAGGTGGGAGATCATATAAGGGGGTTTCGCTTCCAAGAACACTCTGGTACCCATTTGCGCTGATCCTCTCCGATTGAGTTGCTCTACCATTCCATCTGTTGACAACATGGGACGAGCATGACTCGTTTTAATACCATGCTATCTGCCATCGTCACGTATCAAATACTTACACGAAACCCTGTCTGCGAGGAGTCGAGGACTCGCTCAGGACTCAAGAATCTTCTGGCCAGCATAGCATAACGTTCGGCAGGTGACCCACTTGGCGGCGGCCAGCGGATAAGGCGTCATCCAAGAACTTTGGAGAAGAGTGCTCAATTGTCCATCCACCGCATTATCTTCCGCGAAATCAATTGGGGGCGCGTTTGGAGACAACCGACGTGGATGATATCGCATTGCAGAAGGACCAGCCTCCCGGCGTTTATACAGACCTGATGGCCACTCTGAAAATTATAGCGAATGTTCGTCACCGAGATCTCGTCTTCAGCTTAACAGGCTTGATCCCACTGACGTGGGGGGGGGGGCTATCTGAGGCTGAGAGAGTGTAGGATGAACATGACGAGATGGTTTCACACTGCTCCTAGCCTCCTACAGCATGATGAGACGGCCATCCTATTAGGGTATCAACAAGCAAATACATAGAAGAGAGCGAGACCACTACATACTACATACTACATACTACATACTACATACTACATAATGCATCACTGCATACTGCGTAGTCATACTACTTGAATATTTAATAGTTACAGCCTCGCAGATAGTAGTCTGTTATCACAGGTTCCGCAGGATTCGAAAAAGTCCTGAAGAGGTCCACTTCCACCACGCTGACCATGACGTCAACTGCCCCTCCTTCGAGGCTAAATACCAAAGATGTCCAGCAACCATACAAATTCCTCTTTTTTCATCTATCTTACCTTTGAATCTACAGTTATTTTTTGCTTTTTTTCTTCCCCAACAGATACCCCCCCGCCCCAAAAAGCCAATCCCACTAGAGACTCAGATTTAATACCTCTTCAAACACTCAGTCCTCCCATTGAACTTCCCAGACACACATCAAGACCACAATCATGAGCGGCAACAAATTCCCCGTCGATCTCAAGCAGTTCAAGCAGCTGAAGCTTGACCCCAAGAACACTACCCTCTCCGCCGACCAGAAGAAGGATCTTCTCCACAACATCAACATCTTCCGTGATGCCATCATTGCTTTCACTGCCACCGGTGCCGCTCGTGGCGTCTCCGGCCACACTGGTGGCCCCTTCGACACTGCCCCCGAAGTGTGCATTCTCCTTGCTATGATTAACGCCAACCCCAACAACTTTTACGATGCCCTTTTCGATGAAGCTGGTCACCGTGTTGCGACCCAGTATCTCCTGGCCGCACTGGACGGCAAGATTGACCCCGAGCATCTGCTCAACTACCGTGATGCCAACTCTAAGCTGCCCGGCCACCCCGAGCTGGGACTCACACCCGGTATCAAGTTCAGCTCCGGCCGTCTCGGTCACATGTGGGGCATGGTCAATGGTATCGCCATGGCCAACCAGGACAAGAATGTTCTGATGCTCGGCTCAGACGGTTCCCAGCAGGAGGGCAACGACGCTGAGGCTGCCCGCATTGCCGTGGCCCGCAACCTCAACGTCAAGCTTTTCATTGATAACAACGATGTGACTATTGCCGGCCACCCCTCTCAGTACCTCAAGGGCTACGACATTGCCAAGACTCTCGAGGGTCATGGCTTGCACGTCGTTTGTGCCGAGGGCGAGAACATCGACTCCCTGTTCCCTGCCATGGCTGAGGTCATTAGCCACAAGGGCCCTGCTGCTGTTGTCATTAACCGCACTATGGCTGCTGGTATCGAGGGTATTGAGGGCGAGACCCACGCTCACGATGTGATTACTGTGGACGTGGCCCGCAAGTACCTTACTAAGCGCGGTTACAGCAAAGAGCAGCTCGCCTTCTACGACGACATCAAGGCCCGCTCCAACCCCCACAAGTATGAGGGTAGCACTAAGGAGAAGGGTGGCAACCGAGTCATCTTCGGTGAAGCCGTCAACTCCATTCTTAATGGTCTGAGCAAGGAGGAGGCAGCCCGTCGAGTCATGGTCATCGACTCTGATCTTGCTGGTTCTACCGGCCTCAAGGCCATTGGTCAAGAGCACCCCGAGGTCTTTGTTCCCTCTGGTGTCATGGAGCGTGGCAACTTCTCAGCTGCTGCCGGGTTCGGTTTCGGCAGCAACGGCGAGCGTCAGGGTGTCTTCTCTACCTTCTCTGCATTCTTGGAGATGTGTGTCTCTGAGATTACCATGGCTCGTCTGAACAACTGCTCCGTTCTCTCCCACTTCTCCCACAGCGGTGTTGATGAGATGGCCGACAACACTTGCCACTTCGGTCTGAACAATTTCTTCGCCGACAACGGTCTCATGGATGCCGAGGTCACCTCTCTGTACTTCCCCGCTGATGGTGAGCAGATGAAGGCTGTCGTCAACAAGGTCTTCTGGGACAAGGGTCTGCGTTTCATCTTCTCCACTCGCTCCAAGGTTCCTTATATCCTGAAGGAGGGTTCTGATGAGAAGCTCTTCGGCGAGGGATACAAGTTCGTTCCCGGCAAGGAGGAGGTCATCCGCAAGGGCACCGCCGGTTACATCGTCACCTACGGTGACATGGTCTACCGCTCCCTCGACGCAGTTGAGCGTCTTCGCAAGGAGGGTCTCGACGTCGGTCTGATCAACAAGCCCACCCTCAACATTGTCGACGAGGATGCCATCCGGAACTACGGTTCTTCTCCCTTCGTTCTGGTTGTCGAGTCTCTTGCCCAGAAGACCGGTCTTGGCTCCCGTCTGGGATCCAACCTTCTCGAGCGCAAGCTCACCCCCAAGTACAAGACCATGGGTGCCGTCAAGGAGGGCTGTGGTGGTCTCTTTGAGCAGATCAACGCTCAAGGCCTGGGCCCTGATGATATTGTCAAGGCTGTCAAGGAGCTTGCTGGCAAATAAATCAATTCCCAAGACAGATTCAAAACATTGAGGATGGAAAAGGCAAACTTTGAATGCACGTTTTCGTTGCTGGGAAACGATCCTATATCGCGTGGCGGTCTTGCCTCTGGCGTTTCCTCCTACAATCTTAGTTAAAATGTCATGAGTGAAATGCGAATACGATTCTTGTTGGTCCACTGGTTCTATCCTCACGTCGTAGTTGTCTGACATGCCGGGGGCCTGTACATACATACCTGAACACAGTAAAGTCACACAAAATACGATCAAGGCACATATGAACCAATGCTAAATCACAGTGAGACATACTCGCACATCAGAATGACCATCAACCCTGTAATCAGTTCGTAGTATGTAAAATCAGTCATATGCGTGGCCTTACCTAATCGGTGTAGTAGTCCCCTGTCCCTATATCTGCAGACTTCCCAAACCAGGGCATTTTCTACCTCATAATCCCGCAAATGATATTCCCAACATCGCAGCCAGGAATCCGTGGCGCAAGTGGGAGGGGGCCCCCTCCTAACGCGCGCCTGGTGAACCGGCTGCGCTGGCTGGGTGGGATGTCAGCCTGGTGGACGCACCGTCGCTGCGGATAGCAAAGTTTTTTTTTTCCCGTCTTTTACAAAGATACTGATATACGTTTGAAATACCTTCATCACGGGCTCGGTCTGAATTATTTCTTGATCAAAACTGATCAATACAGACAGGATGACAGTTACGAACGTCTTCTTCGAAAATTCATTCACTAATAGACTGGTACAGCAGCTACTTGGGCGTTGTAGCATACTCCGAGACATCGTAGTGAGATAAGGGATTCGGAAGTTTTTTATTGTTCAGGGATTGAATCCAAGCACACGAGTGACTTCTGGCCAAAGTACCATTTCAAACGAAAGGCACCGGTTCGAATCCAGAATCAGAAAAGTTATTTTCTGTGACCGGCGCGTGAGCAAACACGTTTGCTGCTCAGGGTCTGCGTCGCAGTGCCTGCTGGACTTGTTTGTGTTGGGACTTCCTATTTGATGTTTGTTTGGGGCTGGGCTGTTGATAACTTGATAGTGAAAGTACCGAAATATGGAATTATAAGATTAGTACAAAGGGCGTTAGTAGTTAGTCCGGCTCTACCTAACGTGCCGCTCATTATGGAAGCTTTTTCCTTGGACAAGGCGGCTTGATCTAGTCCAAAGCTTTCTGTTTACATGAGAAGTTATCGAGGAGTATCTCAAGCTTACCCTCCCTTGATAGTTGTTCCAGGCATTGAAAGTGCGACTAATTCCTACCTCACAGAATGGTCTACAATTGATCATAATCAATAAGAGGCGGCGTATGTCTCATTAAAAAGCTAAACAGGATCTCCAAATGCATCAGATCTGAAGGTGTCCGAAAGTTCGAAATGTGGTGGCATCGCTGCGAAAACACCTTCTCCCAGGCCCAAAAAAAATCACAACATAACATAAAAAGAATAAGAAGACTCAACATTGCATGCCAACAGGAAAATTCACACACACACACACACACCCACTACACGCACGGAAAAAGCAAAACAAAGTAAGAATAGGGAAAGACCAAGTCGCATGAAACACGCCCGCACCGTGGAATGAGAGTATGAGTGACCCGACGACATAAGAAAGACGTGGCTTGCTTCGAGGCAGATGAGAAGTGGTAGGGTGAAGGTTGGCTAGGGGGACCACCCACTGCACCGAGCTTGAAGAATGAACAATCAAGGAAACGTTATGGTGACAAGTCTGACATCATGTCCAGTAGAAGAGGAAAAGACGGCTCTGGTTCATGGCGAGCGTATGGGAAGAGAAACATAAAACATCTTCAGAAAAGAAGAGACCGGGTCTTCTGGCGACGAGCCTCAGCGCTGGGGAGCTCAGGTTGCGAAAAGGTGTGCTTGTGTCGAGGTCTAGGAGACTGAGGCTGAGGCTGAGGCGCCTGCGCCCCAGACCCAGCAGAAGCAGGTGGTGGTGGTGCTCCCATCATGCTTGTACGTTTCCCGGTAGCGGAGAACTGTGGAACAGGAATTCCGCTAGGAGGAAGACGATCGGCTGTCTTGCGTCGAGCCTTCATATTGCTCTCATGCTTGAGCACCATCTCAGCCCAAGGCTTGAGGGCACCGCCACCAGTTGAAGAGCCCTTGCCAACTGCCTCGGACAACACTCGCAACCAGCCTTCCTTGTCCGTGGGCGAATCGGCGTAAAAGTCGATGACTTCGCCGTTGGAAAAGCGGATGCGGAAACCTTCCTCGACAAACATGTAGCCTTCTTCTTCCTCTGCGAATGCAGACTTGCGACGACCACCACCCCTAGTGCTGGTCTCCTTTTGGGTCAAAGAAGGACGATCGTCTATGAGTTTGGCCGCCTTCGCCAAGTTGATAGTGGCTCGGGGCTGGCGGGTAGTCTCATGGTATGCTGTGAGTTTGGAGCCCTGTAGCTTGAAGAAACGACGGCGCCAGAACTGTTTGAAAAATAAAAATAAATTAGCAAACAAGCTTGATAAAGGCCGTGGAAATATGCTTAATGCTTGATGACTTACCGGACAATCGCCGCCTTGCTGTGAGAGGAAGCCCTCCCAGGAACGCGCCGCCATACTTTCTGCATCTTTCATCTCGCGGATGCAAGCATTCATGCTTTTCGGCATGTCTTCGTCCTTGCTGCCCTTGGGCTTGGGCACGAAGAGCAACTGCAATTCGAGCTTGCCGATCTTGTACGGAGGTCGTCGCTGGGCCGCAACACTGGTAGCGCTCTTCTTACTCTTGACACTGCTCGGTTGCTCATCAACTGCCCACTCGTTGAAGCATGCAATATCGACAGTGTACGGACGGCCAAAGGCCATCTTCTCGTGATCGCTCAATGCAACATAAGCACGACCGAAGCTACCATCTCGGGAGACAAGGTTTCTTAGCCGTTCGTAAACGGGGGCATTGACGTTGTTTGCTTTTTGCTGCTGCGTCTGCAGCTGTTGCTTCAGGTCAATCTCCTTGCGACGGCGGGGAGAGGCAAAGACCCGGCTAAGAGCCGATGTCTTCTGGCGAGGAGTTTCGGGAGCCTCCTGAGGATAGAACTTGCTCTCATCAACCTTCATTTGCAGGGTCAGCTGGAATTCGAGGTCATTTTGCACAATTAGTTCAAACTCTTGGCCAATTGGGGCAGATTTGCCTAGTTCGAGCCAAGAGGTTGTCACGCAATGAAGACCGTTGTCCAAAGTCAAAGCAAAGTAAGAACGTTCACCTGCAAAACAGTCAGTACTGGCAAACGGTGCGAGTCACTAGAAACGAAAAGACATGTCAGAACGTACCGCGAGGCATAGGCAGATCGAGATACTTGATGCCAACGACCTTGACAAACAGTCGGCCGCGCTCTTCTCCCTCCTCGTATGCGTCAGTGATCAGCTGCTCATTCTCATCGATAGTCGCAGGAGGCTCCTGGACGTTGCTTGGTTGACCAGGAAGGGGAGGGACGGCGCCAGGCACAGGCTTCTTCTTTGGGATGCTGCCTGCCAGTTTAACACTGGGTCGTCGTGGTTGACCATTCCAAGGCACAGTCGTCCATGTCTGTTGGCTGGCTTTTCGTGGGGAAGATCCAGCAGAACGGGTGCCACGAGTGTCGAATTGAATTTGATCGGTTGGGGTCATTGGCTCGTCATCATTTCGGTTGCTGGCAATCACGACCTTCGTGTTCTGTCTCATCAGATAACCTCTCTGCTTGGGGTAGAAATCGTTAGTGAATGACTGAGTAAGAGCATGCCCGTGGATATGAGTAGGGGAGTTTGGGACCGGCTGGGCTTGAGCCTTGGGAACCGGTAAAAGGCGGGCATGGCTTTCGGAAAGGGCGATTTCGAACGCAACCTTTTGGGACTCGATGACACGGTCAAATTCCTTGCTGAGGCCTAGACCAAGGCTTTCTTCCTGGATGCTGAAAGGGATGTCGAGCTTCACCAGGCTGGTTTGCCGTTGAGTGAGACTCGGGGGTAGCTCCAGTTTGGGAGGGAGCTCAGTTGGCTTGTCCTCCTCCTGATCGGATTGCTCGGATTCATCTGAGGCCTGCTTCGCAAAGGAAGGTACAGTGGGCGGGTACTGTCCACTGATCTTGCGGCGAGTCGCTGCCATGGACTCTACATCGGCAGGTGTCAATGATGGCCGAGCCTTCAAGCCAGCACCAGGGGCGCGAATAGTCGCAACGGGTTCCGGAATAGCCTCGTCCGAAGAACTACCGGCTTCCTCCTCAAGTTTTTCGTCTTCAACCGATTCTTCAGCGTTCTCATTGACATCCAGAGCGTGGCGAATGACAGATTCAGGCGAAGAAGGCTCAGAGACCGGCTCTTCTTTGATGTCGGGGGTGACAGGACGATCACCCGAGTAACCGTGGCCGCTTGACGAAGCGTCCATTGGAATATTCTCAATCGGCTCGGATGCCTCCCGTTCCATTTTGACCTCGCCAACAACATCATCGGCTGTGTTTTGGATGGTTGGGGTCGCTTCTCTGGTCTCCTCCGGCTCGGCCTTCAATCCAGCAGCTTCAGCGGCAGATCTAAGCGAGTAGTTACTTTCATCGTCATATGTCGCCCGTTGGTCTCGAGATGAAAGACTGCTATTCGAAAGATGCTGGTAGTAGTCGGTGATTGCATAGAGTGAGTCATCTCGAGCCTCTTCTTTGACAATCACGCTGGAGGAATCATCGTCATCGTCGTCGTCCTCAAGAGAGGGAATGGGAACATCCGGGTCGTAATGTTGGTAGGAGTGAGGACTGGACGGCAGCTGAGACTCCTCGTCAGAGAAATCGTCATGTTCAAAGGCGTCTCCCTTGCGCAAGTCTCTCAAAATGGAGTCGCGAGAGATGCGCGGAGGCGAGAACAAGTCTCCATTGGTGTTTTCGGCCGCATTTCCCTCCTCGCTCTCAATATTCTCTTCGCTAGCTCGATGAACTTCGACACGGGCCTTCTCGATGATGGCAGTCTCGTCGCTAGACTCCTTCTCGTCCACCTCCTTCTCATCGAACATCATCAGTTTCAGGCGCTCCTCCAAGGTCATGTCACCACCAATGTCAGCCTTGCTGTAGGAAGCCGCCGCAGGCAAAGATCGGTGACCTGTGCTACCAAGCTCAAATGCCCCAGCACCACTTCCTGGTGATGTGGCACCAGAAAGAGACAGTCGCGAGAGTGATGGAAGTGGGGGGAGTGGGCGACGCTCTCCATTAGAGTCGAGCGATTCGACTCTCGTGTGGGTCGAGCTTGTATTAGCCTTGGGTGGAATTTCTTCGCTCGGAGTCTCCTCGTCTTCGATAGACTCAGCAAATGACTCTCCCTCTTCATGGACGCTATCGGGTGTCATGAATCTCCAATCGTCGGGTAGAACCACGGGCGTCTTCTCAATATCCTCAAGAGAAGCATCAAAACTATCATCACGCTCAAATGAGGTATCGTGGTCAAAGCTGACGTCTCCCTCCTCTTCCGAGTCATAGCTGTTCTCTCGGGAATCTGACGCGACGGAAGCAAGGTCTGGGGTGCGCATCTCGTATTCATTGACCTGTGGCGGCGCAACATCGAACTTGACACTCTTAGAAAGACGCTGTCCAGCGCTGTCATACTCTGACCAAATATCATGTTGCGGGTCGAAGCCTTTGCCATAGCGGGTTCCCTTTGACAACGAAGATTTGCTGGGAGATGGTTGATCTTTACTCGGCGACATTGGCCGTGGTGGTGGGTCCATGGTAATCTCTTCTTTAACTTGTGACTTTGCACTATCGTGATCTGAAGTGCGATGAGCCGCCAGTGGCCTGTGAGGAAGGGAGACTTGGGTAGGGTCGTATTCTTGTCCGCTTTGGAACATGCTGTTATTCTTGACACGCGAAGCGCGCTTCAGGTCTTCGAGAGAGGGACGCTTGGAAGGCACATAAACAGAATCGGGGTCATATGGCGCGCGATTTTCCGCGCCCTTCGCGAACGGGGATGGTGACTCTCGGCCTTTCCAAAATTGACGGGTGTTGGTATTGTTCAAGGGCGAGTTGTCAAAGGTAGATTTGGCGCCGTGAGGCATCTGTAAAGACATTGTTACCAAGGGTTGGCCATGCAAAGCCACGACTCCAAGCTCAAATTACCTTCGTAGATTGGTTCCAGCTAGGTGAGTTGCGTCGCTGTGCCATAGGACTCACTTCGGAGAGTGGTCGTTGACCCAAGCCACTAGACATGGTGTCAAGTTAGGCAGGGATTCTTCCGTCTGAGACAGCAAGAAGCACTCGCGTGGGGTTTGTCGAAGACAAGACAGAAGCCTGGGAGATATCAGCCCCCCTCCTAGAGCATGAGGACATTGAGTCGCAGAGTTGCAAGGTCGATTTGGCGAGACAGTGCAATCAATGACGTCTGATGTTTTCAGAAACAATGAACATACCTAGTTCTGACTCGACCTGCTTCTCGACTGGGTCAACAAGTTGGAGTCAGGATCTTTGTTGTGGATAGGATGCCAGGGCCCGTGTCGATCGTTTTGTGAAAATATCGACTGTTTACCAGAATAAACAAAGACCTCCCTTGGCCTCAAGCAATTCAAGAAAAACCGAAGAACTCTGACAACGTGATAACTAACGAAGGAATGCTGGAGAGATAACAACAGAAGATCAGATCGCGATAGCTGTTTCCATGGGTCGCAAAGTGGATTGGGTACCCCAAAGCAAGTTGTGATGTTGACGTTAGCGGGAGTATCCATAGCAACCAGGCGGGACGTGTAGCTAACTCAACAGGATATTAAGGTCACGTGGTGATAGACTCTCGGCGGTGAGTATCGGGGTCGGCCTTGGTCTTTATCAGTACTAGCGCTAACCCCAATTGGGAATCTCGTTTTTTGAATGGATCTCCACCTGGAGAGACTTTGCGGGACTTCGACATCATTCCCTATTTCTGCAAAAATCCTCATCCATCAACTTGGCGAAAATGCCTATCCCGGTTCGCTCTGCACTTTGCAGTCTTGCGTACAACAGGCCGTCTGCGTTGTCGGTTCTTCACACTCAATGTCAGGCAACGAGGACGATGGCCAGCGGACGGCTGCGCAAGACGTCCTCTCGCATGTCTTTGTCGCCCAATGTAGCCAAAGCATCGCTGAACAAGCCGCGTCCTGGAAGGGATCGTCGTGGACCTTTTGCAGGCATGAACCAGACTGAAGCCCGCGTGAGAGATACGCCGCGACCTCGATCCCAAGCCGCTCTCAAACGCTCTGGCGAGGAGGGCAAGACGGAGAAGACCGAATCACCTCTATATAAAGCGCTGAAAATGCAAACCACGCTGTCACCTGTTTCTTACGGTCGTCGTGCCGCTATCAAGTCCAAAATTTCCAACGTGACGAGTTTCGACCACTTCCCCCTACTCCCTGCGGTCCGACACTCGATCTTCGCCCAAGCTCTGCCCGGACTCTCCGAAGTAGTACCAACACCGATTCAACGACTCGCTATTCCCCAACTTTTGAGCAATACACCCAAGAAGCCTACGTCCAAGGTGGATGAAGACGCTCCGAAGTATGATCAATACCTTCTTGCTGCTGAAACAGGTTCGGGCAAGACGTTAGCGTATCTGCTTCCAGTCGTTGATGCAGTTAAGCGCGCAGAAGTTCGTGACAAGGAGGAACAGCAAAAACTTGAGGAAGAGAAGGCGAAGGAGCGGGAAGAGAGATTGAAGACCCGAACTTTTGAGATCGAGCCCGAGGAGCCACCCATGTCCAATGCCGGTCGACCTCGAGCGATCATCCTAGTCCCGACGTCGGAGCTGGTGGCCCAAGTTGGAGCCAAGGTGAAGGCTTTGGCTCACTCAGTCAAGTATCGTTCAGGCGTCATCTCTTCAAATTTGACGGCGCGTCGGATCAAGAACACTCTTTACCACCCAGATGGAATCGATATCTTGGTCTCCACGCCCCACCTGCTGGCTTCTATCGCCAAAACGAATCCATATCTTCTCAGCCGTGTCAGTCATCTTGTTTTGGACGAAGCGGACTCTCTGATGGATCGGTCCTTCCTCCCTACGACTACTGAGGTGATCGAGCGTGCAGCTCCGTCCCTCCAAAAGCTTATATTCTGTTCCGCCACAATCCCTCGCAGCCTGGATAATCAGCTCCGCAAGCGGTATCCTGATCTCAAACGTCTCACGACGCCAAATTTGCATGCTGTTCCCCGACGTGTGCAGCTTGGTGTGGTGGATATCGACAAGGAGCCTTACCGAGGGAACCGCAGCCTGGCATGTGCTGACGTGATCTGGTCCATTGGCAAGGCGGGTGATGTGAGCGACGAGAACTACGGGCCCCTTACCCAGTATATGGGCCCTAAGGTGAAGAAAATTATCGTCTTTGTGAACGAGCGCGAGGAGGCGGAGGAAGTTGCCCAATTCCTCGTTTCCAAGAATATCGATGCTGTGGCGCTCTCTCGTGACTCCAGCTCCCGCAAACAGGAGGAAATTCTCGCCGAATTCACCGAGGTCGATCAGCCTCCAACAGCAGATGAGATCATGTTGCTCCGCAAACAGGCTCGGGCTGAAAAATCGATCCCGTTCTTGGAGCCCGAGAAGAAGCGGGAAGTTGATCGACGTCTACCTAATACCAAGGTCCTCGTCACAACTGATATTGCCTCTCGGGGCATCGACACGCTTGCCGTGAAGACTGTCATCCTGTACCATGTTCCCCACACGACTGTCGACTTTATCCATCGTCTTGGTCGACTCGGCCGTATGGGCAAGCGAGGACGAGGTGTCGTTCTTGTCGGAAAGAAGGACCGCAAGGATGTCGTTCGCGAGGTGCGCGAGGGCATGTTCCGTGGACAAGCTCTGATTTAAAGAATCCTATCTGTGGACCTATCTCCTCCTTCTGTGTCATCATGTACCATACAACATAATCGGCGTTCTTTTGGAGCTTCAATGGGGTTTCACTTTTACGAAACATGGCTAATACCCACACATCATACTCATAAGAGCGGAACATTCATACTTGCAGATAAATATACAATTTTGTACAACATGGCGTTTGGTATTTGACCCTTGTTGAAAGACATTCAGACTTTGCTATCTTATGAAATCTTGTATCTCAATCGCCCACTTGCATCCATTGGGGAGATCCTGTATCGTATTGAGCGTCTTGAGTAAAATTCGTCATGTATGGAATTGGAGCCTCCCACTTCTTCGGACGTGTAAAACTCAATATGTGAGATTGGAAAAGACAGTTCATTCTGTTAGCTGAGCCCTGAAGAGGCCGACTCGAGGTTGTACTGCTGCACGTTAGTAAATGATCATCTTGCTTGTTATATAGCCTGCTACATGGGGCATTATCTCCCACTGCTCCTAGAAATTGGTCCAAGAAGATGTCGATTCCGACGTATCGTGTGATCAGCAGAGTGGAACAAAGCAACCGGTGCGAAATGACCTAACTAGAAGGCCTTCCATTCCAAAACAAGAGTCTCCTGCAAGCCCAGCTAGTACACACACACACAATGATCAACAAAATGGACAAGATCTCTGCTCAACCTGAAAAATGTTCAAATGAACATGAGGAAACAACATCTCATTGAATCTCGACCCGTCCTTCTCAGCTCACGCGCCACTTTCGCACATCAAAGATCCAAAATTAGTATCCGGCTCCGTGGCCATCGTATTCATACTCTGACAGAACGGCTTGACGCCTCTGTTGATGTGTCCCGAGTAATCGCCACAGTGGTCATCTGGGTAGACAGTGCACGAGCCCATGTTCAAGAACCATGAGGTGGGCCGTGTCATAGGACTATTATCACAGCTAGTCCAGTTGAAACCGCCGTCAGTGTACCACCGACAATAGGAGTCTGCTTCCGGGTCCTTGTATTGGATGTGCGAGTGTAGTGTGAAGCATTTGTCAAGACGGGTGCTAGTTCCTTTGATCAGGTAGTAGTCGCCTCGGCAGTCCGGCTCGCTATACAAGGTCAGTTCCCAAATCGGGTGAGTGGGCTCTGGGGGCTTCTGGGTGACGGTCACCCATTTGGTGCTGTAGGATGTTTTCAGAGTGTGAGTCGGTTGAGTGGTGTGTGTTGTCTTGGGTAGTTGAGTGGTTTTTGTTGGTGGTGGTGGTGGTGGTGGTGGTGGTGGTGGTGGAGGGGCCTTGGGCTTCTCAGTGGTACTCGGGGCAGGCGGTGGTGGAGGAGGCGGTTTAGCAGGCTGAGATCCTGCGCCCTCGTTGCAGTTGGAGATGCAGTGGTTGGCTGAAGTACAGAAGTCGGCTGTAGTTCCACATGTCCCCCATCTCCCACACTGACATTTCCACTTAGTCATTTGTACTCAGATAAGGTATCCGGCGAAAGGGGGACAGATACTTACACACTGCTTGTTGGGGCAAGGATTCATTCCTCCCAGATCAGAGTATTTGTGAGGTCGAACGGTTCCAGGAACCTGAGGACCACAGGTTGCCTGTGGAAGCGCCACCGGCATAGGAGGCTCGCCCGCTCCAACACAGATGAATGCTCCTTGCTCTAGCTGAGCACAACCGCGCCATGCCCAGGTCCGAGCATTGAAGTCTTCAATGTTCTTCTCTGTGATTCCATGGGCCTGGGCGATTTTAGCACAAGTGTCCGTGCCAGAGACAATGTAAGTCGAGCAAATGGGCCCATCGTCATTTCGAACAACCAAAGACGGAGTGATTCCGGCGGCTGCACAAGGAATAATGAGAAAGCCGAAGAAGGTCAGGATGAGCCACTTTGCAAGTAAAATTGTGGTCATCTTGATTGAATCGGACTTGAGTGTGATTCTGATATCTCATTCCGTCGAGCGTGGCTACAGCCGACCTTATGAGTCGACATTTTGAGCCGTCAAGAGGTCTTCCACGAAGAATCGAACTTGAACTGGCTCAGAATTGGAAGGCTGGCGAGTATCAACTGCAAGACTCACGAGTCATACAGTCAAAGGAACCATCGCCATTGCTGTATATCCGCTGTCGATTTCATTGTCATGGTTTTTGGTCAAGTTAGTGGGTGAGTAGTGATATGCAACCCACAGCTTGCAGATCTCGTCAACCGGTCAAGTTGCAACCCCAGTGATTGGTGACACTGATGCAAGTGTACTGTGCCGTCGACAACGAAGAGGTCATGAGAGCACCTATTATCGACGACATCTTACCGAAAAGAGTGTTCAATAAGGCTGCCGAGGGCTGGGTTCTGCTTTGTTTGATGTTAAAGTGTCAATGGACTCGATCAAGTCCGGGTCATGTCTTCGTTTCAGAAGCGTCGTGGGAAACAGTGTGCATGAGGTGGAGGCTCCACAGTCACATCTGCAGGGAGCACAAAGAGCTCACCCTCGGCAGCTTTGATTCAGGCACGGTCCTCCTCGTTCAACTCCCACTAGGCCATGCGAGTCATGCAGCGAGCCATGCTTGAATAGCAATCTACCAAAATTAATGATCGTTGTTACCGCCACCAAATCTACATGGGCCCCGCCTCAGAAGAAAACACCAAGGCAAACAATGAAAAGTTAATTTGAACATGAGCGGGTATATGTGATGAAGTGAGTGGTGAAACCAACCTACCAAATAATGACGCCCACATTAAGACTATATTTACGAACTCACGACAAGTCAGTGGGTCAAAAGCCCACTCATGGTGTCTAGATAACGCGGTCTGCGAGGTCTTACGCAGAACTCTTCTAGGATGGCTTTTCCTTACCTCTGAATGGATGAACAGAGAGGGTGTTGTGATTGAACTGTCCGTCGTCATGTATTCTCGAGGCTCGATATGAGCATGCTTTTCCAATGTGTCACAGAGCGAAAATTCTGAAAATCTGCATCAAAATGTGAAGTTCAAAGTACATCATCTTCGACTCATAGTCCTCTCCATCCGGATTTCAGCGTCTTCCTCTTCGGCTTCGAGGAGTCTATCACTCGGAAGCATGATCGCCTTGTCGATCGCAACAGGCAAACCACGGTGGCGTCCTCGAATCATGGCAGCACAAAGAACCAGCTTGCTTAGAGTGTGCCACGCCCCGGAGAAACTGTAAAATTCATTGGGAAGACCGGTGCTGATGCCCACGCAGCCGTATGCGCTCACAGTCTCGAAAATGATATTCAACGCCGAGAATGTGACAGGATCTCTGGTGAACTGTCCTGCTTCGACAATACAGATGATGATCACAGCAAGTGCAATCCACCAAAGATCATATGCCAATTGGGAGCGTAATTGGTGCCGAATAAAATATAGCCTGCCGATGGTCGGAGCCATGGCAACTGCGCTTCTCGAATCATCAGAGGACGAGTCGGTGTGTCCATCTTCCGCAGATGGATCGTCCGCATATATCCCCAGACTGCGCTCTTCGTACACGTTCGAGTGACGCATCGTGATAACAACAGGATACACCGAGATGTACATCATGACCACATAGATCATTTGCGTTCCAAGTTGGAGGTCGGAGATGCTGACCACATAGAAGCCTCCGCTGCGAACGCAGAGCGCCTGGAATAGCCCGTCAAGTACGCGGGCTCCGGTCGGGATCGACGTGACGGACGGGTTGTCGAGCTTCAGGATTCGTGTGAGGTAAGTAAGCAAGTAGGAATATCAATTATTGCGGGGCAACATACATTGAGCACTTCAAATGCAATCCAGTCAATACCATTTAGAACAACGACCGAGAGAACAAGCCACCAGGTATGAGCCGAGGGGAACAAGGTCGTGTACACTCGACGTGGGTGATCCAAGAGAAAGGTCAAGGTATCACGGAACTGATCAAAGTAGCCGTGCTTGGGAAGCAGGAGGCGAACGGCCTTGACAATCCAGCGCAGAAAGATTGGGTAACTTGGCTTGCATCGTTAGCATACAAGGCACTTCCCGAAACTAAGATGCAGGCAAGATAGTGTCGGGTAATCCTTACCAAGTGTTACCGGCCAGCATCAAGAGACCCATGGTAATGAGCATGTAAGTCGACGTTTGGAAAGCAACCTAAACGTCGAATGGTCAACATCACTCACTGGCGTTGGCATGAGTTGGATCATCTACCATGTTCGCATCAACCAGACTCATTCCAGAGTTGTTGAAGGCCGAGATCGCGAAGAAAAAGCCCGCCCACCTACGGAAGATGCAAATATAGGTGAGAAAATGAGGTTAATACCAACCATAGCCAGCGCGGTGGCCGCAAGAGTGCGGTAAAATCTCGACGCACCAGGGATTCAAGCCATTCGCCTCTGTGACTGAGGCCTTATTGTTGGCGAGGTAGGCGCCAACTCCAAGCCCGCCGAGCAGCTGCCACAAGAAAAAGTACATGGGCACAATGATAGACAACAAGCAGATGGCGCGGTATTCTGCACCACCCAGACTCTGGCGCTCATCTTCGGTGAGATTATAGAATGAGGAGTTGCGTTTCAGCTTCTCGAAAATATCTCTATTCAGCTCCTTGTCCGCGGTGTGATCCGCAGTTGACCCACGCTCCAACTCTCCTAGTGTGTTGGTGCGATTCAAGACATTCGTGTACGGGGAAAGCATGCGACGCCGGACGGAGCTGCCCTGTTCGTCGGGCTTGAATGCAACATGGGGTTCGGTGCCTGTATGAGTCTTCTGAAACCGAAGAATTTCTGCGGTGGATTCTGAATCTGCCTCCTTGGCACCGCGAGGGTCGGGGTCGTCTCCCTGGCCATTGCGCCTTGGTGACTGGTCATGGGACTCAGCTCGCGGAGAGTACAGCCCTCGCCCCTGTATCTCGGAAGCTTCACCATCCGATGCAAGATGGGTTCGATGGGGCCCTCCCTGCCCCGGAGAGCGGATCATCGGTAGAACACCGGGTACCCATGGATGTTCTTCCGGTGCCTTGGTCTCTGGCAAGAATGAGCGGGACCGGGTCAGTGAGCGACCGGGTCCATTCTGGCTTCGCGTTCTTCGCTCCAGCCGCTCTGCTTTGATCAGCTCGCTGAATCTGTTTTCAAAGGCACGTTTGCGGGTCAGAACCACCGCAATCGATACCCAGATCTATGTGGTTGTCAGTCATTGTGCACGAATCTGAACAAATCATGTAGAAAGTGGAACCGTACAGCAGAACCGGTAATGATCAAGAAGAACAGGACTATTTGTTGAAATGTATTCAAAGTTGATAAGTTGACTGTGTTCATGCCGGCCAGTGTCATCGCACTGACCGCCAGATATAGGGCATCAATATACCGAAGACTGTGGGCGGGTGTCGAGGCCCCCCACAGGATCGCAGAGGAGACCAGTGTCACCACAATAAAATACGCATAATGTAGGGTGAGGAAGCGGACTCGTGGAAGATAACACTTGATCGGCCTCGACCGGAAGTCTCTCATCGTGCCAGACGTGACAAGCTTCCATGCCCGGATTGCAGAAATCAATCGGTTGGAGAATCAAGCACGAGAAATCTAAGCCGCGAGCTCAGGAGGCTGTCAGACGATGATTGCTGGATCCATACACCAAGATATGGTGGGGGATAGACTCGAGGAGTTGAGACTGTCTCACACACAACACCTCTGCACGTGAATATGTGGATTTCTGAAGAGATAGGCCAGTCCTCAGCTCGACAAATATCATCCCAGCCACAGCAGGCAAAGAGAGAGAAAAAGGCGACCATAATGACGACCTCACTTTGGAACATAGGTGCTTATCGGGGTGGGGATCATGTGATATATTCCATTCAGATTCCAGGCGTCTGTTTTTCCCAAAAGAGCAGCCCGAATGCACGAGGTTCCGCACTCGGGATGGTCGCAGTCAGGTGCAGATCTCCTTGCTTGCAGAGATCCTCAGTCTCTGGGCTAGGCTCACGATTACAGCGGCCACAAATTGGGTCAATTGTCCGTGCATGATAGACAAACCTGTTCGCTTGTATGGTGATTCTGCCATTTACTTACCGCTCACCACAGCTTAGATAGAATCTCTCCTCAGTAGCAATTTAATATCCTTATCCCTCTCTCGTTCGATATAGCTGCCCCTACCGTAGCCGTATCTCATCAGAACCCTAGTCGTTAAGACCATCTTAAGTACCTCGCAGTGATCTGGCAAAGAGAGCCACTTGTACGTCGGCATGGAAAATTATCTATCGGTCGCATGAATCGCAACACTGAGGCCCTGGCAATTTGGAGGCTCGGCAGAATTGACTTTAACACCAGAAAAAAGATCATAATAGAAGGAGGCTCACCGATTCACGGCTAACTAGGAACTGGTAACTGCCTACTGCAGCGCAAAGATATTTTAAATATTCTAGTCTGCTTTAAGGTATGGCCCCACTTACTACGCTAAACTTATGACCCACCGCGGAGAGCTTCACATTCATCCTTCCTGCACATCAAACAGGCACCAACAAGATCGTCCGGATATAACCAGTAGATCATACCCTATGGTGAGTTATTGATCATGTGGAGATGAGAGAAGGTGATAGGATATCAAGATGGAGTCGCGCAGCAGGAAGATCTCCATAATCACATAATTTCAGTGTTTCTTTCGCCTTACAATACTTTTATCATCATAGCACCTCGATACAGCAAAGCTCACATGTATGTTGATGCAACCACCCACCCCATAAATAGGTCGGGGGGGGGGGGGGGGGGGTTAGTTGAGCCTAAGACGGAGAGAGTTGTGTTGGAGAGCTGCTCACCTTGGCCGAAATGAGCCATCTCTCCGACCGATTATCACTGAAGCCCTATGATGCGCCTACGATCGGGGACTAGAGAAAATCATGTGAAGAAATCACGTTTCATAGACAAAAACAACCCTAAAAGCAAATGGAAAGTTTACATTTTACAAGTCTACGATAGTAACAGACATGGGATATGAGCCCGTTACCTATAGATAGGTCAAAGACACCTCTACCTTACCACATCATCAGGTCTGCCAGTCTGGTTTCACTTCCATCGCACGACTAGCTTTTGCTCATTTCTCAACTCTTGTTCCTCATTACCGACTCTCAATTAATTCACGCCAAACGACATGTGGCCTCGAGAGAAAAGCGGGCCACCGGGATACATACAAGTCATACTCGCACGTACCAAGTAGTAGGTAGATCCGTGATCATTATTAGCGATTGGGCGCAACAAAACGCTCATATCCATCAAGACTTTGTTAGTAAGTGTTAACCATCTCCCACATTTTGCCCGCACCCACTGATACCAACGCGGCATTAATTGCCCCTTGAACCCACTTTGGCGGATTAAAAACTGGAAAGTTTAGCGTACCAGATCCAGGCATCCCCCCAAGAGGCTAAAAAAAGGAGGCAGAAGCCGTGCTCGAGGAGAGAATTCTGCAGAGAGAAAGCTCAAGCGGTATATTATGGCAGCCCGGACCAGGCCCAGTGCTTGTTTCTTCACGTGGGAGCAGAAGCAGAGGAAGCAGCAGACTTCAGAAATACCGCCTCGGCCCCCACTTGGTTAACGGTGAATGGCCGCGTTTAATGCCGCATTGCAGGTGCCAGGCAGCACATGGAATCGGGATATAATCGAATTCGAGGGCAGTGCCACAGTTTCAGAGAGTAGTATCATCTCCTGCCGATGGGAAAGATGGTGACAATGCGGCTACTCCCACGACTGCAGACCATCCCGAGTCAAAGGAAGTACAGAATATGCGAAGAGACAGCTAACAGTAGCTCCTTTTGGTTCGTAGGTGACCTTCCTCAATGCAGCTGCCAGGGACAGAAAGCTACAGGTAGCTGCCCGATCTACGGATCTACCACATGGGAACCTGCATCTTCTATACGCAGGATTAGCAGAAGCTAGGTCAACTCTCTGTATCTCTCACGCTGTGTGAGGGGATTGATCCGCCTTGAGTGATTTTTCTACCCTATTGTACCAGATGTACTGTAGTACCGCTCCATGCTGGGTCAGCTTCTAGAATTCCGCCAGGCGGAGGTACATATGACCATCTTGAACGTAATAAAAATTCCATCCTATTGCCAACAGAGACACCGATCAAGCCCACCGGAGTCCTCGTGAGGAAGAAAAAAAAGGCAAAGCGCAGGTCAAGCGTAAAAGCTGTATAAATCTCCTTGCGTGTCCACCGAGTCCAATTGATCCTGGTGAATTCGCTGGTCTTGTGCATCCCGACGTTTGCTCAACACATCTAGATTGTCTCCCACTCCAAAAGACAGTCCAAGCTTTTCCAACCTCTTTCAAACTTTCCCACTTCAACTCCTATCCATCTACCTTGAGAACAGACCATCTCTCACACAATCCATCTCTCATTGATCCCGATCAAGCCAATCTCCGCTTAATGCGCAGGACCATGTCGGGCGACAACGCCGACATGGAGGTGGAGGCCACCGAGAAGGGCCGCGGTCAGTCGGAGCAGTTTGGAGTCAGCATCAGTCAACGTGCCATCTCCTTCGGACCTGATGAGCGTGACTCGGCGCGACCTGGTCGAGTGATGACCAGAGTTCGCCGTTCCATCTCTCGCTCCCGATCCCGTAGCCAGACTCGAATAACCCGGTCCGCCTCCAACAATGTCCCGATTGAGTTCCATCGCATGAGCTTCCAAATTGGCGAGTCCGAAGCCCGTGTGAAGTCTGACGAGGATCTCAAGAATGCTTCTGAGAAGAAGAAGGAGACCCCAGAGGATGTCCTGTACTTTGAGAATCTGGACTTCCACAAGCAGACCGTGGATGATCTTTGGAGTCTCCTGCAAAGCAACCCCCAGGGTCTTTCCGATACCGAATCGACTGAGCGTCTGGCCCGCAATGGCAAGAACGTACTGCCCCACGTGAAGCCCAACTATCTCTTCAAGGTCCTCAAATACATCTTCGGAGGCTTCTGTTCCGTCCTGTGGATCGGTGTGATCATCTTCTTCATCTGCTGGCGTCCTCTTGGTGACCCCGACCCGCAGGCCTACAACCTCGGTCTGGCTATCCTCGTCTTGATCGTCATCTTTCTGCAGGCCGGTTTCTCGGCCTTTCAAGACTGGTCCACTGCTCGAACGATGAAAGCCATTCTGGACATGGTCCCCACCGAAGCCACCGTCCTGCGGTCCGGCGAGCCCACCCGTATCCCCTCCACTGACCTGGTCACCGGTGATGTAGTCAAGCTCAGCATGGGTAACAAAGTTCCCGCAGATCTGCGTCTGATTGCCACATCTGGAGATACTCGTTTTGATCGGTCCATGCTGACTGGAGAGGCGGAGGAGATTGACGGTACCACCGACATGACCGACAACAACTTCCTGGAGTCTCGCAATGTGGCTCTGATGGGTACAATGGTCACCAACGGAAGTGCCATGGGTATCGTCGTATTGACTGGCAAGCACAGCGTCATGGGTCACATCACGGTTTCATCGACGGATATCAAGGAGGAGCCCACCCTCATCCAAAAGGAAATCACCCGTTTCGTCAAGATCATCGTCTGCTTGACCGTCTTCCTGGCCGCTTTGCTTCTTTTCTCCTGGGTCGGGTGGCTTCGTGTGAAGCACTTTGGATTCATGAATGTGGTTGCCATGCTAAACGATGTCATGGGCTGCGTGGTGGCCTTCATCCCCGAAGGCATGCCCGTGGGTGTGGCTCTCACCCTGATGAAGATCGCCTCACGAATGAAGAAGAACAACATCCTGCCCAAGGGACTTTCAACCGTGGAGACTTTGGGATGCGTCAATGTGATCTGTTCCGACAAGACCGGCACTCTGACTGAAAACCGAATGAGCGTGATCACGACCACCTTTGCGGATAAGACGTTCACTTCTCAGGAGTCAATGACCGCCATCCGCGAGCAACCAGCGGAGCCCCTCGTTCATTTGCACCGAGCTGCTGCTCTTTGCAACGATGCCGTCTTCGACCCCTCGACGATTCAGAAACCGGTCAATGAACGCAAGTTTCTCGGCAATCCCACCGACGGTGCCGTTCTCCAGTTTGCTGAAGAGGTTCATCCAGGATACCTCCAAAGCACGAGCGAGTCATACCAACGAGTCTTCAGCATTCCTTTCAACTCCAAGAACAAGTGGATGCTCACTCTCCACAAGACTCCCATCACCGAGGGGAACCCTGATGAGCACCTGCTTCTAATGAAGGGCGCCTCTGATATTCTGATGCCGCTCTGTACCTCGTACTGGTCTTTCGCTGACAACGCTGTTCGTCCTCTGACCTCGGAAGCAATCAATCAGCTTACCGCTGTTCAGGAGAGAATGTCCCGGGCGGCACAGCGTGTGATTCTCCTCTGTGAGCGGTCCTACACTCCCACTGAAACTCTTGGTACTGCTGCATTCGGCGAGGAGGTCCAGGCCAAGGGTCTCGCTGATCTCACCCTGGTTGGCATGTTTGGTATTATTGACCCTCCCCGCAAAGAAGCTGCTGCCACGGTTGCCGCGTGCCGACGTGCCGGAGCTCGGTTCTTCATGGTCACCGGCGACCTTGGTCTGACCGGCGCTGCCATTGCCCGTGAAATAGGTATTTTCACCGGAACGGCGGAGCCCGACACCTTCGAGACCATCATGGCCCGTCGTGGAATCAACAACAGCCGATCTACCTTGGATAGCATGGGCCTTGAGCTCGGTTGGTCGCAGACCAGCCTGCTTCTCGAGGGTCCTTCCATCAACAAGCTAATCGACGAGGACTGGGATGTCATTTGTGGATACCAGGAAATTGTGTTTGGTCGAACCATGCCAGACCAGAAGCTGCGCATTGTCAACGAGCTTCGTGCGCGTGACAACGTTGTGGCTGTCACTGGTGATGGTGTCAACGATGCCCCTGCCCTTCGCGCCGCCGATGTGGGTGTTGCGGTTGTTTCCGGAAGCGATGTTGCGCTCGAAGCCGCGGATCTGATTTTGATGGACAAGTTTGATTCCATCGTCGAGGCTATCCGTCTCGGACGTTTGGTGTTCCAGAACCTTCAGAAGGTTATTAGTTATCTCCTCCCCGCAGGATCCTGGTCAGAAATCTGGCCTGTGCTCCTCAACGTCTTCTTTGGCGTGCCCTTGCCCCTGTCTTCCTTCCTGATGATCATCATCTGTGTGTTTACCGATCTCCTGTGCTCGCTGTCCCTCATCTGGGAAAAGGAAGAATTCGATCTCATGACTCTGCCGCCACGAAACCACAAGAAGGATCATCTGATCAATCTGAAGGTGTACATCCAGAGCTACCTTTTCATGGGCGTCATGCAGACTGTGTCGGCTCACTCCATGTACTTCCTCTACTACTGGAAGTACGCTGGAATCCCCGCCAGTGCCATGTTCTTTGCCTTTGAAAAGTACAGCGACGGGTTCTATGGCTACACGCAAGATGAGCTGACCCACTTCAACACTGTCGGCCAGGGCGTGTACTTTGTGTGCCTGCTAATCATGCAATGGGGCAACATTCTCAGTGTGCGCAACAAGCGACTGTCCATTCTGCAAGCTGACCCCATCCGCAAGCAGCGGCGTAACGCCTGGCTGCTCGGAGGCATGTTGCTCAGTCTAGGGATCGGCATCTTCGTCACTGAGCTCCCCGGCGTTCAGCACATCTTCGGCACCGCCTCGGTTCCCATTGAGTTCTGGCTCCTGCCGCTGCCGTTGGCTTTGGGTGTGCTGTGCATGGATGAGCTGCGCAAGCTGACCGTGCGTGTGTGGCCGAAGGGAATCACGGCCCGCTTGGCGTGGTAGAGGAGAGAGAAAGAGAGGGAGGGGGGAAGGTTCTTTGGTGTTTTTTTTTTTGTTTTTTGGTTTGCCGCCGCAACAGGAAAACGTGAGGGGTCGTGGGCGCCCCTAAAATCATGATGGCGTGGCGGTTTGTCCTATTTAGCTTGCTTTTTTCTTTTGTTTACTTGAATCTTTGGCATTGGGAATCGCATCATTAGGATACTCGGGGATGTCACCCGGAATCGCAAGATTCATGCATTTGCCAATTTACTCATTGATGATTCACATCTACGTCTCTCCTCCCATAATCACCAAGATCAGGGCCACGTCAGCTGATCACCACCGTCTAGATGAAATGAGGCGTCACGATAGGTGATACAATTCTGAGAATTTATTGATCGCGATGAAGCAGAGTCTCACTTTATTCATGACTTACGTGGCAGAACCTGGAGGTGTTCTGGGGGAAGTATATCATTGTTGAAAGTATGCATAATGCAGCACCTTGGCAAGATCCGAGTGAGCACGTGACTCCAGAGTCCAGTCCCCGCACTATTAGCGCTTGGTAGTAAGCAATCCATCTTCCACGACAGCCTCCTGAGTCGCCAGAAAGATGAACATCTCTCCACTGTCCAGTGCTTCACAATAATCACTGAGATGATATCATGGCTCCGGACGATATCACTCTTCGATGAGTTTATCAAATTCAGGGACTTCTGTTTCTGAAGGCAACGTCGGTAAAAAGTTTAGCCTCAGATTGTTCAAGGGACTCTCCGAGGCTCCACCGGCTCTGCATATTGGCGGCCAAACATTTCTCAACTGGCAATGGTCCGATTGATACACAAGAGAACAATCCGTCGGTCTTCTTCAATGTCCGCCCAAGGAAGTGATATACGGTTGACCGACTATATCCAAAAGTCGAACGGGCCCGGACAAGTCAAAGTGCGTGCTTGGTCAGCCCGACAAGTCAAAGACATCCAGATTCGTAATCGACGGGCAATCATCCGTCATGAACTTTATTCAAGCCCTGCAGTCCATGACTCCATCCTTCATAGTCCATTTGGGCAGACAGGCATTCCACCATAAACAATATTCCATAATGCCATCCGTGAAGTGCGCCAACCACCTGACGAAAACACACCCAGAGCGGGTCCATCTCTCGTGCTGTCGGGTCTTGATAATTCCGCTTACGTACGCAGTCTACATCCGAGACCCACGAGCCCCGGATAAGTTCCAATCTTGGGACTCATAATATCTCCATTTTACGACAGACCGTGGCCATGATTGGAACTCTTCCGACGATGCGGCCCATCTTCGGCTCTGAGAGCGGATATGTCAGCGGGGCTCGCTATCAAACCAAGAAAAAGTCCACTGAAACCTCTCGACTGAGGAGTTGGAGAGTCCGAGAAATTTGAAATCCATACTATCACTAGAGACTGGGACTCGGAGCGCGGAATTTGGGCGCTTTCACGAAAGTGTGGGCGAGGACTGTGCCGCGGTGGTGTGGTTACTGGCCAGTGTCCCACAAGAAACTGGATCTTGACAAATGGTGCTGAGAAGCCTCTGGATCATGAGCCCACGCAATCCGCAGTGTAAAAGGATCCATGGACTGGGAGCCCAGGGGCATATAAAGACCCCATCATGGGGCGGGGATGTGTGATCATCCAATTCATATCCACTTCACTTCCATCTATCGTCTTTGCATAGCGTCGGGAAGAAAGAAAAAGCTGTTGATCCTCGTATCCACCTCATCACCTACTTTACCTCTCAACATCACCACACAAAACCAAAAATATGGGCTCCGTTGCCGTTGACTTCAAGAACCCCGCGACCTCGTCTCTGCTCGAGGTCGTTAAGGCCCGTCGCACATACTACGACCTCAAGGGCGAGAGCTCCATCTCCGACGATGCCCTCGAGCGTATCGTGCAGGATGCCGTCCTGCACGTGCCCAGCTCCTTCAACACCCAGACTTCTCGCGTCGTCTTGCTCTTGAAGGAAGAGCACAAGAAGGCGTGGGACATTGCGATCAAGGCCATGGAGGGTCTTGTGGCGGCGGGCCATGTGCCCAAAGAGATGTTTGAGAATCACACCAAGCCCAAGTTGAACTCTTTCAAGGCTGCTTATGGAACTGTATGTTGCGATGGCGGTGCAGATTGTGGAAGAGAAACAGCCAGTCCCTGGCCAGCGTTAAAATGTTAGGGTTCTGACTTGAATATTCATCAACAGGTCCTCTTCTTTGTTGATTACGAGTCTCTCGGACCCATCAAGGAGAAGTTTGCCATTTACGCCGACAAGTTTGACCCCTTTGCCATGGAGTCCAGTGCTATGTCCCAGTATCTCGGTATGTCTTTCATTCCACTCATTCCACTCATTCCACCCGATTCACCCATTCTGTCATTTCGATTTCTCCGTCTCGCTCCAGCATGTTCTACCCTACGAACTTTCGTTCTAACACGCCCATCTCACCAGTCTGGCTCGCTCTCGAGTCCGAAGGCCTCGGTGCGAATCTCCAGCACTACAGCCCCCTGGTCGACGAAGGCATTGCCAAGACCTGGAACCTGCCTGCCTCCTGGAAGCTGGATGCTCAGTTGGTCTTTGGTACCCCTAACTCTGGTCCCGGCGAGAAGACGTTTGCTCCTCTGGAAGACCGCTTCAAGGTGTTTGGTAAATAAGGGGACGCTTTATGATGGAACATTTTTGAGATTAAAGAATTATAGCGTGACTCAGAGAGTGAATTGAAGTATTTCATTATTCCATACGCTCTATCTTTCTCCCCGCATAATCTACTGCCTAGAAGCATGTATTTATTGCTCTGGTGATTTCCAACACAAACCTAGCGGCGCTCCCGACTAACGCTAGAGAGATGGAATTCTACAAGTATTACCCAGAATTGCGGGCGAGAGTTTCCATATATCAGAAGTAAATCGGCTTTTCCAGTATCAGCCACAGGAGCAAGTAACTTCCATCTACGAGAACTCACATTACGCCTTATATGGATCGAACAGAGCCAGAACAAAGCTAGAACAAAGCCAGAACAGAGCCGGAACAGAGCCGAGGCACCCTATCTACGTGTAAAAATTATACCGGAGCAGGGAGGAAATAGGTTGCAGGGTCATAGGGGTTTATGTCGACCCTACGAGTAATTTTTCACTACCGGTAGGGAACGGAAGGGAATAGTAAACTAGACCTTTTTAGGATATTTCTAAGAAGACCCTAAAGATAATAAGCTCGTAGGAAGAGGACTATATAATTACTACGTCCCTATAAGCTTCGAAACTAAAAGAAAATAGTAATTATATTGTACGCCAGTTTAAGAAAAGTTTTAGAAGGACTCATAAACTATTTATTCAACTTGACTGTGTGGTATCGAGAATCTTAAGAGCTGGAGAGGAAAAATAAGAGGAGGAAGCTACAGAGGAATTCTAGGTTCTGGGGTGGTATACAGTACTCTGGCGTGGTCACGCGTCTCCCTTCTGCTGCGGATTTCTTCTGTAGAAGAAATCTAAGTCCGCCTAGTCGGTTTTCTTCTGCAGAAGAAATCTAGGTCTATAATACTTATATTCTTAATATTACCCCCTTCTTTAAAGGACCTAGCCCTCTAGGTCTATAAGCTCTATTATTAGTAGTATCTATAATAAGTCGTTCAATCGGATAGCTTATTATTATCCTTATACTCTCCGTTAACTTCGTCCTTTAGTATAGTATTATAGCGCGACCTACTAAGGCGTAGTCGCGGGAGAATCACGTACGGAACGCTAACGAATCTATCCGGGTTATAGCCCTAAGGATATAGGCCCGGTACGTAGGAACTATATATATAATAATCGCAGAAGGGAGGAAGAACTCCGATCTTTAAGATTTAGTCTTTAAATTTAAGCCCTCCTAGACTTCGATCCTCTACCTAGTTAATAGTCCTAGTTACCCTACGATCCTAACCCTAATAATTACTAAATCTTCTTTTTAACTACCTAAAGGAAAGATATCTAATCTACTAACTTACTAGTATTCTACCTGTCTTACGGCCGCTAAATATTCTAAATACTATACCGAGATATAGAACCTATAAGCTAGTAAGAGTCTAACTCTATAGATCTCTACTAGTACTCCTCTTAGCTCTACTAGCGAGACTACTCTCCCTATATCTATTCCCGGATCTCCTATACTAGAAGATTCTAATATACTAGAGTTACTCTAAGCTAGGATCTACTAACTAGAATAAGAGATAATATTTCTACGGTAGAATATAACTAAACCGGAATCCCTAGTTATATCTCGATCTTAACGTAGTATAGAGATTAAGCTTAATTATATCTCTTATTAGTTAAGCTCCTTCTTCTCTCTTAAATAATATAACTAATAGCTCGATAAAATCGAGTATATCTTTAATATAAGCCCTAACTATTTCGCTAACGATTTATACCGAATCCCTATTAGGTTCTTTATACTTAAATCTATCTAATAGATCTAATAGATTAACTATTATAAGACCGAATTCCTTTATATCTATCCTATCTAGTCTGACTTTATTAACTAGACTCTAGAGTTTATTCGAGGAGACCGATTTACTGATACCGATATTATAGAAAAATATTATAGTATCTAGTAGCTTCCTAACTAAGACCCCTAAGTATTTTATAACTATCTCTAATTAATTAAAAACTATATATATCTTTAGGAAAAGGAGTAAGCTCTCGGATACTATACTAAGCTCTATCCTTTTCTTAAAAATAAACTTAAGATATTATATTAGAATAATCTATCTAATAACTAAACTAATATAGTTTTAGTAATAATCTATATCTAGGATAGCTATAGTTTTAGTAGAATAGAAGATAATTATATAGCTAAATATAACTCTAAGAAGTATTATAAGGATCCTATTATTATAGCGTAAGTTATATATAGTAACTTAGGATAATTCACGATCGAATCGACCCCGCGTTACTTTAGGGTAATAACCCTAAAGGCTCTATATAGGGCTATAGGGACTTAGTATATAGAACCCCTATATATATATTATAGGAACTAGTAAAGTCTACTATACCCTAAGATTTAGTCTTTAAAAATCAGAACTATAGACTTAGACTCTCTACCTAGCTAATAGGTTCTCTATCCTACGATATAGACCCCCTAATAATTACTAAATCTTCCTATTTAGCTATCTAGAGAAGAAATATCTATACCGATAACCCGTTAACGATCCGCCTACCTTATAGTAGTAGAATAATCCTAACGAGTTAGTAAGAGACTTAGATAATCCTTAAGTAAACTTAGTCTAATTCCTCGGGACCTAGAAGATAGGTCTAGTTATAAGATACGATCTCCCGAATAGGCTAAGTTAAACGAATAAAATACCCTCGATTACCTCCTAGTATAGATCTAGTAACTTAAATATAAAGCTATAATTTAGTAATAAGATATTCCTAAATCTTAATCTATATCTTCTCTTCCCTATTAATCCTAAGATATAGAGATTAAAATTAATAATATCTTATACTACTTAAGCTCTACTTTAACCCTAGAGTAATATATCTAGTAGCTTAATAAATTAGAATATATCTTCGAAGCTAGTCCTAACCGATATATAAGTAATTTATATAAGATTTCTATTAGATTCTTTATATTAGAACTAATCTAATAGGCCTAGTAGATAAATTATAAAAAGACCGAGTTTATAGCCTAATAACCTATCTAGGATAATTTTATTAACTAGATACTTAAATTTATCTAAGGGGATCGATTTATAGAGGCTAATATTATAAAAAAATACTATAGCGCTTACTAGCTCGAGGACTAAGACCTATATACGTTTTATAACTATCTCTAATCTATCGAAAACTATATAAATATTTAGGAGAAAGAACGTACTCTTAGCTACTATATAAAACTACGCCTAGTTCTTAAAAATAAACTTAAAGTACTATACTAGAACGATCTCCTAGAGAATTATACTAATATAGTTTCGGCCGCGATCTATATATAGGATAGTCGAGATATAGGATATCGGAATCCCTCTCTATCTAGAATAAATCCGAAGAAGTAATATCGGGAAGACTAGGACTAAAAAGGATAATAAGAAAATACTAAGAAGTACCGATCCTCTTTCTATAGATAGAAGACTATAAACCCTAATTAAAATACTCCTATCTTACCCTATTATTAGTTCTATAGAAATAGGAATCTAACTTTAGTTATCTATTATATATATAGAAAAAAGGGATATTATACTTCTAACTATTCCTAGGTAAGATCTAGCTAAGGATATCTAAATATATATATTAATAAAATTATTATCGACGATAAAGTTATAAAAGAATAGGGAAATATTAGTAAGTTAGAATAAACTCTATAGCCCCGACTTAGTAGCTACTTATAGAGATCCTTCTAATAATTAAAACTATTATATATATTAAGGATACTACTATTAAAATTAGCCTAGATATAGGTATAAGTATAAGTATTATCGACTATAAACTTATAAGATCTTATAAACTATAATAAGCTACTCTCTAAATACCTAAGCTCTATAATTTCTAGGATTAATATAGTAATACTAAGAGTACTTTCTGCGTCCTAATTATAGTAACCGATTAATAAGGAATTATAAAGATATAGATAGTAGAGTACTATACTATTAACTAGAAGATAGGATCCTCTATACTACTAGAGATATCTAGGTTATATATATAAGGAATTATTATCGATATAGATATATATTATTAGTACTTCGGGATTAACTATTAAAACCTCGATCTACTTATCCCCTATTAATTCGTGAAATATATATATAATAAGATATATATCTTTATAGTAGTACTCTATTAGATTAACCTAGAAATAGATCTTAATACTCTTAATAATCCGCTCTTTAATAGTTTACTTCTATCTACTAATATCCGAAGAAACCCCGAAAGGACTATAAATTATACCGGAATCGCTAGTTAGTCTAAAGAACTTTATAACTTCGAAGATTTATATTTAGCGAAAAAGATAAGGACTTTATCTTAGCGTAAGAAGACTAATTATATAATCAATCTTATCCTAGAGACTACTCTATCCTATAGACCTATCTATTCTCTCTCTCGCGCCGAGCTTTAGGAACTTAGGAAGTATATTTATATAAATATAGAGAATAGCCGAATCTATCTATTAAAGAGTCCTATAGATATATCTATTCTTTTTATACCTAAAAAGGATAGCGGATTATAACTCTATATAGACTACTAGAAACTTAATTATATTTTAGTAAAGAATCGCTACCTTCTTCTATTTATCTCCGAAATCCTCGATCGCCTCTTATACACTAAGAAGTTCTCTAAGATTAATATCTAAGAGGCTTATTACTATATCGGTATTAAGGAAGATAATAAATAGAAGACTATATTCTAAATATAATATAGCTACTATAAGTATATAGTTATATCTTTTAGTCTTACTAACACCCTAGCTATTATAACGTATAGGTAATAAGTTAATAGTTAACTAGCTAGTCGGTTAACTAGTTCGTGAATAGACTTAGAGTATAGAGTTAGTTAGATAAGTTAACTAGTTAGTTACCGTAAACTAGTAAGTTTACTAACTAGTTAGTTAGCTAACTAGCGAGTTAGTATTAACTAGTAGGTTAGCTAGTTAGTTAATAGATATAGACTTAGGGAGTTAAGGAGGAGATTAT